GCAGAGTTTCTGTCAAGTGCCAGTCAATAATATCATAGGCACATCTCTGGTCTTTGAGCAAGTATGATGGATTGATGGCTGATAAATGGTCTTCATCTTTGTGTTGCAGGGTTGATATCTGCTCAACTCCATAGTCACAATCAATATCAGACCCAAGTACTTCATCTAATATCACAGCAATGTCACCTGCATTCTCCGTGTCTGAGTTGCAACGAGCTAGTGCACTGTCGCCATTAAGAGTGACAATAGACTCCGACATTTGATTTTGCCACTGTTGAAGCCTGATATAATCAGCCCCATGTGCGACTCCAACTCCACTCGTTCCACATGTCCAGTTGCAGTGCTCATCACCAAAGAGCTTTGTTGTCCGTGCAGCTACGATAGCCATCAATCCATGCAACTCCTCATGATGATTTTTCTGTGATTCCTCATAGGCAAGTAGATCTGCTTCCGTCAACTCAATATGCATCTCATCATCTTCACCGTCTGAATCTACAGAGTCTGCAGCAAGCGCATCCAGGTTATTGCTCATGTCCACTTGTGGTGCTTCATCATCGCTTTCACGATGGATAGATGCGGCAGCCTTGCAGTCATAATAATACTGCACACTCGCCAACACATCTCTGTCCATTTGAGATGCTGCCTCGGAAAATGATACAAATGCTGCCTTGAAGCTACCGAATCCTGCCTTGATATCCTGAAGGTCACGCCATGGAAATAGGAGGGCAAGCATCAAGGCACAATATAGACTTCTACACGTTGGGTCGTTTGGCTGCAGGAAGAATGGGCCAATGATGTTGGGTAAGGTACTGTGACCCTTGGAGCGAATGACATGGCGATGGGTATGGTTCTTGCTATGTCCCTCCTTATAATGGCTGCGATCATTTCGAGGCCGTCCACGGGAGGATGTTGTAGCATTTGATTGTCCATTGTTTTGCTTTTCAGAAGCAGGGATAGCCTCCTTGTATGTGTCGATAATAAATTCAAAAAATGAATATGATTCGAGCTCATTTCCTCGCATGGTGTAATCCTCTAGCTGTGATCGAACATATAACTGGCCTCCTGTGCAGACCTCCAGAGTCACAGTATCCTTCAATTAACCATGAGACGATGACCGCACAGAGTCTTCAACAACACACTTACATCAAGTTCATCATCCAAGTCTTCTTCATTGTGAGGTCTGTCTTCCACATCTGCATTACTCACATTGTCTTTGACTTCAACCTCTTCATCACGATTACATTCACTATTGATACCATTGTCAGTTCTTTTGTCAGACTCATTATGTTTAAAAGACATACATCGAATTCTTTGGCCATAGTTCTGGAAAAGTCACCAATAGACATCTCTTCACTATTGACCAATAAAGCAGCACATAATGATGAGAACAGATTCGATCACCCCATCCCATCAAATATGCAACCACTTGTTGACCGGATAACTCCATTTCATGATTGATGGAATGTTGACAGCAGAATATCAAAAGTTGATTATGTTCCAGGACACTTTCAAGGTGGTCGGAGTGCTCTTCATGATACAGGAGGGACTTCGCTATCAGTGCGGACACATTGTGGTTTTTGTTTTGTTTTTTTGTTTGATAGTCTGTTGAATACCACGATGCATGCTTTGTGTCAACTCCATTGGTAAGCAGCTTGATGTCATTATTGCAGCATAATGCTACTGATATCGCAGGGCAGTAGTTGTTCACATAAGGATGTGTTCGTTTGGGCTTCCAGTTTCCCTTCTCATCAATATATTTGGTACTGGACAGCTCCCATGGTGCACGTCTCTTACATACAAGCTTTCCATGCTTGTTGTAACAGAGACAGGTTGATTTTGTGCATGTATGAACCTGTTGTGACCGCACCACTCGTTTTTCCTTATCAGCAAACTCGGCTGCCCAATTTTCTGCATCAGGATCAGGTGGACAAGAGTATGGCAATTGGGTTTCACGTGGGGTACTTTTCATCATTTCTTCATCGAGACCATCTACGTGAGCTCGGATGTTCTGCTTGATGTATGCCCTGATACAATCTTGAAACTCCTCTGTTTTCAAGAACTCATGCATCTTGTTGGAATTAGGTGCATCCTCGAGCCAAATCAGCATGTGGACATGCAGAGTTCCATGTCCTTGTGCCTCAACTACCCCAAAATAAGTGCTGATGCGACCAAGGATTCCCATTGTAGTGTGAACACAATCCTTCGTCACTTCAATGCCAAAAAGTGTCTGAAGGACAGTTTTGATGATGAAGAAAAAGTACTTTGCTGCTCCGTATGGGTCACTTGCAATATTCTGTGCCCTGTGGTCACTGTCTGGCCCCACAGTTGCAAAAAATTTGTCCATGTCAATCTCTTCTCCAACGAGTACCTGTACAACAGGATCGTGAAGGTTGCTTGGATTGATGGTTATCCACAGAGATGGCCCTCGCTTCTTCATAGTTGTCCCCAAAATATGACCTCGATAAGATGGATGTAACTTGTCTGATCCTTTGACACGGCCACTGGTTGTGAAAACGTGTTTACATAGCAGGCGGACTCGAGGATTGGATATGGGAACATGCACTGCTTCCTCCTTCTCGGCTTGTTTCAAATCAGCTATGGTTATTGAGTTGATTACAAATGCATCTCGTTTGAAGTCTTTTCACTGCATTTGAATACAAGCTGATTGGAGAGCTTCTCGTTTCTGCTCGATGCTAAAGGCAACAAATGGGAAAGAATGATGGATACAGAATCAACGGTCATAGTATTGCAGTGCCCATTGTATGTGTTCATTGAATCCAATCTTCTTCTCTCGGCTTGCTTCTATCCCTCCAATATCATATGGGAAAAGAACTGGATATGCTGCAGCCAATGGATTTAGGTTTGGATTACATTCACCATGTTGACCTGAGCTGAAGTCGGAGACTGGCATTAAGCTGTGCCGCACAGCATATCCACCTTCCTTTAACTCGGACTTGTCTTCCATGTTGGTGAGTGCATACTTCATCAGCTCGTTCAATGATAACGAGTTCATTTCAGTATCTGTGACTCCAAGGAATTGCAATGGAATCACATTGGCATCTGCTCCAAAATCACATCAAAAATTTCGAAATTTTTATTGCTGAATAAACCCTCACCATGCTCAACTTCCATCACATTTTCATCTTTTTCAACTTCAATTGTATCTAGATCGTGATTTCCTACATCTGGAGTTTAAGCTATAAATTAAACTGAATTGCAGGCAAGCTCAGAGCTACTCACTATTCATCTCCGAGTCATCACATGGAACATAACCTGCACTTTCCTTCTGTACAAGACCCACATCAGTTTTGTGTTGAATGATGGACAGAATCTCCATTGGAACATCATCTTCAGGAAGGCCGTAAAGATGTTCATCTGAAATTGCGATATCCTTGTAGATCTCGCTGTGGCATTTTAACCACATGAGAGCCTTGTATACAATGCGACGTCAAACTCGGAACATGGACTTCAGCCATGTTTTTGGTAATTTTTTTGTGCCAACATATGTCACAGCGATGACTGATGCCAATGATACAGCTGGATGTGGTAGCAGTTGTCCTTCCAACATCATCACAATGGTATCCGTGTTCATGTTGTACAGTGAAACATTCCCCGTCATTCCTCATTGCAAGTGGTTGGGATTTGATGCATGATGATCCTTGGGGTATAGCTTGAAAACGTAGCACCGAGGAAAGTAATGAGACACCAAAAGTTGCTCGGGAAGAGTGAGGATTGCAAGTTCATGAGGAACATCTCCGATCCAAAGATTGTTGACAAGTGCATGTTTTGGCATTGAGTTGTTTGTGAGTGCCTGTGAACATTTGTTGCACACCCATGCCACTGCAGAAGCTCCGTCTCCTTCGATGCTGTGCTTTGCCAATAACATTCCCTCCCATAGATCATATGACGGATGGACAATGGCAGGTCTTAATCTCTGCTTGATGTTGGGAACACTCAAAATGAATATTTTTTTGCCTACACATTTGTTTGATATCAAATCAACATCAATCATCTTACATCTTACTTGAAACTCACCTTCGAATGCCATCATCTCTCATGCACAAACAACACAAACATTCATTGCAAGTGCTCTATTGCTTGTTGCCTCTCGAAATGCTCGAAAACATTGTTTCCACACCTCATCAGTTGGCAATTCCATAAATTTGGAATGATCACGAAAACTTGGTTCCACAACTTGACAATTCTCCACAGCAATGCTGCCCTCGCCTGCATTATTCTCCTGTTCCTGTTGATGTGCCTCGTATCTCTGTTTCTTCTTCTTTACTTGCTTTTTCTGCTTCCTTTCTTCCTTGACCTTGATTGCATTGTTTATTAAAGCAAGCACTTCATCAGACTGCACTCTAACGAGCTCGATAATCTTGGTCCACGGCACATTTCTAAAGGTCTGGTGAAATATGCCTGTTGGAACTGCAGCCTGCAGCTCATCCTTCATCAAATTGCCCACTAATTCTTGCACTGGCATAGTACTAGTATGATGGCCCGCGGAAATATTGGTGAGTAGTAGTGGATTTAACAATCACAATTTCATGACCGTCTTGTTCCCAAAATTTTCACTCTGCCTGTGCACCATAGTAATGGCTTATGATTTTTGTATGCTGCTAACCATGCTGAGTCCAAGAATCTGATGGCCGCGCATTTACATACTGAAGATAACGCTACTCAACAATAAATGTTGTGATTTATACACCACAAAATATGCTCATGTTCTTGTGACCAGTATATGGTCCGCAGCCTTTCCCCTTCAAAAATCAACTTTGTTGTTCTATTAAAGTTTAATGTTAAACAGAATCTGACTATTACAAAAACAACATGCCAAGCTTCAACTTCGAAAAGCCGAAGCTTCGAGCACCTTCAACGACATATACTGCTTAGACATCATCAAATCCCAATACTTGCCACCCTGCACGTATCATGCACGCTATCCCATATAATAAGTCTCAACCCATGTCACGTATTCTTCGTGCACTCACAAACCTACCCAAGTCAATATGACCCAGTCGAAGAATACATCCACGACATCCCCCCTTCTTGAAACACCACCCAGCTCTCCCGCACGTCACAAACCAGCCATGACAGCTGCTTCTGTACTCAACAAGATGCAGAATGATGAAGGTGGCTTTTACGCTGCAACACCCAAACTAGCTTACCGTGCAGAGTATTTTTCTGGTGGTCAAAAGGGTAACATCCTCATCGTGAAAGGACGGAACTTGAACGAAGATGCTGAATTCATAATCCACGGTGTATTTGAAATCAGCCGTAACAATTTCTACTTTACACCCGATGCCAATTTCAACCCTACAAATGTTTTCCAAGGACGTTTTGCAGATGTTAAACTAAACTGCAAACTCATGGCAGGCCATAGCGAGGCTTTCAAATTTCCCTCCGATGATTTTTCGGCCATTCTCAACAATATCCGTGCTTTCAAGAAGTTAGTTCCAAAAGAACGGGATTATGAGACAGTCAACATTATCCACGACTCTCTTGGCCACAGGTCAATCAAACTCACGCACAGTCTCTTCAAAGTATGTAATTGTCTTATTCACGCTGTCTCTTTGTTACCTGACTGTGCTCGATATCATAACATAGGCCAAGGCCGATGACCTTGAAGCTGATGCTAATGATGAAGGTGACGGCAATGGCAAAGGCTCAACAAGTAAGTACTAAGCTGCATACAATCTAGTGCCACACTTCTCTGACTAATTGTTTACACTAGCGACAGCAGAGAGCCTAAGTTCCGAATACAATATGGCATCTTGGCCAGTTTCTGACCGCTGCAAAGGTCATCTTCATGAACTTGTGTCTTCCCACAATATCCAACCTTTACCCACATATGATGAAAACCATAAACTTATCCCGCCGAGTCAATACGAATCGAAGCTGAAAGGTGCACTCGTCGAAGTTCATATGGCTATTTGTCACCATCGCATCAAGTCATCGAGACATGACATTTTCAATGCGGTCTTGCAAGAAATTATTGTCCTCGCTCCGCCTGCAGCCATGCCAACCAGCCCGTTCAAACGTCGCCTGCCTCAATGAAGGCCCTTCTACAGAACAACAGAACAAAGGGAAAACCCCAATCAGAGGCTAACTGGTACGTGCACGGTCTTATAATTAACACCAATTCTTTAACTAGTAACCCAATAGTACTGTCACTCGTGTAGAATTTTCTTGAACTTATGCAGACCGCATGTTTTTGTTGACTCGCCTCTTACTGTACAAAGTTGTATTTCTAGTTCGACTCTGACTCTGTATTTCCCTCGTAACTCGAATTTTGTTCAATTATTCAAACAGTACAATGGATTTAAACAGTAAACAAGGTCCCTGCCGACGAAGTCCGGCCCTTTCCTCTAGTATATAGACATAAAGGGAAAAGAGTGAAGGTAGAGATAGTGAAATGAAAAGGACAAAGGAAGACAAAAGAAACAAGCGAGAAAGGAGTGCGTACTATGTCACGACGGTTGAGATATTAGTCCTAGCGAGCATCCAGCGCTGAAGCCATAGGCTTCCTTACAATGTGGGTAAAGACATACAAGACATTGCTGAACCTTGAGGAATGGCAACATGACAGTGATCAGCTGGTAGATGAATTGGTACAGTCAGTAGTACCATATAGATAAATGGATAGATTAGATATTACCATTGTAATGATGGTTGCAGTGCTGGGCTTGGAACCACTGTTTTTGATACTTGTGCCAAATAGTATTTGTCTAATGCACTTCTGACTACCCCAATCAGAGTCTGACAGTCCAACACATGTCCGATCCTGACCTAATATACTTTCCGACAGTCTGATACATGTCTGATCCTGGCCTGATGCCCAACCCAATCAGATTCATCCTCCCTATGTCTAGTCCAGTTGCATCTATCCCCACAAGGTGTACGATTACTTATTTTCACTTGCTAAACATTATAGACAGTGTTATTACATATTTTCTCATAGTCCACAGTACCACATGTTCTATTACATAGGATTTCAGACCCAAAATATCGCTACTACTCTCACCTATAGCACTCCAAATTTCTACATAGTCACTATATAATATCTTAGACTTCCTACCTATTACTTTAGTTACTTTTCCCTACCTGTTAGTAGGATGGAAGTCACTGGATATTAGTAGTACTTTATTGTATTACAAAATATCTATCTGCTCTTTTACTCCAAAACATTCTGAAATATCCAACACTCATTTTATATGACATTTTGACATACTTCCAACACATTCCTTCCTTCACCATCCAATGCATTTCCAACAGTCCAATGCATAGTCCAACATCCAACCTGACTCCAATAATTTTGGACTTTACAGTTTCCCTTCAGACAAGTAGTTTCTAGCTTCAGAATATCTTCCTTTATTCATAACTAACTATCTAAACTGATATCAAACAGCAGCCCCTATAGGATTGAACGCACTTGCTCTGCAAATATAACAGACTAGGTTGTGCTGAAGATCTACCTAAATATTGTTGCTTAGGTAGCACTACTTTTGCTGAGCCCAGCAAAAATATTCTTCCTACACTGTCAAAGTATGGCTTCATCATCCAGATGGGCACTTCAATTTTGATGATACCAACAATCTCTATGGAAAGTCAATGGTATGTCATGCAGTCGTGATGCTCGAGTCAGGCTGACACCAAAACTCTGAAGTAAATTACTCCAGTGCCATATACGGGCATGGCCAGCCTCAAAGCTATCCTCAAGCGAGGCATGGTGGCCATCCGCAACAGCATTTTTGACTTTGTAGAGAAAGACTGCAAGCACTCGCAAAAGGATTTAAGATATGAACTGCCCCATTATTATCTTATATTTCATTTTCCCACTACATCTATCTCATCCACTAACCACCAAGTTTCTGAACGTAAACGGTATGCAGGACATGTCCTCCATTCATATGAAGACCATTCTCTCAGTAAAAGTATCAGTGAAGCCCAGCTGTGTTGGTGCTCCATGAGATGCACCTCTGAAGTTCATCTGCCAGTTTGCACTATATTTAGCACCTCTCACTCTACCTTGCTTTTAATTGTCATCAAAGGTTCTTTGTTAAAAAGTTTAAGGAAAACAAATAGGCTGGTGGAGAAAATTTATTATCATAGAAGTTTAGGAATAATCTGTACTATCCTTTTGTCAGTGAATGTGACTACGGGATAGCTTGGTGGGCCATACAGCAAGGGCCAAGTCAAAATGCCTTCTTAATTGTTTTGTCCATTGATCAGGTAAGCACACAGTGGTGGCATTGATATTATGGCTAAAGTATTTTTGCTAGGTGAAATGTAAACTCGACCTATCTTACAAGAATGCCTGTGCGCTCCACCAAAAAATTAATCATAAACTCCCTAGTGTTACTCTGTGGCACTGCAGTGTCATTCAGATATCAGGCATCAATGAAGAGTTTGAATTATTCATGCAAGATCCTGTTGAATGCATCAAAGAACTGTGGGCTAATCCTGTATATCTCGACCACCTCACCTATGCACCAGAACACCGCTTTACAGATGAAGGGAAAGTCGAGCACATTTATGATGAACTAATTAGTGATGATTGGTCTTGGGAGGCATAGGTCCATGGTTTTAAATGTTTCTTTGGCAATGTAGTGCGAAAACCTGAGTACAACAGAAACATCGTTACAAGATAAAATCCACGATCTTTCAGTAGACTCAATGAAATCAGTAAATCCTGCTGCAGGAATAGCCAGATTTGCCCTAGATTTGCTCTAGAATATATGGTAGAATATGGCTTATGCAGAGGGCTACATGGTTCAAAAACTCTTGCAGGCAATGGTGGCTTGATTATTGCAATATATGAGGGTAGGAAGTGATAAAGGTCCATATAGCTTTTTGATGAGTAGCTGCAGATACAGTAGCTTGTGGGCAATGGTAGTTAGAGCAATATATCAGCCTTGGCTGTAGATAGTGCAATGAGAGGTTGTTTTTGGGTGCTTCACACGACAGGACCTCCATTAAGCAAGACCACATACCCGGACATGGAGTGATGATGAGCATTAGATGCTCAGTCTGCATCTACATACACTTCTAGTCCTCCATCTGTTCCTCCCAGGGTAAGGACAATGTCTGCCATCACCTTTAAGTAATGCATGACACATTTACTTGCCTCCTAGTGTGCATGATCCAGATTCCTTATAAACTGGGAGAAAGTGGCCACTATGAAAGATATATCTGATCTGGTACTGGTGGTGACATACATGAGAGATCCAATTCCTCATTGATAGAGGACATTTTGCATGGCCTCATGCTGGGCATAGGTATCAGGTGAGTCTGTGTTAGTGAGTACCAGTCCAGCCTCCATAGACATCTGAGCCAATTTTGCCTCTGCAAGGCCGAACCTTTGTAGGACAGTGTCAACATATACACGTTGACAGAGTGTAATGGTGCAGGTAGGACAGTTTCTTTCTACATTGAGTCCCAGCAACCGGTTGAGTTCACCTAAGTCCAATATCTCAAAATGTTGGCTAAGGTGTTTCTTGAAATGACTAATATTGTTACGACTTGGATGGTGTCTGTTGGCGACGCTCAAACAGAGCTTGTGTCGTCAACGGTCTGTGGACGTCCTTGGGCTAGCCCAAGGTTAGGGGTCGTACTTGGCGTGTCTTCGGCAAGTACGATTTAACGCCTATGTCCAAATCGGGTAGCTTATGTCACGCGGGTGCAAGACGATAAGCTATATCGGCCGGGGATTACGACACCCGAAGGTTAATCGTAATGATCGTCGTTAATTAGAAGGACAAAAGTCCGACTAGTTAACAGGGGCTTTGTTCGTCGACGAAGTCGATGAGCAAAGGTCGAGACTATAGGCTTATCCGCGATGAGCAGATAAGAGGATAGAATATAGACTGCTGGCGAGGCAGAAGGATCACTCTGATGAGAGTATGAGGTCAAGAACCAAGTAGATTCAAGTTAAGGAATATAGTACATGGTAGCGAGTTTATATAGAGGACAGGAAACGTATTAGTGGATGATAACTCGTACTACCAGGGAAAGCAATCGGTAAAGGGTAAGACCATAACAGGAAGGCACGTTCGGTCGAGGTAGAACGTGCTTAGATAAGAATGTGAGTCAGAAGATCGAAATAAGAGGTGAAACATGCATAAGCACGATCATGCAGCTGCGGATCTAAGTATAAGTCGCATGTGCGACTGCGCACTGAGTCAGAGATCAGAAAAGGGAACTGGACAAAGGGGATGCGTCATGCATCGTGTCATAGGTTACCGTCCAGACGGTAAGGGTAAGGGGACTGTCCGCAGGATCAGTCAGGTGGTGAAACGGAGCATGGGTATGCTTCGTCAGCGAAGGGATCCGGCCAGATGTACTGGCTTTGCTGAAGCGACAGGTAGAGGGCGAACGGGAATGCGAGGATGACGAGGGTGACAAGGGTAAGGTCAGGGTAAGGGTATGATGCGAGGGCGGATACGAGGACGATTAGGAGAAAAAGAGTAGGGGCCCAAGCATCTAGATGTTCTTGTAACAAATATAGTGTAGGTGGTTGGAGGTAATGGCCATGTCATCAACCAAGACATCATAATGGTGTGCTCTTCCTGGAGGTGCTTGTAGTACATAGCCTGATCAATCTGTAAGCACTTGAATCCCAGCTTGGCAAATACTCCTGCTAGCTCTTCTGACCACTCATACCCCGCCTGCTTCAGACTCAGTAAACTCCACTTAAGTTTCAACACCTTTCTCTCCTGTCCCTGCTCCAAGTATCCAGACAGCAGGCACATATAAATGTTCTCTTTTAACTCTGCATAAAGGTATGTACTCTCTATATCCACTTGGTGGATTTCCCAGTCCTTCTATACAGCCATAGCAAGGATGGTCCAGATTGTGGACATGTTTGACATGGGTGCAAATGTTTCAAAAAAGTCGAGGCCATGTTGCTGGTGCTGACCTTTGGTGACTAGCCTAGCCAGTAGTTTGAGTTTCTGGCCATTGGGGCCACATTTGGTGGCAAGGATGAAATGACAAGGTATTGAATTAGCACATGCTAGTAAGGTGACAACTTCCCACATTCTGAGCTTCTCCAGTTGACTAATCTCATAGTCAATGGCTTCCTGCCATTCTGCTGCATCCAGTCCATTTAATGCCTACTTTAAGGTGGACTCGGTTACATCTGCTGCTAATGTCATGTCCTGCCACCTGGTGAGTGATTCTTCATCATCATGCTCTAACTCTTTGGCTTCCAGGCAGGTCACCGTGTGTGTACATATATGACTCTTGGTTCTGGTAGACTGGAAGGTCATGTGTCTTGGGCTTGGGGTGAGGTTGGTTGGACAGGCTGAACACCAGGTGCATTAGTATCCCCTTGGACGGTGCTAACTTTAGGACTTTCAGGGCTGGACTCCCTCTTGTTCAGAACGTCATCTGCCACCTTAATATTCATTGGCACGAATGTGACATTCTATTCGATAGTCATTTGCCTCTTCATCTCCTAATATATCCTGTACACCTTGCTCTCTGTGTCAATCCCAACAAAAATGGCCTTCCCAGCCTTCAACTCCAACTTCCCAGTGTCCTGCAGGTAGACATAAAGCCTCGACCTAAATTTCCATGCCTTTTCCAGGTTCAATTTAGTGCCATGCACTAACTTGAATGCAGTGGTCCCAGGGGTGGCTCACAAAGGTAAATGGTTTTTCAGCCAGGCAGCATAGTTGATAGCCTCTGCCCACAGGTACTTGGGCAAGTCCTTTGCAAGAAGCATAGCCCTAGCATGCTCTACCAGAGTGTGATTCAGGCACTCTGTAACACCATTTTGTTGTAAAGAGTGGTGCACAGTAAGCTGCTGCTCAATACCCTGCTACATGAGGTATTGATCAAACTCTTCGCTAAGATACTCTAAGTCGCCTTCTCTATCTGACCTAATCTTTTGGATATGTGTTCCAGGTGTCTGGTGTGCCACCCACACCTTGTACTGCTTGAAGGCCACTAGAGCCTCGCTCTTGACCTTTAGGAACTTTAAGGTGGTCTGCCTGGTATAGTCATCCATGAAGCTGATATAATAGGTACATCCACCTATGCTCCTCATCTGGGCTAGACCCCAAAGGTCCATGTGCACTAACTCGCCATAGTCCTTTGCTCTATTTTTCATTTCATCAGGGAATGGTCTACATGTAGACTTTGCCTTGATGCATGCATCATAGAACTCTGGCTGGGAGGTGAGGTCAACCTATATTCCCTTAACTATACCCTTCTTCATGGCATTGAGGATGGCAGTGTGTGAGATGTGGCCTAGGGCACGGTGGACTTCATTAACAGTGAGTTTGGTTTTCACCACATTAGCATGCTCCTTGTGCTGACTGTGAACACTGTAAAGCCACTCTACTTGAGGAATCTGCACAATTACATTGCACTTCAGGCCTTTCAACAGGATTTTGCATATTCGTCCCTTGAATAGGACTGCGAGACCAGCTGCGGTGATTCTGTTGGTGGAGATAAGTACTATTGGTAAGTAGACAGTGCTCATATTCTTTGGTGATGATATTGATAAGCTCATAGAGGGATAATGGTGTCTTGGTGATTTTCACAGCCATATTCATAGAGGAGAGGAGAGGTTGGCAAGATTCAGGTAAGGATCCAAGGATTATAAGGTAGGCCTCATCCAGTTCCAGCACCTCATGTAAGCACTAACCCTAACCCTAAGTTGTGGCCAAATCTCTGATGAAAAATTTTTACAACTCTGAAGGACTGCTGTTTTGGAAACCAGAGGCCTTAGAAACATTGTTTGAAAATTTTTATTATCTATACACATCATGTATACAATGAAATGAGCCAATCAAAATATTTGCATAAGTATAACTATGACTAACTATATTACATAAAATGTCAGTGTTGAAGAGTTTGTGAGTTGAATGACTTACTGTTTGATCTGTAGAGACTTGTGAGACGTGTCTGGATAGCTTTGAACTTGTTTCCCATTTTAATGCCAGTAGCAGGAGTTTTTGAGGTATTTCTAAGGCTCATACATCCTTGCCTCTCCCTCAGCAGGATGTCACGTGTTTGATTATATAAGCAGCCAGATACTTCAAGGAGGATTTCCCATTATTTTTTTTCACTGTTCCAGCACATGGAAATGATATTCCAAGTCATTTTACACTTTTGATGTTTTTGACTTATTTCTCCATGAGTTCTGATCCAAAAATTAAAATTCTTCCTGGGCCTTGATAAGACACCTTTCCAGCAATTATATTTGGCACAGATTGGTTTCATATGGATGCTATTTGAAGATGTTGAACAGCTCAACCTTGCTTACTTAAGGGGTGCTGGAACTGGATGAGGCCTACCTTGGTATGGAAGTCGGTATCAACAACCATTATGCCCATCCCAGCGGCCAGGGATTCACGTAGGTGCAGGAGTTCAGAGAAATGGGCCTTAATATTGCCTCCTTCTTCACACTTAGTCTCCTGGAGCCTCCACCTAAGGTCTATTTGCATGAGTTCCATCTTACTCTCATGAATCTGACATATCTCTTTCCAGATCTCAGATGCAGACCCTAGCTTCAGGACTTGCAGCAGTAGCCAATCCGTGATTGTGCAGAATATCTGCTGCTTAATGAGTGAGTTCTTCTGATGATACTTGTTGATCTTTTTGTTGAGCTCATCGATCTCTGTTTGCGTAGGCGTTGTACAATCCAGCTTCATAACAACACCCTTCGAGCTTATGATGAAGGGTGCAGGCTCAATAGCTCAACCATCGGTATATCTCATTAATTCTCATGCACCTATTGCTGTTAATGTCTGTTCCTTGTAGGTTATCCAGTGTGAGCTGTCTTCTGCAAGCTTCAGGATGTTCAAGAGGCTAGAGTTGATGCTCGGAGTAGATGAGTCCATGGTTGAGTCAGGGCTCATAACCTGACATGAGTGATAATGAGCAGGAGGTTTACGACATGCTAAACAATGAGAATAATCTCAGTATCTTGATAGAACTCATTACTACACAGGAAGTACCTAACCAATGAGAATACTATGTCCTTGTGAGTACATACAAAAACTAAATAGAAGGATGGTATACACACATCTCAGTATCCTGATAAAACTGAGATGCACTGACATTTGTATGTGATCCTTTAAGCATTTTAGCATAGGGACAGAAATTTTTACTAATATTGAGATATTCTGATAGGTGTCACATGCGTTGCTCACTCACTCCATCTGGGGTTGCGCTCGCCTATTCACTCCTCTCCTCCATCAGCTGTTTTGGATGCTGACAGTTTTTTGTGCTAATGGCATCTAATTCAAGGTAATATGTTATACATGATCTATATACAGTATATATCGTACCAACACACCATCATCTTGTCTTCTTACCACACTGCTCTCCTAATTGTGACTCCGCACAGTGTTTGCCGCTCCGGCATCATCATCTCATAAGCATGTCACACTGTGGTCACATCATGTGATCGAAATCGCAAGTCGTCTACCTTAATTGGAACCGCACATGACAGAACTTCCGAATCTGGATCCAAGGCTTTTGCCAAATAAGTGCCAGGCTGTCAGTGCGTAACAATTTATGTACAGATCCATAATTTGTTGTCGCTTACCACCCACAGACGCAATCATCGGAACGACATGAAGAGGACAAAACAAAACAGGTTTTCTAATCGCCGTAAAAACAAAGTCGACAAGAGCACACAAAATCACCAGCAAAACCAGACAGTACAGTCCGACACTGAAGAGAGCGTCCAATTGCCACGAAAGAAAGTAAGATGGGAGGGCAATTCCGAATCAGCGGAAGCAGTAGCAGATACGGAGAACGGCCCTAGCTCGGAGGACGATGCGAGCACATCAAAGGTGGAATTTCGCAAAGACAGTTGCGTCCTGTGAAGCTAACCATCTAGTTAGATCTGCTTGACAATATTTTGCCAGTCGTAAGTCGTCCAATGAGTATGTGTTACCAATGCATATAGGCTAAGCGCGTTCCCTCCAGAGGACGCATTGCAGGCGCCTACTATGATTCCGTCAGGTGTATAGTCTATGTACTTGAAGATACGCAAGAGGATATTCACTTCGATCTTACGAACATGCGTTAAGTCGAATCCTTCTCATTATTTCGCCCATCTGAAGCTGGACCAGTTCTCGAGCAATGCAACGCTGACATAGTGTTGACCAGCTCCAAAGCTGATGACCCGTTTATATCGGTCCTTCAGAAATTTGGTATGCTCTCTTCCGCCAACTGCATATATGCGCGGATATTCAACCCAACGACTCAGCTGAGGCTTCTGGAGGGGTCTTTCAAATTAGGCCACATAAAGAGTTCACTCCTCACAGAGGGAGAGACCGCTTGTTATCGCTTCCTTTTCTCTCCGAGTTGACAACTGAAGATACTGGTCAATGTTTGTCATCCGACAATAGTTCAGGTGCTGAGCCAGGAAACGCATATGAATTTATGCAAAAGCGCAAACAGGCAGCAGGCGACCCAACTATGAAAAGATGGAATGCGGCGATTAGGTTGGCCAACTATGCATCGGTGGAATCTTCTCCTCTTTGCGTGCGTGTAGGTACTTGGGTGCAGTTTTTTTGTCTCATTTGTGAACTATAGATCTCGTGCCTTGGCGCTCTGCTCGACTATCTTACGAGAGAGCGAGCGGCGAGTGACCTGGATGATGATGCAGGCGTCGAGGGGCTCAACATCTCCGGCATCGAAGTGTTGACCATGTAAGTCGGTATCGCCAACGTTTCACACAGGATTGCGTTGATTCCTTTCTAAGAGATCAGGTCATGCATATCAATGCTGAGGCACTGTTGTAAGTGAGGTATCAGGGTGTTACCTTGAGAATACATTAAACAATAAAGCACAGTTCGCTTCAGATATTCGAAAACGAGAGTCACGCGTCCATCCACTCTGATAAGACAAAAGAAGGTTTGTCGCTTTTTGGTATGTTGTCACGACTATCGATGTCGTCACGTTCATCAATATGCTACAGGTATCCTTGATAATACTCGGACACCCTTGGGTCGTTCGTTACTCCGCACCTGGCTCATGCGTCCATCTCTGTCCATTCCTGTAATCGCCGCCCGCCATGACGCTATCGAATGCTTTCTACACCCGGAGAACTTAGCACCTGCGAGTGCTTTACAGACTCACTTGAAGGGTATCAAGAATATTCCGAGGATTCTTGGACTCCTGCAATCTGGAAAAGCTGGCGTTGGTGACTGGCAAGGCCTAGTGAAGGTGTGATTCACCCTGGCCTCGTTTCAAATTCAATTGACGTCAAGCAAAGTTCACATATCACTCTGCAATGCTACGCGACGCCCTGGCGGAACTTCACGGAGGTGATCGAGTAGAGATTGTACAAAAGGTACGGTATTAGCGAGCAGCCTGTCAGGAGAATTTGGACTGAATGAGCTGTTAGTTGGTTGCAACTTTGGACATTGCGAGCTTCAAGGACACCGGAAATGCTGTCAATGAGACGGTAAGCGCTTTCATTGATGTTTCTATCTACTCATACACCGGTTAGATCGACTGGGAGGAATCTACCAACAATAATCGCATATGTGTTAGGCCATACATCGACGAGGAACTAGATCAGAGGAAACACATTTACGCTGGATTGGACGCTGTCTTGGTGGGGTTATTCCTGTCTCGACGATGCTCTGTCATTTGCTCACTATGATATAGTGTAAGGTCGCTGAGCAGATATGCCAAAACATTCCTGTGGATTACACAACGTCCTTGAACGTGGTATATTTCCCACAGCTAGGTGATGCATTCCCGAACCTAGCATAAGTGTATATTCAACGGTTTCAATCGGCAGGTTTTTTGATTTGCGTTCCAATGCAGGAGGAATGGAGGTCTGAGGAAGGCATCAAGGTTCTGGATGGATGGAACTTCCAGGTAAGTCCCGATGTCCTTGCCATCTGATGTAGCGGGCTGATTAAATCGTTCAGTTCTCCTCAGAGCAAGTGATAGGTCTTGTCAATGATTGACTTTGTGACTGAACAGCATCTTTTCAGCGCCCATGTGTATTTCAAATCGGAAGAGATGCATGGTAAGCTTGCCTAGAACCTTATTTCGAGAAAATGTGCGATCCGGGTCTAAGACATGGACATGCACATCGGCGATCTCCACCCATCAATAGTCGGTGCGAGTTTTGATAACTTCTCATCGGTAAGAGACTCACGGGCAACAGACCGTGAAATAGAGATCGTCCAAGAGCTCTCGGAACGGATCCTTGTATTTAGTGAAGGGATGAGACGAACATGTGACGTTTGTGCCGAAGTGGACTGCCTGCTTGCCTTTGCCGAGGCTTCTCGGGCATACAATTACTGTCGGCCTCAGATGTCAGAGGATCCTATCATCGACATTGATCAAGGACGGTGAGCCTTGTGGAATGCTGCTTGTTACATTATTGACCTTCTCTCGTAAGACACCCTTTACAAGAGCAGGTTGTCGATATTTTTGTTCCCAATAATGCTCAGCTTGTAGCTGGTATCGGTTTCAGTGGCAGCGCTGAACTGCAGACAGAAGGCAACAGTCTACCAATGTGTAGCAGCGTTGTTTTGTGCACTGGCGCGAATGCATGCGGAAAAGTAGGTTCGAATTACACGTCATAATATCAGCTAAATTCCCTCTTGTACAATTCAGAGTGTCTACCTGAAACAGGTAGAGATCTAACCAGTCACATACTAGGATGTATTGAAATGATTACAGGTTGCTCTGATTCAATATATGGCCCAGGTTGGCAACCGCTCTGAAGTGTTGGGCAACTTGTAACTCATCAATGACAATTTAGATCGGCTGGTAAGGAACTCGTGGCTGCTTCCATGCTTCGTGACCCCGTGAAGTTTTGTTCCAGCGATATCTGCTACCCTGGGAATCGTCGACAAAAGTGACATTCTGGAATTTCTCGCTTTATGCTAACTAATCCTTGTCTGCAGTCTTTACTCGTATACAGACCCGCGAATCAGTATCCAAAGTATCATCGCAGTTTCCCCGATTCCCTCCTATGCTGAAATGGCTACAAGGCCCAGTCCGCTTTTATGATTGATCTCAATCAGGTCTCCCTGGCCCTCCGGAATTGTACCGTGAAGTCTCTCATTCTCCTCGACGAATTCGGAAAGGGGACAATCCCTGCAGGCTCGTTCGCTCCACGGTGCAAGCATAATTGTTGATTCTTACTTGTCCATAGACGGGGCTGGGTTGTTTTGCGGTGTCATCAAGCATCTCCTCAACCGAGGATCTCAATGTCCCAAGGTTTTAGCTGCCACACATTTCCATGAAGTCTTTCAGAAGGACATGCTCGATCCCCACAAGTTTCCAATCACGTTTTTCCACATGCAGGTGCTCTTCACTTCAAGCAAAGGCAACAACCTCGATCCCGGTGACGTGTCGATATCTGAAGACTTAGACTTGACCAATCATGAACGATCGGAACCTACATTTTCTGTCGCCCCTGGAGAGAAGATAACCTATCTTTATCGGTACCTTCTGGGTTTATACGATCATCGACGTACCTAATCAACGAACCAGTATCTCCCCGGGTCTTTCCCGCAATTCTCATGCAGCTCAATGTGCTACGATATTTGGTTTGCCGTCCCGTATTGCGCAGCGTGCACAGTACGTCAGGTAGGTTTTCTTCCTCTTGCGCACCCATTGAAAGATTATTTACTGGTGCGTCAAGCAAATTGTTGGGCGACCATGAACTTGGGCAGCTTTTGGAAGAGAAAATGACCGCGGAGGAGCAAGAAAACATCAAGGCTGCTGGGATTGCCACCTACAAATTTCTGGCCATGGATCTCACGAACGATTCTCATGAAAAAGACATCAAATCAAGGCTTGTAAAAGTGCTTGGTCGGGTTCATCATGAATGATTATATTCCACCCATGTGTATGATATCACTGTAAAGATTACTGTGACTCTAGAAAATCCAAGCAAAGCCTTCTCAGTCAAATTTCGGGAAATATTATCTTCCTGCCCAAAAATTTGTCTCGAGTGAACCAGTGGATGGACCTTCAACTTGCTAAGTTTGCTGTCGTGCAGCGGTCTTAGTAGTAGGGAGAATAAAAGGAAACGTTGCTTTATAGATGAGAGCCCCGAAGGAGCGACCCGGCCACAACCTGTGCAAGAGAAAGCCGAGGTGAGCTGCGAGGGCCAGTGGGCATCAGGTCTAGGTGCCAGCCACACGAGCCCCTGGATTCGGAAGAGGTAGTACTACTCAGTGTGTACTTGAAGCTAACGGCCTTTAGGGACAAGTAGTAATGTAGGCTGCGAGAATCCGAGAGTCAACGAGGACAAGCTTAAGGGAGTGGTGAGTAGAGAGAATAAAGATGGAAGGCAGCAGGCAGGTTCGAGCCTTGATGCGGAAACTTGTACTACCTCGCTCACCTGAGTAGCCCAAAAAGTAGACCTTACTGTACTGGGTGAATGCCCACCTCGTCAAGTATAATTTACTGTCTCGGAGTACTTCGAGCACATGCGTCATCTTCAGACCCAACCCCTCCTCGAGCAAGTACCAGTGTATCTAGTAGTGTTTGCAAGTTCTGAGGAGCACGCACCCTGTCAGTGTGAGATCTTGAGATACTATGGCATGAGTCTGTACAGTACTTAAATAAGTTACAAGTCGAACAAGCAAAGAAAAACGGTATAACAAGGAAAGCAAGAATGTCCAGCGCGGTCTACTATGCGAGCTTGCTCTCCCTCTTCGCTTGTTGCACCTGCGCCAAGCGGTGACTCCGTAAAGTCATGGATGTGCCCTGGGCTGTCTTTTTTGCTGCCGCTGAAGGCACGGAAGGTGCTACAGCAGCCTGAGATAAGGCTATTCGCGTGTCATCCGATGCAAATCCAGGAATACGGATATTGTGATTGCGTTCTGATACAACAATGAGAATTAGAACGAAGAAGAATGAATTGATCACGCTTACCAAGGTGAAGCTGGAGGTCTTTGACTTCGAGCGTGTCACCGCCGCGATGTTTTGCCAATCGACAGCCGAAGTTCGTGACCGAGTCAATGAACTCGTCAGCAATTTGAAGAAGTAGCTGCAAACGGTACAATAAGATGTCAAGGCATTTGCATTTGAATACAGGGGCTTACATCCTCCACCTCAGGTTCGATCCGAACATTGGGATCAACACTTGAGACGAGGTCTTGTATCGACCGTCTCATGCTCTGATCTCCTGGGGTATTCTTTCTCCGTGGATGGTTGTCCTCTAAGCTGAGCATGCCAGCATCGTCCGTGGATCGTGCGATCTGAGCAGGGGTACCTAGTGATATAGATCAACATCAGTACTCGGACGGGATCGCTACTTCTCCCGCAAATGATCATCAGGAGCTCACCAGACAGTCTACCACCAGCCATCCCGCCTGTAAGAGTTGGTCTTCCTTGCTGCGCAGCTGACCACTGGACGGGCCCTGGATTGGTGATGTTGAGAGTTTGGCTAATGGGATACCCGTCACCAGGTGTAGATGTAAGAACAGGTGCTGGTGACCCGCTTTTAAAAGCGGTAGCAGTCGTTGCAGCAGCCCCGGTCTACCGCAAACGGGATGAGACAAAGGAGGTTCCTACCCATCGAGTCATACCTTTGTACCGCTATTCGCAGTTGAAGTGCCAGCCACACTTCCGGAAGCAGCACTGGTCGCGGACTTGTGTTTTTCAGCGTAATCTTTCAGCTACAGATAAGACGCCTAGGTGAGACAAATAAATCTCACTTGGTTTAAAAGCCGACGGACCTGCTGGATCTGTACGGCAGTAAGCTTGCCCTGCCGCATTAGCTCGCCAAGCTGGCCCATATTCTGCTCGAGGAGCTGAGCTATGCGCGTGCTTGATGCTGCCTCGCCATTTTGGCTTTTAAAGGCACTAGTCAGGGCGGTAATTATGTTCGCGGGGTTTGGTGGAGCCGCTGTTGTTGTTGCTGCTTCGTTCGTCGCCATATTTATGATTTCTTCCTCCTCGTTGTCCAACTCTTAGAAGCGTGGCACAACCGTGAGAATAAATTACTTCTTCTATGGTAATGTACTACTCCATCCAATGCAACCCAATAACTGCCATACCCCTCCACCACGTCAGTCCACTTTCAATCCCTTTCCCGATCTTTCCCTCGGCTGAACTCAAAACCTAGTCTCTCACATGAATCGGACATCCAGTTGCGAGAACCACCAATAATGAAGGCCCCGTGCACAGCGGGCAAGCCTTTTCTCTCTGACATTCCTCCTTATCGATGACTCGTTTTCGTGCAGAGAATCTACCATGCTCGAAAGAAGCCAGCTACCAGTTCGTCGACTTTCCAACATCCATACCCCGCAAAACCTAGCACAACAACTCAGGGCCTTCTATCATCAGCACATCGCAGTAGCGTCAGTGGTGAACTGACGCTGGCGAAAACCACAGCCTTACCGTGTTGTCTCCAAAATTATGATTACTGACATTGCTCTGGCATGGAGATCCGCTTGAATGATTGTATTCTATGTGTGTTGTACAACTGAAATATTGCAGTGACTCTAGAAAAGAAGCCTTCCAAGTCGAACCTTGGTGTCCATCAGACAGCAGCACCAGTTTCTTTGTGTATCTCCACACCAGGGGGTGCGCCCAAAGCTATTGTGAAAGGTTAAAGAATAGAATGTGAACCTTCCTTGATGCTTACCTTCTTTGATTGCACCATACAGTAAGAACTGCCCGGACACAAGGCCCGCGGTCATGACCATCCTAGGTCCAAGACCAGCAAAAAGGCCACGGAAACCAGCCTCCCGAGCGAGTACTGCAAGTCGATGCGGCATGGAGCCCTTTGGTCCATGTCCCTTGTTTATCTGACTCAGTAAGGTATCCGCTGGCTGCATACCGTCGTTCCAGAGGTCAGACAATCTGGGCAAAGACTTCCGAGTCGAGGCAGATACTTACGTGACTTAGAATGGCCGCTGCAAAACCTGCGATGACGCCACTACCGAGTTGTATTGTGAATTTACTGGTACTGGATAATGTGCGACGGCTCTCTTCGGACATTGAACGAAAAACAATCTCGTGGCAGAATTCGTTCACCGCAAATTGCCCAATAGCATAAGGTATCTGTCTGAACAGAATACTATTTATGCAAAAGTTATCAGTCATTATAGGCTCACTTGCAGAGAATTGGCAAAAAGCCTGCGTAAAGCTCGCGTATGCCACCTTCACGCGCTAGGCGAGTGAAGCCCGTGACAAGTCCAGTTGCATAAGTTCTGTCTGAGACGAGACGGATCCGAGTTGCTTCTAAAGGTGTCAGGAGAATATCTGCAAAGAATCTCGGGTGAAATTTAGGAAATTTTGAAGATTGTCAGTATATCGCGACCTACTCAGCAATACTGGCTGATCCAAGGTAGATTGCTGTTCGATACTTCACTGCCGCTTCCTGGCCACCTACGAACTCGACTGATCTTTTCTTCCAATACTCGTAACCAGCGAATTTTGCGCCTCCTTGTATAAAATAACCAACTGCAGTTGGGCCGAAACCCGTAAGGAGAGCTCTGGGACCTTCTGTCGCGATAACGTAGCGCGTTCCGGTCATCATGTTCAGCTTCTTGTATGCAGGGTCAATTTGAATTCGCGTCTTCACGACGTCGACAGCTGCACGAGTGGATGACGGGTTAAAAGATGAGCACACAAGAAAGCGAGACATGCTAAAAACAATGCGTCTCACGCGTCATTGCACCATGGGTGATCCTTTACCTGCGTTAATGCGTGGTCTCGTGAGTCATCGGGGAGACTTACGTGCAGCATAGTGCTCCTGAGATGGATATTTTCAGAATCGCGTGTTAGGAGATATGGTCATTATCAGACATACCTGCAAGGCAGAATGAAAAATAATCTTTTGAGGTAAATTGGGGGATTGCAGCAGCGGCCTGATAGGTTTTCATTGCTTTGCTCTGAGTCGTCATGGCGTCTAAGGTAGAGGTGCTGAGTGGACAAGTACGTACTGCCTTGACTGCGATCATGATAATGACGTCGATGTTTCCGTAATTAGTAAGTACCATCATACCCCGGAGTTTGCCGGGGTGTTCTGAGTTAGCCGAGGCACGAGGCTAGCGCAGAATCGAGTCTACGCTTGAGTAAGCAAACCTTGCTCCGACCCACATCAGTCGTCGGACTACAATCTCTCGTCATTACTAGATTTCTCTTATCATCTACTATACCTCTCTTTGTCTCTCCTTGCACCCACCCACCACTCCCTCTCTCAGGTTACGAACGAAATACTTGCTTTTCCCCCTGTTTTGCCAACCATTTCGTCCAATGCACTGCGTTCGCGTCCTAAGGTTTCAAACTACACGCAGGGCTACCGCAGACTGCGCCGTCCTGCGCCGTTCGATACTGCAGCTCTCGCACTTCTCGGATCCCTCATATACTTTCGCATACTTACCTTGTTTCTATAAGCACTGGCTTGGATCATTTTTGGGCACATCGATGAGCTGACTCTACTATGAGCTTGACACTAGCTCTCGCCACTGCAGGGATAGCCCTGCATTCCTGTCTCGATAGTCAACGTACGACGGACAACTAGCGTCCAATGCAAATGTCCCCTCGAGAAATTTTCATTCTTCAACGTGCCTTCTGTGTTTGCTCCATCTCGTTGAACAGCAACCATTTCAGGGCCCTTTGCGTTGCAATATATTGACATGCAAGCCCAGAACGACGACCTCCGATGGACGACGGACTCCTGGCATATAAAGAGATACTTTCGAGGAGTACAAGGTGAGCATTCGTTGATTTGGGTTCTTTCTTTCTTTGATACTACACTTCGTTGAAGTTCCACACTCATGACCATTGCAGAGGTATAGTTGTCGTGGTTGACGTCTGTCGATGCGTTCTTGTCGAGTCTGCTCAGTTCCCACCAGTACAGCAGCTGCGATAACGAGTGCAGATTCTTCTTCATCAATTGCTATCTCATTTTCCAGTGCTTGGTAAATGATATCATCCATGATATTGCGCTGGGATACGGTTTTGTTTTTCGTACAGATTATTTTATTGGATGATTTGGTATCAACTAGTCCGGTATATGATATATGATAGTCCGGGGACCGGAAGTCATCTGCCTTGATCGTGACATTGCGGTTGCAATAATAACCAAAAAAAAAGCATCTCGAACGGGCCGTTCTCAGCCTGCTTCTATTGATCATACTTAAAAACCAAGTAATGTCTACTCAGATCTCCCAGCCTCCTCTCAATCACCTCTCACCATGGCGCCCGTCACACATATAATGTACTTTAAGACCTCCTCGTCCTACGTCCAGGATCCCTCTCGGTTAATCTCTGAGCTTGCAACCAAGAGTTCAGCAAACACAATCGAAGGGCTTTCTAAGTGAATACCAAAGTCATACTCGAAGCGTTGGCTTATCGTTGTTCGTTTAAAGGGCATACCTTGGTTTCGAGGCTGAAGATCCGAGCAATGCATTCTGGGTCCTCGGTAAGTCAAGTTCACGATATACTAGTCCAACCCCGTTAAACTCCTGGCAGAGTGGACTTCCAAGTCTGCGCAAGAAACATATCGTCAGACAGATAATTTCAAGGCTACGCAAGCAGCTTCTCAACAGGTCTTTGCGAGCAAGCCTACTCACACGTTTGTCGGGTTCTCCAACACTAGTCGGATATTTTCTGCTCCAGTGACGGAATTTGTCACCTTCACTCTCAAGAGGGGTGTCAGCATGAGCGCGCTGCAACCTCTCGTCAAACAGCTTCAGGATAAGCTTCAAGGAACACCCAAGTTCTATGGCTCGAGCTGGGCACCTGTCGTCGATAAGCCTAACGTAGTTCACGGGGTATTGGGATGGGAGAGTGTGGAGGTAAGGCTAATATTAGTTTATCTCAGGGGTCACCTGCTTATCGGTCACTGATACAGGCACACTGGGCTGCTGTAAGCTCAGGTCCCCTCAAGGAGATCATTGATGAAGTGAAGAAGGTTGCTGACCTTTGGCTTGTCCACGCCATACTTACATCATACAAACTATGAACTTGATGATCGTTGTATACTATGGGGAGGTATATTTTGATGTTATGAAAATAATGAAATACATAGGTACAGATATCCCCGAGCAAACGTTCAATTTAGCTGGTGCCTAGGCCTTGTTCAGTCTTGTCAGTTCACACGTTCGAATTACCCTGGCAAATATCCCTGAACACAGACTCAATGTTGCCATTGTCCTTGCCGAACAAGTTACAAAGTTCGTTCAACATCATCTTATTGACTTTGTGACTTTGCTCCGCCTTATCGTAAGATCTGCTTCAGCTCGTTTCTGTAACACGTGACATGTGGCACCGCTTTGATGGTCGCAAGTATATTGTACTACGGACTTGAGCTTCCATTTACCACCTTCCAAGCCAAGGCAATGTTTTCAGTGACAATGATCGACATTCCTGGGATGAAATGTAAGAAGCTGACGGAATCCTCAGAGAAGAACGTGGTCCAGCAATGACCATCAAATCAAGGGAGAAACATTGTCGAAGTGTGTGGCGACCACTTATCAATTGCTCGCCGAGGCGAAGAAGAGGAGCGTCAGGAGCTATGAGAATTTTGGCTGCAAACGTCCTTGAGCATAGAATGAGAATAAAGAAATCAAAAGAACGAACGAGCGAGCGTGGCTGCATGAAGCAGATAATGTACGCGACGGACCTGAATCAAGTATGTAGGTCCAGGAATTATCGAACATCCTAATCGAGTGCAGACGAGTATATAGAAATTTTGGATTCTAAAAAATCATCTTGTCTTTTTCTGAGAGCTGGCTGATGCTACATTACTTACTGTACGTGTCACTGCCAAACCAATCAGCCTTGGGAGCCTATCAACACATTCAAAATGGAATCCATCGAAATCGGAATCAGCTGTCGTAATAGAAGGGACGTTGAAGCAGGACGAGGTACCAAATTACTACCAATGCATGCGCGCCAGCCCTCTCGCGACCTCATTTTCGGCATTTCCCGAGCGTCGGGTAAATTATTTTGATCTTCAGCCTGAAGTTTCGACCTTTAACGTTAACCCTGGCGAGCACCTTGGAAGACTTCACTGCCAGTAAGCCTGTGCTTCGGCGGACCTCGGAGGCCTTGTCATGACGATTGAGCGAGCGTTCACTGGCCCAAGTGGCCGCATCTGGCCAATTCATATCAAGAGCTAGCGCTTTGAAATTCCTTATCAAGTCAGCATGTCGCGAGAGGCCTGAATCACCTAGATGGACACTTCTGGTTCTCGTTTATCAAACGGCGAGATCATCGTGACGCCTCTTCAGGTTGTCCATGCAATGGCCTCGAGAAAGCCTGCAACGCCCCTTCCACGACTTCAGATAGGCGTACTTATGATGTTGGAACTGGCAGAATCTATAGCTTTAACATCCATATACCCGTATATCAATCAGGTATGAACCTTTCCATCGGGATGTCGTTTTGTTGCAACATCCGTGTTCAATACTCTAACTCAATCCGTTCTCAGTTTATCAGAGAACTTGATATCACTGGAGGTGACGATGCGGCTGTAGGATACTATGTTGGATTAATTGTATGTGGCAATATTATGACTTGCAAAATGGTTGTTTCCTCATAGCATTATCGTACATGTTTGACAGGATTCTCTATTTTACCTCGCCCAGGCGCCGACATTATTGATCTGGAGTCAGTTGTCCGACCGCGTTGGACGCAAGCCAGTGCTATTAATAGGACTAACAGGAGCTTGCATTTCGATGATATGTTTAGGCCTTTCGACAACCTTCTGGAGCCTAGTTATCAGGTTTGCTTCAGCTAAGTAAAGTATCGCAATGCTGATACGGTTTCGCCAGCCGCTGCATGTGGGGTGTATTAAATGGGAACATTGGAGTCATGAAGACTGTGATGGGTGAATTGACGAATTCTACAAACATCGCTCACGGATTTGCCTTGCTTCCAATGATCTGGTCCATTGGAAACTGTGCTGGGTAAGCGGGATCGCCTACTTATTGTGACGGCTGCTGATGAAAATGGTATGCCAGCCCTTTGATAGGGGGAATGCTCGCGCGGCCACAGGATCACTGGCCTAGCCTATTTCTTAATTCGTTTTGGGGAAAATACCCGTACTTTCTTCCTTGTGTAGTTTCTGCTTCTCTGCTCCTCTTGACCTTTTTCATGGTTTTATGCTTCTTGAAAGAAGTAAGTACCAAATACTACCTTCCTCAATGCCACGTTATTGACGTTTAGCAGACATTATCGACCAAGTGCAGACCCAGGTCGACATCAACAATGCCCGGTGTTTCTCGTGGTGTCGATGATCAGGAAGCCTTTGTGCTACAATCCACGCCAAATACGCCCTTGTGGTCTCTGCTCACACCAGCCATTATTATTCCGATCGCAAACTACACCGTGTTGGCCTTTCTTGACATGTCTTTGAGGTCTCTCATACCGCTGTTCCTTTCCACACCCACTCACCTTGGCGGCATGGGTCTTCCTCCCTCTTCTATTGGTTTGTGGCTGGCGTTCTGTGGGATCGTGGATGGACTCTGTCAAGTATTGTTCTTGGCTAAAGTTGTTGATCGGGTTGGTCCCAAGCGTCTATTCTGTGTATCCGTGTCGTGCTTCACACCGCTTATGGTCTTGTTCCCGATAATGTCGTGGCTAGTACACACAAGGGGGATGGTTGATCATGCAGTTATGTATGCCTTGCTTTGCCAGCTGATTCTGATAGTAACGTGGGATATGGCATTTGGTATGTGTTACAATGAAACTTGTCGCGCCACTATAAGTAACCTGTTTAAACACAGCTGCTGCTTTGATGTTTGTCACAACTTCTGCCCCTGCGAAGAATGTTCTTGGATCTGTCAATGGTCTCTGTCAAAGCTCCGGATCGATAGCTCGTGCCCTTGCGCCTGCCTTAACCACATCTCTCTTCGCATTTTCAAAGGAACACAATATTCTCAATGGAAATGCAGTATATGTCTTCTTAATCATAATGTCTGGTACCCTGAGGTGGCTGGGCTCGCAGCTGCCAGATGAAATACAAGACCGGGACAGGGATGAGTGAAAGGTCAGTACTTCGTGAAATTTCCACCTGAAAATGCATGAACAGTGAATACACAGACACCTTGACAGATCTGTAGGCTCCGTACAGAGTAGGAAATGTACCATTCGCCGAGTGTCTGCTTTCTGAGCTCATTGATCGACAGCAAACTTAATTCGTATACGCTACTTAGTACTTTCACTCTTTTGAAAAGCACGGGTCAGCTTATATCCTCATGGTTTGCACGCCACAAAGTACCCTTGCATTACATAAATGAGGTCAATGATTGTCTTTTTGGAGGCCTGGGATATCTCGAAATCAGTGAGCCTTGCACCGCCACCAAACCGGACTTTGCCGCGTCTCCCGGGAGTAGCTCGTCTCTCCGTCTCTCAATAGATTTCGACAATGTTTTCACTCCGTTCTTATAAGCAGGCAATACCGAGACGGCCATTGCCTGCATGTCCAATTTACACCCGCCATTTCTCTGCGGAAAGTCACAACCAGCCAGTTCGCACTGGCGATGCCCCCCAGAAAGAGGGCACCCAACTTACGGAGGTTGCCCATACCGATGTATTGACGGCTGAAGTCATAAGTGGCGCTCCAGGTGTGCTACAACCAACTAATACTGTTGAAAACGCCATGTTTAATGACCGCCATTCCAGCCGAGCTCCGGCATCGCATGGTGCGGATCTATCAACCAGCCCGTAACACCATGCAAAGTGGAGCAGGAAAGTCAGAGCGGTGGCGCATTGACTGGGACATTCTGCCGGGAGCAGGTCGGTGGGAGAATCCTCTGATGGGTTGGGCCAGTTCGTGAGTGGCTGCTACTTGACTTCTTCACCTGAAACGGCGTTTATCACACATCACTATTTGCACAGCGCGGATTATATGCAGGGTACCAGGGTGTCATTCAAAAGCAAGGAAGACGCCATGCATTTCGCAGAGAAGCAAGGTGTGCCTCATCTCCATCTCATCCATCCATTGTCCTTATTATCTTTCCTTCAGGCTGGAATTACTATGTGTTAGTGACTCCCTCGCTTTTGACATAAACTGGATACTAATGAGCTGCCGCAGACAACCACCTCCCGCCAAGAAAATTCCTCCGAAGAACTATTCAGAGAACTTTGTCTATAAGCCGAGTACACTACGGATAATGCGCACGAAGTAGATCATTCTGTCCATAGAATTAACTACTGCTTTTGGTCCATAAATTCTGCAATTAGCTGGAACTCAACTTGCACCCGTGTTTTATTCTGGATAAGATATAACGGACTGAGCGCTTAGTAGAGTTTGCACTGAACTTAGACTTCCGTATTGAATCGTGTGTCACAACAACGTTGGAGCATAATGCCACGATGCCCCGTGCTAGTACCGATCGAAGCTGGCCTACAATGGTGGCTTGGAGCCACACGGATAGAGGTCTTTGACTCCGGATTTGAATAGACGTCATTCAAGGAGCAGAATTCTTTCCGTCTCCACTTTTGTCGTCTCACTTATAAGTAACCATCATTCCTCCGGACCAGGCTGACATATTTTATAATACTTTTGCCATCATGGCTGACATTCAGACGAGGCCATTTTCAAAGGATTATAGGTTCAGTCTATTTCATCAGAGTCTGCATGTGAAGTTGACATTTGCTACTACTGTCTCAGTGGCCTCATCAATCAGACGGTCATAGCAATTGTATTGGCCATAGTGTCTGTGACGTCGCACGAGATCATGAAGAGAAAAAGACGCGGATTTCGCACCCAGCTTGAGGGACTTGGAAGTGTCGAGTCTTGGGAGTTTGGCTAGTGAGCACACTCATCGTTTCCTTATCATTCTCTAATTGGTGGTCGAACGTGTAGCCTGTATCAGGGTCGTTCGTGGGCACGGTTTGTCCCTCATAGCTCCTTTTCTTTCTCATTCTGATAGAGGTATCAGGAATCCTTCCCCTCCGACACCGAAAGGCTGGCCATTATCTTGGGTTAAGGACAGCATCGCCCTTCCCCAAGCGAAGCTTAATGAGCTTAGAGGAGTCGATGCAACGTTGTATGTGCGTTTCCTGCGCGGCAGCCGTGAGTGCTTACAACATGCACGCGACTCGTATCCGCTGATTTTGTTGTTGTTTATAATAAGTATTCTTTGTCCTCCTCCACACGTTTACGACCACTCCTATCCTCCTTCCGATACATGTTCACTTTTCTCCTGATGGCGTTTCACCGCAGTCGATGACAAGAGCATCAATTTCTTCACTTGTAGAAACTCAGCAAGGTCTCTCCCTACTCTGGATTCACATGTGCCTTCTCTTCTGGATCACGCTTACATGGATGTGTAATCTCTTCTACATTTGCAATGGAGCATTCAAATTACGAGCAGCGAAAATAGAAAGTGCCATACGCAGTGTGGAGCCCGATACCATGATCAAGAGCGAGGCACAGTATCATCCCCATCCTCACCCACAATACCCATTCCAGGATATTCCATCCATTGACACCGACCGCTCCAACCGTGGTTTGCGTCTGCGTACTGTGATGGTGACCAACGTTCCGGTGCAGCTTCGCTCAGAAAAAGAGCTCAAGGAGTACTTTGAATATCACCTATCGCGATCTCTCGACAAGCCTTCCGTTGGCTTGTCAGCATCGACTCAACCCGGTCTATTAAACAAATTGTTCACTTTTGGTTTCAATCGAGCAAAGCGCATCCCGCAGAACATAGGTATGTCTGCACGCGAAACTGCGAATGCGAGTCAGGAAGGAAGCGATGGAAATCCACTTGGACAAGTTCCCAATCTAAACCTGCGAAATGTGCCACATATCGACCGAGTTGTTATTGCACGACGAATGACGGAACTGGCGTCATTGCTGGAACGGCGCGAAGAGATCATCCGTCGTTTAGAGGGCGCGCATATTAGGTTGGCAAAGAAGGCACTCTTAGCGGTGCACAATGCAAAACATGGACACGGTTCACTGGCAAAGGAGGATACCGCCATGTCTAGGCGCGCTAGGACTTCAGATGTAGAAATCGGGTGTAGTCAAGCCCACGACAGACAACAGAATAGTGATACAGACTTACTCGTTCGGACGCTCTCGCCGTTTCTGGTCGAACACCAGTCGACCAGCAACTTTCCCTCAAGCCACAAACTTAGTTTGAAAATGGAGGGTATGTCTCAACAACATCAGCGGTTACCACAGACTAACAGTGTCAAAGTAGATTCGGCGACGGATAACATCGAACCACACAAGACAATATGGGATGCACTTTTCAGTTTACCGCGATCCATACTAGACCCATACCAGCCATTGATCCACCTTTCTGTCTTTTTCCGTGGGAAAACCGTGCCGAGCATTGATTATTACAATGCCAAACTCAACCTTCTTACATCGTTGATAACGGAGAATCGAGCGCGGGCTGCTACGGAATACGACGCTGTGTCAACAGCGTTCGTAACCTTCAAAGATCCGGCAGATGCAAGGAAGGCATGCAAATACTTAGCAGTACATCCTAATAACCCACTTGCATGCCTTGTGACGATGGCCCCGCAGTATGAAGACATCGATTGGACAAGGGTTATGAGGTCAACTTACCGAGTGGACATATTCAAAGATTGGGTAGTAAACATTGGGGTCTGGTAAGCGCTGGTCCGGTGTTATATGACCACGAGGGGTAGCTAACTGTGTCTCAGGGGATTTACGATATTCTGGGTTTTTCCAGTGTCACTGTTTGTTGGTCTTGTTTCTATTCAAAGCATTTCGACCTTCTGGCCGAGTTTGGTATGTGTGATCTGTCTTTACCATATTTTGTGCTGAACATCGAAGTAGTACAACTATCTATCCAGTCACCCTTGGGAGGAAGAGGTCATTCAATCATTCCTTCCGACTGTCCTCATCTCACTACTCGCGATCCTCATTCCGCCCATTCTTCTCCTCACTTCGAAGAAAGCCCATATAATCATCACTCTTTCCGTAATGCACGACACAATTATGACCCGTTACTATAAATTTCTAATCGTCAATGTCTTGGTGTTTTTCTGCGTGGGAACCGCTGCACTCCAGTCTTTCCTTACTTCGTTCAAGGCTGTATCTGGGAGTGGGATAATAGATACTGTCGCTGATAGTTTTACGACAGCTGGACCTTTCTATGTTGGATGGCGTAAGTACAGTCTCTCGACGTCTTGCAGTGAATTGATGGGATCTATTTGCTTGCAGTAATCTTCACCACCGCAATTCATGGAGGATTAGAGCTTATGTTGTGTAAGCATTCATAACTTATGGTATTGCACCCCATTCTCACGTCGAACTTTGCAGTTGGTGTAAGTTTCTGTGAAGTCGTAACGAAGATCGTCAGCATGTTGACATCCCTCGTCGTAGTTGCCTTTGTTCGTTTATCCCTCCACCAAGCGACATGTAACTCCGAGAAAACGAGCTGTTGGAATTCGCCCACGAACATTTAATTTCTATTGTGAGTTCCATTATTATGTGCAGCAAGGTTTCTTACAGTGTTTCTGAATGCAGACTGGCTACCAAACCATCTTCTGGTCATTCATATACTACTCCTCTTCGCTCTGCTTAACCCACTTGTCATACCCTTCGGGTTGATATATTTTTCAGTTGAGACTGGTTTGTGGTTTATATGGTCCATGATGGTATCTATGCTAACCAAAACGTTTTTCAGCTGTTGTAAAAAATCAGGTATATCATATCATACATACCCTTCGTGAAGCCAGGTCTGACTCAGATGAGCAGTTGCTACATGTTTATTCGAAGAACTACGAAGGCAATGGTCAACTATTGTTGATCCGTATCCTTCGTTATTCATTGGATGGTATGGTGCTCATATCTGCATACCTGAATGCCGCTGATATATTTCCATTCATAGGATTGATGCTGTCTCAAGTTCGTTCTATTCTCTGCCACTCGCTGTACGATCAACTGACTCTTGGTCTAGTTCGTATTCCTGGCGTACATGGCTGTATTGCGGAAAACTGTCAATGTAGCACTATCAGGTTTCTTATTCGTCTTCACCGCGATAGTCAAGGTAATGTGCGTGTATTTTGATCTTTCTATCAGCCTCTGCCCTGATAATGAAGCTATTATCAGTCTGACTCGAATGTGCCGCGCCAAGTTTGAGCAAGATGATATTGAGGAGGCGCAGGTGGTCTGTAGGATGGGCAAAGGAGAATCCGAGGACAGCACAGAAAGCCAGACTATCCCGTCAAACTACCATGGCGATGCTAAGGACGTAGCAGCCGGCGTTGGGGACCACCCTTCAAGATTCCAGACGTGGCGCTTACCGACCTGGGTGAATTTCTCTTATTCGACTGTTCCTCGAAGACCACGACCACATGAGCGGCGTAAACTAAATTCGTTTGGCCCTCGCCCCTGTTCGTTTTCGAGGCTACATTCAGTTGATGAGAGCGGGAATCCACCACCAACCTCGACTCAAGGAGAAGCATCTGCTGCCGTTGTGGATCAGGTCGTCGAATCCCCACCTTCTGAACGGCAACGTCAGCCTCCAGCACGCATCTTGACTTCTCTCGTACAGCGACATCCACCTCTTGCAGCGTGGGATGACGAACCCCATCACGACATCCCTTATGATAACCCTTACTACACACGACCTATCAATAATGCCTTATGGCTCCCAAGAGATCCGCTAGGTCTTCTGGACCTCGATGACACTGTTGATGTTTACCAAGTTTTAACAAGTGAGCCTGACACTGGTGATATGGGTCACTTGTTTGGTCCCGGCTCTTCGGTATCCCCCGCACTTCAGCCCCCTAGCTCAGTGCCTGGCGATCAGCAATCATCTTTCCTTGCAACTAGGCAATACAGTGGTACTGAACATATTGATCTTCCTGAAGGCATCAAGTCTCGCATTGTCACCATTGATCAAGAGGTTGATGTAGAGTCTACAAGACCACGCCGTCCATCCTTGTTCTCTCGACATCGCTCGGGTAGTAATGTTAGCATGAAAAGTGGCGATCGCGCATCCAGAGGTCTTTCAGGTCGATCACAGACCATGGATGGCAGTCACGCCGAATCCCGTCGCAAATCACCCTCTGACTACGCACCAAGATCCATTCGTGAAAGGGCATCTTCATACCTTCCGCCATCTAACCTTCACTTCCAATCTCAGTTTCGTGCTCTTGACCCTGGGTCTCGGCCAGATCTGCACGCCCAGGCTGAATTTGCGCGTTCTACGACATCGATTGTGAGGCACGGTGGCTCGCAGGTGTCGCTGGCGCATCCTATCAATGGGACTCCTCAAGAAGTCGCCACGACACCTGGAGAGGCTGTTGTGACAACCCGGGAAGCTGTCGTGACTGAAGCAATCGCGGAAGAACATTTAGCGACGGAGGAACGGTTGAGAAAGGAGCATGCGGCTGCTGAGTTGAATCATAGGTCGACGAAACGGTCTTGGTTTACATCTTGGCTTTATGCTAAGTCTTAGCGACGAACTGAGTAGGGCTGTCGAAACACCTTTTGTGGAATCGACGTATTGTGATTCTGTGATTACCGGTTCGGAAGTGCACCTCTATAACAGGAAATCCGATGCCCTAGGTCAGGGGTCGTTCTAGAAAGTGATCAAAGGCTCTCGATTCTTACTGAACCCTGTAGGTACTATGTAGTAAATCCGCACTTGGGAGCTCTCACGCAACTCAGGTAAAGGCAAATAAATTGTCACAGGCCGAGAAATATGGACGACATGCGATGATACAATGACAAGTGAGAAGCGCAAGACAATGCATGATGCTTCAATACTCAGACGATTTATACGAGTCCTATAGCGACTCTTGATTAACATCAAGTTGTCATGAAAGATTATTAGAAACAAACCGATGACACCACAGGCAGCTCGTCCCCCTGCATTTCCGGTCTTCAGAGACTCTTCATTACCGCCAGTTCCCAAATCATCGGCGCCCTACACAGCACAATTAGTAAGGAGCCACGTCCAGCATGAAAAAGCGCCCTACCGCATGAACGACAACAGCCCGTCTGGAAAACGGAAATGAGTCTTATACTATTGAGTCAATCTATATATCTAGCTTACCCGACTATGCTCGTGGGGCCATTCAAGGAAATGAGGCTGTCTTCGAAGGAAATGGTGGCTGTGCCGTATTCATCGCTTTCGATGTTCCCTAGGTCACCAACATGCCTGACAGAGTCCTGGGGAGAACCATGGCTTTGGTCGTATGGATTAAAGTGCGACCCCGTTGACATACAGCCATTGCTAAGGTCTCCTAGAGAGCTATTGGTATAATGTGAATATTTGACCTACATTGCGAGATTCGAAAGACTCACTGGACATGGAATCCACGTCTAGCAGAAGGGTCGAGGTTCACGATTTCTCCTGAGATTTTGACTGGACCATCTGCTGAGGACTGTTCGAATGTGATAGTGCCAGTGACTGGGGAGTCGCCTTTTAGTACTACAGTGGCCTGCGCTTTTTGTTAGCACATGGCACACGGTGGTGGGAACCATTGACGACACACCTTTTGGACGATCACGGTCTTGGATGGCTTGAACAGCCAGGTGTAGCCGAAAAAGAAAACCGCAGCAGTGATTGCTGCAATGAAAAAGACAGGTTTCCTGGATTGTTTTTGATTTGAGGTGTATGCGTTCATGGTAGGCGTGAAGGTGCTATGTCATCTGATCACGGAGTGAGGCATTTATTGTCAGGCACAACTTGCGGTCCGGGGCGGTCCGAAGTGAACAAGGGGGCCAGCTCTTTCCCACACTAAGTCTTCTTGCTCATGTGACGTATAAACCAATCGGGAATTGCCGAATGATGATAGATGACGCGGTGGCGCTGTATAGAACACGTGCACATAAACCAGCTCCTAGTCTCGTTATTTAAATCGGATTATATATATAGCAGTGCACAGAATGATAACACTAAGCAGAACAGGACAAGGAAGAAAAAATGCTAACGTACTATGTAACTCGGTGATAAATGCGCAAAGTCATGATAACTGCAACAACACTCCCCAATACCCCTTTCATATCACCAACCGAAAATATTGTATATGATGCGTGGCATGTGCTGCCCGAAATGACCTCAGCGAGCCCGAAGGGTTCGACGGAGGAAAGGGATGAAAGGAGCACGTTCCTGCTCAGCTAAGTACTTAGAAAAATAGATACGTTGTGATAAAAACGCCAAGCGCAATAATAACAACCACCTGTAGTGGAACGCCTTCCTGGTGGATAACGCTCTCATGCTCCACCATGGTACCGACGTCAGATCCCGCATACGTCTCTCCGTCGTCTGAGAGTGCAGATGTATGTCGCCTCCTGAAGTCCGAGGGTGCGATCGAGGTAGGTGCAATTGACTCTGGCGCTAGAGAGCTGGGATCCGGCACAGCCGCAAGAAGATCCCGAAGCCGTTGTATCTCGTCTTGAGCTGCAATATACTTCGCTTCCAACTCTTGGTTGATCGGGAGCACCCGTGCAGCTGGAGGAGAGGGTGGCGGTGAAGGTGAATGCACATTGACGTTCACAACGCCGACTCCACCACTGGTAGATCTCTGGAAATCAAATTCCTCCCGATAGAAAGCAGCCTCTTGAGAACTGTTCACTTCTCGCTCCGGTGCAGGCGGTGTGGCGGAGCGCTGAGGTTGCACGAGCGGTGCAACTTGAACAGGGTCATCGTAAGAGAATTCTGGCATATGTGGAGCAGGGCGTGGCTCTGAATCCTTAAGAGTTGCGTAAGTCTGCGTCGTATTCAATAATTCGAATACTCCCAAGTAGTCGAAACACTCACAGATGGCCCACCAGGCTGCTCTGCAGAAGGGCGGGAAGGCATAGGGGGCTCCACATGTCCCTCGTCCTCCTCTTCAACAGTTTGTCCTTCAGGCGGGAGGTATACAACACGGAGTTTTTGTTGATAAACTCTCCACTCATCTCCAGCACCTGCTTGCGCGTTCCACTGCGGACCAATATGAAGATGATAATAAGATATGCATAGAGAAAGACTTACGAATTCCTGTAGGTCTCTGGTCTCCTTTTCGGGCGTGATGAGGGTACTTTGAATTAGGAACTTGTCCTTGCACTTAGTCGATAGAGGTGGTTCGTCTTTCATCGGTTGTAGCATTACTGTTGAAATTGTGAACAAAGTTGCTCATGGATTAAACATGAGGCACATACCGGAGACATCGACACTTTCACCAGGCTCTATCCTCCCAGAGTTTGGTCGTACGCAGTACAACTACGGAACTTGTAAGCTACAGAAACAACTCCCTCTGTATCTTTCTACTCACCTTGGGTGCTGTAGTCTTAACTTTAAATGCTACTGGTTGTGCATTTTTATTTGTGATAGTTAGAACTTGCTTGACGAGCTGCGTGAAAGGTCCTGAACGAAAAAAAGATGAATTATTCGACGGGCGCTTGAAGTAGAAAATGAGAGAAGACGCACTGTTGAAACCCAACGCATTGTTGGGAATAAGATGGACAGACATAGTTAGGAGAAGTGCGCAACGAGGGCGACAGTGGATATGAGGGAGGTGAACGGTACGTATTCGTTTGGGCGGAGTTGAAGTTATAGTGTACCACCTTTATTCCACCCGTGGCGAGGATCACACAAGGTCAAATAAGTAACTCGTGGACTGTGCGTGCTCGCCACACACCACGACGTACTGTCACCAAACACGCATTTATCTGCTCATACATCATATTAAAGCTTCATCGGTCTCAAGCACCCGCGCCGGCTAATGGTTTGCTCGAGGTAGACGAAAGGGTTTATATCTTGACTTCAACAGGCTCAAAACTCACTGCCATCACAGCCGTTCATCGCATTTGCAAACTTGCCTTGGCTATTAGCTGCAATTTCGCCGTGCGTTTGCATGCAGGCATAGCAGGCGGTGACTCATCTCGCCTCCAGGGCGCATCCCTATTTACGAACAAGTGGTCCACATCGTCCTGAAACGGTATATATTTGTATAACTCTCTGTCAGTTGGGACTCATTCAACGCGCTGTAATGAAATCATATAATCTTGGCAGACAACACGGCGAGGCTGTGCTCGCGGTATAATTCAGTATCGGCGTCAATTTACCACTTGCTGTCAGTGGCCGCCATTCCGTACGACAGTGGTGAATCTGAACGCAGTGCCGAGGTAAATCGGGTTTGCATTTGAATTGATGAAAACCATACTTACCAGAGCCAGCCTGATATGTCATGAGTGTCGAATCCGATCAAGTGAAGTGAGGGGTGGGTTATGGGCACACGGCTAACTTGCAAAACATTTCATATCGAAAACAGATGGACGTTTGCCAAAATGCTCCTCGGGGGTATCCAGGCCTGTACATATTTCATAACGTCCTATGCAACAACGACAACGTTTAGTTCATACACCATCATTTGGATTGCGTCAGTTTTGCGTGGACAAGCCAAAGGTCAGCAACCTCCTTCACTTTATCAATGATCTCTTTGAGGGGACCTGAGCTTACAGCATCCCAGTGTGCCTATGACCAATAAGCAGGTGACTCGGAGGAACTAATGTCGGAATTACCTGCACACTCTCCCATCCCAACACGCCGTGAACCACGTTAGGCTTATCGACGACAGGCGCCCAGCTCGAGCCATAGAACTCGGGTGTTCCTTGAAGCTTATCCTGAAGCTGTTCGACGAGAGGTTGCAGCGCGTCCATATTGATACCCTCTTTGAGAGTGAAAGTGACAAACTCCGTTACTGGTGCAGAAAAGATCCGACTAGGGTCGGAAAAATGGACAAACATATGGGTAGGTTCGGTCGTATGGATTTGTTTAACAGTTTCTTTTACAGCCTTGAAATCGTCTGTCTGGTGATGTGCACCATGCGCAGACAAGGAAGCCCACTCTGCCAGCAATTCAGCGCGATTGAACTAGTGTGTCGCGAAGTTGGCCTACCGAAGACCCAGAATGCATTACTTGGATCCTCAACCTCGAGACCATGGTATGCCCTTTATCGATCAACGATAAGCCAGCATGCTTCAAGGATGAATTTAGTATTCACTTAGAAAACCCATCGATTGTCTCTGCTGAACTCTTGGCTGCAAGCTCAGAAACGAACCGAGAGGGATCCTGGAGGTAGGACGGAGAGGGCTTGAATTGCATGATCTTTGTGACGGGTTCCATGATGAGCGGTGATTGAGAGGAGACTGAAATCACTTGATTTAAATATGATAGAAACGGGCCAAACGATGGGGCAGTTTCTGCAACATTAGGGCAGAGCCTCGTGCACGATGCACGTGGCAATTGGCAAAATGGCATGTAAGGCAATTACCATGAGCATGGCAGAAGTCGGCAAATGCAAATATCGTGATGCAGCAGGCAGTTCCCTGTAAGTAATCATACCAGTGATACTGGGCGATTAGGTGCATCGCCAACGATTAGGAATCGTTAACTCAACACCGGGTGACGGCGGAAAACATCAGATAGCATCTAGAATAATGACCCAAGCTCAATCAAGCACGGTAAGGAAAGTTGAAAGAAGGCAGGGCCACAAGTGACTTTGCGCTACTTGATGCATAAAAGTTCGAGGCATGAGAATGAGAATCTACTACGTGGCGTCCAAATTTTTCGGGACTCATCTTTCTTGCTTCGTACCACGACTCGCAAGGTCAATTCTACTCTCGTTTCATCGCGTCCGCCCATCGCTCCCTTCAACAGAATGATCTCATTCCAATTAAGTAGTGAATGACAAAAATCCTGTTATGACCACGCTCCCTCCAGTGAGCAGGATCATCGGCTTTGAGCCTTTGACGCAGCCTGCCAAGTGATCTGATTTGTAGCGGGTGGCATTTTCAACGCAAGTAGTGTTGCAACCTTCTTTTCTTCCATGCTGTCAGTGCCGGTATAACAAAATTGCTGTGTTTTGTTCGTCCCATCATACAATTTAGCAGGATCCTTCCACCTCATATTTTTGAAATCGAGCCTGCCCCTGCCAGTTCTCGTTGCATCCGACTTCGTCATTGCAATCCCAGTAACCCGCAACCAGGAGGTAAGTCGGGCAAGAGTCGGCCTATAGTGATACTAAAATTAAGTAGGGGTCCGCGCACTTTCAGCCCAGGCGGAAAGAATTGTCAAGTGATGTCACTAAATGAGAAGCTATACACAAAAATAGGAACAGTCGCAACAGCATCTCGTACACTTATGACTCATGAGAATTCTCTGTCCCCCCATATTTCCCCCAGCCGATTCAGAGGCTCAAATGTCGCTTTTGGCAAATGCGGCGCTGAGCGCTGTCCTTGAGCATCAGGACAGACCTGGGCAGTCATCCATCAATTTCCAAGCCAGCTCAATGTTACCGAGTCGTGGCCAGAAGTGGCTGCGAGATATCTCACAGTCGTATTTAGGATACGGACTTCCTGGCCCGGGGATTGATTGATTGATGCGCGATAGGACTTGATAGGGCCATATGACCTCGTTTGAAGAAGTCTGTAGTACTAGGTGAGCAAGTATTAAAGGAATGCTGACAGTCTTGAGAATAGCCGTTTCTTACATGATTGACCTCCAGAGAAGAGTTGTCATTATCGGCGCTGGGTAAGTATCGCTTTCGATGTGATTCTATACCAACTGAATATACGCTTGCAGTGTTGGTGGGTTGTCCCAAGCTATTGCTCTCAAAACTAAGCTCGGATTTCACGATTTTACAGTGGGTGCATTCATATAGCGAGTGGTATGATCGCTGAGTATGGTATTTCAATAGATATACGAGAAAGGGTCTGAAGTTGGTGGGGTGTGGAGGGTACGTTGTTGTGACGAGCGACATGTTCTCCTCACAATTTTTTGCACAGGCCAACACATATCCTGTATAGTCAACGACTGAAATTGCAGAATACTCACCTCAAGGCTTCTTCTAGGGATGCTCGTCGGATGTCCAAATTCATTGGTACAGCTTATCAACAGACCTTTACCCATACTGGAACAAGTCGCATGGCCTTCAACCGGAGATTCAAGCCTATTGGATTAAGCTCTCGAAGAAATATAATCTATATCCACATATCGCGTTCAACACAAAAGTGTTATCTGCCGAATGGGATGATGCCAAACAGCAGTACACTATCATCACAGAAGATGTCTTTTCAGGCAAGAGAATGTCAAGCGTGGCCCATGTCGTGATATCTGCCATTGGTAACTTGGAGGCCCTAAGGATTCCGTACGAGATCCCTGGAGTTCAGGAAGTTTCAGGGTATTTCGTTTCATTCCGCACAGTGGCCAAGCTCGATAGATCTGCGGAATAAGCGTATTGCAGTGATTGGAAATGCCTCCTCCGGGTGAGTCACACGGCGAATTCTGTGCAGGTAATCGGTGGTGACATACAACAAGAGCACAGTTCGTGCCACATCTATCTGAAGACCCGTCTGTTGAAGTAGTTAACTTCATCCGTACCCCCACCTGGTTCAACACTCGAGTGAGATTCTTTGTACCTTGTTCGATGACTTCGACGACTAAACAAATCATCTAAGCCACATATTCCGTACTCGGACACCGAGAAATGGATATTTTCCAACATTCCTCTTGCAATGCGACTGCACCGAGCTTGGATCATGTTCTGGGTCAGACTAAGCGTTACATGTTTCTAGCTTGCTGACGTTGGTCGTAGTTCGATCTTCCCTCTATCGTACGCCCGAGTGACAAAACACTCAAGAAACGACGTGAGGTGAGCTGGCTGTGGAAAGTCTTGGGACATTCATTTCAACATTTTCTGCCAGGTGATGACGAAATACATCCTCGATAGCGCGCCGAGTAGATACCGTGGTTATATGATACCCAATTATCGTACGTGTCTGATCAAAGAACTTTTTTTGTGCTCACATGTTCCACAGCTCCAGGTTGCAAGCGGACTGGTTCGTCGGCAGTGCTTGAACTTAGAATATGTTATTCCTCATTTCAGTTCATTCCATGCAGTCGCAAACAGTGGTTACCTGGATATTCTTCATCGGCCTAACTTGACACTGAACTTTGACGGAATTGCCAACATAGTAGAGAATGGCATCATCACAAAAACTGGTATGTATGGGCCGTCAACGACATCATCACCCTCCTCACATTAATTTAGGTGAACTGTTGCCATTTGATGTAATCGTATACGCGACTGGTTTCACCGGCGTGAGTGTTACCCACACAGATCTAATATTCCATCAGATGCCAACTGCAGAAACAGGATCGATACCCAATGCACGTTCGAGGCTTGAATGGAGCTACTATTCAAGGCTATTATGATGCTCATGGTGGCCCTACCGCATACCTCGGGACTACAATTCCTGACATACCAAACTTTTACATACTAGCTGGTGAGTTCACAAGGGACATGCTATTCTCAATTTGTTACCTGACGTATTAATTACAGGACCCAATACTGGAACACCAACATCGTCGTTGTTTGTGGAAGAAGTTCAAGTAAATTCAGTGTTTTTTTTGTGTGTTTCTACTCAAGTTTGTCACAAGATTGGATATATCCTTCAACTCATAGAGCCGGTCCTCAGCGGTTTCGCTTCGTTTTTCACCGTCAAAGCTTCACCCACGGATGCGTATAATGCCAAGGTTCAAGAACGAATATCCCGCTCGGTGTTAGTGCAATGCTACTCCTGGACACGTACGAACGGCACAGGGAAGGTATTTAATGCGTTCCCTTGGGCTGTGACAATTTGGTGGTGGTGGCTTCGCAAACCGAATTGGGATCATTATGTGGCAGTCGGCGCCGAGAAATGGGTATGGGCAAGGCGAAGAAAGACTGTTAAGAACAGTTTGAAATGGGCTGTAGTCTTGACGCTATTGTGGTCATATATCAGCGGCTCTGCTCAGACGACATGGTGGTGAGTCCATCATTGTTTTCGATGCCTATCAACTAAACAATAGATAACTAGGCAGCGACTATCTATGGCTTATGGCTACTTGAGCAAGTTTAGCCTTCGTTTTTGAGCGCCATAATATCTTGTACGAAACGGATCGTGATTATACAAATCAGTAACTAGACAGCTTGCATCCTCTTTCCTCATGGGCAAGATCGACAATCGAAACAATACGACAACAGCTTTTTTCAGTATGTTCGTCGATCATTGTGAGGATGGTCCATTGTTCGACAGCTACATCATTTGTCGACGTGCAGTAGTGCGACACGTCCATCTCAGTCTCCAATATGTATGTGCAAACAACAAATTCTGCCAGCGGCTCAGACCTGCGATCGCTCCTCATTATTATAATACTTTTGTTCTCTCACCACCATGTGCTCTGTTCATGTCGGGGTCTCTCGAGTCTCGATCCTGAAGACAGTACTGGTGTAATTAGTTAAGACTGTGGTCCCTCAACAGTTACGCCCAAAGGATTATCGCGGACAAGTATTATGTCGACATATGGCGAACAATGGTACGTTTAGCAGCGATTCTCGGCTTTGACCCAGTTGACGCATGATATAGTGCTCAACACGTCTCCATGTTACACTGATGCATTAGTGAAGCATCCATTGACGGGTTCACATTTGGCCTACCCTCGGGGGCTCCAACACGAGCCCCAACCTAAGCCATGACAGTTCGTTTGATATGCGGAGACAGTAGAGAAGCAAGTTGTCATCGCAGTCAGTGGACCGTGAGTTGAGGACGGGGGCACCCCATGGATTCGGAGAACAACCAGCTCCAAACACAACCTCGTACTACATATGAAACAAGCGCAACAGTCAAAAGTGCAATGTACAGGACATGACGTCACATACAAATATCATCAACAAAGCCCGCTACAAATCAAATCACTTGTCAAAACCAATGATCCTGCTCACTGGACGGAGCATGATCATCACAGGATTTCTGTCATTCACTGCTTCATCGACAGTATCATCCATATCATCATCCTCATCATCGCTCTCGGAGGCTCTTCTGGCATGCTTCAACCCGAACATGCTCACTACTCGATTGATGTGGGCTTCGGATTGCTTGAATGTCGGCGGTGCACGAAGCGAATTAGCGCATGCGGAGAGCTCCAGGACCAATTCACCGTCCAGCTCGGTAGTAAAGAGATCAAATATATATCTCCTTACCGGCAAACGGTAACGTTGTGTCGAAATGGCATGCAAAGCACGGAAAAACACAGAAGGTGATGAGAATGCTGATCGGTATTCAGGTCGAGACTTCATCCTGCGGTAGTTGATAAATCACAGAAAAGTGCAAAACCATTGATATAGTTTACCTGGCAAGTGATCTTGATGCAGCGTTTGCAATCACGGTGTTGCTTAGGTTTTCTATTGCAGAAATTACCTCCAGGTCCGTATGGGATGTTGGCGGTATGAGCCGATAATCGCCGTCCCCCCTTACACCAACAGGATCCCACGCGGGTAACTGGAAAGCATCAGACATACAGTACAGTATAGATGACTCTAGTGCCTCACTGAGATAAATTTATCCAGATCCAGGGGTATACACAACCCGGTCGGCACCCCAAGTGGTGACAAGGTCGCCTCCCACCGATAATCGTCTAGAATTTCAGCTCCTTGAGATGTCGAGGAGATCAATCCAAGAACGAAGAAACACGTCCTAGAATTGTGTTTAATGCAAAGAGCAAAGCACTTAACACAGTGAAGTGCTTACCCTCGTACTGAAGGAATAAGAGAGTGTTCAGCGATCTCTAATATAGCGGGAATAATTTCTTCCTCTTCCAAGAACGGGAGGCCGCCCTCAGTGGCCCCGACATTCCCCTACAGTATTATCAATGGTCCCATTTGAACGTGCACTGAGAAGGCAACGCACCACTGCCCACAGGATACTTTTTAGTTTGAGAATCAACTCCAGATCCTCACTCTCAAGACCGTGCTGCTTTATGAAATGAGAGAACTCAGAGAAATGACCCTTTTCGCTAAGAACTTGACAGCCAAGCTCAGTTTTCGACATTTCCCCATAGAAGTGGGGTGGAACAACCCCGTCGAAGGCCCTGAAGTCAATCTAGTCACACTGCAGCTGCATTGGAGAGTGGCACATACAAGACATCTTCATCATCTTCTGCGGCCTCTGAGTTGAAGACCTTAGATAGGAATATTTCCACCTCTACGACGTAATAGATGTTACGGTCCTGGATAGGCGACAGTCAGAATAGTATTATGAATAAAGGAAAACACAGACATGAAACCACATGTCCATCTCCCTGTCGATGTAACCTGCGCTGTACAAGTAACGAAAGCCCATCGGAGTTGACATGAATCTAGTTTCAAGTCAGAACCTAAGCTAAAGGCAGAAGAGCACACAGACTTGAGCAGTAACGGATGTCCAATTTCTCCGAGATGGTCCATCGTTGGTTGCATTTCCACGACAAGTTGCAGTACTTCCATAGCATCACAGGCTTCTTCAAGGAATTGGATCGCCAATTCACAAACCTCTGGTGCTTGATCGTATATTTGAGTCAAAAGAAGACGTAGTGTCCATGCGACTGGTGTAATTGAGTCTCGTATGAGATCTCCAAGGTGATTTGTCGCATAAAGGCGTGTGCGCTGTGGAAAGTATATAAAGAGAATGGACGGTGCATTGACCGTGGTGTTGACTCACGATATCGCTCGATGTGAGAGCTTTCGAGAGCACGATACGAGGATGTCCATCGCTTGATATCCAGTAAATGACAGCTTCTATCAACACAACCAAGCGCTCACATCGTATAGTCCAAATTCGTAATCACAGCGGTGATCAAATCTTCGCGATCGCGCAGCTCGCTAAGGTGATAGAAAGCAGTAAAAAATTTGAACTTTTCCATCAGCCTAGGGACATCCATCAGTTAGACATAGAAGGGGTTGCGAATGGCTCACTCGATGCCTTCTGCATGCTTGCTCAAAGTTCCAAGCATCTCAAAGTAGCCATAAGTCAACGTTTCCGATAGCCTGTACTTGGAAAACATAGGGTCGGATTCTGATGTGCCGTTGAACTGCAAGACATGCTGACATCAACAAAATCATGAGATCGACTCGATAAAGACATACAGGGTCCAACTGAGCAAAACACTTCACTATTTGCTTCAATAAATCATCTTCCGAAGCAAGAAACCGGATCCCGTCTGGACTAGCCAGTAACGTGGTAAGAAGAGAACATCCCAAGCGCACCCAGCGAACATTGGGCTTGCAATTTACGATCAATATGGAGCATCTGGAACAAGACAATAAACTACCTGTTTCCTTGGAAGGTCAGAGAATCGATGGGTGAACGGATGGAAAAAAGATAGTAGTCGTCGCATGAATCTTGCTACTTTGATGGCTTCCTCCAATCGCTTTGGATTCAATAGTGGCCCTTCGATCAACTCTTGAAGCATCTCAAAGTTCCACTTCGCACTATCTTTTGTCAACATAACCTGAGGCAAAGTCAATCTGACCCACAGCACGGACCCGGAAGCAAACACACCTGAGTCTCGAGCAACGATGACTGGAAAGTTTTATCGTCCATCTGCATCCCCATCTTGATTTTAACCTGCTCGACTTGTCTCTGTCCTCTCCGGACTGCGTCTTCAGCGGAATTTGCCCTATGATACCAAGTAAACATATTTCTCCTGGGCATTCACAAGCGCTCACCTCGGGCGTGCATTCTTAACGCTAGGTTGTAGTCTCAAGCGGTTGCGATTGAAGCTGTCAATTGCGGAAAGAGCGGATGTCCCGACTATCCTGTGCTCTCCTCGGTTATAATCTGCTGCCAGATTAAATACGCGAGGAACGGCCTAAAACGGATTCAGATTCCAAAAAAGATGATTGGATGCAGACCGCACCTGTATCTTGGCAGCGACACCTAGGGGAAGTACTCTATTTGCCATATGCATAACTTCGGCCATGAGTAGGGTTGCCTTGCGTGACAAGTTGGAGCCAGTAGTGCATTCTTCAAGCATTGCCGTAAGCGCCTGTTGGCTGTTAGGTTAACTATATGTATACAATGGATATATGCCTACATCAATCAGACCAGCGTCCGTAAATACGAGGACGAGAAGGGCAATATATTGATCAGTAAGCTTTAGTGTTTCAGGAGCCTTCTCTGGAAGTTTCTGATCTGAGAGCTGATCCGCAAAAGCTCGAGGTTTCCGGTACACTGAACTCAACCATGAGTCACCAACAACCTGTGATGGCTAGATGACCTACTTGTGAGCCGTCGACCATCTATGAACGTTTTATACCATTGCGGAGCCTTGATATTGAACAGATCAAAGAACATATCCAGCACTATTTCCTTAAATCGATGTGAGTTTTTGTCATCCAATACAAACTCAATCAACACACTCTTGTCTCAAGAGACGGTATTCGTAGCGTATTGACGATGGACTTGATCGCGTGTTGATCCCCCAGACAGAAATACATCAACCCTATAAATCGGTTCATGCTTGGACGGAGAAAAGGTCACAAGATACCTACCGCTCCAAGTTCGTAGCATCAATTGTATGACCTTGGTACAGCTCCGCATACGATCTGCGTGATCTGTACCCTTTCCGTAAGCATCTGTGATGGCAGAGAGAGCAATCTGGTAACACAGTAAATTCGTGAATCCCGAGAAGGACGGCCTGCCCACCTCCAAGTCAGTTCCAAGATGTAGGTATGCGCGAGTACGAGGGGTGTCAATGATGTGCAAGAATGTGGCTGCTAATATTGGCCCGGCTTCGACTGGACCTTCACCTAGGGCATGCAAAAGGAATCGAATGCCTCCAGATCGCGCCACGAGATCAATGTCAATAAGAGCTTCAATATTTTGATCAGATGCAGGGAAGATGACAAAAAACACATTCTCTCACCCATTTCAGCAAGGGTTTGTACGCATATGGGACGAAACGGATCTTCAGCATGCTCAGCAACTGCTACAAATGCTCGCATAATAGGTTCCGAAAGAGCAATCGTCTTTGTTCCGGTAATGCCGCGTCGATCTCCAGGTTCGGAAACGATGTCGACGATAGTACGAATGAGTTTAATGACTTGTTCCCTCTCTATGGCATGTTTGTTATCGCGTGCTAGAGATCTATTTGAATAAATGTGAGATTCCTATAGAGCAGGGCAAAATAAACACAATACTTCACAATGAACCACTCCAGAGGCTGTTTATGCAGCTCCTCTGCTGAATCTGAATCGACCAATGCATGCCTGACGAGCCGATATGCAGCAGCTCTGCAACGCATAGAACATCGATCAGAGAGAGCAGGAATTATCCTGAAAACTGGCATCAGCAAGGACTGAGGAAGGCGTGTAAAACTGCCCACGCTTGAACAACCTCAGGTAAACTGATTTCGTAGCGGACGCGAAGATTGCGTTGTAGAATGGAGACAAAGCGGTTCATTATATCTATCCTGGACCTGTCATTATCTGCTGGGGAAATACTACTCGTGGATGACGGTGACGAGGGTGATGTTATTGGACGTGAAAGCGAATTCAAGGATTTGATGCAAGCATTAGCCTGAGCCAGAGCTGTTCTGAAATCATCTACCGCGAATGTCAGCTTACAAGTCAAAACGAATAATTTACAGACCTCTGTCCCTGTCATCACTGTCTGCCCTGAAACGAACCCCGACTGAAGGAGCCTGACCAGCGAATTTGCGCCGATTTGCAGGAGCTCCGTTCTTCCTACGCCTGCCTCTGGATGTTTCTGGTGTGTCTTATATCAACTGTTTCAATGCGATTCGTGAAGAAAACGCACCAAGTTCTATCTTTCTCGTCAGAGACTCGATTTCGCCTGTCGCCATCTCGAGCTCCGATTCCACTTGCAAACGCATCGTCTCCTATGGGATACACTGTAAATTAATCAAATATAATGTAATGGGACATACGTTCAAAGGTAATTTGAGAAATCTCTCGGCGCCCTCCTTGATTCTATTTTCCCGCTCCAGTAATGCATTGAGGGTATCCAGCTGGTAGGTAAATGAGCGCTTTCTATTGGCCAGCCTGAGGTCGAAACAAAACAAAGGAGTGATCTACCTGATCATCGCAGTCCCTGTTAGTCCCTTCGGTGTCATGGAGCTGGTTCGTTGGGTCCAAACCAGTAGACTTTAAAGATGATGAGACATTAGCTGTTGTACCAGAGTTCTCCTGATCGATGCTGGTGGGCATCAACGCCTGCTGTGGACAGTAGTGATATATAGATAAAGTTGCTGCAGGTCCTAGAGTAGTAGTATTGCTGTATTAGCAGCCGTTAATGGTACTAACAGCCAAGACCGCGGAGCTTTTTTGTTGTTTGTCACCGTCTCAACAAGTGTTCTCTTACGACTCCGAGTCATCACTTGTTGTACCCACCTGCAGTCCTAAAAGTTCAACAGTCTCTTCATCAGCCGCATACCCCATACCTCGACATCGGCAGTGCAAGCTCAAGTAACTATGCGGTCACTATCTGCAAATTGAAGTCATCGGCGGAATCTAGTAATATGATTACTAGGCGATCACGATAGCCCGGCAGTCACATCAACCATTAGGTTTCCAGCACCCGAAAATCTACTCGTATGCACCTCGACCTGCGCGATTTCAACGATTGAGATCTATGCATGCTTGAAGTTTTTTCGAGCACAGCTCCAAACTTGGGTCTGCAGCGGCTTCACATCGACTCTGTCAGTTTGTGCGGTCCTGATGTACGTCGTCGATCTCGAAATTTTGCTTCAGTCAAATCATATTCAGTTGGCTACTGTATTCACCGGATCACTGATGATGATATCTCAGCGTTTCTTCGTGTAGACGAAGACACACCGAGTTATCGTGCTTAGCGTCTTGCCATCTGGCATATTCGGCCAGTCAGACATGTTGCTCGCAGTCTTTTCGAGGTTTATCAGTTTGTCTTGGTTCTGATGCATCTTCTGTAGTCTATTATAGTGCGAGTCAAAGGTGAGGCAAAGAGTTGAGTCATAGTAATCGGCGAAGTCATGCACACCAACAGATCCTGGAGTTCCGTCAGCCTGAGGTTGCGAGGAATAGCACCAAAATGCTGGCCTCCTCAGGAAATAAAGTGATACTAGAACCTCTTGTTGAATGGTATGTTGTCTCCTGCTTTGTGGTGATTGCTGCCAATAAATTCCTCGTTTACACAGTGACTGGAGAGGACACAAAGGAATTGCTGAAACTAAAGAAGTAACACCTACTGTCTTGTCCGCATCTCGTCATCATTGTCGCCATCACTGCCAACGAAGATGGTGCATACAATGCAGGAACGCATATGAGACTTGGTGGCGCTCGTGTTCATGATGACAATCATTCTTTACACTCTAGTGTGCATTGTGCTATGTTACGTGCAAAACGTGGTCATGCGAATAACGTCGCAAGTGGCTTTGACCCCCCAAAACATCGTGGCATGTTTTTACTGTATGACTTGTCTGCCTGACTTATGCTACCTGCTTTTTACTTCAAGCATGGTTGTATCGAATGACAACACCTTAAATTTGCTTGGCTGTTTGCGTGTTTTCGGTAGACAACTTGAAGTCCAGTATCAAAACACAATGATGAAAAAATAAGTAAGATCGGAGGACAATTCCAAATCAGCGGCAGCGGGCCAGATACGGTGCGACATGTGAAGTTTCATCACTCGCGAATGCAAACCATGAACACCCCTTCACCTGTGCATTCATCGTTCTCATCTCAAGCCTGACAAGACCCTCTAACACACCTTCATAACGAGGTGCACGTCAATGTCCTGAAGACTGTGCTGAACACGAACATATGGATATGAAATGAACGCCTCGACGCTGCCCTTATCTTGCACGTCACCGGATACACACTGTGCAACCTTGACTGCGGATGACTCGGAGAGATAGCACGTCCTAGTCACGTTCTCGCGCGGCTTGTTCGAGGGCTAGAACGCGTGTTTTGTAAAGCCATCGACGCACTCAATCTATCCTCAAAACTACCCGTGCCTTTGCTTGCTTCACATATAGGTAGAAGTACTCTCCCGGTGCCTCTATTACCCGCAAGAAACCGTACCACTATGACAGCGCTCGCACCAAGGGCGAGAGCCTTGACGATGTATCCCACGTTACCGACACTACCGTCACTTGGAGGCAAACTAAACACAGCTGTGACATCTCGAGTTTTGAGAACACTTGCTTGACCCAGTTGATCATGTCGATTTGAAAAACGGAATTACCAAGAGACGAGTTAAGGATGTCGATATCGGGGCCAGCCTAGACAAAGAGCCTGCGGCGGTCTTTATCACTAGGTCGCGTGTCGACAGCCCAGCCGCGGCGGCATACAGTTGCTTGCTGTGGTCCTTACTAGCCAGCGAGCAAATTTGGTTTTTTTGAGGTCGAAACGGATGAGGGAAGTAAGACGATCCTGTTCGTCGACGATGGTGAGTTTCTCCCTTTTGGGGGCACGAAGGCTTCTGTAAGTGTAACACCTTGAGGTGTAGTGCCAAGGGAAGGGTCATGACCTTGTGGATGGTGTCTCCGGAGACTCCGCATAATCCAAAACGCCCCATTGTAAGCATGCCTTCAATAGTGTGATTGGGAGAGAAGATGATAGGATCCGTGGAGAATGGCACCGATACCACCTAGCAGGGCGAGACCAATGGATGTGTCTGTCTTGGCGTCTTTAGGGCTACTCATCAATGGACTGTTGAGAATGATATCTGGTCTCAATGTCATCGGAAGCAGGAAGATCGATCTCTCCAGTGAGCATAGAGAAGTCATGACATGCGAGACCACCGTGGACATGAAATTCCGCGAGATACTTGACTGAGAAGCCATCTGGTCGTTTGTAAGTTGCAAGAATGAGCAACCTGTGAGGGAGCCCGGAGACAGGAGACTCGAGAGCGCCTATTTTTGCTAATTCGTGTCATCGGCAAATACCGAGGTACTGTAGAATTAAGGTTCAAGCCACATTTGCCCAGTCCTCGATCCTAAACTTACAAGCCCGCGCTCGACAACATCCTCAAGGCTCAAAAATGGGTGCGCCATCATCGTCTGTATTCACTAAAATGCTCACCGTCTCAAAACAGTCCGCTACGCCGCCGCCGCTCTCGCCACCAATCCCGAAAAAAGTCTGTCTTGCACCTTGATATCGAGCCCAACACTCATATAACTGTTTGGTCTTGTTCAGCCGCCCGTGCTCGGGGCGAGTACCTCCGCACGCACTTCAAGAACATGAGGGAAGTCGCTGCGGCCCTCACAGGTCTGTGTCCAAGTCATGATGATGGTTATGCGCATAAACCTCATGATCAATTCAGGCTTAAAGCTGACCAAGGCTTACACCTACCTATCTGACGTCTCGGACCACAAACAAGTCATCCCTTTCCGTCGGTTCTCTGGTGGTGTCGGACGGGCTAGCCAAGCCAAGCAATTCAAGACAACCCAGGGTGCGTCTCGTAATATTAGACAAGGGACTATGGAGATTTGACCTTCGCGATATACGATAGGTCGTTGGCCCGAGAAATCCGTCAAGTTCATCACTCGCCTCCTCAAAAATGCAGAGTCAAATGCCGACGCAAAGAGCCTAGAGCTCGAGGACCTTTACATCAAGAACATCGGCGTCCAGCAAGCACCCGTACGTGCATCTAGCTCTAGATTCCAGTTGATAGCGTAATTTTGTTGACATCTCATAGAAAACTCGCCGCCGCACGTACCGTGCACATGGTCGTATCAACCCCTACCAAGGCCACCCATGCCACGTCGAGATCATTCTGGGGGTTTCAAGTGAGGAGGTCGAGCGGAGCAAGGACAAGGACGCTGTTGGCGTATCATCCTTGTCATCGTTGAACCGGAGACAGGTTGCCAGAAGGAGAATCGAGGCTGCACGGGCTTAATGTAATTCTCTCACATATTCGACACGGCTTGTGATGCAACGATACGCGACAGCACAAAGGCCATGTTTTGTATGCACCTATGCATATGTTATGACACCATACAATCTCATCCGAATCGCATTCACAACTGAAATATTTAGCAAGAGAATGAGCGTTTATGGACAACTACAGTGCGATAACAGGAAAGCTAATGAGTGGACGTGTTTGTACGTATATGAAAGCAACCGAAGCAAATGAATGTGTGGGGACCAGATTAAACGTTGGAATGACAAGCAACAAAGCATCGACAAGAGAAATGTACATAGTGAACAAAAGGATACTAATGCGTACAGACTGAATCATAAACCAGTCAATGAAGATCGAGATGAAAAGTGGGCAATAGCAAAGCGTTGACAAGGGAAATGAATGTTGTTACAGATAGACACTGCATTTCCGGTTCCTCTTCTTCTCCAGACGTTGGCTTTAAAGGGTCGTGAGTTCATGAACGTCTAGGGCAGAACACAGAATCATACCTTTTGTCATAAAGGACATCCTCCCATTCCAATTCTGGGCGACTAAGGTAAGTGCATATGACCTCCTCCATCCACTGGCAGACGTAATCCACACGCTGGATGTGATAGGGGGTATGACATCTCTCCATGTCTATCGCAATGTGAGTACTGACTAAGAGGCACACGAGCAACAAACATACCTCTGATAGCCCGTGTGAGAGGGCGGTAACGCCTTAGGTTGATGAGCTTATGTCCCGGCGCATTTGGGTGATCTACACATTCCTCGTTACCACACTGGCGCTTTACGTCACCTACGAAAAGTACTGCATGAAGGCATTGTTAGAGGCACGGGTCAAGTCATCAGTGTCTTTAAACGTACCAAGAGTGGGCAGAGTGGGTCCACAGCTACTTTGAATTGCTTCCTTGTAGGCCTTCATTCGGGTTGTGTGGCTGAAAAAGACACGTAGAGTGAGCAAAATCTCTTCGTGCTTGGCACCAATGTTCTGTGGAGTAACGTGAGTGAGAGGACAACATCATAATGTTAGGTACATACCGATAAAGAGCCAACCAAACTCTGTCTGTCGCACGCAGAAAACAATGCCCATGAACCAGCATAATTTCTGAGGATGTGACATTCCTGTAAGTAAAAGGCTGCGTCAGCCAAGGTTACGATTGTATGACAAGACTGACTTGAGCCCATTCCAAGACAAACTGAACCTTCTGGATGCGATCCTCTGTCGACTGCGCAGACACGATGACGTCCAGTGCCCAAAGGTGAAGAGCCTTCTCAAAGGAAGCATAGGTGGTCACCTTCGCGCCAGCTTCACTGGAAACGCCATAAGTAGACTTTCCAGTTGCTTCCTCCACCCAAAAGCGTGCAGCATCCTCGGGCTGGAATTCCCGGTACTTCTCCCACAAGAGGACGGTAAGTTGATGAGCCAATAGTTCCATTCCGTGCGGAGAAGCGAAGTTCGACAACTTAATCTTCGCATAGTCCCCCTTAACCATTGCCTTCTTGTTGCGAGGCTCCCATAAGCTACAAAGCTCTTCGGCTGGCGAAGAGCCTTGGATGAGTTGAACCGTCTTCTCAAGGCGACGTCCGTAGTGTTTTTCAGCGCACGCAGCGTTGTGCAAGGTGTCGATGAATTTCGAGGAAACACTGCGGGGGAGATCTCGAGAGAGATCGGAGAATGCGAATTGCAGGAGGGGTGCGAAGACCTCTTGGTCTTCCGAGTGGCGCCAATGAAGATCGACCCACTGGTTAAGCAGGCGAGCTACACGCATCTTGACGTGCATGGAGTGAATGGAAGCTTGGTCTGGAGACAAGCGACCAGGCAAATCCTCCTTGTATCGCTCCATGAAAGCCTTGAGAACGAGTGCTGGAGTCGAAAAGTAGCGGAAGCAAAGGAAGAAAACATCTGGGAGCTCCAGGTCGTCGTCAGAGACTACCGATGTCAGATACCTGACAAGGCCCTTCAACGAGGCAAGCTGAAGAACACCATTCTTGTCCAAGAAGAGTTCCGTGCTATCATCTGGGTGAGGAAAGGAATTCTCCAGCTTGCCATCAAGTATTTCGGAAAAGAGGGCAATCGAGTTTCTAATATTCGCAGTGGCGCGAGCATGCCCTCCGCGAGCTGCGAGTTTCTCAACAGGTGCCACTGTGTCCGCCTTTGAAAACGAGATTTTGCGGCGCAAGTTGACTGAAAGTGGCCCAAGGATGGCAGCCAGTCCCCGTTTCGTGTGTCTGATCGTCAGGAGCTTGTCAGGAGAACCCAGATCTTCCACCTCTTCGACACATGTCCTGTCTGTCGATGATCCTTCGCTAGACTGGTGAGTATCTCCTGACAGCAAAGAATTTCGGCGGACTCCACTGAGGTCGTTGCTATCTTCTTCCGCTTCCGCTGCTTCTACCTCCTCTTCACATTCTTCGGGAATGTCAGGAAGAGGCTTCAGTTGCTGCATCTCGCGCTCGGCAACTTGCATAAACCTTTTCAGGCTAGACATTATAGCGTTCAAGTATTCGAGAGCCTGCAAAATAAATTGCCTCCTGCAAACAAATTCAAATTCGAAGTCCTTATTGTCAAGGAGCGGCTGGACATGGCTCATGAAGAGCAGTTTGTAGTGCCGGACTCCGGATTCAGCGTTCTTGTAGCCTGAAGCGTCCCGAACGTCTTGGGGAAGCTGAGACATGGAGCGTAGGATTGTAGTCAAACCGTGGAGAATGATAGGGGACAAAGAACGCATCGATGCAATGTCATGTGCGTCCGCGGCTTCGCGGAAAAGTCTGACGGGATCGAGGATTGCTGGGAACGTTCTTTCGATGTCGAACTGTGGGGGGTTGAGAGACAATATACAAGTCGACGAAACAGCGGTGTTGTCGCCCACAGTGTAGGACTTCGAGAGACTTGTGTTTACTGCGGTGGCCATTGGGACAATACAGGTAGCAGTGCGAATGGTAGCGAGAGCTGGTGGTTTAATATAACATCGGTTTTTGTGGTGATGCTTGGATTGCCACTCATTGTGTGGTTGTGGACGTTGTGGATGTTGTGGACCATAGTTTTGATCCACAAGTTGTGCGTGTCGGCTTCGGTATGAGGGAGCGTGTCCACATGGAAGGCCAATGCAACAACTTGTATCACAGCCAAAGCAACTTCTTCGTTGAAGCGCATTGTGGTATTTTATGAAGGAAAATTAAGGCATCACAGGCCTTGGGCCTGAGCTTTCGAGCAGAGACCTTTCGAACATGATGATATTAGACGTCACATCTTCATTCTAAGTGCGGCGTACCGGTAACAACTTCAGAATGACCTAGCTGGAAAAAGCATCTGAGGCCATTCGAGTCATAATAACGCACTGAGTCCTATACAATCTTTGGAGTTAGTTCTCTGGTTATGTGAGCCTGTCGGTGCACGTTCTGTATTATAGCCTGTGTAAGAAGTTCAAGTTGCATTCGATGATGTGATGGTGAATATTAATGTGACAAAGCACCATTGACAAAACGCTTGAGACCGGTTGTATTACAATCACATGCCGCTTACTACCAACCGAGCGCCGTACTAGAAAAGCGTCGTACTACTATAGTACTATTCTTGGTCTTTTACTGAAAGTTATCCCCACCGCTCATCACATCTAGTTTGCTTGCTCAGCCCGCAGACCTTCACGCTTACCACCCGCTTCAAATTCTCATACCAGTCCAGGCTCATTGTGTTGCCTAGTACTTACATCTCAACGCAGACCTAATACTCCAGGAGCATTCAAGAATACAATTTAGACAAAATGATTAGAACTGCATTGACTGAACTTCTGGGCATCCGTGTGTAAGTTAATGTACGTCTGCTGTTCGGAAGACATATTTACGTCTTGTTCCGCTCTCGACAGGCCAGTAGTACAAGGGGGTATGCAATGGTAAAGTCCATCTACACCGGCCACGTTCTCTCAAGAATGATCTGATTGTTGTACACAGGGTCGGAAAACCTCCACTTCCTGCAGCCGTGTCGAACGCGGGAGGTCTTGGTGTGCAATATTGCTAGCTTGCCAGCCGCATACGCTAAATTTTTGCTGTAGGGTTAATCACCGCACTTACGCAGCCGAATCCCGAAGCTTTGCGCACTGCGATTCGTGAAACACGCGCAGTAACTGACAAGCCCTTTGGCGTCAACATTACAATCCTACCCTCAATTAACCCACCAGACTATGAAGGTTTCGCGCGTGCAGCTGTAGAAGAGGGTGTCAAGATATTTGAAACAGCAGGGAATAACCGTGTGTAGTCCCATATTCTTATCAGTTACAATGATTTTGACACGAGTCATAGCGGGAAAGCTCATCCACTTCTTCAAGTCGCATGGGTGCATTGTGATACACAAGTGCACCACGATTCGACACGCCAAGGTTCGCTCCCTGTTTAATCAGATGAAGATGCATATGCTAAAGTGGGGCATGTAGTCCGCAGAACGACTAGGTGTCGACGTTGTGAGTATCGACGGTTTCGAATGTGAGTCCCTCATCTACCTGTTCAAATTTGATCACGACAATATTGTCAGGTGCTGGTCACCCTGGAGAGGAGGATATTGGTGGCCTTGTTCTGGTACGCTTTATCAGCGGTCATGGCTACCATTACATAGTAACAATTCACAGCTTGCAAGAGCCGCGCAAGAACTCAAAATACCCTACATTGCGTCGGGCGGAATCGCAGATGGCCGTGGATTGGCTGCTTGTCTCGCACTCGGTGCCGCTGTGAGTACTGTACCTCCCCCATTATAATCTCATTGATCACTTGTACGTGCAGGGAGTGAACATGGGTACACGCTTCATGTGCACAGTTGAGAGGTACAGTAGCAGCACCGCAACTTAGTACTCTTCTCACTCGCGTTATCCAGCCCTATCCACCAAAACATCAAAGAGAAAATTGTCGCCTCCACCGAATATGATACCACCCACATATTCCGTACCTTGAATAACACCTCACGTGTTTTCAAGAATGTAGTCTCACAGCAAGTCGTTGCTATCGAGCGGCGGCCAGGTGGGGCGAAGTTTGAAGACGTCCGCGATCTTGTCTCGGGCGCACGAGGCAAAGTTGTATTCGAGAACGGTGATCCTGACTACGGGATTTGGACTGCAGGTCTTGTACTTGGCTTGATCAAGGATATCCCGACGTGCGAAGAGCTCTTGTCGCGCATGGAGAGGGATGCAGAAGAGATTATCAATGGGATGGCCAAGCTAGTCAATGCGAAGGCTAAGTTGTAATGTTGTATACCTCGTTATCGTGATATCACCTTGTTGTTTGTTTTTCGTAAGTAGCAACTAACCTAAATGGTATGTCAATAAAGCGTCTCGACAAATCTGTCAGCCCTTGTTGAATGGGTGATGCTATTGCACTGACTCCTTGTTATGGCAGGCAGTGTCATTGATAACATGGGAACAAGTGTACCACAGCTCGGTGTGCAGTCCCCCGCCACTTATTGGGATTTACCTTTTAGCTTGTTAATCTCCCTTCTTGACGTTATCTTCTTTATCACCATCGACACCACACGTACCGTATCTTCTTTGCTTCTTGACCATACGCACACTCTCCGGACAGTGTTTTCTCCGGTATCGTATATAGTCTTGCGCGTCTCATTCCCACACCTCAGTCTTGTTCTACGCGACATACTGAGGTGTGTATATTCACTTGCATGTATCTACTCGTACTGATGTACACTAGCGTATCACCCCGCTAGGTACTTATGAATGTTAGTCTTGTTCTACGCGACATACTGAGCGTATCACCCCGCTAGCTTCACTAGCGCGTATACCACTGACGTGGTAGGAACACTTTATAAACACCTGTTGTGCCATTATCGACTGAAGAACTTACGACGCAGTGAATGAATGAACATCTTGATGCCCTTTGGACTGTGTGACCGACGGTCACATCGTGACTCAAGTCACTCAACGGCTGATACCCCTTTCAAACAACATCGAACTTACATCCTACCACCATGGCCTCGCCCACCGCTTCGACAGTTGAAAAGCTCTGCCATGACATTGGAAAGGTACTTTCTAAATTTCTATGTGTGGCAAATACTATAGTCTAATGTATTTAAGGTTATGGGTCTGGCAAGACAGAATAATGTACAAATTCACATGTTGGAACAGAAGGTCGGAGAGCAGCAAAAGGAGATCGGCTTTCTTGAGGATAAGATCTGTGTGCTTGAACATCAGGTCACAGACCTTTAGTTAGAGAACACTGTCCTTGAGGTGAAGCTTGTGGAGGTGAGTCCAAATATTACATGACATAAGATAGCGGTCTTGTGAATTCGACGAACGTCACGTGCCAAACGTGATGAAAGAGTGACAAAAGACAAAAAATGTAATAACTATTGGTCAGACCCTTTCTACATCAATCGCATAGTCAGTTACCTCAGTAGTATTATTGTGAACATTTCACGTTATTCAAAATGAAGAGAAGTGAAGTGGAAAGTTTTTAATTCCAATTTCAAAGTGGCTGTCAGTGGCACAGTACTATGCATGATACTCCGATGCAGTTTTCCGTGAAGCCGTTACCATCCTCTGCCTAGAAGACACATGGGCAACAGAACACGCTCACAGAAACATTCAAGAGACAATCTAGTAATAGCACGGGCTCACAAAGCATCTACTAGTAGGAAAAAACAAAAGACCTTGGACATTGAGCAAGAAGGTGCTATACTACACTTCGTACACTAAAAGCTAACTTCATTATGATACAGTGACCGCATTTTTTGGGACCCCTATTGCAGGTTTTCACTCCTATCATGCTTCCTGTGAAGATGTGCCTGATGAAGATGACGAGGACAACATAGTTGCCATCTGTGGAGTGCGTTGGAAGGAGAATGATCAAACAACAGTTCTTCTTGAAGAAATCATTGACTCACCTGGGCCAGTCATTGACAGTACTTCCCATGTTGAAGAAATAATGGATGTTGAGATCGAGGTCGAGAGTAGCTCTAGTGATGATGAAGCCGACAGTGACAGCAATGGCATGACTCGAGATTACAGCATCGAACTGAGACTTGCCCCCAGCATTGATGAGGCTAGACATGCCTACATGGACCTGCGGGCATTGCTGAAACCACCCCGTTCAGATGGAGTTGGTTATAAGGACCCACCGAAGTTAAATACTGTCCTAAAAGAAAGGTTAGAGCGGATGCGGGACTTCTTGTGGTTATACACAAATATCACGGAGAGTGACAGTGGGCCATGTCCGGCAAATCCAGTTGGTGGGCATTGAATGCGTGCTGCAGATCAAGTGGCATGCAATACTGGAAAAGCACATGGCACATACCTTTCTCGGTGCTTGCGAAGCTGGAGCAAGGCTTATATCAAGGACTGTAATGCATTTCCAATCCACAGGAAGCCTCGAAAACTTTCATGCATTTATGACGAGTCCCTCGCTGCAGATTTGAAGCTCCACCTTCAGAGTGTCGGGAAATATGTGCGTGCACAGGATCTCATTGACTACCTGAATGTTCCTGAAAATCAGGCACATCATGGTTTCACAAAAATGATCTCACCACGGACAGCTCAACGATGGATGAATCACCTTGGTTACTGCTGGAAGAAAGAACCAAAGGGGCAGTATTCTGATGGACATGAGCAGGAAGATGTTGTCTATTTTCGGCAAAATGTTTTTCTGCCAGCGTGGAATCATTACCAGACACGGATGACAAAGTGGAACCAGGAGGGAGACATTACTGTTGAGGACATTGAGACCAATGGTACAACTCTGTCAAGTTGTTGGGTCATAATGTGGTTTCATGATGAGTTGACCTTTTATGCCCATGATCGACGGAAACAAAGATGGGTGCATAGTTCCAAAGGTGCAATCCCTCAACCGAAAGGGGAAGGAGTGTCATTGATGGTTGCCGATTTCGTCTCGGCAGACTATGGGTGGCTCCGCTCTCCAGATGGTGAGGAGAGTTCTTGAGTCCTCTTCCGAGCTGGAAAAGCACGTGATGGATATTTCACAAACGAGGATATTTTGGCACATGCTGCAAAAGCAATGGACATCCCAGAAAAGTGGTATTCACATGAAGACCATGTTCTAGTTTTGATAACGCAACCATGCACCTCAAATGAGCTGAGGATGCCCTTTCTGCTCGAAAGATGCCAAAAGGCCCTTCTGCAACTTGGGGGGTACCCAGAACACTCAAGGACACCAATGGCAACACTATTCTTGGGCCTGATGGAAAGCTGTTGAAAGAAAAAATTCCTATGGCTGAAGCGAGGCTCCCAAATGGCAATCCCCAGTCACTGTATTTTCCTGACGGTCATCCAAAGGCCGGATTTTTCAAGGGCATGGCCCAGATTTTAGTCGAACGTGGCTATGCTAATGCCTCCAAGCTCCATGCTAAATGCAAGGATTTCAAGTGTCCGACTCTGACTAATGGCGAGAAAGCTTGTTGCTGTCATCGTCTGATGTATGTTCAACCAGACTTTGTTAATGTGGAGTCGTGTCTTGAAACCTTGTGTCGCACGCGAAATTTTGATGTCATCTTCTTGCTGAAATTTCATTGTGAACTTAATTTTATAGAACAGTGTTGGGGCTTCGCGAAATGGTTGTGTCGAATGAAGGACCGATCTTCATCAGAAGAAGTTCTCGAACAGAATATCATTGAATCACTTGATGCTGTCCCAATGGAGTCAATGCAATGGTGAGCGCTGCCTTGGTTGTTTCATTTAAAATTAGCTGACCAATCTTAAGTTTCGCTATGAGATCTGCAAGATTTATCGATGCATATCAGAAAGGCTTAAATGGTACGCAAGCTGCATGGGCAATCAAAAAATACCGTGGTCATCGTGTTCTCCCGCAATCCATTATGGAGGAACTTGATTGTCTGAATACACTCCCAACAACACATTAATTCATGTGATACACATCTTCTACTATTGACGCACTATTCGTGCACGTGATGCCGCAACGCTACAGAATACCAACAGACATTGTATATATAGTTCATGTTCATTTTCCTTTCTCCCTCAGTCTGTTACGCACATGACTGAGGGTACGTCTCTGTTATTTCATGTTTCTCTTAGCTAGACACTAATGATCTATCTACTATAGATCTAACTCTGTCTAGGTACATATGAATCTCAGTCTGTTACACACACGACTGAGGATCTAACTCTGTCTAGTTCCAACAGGTTATGAGCCCTGCGCCCTCGTAAACGAGAGCATGGAGACCCCCTAGACATCGTTAAGGTTCAGTACACCAGCGTAATGCACACGCCCGATACGGCATGCAATGTCATCACATCATCATCATCAACGGCCAACGTCTTTCAATGTCATTCTCGTTTCCTTTTTAGGTGAGAAGTGTAGCTTTGATAAATGCACGTCCCCGACGCATATATATATATATTCGAGGCATATAGCGTTTATTCCCCTTTACCTCTTTCCCTCATACTGTTACGACTTGGATAGTATCTGTTGGCGATGCTCAAACAGACCGTGTGTCGTCAACGGTTGAGGACGTCCTTGAGCTAGCTCAAGGTTAGGGGTCTTACTTGGCGAGGCTTCGGCAAGTAAGATTTAATGCCTATGTCCAAATTGGGTTGCTTATGTCAAGCGGGGCTCGACGATAAGCGTATCTGCCAAGGCTTACGACACACGAAGGTTAATTGTAAGATCGTCGTTAATTAGAAGGACAGAAGTCCGACTAGTTAACAGGGGCTTTGCTCGTTGACAAAGTCGATGAGTAAAGATCGAGACTAAGGACTTATCCGTGATGAGCAGATAAGAAAATAGAATATAGACAGCTGGCTAGGCTGAAGGAATCACTCTTGTTAGGAGTAGGAGGTCAAGAACCAAGTAGATTCAAGTTAAGGATCTAGTTACAGGGTAGCGAGTTTATATAGAGGAGAGGAGGCATATTAGTGGATGATAACTCATACTACCAGAAGAGGGAGTGGGAAAAGGGTAAGACTATAAAAGGAAGGCACGTTCGAGGTGAGTCATAGGCGAACCGGAATGTGCATATAGGAAATGAGTCAAAGAGCAAACTAAAAAGTGAAATGTGCAGGGGCACGATCGTGCAACTGCAGAGCTAAATATAAGTATACATGTGCGACTGCGCACCGAGTCATAGATCAAGAAAGGGAACAGGGTAAAGGGGATGCGGCGTGTATTGTATCATAGGTTACCGTCCGAGTGGTAAGGGCAAAGGGGACTGTCCACAGGATCAGTCAGAGGGTGGAATGGAGCATCGGTATGCTTCGTCAGAGAGAAAGGGTCGGGCCAGATGTACTGCCTCTGCTGGAGTGACAGGTAGAGAGCGAAAGGGAATGCGAGGATGACAAGGATAACAAGAGCAAGATCGGGGTAAGGGTGTGATGCAAGGGCGGAGACGAGGAGGATAAGGAGAAAAATGGTAGGGGCCCAAGCGTCAAGATGTTCTTGTAACATGTACCACCACTCAGTGGTATGTCACATCATACACAATCAAAATCTCACGTCAGCACATTCGACCTTACCAAACAACCAATACAACCAGCTGCATTGGGTTCTACCCTAGCGCCGACAAACATTGCAAGCAAACCTATAACAATCAAAATACCTCCTATTAAGTCCATGAGTACCATGTCAGTTACTACGTCGACGGTGTCGATTACTGCCATTACTTTGAGTCAGACCGACCTTGAGAAGATAGAAGTTCTCGACCGCAGCAAGAACAACTGGAGCACATGGTCAGACAAGCTACAGAACTACCTCTTACTCAAGCATGGCGGTGGGTATATTCTTGGGATCATCCCAAGACCAGACAGTTCTGTTGACCCCGCTGGTGCTAGCATTTGGGACCTCAATAATCTTTGTATAATCGCAGCTTTATGCACCCGCTCCAGTACCGAAGAACAGGACTTCCTGCGCACATACACCAATGCCCATCTCGCTTGGAGCACACTGAAGTCACGTCATGAGAAGGTTGGGCCGATCACACAAATCATCCTGATTCAACAGGGACTTGCCATTAAGTATAAACGTGCAGAGCGCCTTTCCACTACTAGTATGCACCTGAGCGACCTTGTTCGACACATATATGTGATCGGCTTACCAAAGGAGGAGGACTTCCTGACGATACTCATGCTTAATGCCATGAGCGAGGAACTACTGCATGTTCGCAACCACATTGCCGACTCCCTCGCCACCAGCACGTCATCAGCACCCTATGGGCCCTCTAACATTCGTGCCCATCTTGATGTCGAACAACAGCTTATCGACAGCGAGAAGTCTTCTGACATAGCAATGGTGACTACCAAGGGCAAATCTGGGCACACTACCACCCGCACTTGTACAGAGTGTGGACAGTCTTCTCACACCACCTGCTGCACCACCTGTGGGAAGTGGTGGCACGCTGCCAAGGATTGTTTTGGTAAGGGTGGAGCAATGGAAGGAAAGAAGGATGAAGTCACTGCGAAGCGAGCCGCAGCACGGGCAAGCACGTCGTCCAACATAGCGAAAGGGAAGCCCACCGCCAAGCCTGCCTCTACTAGCAAGCCTGGCAAGCTTCGCTACGATCAGGATGGACGTGCTTATTTTCTTGACAGTGAGAGTCTCGAGGCTGTTTACATCGCCGGCGCTGCACCTTCCCCATCCGAGTCTCCAACTCCTACTAAGGAATTTGCTGGTTTGGTGTACGATGACGTCTCTTCTGCCTTCATCCATGAGCTCCCCGACTCTGACTGTGACAAGTATAATGCACTTTTCGCTGCCCTTGGGTCTCTAAACACCAGTGTTGATTGGCGCTCACATACTCAGCCTGTGGACTTTGCTGGACTGACATACAAGGCCCCCAATCAATGTGCGTGCACCTTAGTAGACCCTTCCATTCTCCCCTTCTTCCTTGACAGCAGAGCATCCGTTCACATCAGCAACACCGAATCAGACTTTTATTCTCTCCGTCCTATCCCTCCTCGCTCTGTTAGTGGTGTTGGAGGCTCGTCAGTTCAGGCTGTTGCCATTGGAACTATCTGTCTGATTGTCGTGAAAGGTATCCATCTCACCTTGGACAGTGTCTTGTTCATCCCCAGCACCACTGTGTGTCTCTTGTCCGTGTCTGCCCTTTGCTCCGCACACCGATGCGTGGCATCCTTCAATGAGTCATCTTGCTGGGTCCAAGCACGCAGTGGGACCCGGATGCTGACTGGGACACTCACTTCTCGTCGCCTTTATGCTCTTTCTGGCGGTCAGCTGTCTGCTGATCATGTGTACCTCGCACACTGCCAACCTACCCTTGAGTCCTGGCATCGTCATCTTGGTCACACGAACTACCGCACCATCTATGAGCTGGCGTGCTCGGGTAATGCTACTGGTATGCCTATTGACCTTTCCTCTCTTCCCCCCGTTTGTGACAATTGTATCCTTGGCAAACAGACGAGGACTCATGTCCCGAAGGTCAGGGAGGGGGAAAGGGCGACGCGTAAGCTGGGAATCATGCACATTGACCTGATGGAGCATCCGGATACTGTTTCTGCGGCTGGGAATAGATACATTATGGACATCATTGATGATTTCTCATCCTACTCTTGGGCAAATCCCCTAGCTTCAAAGTCAGATGCTTTCCCCGCTCTACACGCTTGGGAACGCGCGTGAGAAGTTGAAACTGGCTCTAAGGTGGGTATCTATCGGTCTGACAATGGTGAACTCAAGACCGCGTCTATGTGAACATGGCTCCTGTCGCGAGGCACCCAGCATCAGTTCACTGCCCCCTACACGTCTGCTCAAAACGGACACATTGAACACCTTCACCGCACTCTTATGGGTAAAGCACGTGCTATGTGTTCATCTTGTAATGTCCCTCCAAATTGATGGGACGAATCCGTCCTAACTGCTAATTATCTCTCTAATCGCACCCCCGTTGGTTGTCACAACCCAATAACGAATTAACGCTGGGCAGAGACTAGGACTCGTACTAAGGTTATCGGACAAAGAGAGAGAGGAGCAAGTACATCTTGGATTGCTACAGTTGTAGATACAAGAGGTTTGAACTAAAGAACTATCAACCAAGACATGCTACCTATATACAACTATTGAGACGGAGATTGAAACTGAGTTGTAACTACTAGCCAATCATAAAATAGGAAAGGGAATTGTACCATAGAACGTCGTAGAATATTAAAGAAGTATCACGTGACCATATCTTATCTTATCGTATCTAATCTAATCTATTCACAATCAAAGAACTCGTCTTCTTCATCAATCACATCAAAGACACGTGTCATGGGCACTAAAGGTATTTCGGGAATGATAGACGCTTTCAGGGTAGGGTTAGGGTTTGACTTAGGTGTTGTGTATTGGCGCTTAGGAAGATTTAGGAAAGAATAATGGTTTGTTAAAGGTACTCGTGACATTGGTTCGCAACTAGGCTGCACACCGTATGAAGCCTGGCATGCCCGAAAGCACGACTTATCACACTTGCGTGAAATTGGTTGTCATGCTTTCGTTCTCGCCCAGAACTGGCATAACCCTAAAATTTTAAATCGTTCCATTGAATGTGTTCTCATTGGATACTCTCTCGACTCCAAGGCATACCGCTGCTATCATCACGAGTCACATAAGGTCTTTATATCTTATCATGTATCTTTCATTGAATCCCACAACAGTGACTCTACTCCCTTACACCCTGGTCACGTTATTGACAACCCACCCGCCTCTTGCTGTCCTGATGCACCTCCAGACTCCAGCCCAGTTACTGCACCTGAACTACCCTCCTGCAGTTCAGCTGCCACGCCTGGCACTGGTGTAACACCACCTCCTGTTCAACGCTCAGCACGAGCACCAGTTCCATCAGAACGCCAATGTGCCGCTGCAGGTACCACTTATGTGCCGCTGCAGGTACCACTTATGTGCCTGCCGCTCAGCGTGCTATTTTAGCGTCTTTGTCAGCTAATGAACACCTACAAACCCTTGAGCACACCTCGGCTGTGAATGAACATGTCATGTCTGCTGATCTCCTTGACCCCACGCTCACAGACCTTGAGGCTGAAATTGCCCACCTAACCGAGGCTTTTGCTGCCATACCTGACAACTTTGATGCCGAACACCTTGCCGACCCTGCTACATACGCTGAGGCTATGAACTCTGAGCACGCAGAAGATTGGACCAGAGCCATGCGCGAAGAATTTGATTTGCTCCATGAGCTCGGTGTTTACAAACTCGTGCCTCGTTCTTCTGTTCCTACAGGTCACTGAGTGATGAAAAGACGCCCTGTGTTCAAACTAAAGCATGACCAGCACGGAGCACCAGCTCGGTTCACAGCCTGGTATGTATGTCGCGGATACTCTGCTGTTTGGGGACAAGATTACATGAAAACCTCTGCACCAACTGCATGCTTAGAGTCTTTCCGCATTTTGGCTCACATTGGCGCTGCTCTCGACTGGGAGATTGAACAGCTCAACATCAAGACAGCTTTCCTCTATGGACTCCTGGATTCTGATGAACGTTGCTATATGGAACAGCCTGAAGGATTCATTGAGCCCAGCTTCGAGGACTACGTATGGGAACTACAGAAGGGCTTGTACGGTATGAAGCAGGGTGGCCTTGTCTGGAACAGAACCCTCAACGATGCCATGCTTTCCTGGGGCTTTACGCGCCTCAAAAGCGAACATTGTATTTATTTCCAACAAACTGACATCGGCACCCTCCTCGTTGCGGTTCATGTCGACGACTTCTTCACTGTTGGAAGCTCAAAAGCTGCGATGAGTAATTTCAAAGCACAACTTCGAACTAAGTGGCAGGTCTCTGAGCTTGGAGATGCTCACTTCTGCTTGGGTACCACCATTGACCATGATTGTAACGCACGTACCATTGCCCTTTCGCAAACCGCACTGATTGACCGCATCATCACACAATTTGGGCTAACGGATGCCAACCCCATACTTATCCCCATGGACCCTGGATTGCACCTATCCAGACGAGATCACTCACCCCGTAACGACCACGAATGCAAGCTGATGACATGTACCCCTTACCGCTCGCTCGTCAGATCCCTCATGTACCTCGCAATTGGCACCCACCCTGACATCTCCTATGTGGTTCAACAATTGTGCAAGTTCCTCAATAGCTATGGACACGTTCACTGGGAGGAGTATGGGTCGCATCGAGGAGGAGTATTGATGCACTATTCATGCACGTGACGCTGCAACGCTACAGAATACCAACAGACATTGTATATATAGTTCATGTTTGTTTTCCTTTCTCCCTCAGTCTGTTATGCACACGACTGAGGGTATGTCTCTGTTATTTCATGTTTCTCTTAGCTAGACACTAATGATCTATCTACTATAGATCTAACTCTGTCTAGGTACATATGAATCTCAGTCTGTTACGCACATGACTGAGGATCTAACTCTGTCTAGTTCCAACATCTACTAATATTATAACTCATTTAATACTCAAGCTTCTTGCTGCTCTTAATCTACCTTTAGTATTCGTTGTACCAATACCATGTTCTTCGACTTCTACTTAGCATGCTTCGGCATGAGTTCGGCACTGTTCGGCATACCTTTGCGACACTTATCCACACAACGTCACACTTCGTCACATGCACGTGATGTTCGTCGAATTCACAAGACCACTATCTTAATTCAAATATTGATAATTTCATTGTAGAACTATGGCAATACCTTGCTCCGCAAGGTCATGTTCACATGTTGGTAAATATGTGCTAACATAAGCATGTAGTCCGTGTGACAAAAAATAAAATTCAGAGTTCGATGATCGGTGACTCCCTGGCGTCCCCGCCCCGATTTACTATCTAAACTGCCATGGAGTCAGCGTATTTGAACTCTTAAATACTTCTGACAATCGATGTGCTTTCATATTCAGTTTGATGCCATGAATGTTAAAATAAGAGTTACCAGAGCAAGATCAACATCGGCGACAAGTAGTTGAAAAATAATAAAATTGGGGGCGAGAAAACTCGGGCGAAGCCGGAGCAAGGTAAATAGTCGGCAACGCCGACAACGAGGTGTGGGAAAAACTAAAAAGAGATTACCACTTCACAGCAAAATTCCCACCATCTTGTAGTAGGCAGAATGGTTACCAGTCTAGGGTATGACATCGAAAAACAAAGTCGCCGCTTCTGAAACCCTTAGTATAAACCTGGTGTGTGGATCTCAATTTAAGCGCTCGTGGACTCTATGCCCTAGCTTTCATACTACAAGTTCGTTTCTGACAATAAAAGTACAATTCTTGCTTGAATTGAAAGCAATCCCTGTCACATTCTAGACTCCAGGAGTCACAATGACCTCTCCCGGCTCTCCGCACGTGAATGTTCGGCATGAAACAATGAGAAGAGGGTGCAACACAGGGATGATAGTGAGCCGCTCAAATGCATTACAACGTCACGGGGATGTATTATCCCTGAAGGTACCGGACTCGCTCGTGGACCTTCGCAACCTTACATACTAAGTATAATAGTTGTGCTAAAATGTCGGGAATGACGCGTAACAGCGACAGCTATGTATTACACGTGCATATGATAATCGTACAGGAACAACTGATCATTTTAATGGCGGTAGATCTTGGCCAAGACTTCGTCCCATATACTCAGCCCAGAGCGCTTTACATTGCACCTCGAGACTCACATGGCATCTAATACTGCGCACATCGCACGAGTTATGCTTCAATCGGAAGGGCGAGGTATAGCTGGAACACGCCTGACGATAAAGCCTATGCGCCGCCGCCAGTGTGTGGTTCGATAATACATGTTTTCCAGAAGGCTGTCCTCCATAGAAATGACACGGGAACGCAGTTTCCATGCGCTGAGTTTTTGACGGATCGAGTCAAACCGTTTGACTAACACTTCCATGGTAGGTCTCCCACTGGGATCATCCTGCACCATGTCATCAACAAGAGGTTTCAAGAAATCTAACCCTGATCTGGCCTTAGTTAGGGTCATAAGCAACAAACCCGAGGTAATGAGATTTGTAGGGACTCACATACAAAAACTGTTCTCTAATGACGTTTCCGAGATAATAGATGTCAGTGGGAAAAGGATTGATCGGAACATCGATATTCTTCTGAAATTCTGGCACTGATTTGTCGCCCCCAAATATTGGGTACTCCCGTGGGTTCTCCTCTGTGGCATCGTACCGCCGTGATAAGCCGAAATCGATTAAGTAGTATTTTGGCGGCCGCTGAGTGCGAGTGAGATGGTTTACATAGCCACTGAAGTCACGTTTCATATGAGGCTGAGCAGGGTGATACGGTTGAGGGTAGAGATCTTTTGCGTCCATCATGATATTTCTGGACATGCAGTCGCTTGTAATGTAATGAGTTGAGCACATAAGACAATAGCATCGCGTTACCTACCGGTGCGCTACGTGATTAGTGTGCATAAACAACAATCCCTGCGATATATTACACGGACGGTATCGCATTCAGGAACAATTTTACTCACTTCAAATAACTGTCTAAGGCATTCCACCACCTCGCCAACGGTGTCAAATCGAGGCATCGTAAAATCGACCAACAGAGGCATCACGAGTATATTTTTTCCGTCTTCGTTGGGCACTGATAGTACATCGAGAAATGGAACACAGTGGTTCTTGGGATCGGAGGCAAGGGGCTCCATCATGAAATATTGACCGATTTCTACCTCGTGAGGGTGTACCGATCTGTCTACGACTTTGAGCGAGATGAACAATCCATCAGATATGCGAGTCGCATCCATTATCTGAGGAAACTGTGGCATTGTAAGTTGCTTGGGGATGCAATCAAACTCTCGTTCGCCTTACTTGGGATATGTGACCATCTTCACAAGTAAAAGGGTGACGCTGTGAACCCTCCCATGATGGGACCCATTCCGGGGCGTATCGAGGACGAAGTAAGTACCCATGAGCCTTTAGGAATTGATACTGTTGACACCACCAAACTTCATATACGGACAAAGCACCTGGTCTCTGTTCGCGTTCCGCTCCAAAAGCTTCAAGTTCTCTTTGAGCTCTGAGAACCTTGCGTCTCTCAAGTTCTGCGGCCTTCTTTTCTGCCTTCGTCTTGGCTTTCGGACTCTTGTCCTTCAAAATCACAGCGTCACGCATGCAGGTTGAGGTACAAGCCAGGAAGTAAGGTTCTAGTATTACTTCCGAGATTTGGAAGCATAAACAATCGTACACAACTATCCTGTACTAGTATGTATGTACCAAGTACGTACTTCGTAGTATGCGTACATGATTCGGGCCATTCCAAAATTACAATCGACCCCCAGAAACTGTTCACTCCGACTCGCCGATGCTATGTACAATCTGATTTATTTTCAGCATTAAATATCAGTGCCTTGACCCACAAGTACTTAAATGTACTCGACTATCACCATGGATTGATGTTTATTAGCATCACCCGAACTTAATCATGCCTTCTGAGCCAGATCGTCGAACCCTCCTCATTCCTGTAAACCTTGGCTCGCCTGCTCAATATGATAGATCCATCTTCCCTCTCATGAAGCTGAAGGATCAAAGCGGTCTCGCACAAGCTGATCTAGTCCTGGAAGCCACATTGGACGAGGTATTCAGGATACGTGAGATGGCCGCTGATAAGACACAGTTCCAAGACCTACTTGCTGCGACTAAGCTCGCGTATGACAAGTTTGTCTCTTCGCACACTTGATAATGTTGAGCTTTTTATCTGTTACATTTCAGACTGGTTCTTGAACGGGATAGACTAGAACAACAAAAGAAATCAATCAACCCGGTGAAATTATTCTCAGCATATCGTTCGACTCGGTTGCTTGTGGAAGCAGGAAAAAAGTTGTACACGAACACTAGGGTAATACTAACCTGTTCTGGGTGTTTAACACGACCTCTGATATACTTCTGCAGACCACATCGGAGAGGATACGAAGGCAATTACTTTCTGTTGCCTCGACAAATGTTGAGCGTGTAGAATGTTTGTGCAAATCATCGCTCGTTTTGCTGATCACCCAAGCTTAAAGTTTACCCAGATGATGACCTGTCACCCGATGCTCAGATTAGCGGAATCGCTGTTCCATTGGATGAGCCGTTGGATGAGCCCACAGCTTCATTTTTCACCGAAGCTGCAGATTTCATTATATCCCAAGAGGACCCGCCTTCCCAGGAAAACCCATTTACCGATCATTTTCAAGTAGAAGGCTGTAAGAATATTGTGTCTGCCTGTTGTCTCCATACTTACGTGCATGATAATAAGTTGGAGCTAGTGCGGGAACTGAACCCAATTCTACTGCAGCTTCGGCAACCGGCAATGTTGCCTGACCAAGTAGTTCTCGCCCTTCCGAAGAATACCCGCCGGGATCTGGTGCGACTATTTTATTTTCAATAATAAATATATTGCCTCGAGATCTGTCATGAACACACCAACTTTGAACCATAGTAGGTTGCATAACCAAGGGTCGTGTTCGTACCCTCCCCATTTACCTTGTGTTGTTGTGATTTAATCAATTACTTTACTTCAGCTGCTCGCCGCTGACACTGTTATGTTCGATTTCTGTCTATGCACTATGGCGTCGCATGTGCAATCGTTCTGACCACTTTTCAATGCTATTTCTTCAATGTCAGTCATGTAAACCACCACATCAACACAAATGTTGTGAGGGAGGTAGTGCAGCACGTGAAAATAATTGCGCTCACTGAAAGTTCTCCAAAAGGGTGCGTTCATTCATGCTTTCAAGATGCATCACGCGTGTTCCGTCTATACAGTGTTGTGCATGACTTACGGTTGCATTTTCGTGCTCCGCGATAATCAGAATTTAATATTGCGCAAAAAATGATTGATTCCTGGCGAAGTCTGGTCTATGTAGTACATATAATTATAATGTAAATAGATGACGTTTTCCACGTTGATTGAGTGCCAGGGGGCGACTCATGTCGTGCTACAACATACGACTTGAACTCCGTGCGACTCGGAGTTGTAGCGTGTACAGCTGTCTTTCAAATGTCAGTTTACCTCCGCGTTGGAGGTAAATATCACTTGTGCTATTTGTTTCGCCGTTTTTATGTGCAAGTGCTCAGAACTTATGCCACGTAAGTCAGGCCTTCAGGGACGTACAACGGCAACCTGCGATGAAAAGGAGAAAGGTACGTCAACAGTCCAGGTTTGACTTCGACTTCGGACTAAATTCGAGGCTGAATATTGAAAAACACGCGCATGATAATATACAACGATATGGGGAAGCAGCCCGAGCTCATCGACATCTATCACGCATGGGAATGCAACAACGGTTGTATTTGTTCAAGGTTTCGATGTGGCCAAAATCGTGATAATCGATCATGTCATGGCATGGCATATGCGATGCCGTCAGTAGTTAAGTTCTTTTATGTATACAACAATAAGATGTAATTGTACCTGACTCTAAGTTCAACGTCCTCAGGCTATGTTCTCACTCACAACAACACTTACAACACCGTGACGGCTCCGCAAGCTACGACACATTTGTACTGCAGCATGTTGAAAATGATGGGATCCCAAAAAATAATTCAATGGAGGAGCTTGACAGGTTTGGTGTCCTGCAACTGAGGCGACCGTTTTTGGCTTAGTGGTGCTGGCAGCGAATCACGATACGTTAGAGTTCAACGTGCTTGTAACTTTGTGGGTGCTGATATCTTGCCACCGCCTTACAACTGCCATCACGATCGTTTCTCGTAAGTTGTTAAGGTGGCCGCTATCGGTGTTGTTGTTCTTCAATACCACGAATGAAACTTGAGGCCAAATACTATCGGTGGTTTCTTTCCAGTACTAATCCTGCAGAGTATAAATATGGGACTAGTCGGAGGTGAGTAATCCCCATCAACATACTCTCAATAATTCACCAGATCACCAGACTAAGACCATATCGGCTGCATCATGCTTTGCTTCTGGAAATACTTTTTCGCCTCACCAGCTTCAGAATCTCCGGGTAGGTGCTATCCATTGTTGCTGTCGCTGAAGACTAAGTTCTGAACACCAGCTAATACCAACATCGGCGTTGAACCCGGCCCCGAGTCATCTAGTGAAAACTCATCATCTGAAGGTCACACGTCGCTTCAGTCTGACTCCATTACGACGAGTGGTAGTTCGACATCAACCGATACAGATGGTCCTGCGGCCTCCACCAATACTTCTGTGACCGAGCAATCCACCGTTAATGCTGCCATAGGTACGTGCACGATGCTCTTACCTCCAGTTCGATACTGACATCATGCAGTACCACCCCCGGCTCAGGATAATCTACGTGCTCGACTGCGTGACATAGACTGCGTGGACTTTGATTGCAACTCGAATGTTGGGTCACCCACCATAAATTTTGACTCGGATGAAGCTACTGGAGCAAGTGAGCGACACATTTCTGAACCCGTCGCTGTCGTGTGCTGATCAGTCATCTAGCATTCACCACTCCACAGAACATGTTCCGACCACAGCGACCGCCCTCCACAGTGGCTCATCGCCCTCAAATGGTTCACGCAAGAAGGCGTGAGCGAGTCACGTACTTTGGCCCTGGAACTGAAGTGGATAGCCCGACTATCAATATCCGATCTAAGCGTGCTTCCGGTGCCAGTGAGTACACTTGTTGACGTGATATAAATTCTGTATTGATTAGACTACTAGTGTATAATAATAATTGATACGGTCGTTCCTAATAGTAGTCACCAGTATCATAGCTTGAAGTAGGTGGAAATGTGTTAGTGACCGCATGTTGGCAATTTTGCACGAGATATTTACTATGGGTCTGTCTTGAACCTGGCGCCAGTTCTAAGAATGCGACACAAGTTATTTAGATCCTTCAAACTCATTGGCAGCTGAATCGGATGAGAAAATGTAATTTATACTAACAACTGTTGCTCGGCACTCGGTTGCTCTAGAGTAGACGGGGCCAACCCGACTGCTTTGTTAGATTTGACTTCTGCCGATCAAGCTGGAAATGATGGTTCGTAATGATGGATAAACATGCGGAAGAAAAGTCTGACAGTTCCCGTCATATTGCCAATTTTCGTCGTGAAGAAACAGGAGATAAGCCCTCTAGTTTATACTTTGCATGAGTATGATGTATCTCGTAGACTACGGCACCTCAAAGACAAAGCGAAAATTCACTCAAGTAGCTGCAAGTCACAGTAGTCGCTGGCTTAAAGATAGAGATCGTTCGATTGATACCCATCGAGAACAACAATGAACTCACCACATATCATACAAAATCCGCTGAGCAGACCCGCTGATATATGACCCCAATAGCGTCAAAACTGCAGCGCATTTGAGAATATTCTTGACGGCCCTTCTTCGTCTTGCCCACACCCACTTCTCAGCGCTGACTGCCGTATAGTGATCCCAGTTCGGTCTACGAAGTAACCACCACAAAACTGTCCCATGCCAAGGAAACGGATAGAATAGCTTGCCTGAACCGTTCGTACGCACCCAGGAACTGCAGTGCGCGTACACCGAACGAGAGAGATGTTCTTGTAGCTTGGCATTGTATGTATCTGTGGGTGTGGCTTTGACGATGAAAGATGAAGCAGAACCGGTCAGGACTGGCTCTATGAGTTGAAGAATGTATGCGACCTTACGACAAACTTGAGCAGAAAGATACAAAAATCAAGGTGTACTTACTTGGGCTTCTGTAATGAACGTCGACGTTGCTCGCGCTCCAGTATTTGGTCCTGTAATCAATGCGTCAGGCAACAAATTGAGGATAACATGTCCCTTATGAACTCACCAGCTAACAAGTAAAAGTTCGGTATGTCAGGAATTGTAGTCCCGATGTATGCGGTAGGGCCACCATGCGCATCATAGTAGCCTTGAACGGTGACTCCATTCAAGCCTCGAACGTGCATCGGGTACCGCTCCTGTTTCTGCAGTTGACACCCAATGGAATATTTGATCACATATAGCAACTCACGCCAGTGAATCCGGTCGCGTATACAATGACATCGAATGGTAACCTTTCACCTAAACCGATGTGATGAAAGTGATGATATCATTGACGGCTCTCACATACCAGTTTTTGTGATGATGCCATCCTCGACGATCTCGGCGATTCCGTCGAAATTCAGTGTTACGTTAGAGCGATGGAGACTTTTCAGGAAACCACTGTCCGCGACTGCATGTAATGGAATGAGAAATCAAATGTTCTAAGTTCAACCACTGCCGACAAACCAGTCCGCTTGCAACCTGGAGCTGTGGGACATGTGAGCATTATTTTTTTTCTTGATTAGACACGTACGATAATCGGGTATCATATGTCCATGGTATCTACTCGGTGTGTTGTCGAGGATGTATTTCGTCATTGCCTAAGTAGATCCGTTATATCAAATACCTGGTCTTTGGAACCCTGCTCACGTCACGTTGTTTCTGGAGAGTTTTATCACCCATGGGTAAGCGAGGAGCAAGGTACTGTAACAAATATCAGCAAGCTAAGATTCTAACATGCAGAAGGTCTGACCCCCAACATGATCCAAGCTCGGTGTAGTCGCATCACCAGGGGGATGTTAGCAAATGTCCATTTCGCAGTGTCTGAATACGAAATACGTGGCTTAGATGTGTTGTTTAGTTGTTGAAATCATCGAACATGGTACAAAATCTTACTCGAGTGTTAAGCCAGGTCGGTGTGCGGATGAAGTTAACTACTTCAATAGACGGGTCTTCAGATATAGATGGCACAAACTGTACCCTTGTTGCATGTTACCACCGATTACCTGCGCAAAAGTCGCCGTGTGACTCACCCGGAGGAAGCATTTCCAATCACTGCAATACGTTTATTCTGCAGATCTATTGAGCCTGGCCATTGTGCGGAGTGAAACGAAACCCCCTGGAACTTCCGAACTCCAGGGACCTCGTGTGGAATATTTGGGGTATCCAAGATACCAACGGCAGATATCACGATGTGGGCCACGCTTGAGCTTCTCTTGCCTGAAAAGATATCTTCTGCGACGATAGTATACTGTTGTTTGGCATCATCCCATTCGGCAGATAACACTTTTGTGTTGAATGCGATGTGAGGATATAAATCATATTTCTTCGAGAGCTTGATCCAATAGGCTTGAATGTCTGATTGAAGGCCATGCGACTGGTTCCAGTATGGGTAAAGGTCTGACGATAAGCTGTAGAAATGAATTTCGACATCCGACGAGCATCCCTAAAACAAGTTTCGAGGTGAGTGATGTGTTGCAGTTTCAGCTGTTGACAATATGTACAGGATATGTATTAGCCTGTGCCAAAAGATGTTAGGAGAAAGTTTAGTGCATGACAGCGACGTACCCTCCACACTCCACCGACTTCAGGCCCTTTCTCATATATCTATTGAAGTACTCAGCGAGAATACCACTCATTGCACGTATGCATGCACCCACTGTGAAATTGCAAAATCCAAGCTTGGTTTTGAGAGCAATAGCTTGGGTTAACCCGGCGATACTGCGTGATTTGGCTCAATGTTTAGTTATTGTAGAACCAAATGAAAAGCGAAACTTACCCGGCGCCAATGATGGCGACTCTTCGCTGTATCTCACTCATGTTAAAAATGATTATTCCCAAGGGTTTTGAATCTTCCTTAAATACTCTCTTACCTAGCACCGGTTGCGTGGCACTGATAGCGACGAACGAGGTCATATTCCCTGCCATCACGCCTCGCTATCGCGCGAAACCCTTAACTGTGACATAAGCATCTCGTACCTTCAAGGGTCTCTGGTATTGCACTTGGCAAGCAGAGATTAATTGGCCTGGCTTGACGGCTCAGCGGGGTTTAAATATCGCTCAGGATCTGGCCTTCTTCGGCGGCTGCATTCGAGCGGCATCTCTACTCCCGCCTGTTAATGTCTGTGACAAACCTTCCTTCCCAACGAAGAGATAATTCGCAATCTCATTATTGCTGTCTGCCTTCCGGTGTTGCTGTGGATGAGTAGGCTAGGTGTTGTTGTTTCAGCCTGTTGGTACTGTCAAACTGAATAGAATTAAAGGGTTCGAGATACTCGACACAAAGTCTACGTCTTACCGGCCATCATCAAGGGTGAAGTTATCATCACTGGCACTGGCCCGGGGGCCCATGGTAAGCGTCACACTACTTGGCTATCCGGGTTGACCACCAGCGATCGTGATCACGTTGCAAATGATCTTATTGGCTGTATTAACGACGACTTGGCCGAACATTGAATGTTTCGTCTGTTACTGCGAGTACAGACCTGCTGTGTCCAGCCGGCCCATCATGCGTGTTCAATGAGTCTTCAAGGCCATCACGCGACAATGTTCAGGAGATGAAGTAGTTGCCAGAAGTCGCAGAATGGCGAAACTTCAATCCCTACTACATTTTGTCCCGACTAAAACTGTTTTGCAAGGATCGCAATTATCAAAGAACCTGGTGGTGTTTACATCCGTTGTCTTTGTGAATAGCTCCAAACTGCACGTAAGTAACATCTTTTTTTGGCTAGCAGCAGCGTGTTACGTGAATATAATTGGGAGGGAATGACTGATTAATGCGCCCAATATACCATTTCAAGGGATCTTCTGCATGTCGGTGCAATTCGTCTTATCTGCCCGCACACTCGCAAAGCGGCTTGGATTTGGGAGCGTTAAGCTATGCGTTCGTTGATTTATGAGGTACTGTGAAATTTAACGTCCCGGGGATGCTCGCTGTGCGTTAGCTCAAGGTGGGACGTGTTCGTGTGATGGAATCCGTAAGGTCGGACGTAATGAAAACAAAAAGTTTACGCGCATGTTACAGCACGTTATGCCCTTACAAGGGTTTCGTGCTGCTTTGCTATATTTTGCTTTCTGTGTGACTGTGCCGCAGTTGCTCCAGTCGCTCACCATCCTCGTCCATAAAATAATATCTGTCATATCTTCTTCAAACATTGGTCAGTATTGACCGGACTGCTATATCAAGCTAATTTCGAACCCGTCGTCCTATTCATGGTTATTGCCATCTCCACAGCATAGGCTGCATAGCGCTCAAGAATACTCCGCTCCCTCTATTCGCTCACCATCCTGGCATTTCCTCCACTTCCATCCACAACTACTGACGAGCACTCCTGGCGGCTGCTCTAGATGTCGAACGAGCAACAAACACACACCGTCCGAATCACAGGTGAGTAATGCATGATCAGTTGCACCCCTACGACTGCTCATCTGCGCACCCCCAGTCCTTGCCGCCAACTCCCTTGTGAAGCGAGAGGTTTTCAGTCTTCCAGACCCATTCGCCGTCGTCTCCGTCGACACTGATCAGACATACACCACCAGTCCTGTGAAAAAGAGTCTGAGCCCAACTTGGAACCAGCACTTTGATATGTGGGTTTCTATAAGTTATCTCGCTGCTATTGGTATTAAGCGTGTTTCCTAGCACCGTTCGGCCATCTTCCACTATTATAATCCAGATATTCGACCAGAAGAGATTCAGAAAGCGAGATCAAGGTTTCCTAGGACTTGTTGAGCTTACTGGTCAAGAGGCGATAGAGCACACGGCCAACAGTTACAGTACTCACAATCTCTACCTCCAACACCCCATGCTGATACGACTTTCTGCAGGGCTTATAACTCACGACCTTCGCCAATCGTCTACTGGATCATCTGTCTACGGAAAGATGTTATTTTCGTTCTCGCTTCCGCCGAACACCCCATCAGATGCCGGGCAAAGCAATCTATTACCCAGTATATCATCAAACCGGTCTCTGCGCCCCCGTCAGAGCACACCTATGCTTCACCCCGAGTCCTCAACAAGGGTACCCGCTCTTCCCCGCGCCCCATCTCTCGGTCCCCTTCTAAACCGCCGAGGTTCAACTTCCAACTCGGAGTCCCGAACCTCGTCAGATAGCGCAACAACGATATCCAGGCCTCCTATAGGTATTGCACGTGAGGTTTCTCTCACGGGACAATCTACCACCAGTACCAGTGGGGATGACGAAGACGAATTGCCCCTCCCTCGAGGATGGGAGCGTCGTCTTGACGAACGAAGCGGTCGAGTTTATTACGTTGACCACAATAGAAGGATGACCACATGGGTACGACCCACAACCACACCTTCCACATCACCTTCTATCCGTGCTCCGTCAATCTCCGTGACGCAGCCGCATGTTCAGAATCCCACCCGCAGCAGCGGTGGCTATGTAGATGTCCCTCTACCGGCAGGATGGGAAGAGCGTCGGACACCAGAAGGACGTCCCTACTTTGTTGACCATCATACACGCCTGACGACATGGATAGACCCACGTACGGTACAGATCGCTCCTTCCGCTATCTCTGCGTCCACGAGCGCGAATGCGAATATTGGTCCCCTTCCATCTGGTTGGGAAATGCGCCTTACCTCCACTGGCAGAGTATATTTTGTTGATCACAATACCCGCACTACGACCTGGGATGATCCAAGATTACCCTCAAATCTGGATTCTAATGCCCCTCAGTACAAACGTGATTACAGAAGGAAGGTGATCTACTTCCGCAGTCAACCCGCGATGAACCTGAAGGAGGGCAAATGCGAATTGAAGCTGCGGAGAAGCCGAGTCTTGGATGACAGCTTCGCCGCTGTCATGCGGATGAGTGGAAATGAGCTGAAAAAGAGGCTCGTGATCAAATTTGAAGGAGAAGATGGCTTGGACTACGGAGGTGTCTCAAGGTATGAATTTCACTGGTCGAGGCGACCTTGCTCTGATACTGTGATAGGGAGTGGTTCTTCCTGGTATCTCATGAAATCTTCGACCCATCCTATGGCTTGTTCCAATATTCTGCACACGACAATTACACCCTTCAGATGAACTGGATGTCGGGTGTCAATCCTGAGCATCTCACGTACTTCAAATTTATCGGGCGATGTCTTGGGCTTGCTATATTCCACAGGCGGTTCCTCGATGCCTACTTCGTGCCGAGTTTCTACAAGATCATCCTAGGGAAAAAGTCAACATTGGCTGATCTCGAAGGCGTCGATGCCGACCTTCACCGTAGTCTAGTCTGGATGCTGTACGTTTCTCCTCTTATCGCTACTAACTCGAGTCGCTCAAGTATTTGACTTAGAGAAAATGACATCACCGATGTCTTAGACGAAACGTTCACTTCTACGGAAGACCGCTTTGGCGAGATTGTGGAAGTCGAGCTGAAACCAGGAGGAGCTAATGTACCCGTTACGGAAGATAACAAGAAGGAGTACGTTGAAGCGGTTGTGGAATACCGTACTAAGACAAGGGTCCGGGAACAATCCCAAGCTTTCATGCAAGGCTTCCAGGAGATCATACCTCGAGACTTGATCGAACTTTTTGACGAACGAGAACTGGAGCTTCTCATAGGAGGGATGTCCGAGATTGACACGTGCGTATTTCATCATGTTCACCTCTATCACACTAAGAATACGTTACAGCGATGACTGGATTCAATACACTGATTATCGCGGATACGAAAAGACGGACAAAGTCATCGAATGGTTCTGGCAATGCATTCGTAGCTGGCCCCCAGAACGCAAATCGCGCTTACTCCAGTTTGCAACGGGTACTTCCAGAGTGCCTGTCAATGGCTTCAAGGATTTACAAGGCTCGGATGGGCCCCGGAGATTCACCATTGACAAGTCTGGTGATCCATCGCAACTCCCGAGAAGTCATACGTGTTTCAATAGGATCGAGTTACCTCCTTACCAAGATTACGAGAGCCTCGAAAAAAAATTGACGTATGCCATCGAGTGCGTTCGTTTTGTGTCCGATGGAGACGTATGCTGATTTTGTTTGTTTCTTCACAGGGAAACGGAAGGATTCGGTGTAGAATGAGTCGTATGCCTTGCTTCGATTATTCTTTTTTTTTGTTTATTTAGATACCAAAATGTTGTACTTTTTACGATGCACGTATACTGAACTTTCCTTCGATCTGCATTCTCTCATCGGTACCAGACAGACTTGCAGTGCTGACGACCATCGGATCGGGTGTATCGATGAGGCTGACGAAACCAACGATGAGTCACCCGATCCGCTCCCGCGACGCGCGTAGTCTTCGACGAATTCGGAGCACATTATACCTGAACCAGTGATCTGGTCTCTCCCAGAGGAAGGGTATGTTATGTCCATCGTTACGGATTCAGGGATGGTGTTTTCTCCGAAACTCATACCAAAGTCGTCCATGGTCTTAAAAAACAACGAAAACTGCAAACTCAAGATTCATTGGGGCTATCAAGGCTCACCACATGCGTAGTCTCGCTCCGTTTGATGTGGCTTTGATTATGTATAGATACAGCTCACCAATCTGGATAAATGCTTTGCCAGCTGTGAAAAGCCATGGCTAGGCGCGAACGCATGGGAAGAGAGCTTCACTTGGGCTGAACATCTCTTCCTATCTGTACTTCCTCTACTAAGGTTGCCCTTTTTGTATGATCGATTGATAGGCTTGAGATTGACAACAAATGCTCCAATATGAAAGGAACATTTTGTAAATTGCTCGAACACGCCATATGGACCCGGGATGTTCGGAAACTCGCACCGAGCTGTCGATCCCGGAACGCAGTCTGCAACGTGTATCGTCTGCATTTCCAAGGGCTCCAGCGATGAGCGAATGATCTTTGACAGTGTGCGTATGATTATATATACAAAGCTGTAATGGATGGAGAAAATCTGTGCGGTCTCAAAAGGGTGTCGATAATGACTAGGATTGGTGAGGGACAATATGGCACCTATTGACAACTATTATTGCGTGTCGGGCAGAAGACTTCAAGATATCGTACCCTAGCATGCCACGCCCACCCCAGCCCTTACGTGGGATGAGTTTCAACGACATAGTTTCCTCAGACCTTGATATGATGACCTGAATCTCGCGCTAAAGAATGTCAATAGATAGGAGGTGCAGGAAAAGTAACCTAAACCAACATTTTCATTAACAGATACTAAATCAGCCAAAGGTTGCAAAGAATTTGCTGTAAATGATGATCGTGCGAGAGATCCAAACTTCAATACCACATCTTCCCGTCGAAGTCCCTGCAAGCAAGACTCTGTCGATATCGTCCCTTGAAGCGAGGTTCATACCAACGTACCGCTTCTGCTGCGGGACTACCTGGAGCCACACCGTCCACTCTTGCAAAAGAAAGCAACGATTCCGCACTATCCATTGAACCCGTGTGCTGCGCGACCTCCTCAGATGCGGCAGGTGATGATCCGACTGTCGATGGATCGTATACCGCCTGAAGAGCTGTCTCAATCTCATTCATGACAGTTTTGTAGTCGTTTCGCAGCTCGTTTATGCGTCTGCGAGCATGCCGTATGACGTATAAATCGATGTCTGCCCGAGGAAAACCTTCCCGATCTACCAGGGATGAGGTCATATCAATGTTATTGGCTTTGAGGATAGAAAACTGAGCGTCCAGTTCGGCCTCGATGTTCTCTTTTTGAGACATGAGAGCACGAGCGTGCTCTCTTTGGTCGGTTGGTAATGGCAGCATGAATCCCATTTCGTATTTCTGCCAGGTGAGTTGGAGTTTGAGAAAGGGAGAGATCGATTATGTCATTCAGACACGTTTACGTAAACCGCAAGGAGTTAATACTATACTCAGCCAATGAAAATCGTTTGTCAATTACCCTTGACATCCAAGCACGAGTTCATTCCGAACTTTATGTACATGCATACGTTCCGCAATATACTTATCCGTTCACTTGGCTGTACACGTTCTAGACGAGACGCTAGTGACTTCCAAAATTATCATCACACTAGGCGCAGCCATCATATGTTGCTGAGATCATGACAGGCGCAGTAACGTCCCGGGTGCTTCAGTCATGGGGTCCGTAGTCCAGTTCGTCTCCACACCTGAGCTGTTCTTACTTGGAAATGAGGTGCGGATATTATGCTCTTGATGGCGATTTTAAGATCCGGGCGGTGCGTCGCGAGTGACATGATTGGCGCACTAATATAAGAAGCACTACCTTCAGCTATTGCAAAGTCCGTACCGGGCCTCCTCGATGGGAGCGGAGCGCTGATAATGATAGGAATATCAAAGCGCAGCTTGGGTTTCTACTTAATTTCTACCACGAGCATTCCATCTTGCTCGGCAATGAACGTGAACAATAGTATCGTGTTCAACGTTCTTGCACTGCACTACTACTAGTATGTGTGTTTGTAAATGATCTCGACGTCTGATGTATTTCAACCATTCAGCGCTCCACTATCATCTCTGCGTCTGGCAGAGTCTAACCTTCCGGTCACGTTTGCTCCCTGTGGCAAGCCCACACACTATCAAACGCAGTACAGCGCTGGCACATGCTATGGTAAAGTTTGACAACTCACAGCCTGGAGGAGCGGGAGCTAGGCATTGGTTGCGCTGCGGCTGTACACTGTGCAAAATACTCAAATGCGAAAGTGCCGCGTGGCTCCTTGAAACCGATGCACGGTTCGTTGAAGCCTAGGCTGTCTAGGGCCATTAAGAAGAATAAAAACAAACATGACCCCATTTTCGTCGGACTGGATTACTAAATCATGCCACTTCAACAGCCACTGATCCGTTGAATCGCCTCACAGCTCCTGTCAGTCACTTCGTTTTGATCTTCTCAGAGTGAGTACAAGATATCTCCAAGGCGCAGGCACGTGTTGCCTACGTGGCGGGGCTTGGCTTGGGGTCGCAAGCGAGGAATGAGCACATATCTAACGTATATAGTCATGGAAGCGGCCAATTTACAGTTCCGAACAGTTGTAATAAACGATTGGGGTAGTAGATCGGTTGGATTCACAACAACGGGGTAATAGTAGGTAATACCAAAAATGCGGGGCGTAAGAGCAAGCACCTACAGCCTTTCACCCTATGTGAAATTTCCTTGGATATGGTCTTCCGACGAGTCGGCGAAGGCTGTTGCCTATTGCGCAGCTTAATCTAGAATTTATGGCCGGGCCAATGTACTTCAAGTTGTATATCATGTACTTGTTCAGATCCCCGCGGTAATACAAGCTAATATCGCGGTTAGTGAGGATGGTTCTCATAGGTAACGTCATATACCTCAGCCATGTATTTTCTTCCTGTGGTGTGGGTTTGGACATGGCGTGATTACCAGGCAATCAATTACTACTCGGGAAAATAATGGTTGGTTGATGATAAATCTACGGCCGAAAATTTATCCAAGGGACAATGTCAGTGTTCAATTGTAATTGATAGACTAACTATAGTGAATGGCCGCTCACTAGTGCGGTTAGTTAAAAGCTTCTGACAACGGAATCTGTGTTTTTAGCGTGGAATCAGCTAACCCGTTCCACCATATTCGAGTCATTCTTAAAAACCGTACCACGTCTCGGCAGTGTCCCGCATCCCTCGCGTCCACAACCCTCCTCTTACCCGAACGCCCATTTCTCACCATGTTGTCACAAAACTTTATGCTAGAGAAAGACCCTCTGTCTCTCGAGCGAATCCGTCAAATTTTAGTCCGCCTTGAAGACACCATCATATTTGACTTGATAGAGCGGGCCCAGTTTGCTCACAACCCCCGAATCTACATCCGTGGCTCCATCCAAGAACTGAGAGATATGGAATTCGACGGGAGTTGGCTTGAGTGGTTCTTAAAAGAGATTGAAACTTTCCATGGTTCGTACCCCTCACCATTGCTAAACATAGGTAATTTGCTAAGTCCACCATCACTACCACAGCTAGAGCTCGTAGATACACAAGGTATATATTCTTACAATCAGATTTGGTTCGTAGTCTAACGTCATATTAGCCCAGATGAATATCCTTTCACGTCCAATCTCCCTGTTCCAGTACTTTTACCCCTGGCTTTCCCTAAAATACTACATCCAAACACTATCAACGCAAATCCATCAATCCTGTCTTTCTACACACGTTCCATCGTTCCGCGGATAACAAGGCGGGCGACCCTGGCGCTAGCAGCGATCAAGCGCTCAAATGGCATTATCGGGGATGAAGAATACGAGGACGATGGTAATTACGGCAGCGCAGCCACCATAGATGTTGAAGTTCTGCAAGCAATTAGTAAACGCGTGCACTATGGTCAGTCGCTTCCATCAACCCTGATGTCCTTCTAATCTCCTCTGAGTATAGGAAAATTTGTTTCTGAATCAAAATTCAGTGCAAATCCCGCTGCCTTCATCCCCCACATCCTGACGCCTAATCCTACCGCACTGGAGGCGTTGATTACGAAACCAGAAGTCGAGCGCAAGCTGCTTCAGCGTTTACGCAAGAAAGCTGCTATATACGCACAAGAATTCAGCGCTGATGGTGAAGCCATCGTCAATTCTGATTTGAATGGTAGGGCAAAGATCGATGTTGATGGTGTGGTGGAGTTGTACGAGAGCTATATCATCCCTCTGACAAAAGAGGTCGAGGTATGTGTTTATTCTTCTCATTCAAGTAGATACTTGACTTAATGTATGTTGCCAGGTCGATTATTTATTGCACAGATTGGATGGTTTGTCGCAGGAAGAGATTGATGCCCTCGTTGCACAGTAATGAACCACATAATTGACTTTTTGGTCCCAACTTACACTAAATGACCCACCTCCCTACTACCATACATAATCACAATAGTCGTTTCGTTTTTCTAAGGGTTGTATGTTTAGGTTATTGTCCTACGTCAGTTTATCTTGCAGTATTCCACCACCTTTGTGATTGGACACTTGGTTGTGGGTTTTTGATACATCGATCTTCACTGAAAATGATGAGGTGAAGCTTCGAGACTGTTTTGGGAAGAGAGACCTGTTCATCAGCGCATGCCGCAACGGAAGACAGTGTGAGCAGTGCTGACGGATCTTATGCATAGTGCTTACTACGTGGCATACCCTTGGCGACGGCCGACGACCGCTACTAATCACTAATATGCGAGACTATCCGGATATCGATATCTCGGCCTTGATTCATGATGCCGCATCACAATCTTGGGGTGACATGGTTGCACCCGTGGCACTGGCGTACCCAATCCTCGGATAGATGGAGGCCTACTCACATCCATACTGGTCAGAGTATCACAACAGGCCTAGGTTTCTGCGGGTGACAAATTACACATCGTGCGAAATTGTAAATCGGCAACTAAGACTTACGAGGACGTAGGTAGCACCACTCAGTATGGACGACCACTATCCGAATCAATCCGAGTCTATCTGACTGTCATCAAAGTAGTGAGCATGAACTACTGAACAGTACTTGCTTTTGATACCGCTAAAATTCAATTCAAGACATGAAATGTTACTGATGATGTCATTATCGCTTTTCCTCTCTGTCTTGTCGCGGAGATTGTAGGACAGGGATCGGAGACGACGGGGTGTGTAGCCGGGTGCCGATCTAGGAGTCCGAGTCATGCCCGATACAACGCTTCCTCGCCATTGAGACGAATCCAATAAGTAATGATGCAAAGATAGATTTTACACGTCAGAATCGAAATGTGCACAACTAGAATCATGATAGCGGCCGCGGCCAGCTATAAACTTTTGATAGACTCTGATAACGATAGATATCCATCTGCATAAAGTGAGCATCACAGTACGACACTATAATGTTTCATACCTCCGCGAGCTTGATTTCGACAGATTTCACGTCGAGTGGGAGTTCGTTCAACGAGCAGTACTAAGTTTGGCTTGGCCAAAAACAACAAGCCCTCTGACCCGTACCCGTCATCCAAGTTACCCACCACCTGCAGCAACCGTCCCACGTTCCGTCCGCGGCAAGTGATATTCACCCATGTCAAGAGTAGAAATCCGAGGGAGGGGTAGTGGGCTCTGCCAAGGATATGGGTCCCAGCGGATGAGAAAATCTATAGGAGACCATCAAACGTAGGTCATGTAGATGGGAACTTGTTTAGTCAAACTGTCCTGAGCTGGCAAAGGTATTATTGTGTCTATATCCACTGCAATTTTTGGATGTGAAAAAGTGCAATGACTCCGTCGTGGGTCGATAGTCAATGAGGATTGACTATCGGCCCACGACGAATAAAAGCACCCAGGTTGGCATCATTGGAACAGAACGCGCGATGCTTGTGTCCTGTAACGATACTAGTTGTTCCACCAGTAAATCTATGCGTAGTACATAAGGACACTACACAAAGAAAAAAAGTGTAAGCCGAAGTTTATGTCAGCTCATACCCCAAAATAGTAAGATACACGGTCTAATTATTAATATAATTATTTTATTTATCTCACTTACAAATTTACATAGAGTGCCTGTGCCTCTCCATTCTGGGCGAACATATTCTGCCCTCACATAAATTAGTCCTTGGTCCTGTGGAAACTTTGTGTCATGTTTTGGAGGGTTACAGAAGGGTTGGAGGAGAGGGTTGGCTGCCCCGCTTATGTACGGATACTGCCGCTGCGCCAGGGTATCGGTGCACTGACTCGGAAACTTACACTTACCCGGGAATGCTACGTCCGCAAGTCTTGCCGCAAGAACCCACTGAGTCTGATCACCGTAATATAGAAATCAAGTCCAGTTTGCTCTTTTACGGTCGCTGTATCGACTACACCCGTAATCGCTGCTGTCTGTTAACGTATTGCATTACGCCGTTCCCATCCCCCTCCAATCGCGATTGGCCAAATTTTACTGACATTGTTGTATTATGTATCGGCTCCATAGTGATCTGTATATGTAGACAGGGTTCTCCCCGGAGTTCGTCCGTGCTTCTATCTCCCACTTAGTTTGAGTCTCAAAAACCTTTGAGGGGCCCTGTGCCAGATTAATGTCAATTTCAAAGAGGGGTTCAAAAGCAGAGTATTTAAAACGAGCGTAGATGGATCCAAAAGTGCGGGGAAGTCGAATGAGTTATTCCCAATTGTGAAAGAGAATGCAAAAAAAATCCGCAGTATGAACGATGACATACAATATTTAACAGAGGAAGTACTCAAAAACTAGGGAATACAAGGGAGAACCTGATAGAACTCGTAAATAGTAATAAATTGACGGGATTACAAGCCAAGATCTGGGGACATAGTGAGTCACAAACATCGTAATTCACAAACAGGTGGCGTACCTTCCAACAGACGCTTCGCTTCCTCGGGGCCTATGTTCCTGGTTGCACGCCTAGCCAAGAGTTTCTCCGTTCGGTATTTCTCGTACAAAACTTCCCGGGTATGTACCTTGAGAACCTGGGAGTGTTTCGTAGCATCACCAGTGTATATAATACGTCAGAAAATCATTTACCTTGAAATGAGTCAAAAGAATCGCTGTTCGGAGGGCGGCGAAGTCACAGTGGTCAGGGTTGAGAACGTCAACAGTGCCCCATCTGAACTTCCTAGTAAACACGCCCCTGAGATCCTCTGGGGGACCTCGAAAAAACATGGATTTACGGACAATAGGACTATCAACGGAGATGGGTGTTTCTGCCACAGGGGTAGCGGGCCCTATCGTGTCTTCCCGAGCGCAAAAGTTAGATTCAGGGGAAGCTGGTTGCGGCCATCTAATCCGCGGGGTAGTTGCCTGTTCTGGAGCGATAAGAGCGAAGGGGAGTAACGTTGAGAGATCTGTTTTGGAGACAACATGAGCTGAGAAACGAATATTTGCTATGCTATCTTCTTCGGCGCCATCAGGATAGTAGGGCTCTCGTTCGTCTTGAGCCACAGCAGATAGGTCACGACGAGAGCGGGAACGAGAACGGGAAACCTGCGTCCCTTTTAGTGTGATCACTGGACGTGAGGGGCGACCCTTGTTTTCACTATCATTTGCAACGTAAGAGCTCCCGTTTTGATGGATGTCGCCGTTCTCACGGTGACCATTTACTTCTTGCGGCAACGTTGTGGCAGCTTTATCGTCCGAGCGCGATACCGGTACGGTGGAGTCCGCTTTCGGTTTGGGTGTAGAGAACACCCCAAAGTCTAGCCCAGCTGATTCCAGGTCCCTGTGAACGGCAGCTTTGACCAACGACAACGTGTCATCTGTAAGTGAGTCCGCATGTGCAATAACAGGAAGCACGTTCACCCGTGCCGAAAGACGACGGATCACGCGAAGCTCAGCGGGGGACATTCCGAAGTCCCTGGAATATTCCTGATTATAGATGGCTTCTTGGGTATCTCCGACGGTAGTACGAGAAACCGTGGTATCTGACCGGGCTCTGCCCGACACAGGGGATTGGATGCGGGGCGACGGTGATGGTGACAATATAGACGAGGGATCAACCATAAAGATACACCTATGTCGAGAATTTTGAATCAATAATTGTTAACATGGCAAAATTCCTACAAGTGAACATGTTGATCCCCTTTGTTTTGACGGACAACTTTAGACTCCTATGTATGTATTGAGTAACAGCTTTGAAGGAACCAGATTGCGTAATATACCTCATTCATTGTATCTGCATATTGCGCGTCAAGATACTTGATAATCCCACTGACCTGACGTTCAACCCGCAACTCGTGGCCGTCGCTGAAATCCAGGCCGGGGGTATCAATGACGCTTAGAAGCACTCGGTCATACCGCGACTCGCATATTTCAACACACGCCGCGTTAATTTGCTGTGTGCGCTTCAGAGAACCATTCAAAAACCGATCCAGGCCCATACGCTGGTCTTCTGTCGCATTTGGTGATATGTCTGCAGTTTCGAGAAGTAAGCGCAAGAACGAAGTCTTTCCTGTCCCTCTTGCTCCCACAACCTGATTGACGCGTCGTAGTTCAATCAATTTTGGGGGATCAATGTAGTCACATACCATGAGGTTGAACGCTGGTGAAGTACGGTTTTTACGGTGGGATCTCCGTGGTGACGAGACAGGAACGGTGGAAGATCTCCAATTACCGAAGGCAGACGGAGGGTGGGACATATACATAGACGAGATCTTGCTGCCATTTTCCGCCGGTTGTCCTGCAATTAACCGAAATGGTTTGTGGAAGGGAATGGGGGCACGATCGAAGGAGGATACAGAGCTTTTGACCGCACCTTGCTGGGGATAACGTTCGGGCTCTGGAATGGGACCTTCGCGTATTACCTTGACATCTAGCAAGTTTTCCGGCCACGGAATGCCTTGAGAATGCAGCTCGGGCAAAGAGGGAGAAGTTTTCAGTGGCGACACCGTGGAGTGTGAAGTTCTGGGTCTTTTGCGAAAAGAAAACATGATAAGATACAAGAATAGTGAGAGTGGGACAATGTGGGACGGGTATGAACACTGGTAGAATAAAGAACGTGTAGGATATAGGAATGCCAGTTTACAGACAAAGAGAAAGGTTTACAGTGAGCCACTGGAGGCAACAGTGCTGCCGTTTCAATGGTAATTTTGGTGTCAGAAGGAAAAGTCAAATACATATTTCGACGGAATCACAAGCCCATGGCAACCCCCTGCGCTGTTTGACAGGCTATCCGGATTCCCACCAATGACAAAGGCGCAATAATGACTTCCAACGTGTATATAAACTTTGAGTTTGATTTCCCAACTTGAATTGACATACATACAATGGTCGACGATAGCTATATATCGAAGAGAAAACATTGGCACCTGAAAGAAGAATAGCAAGGGAGAAAAAATACAGTGCAATCGCTGTCCATGCACAAAACAAGACAAGAACACTTGGAGATAACCCAAAAAACATAACGTTCAACGACAGTTTCCAAGCTTCCCAAGGGACAGTGCATATGCGAGTTAATTCTACAGTTTACACCTGATTCAGTCAGGGAGGAGTGATGATGAAGGCTGATCAATGAATGGGTGCTCAGGGTATAACGTCCCCGCTGGTTTCATCCACCCTCATTCTCTTTTGAATATGCAAAGACTCCATGTCGTCCATCTTTCTCTTCAGATCGACATCCATGGGCTCCCCATGGTTTTCTTCAGCGGACTTTCCAGCGGAATAACGAGAGTCGCCAACAACGGTTGACGAAGGGGGAGAGTGGGCGGGAGGTGACTGCACGGAAGAAAGATGTGCTAGGGGGGCATTTGCCTTGGAGGTCGAGGCACGTCGAGTCCCCTTTTTATTCACGCCGTTGGTGCTGGAATCGTGATTATAATTACATGGGAGGGACCTTCGCGCACAACTGGAACAGGCTGGATGTGCTCCGTCGCACTTCGTCTTCCTCGCTAGATAGGATAATTGAATCAGTGCATAACAACACAATGTTTAACAAACCAACCTCTACAGAAGTTGCATGCCACCACTTTTGGACCGGTGCTAGCAGCGGGACGATTGCTCCTCCCAGGAACAGTGGATGCACGCTTTCGCTGAGCAGCCTGTTGCTCTGAGGCTGGTCTGATTGGTGGGAGCGGGGGAGCACTCATCGCAGCTGCAGGGGAGTTCTCTGGTAGCGACAGAGTGGCAATATGAGGTAACTCATTGTCCTTGAACAATGTCCGTCCGTCGGAAGTTCCCGAACTTCCTGTAGCTACACCAGATTTAGGCCTAGGAGGCATGCTATGAAGACCTTCGCGGGGCTCTGATGGGCCAGCGATGGTAGGAAAGCCGTCCAATATTGGCCGCTTATCGACGACGTTGGAACTCCTGCGAGATAATGGCTGGGAAACAATCTCGGGGGATACCGAGGGATCATTGTCTTCCGCGGATCGATCTTCGCCACTCATCTCGGACTCACTATCCTCCTTAGGTGGACGGTGAGGATTGCGCCGTTTACTAGTTTGTGGCATATAATCGCAAAGGTTAGACCGCTTGACACATTGGCTACAAGCAGGGCGTCCCCCATCGCATTTGAGTTTTCGGGCTAGAGAGCGTCCTGAGTATTGAACCCGCAAGGGAGGGCGGAGTCTACATACATCGACAGAAGTTGCATGCCACTGTGATCTTCTTAGTTCTCTGCTTGGAGGACCCTATTGTTCAGGGTTAGGGCAAATTTATCTGAGTCAGGACCTGACGCATGCACTTACTCCCAGACGCTGTCTTGCCTTGAAGCTGAGAAGCACCTTCCGTCATCGGACGGGAAAGTGGCGGTCCACGCAGATCCGCCCCAGGAGGAATGTCGCGGGCCATGGGAAGAGGGGGATGTCGGACAGAGCCATGACCTGGCTGAGTTTCGATAGTCAAAACAGGGCGAGGAGCATGCGTAAGAGGCACAGGAGTACGCGGGACCGCTTGTTGCAATGCATGAGGGTGAAGCTGATGGTTAGCAGAATGGTGCTGGAGCAAGTATTCGTTTCTAAACTTTTCAAAAAGGTATTCTCGAGTGTATTTCTGCAACGTCTAAGGCAAAGTTAATTTTGATGGTGACATCACAAGTTGGGCAACTGGAATTCCTACCTCCATGTGATGAAATATAGCAGTGCGCAGCGGCATGAAGTCACTATGAACAGGATCTAGAACGTCCATAGATCCCCACCGATAACTTCTGATGAATTTGCCACGCGTCAGTTTAGAAGCAGTGTGACGAAGAACCAAAGGAGCATATTGCTGTACAAGCTCATGACGTGATAGGGGTACTCTCGCTACGCCATCACTATGTGAGTAGATATCGGGTGAGATAAGGGCATATGGGAGTTTGAGAGACGCCACTGCTGGAGAATTCGGAGGCGAAGGGTGTCCATGCGGAGAAGTCTTATTCGCATGGCCACTGTAGCCATTCACCATTTCACCCTTTACAGGGTGCGCAGATTCAGCCGCGTCTTTACGGTGCTGGTACTGCGCATGAGAGTCCATATCGAAGATTCCAAAGCCAATGCCGGCTTCCGCGAGATCTCGGCGGACAGCCATTTTGACGGCCGCAAGGCGGTCGTTGGTAAGCGTATCTGCGCGAGCAATCACAGGCAGCACATTGACTCTGGCAGAAAGCCGCCTGATGGTGTTAATTTCGCTAAGAGGAAGAGAAGGGCGGCATAGGAGTGGATTGTTGGTGACAGGGGGCTCGAGAATGACGGGCTCCGGCTCGGTGACGGAGAAGCTACTACCCCGAGTACGAGTGACCAGCGGAGCAGGAGGTCCTGGTACCGAAGGTGGAACAATCACGTCGGGATCCAAGAAATATATACACCTGGTCCGTGGGTCAGTTCACAGTGACGCGGTGACTAAGCGCCCATGTCAGCAACGCACAAATGGATGTTGTTGTCACCCGCTGTGGATCTCCACTCCTGGACCGAAAAAAATGGGGATCAATATAATGTAGAACAGGAGTCGGGGGAAAGCTCACATCCTCGATGCCATCGGCGAATCTGGATTCGACATGCCTGAGTATCTCATGAATAGCCCGCTCGGTGGAAGCTTCATCCTCGAACGTCAAAGAGGGTGTATCCACGAGCGTGAGAGTAAGGACCTGAGGTGTGCTATTTTGGTCGATATCATGGTCGATATTGATGGATGCGGTGCGTATGTGGGATGTATGACCGCTGCAACCCTGCACGAACTTTGCGACGGAGGCGAGCTGGTCCTTGGTGGCCGTTGAGGAGATTTCACTGGTGTCCAAGAGAAGACGTAGGAACGAAGTCTTGCCAGTTCGCTGACCAGCAACCATGACTGTATAACCACTGAAGTCGTTTATGCCGTTTGGGTGAGGATCATGACCGTTGCCAACTGTTCCGGGGACAAGACCATTAGAAGAGTAGGAATGTGAGGCCCCTGGGACGGACTGAACGGAAGGAGGGATTGGGATACGGTCTTCGTCGTCATTCGTGATGCGTTGTTCGCCATTGTCGACGACGAGCGGCATCGTGAGTGTGACGGACGAATCAAATGTCCGTTCGGGGGAGACAGAGCGAGGGTTTGCCCGCGAGGTGAGGCAAGCGCGGGGATGATAAACACCGAAATTCCAGAAAAGAGGGAAGCTAACGGAGCCGAGCCTGAAATCTACATGCACCGAACCAATCGGGTCCATTACACCCTCCGACTAGAATTGAATCCAATCATTTATTTTCCCTTTTCGTTCAAATATTCATTTATTATTTCAGTGACAGAAACTTTGGAATATATCTTATAAAAATAAATCAACATAACATAAACCGGGTTATCAAAGGATTGGAACAAGGAAATAGGGTACGGCGGATATGGCTCAGCCAACTGAAAAAAGAGGGTGATTCCGAAACAACAACATTCGCATCTAGACTTCATTTCTCGTCAACAGAACGTGAGAGTCCATTCAAAAAGACGCTCACCAAGAAAAGAGCGTAGCAACGATAGCCTGAGGTATCTGATCTCCAGAACACGTAATAAGCAGTGCGCCGCCGGGACATAACACCGTGGAACAATCCTTTACTGCGTCGGTCAGTCCGCCAGCTCATCGTCTCTATCACCCTCAGACCCTGCTGGCAGGCGGTCTCGCAATGCTAACGCACCGCTCGTAAAATGATAGTTTGGACTCGCTTCCGGTTCTTCGCGATACACGTTTGAAGCACTTGGACGATCAGTATAGGGCAGTGGCACATAAACGGGCTCCAGACCAGACAAGTGACCTGGTAACATCTCAAATACATGCCGATCTGGGAGTGCTGCAGCAGAAGGCTGTTCGGATCCTTCCTTATCAACCTCACTTGTGACTCCTTTAGAACTTTTCCTCCCCTTTCGATCTGATTTCTTGGTCCGCGAACCTTTCGGTGCCTTTCCAGGGCCACGACGTCTGGGATGATCCTTATATACGCATTTCAACGTTCGGGTGGAACAATTTGCGCAGGAAGGTTTGGTCCCGTCACACCGGAGCTTCCTCCCTGTAAAGTTAGGGGGCCAATCGGAGGTGACGTTCTTGAGCAATTCCCGCAAACGGTATCCACTCACCTCGGCAAAAATCACACGCAACATAGATTTTGCGTACAGCTTTGGTCTTCTTTTCATCCTGACTGTCTGATCGCTTTCTCTTGCCTCGCCTATACGTCGGTCTTTCGTTACTGGACTCCGTATCATCCACTGATGCTTCTCCAGGCAACGTTTCCTGTGTCTGGTCAAGCAGACCGTGTGAGGGTGGCCCTCTATTGGAGTACTCTTCCCTGGAAGGCTGCATGAAAGTTCTAATCGGAGGAAGAGAATAAGAGGAAGCTCTCTGATTTGGGCGGTCATCCTGCAACGTCCCTGGTTCATGCTGATTGCTAGAGGACATAGAGCGACTGCGCTCCTCCCATCGCTGAGAAGGAAGTGATTGATGTCGGATGATATTGGATTGAAGGTGGTGCGAAGGCGGTTGTAGGTGACCAGAATCATCATATGCTTCAGGGAAAAATCAGAATTTACAGTATTTTTTTCAAAAGCAATCAAGGACTCACAGTGAGATGCATTGTACAGGAAGGGGCTATTCACGTCTCTTGGAAAGAAGGACGGGAAGGGCACTGGTCTGGGCTGTGAAGTCAAATACCTGCCCAAAGGGATATCTTGTGGATGATCGAGGGATGTAACCTCGCGCGTCTGCTCACTGTCGTCACCTTCTTCTTTTCGATTCCCCTCTGGCGCGAGACTGCCACCTCTAGGCCTGCGGGCCGTGCGGGGCGACAACGAAAGACCTGCACTGCCTTGAAATGTGCTCGGTGACGGCACATGATAATGACTTGAAAGGAGAGGGGGAGGGGGAGGGGGGAACGTATAGGAATGATTTGGATGATGAGGGTAGAAGGGTGGCTCGCTGCCTGAAATTTGACTACCACGAGTTAAAAACGCCCTAGAGGGGTGCGCGAAGCTAGCGGTTACACTGCCAGCTGAGGTGATTTGAATGCGTTGGGAACTCTCTTCTGTATCTGGTGAGACTAATCTTTTATGCGACGACTTCCCTCGTGAACCATGGCTGTTTAGAAAGTTCGCAGGAGTCAACGTCGATATAGATTGGGAAGTGAGATGGGAAGCCTGTCGCTGGACAAGATGTCTGTCATGAGCACTCCATGATGTCTCATCGGAACGGTCGTTGGGACGTATTATATGTGCGTGTAGTGTTTCTGGAAGCGAACTTGATAGCCTATCGTCATCTCTGTCATCCATACCTCTCTCCTCGCGATCTAAGCAGGACGTAAACTTGGAGGAAGCGTTGGTGCAACTGTTTTGCAGGGGTCGCTTCTTTCAGCAGCGCTCGGATTGTTGAGAAATGACGATGCTACTGAAATCCATTAGCGAGATGTCTTGAAATGTCGAAAGCGTTGAGCACGCTGGTCGTTGTCTTCTGTGGGGAGACTGATAATTGAAAGGAAGGGAAGACGAGCACAGAAACAAAAAAAAAATCCGCTGGAGCAAGTTTACATCCGCTATGGCATTGCTTAGAATTTTTTGAAGCGGAATGGCGGAACACATCCAGATAATGCAGATACTCCAAAAAGCCCCGTACCAGTGTCTAAATTCATGGAAAAATTTGTCTCCCCCCTTTGGATACTTGCGATATACGCTGTCAGAAGGTGTCAGATCGCCAACACACCGCCAAGGAAATATTAGGCCCGTACGCCGCGTCCGACTCCGGAGTCAACCATACAAGCTTGATTGTCGGGAGCTTACAATTGACCCTAACTCTATGATTTTTCAAGTATCGAGGGGATGACAAAAGTGAAACATGATCGGCAGCGAGGATGCACTTTCCTAATTTGTACAAAACGGACCTGCTTACCGGTAGTCCACAAAGTCTAATAATTATGTCTTCGAGGGGTCTACACACAAAAAATTACAGTCCATGAACCATGAACAACGCTCAGTGACTGATTGACTCGGACTCGCCGACTCAGAATCTCTCAGAATTCAAATACTATCGTCCGTGGAGACGGTCGAAAAAAAAAATTATGACAAGCGCATGCATAGTTTCTCCACGGAACTTCTGGCTCAGGACCTAGTAAAAAAAAAACATCCGAGACATACCACGGCGTACGTCTCGAGTCATTGTAATACTCATTCTTGGCTGCTGAGCGCTGAGCGCTGAACGCCGAAAACTAGCTTTGTTACGGCATTCGCAGTCTATCTCTTGTAAGCTGCCAAATCGGGGGAACCATCGATATTTTTTTAAAGTTTGGACTTTGTCCGAGTCGTGCTAGAATGCATTCGAGACTCTCAGCTAGCAGGAGCCTTGCAAGGCAAACGAGATCACTATGGTCGTCTTCTGCAAGATGCGAAGACAAGCCCATCATGAATCGCTATAGCAGGACTGTCACGCAACCAAAAGACCAAGGCGCAAGCCAAGTGAGTCGTTCAAACCGGGCGAGGAATGTAGAAAACTCATATTCGTAGGCCATGTTGTACGCTACTGAAGGTATCAAAGATGATACGGACTTTCAAAAGGCCATGGTCGGTGTCGCTAGCGTATGGTAAGTATCGAAGTTACTTCCCCGGCCATTCCATTGACTAATATGCTCAAGGTATGAGGGCAATCCGTAAGGAAGAACGTTTGCCATAAATGGAGTTTTGCCTAAGGTGCTTTCAGATGCAACCGACACTTACTTGGCTTGGGGCAAGAAATCAAGGCTTCCTTGGTCGAGTCCGACCTCATTGGCTATCAGTTTGGCACAGTCGGTGTTAGCGATGGGATCAGCATGGGCACTGCGGGAATGTCATATTCTCTGCAGTCGCGTGACCTTATCGCAGATCAGGTAGAGACAGCCGCTGGTGGACACTGGTTGGATGGAATGGTTGTCGTACCGGGATGTGACAAGAATATGCCGGGTGTACTGATGGCTCGTGAGTGAGGTACTTCTTTTCACCATGCGCACTGACATATAATCATACTTGTATAGTTGGACGACTCAACCGCCCGGGTCTCATGGTGTATGGAGGCACAATTCGTGCGGGCTCGTGCGCGGGTCAACCTCAGCTAGATCTCGTTTCCGCATTCCAGGCATACGGGCAATACCTACAAGACGGAAAGACCCCAGAAGCAGAAGCCCTCAGGTATGAGACAGTACGACATGCATGCCCCGGCCCAGGTGCTTGCGGAGGCGTTAGTACCACTGTATCCAATCCAGCCATAGTTTATTCACATCTGAGCAGATGTACACGGCGAACACCATGGCCAGTGCAGCAGAGGCCCTTGGAATGACTCTTCCTGGTTCTTCGTCGTATCCAGCCGAATCTCAAGAAAAACACGATGAATGTAAGACCGTTGGTCCCGCCATGCGAAATCTCCTCGAGAAAAACATATTGCCCCGCGACATCATGACTCGTTCGGCATTCGAGAACGCTATGGTGCGTCATGCTTTTTCCATTTTTACGGCTACTCATGAAAGTTTCAGGTTCTCACCATGATCCTGGGAGGTTCGACGAATGCCGTACTGCATCTTATCGCTATGGCACACGCCGTAGGCATCAAGCTTACCATTGATGATTTCGCACGAGTGTCGGAGACAACACCTTTCCTCGCTGACATCAAACCAAGCGGCAAGTATGTCATGGAGGACATCTACAAAATTGGGGGCATACCCAGTCAGTGATTCAACTATCATGGTGATTTCCTTGTTCACAGTTTTTTTTTCCAACTACAGAGATACTTCATTTCTTGATGAAAAACAATTTCATTGACGGCAACAACATGACGGTCACTGGCGCTACTATAGGCGAGAACTTGGAACGTTGGGTACATCAACACGGGGAACTCTCCGCTAGTCAGGACGTAATCCGTCCCCTCGACAAGCCCATTAAAGCTACCGGACACATCAGGTTCGTCATTGCCATCTCTCAATAGCTCCTTTTCTCAAATAGCCCTAGAATTTTGCGTGGTAATCTGGCTCCTGGAGGTGCGGTTGCCAAGATCACCGGCAAGGAAGGTCTTGGGTTTACCGGAAAAGCTCGTACATTCGACTCAGAAGAGGCCTTTGTCTCCGCCGTTGAGTCTGGTTCAATCAAAAAGGGTGAAAAAACAGTCGTCGTCATGCGCTACCTCGGCCCTAAGGGTGGCCCTGGTAAGTCAATGGTATCCTTTACCCGTGCGATAATATTAATGTTCGGACTGTGCAGGTATGCGTGAGATGCTGAAACCCACTAGCTTGATTATGGGCGCTGGCCTCGGTCAGGACGTTGCGTGCCTCACAGACGGACGATTTAGCGGAGGGTTTGTGATATTTCCATTTCATGATGATCTGTAGACTGATGGAATATCTATTAGATCTCATGGGTTTTGCATAGGCCACGTCGTCCCTGAGGCCCAGGTCGGTGGACCTATTGCGCTTGTGGAGGATGGTGATACCATTTCTGTCGATGCTGTGGCAAATACCATGGAACTGCATATCTCCTCTGAGGAAATGGAACGCCGCCGGAAAGCCTGGGTTGCCCCACCAATCAAGGTCACCCAAGGAACCCTCTACAAGTATGTTAAAATGGTCGAAGACGCCAGCCATGGGTGCATCACGGATGGTTGAGAACAGCTATATTCTATACCTAGTATTCAACGAAAATAAAATAAATTCACAGAAGATGAAGGGAAACATGTAAGGTATCGTTAGCTATGTCCTCGCGAGCTTTTTGTTTTGCGCTTCTTCTCTGCCTTGGGCATTTTAGTCTTCCGCTTCTCACGTGCTTCGGTTTTGACAGCTTTTTTGCGTTCCTGAGTGGAAATCAGCAATACATTTGGTTTCTGATAGAGCGATAGGCTCGCCTTCTTGGCCTCCCGGTCTTCGTGCCTGTGGCCCCTAGGTTTGCGAGGGTCGAAGACGTTCTTCTCACCCGGCTCAGTTGCCTCAGGGTCTTCACTCTCTTCTTCCTCGCTGTCGCTTGTGTATTCGCTTTCGTCAACATCCTCCAAAGGTCCCTCGCCCTTGAAGCGCACATGTGGCTTGACCTCGCCTTCCTGATTCACACCGGAGGTGGGATGCGTCAAACCTATGGTTTCTGCGTAGATCAGGGTTTTCCCATCACCCTTCCTCAAAACTTCTACGTCCCGTTCAGCGTCGTACACCTCATTCAGCGTGCGGGGGATGTATGATTGAAGGAAAACATTGTCTTCATGAGTAGCTGATGTGTTTGATGAGGAAGTGATCTTGTCATTGCTTCCGTCCACAGTTGGCGAGCTTTGTTGTTCTTCGTCAGCTTTTGTCAGCCAGTGCTTCAAAGCAGATCCCTCGTCCTGCCCCTCTTCAACTACGTGCACCCTTGTGATAAAATCGAAACATCGCCTCAAACCCAAGCACTTTACCCCAAACCTCTCGAAAAAGTCCTCGATATTCTTGATATCACTCCTTAGGAAATCGAACGCGCTGGGGTGATCGTGCTCCACGGATTGTGAGACATCGATGATGCAGAGATGTCCACCGTGAAAGAGGATATTGTATTCGGAAAGATCGGCATGAACAAGTTTGCAAATGTGATACATCTTCCGGACATTGAGAATGAGCTCTTCGTACAATGCTGGGTACAACGCAGAGGGGATATCAGCGTCCTTTAAGCGAGGAGATGCCCTGGCGTCCAAGTGATGGATGAGCGAGGGAAGATACTTCAGCGGAAAAAATATTACCAGCCCTCCTCATCACCAAGAAAACTCATTACCAAGATATTTTCCCGAACCTCGATGGGTTCGGGGCATGGTATCCCGGCAGACACAAGTCTCTTGAGATTGCGCATTTCCTTCTCCGCCCACAGACGTACCATCTTGCGTGGATTGCGTCTACTATAGCCACGTCTGAAGCGATACTCGCCTGTCACATAACGATCGCGGTCCTTGAATATAAGGATTGATGTCTTGTATATTTTGAGGGCAATATGCTTGGAGGTGGGGGTGAGAGCATGATAGACATTTGCCTAAACATTTTCAGGCTTGTACTAGGCAAACAAAATAAGCCCAGATGGCCTCACCTCCTTTCCTGTACTAACACATCCATTTACCTCCTGAATGAGTTCTCGTCCGATCATCTTGAAAAGGATGATCCGAGTGCGGGGGTCAAGTACTTGCTCAGATGTAGCACGATCTGACTTGTCCTTCGCGTTTGCATATGAACTAGGACCTTTCCTGTTCACGCTAGCGCCCATGACGTACGGTTGATCAATTTTAGCAATGCGAGACGAGAACTTGGAAAGGACAGCCAGTTGATCGGAGATTTTGTCTTTTGCATGCACAGGAGCCGTCCTACGTGGCTTATTTACCGCAGGAAGAGGTGCAACGACAGCTGTGTGATTAATGGAAGACGCGATTCCCTGTGCGTTCCCCGTGCGCACAGCGACATGCTGCCGAAGCCGGTTATATTGTTTGGTAAAATCTACGATGATCAAACATGGGTCGTCGTACGGGCGAATATACTGACTCACCCCGTTCTGCTACCTCCCAATCTTCGTCATCTGCTCTGACATCTTCAAAGTCATCTTCGTTTAGCTCGTCTCCGTCATTATCTTCTGAACTTTCGTCAGACCATAGGAGAAGGCGTTCGTCGTCAATGAAGTATCCGCCTGTGCGTGGATCTCGCTGGTCGTCCACGGCTTGGACAGTGGTCTCGAAAGGAGAATCATCAAACTGCCCCTCCACGATGGCTGATTGGTTTTCTGTAGACATGCCGTGGTTTAAAGTGATCGATAATTCAATACTTCAATAAAGTTTAAGCAAAGCTGATAAGATATTAATAAAACAACACGTGATCTGAGTCTGGCTGACCTGGCCTTCTGCCTTCAACATTGTGACTGCCACCGTTGAACTGGTACATACGAGTCTATTCATTCGTTGCAACCTGTTTCAAAGTCAATCAAAATCTCGACATGGATGCTCTCAGACGAAGGAACCCGTTCAAATATTCATCTGAACCCTCTGAATCCCATGACACACACATACTGGATGAACAAGGTGCAGTCAAACGTTTTCGTTAAGGAGGTGTCAGAGGTGTTGATTTTGTGATCACAGAACAAAGTGAACTTATTGACAACCTTAAGAGTATGAATGCAGCATCGAATAGCCAAAACCGCATTGCGTTGCAGATTACGATCGCACTGTCTTTTTTACTGTGAGCACAACAATACGAATGCAATGGTGATACAAGTCCAACGTATAGTACCAGGCATGTCGTTTTCATCTTCTCCGACTACAACAGTCCATTAGTCATTGTTTTTCCACCAGCTGGCGGACCAGAGTCTCCACTCTATCTAAGTCCTGTCCTGACACTCCTCGCGATCATCCTCCATGCAAACGCGGCTCTGCTCACTCACCCCCGAAATTTGGTTCTTGCTAAACGGCGAATAAAACCTCTTCCTTATAGTGTCGCGTTTGGGCTATCAGCGATTTCTCCTACAATTTCGGTCTTGAGCCAGAAAACGTGGCAGACCACTGGATGGTGGTGTACCGCCGCTTCTGTAATTTGGATCGTACATGCATCAAATAAGTGGATTGTGCAGGGGCAAGAAAGTATATCCGAGCTCGAAAGAATGAAGTATATATCTGCTGGGGCGTAGAAAATGCAAGTATACTTGATGGCATCGGTTATTTCTTTGTAGTCCAACTGATTGTTGATTTCGCTAGCCCACTGTTTTTCTAGACATCGTCGATCATTCGAGGTGCTATTACATGAGGCTAGTTTGACGATGTAATACAGTTCGCTGCAACTGCAGCACTTGACGTTATCTCAATGACCTCGAGCTGATTCGATCCATGATACTATATCAATAAAATAAGCAAATCGCACTTCTTGAAGAATGGGAAGAACCTACAAAGTAAATTCTTTCCGCATCAATCCACATCTTTTCGAATCCACGATATCCAAATGTTCTGTCCTGATCCAACACAACCTCGACGTACGGGAGGGATGTCGTTAAGCTCTCCGCCAGGCCCTCCCCTGTCCGTGACTCATTGATTTCTATCGTAGATGGCTCTTTCACAACTCGTCCCAAACCTTCTCGACGCTCCACAGCTAACGGGGTGAAGTCCATCACGTGCAATCTAAACTTTTTGGGGAAATACCAAATGCCGGTCGCGTCATCTGCAGGAGATGCCAACAAAACCCGATTTCCACCAACGGAAATATTGTGACGGCTCGGTACCTGGAATACACGAGCATTTAAAGGACCCCAGTTATTCCACGGTATTGCTTCTAGCATTCCCTCAAACAAGTCGAGATCAAAGAAAATTCTGGTGGAGACGATGAAGATGAGATTCGGAGAGAATGTGACAACTGATAGTAGTTGACGTTCAGGGTCCAAAGTCCACATCGTCTGTTGGGCTAGTATCTGGGATTGCGAGCTATGTGCAATACCATCCATCGAGTATATGCACTGTATCCTCGTTAGTGATACAGGCAGCAAGAAGCACGCCAGTAATTGAGGCGCTTGGGACGTGTCCTCGACCAAATAGAGCTTAATGTCATCGCTGAAAACAAGCAATCTGTCGTTTCCGAGGAAACAAAAATCGATTGCGTCCTCACACGCTGGGTTTATTGTGGAACTCAGGACGCACTAAATCAAGTGTCAACAAGTCTTTCGACTATTTCGGACCAAGGCTCACACTGGACGTTGCTGAGTGCTGCCAATCCCAAATCTGCAATCCCCATAGCCTCTCGTCAAAATATTCATGAGTGATCTGTCGGGATTGCCACAGAGCGATATGTCTTCCGAAGCACTTGAGTTTTAATTTCCCCAAGCCTGTTGAAGTGCGATTACCACTCGGCATTCCAAGCAGCTCTGACCGAAATAATGTCCGTCCAATGGCTTGAGGGTGGATACCTCCTCCATCCAGGGTCCCGAGGTTGATATAGATCCTCTCTTCATCCCATTGGGAATGATCATCGACAGTGGCATAAACGACAGCCATTAGATTTTGCCCCGGATCCATGAGTACATCAAAGCCATATGCATTGAGATCTGAACGCAACGACATCAGGGACCAATCACGCTCGATCGTGTATTGGGAAGATTTCGGTAGTATTGGAAAAATTGTGGTCGAGTCGTGATGTCGCTCCCATAGGCAAAGGTGCCCGTTGACAACCCACATTTTGCTATGGACAGGTATGGTGACTGATTCAAAAGAGTGGATATCAAAGTTGAACCATGCGTGAGCATTATCCCTTAGAAGTTGTAGGCGCTCGGAAATAGAAGTGCGATTGTCAAAAGTGTTGAGGACAGGGAGGAGACGTTGACCGCCAAGCTCAACGATGTACTGAAGCTCGGAGCACGATGTGTACGTCTGGCGGAGGGCCTTACATACCTGTAAGACACCTGTCAGTGTCAAGGACAACAACATGGACTAGCAAATTATAGCTCACGGATGTACATCGAAGAATATCTTGGTAAGGAAGAAAACTCAGTATGTGAGACTGGAGTTCTGTAGCAAGAGACTGGAGCTGGGCTGTGGGCTTCGTTTCCTGTTGTAACATCATCAAAACAACTTGGGCCGAGTCACTTAAAGCTGAGCGCTGAGCGATCAGTCTGGGTGTGGCACCGTAAGGCCCAAACACTTCCCTACAAACACAACGTGACTCTGGGACCTGGCACAGAGGCTAGTGGCACTGTGGCATAAGTCTGAGTTGATGTCTGGGAGATCTTTCTCAGAGAACATACGACTAGCCCATGAGGAATTATCGGCGCAGCAGCCGCTTCGAAGGGTTCGACCTGGAAAACTAGAACAGTTTTCAACCGATTTGTGTTTGATCGCTCATGGCATCCGGTAAGCCTTGGTAGTCGCAAAAAACACATGCCACTGGGGCTGACATGATGGGCTCTGCAGTTCTGCCTGCTTAGTGGACACGTTCGCTGTGCAGGACCCCGTTAGCCTGTTTTCCCGTATACTGGCTGGCCTGCGGTCGAAGGTACGCTTTGATCAGGGATTCACTGCAGCACGATTTATCGAAAGCGGATGAACCAGAGCGCAACTTTTGCTGGCATTGTCCATTGGTACGATCCTTCATCACTTCAGTCGTTCATCGTAAATTCTCGCATCTTGCGAGTCTTCGTTCAAACAATGTTGGAGGACAATGCCGCTGTGGTCGCCTACGTTCTCCTCGATACGTTCCCTACACTGGTGAGTACTGTGTAGACAGCACATAATACCTCAACTTCTAAGCCACATCTTAATACTTCCTGCCAGCTAAATAGCACGCCAACGACAGTGCTGGACGTTATATGCGCCATGAATGAAGACATGCTAGAATCTCAAGCCAATGTCTCATTTTCCTTTGTCGGTGGTTTGACGCAGGATAATCTTGTTCCTCTGGCTGCGACTTTGATAGGTTATCCAGTCGCATATGTTCCCATCTCGGCTGATCAGACCTCATTCTTGAACGGACAACCTTTGGACGTTTATGAAGCAATGGTTGTCCCCACGGCGTCATGTACATCTTCGTTACAAAGTTCTAATCAGTTACACACTCTGCTCAAGTTCTCCTGCCCGTGTCTACTTGCGAAGACGAACCTTGAACTATCTACGGAACGTGTTACAAAACGCCTCCAATCACAGTTCCAACAAAGCCTTTCTGCCATTGGGTTATCGCTCTTGGTTCATCATCACGTAGAGGTTATGGACCGTGTTGCGCTTTAGTTATCTTTCCAAAGATGATGATGCAAAGATGTGTAATTCGAATTAATCGACATCAATATTGACAATCTTGATGTCTTCGAATGGCTTGTCCATCTTATTCGTCTTTACATTTTCGATATTATGGACAACCTCTAATCCAGAGATAACGCGTCCGAAAATCGTGTGCTTCTTGTCCAACCAAGGAGTGGCTGTAGTGGTAATGAAGAACTGCGAGCCATTCGTGTTGGGACCTGCATTTGCCATGCTAACGGTATACGGGCTATGAATGTGATCAATCAGCCTTGGAATTTTGACTTTCAGACAAGCATCAAATAATTACCGGTCGTGTTTCAAATCTGGAGAGAACTCATCTTCAAATTCCCTGTCCCAAATTGACGTCCCCCCTGTGCCATCGCCCAATGGGTCTCCAGTCTGGATCATGAACTTCGGAATGACTCGGTGGAAAATAACACCCTCAAAGTAACCGCTCCGTGCGTGGCCCACAAAGTTCTCCACGGCCTTGGGAGATTGTTGGGGAAATAGGCGCATATGCATGTCGCCCATGGAAGTGTGAATCACTGCAGATGAAGCCAAAGGTGATGGTCCTGATTTGGTAAGGGCAGTCGCAGAGGCAATGGACTGTTCTTCACGCGTCGGTCGTTCATTAAAGACGTCTCTGTCGTGTATTTTGTTGTCTCTGTGACACAGATATGAAGAAGCAGCGCGGCCAGATAATAAAAAGTGCTTACTCTGGTTCGGATCGGGTAAAGAGATAAAAGCGCTGGCGTTTATACCCCGTGCAAAAGAGAGTCGGGTCTCGAATACCCTTATTAGCAAGCATCGGATTTGCAGATGCTGTCATCAGTCTATAAAAGTTGCTTGTTAGTGTCCCTCAATTATGAATAGATACATACAGGTGCTAGCCCCTTCTTTGCAGGCGCTCCCTGGTACAATGCAAGGTTCATCCACCGAACCGATTCATCCTTTCCCAGTAGCCGCACAACGCGGTTCGTCACCGTATTGACCACTAAGAAACCGTCACATGTCAGTTTTGAGTCTGCCAAACAGAACTCACTTCCAACCTTTTATTCCGAGTAAGGTCGGATACAAGACAAATGCCCCGCTTTCGTCCCAAACTACATTGGTCGACATTGCAGGAATTCGTCCGTCGGGGCCTGGCATCTGAAGCTCCTTTTCCACTGCCAGCCGCCTACCGAACTCCATGTCCTCCACGCGATGAATTGAAGTACTGGCCTGTTGCATTTCCTGGATTGCTGTCAATGACTCGTCGTACTTTCGAGTCAATTTGCCTTTCAGGAAAGAAAATATGCGAATTTGACGATCTGGAAGAGAAAATGTAACAAAGGAAGAGGAATCGGGTGAAAGCGTTATGCAAGCAGGGATCGATTTTGTCTAGATAAAAGTCAGCGAATGCGACAAGATGGAACACTTAATTTACCTTTTTGAACTCATAGAGGTCCGTTGAAGACTTCAACGACCACATGCCAGGTATATTTCGCGGTGGCTCAAAAGGCTCAAACGGTTGCCAGTACTCAACAAAACCGTTTTCATCACCAGAGATCACGGTATCATAGCGGTCGCTGTACTAAAGCAATGATCGTCACACCGAGCGCTTCTTCAAAAAGGGTAGGCTCACCGCCATCAAATGCACAGGGAAACGGTGAAGCTTTTCGATCGTGAGTAGTGGTGTGTCATTACCGCGACCATCATAGAGCCGTATGGTACCTGTCCCTTGCTCTGAGCTAAACAATTTGTTAGAAGTTGACCAGAAAATCGCACAGGGTACTCACACAGCCAGCAGGCCTTGTGCTTGCCCTCGTCTATGTACCCAACAACACGCATGGGGGGTAAACCCGAGCTTTATCATGTTTATCATGTCTGTTTACTAGTCAGCGCCAAGATAAATAAAATGTGGGCCACTTGCGCACCAAAGTTGAGCACATCAAACACTTTTGCCGACCCATCTTCCGAGATACTGGCAAAAAGCTGTCCATCTGCACTTGCTGATACTCCAGTTATAGGGCTCATGTGTGCACGGAAGTGTTTCACAAATTCAATGCCCTCGTCCTGCTTCTTCCAGAATTTTAGATGTCCGTCGACCGATGTAGTAATGATAAAGTCCGTCCTGTTTGGAGATTAAGACACTAGCTCCATAGATATTTTATTGGACTTACTTAGTTACAACAACGAAGTTCAGGGAGTCGCGGTGCATATAGCTTTTATAGTACTGTTCTGCATCTGGGAGGTGGTCCAGGTACAGTTTCTCGTGAGGAACCACTAGCGTTGAGTTGTAAGTCGATGATTCACAAACCGATAACGTACGACACACCTCTACGCTTCCTTTTGGATCCACCATTTGCACCCGCAGGTAGAGGCATGGGACCAACATCATCATCGCTGTCATCCTGATTTATGGCTACGTCGGCAGCTGGCATGGGACTATCTTCGCCATCCTGCACACGACCTGTATCATCATCCGACTTTCTACCACGCTTGCCGAGCACGGTTGTATCCTGCTCTATGTCAGACATGAAATCCAGTGAGCGTAAGTGACCAGCGAGCGAGAAATGAGAGTGTCCCCACGTGATCTGTTCTCAATGTGGACGCGTTTGTTTGGATCCAAAGCCTTTGCCAAACAACCGCTACAGCACTCAGATCCACAAGCCACACGTCTCAATAACATGTCTGATAGCCCAGGTGACTTCCTCAACAGCGTTGACGGGGAAATGGTTTTTTTCCGATCTGTAACGAAGGCTCGTCCTGTTGGCCTCCACAAACATTTTCACGTATTAGCCATTCGCAATGCAATACACAACGAAACTGGTCGTGTACTACCCGTCGACAGTATTTGGGCGAAGTTAAAAACGTGTTATGATCTTGATGCACTAGAGACAGCGGTGAGCTGCACAGCGTTTCTAGTTCTGTTTTTGCTTGTCTCAGCGTGCACCAGGAAATTGATGGTTTTGATACACCAACCTCAAGCCAGAATTCAACACCACACCTCGTACGATCCCCTTCGCCTTCCCAAAACCTCTCACGACATCCTTTTTTTCGAGATGAATATTCTCTTCCTAATGAGGACACTTTCAATAATCTCGTTTCAGAACGTCGGATGCGTGCAACGGCCTCCCTTCCATCATCAACACCTGCACCATCCCCGCGCCAGCCCAGTAAACCGAAAAAGACCAAGACCACGAAACGTAGTAAGAGCAAGGCGGACATGGCTGGCCTGGTAGGAGGCGACAGCGACAGCAGTGCGCTCACGCAGGAGAGTGGGGACGAGGGTGATGGAATTACCCCTAGCGTCATTACAGGCACTGACGCGGGCACGGACTATGAAGAGGACAACCCGGACGTGCAAGAAGCATCACCTGGTAAATACTTTTTGCTCTTGCCTTATTCTCGGCTGATGTATACAGGTCAATCGAAAGCGGGACGAGGACGTGTCAAGCAGCTTGCTCGAGGAGGGGCGGTGGGACGAGCCAGGGCAGGGTCAGCGAACAATGCCCGGGGAAGCAAGAAACGAAAGAAGTAGCATTTCGTGTTCATTATCATATTTGCTTATTATTTCTCTATCCGTTTGCTCTGACGATGATGACAGGCATACCCTTACCAGGGGTACAACATTGTATTCAATACTGTAAGTGTCGTTGTCAATACTCATACCGACTGCAGCATTGCAAACACTAGTGCACTGGATCGAGACTAAGATACAGGCGCGTTCAGTGATGCCCACTTCAGCCAGGCAGACCGGAACGGGCAGGTTTATGAACAAAGAGGATAGACATATCATGCAGTCTACATATACAGTACACGTGTCTTGCAGTGCACGTAAGTCCAGTATATATAGTAGAAAAGTCATCGATCCTGTATCTAATCTCAAAGGAAATACTGAAAAAAATCATCACATTCATTTTAACTTGACACAAAATTAGCGATGCAACATTGATATGATCAGTCCGTGGAAACATCCATGTTCACAATTCCCTCCTCTATCGTCAACCGTTTGGTCCTTCTCTCCGCTATAAACGCATCGATCTGTGCTTTAAGTTCCACATCTACCACATCACGTCAAACATGACAGAGGCGTATCATAAGAAAACAACGTACTGGGAACAACATTCTCTATCTCCAATGGCATTCGGTTGAAAGGATCTTTAGAGTCAGAAAGCAGATGAGACTTGATGGTCGAGCGGTCTATGACGACGCGAGAAGATGGAAGCGTGACTGGGTCACGCATGATCGTAGCCATGAGAGGGTCTGATGAATTCGCCGTGAGCCTTTTTCCATGACGAGGCACAAGAGAACAAAACCAACCCAAAAACTCTTCCGGTATCTCACCCAAATCTTCCTCTGCTTCAATCGTAGTTTTCATCTCCTCCACCTTGGACACAAAAGACCTCACAACCCCAATCTCAGCCTCAGTCTTCAACGGCACCCGTCTAGCAGTCTCCATCGCCGCCTCAAACAGCTCCTTCCGATAACTCCTTCCGTCATTTGCAACAGCTCTCACAAACTCCTCTTGATCACTGAGGTTGATATACACTTGCAAAATATCGCTCAGGAGCTGACGGGGATTGAACTTGTATTTCTCTGGGTCTTGTACCCTCAGCTCGCCGCACTTTGGCCCGACGAGCGCATCGAGGTTGTAATCCAGCATAGCCGCGAGTTTGTCTACAATTTCGGGCATCATGAATGGCCCCTTGGTTTCTGCTGTGAAATCCTTCAAAAGACCGACGGTTGACCTGCCCAGCGTGGTATACCCAGATGCATGCCGCTCGAGGCCGCGGAGGGCACCTTCGCGTTCGCGTCGGTACTGCTGAGGACGAGCGTTCCAAGCGGTTTGGTCACGCATCTCTGTCTGGATGTTATGGATCTGTGTGAGTTCGCTGAGAGACTCGTCCATGAGATAGGTGACGTCGTTGATCATGAGATTGATGAACCGTATAAACTTGTCGACATTCCTGGAGGATAACATTGGTCTTACGTGAATATTACAAGGGGAGAAAACATACTGAGCTTCCTTATTCAAAGCATCTCTGTGAACAGGATTATCCCAAACCGCTTTCAAAATGTAAGCAATATTCCTCCTCGCATCTGAGATATCGATGTCCTCAGATTTTGTCCATTCATCGAAAAATCTCACTCACTAAATTTGTCATAAAACTGCGAACTAGCACCCGTTTGCTCGACCTCTAAAAACATCATGAACAATGCTGATCCAGCTTTTGACGACAAGACATACCGATATAGAAATGAGTCAACGCCGGTATCAAGTTCTTGAGCGCGACAGGGTGCGTGTTTAGAGTGTGACCCAAAATCCCGTGTCTGTCGTTTGCGTACGGCAAAACACCATAAAATATCGCCTGTCTCATATTCCCAACGTCAGCGAATATTCATGAAAGCAAGTGAAGCAGAAAAACGCACATCGTTGATCTTAGCTTTCAAGAATGGGTTCTTGATGTACCACGTCGAAGTAAGGAACGTCAGCCCAAAGATCACAAGCTCGTCTTTCCCGGACAAGTCCAGACTCTCTGGCGAGTGCCTTCAAGTCCATCAGCTCTCATGCGCACTTGAAAAAGGCGACAAAGAAACTTACCGCACAACAAATAAAAAGAACTCTACCACATCCTCTATAATAAACTCCGGAAGGACTCGGAACGTCATCGGAACGTCCTTCGAAAGGGGCAGCCTATCAGAGCCATCGCACATCAGCCACTACGTCCAATAAAACCTCACTTATATCGGAGAAACGCACTCAACGACAGGATTCGGATGCGTCCCCCGCGGATCGACGCTCCGGATCAACCAAGTCGACGCAAAGCTTGTGAACCCTATATACCGGAATACGAGCTCAGGATCAAGTAGCTGGACGCGGTACGCAAGTTGTTGGGACTGTATCTTTGACATTTCGTTCTTGTTTTTTTGTACGAGATATGGTTATACTCAATGCATGGAGTGGAAAATACTTACCTTGACGTTCTCGATGGTGGCTTGCACGTGCGCTTGTTGAGGGGTCTGCAGATACAGCATGAGACCGTTATACACAAACGGCAGAAATGGTCATCTAAGAAAAAACACGCACCCCCATCCACGACCCATCCCCAGAAATCATATCATGATGCCTCTGGTAATCATCAAGAGTCTTCCCCATGTCCTCGTACACCTGGATCGTACGTATATATCCATAGTGCCCCAGAGCATTGCAGAGATAGAAGATATCGGAGATGAAGTTGGGCGTTGCAGCTGAGGCGTCAAGGTGATGTAATTTGGGTGCGAGGCATGGGCGAGTACATAGTTGCATTTTGAGTATCGAGTTATTGTTTTGTTTTGTGGAGGATATACATCAATAGGGAAAGGTGTGTTAAGGTGAGGAAATACTCACCCTTTGACTTGCTCTCCTCGACCCATTGCGTCGCTTCGTCGCTCGTCGCCTTGATCCTTGTCTCCTCCTTCAGATCAATTCGGGTAGACACTGAAAAATAATAGGGATCTATGCGATCTATCTGTAGAATGCATGCGACCACACAACGACGTTTACAGTAATAAATAGATAATAGCAGATCATGAGGGAATCTGGAATTCATTGAGAATAAATGAACAAACCTTTGTATACCTCGCGTCCATAAAGGGCTCCGCAAATCTTAGCAACACGCTCTGTAGATTGACCATGAAGCTGTCAGACGCGACGGTATCGGGCTCAACCTATACATTGTTAGTCAGCATCCCACTGCGCAGGAGGAAAAATGAATATACCTGCATTCCTGCACGTTTTACGTTGAGACGCACTACCGTTGCAAAGTATTCTAATACCCGCTCACGCGCCTCGAGAGATGTGCGCACAAGGGTGTTAAAGATTTGGAAGAGGGAGGACTGAACCATGGGCACGAATAAAAAGACGCGAAGATGAGCAAAACTATGTAAGTAAGTACGGGCCAAATTCTCTTACCTGCAAACTCTTCAACGTCCCTCTCAAACTCGCATTCGATGAGTCCACATCCGCACGACTGCGTTTCGTCGGGTCGCTAAAGTATGTCTGCGCAATACCTGGCTGTTGGCGCACGACGTATATCAGACACATCATCATCCACGCGCATCACCGTGCAACACTCACCCACTCCCGACTAAACGTCCCCAGCCTCAGTAGCGGGCCCATGAGAGACAGTCTCTCAAAATTCGCAGCCGTCACTTCCACCCCGAAACCCTCGCCGAGCCATTGCGGCATTCTCGTGATCATCTCTGCGATGGGCTTTACTCCGACAAGGGCTTCCATGCCACCTATGACGCCGCGCCATGCGGAGTCCCCGCCGCTTCCGCCGATGCCCTCTGATGGTATGGCAAGGGTGCGTGCGACAAGTTGACGGACGAGGGTGCTTAGCGTGTTTAAAAGTTCATCCTAGAGGGAAATATAAGTTCGATTTCAAGCTTAAAGAACAGACAATGAATGTATGTGTTCTACGATAAAATGATGCAAGTTAAAAGCACACGCACTGGGTCTGTGAAGCGAGCAGCAAGGTCTTGCAAGAACGGCTGAACCTCTGCGGGAGCCAGCGTGGTTTGAGAGGTGGTTGTAGATGCGTACAGAGGCATAGATAGGGCAGACAAGGAGAGAAGGGGTGAGAGTAGCTCGTATGAACCAAGGGTTGATAGTGGACGGCTATAAATTCAAGAGAAGGCAAAGTTGGGAGGGGCGGAAGAGAGAAAGGGTAACTATTCAGCGACACAAATATGGGGAGGACGCACTCAGCGGGTCGCGGGAACATATCCGGATCCTGAAGGTTTAAACCTGTGTAACTGATAATGAGGTCTCTGAGCTTGTCGAGTAGTGCAGCAGCTTGCTGAGTTTCAGAGACGGGGTTCTGAAATGTTGTGAGATGATTTCATTGGAGTGTAGAAGAAGTGAAAGCACCTTCTTGACTAAGGTTGATTTGGCAGTGTTGATGCGCTTCCAGCAGCCTACAAGGTACTCGAAAACGGACAAAGGAGGGAGAGAGGCGAGCACTGTGACATATTCGAGGTCGTCGCTGCATTTACGACTTTGTAAGTAATCATTTACGACTCGGAAAATGATCGAGCGCAAAGGTTTGAATAGGATCGATAAATGAGATATGAATGTGAATGATAAATAGTGACCAAGGAAGAAACTTACGACATGGCCTGAGCATCAAGCTCGAGGCGAGCAATGAGGAGTCTGTCCACAATTTCGCTCGTAAGAGTCGTATGAGCTATTAAAGTTACATTGATGAAACAAGTGGGTTATAGAAAAGACGTACGGTAACCCTCAGACTCAAGCTCTGCCTGAAGATGCTTAAGCCACACAAGATCATACTCGTTTGCCTCTGCGGTTAACTTCTGCTCGCTGATAAGTGCAACTGCCACGGCAGAGAAGTAAAGAGCATACATCAAGTGTAACCTTGAGAACTGTAGAGATTGTGTCGTTCTCCCATGTCTGGTAATCGACTTTGGGAGCAGGTGCGGTGGACTTCCTCTTCAAAGGAACATTACGTTGAGGGAGCGGTGTTGTTGATTGAGGTGGAATAGATGGAGTTCTTTGTTTTGGGTGTGGAAGCTGGGCTACGGGGGCTGAAGGCCCGGAAGAGGTGGGTGAAGGGATTGGTGAATTAGATGTAGATCCTGCCTGCAACTTTGCAAGGCGCTTTGCTCGTATCTGGTTCACATGTGATCAGTTATTATCATTATAAATAAAGGAAATAGCCATACGCGATCAGCATCAGTGGGTTCGCTCATCGTCTAGGTCATCGACCGTAAACACTGCTAGATGCCCTTTATACCAGCACGTGACTAATCCAACTTCATCTCGTTTAAGCCGTCTCCTTGTAAGCTCCTAACGCCCATATATAGAGGCGGAGAAAGAATTCTGAGGTATCAATCGCTCTCGTGCCAGTAGTCCGTCTATCCGAAGTATATTTTGAAGTAATACTCTACTGTTACAAAACAGTACCCGCTGGAGTGTCGTCCACCCCGTTATTGTACATCCATACAAGCGCTAAAGAATTCAACGTGCTAAAATGCCAAAAGGTATGGACATCCGTGATCCAAGTTCTACTTCATTTGGGCTCTAGATCTTTGCATCCACCAGTCCTCCACCCATAATCGCTTTCATGCCACGAAGTGGACCTCCGTCCAGCTGTCAATCATGTTCTCGTCAGCCAGTCAACATCACAAACGAAACAAACGTACAAGGCCTTCAAGGTGATCTGTCCTGCCTTCATCCGTCACTGTGACTTCTACCGGAGGAACCTCGTCGTCCGCAACTTCCAGCGACATCCCACCCTAAGCCATCTATGAGCAACAACTCATGATGAATCCCCGTCACACTTACCTGAATCCGCACCTCTACTCTCACCCACCCCGTATTAACCATGGGTCCCTTCCGCTTCCATGTCCCCCCACCCAATTGTACAATTGCGCTCACCAATTGCGCAATACACAAACCATGGCTCACAAGTGCGATATGCTCGTCTTTCCCAGACCTCGCAACATTCACTACATGAGGAAGCACAACATCCCTCACTGCCCTCTCACCCCTCCTCGTCAGATCCTCCGCCGACTCCCCACCAGGAAACGCCACGTGTTTCTCGCTTTCGTATAAAATCGGGTATTTTCCCTCGGCAAAGTGAGCTTCGAGGGTCTTGCCTGGCTCCCGTACACACGTTTGATGCCCTTCTGCAGCTCCAAAGCTCTGTTCTCTGATCTGGGTGATGGTGAAATCATGAAGAGGCTTGGGTATGGGCTGCGCATCTAGTACCGCTTCGGCTGTGTCCCGGGCGCGGGGTAGAGGGGACGCATATATCTTGGTGAATGGTGTGTTTGCAAAGTATGAGCCTACGGCGCGTGCTTGCTATTTTTGGTGTTAGCTTGGGCTAGTGGAGAGGCGGGAAAAGGCTTACCTGCATCCCTGATAGCCAAGATCAGTTGCGATGCTCGTTAGATAACCGCACGTTCGAACTATGACTTACCTCTTTCTGTGAGAGGACATTCCGTGCAGCCTGACCAGAGAGCTAGCTGCAATTGTCTTACTATCAGTGGGTATCGCCAGATTGCTAATTCAGCCTTACTACGTTGTGCGTGGACTCTCCATGTCTAATCTGCGCGTATAGCATTAGCAATGTCAGAAGGATATTGGATGGACGTACCAATGTTACTGTGAGCATCTTGTCTAATGATATCAGAGGGTGCTTGGTAGTATCCGACACTGATCAATCCGATCGATGGGCTTGCAGGGTACCGAAACGCAACCGAAATAAGGCTCTAGCGTGTCGGAGCATAAACTTGACATCGACGCGCAGATTTCATTCTGACGATACTATTGTGGTACGTAGTCACGTTCCATAGAGCTTTTGAAAGGATAATTTGCTTCAAGTTCTGCGTGTAACTTGCTGGAGAATGAGGGTACTCCCTTTTGTGTGACATACCTTTGACACGTCCAAGTTGATCGAATGGGTCATGTTCATAGCAATCACAACCACGGGCCCGGTAAGGCGACTAGCCGAACTCGGGACTTCCATCACAGGCCCCGCAGGACTGGAGAAAAAGCCGAGACCATAAAATAGTATTCGTGTAACACGGCAGGAACCAGGCTTATCGTTTTATTCACTCGCACAGGTTAGAAATACGAAGCTAACAATTGGCGAGGCAGAAAGTAGTTCCACACTGCATTTTTATGAAGCCAGCTTGGTGTACCTGTCTCCAACTCAAAAATCAGGCACTACTGGTAAGTACGTCACAAGAGTAGTGATCGGTAATTGGCAACGCTGAACAGCTAAGTGACGATGTTCAGGAAGCTGGATAACGTGGTTTCGCTGCGCAGCGCGTTATTATTGCGAACCCTGAATGAGATCGTTTATTGTATGCAGACCGAGTTAGTTGTATTGAGGGGAGTACCGATTGTCGGTGTGTCATGAGGTGAGAACTCGTTCAGCCCAGTCCGACGCAATCAAGAGGGGTCGAAAAGGCCCATATGCCTGAGTACGTGAATGGTGTGTGAAATCCCTGCATTGCTGGTTGGGACAACGCCGCATAATCACCACAAGCAGTATGTGGAGGATAGTATGTGACGTCGCAACTGGAACAGCATTATCACTGGAGATAGACTCAGCTATTGCACAGATGCGTGTCTGCACAGAAATGAAGTAGAGTCGGTCAGTCAAACACTCAGTCAGAGAGGTGTGCTACATGCTGTAGGTCCGACAACAATTAGCTGTGCCATGGACATTGCAGCAATATAAGGGCAGCAATCCGACGGGGAAAGTTACGCACATGGACGGATATGATAGCAACCGTAATTGCGCTTGCTTCTTGTTGGGGAACGCAGCTAAATTTCTTTGCCTGAGCACATAAGCTAAGCTGATGGTGTCAAAGTCGCAACTTAAGCGCTCTGGGAACAGAACGCTACAGGTCAACAAACAAGCATCAACATAAGATATTCGTCGACCAGTACGCAAAACATCAGAAACCGTCAAACCAAGTTGCCGTGAGCTGTCTCTTATTCACTACATCTAATATCGTAATAACAGTGATGTTTATAGCAGATATTCTTGACTCATAATGAACCGACCAGGTGTGTTCTCAGCTTGCTCTGGCGCCATTGTTGCACTTAGTTCCGCCCAGGTCAACCACTACAGCGACCACCAAGTCTTGCTCCTCCAGCTGGTTTGTCGTCACAATTTCGCTCTCCCTACCCAACGTCGCAATATCCTCTACCACAACGGAGTTATCCGACACCAACCCTCCAGCAACAAAATGCACACCGAACGCCTGCCATTGCACCAGGTTCTAACGTCACAAGTTATGCAACGCAGGCAGGGCAGAGCGGGTCAGGAGCTGCAGGTGCAGTAGCGCAGAGCAGAGACTTTGGCCCTGATGATTTTCCAGCGCTGGGAAGTCAAACAGGTCAGCAGCCAATAAGCGGCCAAAACTCGACTCAATCGCAGAACCCACCGTCTGGTGCCGATCTCAGCGCACCACCTGGCGTACCACCTCCAGGAGTAAGCCCGCATGTGTCGAATGGAACGCATCATATACATCCGCATCAGCATAATGCACACCCACAGCTGCAAAATCCACAACCAACGCATAACCCACTTGTGCAGGCTCACCATCATCCACAGACTCCCGCACAGCAGGTGCTCATGTCCGCAGCAGACCGGTGGGGCCTTCTTGGCCTCCTGGCAATGATTAAGAATGCCGGTGTTGATGCAGATGGAGGTCTGAGTAGCGTCGGTACGGATTTAGGTGCAATGGGACTCGACATGGGTTACGAGGGGTATGTCATGCATTACTAGGCGCTCGACCGTTTTTGCTTATGTTACATGAAAGAAACCTGTATTCGACATTTGTTACGCCGTGGGCAGATCAATCTGCAGCCCATAGCGTTGAACCTGATTTTCATCTGCCTCCGTGTTATAGCGCTCAACCACCGCCATTAGGGCCAGCCAAGGCTGGGGCTTTCAGTGATGAGACGCTGTTTTTCATGTTCTATTCAAGTCCAAGGGATGCACTGCAAGAAATCGCAGCGCAAGAATTGTAAGTTTCCATTCATGTCCCAGAAAACTTTCGATACTTTCAATGTTGTTTTGGCTGCCTTGACTTATATATTTGGACTGACTTGTGGCTTCACAGGTGGAATCGTAATTGGCGATACCACAAAGACCTACGGATTTGGATAACGAAAGAAAGCGGCAGTGCTCCATCATCAAAAATTCCAGGGGGCGAAGCAGGAACATACACATGGTGGAATCCCGATGACTGGTGCAAAGAGCGTAAAGAGATGAGTGTTCGCTATGCAGACCTCGAGGAGAAGACAGTCCCAGCATTCGTGATGGGACCGGGTCTGGTATTGGCACAACCCAGTCAAACCATACCTGGGCAGCAGCAGGTGCAGGGTGCCGCAGGGCAGCAGGGAGGAGCACAGTCTGCTGGGCAAGCTAGGATGCAGATGGCGGGTATCTAGGCTGGAGTGATGACCTTATCATCATATTCGATTCGCATGTGTGCTTACGTATTTTAAGTTCTGCTTCATCGCCATTTTCTTGTGAAGTGAACGATTGTCAATCTGTGATTTGCTGATTCTGTTGCACGAAAATGTTCTTCCGACTATTGTAGCAGTCGCGTTCCTAATTTCCTTTTGTGTAAGTGAAACAGTTGGTCACCTGACTCGAAATGAGGTTACATAATCAAATTGAACAGAAGTTGGAAGTTGGTAACTTGATTGAAGAATTGTGGTCACTAACAGACCCTTCAGTCACCTTGGATGTAGAAGTGGTGCCCCAGACATGCAAAAAGATTGTAGAATGTGTCCCAGCCTGTACCAGCCTGTCCAGGTAGTTATGTGGCCGGCTGTTGTGTAGAGGTGGGCACAGCCAGTGTACCTTGAACTCCCAAGGTACATAGCCTGTATAACCATCGAGGCAGTGTGTAGAGCTAGGACTGGCCGATGGTGCCAGATACTGGTGCTCGGCCAGCCCTGCTCATACCACCTCACATAAGGGTGCCGGCTGGCCATGTAGGGCTAGGGCTGGTCAATGGTTCCAAATATGGGTGCTTGGCCAGCCCTGCTCATACAGCCACATATAAGAGTGCTGGCCAGCCACATAGAGCTAAAGCTGGCTGATGGTTTGAGATACAGGTGCTCAGCCAGCCCCGCTACTTTTGTCCAATTTTTTCCCACACTCAAATTTTGTCAGTTTTTCAATCCCTCTTGGGAAAACATTGCTTTTGATGCATTGAATAAAACCTCAAGAGCAATTTTCGATTGGGTCAAATTTGAGCAAGATTTTTATTTTTTGGTGCCTGTCATATCCCGCGTTCCAGACCTGGATGTATCACACACATCATTTCCAGATATCCAGATCCGGCCAACTTCTATCTATGTCTGGATCTGACCCTGCATCTAACTTCCGTGCCTAATCCCTTTGTACGTTCCTATTCCAGTTAGACTATATTATTTTCCATACCTCATTTCACTTCCGCCTTTATTTTCCTCTGTTCTCATCTCCAGGTTCATTTACTATTTTCGATAGACTAGTGTTTGACTTTTCTATAACCTCCAGTCCACAGCCTCGCATAGCTTCGGACCGCGCTGGCTTGTCCTCCGTTAAGTCCTCCATAGTATATAAACCCTGTAGAATCTATGTACATCTTTAGTTCGAATATTATCTTAGACTCTGCTCATTCTCTCCTCCAGTCTGACTTGAGTTATTCTCTCAGTCGACCTCTGCTAGTCTTAGGGTCGATCCCGATAGACTTATCACCTCCGCCTCTACCTTTGGTAGTCCTTCACTGTTTCCTTTCTAGTTCGGACATCGTCCGGATTAGTCTTATCACCTGTTCCCGAACGTGCTGCCGGAATTCCCGCGCATCAGACAATCGGAATCCGGACATCGTCCATTAGCCTTCAGAAGTTAGGGGCATGTACTCGGGTAAGGGGCGCAGCGCACAAGCTGAAGCCAAGCCCTTTGGATTAAACCCTTGAGCACGATCTTAACAGTGCCCCAAATTGGCGCATACATGTACTACTGGTGTACTACTAATCAAAAGCTTGTGCCACTGCATCTGGAATACATCTGTGAGATTTGTACTGTCTTGAACTAAATTTTTTGACCTGCAGCTGTGCATCAGCAGTCCCGAGTCCCATCCTATAAGCATCTATCCACCTGTGCATTTGATGTTCCCACTGCTGGATGGTTTGGAGTGGCACTGATGCGAGTGCTATGAACATGTTGTCTTTCAAGGTGTTGAATGTGTAATCACAGTTGTCACAAAGATATTTCTTCACCTGTCCCCGAAAATATTCAATGAAATTCAACTCACAGTGAAACTTCAGCAAAAAAATGCACAAGTGGCCCACTGACTCAATCACCTCTTGCACCAGTGATTTTTGTTCTTGAAAGTCAGCCTGGAGCTCAAGGATGCGCTTGTGGCAGCAAGCAAGAGAATCACTTTCGCATTTTGTGCATTTCCCTCAGAGACATTGCTGAGACAGTCCACATTTGGCAAGCACAACCTTGGTTCCTTTCGGCTCATTTGGAAACTCGGGTGATCTGGTGGGTAAACCATATGTTGGATCACTTTGGTGCCATCTTGCATGAACCATCCATCTTGCATACGGGCTTGTTTTCTACCTGGTTTAATGTTCATGCGGCTCACAAGTAATGCATCTTCGGAATAAGCTGAATGTCCCTGAGAGTTGTCGACCATGAAGAGAGCCTGATATCCAGGTCCATGTGCATTTTCGAAGGCGGGAATGATTTTCTCCTTGAGCTGATGCACAAAAACATATCAGCAAAAGGTACATTCAATAACAATTGGGTATAGTACCTGTTTAACAAAAAGCTCTCCTGTCCAATAGCCATCATAGTTTTTCCCATATTCAAGTGTCTGACTCGCTTCCACAAGGTGTCCAACAGTCAAACATATCACATCGCTTTGATGGAGTCCTCGACCAACCTCCTTCTTCCTCAAAGCATGTTGGTCTTCAAAGACCCAACTCTTTTCTTTCGAATCATTTGCTTGGGCTGTCATCTCATCATGTGCCACAAGGACCAGCTGGCGCTCAACATAATTATCAGGTGAAACCACCAACTCTTCCTCAACATCCCCAACCACATACTAGATGAGCCGTGATTCACAGCTTTTCATAAATGGAAGGAAGTGGTCTTGGCGATATGAGACAATGTCTGGGCGGTCATGACCATCAAAATAGAGTCCCTTCTTGTGTGAGGTATACTGGAAGCCTTCACTGTGGAGCCATCACTGTGCAGTGCTCAGAGAAATACCGCAGCCTGCCTTGAGATGAATACAAGGAAAAAGTTCATCCTCCATGTACCATTTCAGTCCACAAGGCATCTCATCATGTACAATTTGTTGAAGGTACTTGTCCGCTGCACTGGGTATGAGCTGATTCTTGGTGAACTGTGTGAGTTTCTCTGGATCTACTGCCCACTTGTTTGACCGAACATATGATCTGAGTTCCGATGTGATTGCAAGGTCACTGAGAAGTAAATAGACTTTTGCATGATGGCCTTGCCTCGAGACAGGCAGCTCTCGTGTTATCAACCATTTGCGGGTCCAACCTTGAAGCTGCCTTCCACCCCACTTGGCAGCAAAACCATGTGCCTCAGCTGCACGTTCTGAGGCATCTAAAAATGTCCTTCTGTTTGTCACTACCAGCTTCAGGTGGCTTTGGATTGCATGAGTACATCTTGCTTGGAGACCTCACAGACCACCAATAAACTGTGTCTTCTTTGACTTTAGCAACTTGTCCACATCTTTCAAGGCTTTCTTCATGTCCTTGCTCTGGTGTTCCTGCTTGTGCTCTCATTGAACCCTCCATGGCACATCCAATCTCTGCCATTTGCAAGGAGGGACTCTTGGTAGTCGGCCATCACCAGTATTGGTATCTGAGTTGATGTCAGAGTCCTCAACATCTGCATCTGAGTTGTCAGACAGATTGGAGAGGTATCCAAAGAAGTCAAACTGACGGCCTGTTTTACTTTCAGGAACCACCTCATTTGCTATTGTGGACAGTGATGGCTTGGGTGAAGGTGATGGTGCTGTCACTCTATTATTTGCATTTTTGTTAACAACAAACATCCGGTGCATCATTGAGACCTGGGGGTTGTTACTGCCAGTGAGACAGGTAAGCAGCTGCACTCATTGTTGACATGAAAAATTGAGGGAGGACTCACAATTTTTGTGCAAATTCACGAGCCTGTTCATGTTCATGGGCCTGTTTTGCATGATGCTGCTGAGTGCACTTCGAAATGCCCATATATCCCAGTGCTCGATTCTTCTCTGCCTTTTGCCAGATCTCGACAGTCTTTGGCACAGCCACCTTTGCATATCCACTTTTCAGGCTGCTTTCAACATCAACTCTGAGAGCCTTCAGATTTTCCTCCAGGTCTGTTCCTTCCAATTCCTCCAAGCTTTCATCCGTATCTGACATCCTTTCATTGTCAGAGGGCTCAGCATGTTCACCAGTAGTATGCAAGTCAGGCTCTGATGGTATGCAGTTGACACCACCCTTGTACCCACATTTAAACTCAAACTCAGACTCGGATTCAACTGAAATGGGAGGCAAGAGGACTGGTGGTGTAACATGAGGTGGACATGAGTTATCAGAGGGTGTTTGAGCTTTTCTTGCAAGCCTTGCAGCTCTTGCACGAGCTGCTGCTGCTTTCTGGTGTGTGTTGGCCATTTTCAATACTGATCACATCTCAACTCGAACTTTTTAGTATTGTTCAGACAATCAATAACACCCAGTTCACGATTATTGAAGTTGGTGTTGTAGTGTACCTCTATAGCTGGGATCCGCATCTCATATTAGGGTTAGGATTACATCTGTCATCATTGATGATTCAATTTGGTGCTTGGACAAAAGTAGCGGCCTCTAAGTGAATCACACCATAGGGTTGGCTCATGGTTCCAAATAAAGGTGCTCAGCCAGCCCTGCTCATACAATCATATATAAGGGTGCTGGCTGGCCACATAGTGCTAGGGCTGGCTGATGGTTCTAGATCCAACTCAGCAAGGACACAGCACCTGGCCAGGTCTCCTATACCCAGCCATATATGAGACCTGGCCCAGTGCATAGGCCCAGCTCAACCAGCAGATTTATAAACTATTGACATATAAAAGACCTGGCCGAGGCCATAGGGCAGCCAAGGTCAAGTATTGGTATGTAAAATGGTGCCAGCCGGCCAGATAGAACAAGTACTGACCAGTTCAGCCAGCCTGCTGCTCATAAAATCAAGTATAAGAGTCTTTGCTGGCCATGTAACCTATATACTGGCTACCTTATAAGGTATATTACTTTGCCTAGTAATGTCCACTAGATCTACACATGAAAACAGCAATAATATGATGCCCTATGCTATGTCACTTGTATATGGCCTTTTTGGAGGGCTGTCTGGCTCTGCTGGATCCACAAATATTGTCAGTGGCAGTCTTCTTGGATGGTCTTTCAGATCCCCCAGACTTTCCTCTTTTCTTCCCTTTCTGCAGCACCTCCTCTGCCTCTGCCTCTGCCTCTGCCTCCTCCACCTCTGCCATCTCTGCCTTTGCCACCTCTGCCTCTGCCTCCACCTCTGCCACCTGTCTCCTCCACCACCACCACCATCACCACCTCTTTCTGAGCATTCTCCGCCTCCTTACCTTCACTATCCTTCTCAATCTCCCCTTCCATCAGTTTCGACAGCTTCTCATTCTCCTCCTCCAGCTTTTGCTCTCTCTCCTTCAGCTTTTGCTTTCTCTTTCAGCTTTCTCATGTCCTTCTGCAGCATCACCATTTTCTTCTTCTGTTCCTCCATCTCCCAAAGTTCCTCTTCAATCTTCTTTCTTATCTCATCCTTCTCCCTTTGCTTTCTGTCATGTACTTCATCTTTCCCTAGTTGAAATGGACTGAGTGGCAGTATCAGTTGCATGTTCTTCACCCCCCCAGCCTCAGCAATGACAGCATGTTGTTCCTCCTTTGCCTTGACCATGTTGATAACTCCACCTCTGGTTGTATTGATTGCCTTTATGGCGTGGTTGAGGGTCTTGATACCTAAAATGAAGGTGCCAAGGTAAGAGAAGGTGTTGGGGGTAGCTTCATCCACCTCATACTTGATAACTTGCCTCATGCATCATGAGTCATTAGCAGTTCTGCTGAGAAGTTGGTGATGTTTACACACTCAGGATACTTTTGATGATACTCCTTCTGTTACAAGAACATCTAGACACTTGGGCCCCTACTATTTTTCTCCTAATCCTCCTCGTATCAGCCCTCGCATCATACCCTTACCCCGACCTTACCCTTGTCATCCTCGTCATCCTCGCATTCCCTTTCGCCCTCTACCTGTCGCTTCAGCAGAGCCAGTACATCTGGCCGGACCCTTTTGCTGACGAAGCATACCCATGCTCCGTTTCATCACCTGACTGATCCTGTGGATAGTCCCCTTGCCGTTACCGTCTGGACGGTAACCTATGACACGATGCACGACGCATCCCCTTTGCCCTATTCCCTTTCTTGATCTCTGACTCGGTGCGCAGTCGCACATGCGACTTATACTTAGATCCACAGCTGCACGATCGTGCCTCTGCGCGTTTCACTTCTTATTTCGATCTTTGACTCACTTTCTTATCAAGCACGTTCTACCTCGACCAAACGTGCCTTCCTGTTATAGTTATACCCTTTACCGATTGCCTCTCCCGGTAGTACGAGTTATCACCCACTAATATGTCTCCTGTCCTCTATATAAACTCGCTACCATGTACTATATTCCCTAACTTGAATCTACTTGGTTCTTGACCTCCTACTCTCACCAGAGTGATCCTTCTGCCTCGCCAGCAGTCTATATTCTATCTTCTTATCTGCTCTTCGCGGATAAGCCTATAGTCTCGACCTTTACTCATCGACTTCGTCGACGAGCAAAGCCCCTGTTAACTAGTCGGACTTCTGTCCTTCTAATTAACGACGATCCTTACGATTAACCTTCGGGTGTCGTAAGCCTAGGCCGATATAGCTTATCGTCTCGCACCCGTGTGACATAAGCTACCCGATTTGGACATAGGCGTCAAATCGTACTTGCCGAAGACATGCCAAGTACGACCCCTAACCTTGGGCTAGCCCAAGGACGTCCACAGACCGTTGACGACACAAGCTCTGTTTGAGCATCGCCAACAGATACCATCCAAGTCGTAACACCTTCCATCAACATCTTTCTCAGACGAGATGTTGATCAGCGCTCAGCTTCCGACACTTACACCTTTCCCATATACCATAAACGTACCAAAAGGGCACCAACACCTTGCCAGCTGGGCTGATTGCATAGACACTACTAATTCAGTAAGTGTCTTCCTTCCAAGTAACGATGTTACTCCTTTGTAGTCCCACTTTGTATTCAATAGCTCCATACAATGCAAGATTCAACCTTCAAGTTGCCACAGTTTACATCAAGAAACTGAACCTTCATTTTGCTGTCTGGTATACTTACTTCCAGCGAGCCTACATCACCAAATGAGTCATGGAAAAATTGCATTCAGCTTCAAAAGATGACTCAAGGCTGCAATCCCTTGAAGTATTGCTACATCTCTAGCTAGTACATTCTCTTAGTAGCATCTCAAGACCTAGGCCAACCTTCATAGCTGACGACAATTCAGAGATCTTTGCTGACAGGACTATCTTAAAGAACTTGTCTAACTCACTAGCCTCTGAGTGGACACTGTTCAGAAGGTATGATCCCTCCTAAGACCACGTCACCCATGCAAGCCATTGTATTGCCTTAGAGCTTTGTTCCTGCATCAAGTATTAAGTTTCATGAATCTAGATATATGTAAATCACAAGTGTACCTTTTTCAAGCCACCAATACTCAAAATGAAAAGCAAATATTTGTTGTTGCTGCTAAGAGACCATAAGAATGATATCTGATCTTTTATTGGAATAGTGGCTGGTGTGTGTGTGTCTTCTTGAGAAACTGATGCTGGAGTGACTGGCCCTGCTAATGGAGCTGAATTGTCATCAGAGCTGTCCTTGGAGGTGTCATTGGCCAGCTGTCTCAAATGTTTCATAGGTGTAGGGGCGGCTGAGGCCTTGTCTTCATCATTAGTGTCAACTTCTACATACTTCATTTTGGATTTTTTCTCACCTACATAAACAGCATTGTGGAGCAGGGACTTGTTCCTGTGGGCACTCACAGCCCCAATAAAAATAATCAATTTCTGATTTGAAGCATCTCTGGCTTTCCAATGGCTCCAAAGTTTGTTGATTTCCTTTGCCCTCAAATGAGATAGGTCTTGCATGATAAAACCATTGGAGATGGAGTTGGGATCCAGGTACAGTGAAGGCTCACCGGCAATCAAAAGCCAAGGTACTGGCTTCATGCTATCAGTGAAGACTTCTGAAAAATGGAAGGTGAGTTAAGTTAAAATCAACAAAGACAAAGTAATCAGCAACTCACTGTAAGATGCATAAAAATTTTGCCAAACCAATCCTTGTTGCCCCTTGAGGCCTACTTCCATACGGGAAGGGAGCTTTGCATATCTGTGCCTATCCAAGACAACTTCAGGCATTGCATCCTTTCCATTGTTACTTTCTTCATCGGAGGAGTCATTGTCATCATTAGTGGGATCTGATACATAGTCTATTGAGCAGTGTGAACTAATCTAAAAACTCACAACTCACAGAATTCAGCCTTTGACCACTCAGCAAATTTTTCAAAACCTCCAGACATCCATTCTTTGCTTCCTTGAGAATTCTGGCTAAATGGTTTCTTATGATTGACAGGCTGAGACTTGTGACTGAATAATAATAATGTTGTTATTTTACACTGAGGAGAGTAGATAAATACTCACATCTTGACACTTAAAGTCTGATCACTGTTTTTCTTGTGACTGACCAACATCATGAGTCGGCAAACCATAGTATGACACATTTGTTCTGTAAAATCCTCGAGAGCTTTTTTGAGGTTTTTCTTTCGATACCTGCCGATATAGTTATAGTATAAATTGAAAAAAAATAGCAATTGACATTGTCTGTGATTCTGCCAGGACGCCCTCTCTATTCCACTTGTTCCTCACCTCCTCAACCTCCTTCTGATGTGCAGGGGTCATGCTGTTGAACCACTCCCTCACATGTCCAGTTCTATACTTAATAGAATGTTGTACACCTTTCTTCTGTTGCTGCTCCTTATCATAGTTGTCCATCTCTTGCTTAAAGAGTTTCTGTGTGACATTCCAAGCATTAAGCTCCTTCTTATAGAACCCTGCCTCCTTTGGATGAGCTGCCAACTCTCTCTCCTCAGGGGACATGCTAGATGGTTCTTCCTCCACCTCCGAGTCATCTCCCAAGATCTCTTGCTTAGCACGTTAATCATCTGCATCTGTTAAGAACTGGAGGTAGTACCTCTGGATAGCCTATATATCAAGTATGTCGGCACCATTGTATACTCAAACTAAAACAGTACCTTTTTCAATCTCTTTGATAAATCCTCAAGATCGTCTCTTGTGTGATGAATTGCAACAATTTTATTGTGGATCTGTCTTAGAATATTCTGACGGGAATTCTTCCCATTTACAAACTGATCTTTGTGGAGACTCAGTGCTCCCTCCCAAGAAGCATACCATTCAGCCATTGATCACTAGTTGTATAAATCAGGAGCTTTTGGCAAGGATGGATATACATCATGTAACCTTAGAGCAGGCTGAAAAGTTGAAATTTTGAGGGAAACACAATCACGTACATACAAACTAAGACACATCATTACTCAATAAACTATGTGACAAAGCATGATAACTCAATTCAAATTATGTATGTACACTGCAAAGTAAATACACAAATCACCTGCACACCTTCTTTGCAGTCCCAATAGGTACACTGTCATTCTTGTGCTTGCCTGGGGTAGACACAGCTGAAGACTGAGGTACAAAATGGAAAGATAATTGTGTCTATGAAGTTGAAATGAAGAACCACCTCCTTGAGCTGAGTGTAGGGTGTCTTGTGCACCACCACAGAGCCGCAGACCAGAAAGACAATGTGTGCAGACTTAAGGATTCTGACATAGGGCTTCAACACTGTAGAGAGAACCTAGAATATAATAATTAATACTGTTAAGACACTAAAAATTTAAAATTTACATGCTGAACTTCCATCGCAACATACTCTCCCTCACCTCAACCCTCCTTCTCTGCAAAAATCTACCTGCTGTCTTCTTCTGAATGGTTGGAGAGAAATGCAAAGACACAACCAGTGGAACCAAGGTGATGTGTGAGCTTAGAAACTGTTCCAACCTGGTTGAGGGTGTAGTTTTTGATCTGCTTATACGAAACAACGTCGAATGGGATCTTGATATACAGAAACCCACTGCTGGGGTAGAACTTGTCGAGGTAATGGGAGAGGAGTTGAACAGGCATCAGGATCCTGTTCTTGCCACCAAGGATAAAATGGATGACAGCAAGGGGTGTGGCTGCCAAGATGGAGCTAGATACCAGCTCATACTTGCCCTTGAACTGCAGGAAGCCTGGAAGTACAGATGTTGGTAAGGCCTATAGCGTTCAACAGGTATTCCACTTGAGCTGAGATATAAAAGTCTCATCCCTTACTCCCATTATCTTCTAACTGAATACAGACACACTTGTATCTATTATGTCGTGTTCAAGACCAAAGGCGAGTGCACTGAGGGTACTTTCAAGCTCTCCCTTAACAATATACTGCTGCAAAATTTATATGATTGCTCTTTTCCTCAGCACAGGTGCAAAGCCCATATATGAGTTATATCACACATAAGATGCAATATTTTCAACACTAAAATACCAGTTTATTACTTGCTGTCAGTATAAAGTTGAAATTTAAAGGTCCTTCCAGCTTTTGTATCTGGACTGCTGTTTCTTGAGCTTAAATTTGAATGATGCAATGTAAGAAATCAGAAGTTATTCTGATTTGGATCTTCTGCTTTTTCACCGCTTCACAACATTGTAAATTAAATGCCATTTATAGTCTACACTGCCTGGCTGAAAATTTTCCTATTCTGCTATTTCAATTCTGTTTTCTGTACTTTGAAGGACAGGATTAACTTAAGTTGGGACTGCTGTTTCTCATCTGATTCTTTCGCAATTATGCTTGGATGGTATCCTGTAGCAGATCTTGAAGTATGATGCCATCCAAAGAAGTTAGCCCGATTTGGATCTTCCACTTTTGCTCTGCATCACAATATTGTAAATTAGCTTAAATTAAAAACCATTTATAGTCTAGATTGTCTGTGGTTGAAAAAATTTCCATTGCTTTGTTTTATGTCTCTTTTTCTAAACTTCACCAACTGAAAAATGTCGGATCCTGCTGTGACAATTCTGTCCAATAGGCTCTGTAGGCATGTGGATGACCTACTGCATGATTCATCGTCATATGAATTGCTGATAGGTGACAAAATCAACAACAATTTGATGCAAAGAGCCAGGTAAGGGAGTCTCATGTCACTGTCTGGCAAAACTGATCAGCTCAAATTTAAGGACCAGATTGTGGGCCAAGTGGCAGGACGAATTGTCTAGTACTGGTAGTGATGTTAAGGCAAATGTCATTACTGAGATTGAACTTACTAGAGCCACGGCCATAATAGCCTACACCATAGTTAATTTCTGTAAGTGTTGATTTGATGGTTGGGGGTCTGTCATTTATTATGTTGCTATAGTGTGGGTGGATTTGGATGTAGATTGGTTTGTGGACAGCGCCAAGGCATTCCACCCATCGCATGCGGACAGCCAGAGACATAAGCTGGCAAAATATTCCCACTGACCTTCATTTGATTCAATATCAGAGTCGGCAACATTTGTTGACAGGCATGAAAGGATCCTCACTTTGTATTTGCCAGAGATCATGGTACCTGATAGAATGGTACAAGTCTGACAAATTCAGTCTAAGTGCTTTTAATAGTTATAATTAGGAACATGTCAACCAATTCATCAAATTGCTGAGACCTGCCTTAGATAAGTCTTTACCCAAGCCAACTCACAAGGATTTGTCATGCCTTCAGGTGAGGGAGAATTTGGAGTAGGAAGGGTGACTTTGTGCCCCAGAGGATTCATGCAATGCCATGAGGTAACTTTGTATTCATATACTTGCTATGACACAGAACTAACTTAAACGAGCTAGCGACTTCAGGATGACTTGTACTAATCAAACTCTCTTTCTTTGCCTGTGGTCTGAGATTAGTTGTCCAAAATAACGGTAACTGAACATTTGTGGTCCGCTATCACCAGTTTTATTGCACCAGATCAATATCAGGCTGGTGTGGAATCAGTTGCTAATCTGAAGGATATGATTCATACTTCAGATTCCGTTGTTTGGCTCTCAGAGTTTTCTGAATTGGAAGTTATTGTCAACTGAGAGACCCCAAGTCACTGAGACCCTGGATCATCGCCTTCATTCTATAACCTTCTGGTGAGCCTTGGCAAAGCTCACCATGCTGTACTGGCTCTGCCAGATCTGGATGCTGAGCTAGTATATCCCCCTGACACTATGATTTATATTTTAGGAAAGGTGCTGGAGCACAGAGTGCCATAGTGGGGCGATGGGGAGAGGGTTGGAATTGCCCACTTTGTCAAAGATAAAGTACACAATAGACTTGGTGTGCAGAGACCAAAATTTTTGCATCAGCAGGATTTTCTGAACAGAGTGGGGGCAGGTAAGAAGGGGGGTCTAAAAGCGATTTGAAGGTTAAATAAGAGAAGGAGACAAGGAGTAATTTCCCAGTAATTTCCCAATAGTAGATGTCCAGATTAAACAAAGCTTGTGATTTTAATTGGTTGACTTCTCATACGACTGAATCTTCCCTCAGTCTAAGCAGTATGTCCTCAAAGAAACAACAGTGTCTCAAGGCTATTTCTTATTCTTTTCAAGATAGAGGAAAGTTATCACAAAACAAGGATCTGGATGTTGAATATGTTGCTCACAAACCTACAAGAGACAAGAGGGGAAAGCCCTCTTGGGTTGAGTCTTCCACTGATCTGCTGTATGAAAATTTGTGGGAGTCCACAACCAACCCAAGAAAATGAGCTAAAGCAGTACATGCATAATCACCAGACATCATAGAGGATTTGAATCAAGAAATGTTTGGTGACTTTGTTATTGATGGAGAGGCTAATGAGCAAGGAAAAAAAACAAAGGTATGTCTAACATACCGCAGCTGACTAGTAATTGTTTCTCATAAATGGCACAGACACAAAATGACTTCATAGCAGAGTACCTCACTCACCGAGACACATATCTAGATGTCATCTTGGACTCAGTAAAATTTGCCACCACAGGGATCTGTGAGACTTGCCAATGTGAAGATGCTGCCTTTCATTGTGCAACTTGCACTGGCGACCACAGCTAGTGTTGCCCATGCCTCCTCAAATCACATCAGTCATTGCCTTTCTACAAATTTGAATTTTGGAATGGCAAATGCTTTGAGGACACCGCTCTTGTTGACCAAGGATTTATATGGTACATGGGCCACAGTGGAAAGTCTTGCCCTTTCTATGGAGTTGCAAAAAGTCTGTTAATTAAGATATTCCTTTGATTATTGTATATTCTTCTGGGGTGTTTACACACAATGTGTCGTGGTGCTGATGTCCAGGATCACATCATGAATATTACCTGCAGCTGCTCCAAGCAGACTATTTCCTGCCAGTACCACACACCCTAGGACTGCTTTCACCTTTGAAGTACTGGATCATTTTCTCATTGATGCCTTGGAATGTAAGACTTCAACAATGAGCTTCTTTGAGAAAATCCGATGACTGACAAATAATGCTTTTCCAGACTCTGTCCTGGTAAGTGGAACTGACAATACTGTAATTCTAGCTCGTAGTCTTAGTTCTCATTTCTGTTTAGCACCATTGATTGTGCTTAGTCTTAGTTTTCTTTTTGTCAACACCATATTACTGGGTTGACTAGTGTTTCTATACTGATCCCATAGAGTACCTTTGTCTGACCGTAGCTTGGATATTCTGACAGGCCACCCATGAAATGATCACGTTATAAGTCATTGGTATTTGTCTGAATCACTGACTGTGGAGATATTTGATTTTGTAGGTATTCATCTATAGATCATCTATCTAAGAAGATATTGTGTCAATTCGCACATGTTTGAGTCACACTGCATCGGACCTTTGGACATCGCATCGGCTAATCACACTTTGCACTGCACATGTCCATCTCATGTCCTGTCCTTCTGAACTGCCCCACTAGGTATGTAGTTACTTGCCTTCATATTTCCTGACATTCGGACTGTGTTATTACATGTCTGCAGCACCTCATGTTTTATTACCTAGATTCTCAGATCTGAAATTTTGCTACTATCTTTGCCTGTAGTATTCTGGATTTTGATGTACTTAAATACTCTGTAGTGACCCATAGTAATCATTATACAGTAGTTGGAGGCCATTTCCTGACTCTGTGGATCACCCAGAATATTCTCATAGTTCTTAGTTGTATTGCGAAATATTACCATTCCTTCACTGTCACAATCCACCATTCATTATACTTGCACACACCACTTGCAATCTGACACTTATTATATAGTTTCTGACCTATTTTCATGAAGTCTGAAAGTCCGAAATCTCAGACATCGCACTTTGGCTTTGGACATCAGATAAGTACCCTCAGACATTTTCAAATTACCTTCAGACATTCATTATTTGCATTACTGATGGATTTATACTACTAATACCATATAGCAATCCCTTTAGGATTGAACGCACTTGCTTTGCAAGTATAGCAGCATAGGTCATTGTAGAGACTCATGCCTCTCATGGTGCAATATTGCACTTTACACCCATACAGCACACAGCACAAACTTGCAGCATCACTTCCTAAGTTATCCTCAGCTATTCCCATATGAGGCACAGATTTCCCGTGCCATGCATTGCATGCACTTTCCCACACTCAAGCACCCTATAGTGCCAGTCATCCAGGCACATCCATCCACTGTCCACTGAGTTCCCTAGTGTGTATATTTCCATTTTGAACTTATTTACATATTGTACCACCTTTATTTTATTATGGACCTTTACTTACATATAGCTTTACATACTTGGCTCGGTAGTGCTTCAGCTTGGCTTTACTAACAGCACTTAGGTGCCATACTTAAGTGCCAGCAGTAGATATCTTTGGTAGTTTTCTCTTCCCAGTAGTTGCAGTAAGAATTCATTTTCTGAGCATCAGAATAGCAACTCCCAATAAGCCTACATTGCGGTAGCTATTGACATTCTATCACTTGCATTGCATTCTCTATCGCTTTGCTCTATATTTATTTTCATTGCCTCACATCTCAATCATTGCTTGAACCACTGACACATCGCACATGCTTCGCTTTCCCATGCACTTTCCTGTGCTTCACATCAGCCAACTAGTAGCATCTTCCATGTGCATTTCTAGACCTTTGCTGCACTTGCTTCCCCTTTAGGATTAAACGCACTTGTCTCGCCAAGTAGAGCAGACTAGGCAGCACACGATCTACAACATTTAGTCATCAGCCAGGAGCTTTGTTTGTGCCTTGCTGAGTTGTATTTTCTACATTGTGCTAAAGATCTACCTAAATATTATTATCTAGGTAGTACCAATTTCTGCTGAGCCCAGCGGTGATTTACTTTCTACACCATCCTAGGTCCATTATCCATCTTCCATCTCTTCTCTACTATTTTTCAATACTCTAGATCCACCTTGTGTACCTTTCTGAACATATACAGCTATTTTCTGGCCTATCTCATGTACTTGTATGTACCCAGTCCTAGCTTCATTTTTGTTTTGTCTATGTACTCTGTCATCATTCTGTATGATCTGACATATGCTGCTAATGTTTTATAAGTACAAAGACATAGTTCTACACTGAGCTGACTATTCAGCAGTGCTTTCAAAGTTGTACTTAAAAAACTAGAAAAATACCTGTAGTGTCCAAGTTCAAATATTACTATTGCTCTTACTTCTATTACTAGTTTCACTAGTCACTACTCTACTCAACTTAAGTTTTGCCTTTCATTAACATCTGTGTCTTAGGAGTTTTGCCTCTATAGACAAGATATCCACCTTCTAACTCTATCTGAGAGTACCCCTCATTCATCTGCTATCTTAGACATTGTCCAGTATGACAATCAAACTTTTGCTGGACTCATATGACCTGTTTTTCATACTTATGTTAAGGAGTATAGATGGTTACAAGTTTCCTATACTTGTCTGACCTTTTTCTAGCTATTAAACACTTGTGCAAAGCCAAATCCACACTTTCTCATACATCAGTCATATCACACATGTATTTCTGTACTTCAGATACCTCAGAAATGCATTTGGAAGGTCCTTATCCATCCATAATCTATCCAAACCCCATGAGTATGTATTTTTGCTTATCTTGAGGCTTGTTATAGCCTTATTACATGTCCTTATATATTTACTATCTTTCCTATCCCTTCTTTCTCTAAGAGAGAGTTTAGGTAGTATAAATTGACTATTTCTAGGATAGATTTAAATTACTTCCCTCCTATTGTATATCTCTGCAATAGGTTTACCTTAGAAGTAATTCCTAGCAGTGTGCCTCTAAAAACAACCCATAAAAGCTTATTATTTACTTCCTGTTGTCTATATTCACAACTTACACCAATGACAATTTGCAGCCCCTTCACTCTCTCATTGATTCATTTATCATGTCCATAAACATCAACATACAGGGTCAATTTGCATCACCTTACCTTATCTTCAGCCATTTGTCCAAATTATTTATGCTGCACTTTTTCTCTATTTTAACCAAAGTTATAATGTTCCAAGATCCTTACCTATAAGCATATCAATAATCTAACAATCTGACTTATCTGATTACTGATTATTATTCATTTCTAGAACATTCATGGACTCATGAAAGTGTAGATAGAGCCTAGTTTGTGCACATCATTTTGCATTATCCAAAGGTATTTTTAACTGTGCTATTCCATATGTCAAGGATATATAGCGCTACCTAGACTCCAGTTTATATATCAGGGAGACCAGACTTCACTTTTGATGGCAAGTCTCTATCTGTGACCTTCATAACACAGATGTATCATAGCATCTATTATGATATGATTCATATACTAGAAGAAAATCTTCTATTCGGAGTCAGCAATGTGGATCTATAGCTTCTCAAGACACCAGAGGAAATTACAGACAAGTTTAATGAACATGTCCTTGGACATGGTATATTGATTTCAGAAATGCAGGCTGCATGAAACTTGATGAAGTTTATTATGAGCGACAAAAAGCTTTTGAAGAAATACTGATTCCAGTGGATATCTGATATCACAAAGGAGTGCATGGGAATAATATTTGGAGGATATTGAAGTGTTCAAGGAGTGCTTCTATTTTGTATTCCATCAAATCCTTGGAATGCTGAAATAAGGTGTTAAGAAAATTTAGATAAAAATTGTTAATATAAGTTTCCAAAGTTGCAATCTCATGTATCTTTTTTGTCATCTTGCCTGTATAGGCGGCTACAACAAGTTATCCTGGAACTCTAGCAATGACAAGCTCACTTTTCATTTCTTGGTCCATGCTCTAGAAATTATACTGAGGTAATTTCAAGTATCTGTGGCTAGTATTGGCACATGGGCTATCTTGCACAACATGATCATCTGATTTGAAGCTCACTATTGTAAGAAGAATGTAAATTTTCACTATTCTCAAAGGTAGGCTGAATGAGAGGCTAGAGAATTTGTGGCTCGAGAGTTTGAAGATCCAGATGGAGATAAAGTTGTGGGTGACAGGTCTTATGAGGGTACTCCAGGGCAAGCTTCTCATTTGAGGATGATGGATCAACTGTTTGACAGTTCTTACACAACTGCTGAACATAGGGAAGGGTAACTTGAAAGAACCATGGTCACATTGTCAATCAGAAGGTACATGTACTACTACACTGCTACACAGATTCAAGAAATGTATATTAAAATGGTATGATGAGGACAAAAAAAGCGAAAACACAATCAGGATGATGATGATGATGAGGGACCAGGAACATCTCCACCTCCAGCATGGAGCCTCATAGTCTCATACTGTATCTCGAGGCACCAGGTCTCTGCCTCCCTCTCCTACAAGGCAGCTGCAGCCTGAAGGCAAAGGATTTCCTTGTCCTTAACCTCCTGCTCGTATTGGTGTGTAGCAGTCACAACAAGGATATCATGCAAATGAGACTCACGGCATCACTGGTATTCATTCTTCTGGGATTGGTAATTCATCTTCATAGCATAATGTTCATTCTTCAATTCCCGGCTCTTAGACATGTCACTATGCATACTCTGGATCTCGCCATTGAGCATGCTTATGTGACCCTCCATGTCCATTACCGAATGCTTCTTCTTTGAGCTCTGCAGCTTCGTAGAGAAAGACGTCTGGGATGCTGTTGGCAAAAGGCGATAGTAGTTGGATGAGATATTGTTACAGACTTGGATAGTGTCTGTTGGCGACGCTCAAACAGAGCATGTGTCGTCAATGGTCGAGGACGTCCTTGGGCTAGCCCAAGGCTAGGGGTTTTACTTGGCGAGGCTTTGGCAAGTAAGGTTTGATGCCTATGTCCAAATCGGGTAGCTTATGTCAAGCGGGAGCTCAATGATAAGTGTATCTGCCAAGGCTTACGACACCCGAAGGTTAATTGTGAGATCTGTGTTAATAGAAGGACAGAAGTCTGACTAATAACAGGGGCTTTGCTCAACAATGAAGTCGATGAGTAAAGATCGAGACTAGAGACTTATCCGCAATGAGCAGATAAGAAAGTAGAATATAGACTGCTGGCTAGGCAGAAAGAATCACTCTAGTGAGAGTAGGAGGTCAAGAACCAAGTAGATTCAAGTTAAGGAACTAGATACATGGTAGCGAGTTTATATAGAGGAGAGGAAACATATTAGTGGATGATAACTCATACTACCGGAAGAGAAACTGGTCAAAGGGTGATACTAGAAAAGGAAGGCATGTTTGAGGTGAGTCATAGGCGAACCAGAATGTGCAGATAAGAAATGAGTCAAAGAACAGAAACAGGAAGTGAAACAAGCAGGGGCACGATTGTGCAACTGCGGAGCTAAGTATAAGTACAATGTGCGACTGCGCACCGAGTCATAGATCAAGAAAGGAAACAGGGCAAAGAGGATGTGGTGTGCATTGTATCATAGGTTACCATCTGGACAGTAAGAGTAAAGGGGACTGTCCACAGGATCAGTCATCGGGTGAAACGGAGCATGGATATGCTTCGTCAGAGAAAGGGTCCGGCCAGATGTACTGGCTCTGCTGAAGCAACAGGTAGAGAGTGAAGGGAAATGCAAGGATGATGAGGATAACAAAAGTAAGGTCAGGGTAAGGGTGTGATGCAAGGGCTGAGACGAGGAGAATAAGGAGAAAAATGGTAGGGGCCCAAGCATCTAGATGTTCTTGTAACAGATATAGGGTGATGAGGATGCTGTGAATGTGGGAGAGGAGTGGCTGCACGACATTCCCAATGACGATGCTTGGCCACTGGATGAAAACACTGCACAACTGTGGTAGATGGGCATCTGCACCTTCTGTGGGAGAACAAAAGAATTTTTATCAATGCAAGGGGGAGACAGAGAACCTGCATGTTGCCGTTTATAGCCCATCACTTTGGAGGGACTGTCGAGGCTGAAGACATGACACCAGGAGGAGTAGAACTCCTGCCTGTCAACATTATCATTGTCACACATCTCAAAGTCCCTGTCCAACAAGTCCAATGCATTGCTGAGAGGGGCGCAGAAAGCATCATCATCATTGTCAATTGGGCCACCCCCAGTGCTAGGGTACTGCAAAGAACAGGGAGTGGGCTGCAAATGGGGGGGGAGAACTGAGCTGCAATGGAGGGGAGGACTGAGCTGCAAAGGGGAGGGAGGAGTGAGCTGTAAAGAGGGGAGAGGACCTGCAAAGAGGGAGGAGGAGTGGGCTGTGAAGGGGGGGAGGGAGCTGAGGGCCAGGTTGGTGAGACGAGGGACTAGCCCCCCCCCCCCCCCCCCACATGGACCAACAAGCCCTGCTGCGTGATTGACTCCTGGTTGGGAGGTGAAGATTTTGGCACTGAATGTGGAGTTGGAGAATAGAAAGGGGTGAAGTTGGTTGTACCATGAAAAATCGAGTAAAACCTGTTTTGAAAATCAAATAAGTTAAATCAAATAAAAAAGAATAGTGAAAAAAAATACTTACTGTGTAGATTAGCAGCCCCATTGTTGTTGAGTGGAGTAACACCAGCACCAGTCTGATGGAATTTGTCCAACTGCTCCTTAGACAGGTTTTAAGACTATGAATTGAATTAGTAGCTATAAACACACTTAATAGAAACCACTTATGTGCTAACATGATTGCCCACTGCTTTTTCAAATGTCTTAGGCTCCTGAGCATATAGAAGGGAGAGCTTGTCACCTGTCTCAAAGATCAGTTTGGCTAGGACTTGGTATATCTCCCCTTTATCCTTGCCACAAGCACACTCCCCATCACTGAAAGTGGAAGCTTGAGCTTTCTTTTCCTCATAGAATAGAATGTAGGTGTCTGCAGAGTGAGTGGTGATATGCTGCACCAGGATATCTGTGTGACAAAGGTCCAAGGTTTGTGACCAGAAAACAGTTGTATTGGATTGTTGTCCTCAACCTTTACCTTATTTGCTGGGTTCAGGTGGTTGAGGGGGCAGCTCCATTGCCCTTAGGCAACCTCAAGTGTTGGCTTGTAGTCTTGCAGAATGGCAGGCATGTTGACAAGCAGGAGCCATTGGTGTTCAAGCTCCAATTGAGGGATGCCGGCCAACCCCAATGTAAAATTACCTTAGTCAGGTTTTTACTGAGCATTCTAGCGAGTCTAGAATTTTACTTTGACTCCCACTTATGTCTTGGTTAAGATGTATTCTACAGTAGTAAAAAAAATTCTTTCTTCAGTCATTGAAAAACAATTCTTTTGACTTCTGATGCCACTATCAGAGAACTCTGCATGGTCTGCTAATAACTTCAAGTGGCTGTGCATTGAGGTTTAAAAGCTTATCTAACATTGGGCTCTATGTTTGGCATAAGATAGGCCTCATTCAAACCCATCTACATCACATGATGTGACATTTTTGTGATGTTCTGTTACATCGTGTGACCTTGTTCAAGCACCACCATACATTTCTCGACAAAATAGAATTCCAAGTCATACAGTAGGAACAGAGTACTAAATCTAATGAATGTTGCTAACCAAACCGGTGCCTGTCAAATCTCACATAATTGTTTCAGGTAAAGTTCGGTGACCATGGTACTTCTTCAAGGCCCATGCTGCTTGCTTACCATTGAGTCCTTGTCTATAGGCATCCATGAATCTCAATGAGCGAGTGGAAAACCTGGCATCACATAGTGTCAGCATACTGCTATCTTGGAATAAAGATTTACTCACCAACGAATGGCAAGCAGTGGAACTGAGTCCAAAGACTCAACAACATTTTGTTCAAGATCAATTTCTTTTGACGATGTGGGAAGTTTGTGATAGATCCATTTTGAGTAGCCCCAACATTGCTCAAGAAAATTGCACGAAAGCCATGTGCTTCACAAGCCAACTTGAGCAGCGACTTGACACTAACGAAATTGGGCTCACTGTAGAGCATTCTTCAACAGCAGCAATTTGTAGCTCCCTTCTCACAACAGAACTTTGGGCATTCTGCCTGAATTTTCAGCGCGCCCTCATAGCCTCACTCTTCAAGTATCATTCCCATCCCTTTGAACACTCCAGCATGCTTGTGGCCCTCCAGATAATACAGCGACTGCGGCAATCCATCTGCAAACTTGCCATCCCCCATTGGAACCTTTTTTTTAACAGTGCACCATCTGCACCATGCACAGCCTTTCCATCTTCACCAACTATATTCACCTCCACATCCCAATTTTTGGGCCACCTTTCGTTGCCCCAATCTGTACCATCCCACTTGTCCCCATCTTTTGGAGAAAATTTAGGCATGTGCCATGCAGACAGTGCATCGTCCACACGCTTCAGGTGTGTCATTGCATTGTCAAATACAATAACATGGTCCTCATCAGGATAGTGTTGCTCAAGGATATCCATGGCATTGGAAGCCTGCTTGAGGATATCCTCGCATGTGAAATAGCCCTCGCGGGCCTTCCCAACCTTAAACAGGACCTGCACAGACTCTGTTCCATCAGGAGAACGTAGCCATCCATAATCAGGGCTAACAATGTCAGCAACCATCAGCAAGAGACCCTCTCCTTTAGCATAAGGTATGGCTGTTTCACTTTTGTGAACCCATCTGATTTTTCGACGGTTGTTGGCATAATAGGTGGACTCGTCATGATTCCAGATGGCAACTTTGCGGGTGCCTTTGAGTTCTGGGTGTACAGGACACTCATTGCCATCAGTCGCATAAATTCATGTGCGAGACTGCAACTCAACCCAAATGGGGAGGAAGACTGCTTGATGATATTGCACCACATCAACCCTCTTGTGTCCATCAATGAACTGGCCTGTTGGAGTCTTTGACCACCTGTATCCAACATGCTTCATCCAGTGTTGTGCTGTTGCGAGGGATATGGTTTTAGTCAGTTTTAACCGTGATTTTACCTCCACTTGATCAAGGTATTCCACTATGTCCATAGCTCTAATGTACTTCCAATGCCCTGTAGATGTAGCAGTAGCTCCTGTGAAAAGTCTTCATCTTCCAGTATGGATGAGTTCCACGTCCCATATATATTCATTGGAAGGTCTGTTCTGTCCTTGCAATAAGCTCGGACCCACTCACAAAGACGGCCAGCTAACCAAGGTCCCCATTCATAAGCATGTGCAGTTTTTAATGATGCTGCCATCCAGCCAGGGCACTTATTGGCTGGATCTATAGCTCCACAAAAACATTTGCATTTTTTCAAGATGACTGCGAAGAAGTAAATCAAGCTTAGGATCCTTGTACCCTCCTGTGGAACGGGGAGGCTGGAGGGTCAATTTAAGATCAACTAGTGCAAGTCTAGCTTCATCAACAGTCGGGGGAGGTATGAATTTGCCAGCAAGAACTGGAGTATGGGTCCATGGAAGTTCATCTTCATACACTTCATCATTCTCATCTTCAGGCTCAGCAAATATCGAAGCAGGACATGACTCTGTTACATTGGTAATTGATGCTAATGGACCATTTGTAGTGTGCGAGAGTGGTGGATTCATAGGGTAGGCTCCAGGGAAGGGTGCCATCTTTAGTTTAATTTTAGTCTTAGTATTCCAGCCAGCACAATGAAAATCAATGTTTTCTTACACTCTCATGGCTTCTGTGGCTTAACTTTCTCTTCTTCTGGCTGCTGTAATTGTAGGATTTCAAATTTGCAATTCAAGAATGCCTTTTGCGAGGCATAACAGTTTTGGTGACACCAAGTTGTTGGTGTATCGACACCACTGTCACACTGTACAGCCACAATGTAACAATGCAGCAGTGCCTCAATCACTGTAAAGACTACTACTCATTCACAAATGCAAAATAAGAAATTCTGTTCCATCAGATTGCTCGCATCATGCATGCAAGCAATCTGATGAAATGGATTCTCTTAAAAGTGTCTACAAATATCCTTAGGCATTGTAACGCAAATGTCACGAAAAGTCATGTGATCTACATGTATTTGAATGAGTCCTATCTTACCACACTTGGTCAACATAAATCAGTCCGCAAAATTTGATAGCAGATAACTCATGAACCAACGTGGCAATATTAATCAAACAAGTGCACCCCTCGCTCATTCCGGCCCCTGAACGCCCGTAATCATGATTTACAGCAAGAGGTCATCTCCACCACTCGCAGAAGCGGAATAAGTTCCCCCGGAGGTGCCTGTACCACCAAAATTTCCGAATCCGCTGCCCATCTGGGTTGCACCTGGCTTCTGACTCGACGCCCAAATACCAGCCTGGGCTTTCTCTTTCTCGAGATCTTTGATAGATTTACCAGTGTTTCCAGATTTGACGGTCGGGGCCGTCGACAATGTGCCTAGGGACAATGACCACAAGTCCTCGAAGTTCGATGACGACTTCGGTGGCGCGGCAGGTGAAGCTTTTGGGGGTGGAGCTGCGGGAGTAATTGGAGCAGCTGACATTGATGTTCGGATAGATGTCGTAGGCGACAGCGGCGTCGACGTGGACCACAAGTTGCCGGATGACCCGCCGGTAGTGGGGAAAAATTGCCTGTTTGTGGGAGAAAGTGCCCTCACAGAATTGTTGGCAAACGCAGCGGGTTTAGGAATTTGTGATCCAAGTGATGGGCTCATCGTGGGTGCCCGACTGGCGGGAGGGTTTGTGCTCCTTAGCATCTCCATCAATGTCGGTTTAGTGGGAAGAGGAGCAGATGCCGGGGCAGGTGAAGACGGTGCGGGTGAAGATGGTGCAGCTTGGAAATCAGCGAAATCATCTTCTGCATGAGTCACATCAGTTTTCTGGAAGAACCTTCTAATGGGGGCCCCACCATCAATATTGACTTCACCCACGGATGGAAGGGCTTTGTTCGTGTTGGACACAAGATTGACGCTGGCAGCAGCCACCGGCTCATCACTGAGGCCACCCAGGAGATCGACCTCGGGTTCTTTCGGCTTCGGGAGTGCAGGTTGCACCGGACGAACAGGAGAATTAACTGACTGTGTGCCCTGACGGGATCCAGTATGACTCCTACTGACAGAACCTGATCGTCTGACTACAGTCTCGTCGTCCCCAGCAGTGTACTCCTCGAAGTCCTTTCTACCATTGTTATCTCTGAAACCAGAGTTGCCTCCGTAGTCTATCACAACGTGAGCAAATGATGATTCTTGAGACGAGATCCACCAGAATCTCACCATCTCTACCACTCATTCTGTCACCATAATAGCCTCCACTTCCACTTGAGAAACTATCGCTGCCAAATCCGCCGAAGCGGCTGCCACCCGAGCTGAAGCTCATAGATTCGTTGCCAGTGCCAGTGTATTTATGACGGTTGGCTTTCGCTTTCCGTCGCTCCGTGCGAATGGTATCTACATCGGTCAATAGGTCTACCAGTTCACGGGCCCGGTTGCGGACTATATACACAAAACGTCAGAGTCGTCACTTGGTTCGCTATCGACTGCATACCATTCTGGCCCTCATCTTTTCCCTTGTCGTCTATGTAATGGAAATTTCTGAGCATCTTGAGCGTAGAAATGTGGGAACGCGAGTCGTCGACAACTCTCTCACTGCCGTGTTTGATTAAATATTCAAGCAGTTGAAGGGCCTACGTCCATAGGTTAGCGGGAGGGCTGGGTAAAACACGAAAAGCCTACCTTATAAATCTGTCTCCACTGCCGGGCCTCTTTTTCCATAAACCGGGCATATATACATGGCATGATCTCATTAAAGTTTTGGCTAGGGTGCGTCAATGGGGCATACATTCGGAACCCTGGAGTAATAGACTTACAAATTGAATGTCCTATGTGATATTTCAATTAACATTTACTAAAATATCGAAAGTCACTAACCCTTGAGCAATTTCCTGCATTAATGTGGAACTGGCGCCCCTGCGTTGCCCTGTGAGTCTACTATGCCTTGCATGGAGCTTGGTCATGATATGCTTACCAAGGTTCGTCATTAGTCGCCTCCCTGACTTTGGATTCCATCTCACTAATGTTAAGTACAACATTTTTGGCCTACATCGCCAACTATCAGCATGTGTAATTGCAATTGCCCTGCTCTTCGTTGCCACGTACTTGGTTGTACATGTTCTTGAGGTCGTAAACAGTCAAGTTTGATAGGGTATTCGCCAGGGAGTCGAAGCGATCCATGGTGGGCAAAATCAAGGACACCGTTGGCAGCTCAATGGAATGCGCGGTCACAGTCTGGATGTGCAAATGCAGTCTGCCACCGCCTCTCTGAGGTGTATTTGGTTATGTAATCAATTGTCGATGGTCATGTGATCTCAACGCGTACATGGAGTTGACCCCTGCAGAAGGGGTTGATCATGGTTCTTCATCTAGTGCTCCACTCGGAGGAACTGATCTGGAACAGGGAACAGGAATTCTCTCTGTCCGTTTAGCTAGGAGTCAACGTTCGTTGGATTGGCGCACCACTTGCTGTTGCCTTCGTTCTGGTTTAGGTCGGCCTTTGTTGCCCAGTTGCTTGGCAATAGTTACGATTCGGGACGTGACATTCCTACTGTCCCCGTGCCTCACAAGAACGCAGGTTCAACTCACTCGATCCAGATTCCAGCGCCTTATAATTGGTGGAGTGACTGTACGTCCGACGATTCTCGTATATGCGCCGCACTGACCCATGTAGTAGAGGCATCTGGCTAGAAATGCATTCATTCCTCTCTCATATCCGAGGCCGAGGTATTAGTAACCATTTCACTGCTCCACCTTTGCAACCAGAAAACTGCTGCAACGTCGCACCCACTCCTACCCTCAGTTATGGTGTGGATTCAACCATCGAAATCTCCCCAGCAGTACGTTATGGCATAGACAGGAAGATTCTCGAGAATCCGAGTTCATACTTGGACATGGATGATCCAGAATCCCTGCCTCGTAGCTTAAGTCCCAGAACTCGGAGACACACAGCAGACGCCAGCAGCTTGGGGCTTCACAATATACTGCGGGCAAAACCCATCTCCGAGAGTGTCTGCGAAGTGGATAAACCTGCGTCAGACTCACCAGCCCATGAAACAACTCTACGCGAGTCGAACCGCCTAGCTGCGCCTGGGGACTGGTCCACATTTGGTCGAAAACGAGTGCGCAGCTCCCCCATGGTACCAGGTTTTGCAGACGTCAGTCCCACCAAAGACATTACCAGACGAACGTCATATTCTCCTTCGCTGAAGACAAGTAACAGTAAGAATAATGGTAAAGGCCTCAGCTCAGCTGAAAGTTTGCACTCTATCGTCAGTTCCCATAGTGTGTCACGATCCTCTATAGCGCGTCGCGGTATATTAGCACAAACAAGCAATAGGGAATGCACCTTAACGATATCCGTCAATAATCACACAAGCAGCTCATCCATCCATTCCAAACCATCGCCAACAGATATCGTGTCCTCTAGACTGCATCCACGAACACCCACTAGACCACGATGCAATACGTCTCCGACAACTCCCCCAACTGCATACTTCACTACCCCTGTCCTTCGTGAACTAGGATTCGACTCTCCCGGAACATTTGGCCATCCGACACCCGAGAACCGGTCCACGTTTACGTTTGCATATCCATCGCCCCCACCCCCTCTGCCCCCCTTGAACCACCCGGCTTTGTCATCCTGCCTCAAGGACAAGAATGTTAATAATATTACTCCCACAGTAGGTTTCGCAGACCGATCCAACTCATTTCCCAAACGCTCATCGCTGATCCCGTCTGGCATTGCTGATGATTTCTTCGCATCGCTGTCAATGAAATTTGGCCGATCTGTCCGACACTCTGCAAGCCTCCCAGAGGTGCAGGATATCTTCCCTTCTTCCTCGGAAGAGCAGCCTGCCCGCGTGCGAACAATGTCTGACAAACTTGAAGCACGACCCCGTCGACGCAACAGTGCCTCTTGGAGTGCACAGCAAGCTACAGAAGGTGTGAACTCATCTTCAAACACCGCATGGCCCGCAGAGGTATCGCGCGAAATGCTGCGGCTTTCGTTGGGTGAAGGGCTTGATCTCGTCAATTGGCCGTCTGCATCCCAAAGTGGTGTCTCGGGTCCGGGGTCCGAAACACGTGGTGGCAGCATGGCACGATTTCCTAATCAGGCGCCCATATCACGATCATTTTCTCCTCCATCATCTCCACCACTTCGACCACGCTCCCCAGCTCCCCAAGGTAAGTCCAATGCTTACGGCATTCAGATATTGTTTTCTTCCACACATTCCGGATTCCGCATCTTGTCTCTCTTTGTATTCATCCATGTACATTCTTATACATTCACTTCTGTCGCTCGTTTCATCCACTCACTCATTTCTTCTAGGCGGGGAACGCGCACCCCAGTCCCCACCTCCATCTCCATCACTGTCTTCATCATCATCCCCTAACCTTCCTCCTCCCAACCATCGCCGCCCAGCAAGTTACGCGGACCCGCGCATGTCTGCGAATCCAAATGGTATTCGCGTTGCTCTGGATGGCGCCACCTCGCCAAATTATACTCTTTCGAGACTAGATACGCCTGTGGGTCTAAGCAAAACACAAGGTCGTCCGTCGTCTCAGTTTCTCCTCCCTCCCACCATTACTCCCACACCTGCACGTACTTCCCGCACAATCACCATGAATCCAAGTACCCCTACTCCCACCTCACGTAACCATAGCGACAAGACCAAAGGCAAACGCAAAGCCGAAGACATAGACACCACACCGCCCGAGCAGAAAAAGGACGTGCAGCGCACAACTTTCGCCATCCCAGAGAGTAACCGAAGTACGTACCTTCTATTACGTTACCCCTTCTCGACGGCTCCGAACGCGCATTGATTGCTGAATTTCACTACGCAGGTCAAAAGCTCTCTGCTTCATCACACGCGCCATCATCGTATCACCGCAAGCGCGCCCGCATATCGTCCTCTCCTTTCGGTACCCCCATCCATTCGCGGCCCGTATCCATCCAGGGCCAGAGCACGAATTCAGAACTGATGCCTGAGGTGCGCAAGTTCGGTTCCTGGTCGAGCCAAATGAGCGCCCGTATCCTCTCCAGTCCCAGTGCACCGTCTCGTCCCGCGTCCACTCGTTCATTCCGTCCCCAACAAACTCCAAACAAAACCTCTGTCACCAACTCAATTGCCCAGAATCAGAATTACGTGAGACGTCAAAGTACGTCTCAGGCGTCTATCCCTATCAGTGCGCTCGTCTCCCCGCATGCTCCTTCGATCGTGCCTTCTGGAAAGTTTCATATGCGAGACCCTAGACGCCCCCCGAAGAAACTTGCAGATACGCCCTGGGCGCTGCATTTTCGTGGGGAGGATGAGCCTGGGTCGCCTGTGCATGCGTGGTGTTTCTTTGTGGGATTCGTTTTGTTTCCTGTCTGGTGGATTGCTGCGCTCTTTCTCCGCACGCCGCGCACGCGTGTTGTTGGTGACGAGAAGGGAGTTTCACTGGATGATCCACAGATCGAGCATGGTGAGTGATTACATAATGCAAGAGTTGGGTCAAAATGATGAGTGTTGATGTAGATGCAAAAGCATGGCGGTTCCGGTGCCGCGTCATGTCTGTAGTGTCACTATTTACATACACCCCCTTCATCATTCTGGTGGTCTTCTTTGTCCGACGATAGCACTGCACATGAACAAGTCACGCATATCTTGCATCCCAAGGACTTCGACTCATACCCGCAACGGCACGTTACGTTTCTCATTGCACTTATGACGTTCCGTTTTCTTGCTGCATACTTCATGTTCTATGCCAACCTTATACGATCACTCCTCTCCATCGCAGTTTTCTCGTCCTATTCTTGTTCTGCGAACATTCATCGACCGCATTCATTCTTTTCACTTACTGTCTTCACTCGTTTCCTGTGTTATTCATCGACTTATCCCCGACCGCATTCTTAGAGTAGGTACCGCTATTAATGTTGTTGATTGGTGTTGTGTTTTTACTAGTGTCATGGCAATCCAACCGAGAGTTTGAGGAAGCACAAGCTCAGTCCAATGCGTGGGGTAGACGAGATATTCGTCCCCCCATAGTCCTGCGTGCGTGCCTCTTGATGCGTAAGGATGAGTTTCACTTCTGTGGGCGTATCAATCTCCCTGGCGTTGTGTGCTTTACGTGTAGAAGTATTCCACTGCCAACTTGATCTGGTTTAACACGAAATTGTTTCAAGGTCAAGATGCGATTCTGGCACTTTTTGTCACGAAATCAGTGTCACAATCTGACAAGGTAAAGTATGACTGCGGTCTATCTCAGCGACTCGTTCTAGATCCTGCCGGCGCTCACCGTTTCATCTAAGTACCTCAAGGTACATAGTTTCCTTCTTTTACCGCTGAGCGCTGAGTTTCATGTGGATCCTCAACGTACTGAAGGTCGTATCTAGTGAATTGAGACTCAACACACTGTTCAGCACAATCCTGCAACCGTCATAACATTGCAATAAGCAACAGACTTTGCCACAAATTTTGAGCCTAATGTCATCAAAATCCAACAGGGGTTCGAGGAAATACAAATGTGGGGGTAATCTAAATACGGTGGAGTATATGGGTACTATGTGAAATTCTTGGCGTCGAAAGTCAAGTTCAGGGGGGAAAGCTACATGACACGACACTCTTTGTCTCCCTTTCTGACTTGCTGCGCGCGTGCTGCCTCTTCTTGCGCAAGGATGAGCTTCTCTTCTTCTGTGAGAAGACCTCTATTGGCGCGCTCTGTCATGGCCTTGAGCCTGCTAGCGCGCTCCTCCTTTGCGCGTCTGTAAGGAAGAATATATAGATGTTGATACAGCGAATCATTAGATGGATTGATACATGGTGCGATGAGTAAGATTAAGCAGATACGAAGATCGATGGGGGAATAAAAGACATTGGATCGAGGAAATTAGATGAGGTTGATTTGGTGCAGTTCGCAGGTTTAGGAGAATTAATTGGCGAGGAACGTTTATGAGAGGTGGTTGGCGAAGGATGTTTGGTTTCGGACAAAGGCGATACAGATGTGGATGTAGGGGAGGTGGATAGAACGGGAACAGAAGAAACGCTAGTGCGTTATGAGTGGATACTGAGATGAGGAAAGTGGACGTGTACTCACCTATCAGTCTTAGAGAATGCGTTTGGGACAGAGACTGGGAGGGAAAGCTTGGGAATGGATGGTGCTGATGTCGGTTTAGATGAAGGAGCGGGCCTGGACATGACCGTAGGGGCAGATTTGGTTGAGGATGAGCTGGGGGTGGCTGACACAGGGTTCGGTCTGATATATGGCTTTGAAGTGGAACTGGTGTTCGGCCGTTGTGAAGGGAGCGACGAACAGCTATGATCTTTTGGAAAACGGTGTTGAGGGCAGAACTCCTTGTGGCATTTCTGTATGATCTTCATTAGCATCATACGTACATCAAATTGATAGATATTCGACTCACATCACACCCGATGGGTGCAAATAGTACCTTACCGCACTTTCCCCTAGCGCATATCTTACTCCCACCCTTTCCCTGCTGTTTACCACCATCATTCATCACCTCACAGAAATGACTGATGTGCCTCTCCATGCGCACATTCGGGTCCTCGCCAGGCGGAATCGCGACGGGAACGCTACACAGAGGGCAGTTTGGTGCTACACGGTCTAGGTGTGCGTGTGCGGTAGTACAGTGTGGATGGAAATGCTCCGAGCAGAAGGCAGGAGTGCCTGGACAGTGCGGACATTTGAATGGAAGGAAGTCGATGAGAGAGCAGTGAGGGTATGAGCAGGGCGTTCCGAGGCCGAGAAGTTGGGTTTCTTGCTTATGGGATGACATTGTGGGTTTGGTGGTGATCGTGGTGGTAGTGGTCGATGTCAGAGCTTATAAAGGCTGGACGCGCGTCCACCGACACGCAAGCACCCTCCCTCACAAGGCAACTTGAAGAACTGACTGCTTACGTCATCCACGTATGTGACCAGTAGAAAAGGTCACTGAAACCAACCCTCCAGCTAAAACCTGTCCGGCGCAAAGTACGGCGCTACGGCGGATATATGGCGGCAAGAAACGGCCAGGTAGCGGACTTTCAAAACACCCTAGGTACGTCTAATAGTACGTGTTAATCTTATCACTCCTTAGAGCTTGTTCGGTAACCTGAGTTTGAATGAAAGTTGGGCGCAAAGTTTGACAATGCACAGCATTGAACAGGCGGCACGACGAACGCCGGTGTCGGAGATCGAATGTCTTTCCCTTCCGACCATGGCCACGAAATCTGTTATCAGCCATCGCGCATATGATCAGCGCAGAAAGCAGATCTTTGTAGCAGTCGCTACTTTCATAATCTGTAGCCAACTCCAGCTGATACAAATGTCTTTACCAAAGGAGAAGGCTCACTGGGAGGATGCTGAGGTTGATGCCCTCCTCGACTATCTTATCACACAACGATCAAAGTTGGCTGGAACCAACTTCAAAGAACCGACCTACAATGAAGCTGCCCTCAAGATCGCAGGGTTGAAGAAAAGTGGCCCAGTAAAGACGGCATCACATTGCAGGGTTAAATGGGCAGGGGTATGTTGTCTCTTGTGCCACTCTGAGTCCAGCCATCGCTGATGCAAATATTTTAGTTAAAATCTACTTACAATGCTATTGAGAAATATCGCAACCGATCCGGGTGTCATTGGGATAGTGAACATGGTGCTAGCATTCAGGGGGAGGCAGCTGAATCTGTGTGGAATGAATTTATTCACGTATGTAATCACATTTATGTATTAATTTCAGCTGAATTTATCTTGCCACAGAGCAGCTCTGGGAAGTCCATGAAGTCGTTCAAGAACACCGGTTGGAGGTTCTACAACAAGATGGACCAAATCCTACCGACTAACAGCATTGCACATGGATCTGCTTCATACAACCCCACGTCATCAGCTGCAACCGGCACTCAAGTCCCAGTGCCAGGTCCCAGTGTCAGTAACATCACTGATGATGCCGCACCAGTACCAGGTCCCAGCACCAGCACCAGCAACATCACTCATGATGTCAGTACTAGTATCCCCTCCCTCATGCCGCCTCCTTCTTCTACCTCTAGCCTGGGAAAGCGCCAGCTCGACGATATGACGTCAGTTGCCCCTTCTGCATCCATCATGTCTGAGTCGGTCTCGCAGCTGGTACCATCAGAATCCGACAGCAAGAAGCTCAAGTTAACGGGTACGAGTCGGCGTAGCAGTGGGAATGGTGGCAGAAAGGGCAAAGATGCTGCCAGCGCCGCCGCATGGATGAACCTGCAAGGTTCCATTAATCGCCTGACCGATGGTCTTACAACATCGACCGTCACTGAAGATTCTCGAGTGGCGGATGAAACAAGACGTGCACTGGACAGCATGCAAGCAGAAGAGGACTTGTCGCATGATGAGAAGATTGTCCTCTTGAACGCGTTCTTGCTGAATGCGAGAATATGCACTGTGTATTTGAGTACCACGCCGGAGCTTCGCATTGGTTTTTTGCGGTCTATCATTCAACAAGTCAAGCACAATATTCCATTTTTGTAGTAGTAGCAGAATGTTGTACTACTACTGTATCAAATAGCATCATCGTTGTCAGCATCATTTTCAAGCTCTGCATACTGTTCATCATCTGAAGCCGCCTCCTCATCACTTTCCAAGAACTGATCTACATCCATCAAGTCTCGTTCATACAAGTAGTTTTGATAATCCTCCCACATTTGCGTTGCAATCTGATCACGAAGGTTGTTTGTGTTGGTATGAATGGGCGCTGCACCTGAGTTATCAGTGTCGGCATGTCCTGGAGGTGCTGGGAAGGTGTCGTGATGGTTGTCATTGACAACGGGTATGTGCGGCAAAGGACCTTCGTCTGGGTCATGAGCGCGGATGTAATTGTGAAGAGCGCATAGCGCTGTAGGAATCCGCGCCTGAATGTCAATGCTATATTCAGGGGATATGAGAAGGATGCGAAAACGACGTTTCACAACACCAAAAATTCGTTCAATGACGTTGCGAGCTGATGCATGACGGAGGTTGAACAACTCTTCTTTGTTAACAGGTCTAAAAAATAATGTCAGATGAGCAAAAAAAAACAACTGAAGGTTTACCTAGTGCTAGCACGGCCCCATTCAGCAAGGTGATAGCGAATGCCACGATAGGGGACTAAGAGCTCTTTACATGAGGGGAACCCTGAATCAGCAAGAAGATATTTTCCAGGCGGGATATTCAGGCCATCATTGCGAGCTACATCCCAGAGTCGAGCATCGGTTGCTGATCCCTCCCAGCCGGTCAGTGTGAATGTAAAATTGAGGTCAAAATCGCACACAAAAAGGCAATTTTGAGAGATGAAGCCTTTGCGATTGTAATAGAGGTGGCGGCTGTGTGAAGGAGGGTATGCATGGATATGACTGCCGTCAATCGCTCCGATGGCATCTTTGAAGTAAGGCCAGCGTTTTGGGTTGTCGCGAATTTCACTTGAGACAGGTGTGCTGTCAGTGGGAAGGCGGACATGTGTTGTGTAGAATGGATGGGACGAAAAAATAAAGAGCATCTTGCGGAAATAGCTGTTATATGAGTGACTTGGGGTTAGTACTAAGTTCAAGCAAGGTTTTGCAAACTACAAACCGAGAGACTGTATCATTTGACCGCTGGAATCGTTCCGCGAGATGTCTTAAAGATAATCCGGTCACACACGCATATAGGAATATTGCCAGCTGCTCCTCTAATGATACGTGGCGTGAATCTGCATGGCCAAGGCTTCGAAGATCGCTGACCAAACTCTCAAAGACCTCAACATGCACCCCAAGCTCACAGCGTATGCGTTCAGGGTGGCCAACAATTAATTCCATCACCCATTCTTGACCGGTCAATGACGAAGTGTGGTAGGGCTCAGGATCCTCAGGGGTCTGTTGTATGAGTAGATGTGTAGTAGCGGCAAGCAATATGTTTATCAGGAGAGCAATGTAACGGAAAGTGCGCTTGCGGACTTCTGCTCTTGCGATGTGCACCGTATCCGGTTGAGTTTGCTGAAGAAGATGAGCTGCAGTGAGATGCCCCCCATGGGGGGTAATGGGATTAGGGAATAGTGGCTGATTTACTGATAGGAGTCCCTGTGGATCCATGGCTGGTATGTTGTACCGACTCGTAATACCTGTGATGATCAGCACTGATCCTTTTCAGTCTCCGCTCACAACTCAGACGCACCTGCGCCACATCAAAATTGTGCGTTGAAGTAAAGTTGCTCTAACGTGGATTACCGAACAAGCTCTTATTATTTTCGTATGGACCTCGTATGAGTCTCAGCTACCGCTCCCCAATAGTTACCCCAGTGGGTGTGGGCTACCTCTACCAGTAAAGTTCAAGCAGGGCGGTATCAAAGGAGAGGGTGGGTTGCTAGTAATCACTCATGGCTAGCTACTAGGGCTTTGGATATGGTGGGCAGTGTGATCGAAGCAACATGGTATTGTCATGTAAATAGTTGATAAAGAATAGATTGTTAGTTAGGAAGCATTGAAGTGAGCTGGAGGTATCGGGTATTGGTGCTGTAGTTGAATGTCGAGGGTGTTTTTAATGTCCGACGTGCCGTCTGTTAGCTACCAGCTTTGCCGCCGTTCTTGCCGCAGTGCGCCCCGGACTTTTATGCGCCGGAGGGGTGGTTTCAGGGATGTTCTCGAAAAGTAAGTCATGTACTTAGTCAGCCAATTAAAAATCGCTGATCATTATGTAAGTTCTCTGTCGGAATTTAAATTATCCTGGCCACTGCCGCAGCAGCATCGACGGTTTGCTTCATACCTCAGACGGACTAGTGGTCAGGCCTTCACGAGTTTAGTATGGAGGCAGGTTGCTAATCAAAATGTTGCCACAACAATGCCAGAATGACGCAAACTACTTTGCACTGTTGCGCCGCCTTCGGAACAGCAGGCTCACGAAGTTCAACTTTGTAACTTCAAGCGGAGTAAACAAACATCTCATGATCACTACCGCAGTGCCTCCGAAAAGTAGAAACCAGATGGTTTATCTGCTATTTCTTCGCAACGAAAATTGGCAATCAGAAACAATATAACAACGAGCCATTAAACTTTTTTTCGGCATGTTCGCCGATCATCATGAGCCATGACTTGGCGGAAGTCAAATTTAAAAGCAGTTAGGTTGGCCTCGTCTATTCTTCATGATAATTGTGTTCTTCCAAGTGAGTCCATGGGAATACGCCTTTGCGAACCTTCAGCTTCAAATATCAAGTTCAACGCGGATAAGCCGAGCAACGGAAGGTATATCTTCAGTTGTCAGTACGAATCACCTCATCTCGTCTTGTTTAGTTGCCAATGAGTTTGAAGAATCCTGCATTCGTACTAAACAAGCTGTGGCACATTCTAAGAACCGTCAGGTTTAAGACAGACCTGTAATAAGTCTCCGCGCAAAACTGCCTGGGCCAAGATGTGATCACTAAGCTATTTTAAGCTACAATATTTGACAAGCATTCAGTAGACTCATGTACGACTAGGCACGACTGTAGCAATTGAACACTAGTGATCCAATCAATACAGAGTCTATATCACGTCAACAAGTGTACTCACCAGCACCAGAAGCACGCGCAGATCGGATATTTATGGTCGGGCTACCCACTATAGTGCCAGGAGTGAAATACGTGACACGCTCACGCCTTCTGCCGAGAGTTATTTGTGGGGGATGAGGCGCTGTAGAGGGTGGTCGCTGTGGTCGGAACACTTTCTCTGGAGTGTTGTATACTAGAGGACTGATCAGCACACAATAGCAACAAGTTCAGAAATGTGTCGCTCGCTTGCTCCAGTCGCTTCATCTGATTCAAAATTTATTGTGGGTGACCCAACATTCGAGTTGGAATCGAAGAACACGCAGTCTATATCTTCACCCAGTTGTGCATGTTGACTATCCAGAGCCAGGGGTGGTGCTGCGCGGTGTCAGTGTCGAATTGCAGGTAAGAACATGATCATGCACATACATGTGGAAGCATTTACAACAGTTTCCTCGGCTACAGAGGTACTGGCGGGGGGGGCGCGGGACTATCTGTATCGCTTGGAGCCGCGGAATAGTGCAAGCTACTACCACTCGTCGTGGTAGAATTGGACTGAAGTGACATGTGACCTTCAGGTGAGTTTTCAACGGTGGTGTTGGTATCAGTTGTAGCTGGTATCCGGAACTTAGTCTTCAGTGACAGCAACAATAAATAGCGCCTACTCAGATTTTCTGGTGATGCCGACCTATTCTTTTTTGATGCTGATGACGAGAATAAGTATCTCCAGAAGGAAAACATGATGCAGCGGTATGATCCTATGGTCTGGCGATCTGGTGAATTGTTGAGAGTATGTTGATGAGGACCACTTACCTCTGACTAGTCCCATATTTATAGTCCTGCAGGAGTGGCAAGAAACCGCTAATAGACTATAGTGTTTTGCCCCGAATTTCGTTCGCGGTATAGAAAGACAATAACACCCATAGGCAGCCACTATAACAACTTACAAGAAAGGATCCCAATACGATAACGCCTGGACCGTCACCATATAGGAAATGGCAAAAGACGCATGGCCAGAAGAAGACGGAGCATTGCTACAACTCACTATAGGAACAATACTAGGTTGCGGAAACCCGGTCCTCGAAACTTCAACAAACTCCGATGAACATCAACACAACCGCAATAGAGAAGACAAAAGGGAGCATCGAAATCACTAAGGATCCTCGTATCACTGAGATCCGCTTACCTAACTTGTCTATAAAAACGATGGAGATGGCAGCTCCAAGGCAATGGGAATGCACAGCTACAAAATCACAAAAGCCCCAAAATCTAAGGTACCGATGCCAGGACTGCCGAGGCAAAGACGGTCACCTCTGACGCACTAAACATACTGGTAAATGTGATGTTAACTATGCATAGTTGCAGAACACCGAACCTGTCACCCTCCTCCTATGAATTATTGGGGGAGGGGGGGGGGGGGGGGGGTCCCAGGTAAGAACATAGCCTAAGGACGTCGACGGACGGTGCCTCCGACTGTGCCTACATCCGTCGGCTCACGATCCACCTCCTCACTCTCTGTTTCGCCTATCGGGCTATGATATCGTAAGTAATGGGCATGCAAAGATATAGGTAGTGACGCAGACCTTGATGCTAGTACGCAGCGTACTATACTTGTAATACTAGATACATCATGTGGTTAATGCTGTCAGCTTTGCATTAATTTGCATACACATGAACGACCGACTATATGACTGTGCACTTACGCATTCTTGTTTTTCGAGTTGCGCGGGTTCAAATCATTGAAGCGTTAGTGACTTCACCGCGCCTTTCCTGAATCCTGAGTATCATTCCTCGCCGGATATGATATACTTCTTGTGTATTTGAGAAACACGGATGATAGTAAGTAATCTGCTGTAACGTTGGGCAGTTACGCAAATTGCATCTCAGGCTGTGATACCAGACGAACATATGTTGTCGACAGTGTCATGTATATTGCAGACATGCACTCTTGATAAAACAAATGTTGATTATATAGAAAGTACAGAGTATCTGAAGGTGATGAGCGCAATGCTCCCCAGCTCAAAACGAGGAACCGACCTATAGAATAAGTAGGGCTAGGCGTAGGGCATGAGTTTTTTCAGTGTTGGTGTCTGCGCCCCGCTGGAATACGCCGTCTGGCATAGTGCGTTCTTACGCCCTGGTCTCTTAGTGACGTTCAAATGCGCGTGTGCTGCGTGTGCCTGCACGTGTCATTGAGCTGAACGAGACCGATGAGGAAACGGGGGGATTTGCACGTACGCGTTTGAACTTGCCATTGCTTAACGCCCTCCACCTTTTTTTTGTACCGCTGTGCGTCTTGAGTTTTGGGAAACTGGTGACGGCGGATGTGGAGAATTGTTTTGCAGTCGTTATGAGGCGCGAGAGGAACATGGTATCAGGATGCAATTGTATGAAACTAAATTCAAAGTCTAGATCCCGTGGCTGCACTGCTCGTGCCGAAGTTCGGCTTACAAATTGAGTGTCCGACAGCTGGCACGACGGCCACTATCATCTGACCAGTTCTTCTTGACTTCCAAGCTACCCTGGATCCGGATGAAGACCGTATTGACTGAATTTCCAGGAAACCTGTCCCTGGAATTTGCGATGGAACGGCTGCATCATGTGCGTGCATCACCGCGGATTTCCACACGATTCACGTGCTGACAATGTGCCGCTGCCGCAACGGCCATCATGGCAAGTCATGATGGTATGTCTCGTGAGGGCACTTCAATTTAGGTTCGGCATTGTCCTTTCATGCGAGAACTACTTAACCTCAACTGCAACTAAACCCTACAGGTCGATCCTTAGATCTTCTTCCCATCCATCTAGACGAGGACTCGGACATCAGACTACGCGTCATGGCACCACTGGTTTTCACTCTACGGTACGTTTCATACCTGTGCTAAAATTGAGTACGCTTGTTATATGTAGGTAACATCATCTCCGTTAGTCTCGGAAGTTCCACCATTAATGACACGGTCATTGGCAAAAGCCGTCCGAGCCTGCATTTTGGAAGATTTCTTATCTTATCTTCGAAGCAAGTCACTTGCTTCATCATAACTCGAATCCAATTCATTGCACACACTCCTGCCAGTCTGCTTTGCTCCCTGTTCAGACCTTGCGGAGCATCGCAGAACCATTCAAAGATGTATTAACCGCGGAGTTTACTATACAATGCAAACAAGGGTTTTTGCCGACTGGACGGCGCTTCCCGAGTATAACAGAGTTCAAGTGAGTGTTATCATTCGCGGTCCACAGTGTTGCACGCTATGCCAGGTCACTTGAATATATATGGTTGTTTTAGCTTGCCACGGATTTACAGATAAACTGACTCCTCATGATAACCATCGGGAAATGTGGCAGTACAAACCAGTAGAAGCAACCTGTAGACCCTGAATGAGGGAAAGTACTACATAGTAGCAGATCCTATGACATGATGATACATATGTTTCGTTCATTTTCTCACATAGATTGATCTAGATAGCTATGCACTTCTCACTGGAAAATCAATCCAAGCTCGATACTCGAGTAAACCCTTGAGGTTTGTTCTCGGAAGACGCCATGGAAGCTCCAATCAGTGAAGTCGAATAGGGACTCCGACAGGCAGGAGCCAGCCTATACCAATCACGTAGCCCCAGCGTTGGTCGGTCCGAGCAGCAGCGAATTTCTTCAAGATATGGCTGATGTGTCACAGATTCACTCTACATCTACCAACCATTCTCGTGCGGATATTTCCTGAAGGAGATCGAGTCCACGAATGTGTCAATACCTAGGCCTTGCAGGTTCGGGCTCAAGTTTGGTTGAGTGATTACCTTCCATCACTCATTCTCAACGCGTCAATGCTATGAAGGGTCATCGGTGGGGGATTTTGGACGGAACGCGATGTATCGTGAGTTTAATCAGAAAATTAGGTTCGGGGGGATGTAATGTGACGTTGAGATTGAAGGTACTAAATGGACCGGTCCGCGCTAGCCGCTAGCTTACACCGCAAGCGCCGCCTGTGGGTGGCCCCAAACCAAGCGATACTCGGCTGGTAAATACATAAAGGGCACCGTGACATTTTGTGTCGTGGCAGAGATACAGTTTCGGTCCTTCGGAGACGTAAACGAGTAACGTTGCCTGTAGCACGAGTTCAAACTTCAAACGTTCACTGGCAGGTCAGCCGGTCGCAATAGCATATTGGGATATATGAGCCTTACCCCATGATGCGATTCGATGAGTCAATATGACGCGGGAAGCTTCTCGAAGCATGTGCGATATAGTCTGCTCATTGAAAATATTCGGAATAATTTGGCTGATTGATCTCGATTGAAGCTCACATCTTTAAAGTGGTTGCCATGCATCTATCAGTTAAGTTACAACCGTCCAGACAGACTATTAGACCGTCAGTGATGCCGGTAACAACGGTGAGGCAACCCGAGCGCTGAAGAATTTTCAGTCAACGGGCACCTTAGTACGTTCATCGGGCACCTTGAAGAACCCGAACCGTTGAAACAGTTTCACCACAACTATTGTTGACACCTGCGCTACGCCGCGACAATAGTGGAATGGGTGCCTTGGTCAAGTGACCTTTTCCGAATTGTTCCTTATTTTTTTTCTTTATTTGCCACTATTATACCAGATTATACTTTGACAAGCATAAGATCCGTACACAGAACAACTGAGCATGGTCCGTAAATCTGTATAAATACGAGAACGTTTCTTGGCACTATTAGAATCACTGTTGTTCCCCAACTCATCGCATCGTTCGATTCTTGGTTAAGTACACGCGACTTACCTGTAGATTTTCTATAGACGTCACAATCTCTGCTAGACGATGTCCTCGACGCCGTCCCAGCCTCATACCAGTCTAGGAGTTCCCCCAAACATGACCTACCCCAACGGTCTTTCTACTACTAGCTCGAGGGCTAGTAGTGAGGCATCCTTGCAGCGCGTTAAGAACCTGCCTGGTTATACTACCCCAATCTTCAAAGGCAAGGAAGAACAACGCGCCAAGGTGCAAGCAGATGTCGCTGGCAAGGTAATGCGATTTTCATCTCTCCAAGTCACGATAAGTATTCATGTTTGCATCACATCCATAGGGTTTCATTCCCCGCGAGCTGGTTGCAAACGAAGTCAATTGGTTTTACTCTCAGCTGGGCATCGATGACACCTACTTTCAAAATGAATCTCCTTCTGTAATATCTGATCACATCATCGCGCTCTTTGGTGCCAAAGTGCTCGCCTACACTAAGCACGACCTCAATAAGCTCGTCATCGACCTTGAGAGGATTGACGAGAAAGGAAACGGAGCGACTTTCATCCACACCAGTTTACCGGGCCTGACTTCTACCGAAGGCCCTGGTGCTACTTGTGAATCCAGGTATGTCTATCTGATGCAAATCACAATTGCTATGCCAATTTGTGCCTGACACAGAATCGACTCTTTATACCTCGACAACTCAACTCCGTCGAATTGTTACCGTCTTGAGACGTTCCGATCCACTGGTTCTATATCGGCCACGGCATCTCAACAGCTGCGCTGTTACTTCATTACCAGGTGCAACTTCCCTTCTCCACCACCCCCCTCAACTCGGACAGATGGACTTACCGACATCCGCACTGTCTCGGACACTGCTTTCCTCGAGAAAGCGAGCCCACATACTCTTGAAGTATACCAGAAAATCATCTGGCAGGTTGAGAGCCGCTACGGTCCTGTCATGGAAGTATTTGAAGTTGAAGGCACTCGTGAGAGGCGTCTTGTCATCGGATACAAGATGGGCGGCACTTCCCGTTTCTTTAGGTATGTCGACCTATTTATATTACAGTACGGTAGCCTTACACTCATTTGTAGCGCTCTATCGAACCTCTATCACTTTTATCAGCTGTACTCGGCCCGCAAGTATGTAGAACAATTCTCCAATGGGATCACAATCATCTCTCTATACCTGAACCCGATGCCTGACTCAACCGGCGCGCCGATCGAGCACTCCATATTCCAGGTGATGAAAGAAGCATCTCTGCTTTACTGTCTTCCCGACAACCCCTTTTTCCTTGATTCTGTCAACTCTGGACATGCTGTACAAGAGGCGACCTATGCTTGTATGCTCAACATTTTTGAGACAGGACTTGAGTTAATTGTTCGTTAGATTGTGGCTGGGTTTTCGCTCAACACTTTTGCAATCGCCTGGGTCCCGCGTACCTTCACCTCAAAAATATCTTGGACGAATCAAACCCCTCACACGCCGAAGTTCTCAATAATATCAAGAGACGTTTCAGGGAGGAGACTTTCACGCGGGAGAGTATCGCTCAAGTCATTCATGCAAACGCGGAAATCGTGCGTTGCCAGTTTCACTTGGAATGTCGCATTAATTTTTCGGACAGATTCGTCTCCTCTATGTCAACTTCGCCATGGTACATTATCCAGCTGCAGATGAGGCATCGCAGCTCGGGTGAGTCTGCTAGTGTATTTATCTTGAGCGGCTTTGACGAGACGTGTCCAGCCCTACTCTCTCTTACCAGCGTCTTCAAACCACGCAGCCCCTGTCTGACTCTGAGTTGTACGATAAAATCAGACGTACAGTCCTGAACAAGCAAGATCTACAAGTTCTCGAGAGTTTTCTCATTTTCAACAAGTGAGTCTCAAAGCGAATAATTGATTGGTAACTGAACTTTCCGTAGGCACATTTTGAAGACGAACTTCTATCAACCAACTAAGGTCGCACTGTCATTCCGGCTCGCCCCTGAATTTTTGCCCGAGATTGAATATCCAAACAAACCTTTCGGAATGTTCATCATTATCGGAAATGAATTCCGTGGCTTCCACATCCGCTTTAGAGATGTTGCCCGCGGTGGTATTCGAATTGTAAGGTCGCGGAACAAGGAGTACGTGCACCCTTCCTTAACTTTGGAATCCTGCAGCTAAGTTCTATGCAACCAGGAACTATTCGATCAACCAGAGAATGTTGTTCGACGAGAACTACGGATTAGCTGCCACGCAATCCTTGAAAAATAAGGACATCCCGGAAGGAGGCGCCAAGGGTACTATTTTGCCTTCGTGCGTGATTTCACTTCCTATCTTTGCATTTTTATATACCTTTCACGCAGTCTTGGAGCGCCGCCTAGACGCTGCTTCGAGAAATATGTCGATGTAAGTGCGCATTTACGCATCGATGGATAGATATTAATCATTCGATTAGGCTGTCATTGATTTGCTTATCCCTGGCCAAACTCCGGGCATCAAGGAACGCCTGGTTGACTTGTATGGAAAGCCAGAGCTACTGTTCTTTGGCCCTGATGGTATGATTCCATGTCCGATATACCATGGATGTGACTGACATCTCGTAAAGAGGGCACAGCAGACATGATGGATTGGGCAGCGTTGCACGCTCGCGATCGTGGTGCCGAGACATGGTGGAAATCATTTACCACCGGCAAGAGTGCCGAACTTTTGGGTGGTATTCCCCATGATACATATGGAATGACGTCGTTGTCCATTCGTCAATATGTACTTGGCATTTACAAGCAGCTTGGACTGAGGGAGAAAGACATCACAAAAGTTCAAACCGGTGGTCCTGGTATGTTTGCGTCTTTACTCTTTGGAAGTCGTCTTTGACACTTTGCAGATGGTGATCTTGGCTCAAATGAGATACTCTTGAGTTCCGACAAGACCATTGCTATTATCGATGGCAGTGGTGTCCTTGCCGACTCTGCAGGTATCAATAGGGAGGAGCTCATCCGTCTCGCCAAAAATCGCCTAACCGTCACTCACTTTGACAAGACCAAGTTGAGCAAGGATGGGTACCTTGTCAAGGTTGAGGAACAGGACGTCAGGCTACCCTGTACGTTAGCTTTCCTAAAGTTTGCTGTTATCTCACATGCTCTTATCAGCCGGCGAAATCGTTCTGGACGGTACCGACTTCAGGAATGGTGCTCACTTCCGTTTCAAGGCAGATCTTTTTGTGCCTTGCGGTGGACGGTATGTCTGCATCACCACCTGCACCAAACATCAGCTGACGGTCATTCAGTCCTGAAGCTGTGAACGTATCTAACGTTGCTGCTTTGACGGATACAGAAGGCAAACCCCACTTCAAGTACATTGTTGAGGGTGCAAATCTGTTCTTCACTCAGCAGGCAAGATTGCACCTGGAGAAACGCAAGGTTGTCTTGTTCAAGGACTCTAGTGCGAACAAGGGTGAGATTACTTTTTGCATAATCTACTATATGGTCTTGACCTTGCTTCAGGCGGTGTGACTAGTTCCTCCCTTGAAGTGCTCGCTGGTCTTGCGCTCACGACCCAAGAATATCTCGACCTCATGATTTTCAAGGACGGCAAGCCTTCAGATTTCTATCAAAAATACGTCAAAGAAATTCAAGCAAAAATTTCGGAGAATGCAGCAGCGGAATTCCAGTGTATTTGGCGCGAGCACGCCCGCCTCCAAGGCGCCAAGCCCCGAACGCAGATCTCGGACGAGTTGTCCATCAAGCTCAACAACTTGCAGGCGGAGCTTGAACTCTCTGACTTGTTTGATGACGTACCTAGTCGCAGGGGCGTCATGAGACGTGCTATACCCAACACCCTGGTGGAGCAGGTCGGTCTTGACGCCCTGTTGGAGAGGCTTCCCGAAACATATCAACGCGCTCTATTCTCGAGCTGGGTTGCTTCGCATTACGTGAGTTTCAACCGTATCTCCTTTTCCTGCTGCCTGCTCATCATCTTGCAGATTTACAAATACGGCGTCAACAGCTCCAGTGTAGACTTTTTCCATTTTGCCCGGGATCTGGCCCGGTAATATTTGTTTCGGGACTTGACTTTGGGATCACTACGTACTGTACATAAGAACGGCCAGTAATATTGCCATCATATCAGGACCAATAAGAGCTCTTTGCCCTGCCTAGCCATAGCGTTTTCAATACGATTGGATTATAATAATGTACTAAATGTGACAAGACTTTGTAAACCTGTACTGCCACGTAGGCTCTCCATCTCCTAAAATATGAATCATTGTTTGCATGAAACCAGCTCACAGAAAATTTTACAAGTTCAGTATAATATGACACTACGAAACTCAATCAGTGCAAAAAACTCTCTGGCGGGGAGTCGAACCCCGCTCTCCCGCGCGCAGCAGCTGTGACAGGCGGGTGTACTATCCGATATACTACCAGAGATGTTTGGAAGGTGAAAATTTTACCTCTAATCCTCTTCGCATGAGACTAATGTTGCTTTGCCACTACTTATTCTTGTGCCACCGACGAAAAGTCTCGTGTAGAGACCAGGACTATTGAGTGAGTGGTTTTTTGCCTCTTATAAAAGCCAAAGCAGAGGCCCACCCATGCTGCTTGAAATTTGAATCTTCTCGGTCGCGTGGCATATCCGCACTGATGCTTGGTCCTTAGATTTTCATTGGTCACATCACGATGTCGACCAGTAGTCCAAAAAGTATTGTTACTGTGGACACTACACTGCAAGTAAGTACCATGATGATACCGCAACCTGTTTTATGCTTCTCGATTAACAACATCACTGTGATCAGCCGGAATTCTAGAAGTAAGTACTACAATTTCTATCCTCATGTATTAACTCGAATGCTATGACAATGTGTCAGCGGCGGTATGGCCTTGGCTGCACACAAAAGGTCCTAAAATTAATTTGGACCAGTGTGCCCATCGGCATCTTCGTACCAGCTGTAGATGTCAATCGCATTGTACTACGCTTTGACGATCATTGTTCAGCGGAAGTCAACCACATGGCCGTGGTCTTTGCCTATCTTATAAATTGAAATCGGATTTCTCATCGAAAACCAACATATCCACTCAACCTTTCTATTCATTTATCCCCTCATCTTCTAGCTATGGCAACTAAACTACCGATCGGAGGCGGCAAGAGTCCGTATGCAGCTTTCTCCCGGCAATCGAGCGCGGGCACGCTCAATCGATCCTTGGATGTTTCCCCCTGCAGCAGCAACACGATATTGGCCCAATCCGTGACATTCGACCTCAACCCGAACGCCACGACATTTATTCCTAGTCGCTTTGTAGAGCATGGCTACTTTCCTCCACCTGCTTACACACCGGAGGCGTGGTTGCACATCCTCGATTCTGGCATGCTGGCATCCAATCCCTCTCTGCCACCTCTCTTGGTACAGTTTGGACCGTGGTCATCTGAGAAATTACGCGACCTCGCTCAACTTTTCTGCTGGGAAATTTTAGCAAAAGCGAATATCGTAGATTTTGGACCGGAGGCAGCGCTCTTTGCGCGAGACGTGCGCGATAACTTTAAGATTCATCACTCCGAGTGGGTCTCCAGCTGCTTCGTGGCCCACTTGCAAAAGGCCGTCTTGGAACACTTTAATTCGTTCTGGTGTTCTCTTGTGCGTTGTATTGCAGAGTCCTCCTAACGAGTATTCACTGTCACACACACAGGATAATCCGGATGTCATTTCCCAAAGGAAAAAACTCGAAACCAAACGGTGGAATGTCGCGTTGGAGATTTCTTGTTTCATCGCAGACTTGTTCTCATTTAGCCTCATCGACGCATCGATTATGCACGAGTGTCTGGGAATTCTGTTGTACGAAATGGTTAGCGTGCAACACGTACGCGTTGTTCAATCCATGGTTAAACGCGCCGGACCGACGTTATGGCAAACAGCCGATAGTCATGAACGCCGCCAGGAATTCATCAGGCATTTTATGGACCGTACCTCAAAACTTCCAGACAATTCAAGCCTGACTGGACGAGAAAAAATTATCCGTAAGGCGATAGAGGTGTGTGATATTGTTGGATAGCTTTTATAGAATTACAGCTCATTATTCACTACACAGGCTGATGATATCATCGCGCTGATCAATGGATGGCACGCGCGGCGGTCAGAGTACCGTTCGCCTGCGGTGAAATCCATTTGGGGATCGTCTGGCCTTAATATGTAGTCTATGCACGTCGTAGCTAAGTGTCTCTGTAAATAAAAACATATGCTTTATGAAGAATGCCAGGTTTGATTATAAGGAAAGTCTGTTTGCACTAGGGTTTGGGTGGCGTAGCATACACCGTGGATGGATTCAATGCCACACTTGTAGCGTGAACAAGAGACCCACTTGATAGACAATGAGATAAAGTCAAGGAGAGGGTCTGCTTTTTCTAACGATACACATTTCTTGTTATGATTGGTTGCTTATCCAGATCAGTTGTCTATTTCTTCGATATAATTTAGCGTGCGTTTATATGCCTGCATCACCCAAAGCATCGTCATCGTCAACTTTAGGTGCTGGAATATGAGCTCTAGCCCACGAGGACGTCTGGTATGTTGCGTTCAATAGAGGATCTAGAGGATGAAGTGCCCATAATTCTCCTCCTGATAAATTGGACGGTAGTAACGCCACCGCTGCCAGTGAGAGGTATGTGTGATAGGGATCTAGGACGGTGTTTGCTGCAAAATCAAAGCATCTGAAAATGACGTACCAGGGTGCTCGCCTGGAATCTTTGCAATCCCGCCGTACTTGAATTGGCAGGAAGCTATAAAGGATGCCATTTCTACTTTGTCAATCAAATCGCCTGCATCTAACATCTGGTGCAGAGGGAAATGGTTTAATTTCCACCGACGTGATAAGACACTACGAACTTACATGCAGCGATGCGCCGCACCAAAAACAATAGCATGCATCGGCTTGCTTGTTAGTCCTTCCACGAAATCCGCCATTAGATGCTTGGTTTTGTACAAGCCACCGAATGGTTTTATCTCGATCAAGAGGATCTAGTTGTATAGTAGCTAATCGGAGTGCTGCCAGTGCACAATACGTAGTGCCACCTTAGGAGGGAAGGTAAGGTGAGCTTTTATCGTATCCTAAAGCATGGCGTGCTACCTAGAGCCTCCCCAAACGGTGATTGCCCATAGCCTCCTTCATATGTCTTAGAGAACAGAATGTTAGAACAGCCCCTGATATAAAGTCCTCGAAAACTTACTCGGCACGAACAGATGAATTGCAGAGCACTTGCTACATCCATACCTGACCAATCGTCAAGCATGGTGCTTATGGCGAAAGCACAGAACGTCGTGCGTAGATCAGAGTCACCTCCTAAAGGCTCAGAAGAAAAACTAGGATTCTTGGTCTGTACCTTGAAAAGTGCCTGACATGATGTAGGGGCCTACCTTCCATCAACGTTTTGACAGGATCTGAGGAACTTCAAGAGGCCCTTTCTGTCAAGACGTGAAAAGTTGTCACGCAATATGGCCAGCGAGAGAAGGGCTGTATAAGTCATGATAATCTGGGGGTTATCATAGCCCGATTGTTCTTCTGTCTTCAGACTGGAAATCAATTATGTCAATATATAACGAAGACTAATTCTGACCAAGTGTTTTGCAGTCATATAAGTGCTTGCTCGGAAGCCGGTTCCATAATGTCCGCCTGGTGACTATACTCAATTTTCTAACACATTTGAATCTCAAAATTGGCTCACTAGTCTGTTGATTCCATATCCATTCCCTCCATTGTTCTCTTTCCCAATCTTTAGTCTTCTTCTCGAGTTCACCTGAAACATCCAGGGAGCCTAGGCAGTAAAAGGATAGGGCAAGCCTGTGATAATCGTGTTAGAATAGCTGCCGTTGAGATCAGCATCGAATAAAGTACTTGGCCGGATCGATATCCACTTGGCAAGCTGGCAAGCCGGACAAGCATCTTTTGGAGTGTGTTGCATGACCACCTTTGTTCAGCGGTGGCAAACTTGTTGGCAGCATCTTGGTGACTCGGATTTTCCCACAAAAGAGTCTCCCTCAAATCAACAGAAATGGATGAGAGGATGTGGTGGGAGTCAGCATGTATAGGGTTTGCTGACTCTTGTGCGCATTCAAAAGCGATGATTGTAGGCGTCGGATCAGGAAAACCGTCCCTGGGCGGGCCGCAACAACTTGATGCTCGCATGCAAGGTTGCCCAAGTATCGTTAAACTCTTGCAGCCTCTGAGATGAACTATGGAGGAGACTCGGATTGTTGCTATACTCGGTCTAATCTCATATAAGATCTACTAGAGCCATTCGAGAAATCAAACAATCATGATGACGTATTCGAGCTAGACATGATCAGCCCTGCCTCATAAATGGGTTGGTGCGCAGCCCCCTGCAGCAGATTGAGACTTCCGAGATTTGGAAATCTTGATTCACTCTCACATAAGACCTATCAATGTATCCGAAGAGCGTGCTGCCACTTTCGATATCTTGTTGCCATTAGTAACAACCGATGTAATGCGAGTACTCTTCGATTCACTCACATGTAAGATCTTGTAAGGGTAACCACGTGTTGTAAAATCCCGACAAAGATCTGATGGGCATCAGCGAAGGCCTGCGAACTATATGGACACGGCCCGAATGCTTCACAGAATACTCACCTTCTGGCTCACGAAAACATCATACACACAAGCTAACACGCGAGGGCAGAAAAAACTGTACTAGATTATTAGGCTAAGATGAGACGATTTGAATTCAAAATACTCTGCAGTAGTCAGCTCACACAGGCCCATTACTATCATTTGTCGTCTTTGCGAGTGAGTTTCATTTGATTCACCACTATCTTCACAACATCGAACCATTCTGTCATGGCACCCAGGCCTTCGAGAAAGATCCAAGTTAATCTACAAGGAAAGAAAATGTGAAAGTAACATACCGACATCCCCACATGCGAGATTCTTCCCAATTGGCCCAACAATTTGGTACCGCACAACGTCCCGGACGACGCGTACATGCTCTGCTGTGAGCGGATGTTCGTACATGAGCGTGTTCATTGCGGGGAATATGTAAGTCGGCGTCGTGGGTGCCAGCGCACGAAGCAGAGAGGTCTGATACATAATATTATCACCAGGTGAGATATGAACATGTGATAGAACATACTGCGAGATTGTCGCAGAGTCCGTGTGCGATTTTTGAGAGCGTATTTGCCGAGCAAGGAGCTACAAGGACTATGTCAGCCCATCTCCTCAGCTCGATATGCAGGATTGGATCTCCGATCTTGTATGATCCCTGTCACGGACATTGAGACGCAAAAATTTGTCTTGCAACCTTGTGTACTTACTGACCACTCGTCCTCATCCGTCCACACGCGTCCACCGCTTTGACCACATCCGCACGGTCGTAAAATGCAAGTGACTCTTTCGTTGCAACCACCTCCACTTTGACATTCCGGTACTACATTTTCACGTGCAGTGTGAGCACTGGCAGCAGTAGGAATTTATCAAGAGGGACCGACTTGAAGAAGCTCCGCAACAATGAGAGGAGCCTTGATAGATGCAACGCTGCCAGTTGTTATCAGCAACACACGATGGTGATCTAGGAGGCGCTCCTTTTCGGCAATGAACTGACTTTTTACCATTGGTGCAATTAGAAAGTTTGCTAGAAAGTACTTGACGGTAGTACAAACAATTTCCCACGACATGCCTAGGTTACTTTTAATCTCAGCCATAATTTCAAGTTGGAGCAGGCATCGCTGAGCCCGAGAGCTCGTTTATTCATCCTCTACAATGACAATACTACCAGGCAAGTCGCTACACCAATATTAAGACTGGCCTGCCCCAACCCCCAATCAATCATTCCCGTGAAAGATCCCGAGCAAAATGAAAAAAGTCTATAGTGGAACTGTTAACGCCGTATCTATAGATCTGTGAGAGGTGAGGATGTTACTCATGTAAAATGGAAAGTGGTTTCAACTCACAAAATGCGAAGAAACCCAGCTCGAGAACAAAGCGCGCTGGTATGGCTCGGGGAGCCTCTCCAGCAGGGTATCGAGACCAACCTGCTGTACCAGGGTAGTAGGTATAGCGCGTCTCATTACACCTTTGCGGCTCGCAATATCCTCGAACAAGTCAGAATTCTCGAGCTTAGTGTGCAATTCGTTGAGCATGATGGAGAGCTCGTCCGAAATCACCGTCCGAGGTTTGGCACCTTGAAGGCGGGCGTGCTCTTGCCAAATACAGTAGAACTCTGCGGCGGCATTCTCAACAATCTTTGCTTGAATGTCTTTAACGTAGTTTTGATAGAAGTCTGATGGCTTGCCGTCCTTGAAGATCATGAGGTCGAGGTATTCCTGTGTCGTGAGAGCGAGACCTGCTAACACTTCGAGCGAGGAGCTGGTCACACCGCCTGAAGCAGATTCAACACCGTCAAACAAGTGATAGCAAGATAATCTCACCCTTGTTCGCACTGGAGTCCTTGAACATGACAACCCTCCGTTTCTCCAAGTGTAACCGTGCCTGCTGGGTGAAGAACAAGTTTGCACCCTCGACGATGTACTTGAAGTGAGGTTTGCCTTCTGTATCCGTTAAACCAGCAACATTAGATACGTTCACAGCTTCAGGACTAGGTGATTGTCAGCTAGTGTTTGCTGCAGGCGGTGACGCAGACATACCGTCCACCGCAAGGCACAAAAAGATCTGCCTTGAACCGGAAGTGAGCGCCGTTCCTGAAATCGTTGCCGTCAAGAATGACTTCTCCGGCTAAGCACGGTATGTAAGATAATCTCGAAATTTAGGAAAGCCAAACGGACATGGTAGCTTGACATCTTGGTCCTCAATCTTGACGAGGTACCCATCCTTGCTCAAATTGGTCTTATCGAAGTGAGACACGGGTAGCCGTAGTTTTGCAAGGCGAATGAGCTCCTTACGGTTAATACCTGCAGGGTCGGCAAGAACACCGCTGCCGTCAATGACAGCAACTGTTTTGTCAGAACTCAAGAGTATCTCATCTACAGGGTGTTTGATCAGCACACTTCATGAGCACATTGCAGATCACAACTTACTTGAACCAAGATCTCCATCTGTAAAATCTCGCATCAAGGACAAGAAACCACAAAAAGTGAAAAGGCAACGCACCAGGACCGCCAGTCTGCACTTTTGTAATGTCAGACTCCCTCAGTGCATACTGCCTATAAATCCCGAGAACATATTGACGAATAGATAACGACGTCATTCCATATGTATCATGGGGAACACCGCCCAGAAGCTCAGCACTCTTGCCAGTGGTGAACGTCTTCCACCATGTCTCAGCACCACGATCACGAGCATGCAATGCCGCCCAATCCATCATGTCTGCTGTCCCCTCTACACGAAATGTTGGACATCTCAACGAGTCATTGTAAACAGATCTTACCATCAGGCCCAAAAAACAACAACTCTTCTTTGCCATACAAGTCAACATGGCGTTCCTTGATCCCTGAGCTATGACTAGGGATGAGAAGATCGATGATAGCCTGGAATCACAATCAATACACTTATCAGCTGATGTGCAATACATGCTTACATCAATATACTTCTCGAAGCAGCGTCTAGGCGGTGCTCCAACACTGGGGTGACGAGTAAAATAGCACCCAAGAGAGCACAAAAAATCACGCACGAAGGTAAAATAGTACCCTTGGCGCCTCCTTCTGGAATGTCCTTGTTCTTCAAAGATTGGGTGGCAGCTAATCCGTAGTTCTCATCGAACAGCGTCCTCTTATTGATCATATAGGTACTATCGCCCGGTGCTCAGTCGTAGAATCCCCTTTCAAAAGAGGTGGACCTACTCCTCGTTTCTCGACATGACTATACGAATACCGCCACGGGCAACATCTCTGAAGCGAATATGAAAGCCACGAAATTCGTTCCCAATGACGAGGAACATTCCAAAAAGCGGTGTTGGATACTCACTCGGAGGCAAAAAATTGGGGGCGAGACGGAACGACAATGCGACCTTGGTCGGTTGATAGAAATTCGTCTTCAGGACGTGCCTTGGAGCAAGGTCAGCTCCCAGTTAAACAATCTCTTTTTGAATTCACTTGTTGAAAATGAGAAAGCTCTCGAGAACTTGTAGATCTTGCTTGTTCGAGACTGCACGTCTGATTTTATCATGCAATTCAGAGTCGGACAGGGGCTGCGTCATGTGAAGACGCTGGTAGGAGAGAGTAGGACTGGGTGTTGCTCGTCAAAGCCGCTCAACGCAGATTATCATACTCACCGCAACCGTGATGTCTGGTCCGCAGTCGGATAATGTACCATGGCGAAGTTAACGTACAGGAGGCGAATCTGTTAAAGAATATTCATATAGGAAACCGAGCGAAACTGACAACGTACAATTTCCGAATATGAGTGGATAACCTGAGCAATGCTGTCGCGCGTGAAAGTTTCTTCTCTAAAGCGTCTCTTGATATCATTGAGTACCTCAGCGTGCAAGGGGTTTGATTCGTCCAAGATATTCCTGAGGTGGTGGTATGCAGGACCCAGGCGGTTGCAGAAGTGTTGAGCAAAAACCCAACCGCAATCTAATGAACAATCAACTCGGTCATGTCTAAACAAATGTCGGACATACAGGCATAGGTCGCCTCTTGCACAGCATGTCCAGAGTGGACGGAATCACGAAAAAAGGGATTATCGGGGAGGCAGTACAGAAGTGATGCCTCTTTCATCACCTGGAATATGGAGTGCTCAATCGGTGCGCCGGTTGAGTTAGGTATCGGATTCAGGTATAGAGAGATGATCGTGATCCCATTAGAGAACTGCTCTACATACTTTCGGGCCGAGTACAGCTGGTAAAAGTGATAGAGGTGCGAGAGAGCGCTGGAAATGGGTGTAACCACCGTGCTGTTACATATGCTGGTCAACCCACCTGAAGAATCGAGAAGTGCCACCCATCCTGTATCCGATGACAAGACGTCTCTCACGAGTGCCTTCAACTTCAAATACTTCCATTACTGGACCATAGCGGCTCTCGACTTGCCACATGATCTTCTGGTACACCCGAAGAGTATGCGGGCTCGCTCTCTCAAGGAAAGCAATGTCCGAGACAGTGCGGATCTCGGTACGTCCGTCCGCCCCATTTATGGGCGGGGGTGGGGAAGGAAAGTTGCATTTGGTAATGAAGTAACAGCGCAACTGTTTAGCTTCTGTTGCTGAAATGGATCCAGTTGATCGGTAAGTTTCAAGGCGGTAACATTCCGACGGGGTTGATTTGTCAAGGAATAAAGAATCGATTCTGCATCGTAAACAGTGTTAATAAAATGATTGAGAGCTATCAAGTGTAAACACACCTCGATTCGCAAGTGGCACCCGGGCCCTCCGTAGCGGTCATGCCCGGCATGCTGGTGTGAATGAAAGTTGCTCCATTTCCATTCTCGTCGATCTTCTCGAGGTCGATGACGAGCTTACTGAAGTCGTGCTTCGTGAATGCAAGAATCTTGGCACCAAAGAGCGCAATGATGTGATCCGATATTACAGAGGGCGATTCGTTTTGAAAGTAGGTGTCATCAATGCCGAGTTGAGAGTAGAACCAGTTGACCTCATTCTGGACTAGCTCGCGAGGGATAAATCCCTATCATTATGTTAAGATGACGCGATGCGCAATGAGGATTGATACAGATCACAGCACCTTAGCAGTGACATCTACTTTCACCTTGGCGCGTTGTTCATCTTTGCCACTGAATATAGGCGTAGTATAGCCAGGCAGGTTCCTGACGCGTTGCAGAGATTCCTCGGTGGATGCACTGGAGTCATGTCCATTGAGGAGAGGCATGTTGGGGGTTACGGTGGATGCCTGAATTAGGGCGAGCAGGACGGCGTCGAGCACGTCGTTTAGCAGTGATCAAAGGTCTATGATCTATAGGAAGGTCCTGCCCAGTTGTTACAAAGATAAATCGATGGACGATGAGGGTGAAACACCGTATTTATACGGCCCGTGTGTAGAATTTTGGGCGTTTTGGCTTTTCAACCATCCACCGTCATTTGCATCGGCGGAACCATTCTGCCACGACAGTACTGTCTCAAATTCGTACAAGTTAAGTTTGCAGATTCGTCTTCGTCACAGTTTGAGGTGGCATTGCGGCTTCAATTGCATCACCATTCAAATGCGGTGAATAGATTCATACTCGGGAAGTGCCATTGCTTGAGAATTGGATGCCACTTTACCCGCGGTACAACGCGTGGCAAGCGCTACTTTCAGGCAGATGTGATCTGCGTTTCAGACGATGAAGTGAACTCGGCTAGCAAACTTACATTCGTATCCCTGATGGGATAATGTTGAGTGCGCGCTGCGGAGGTGGACCTTTTCGGTCTCAAATGGCGAATGTGAAGCAACAGCGACATAGGATATGACTGCGATCGATAAGTTCTACAATCGAAGAGCAGATGCTGATTCCAAGTAAGACCTACAAGTCATGTGGACAAGTAAGGTGATCGACCGCAATCTGCCGCCAAACAAGTGAACTCAAACGGAATGTCGATATCATTTACTTACATATAGCAACAGCGTTTATACATAGTGCAAACAATAGTGATGATAACAACAGCATTTTGAACACGTCTTTTGCTTCCACATTCCTCCCGAACATCGCGCCTCTCTTCACTCCATGTTAGCCAACCCATCACGCACGTACTCTTCGAAAAGGGGCTTCCAGTCCTTGTGCCAACGACTCAGCGCAGGCCTGCCCTCGACAACATCCGCTGCGGCCCACATGACGCGTAATTGATCAAGTTGGTGATGGGACTCGTTGTCAGGGCAGAGGATGTAAAAATCGCCAGCACGAACATGGTCGAGCATGAAGAGAACTGTTTCCTCAGCCGTCCAGGCGCCCGCAGGTTTATCGCCACCGTTGCGAGCGGTCAAACCTGTGAAGGTCCATCCAGGGCTGTGAAAACCAAAGTAAGCCTGATGGGGATACATCTAAAAGAATCCGAAAAAGCTCACATGAAGAGATGTGCGGTAAGGTTGCACGCCGGGCTTTCGCGAAGCTCGTGTGCGAGCGCTTCCGTCAGGCTTTTCACTGCGGCCTTTGCAGCGTTGTATGCTGGGTTGCCACTACCACGCAGTATCACGAATGGGATATCATGATAAGTAATCTGTCCAACAGCGGCGCGTTGCTCAAACTTACGGTGGATTGGTGATCCCTTGCTTGGATCCAGTGTTGATGATCACAGCTTGGTTCTCCTGGTGCAACATGGACTGACAAAAATAACAATAACATCACTGTCAGCGTCAGGATATACGGTACACAGAGGAGAACACCAACTGGCACGAAGGTCTGCTGCACATTGACCACACTACCCGCTGTAAGTCAGACTATGCTTACGCTCTTATCGAATAAATGACGAACCCGAAAAGATTAACGTCGAACGTCTTCTTCCAGTTGTCTAGCATCTTCCAAGATTTGCTGTCGGGACCTACTGCGGCGTTGTTGAGGAGAACCGCGACCTGCAAGCAATGATCAGATCAGAATATTGGCCCAATAGGATGAGATGAGATGAGATGGCATGAATTGTGGTGGTAACCACTTGTTCTGTGTGCAAGGCATGATTTGCTCACCTCACCCCATGCCTCATAGACCTTGTCGCGTAAACGCACGACGTCGTCGATGTTCGACACATCCGTCGGAATGACAAGTACGTTAGCCTCTCCAACAATGGAAATAATGTCCTTGGCAGCAAAGGCCAAGACATCTTCCTTGATATCCGCCATTGCAATTTTCAGACCGAGCCTGGGTGGGGCACAAATCACCAAAGCACCGAATGCAACAGTCAACACCGTCAGCGCAGACATATCACATTCGTGAGTATCTCGCTCGCGGGGTCAAGAGCGACGGCGCCCACGTACTTTGCCAATTCGACAGCAGCAGCTTTACCAATACCGCTCGCAGCGCCAGTGATAACTGCTACTCTACCAGCATGGAAGACTGGGTGAACTTCGCTATCCAGGGGTGACATGGCTTCGAAACGTCTATGGCAGAGGGCAAAAGGTGAGGGACCACGATCAAGAGGCATGTCTGTCGGGTCTAGCGGTCGATGCGATTTCTGAGAAATAAGTGAGGATTGATTGGTTGTTATTATGAGAGAAAAATAGTTGAACATATGACATGCATTGTCAGCAACTGTCGTGCATAGTGCAGGAGTAAATATGACCCACAAAAATACAATTAAATGGCTCTGGTGGATTCGCTGGACTCGTGAGCGTTTGTTTTGTCGAGCAGTCAAAAGAAATAAGTAGGACTCATACAAATGTTTAGTTTAGGATGTTTATATAGCACAAGAAGCCTGAGCTCCAAGAGGGACCCGAATAGCCTGGCAGTCGAACTAAACTTGTGTGGTCGTTCATGAGAAATTAAATTATGTAAATAAAATAAATAAAATCTCAGGGAGGTGTCTCCTGAGGGGAAGTTCATCAAAAATGAAGCGGTGCATGAAGCCTAGACCATACCCACCAAATTAGTCCACCAACTGTATTTCATTCTGGGTGTGTACATACCAAAAGACGGTTATAATAAAAATACTGCCTACAAGCTGTACTGCTTTCTCAATCGGAATCGACTTCCAAAATTGCATACTACTGCGCACAGAACAAGCAAAGGAATTGAAGCCTTATCAAATAATTTCCATCGTGACGAGGCCTGAACACGATTCATGGGGATGTGGTTAACTATTATGTATATTTACGTTCCAGAAGCACTTGCAATGCACGATTATTTTTGTTGAAACTCGGTCAGGGTCCTGGCAGACTCCGAAACAAACTGCACCCTTGCTGGGGAGGTGGGATCATGCGCGCACATATGCTGTTAACTGAACTATGTACAGGATTGATGTGCGAAGGACGCCGCAACGTGGTCTCCATCGTCACGGTGACGCTCGAAGTTGGAATCGCCCCGACTTCCAATGGTGATATTCATTATTGTGGCCCGTGCATTTTCCTGATCTGCTGGCTGCCAGCAACTCTCCTCGGAGATATGATGTTCATTGAATCATTGCAGCTTCTGTTTCATCCAAGCTACTATTAACTCCTTGGTCTATGAGGTCACAGTGCGGTGGGAAGATGAATATGGTCTCGCAGCCAGCTTTTTGATCTTGGATTCTCGGTCGAAACGGGGAGCAGTCATGGGCCATTTGATCTCGATGCTCGAACCTAGTAGTTCTTCTCTGAGTCCCTAACCAGATTTTTAAAACTTCCAGAAGGATAGTCGTGCCTAGAGGCCACTGGGATCCAACAATTGGGAAGTCGCACGAGCACCTCGGAAAGTTAATCCAGGAATATTTGTTCTGGAATACTGTAAGATTTAGAACGTTCAGCTGAACCGTTGCGAACGTTAAGAGTATAAAATTTGTTTCGCACCTCGAGCGCGCAAGTAAATAAGCCTGGATTGCGTTGCTAAGTCGTACTTAGCTGCGAGTTAGCATAATCATTTTCAAGGTTAACTACGCACCGTGTGGTCTTGGAACAAGGATGACGCGAAAAGCACATAATATGATGTGTCAGGCTGTACCTAATTGGCTTAGTAAATGAGAGGAGCCAAGACAAAACGATGCCATGCCCTTCAAGAATAACTTATTAGTGAGATAATAATGCCAGAGGTCGTAGATACAGTGCGCCCAAAGTTAGACTACCGAAAACAGGGTATCTATCGCATGAACAAGCGGACCATTGATTGTACGCGAGTACAGGAGAACTACAGTAACGAGAAAGCATAACGACTAGCCAATTTTCGTCCATATATGAGCGGTGGCTATTGGTAAACCGAAATTGAGTCAACACATACAAATCGATAGAATCATAATCAACAGCAGCGAAGATTTAGCCAACTGGGGTAAGCATGCCTCGATCTCCCCCATTTCAAGACTCTTCTCCACCCGAGTTATTGGAAGAACCAGCTGGAGCTTCGATGCCCATCTTCTTCCGGACAATCTCGAATGTCTTCAACATCTTCCTCCTTGCGCCGAGAGCGGCAACACCTTTGGCCTCCAGGCCCGCCTCGTCGAGCACGACCATGTCTTGCCACTTCATCTTCTCAAAGTTAGGCGTATACTTGTGCAGCCTCAGGCTCCTGAGCCAAGCCGGGATATCGTGAAGCAACGCGGGGTCAACGTCTTCATCATCCTTCTTCGCTGCACTACTTGCGCTATTTCCACCAGAAGAACCGGTCTTCGGAAGTCCAGGAGATCGTCCCCCTCCACGGCTTCTGCTGCTATTATTACTACTGTTGTTGTTGCTCTGCTGCATAGCAGCAGCTTGTTGAATGCCTAGCCAGTTCTGCGGGAATCCAGCAGCCATTTGCGCTGCAAGAAGCTGCGCCTCGGGCGTCATTGAACCCATCCCCATAGCGCTCATCTGAGCTTGTAGGTTCAACATGTTCATCTGCATGGGGTTCATGCCCGCCAATAACCCTGCGCTTGGCATGCCCATCCCGAGTCCGGGGCTACCGAGTCCACCAATATTGAAACCATTCATGCCCAGCCCGTTCAAGGAGCCGTTCACGTCTTCCCCACCGAACCTGTTCGACTGAGGCAGTGCGGGACTCCTGCTGTTGTTCCAGTTGCCTGGCTGTTGACCCAGGTTAAGCTGTGCGTTGTTGGCGTTGGAACCCTGGCTAACGTTCCGACGCTGACCGGATGGCTGCTGAGAAACAAGATTGCCCTCGTTGTCATATATATTGTTATTTGCTTGCACGTTGGTCTCGGGAGCAAGGGCATTTGCACTTGCGTTACTCCTTGACGGCCGACGGAAGGACTTCGGATCAGCCATGAGGGGAACACGTGCACCAGAATTCCAGTCACTGAGCTTGGCAGCCGCCGCATCGATGTGGGAATGTGTGTCTTTAGAGAACATAGGAATTAAGGGTGTATTGACGTTGCTGGCCCAGCTATCACCGACCATGGGGGACAATGCCTCAACTCCAGCGCGAGGTGTTCCAAGAGAGCCACTAAACTCAGTGCTTTTGGGCCTTGAGTTGTTTCCAACAGACGGAACAACAATTTCCTGTGCAGGAGAGTTGATATTTTGTTCTGCAACTTGACTGAGTGCGGATCCCCATGAGGTACGCGGGTCACTGCCACCGGACGCAAGAATAGGCGCAGAAATCCTGTGTGCTGCATTGCTTGCCTTTAGCTTAGCGCGTTGGTGGGCGAGAGTGGCGGCTGCATCATTGCCGGATCCCATTGCAGCTGAGTCTGGGGAAAGAAAACCAGAAGAAGTGGTATCGAGTGCAAGGGACTGCCTGTTCTGACTGCCGCTGAATATGCGAGGAGAGGGAGGCATAGGCGACTTAAGTGCGGGACTCTTTAACGTCATCTGGGCCAACTTGGCTTCCATCTGACTCTGCATCGAACCTATATCTCAAATTTAGATTCGTGAGGCAATAAATATTGACCAAGAATACTCACCGCCAATAGCAGGACTCAAGAGAGCGGTCATCGGATCTGATCTCGCCATCTGCTGCAAAACGGTAATGAAAAATCGGATTTGAACTTGAGTAGATTGTTGAAGAAGACTGTAAAGAGCAGCAGTGCGCTCTGCTTCAGAAAGGACCTTGAACCCTTCAAAAAAGCACGTTTATTGATGACAGACTAAAATGGGATTAAGACGCTCACATTGCTCGATCGCGCTTAATTCTTCTTTGAAATTGACATCCAGGGATGCAGCAGCCATCTCTTCAAGAGTCTCTTCGTAATTTTGGAGATTTTCAAACCATTGGTCGATTGCCTCTGACTCTGGTGTTTGAAACATAGTTGCGCTACCGAGTAGTTCGCTTGTGGGGCGAGCACCGCTTCCTCCACCAGGACGAGGGGAGGCTGGTGCTAGAGTTTGACGAGGGCCCATGGAAGCGCGAGCAGAGCGACCATGATCAGTGTTGAGAGGGGAAGGTGAAGGACTGGAAGGAGGACGAAGAGTAGACATGGGCGCTATTGGTGACTGGAATGAACGATGCTACGTGAATTGAAACTAGAGGGCGAAATTTGAGATGCGACGCTCGTGAAGATCCGCTAGCGGTAAAATGGATGAAGAATTTGTGTCGTTAGACACGTTTTTTGCAAGATATAGGAGGGGGGTAGATGTGTGTTCCTAATCCTCGAGGACACAATGTGAAGATGAGATTTTGGAAGGAGGGGAGTAGATATGAGATTGAGATGGCTCTTTGATGAGAGCTAATTCTCTTTAGAAGGAGTCCTGACGTCGAGTCTTGGGACTATATGCTAGAATCAAAAGCACGATTGCAAAGTCTGCTGAGCAGGACTGATGATAATGCGACCGTTGCGTTGCGCTGCTTTGGGTCTAGACGAGACCAGCGGAGCCTGCCGGTCTAGCGAAAGTCAAAGCCTGCTAGGTGATTTCGAAGGACAAGAATGAGAAAAGTTCAAGGTACCTGCGGGCGACGAACAAGAACGACGTTGAACAACGTTGAACAGGCCTTTCCTGCTGTGTCACTCCAAACGTTTGTTGTCTTCCCTTTTGGGAAAAAGTCCCGACTTCCAATATGCCAAACTTCGTTAGTTTCCTTGCATCACGACGAACACTCAATTTTTGCCGATTGCACCCACCGACTTAACTTCAATGGTCTAGTACTCTTGCTAATGCGATTAATACGGTATCCAACAAAAGTACTAGTGGTCGGTATTTATCGATACTCAGTGCTATACTAATGACTGATAATCTTCCATCATCAGCACACATGATGTCGTGTGACCAATAATTTGCACGAGGGGTGCTTGCATACTAGCAAGTCTCGCTGTTTTCACGCTCTCCAAAAAATCCATCGTCGGAGTATGCCCTGCAGTCGAACTGATAAGCCGATTCCCCTGTTTGCCCTGTTTGCCCTCGCGTTGAGCCTACCTTGGTACCTGTGATATTCTGCCAGTTATTTGCCGGACGGTACCGTCAGTCTTTCAGCCTGTGATTTTCATCCTGACTCAAACAAGATGAACGAATGGGCTTCCATCACGCAACTATTACATTACCCCGGCGCGGTTATTGGCGCCCAAAGCGAGTACGACACGTAAATCGATTAACTCTAGCGACTGCCTACTGCAGATATCAGGTATGATTTTGTATTGAAGTACTCTGCATAGGATCCGTGTTAATTATATCCGAGGCTCCGGTAACCATCCAGTAATATTTTAGTGGCAAAACACAGCCCGAGTCTTGCAGATGGAGAATATCACTCACATGGGTTCAGCGCTGCTCCGATATCAAGAAGTACGTATTCAGTAATAGGTGACCATATCTTGTTTGTCATGCGATGGCCTAGGCTCGGAGACTAGTTTGCCAGGTGGACAAGTTGACCTTATCTCGTATTCCATGGATATGTGACTCATTTAGAAACTAACAGACGACGTGTCAATAATCCTAGGGCGCAAAATTCGCATGTTTAAAACTTGGGAATGAATTGCTCGGCGCATAAGCGCACAATCCCCACACCCCACTGTAGTTTCCAAGGTAAGTAAATACCTTACAAGGCTTTCTGGATACCGGAGACCAGTGGACCACGTCAATCAGTGTATTTCAGTCATTCACTGGCCGAATAATGTTTTGTCGTACAATTTTCCAGATAAACATCGAGTCACTTATGTATGACATTAAAACCTCCGCCAGCATTAATGCTGGCTCGTTCTCGATAACCATGCCCACCTGTCCGAACCTTCGCGAATTGAAATACTATGTGGTGACGAACTTCATCACTACATAGTCATTGTCACTAAGTATGTTTTCCGTATCACCGCAAAATTTACTAGAAACGCATGTTATCTAAAGAGAATTTCACCGAAGATGAGTGACGCATGAGTCTACATAAGTTCAATTTGATAACCAGTGCTGAGTTCCTGCACGGTCCGATGACAGAGCGCAATCGGACTGAACGTTGGCATCGTAACTAAAGTCTTGGATCGGGGCTGACCTGATGGAGTATCACATGGTCGTCCCATAGAAACCACCGCAAGGGAATGTGGAGAAGGATCCAAAAATGTATGTGGGGAGGCCTTATGGAGATCGCGCAAACTGTGCATCCTACGTAGCAATCTCGGCTGCACAAGCAGGTGGTACACGGCGACCAATAGCGTCTGACAATTCAGCCATTGTCATTTGGTGTCTGCATCTGAAATTTCCCCACATTAGCAGCTGTGTATCGGCATCCAAGGGCAATACCGATACACAGTAACGGGAACAGACTGACAGTATAGGTCATGAGCCCAAGGATGTTTAAGTAAGGGAGGTGTCGCGACGGTATAGCTTACTGACTATCAAAGACGAGGGCCAGCTTCTGATAGAGACAGCGAACGCTTCTGTTATGGATGATGCATCGGGTTGTCCCTGGATCGCGAAGATTGGGACAAAGATATATCATGGGACCGCGCACGGTGAAGCGATCAGTGTATGCATACCAGCGGGCCCGGCAAACCAGCCCCATTCAGGATCAGGGAGACATAATTGCTACAGAGTGCTTCATAGCACAATCCACCCCACTGATGCATGGTAAGTTCTGATAATTTCAAGTTTGAAGGCATTGTAACACATACCTACTAGCTGCATGCAGTGCAATCGAAGGGCTCTATTGATAAAATGCGACTGCGAGGGTAGACACGCACGTTGGACGGACCGATGGCAGCCCATACTTATGAATGTGATGGTGGAGCTGTTTCAAACGTAATTTTATACTGTGCCTACATCATGACGGACCCGCACGATATCACATCGCTCTTTATACGGCCTATATACTTAGTTTAAAAGGGGGTCTTTGCGCATATAGGTTTGACAAGTGGACTTATCTGTACATCGGAGCCTACTAACGTTATTTGGTCTTTCATGTGACTTCACATGAAACGGTTAACGGAGATGATGATGACCTCAATGGTATCTTGACTGATGCATAGGGTACCCAATTACGCATATCAGTATCAATTTGGGAATCCACGTACCCATCGGATCATGATCCACGTCTGAGATCATAGCTGTGGGTGTGAATGGTGGAAATCTTCAGTAATAGAGGAGTTCGTGATTGTCGGTCTAAATTTAGAGTCTGGATTGGGTGCATAATTGGGTTTACCGATCCAGAACCGAAGTTGGGAATAAAGTTTCATGCAGGAATGACCTACCTATCACCACCGTGAAAATTTGTTGAGGGGCTGAACAAAACTTGTGTAGTCGATCAGCAACGTTGGCTCCTCGTGTCGCCGTTTCAAAGCATTCGACAGCGTGATCATGAATCAAACCAAAACAGCATGGAATTGATGATAAGATAATAATATCAAACAACCCCCTTCCAAGTCAGGGCAGATGAGAAGAAATTATGAAAGCCGCAGATAAGAGTGTTGGTTTCGATAGCTGGATGACATGACGGACCGCCGCTCATAAAAAGAGCGAGGTCCTCTGCGCAAATAAACATGCAATCCAGCCCATTGCATTACATGTGACTTGAGGCGCCAAGTCGAATCAGTGGTAGGAGCTGGCAACAGTGCCAACTCGTCCCCCATCAACCAGCCATACGGCACCGTTAACGTACGCTCCTGCAGGGCCAGCCAGGAAAAGAATAGGACCGGAAATATCAGATAGGACGCCTGCGCGCCCAAGAGGGACAGTCTGAGCCAAAAGGGCAGGTGTGAGGTGTTGAGTTGATGTCATTTCTATCCCAGGGGTATATCGATAAACTCATTTATGTCTAGAGGAGTAATCGCTCACCGCTTGGGAAGACGCCTGGGCAAAGTACATTGGAACGAATCCCCCAATCAGCCAGAAGGTTAGCCAAGAGCCTTCCAAGGTTTGTGCAAGAATTCTTTGACACTGTGTAGGAGATAGATAAAACTTTCGCATCAATACGAAAAGAGCCAGATGAGGATATGGTGATAACTTGAGATGTCGGCAGCGAAATGCATTTCTCCGGAAGATGAGGGGCCTGAGTAGAATCAGCGGCGGACGATGCTGCAGGAAGGGACGTAAAAGGTGAGGGGGGTGTTGGAGGCGAGGAATGATGAGCTACTGAGGGACTGGAGGATGCAAAGCCTCGATCATTTGAAACATCATTATCAGAGGTCTCCTTGTTGAAAACTGGTGGACGCAGTGACATGACGGGTGGCAAATTACCCCTTCTTAGATTGCCAAGGTGAAGCAATTCGAGGAAAGCAACAGTAGTGAAATAAACGGCAGTGACGTTCGTATCGAACGTTTCGGCAAAGCCTTCTGGCGATCCAGTGTTCCAAAGGACGCTTTGGAACGCCTTGATGGATGGTAAGGCATCTGCAGGGTCGTCCAGAGGGGATGGTAATTTTGGGGGCAGAAGATTGCGGACGATGCCAGCATTATTGACAAGGAGGTCGATATAGCCATGACGTGTTCTAACAGTCTCGACGAGCTGTGTGAGAGACTGACGACACGTGATGTCACCCTGTAGCGGGATGAGCTTTCCGAATTTCTGGGAGATTGGTGTCAGAAACCGTCACTATGGATGCAATATTCCATACGTTGTTCTCCTTGGCAGCCTTTTCTAAAACTTCAAGCCTCCGACCAATGATGTACACGGTGGCACCGTTGTGCTCTAATGCAGTAGCAATCATGAGTCCGATACCTAGAAAACATGATATGATGAGCAATATTTGCCACAAGGCCAAGAAAAGAGTGTACCGGTGCCACCCCCTGTGACCACAGCGATCTGTCCCTCCACACTAAACAGGGCAGCAGGATTTGTATGAATGGATGCATCTGTACTAGTCATGATGGTATTGGGCAGGGATATGAGACGTTCATTAGCAAATAGCGTGGCTATATTAAATAGATGTAATGGAGTTTGGGGTCCCGATTTGAAACTGCTTTATGCAAACGTCAAGTTGCAGCAGCGGTGAGCGGATTGTCATCATCAGCTGCAAACTGCAGGCCGAGGTGATAGCGCTCAAAGGCAAGCGTAAGAAGTAACGTCAGACTATATCTGCACAAATGAATATTAACTTTAGTACTAAATATTTCTATGCGTCGACGCCAAGGAGTAGAACAAGATGTCCTTACCTGTAAATTCAATACAGTAGATTTCACGGATCGCCCGTATTGCAATATGGGTATGTCACGGTACAGCTGGTTGAATCGTCAAACGTTGTTAGAATTACGTAATTAACAACATTACATACATGAATTAATTTTCTCTCCAGCCACGCAAAGTGCGCTTACCAATCCAAGGGCTCCGAGTTGCCCTTTGCATGTTCTCTTCATCTGTTCAAGCGCAGAGCAGCATCGGATCAACCGTTATCTATCGCATGCGGCAGTCATCGTTAACTTGATGCTCCTCTTTTAAATGCATCGCAAGGCCATCGACCAGTTTTCTGGCACTCCGCTCTTTTCCATATTCCTGGGTCTCGTAATCTGATGTCTATAAGGACGTCATCTCTGCCAACGATACCTGTGGTAAACTGTCTCCGCAGGCTGTATCGCGAATCATAATACGTACCGGAGATCCCTTCCGTGGACCTTTTGCGTCACACCTGCCTGCCCCAGCTCGATTCTCTATTGTGACCCATCCCTGTTGCTTATCATGCTACACGTGTAACATCTCTTGCATCGATTGCCAGGTGTGAATCTGCCACATGTATGATAATACATCGTCACTGTTTGAAGAGAAGGAACAGTTCGTTACACTCTCCAAGCACGCCCGGGCCAGTTTGGTGTGCTTCTAAAGTATTCGCCGTGGAGTTTTATTCCAACTCTGGTAATTCCCAGACTGCATAATTCTTCTGTTCGATGACTGCTGTCTCACTGAACAATTGCAATGGTACCTGTACTCGTTAACTTGTGCTGTTTTTTTGTGCACTTACCACCCCCGCCGCCACACTTTAACGCTATGCTGTATACTGCAACTCTCAATGTCGCACGCTCTTAGCCACATTCCCTTGTGTTCATGGCATCCCCTGGCCTGGTGTGAATAGATGCAGCTTGATCAGTTTTTTTGGAGTCGATTACGCTGCATTTGATGACAGGGCACTTCTCCATTCGAAGGTTTTACATAAATAAAGCACTGTACTGCCCACGGCTCAAGCAACTTCATCTCAAGGAACGCTACTCGGAGTAATCCTACCCATCCGGGACTAAAGTACTGATAGCTTATCAGTCACTGCAGCTGTGTAGGTTTTTCAAGTCCGGATCTACTATCACTCAACAAAGTCCAATACTATATGTAAACGTAGGTCCTGGGATACTGTCGATGCTTCCCAATCATGACGATTGTCCGGGCGTGAGGTGAATAGAGTCACATACGTATAGATAGTACGTTTCTATCACCGAGCAACGTCGGAGATAATCTTATTAGTCCCTTCAAGCAAGTGTAAAGACAGCGCTGAAAAGTCCAGCGACAATGAGTAATGTCGCACTCATCCAATAGCCACCATACGTGGGGCCTGCAGACGAGCTACTTGAAGATGTTGAACCTGAAGTCGTCGAGGACGAACCAGAAGCAGTACTGGTGCCAGATACGACAGTGTTGGTGCCTTCTGTGCTGAATACCCTCACATACCCGACTTCGAAGTAAGCATTATCGTAGTCGGTACCATTGCCCATGACCTAGTTGTTGTAGCAAATGCCTGAGCATGTATCGTTCCATGTAGCACCATCGGCTATGAAAGTGTCTTAGCATTTGGTGACGCTCGTTGCTCGCAAAGTCTGCTTACCCCAGTCTATCCATTAGAAAGAGTTAACATAAGCCGAACGTTAGCTCAATCAGTGAGCCGATATATGATCGACGTACCTCCGCAGAGGGTGATATCGAAAATCAAGGTCTGGGGCTGGAAGAACTCCGTAATGTTGCAACCCGTAGAAGGCCAGTTGGCAACAGGAATACCAAAGGTCGAGGTATCAATCGTGCTTTCGTTACTCGACAGCGAGCTGGGTATTTCGGATCTCTGAAAAAGTTGGTTCAGTACTTGGCAATGACCATCATTCCTACTGTAACTCACTGTGAAGTACCAAATGCTGAATGACACAAAAAGTTAAGTGATGCAGTCTAAAAAAATCAAAAGGCGACCATTATACCTGATACCAGTTGAAGCCATCTCGGTTACAAAAGCTCCTCCTTCGCTGCTCGCAAGACCGGCGCCGTAGGATGTAGTCGCCGGGTCTGTAACAATACAACCTTGATCCTCGTTTGCGGCATACGAACAATTTGTGCTGGCGACTAGGGTTGAAGTTTGATTTTGGGAAACCGCCGTGCACCCCTGTGAGATGGTAAATGAGTGTTGGAGAATAAGCAATGAACAGCAGCAGTTCACGAACAGTTTCAGTGTGCAAGGACATCTGGTTTTGGGTATTGGTATTGATACCCTCAAAGGTATCGATCTCGCCACCTTGTGGCCATAGAGCTGCTTGACTATCATGATTTGTTAGCTTTCAAGTTGTATTCTAAAGAGTGCGGTGCTCCCTCGAGTGCTCACCTCCACCATGCTGGCCACACGGAACACTGTATAAGAGATGAACTTTAGCACGCTAACATCTTGGTGTAAAATCAGCGTACGCACGCCATAAGGCGCATGATATATATCAGCTACCCACAAGCTCCCCACTCCGAAGGCGTCGTCGCTTGCAATCCTGACGGAGTTGCGTTTGTTATCCCAAACCACCTGATGGGAGCTGTTAGTGAAAATGAGATATCTTGAAGGACAACTTACAGTAGAAGTGTTGTCTACTTTGATGATGGCATGGTTCGTCGAAGTATCTACATATGCCAACTGATCTGCAGTTGCGTTCTGAGCCGAAACATAACTACGATGAAAATGTTATATCGCCAAAGCAAAAGGGACCGTGACAGGTTTGTACTCACGTAACATCTCCGTTTGTCAAATTATCGTCTGAAAAAGAGTGAGCTCGAGACATGGCAAATTCGAAATAAAGCACGAACAATTATTATAGAAAGTCCAGTCGTTGAAGAAGGTAGAACCATAGTACTCTTTGACCATAGAGTACGATGTTGCAGTCACTGGCGCGACGGAGAACACTAAGCAGGCCAGCGCCGTCGCCATCATGGAATGAGCAGATACCATGAGGGAATCTTATGATGTGCAGCAGAGGTTCTAGTTCATAATAAATAGCATGTGCGAGTCAGACCCGCAGCTGCGCCGCGACGTCCATCGTACCAGCGCCACATAGAAGGGCCGCTATATTCGGTTCCTTGCTAAATTCTGGGGTCCAAAAATACGACAACCTGCAACTTCGGCAATCATCTTGAGGCAGGACTGCTGTCGGCCGTTCGGCAATGTAGTCAAACCTTGATTTTTGGGCGTTTGGAGTCTCGAGAGGTGCGGACCGAAATCTGAAACAGTTAGCCAAAACTGCGGCTGAGCGCTGAGCTTGAGCAACGTTGTTGTACACGTGCTCAGCGACTCCACAACTTTACTTTAGGTGCCGCTACTAGAACAGAGACTCGGATTCAATGTGCACCTGAGTCATACTAATTAATAATAACATCAGGTGTCCCATTTCTTAGTCAGAGCTACTCTCTTACCAGCACTCCAGTGCTTTGCATGAATCAGTCTACGCTTAGGTGGAATGTCATGGGTTTTCAGGTCAAGCGGAGTCTTACTCGGTCACGTTTTTATTACAGTCAAAATCGCTGAATACAAAAAAGTGAGTAGATGCGAATGGTCGGGGACTTGCCGAGAAAAGAAGAGAGGGCTCTTAAAATAACAGGCGCTAAAGGGCTCTTTTTTCATGTGCGATGTTCCTGTTGGGTGCCCTGCATTCGTGCGTGCAGTACAAAAGGATGTCGTCAAATGTACTTGTTGAATTCTTCTGACGACCAACGACCAGCTGCCTGAATCAAGTCAGGCGCCATTCCTGCGCCTGCAAGAGCTGTCGCTCCTCCTGCTCGCATTGAGTGGCGCGAGAATTCAGCACCACAGAAGTGATGCAAACGGCGCAGGAACCAGGCCCGTGTTGGGATTAAGTTACCTGCACTGGCCCTGGATACCCATAGGTCCGGATGGTGAAGGAAGGAACTTACTCTGGTGATCGGCTTCTTTGGTCAGTTCTATGCGCCTTTGTACTCATCGCAACAGATTCTACAGATATAATTATTGGTCAGGCTTAAGCTCCAGATCCACTGTGACCAATAAGAATATGTGTTTGCACTCGCTACCTGGTAATATCAATGATGCGTTCGCTGGTCGACTATCGACGTCAACGCGACACTGGTATACAAGACTTCAGACTTAGCAATGGCTCGGACTTGGCAAAGGTTCATGTGGAGTATCTGATACTTGCCCGGCGATCTTGGCCGATATTGACGAGACATACATAGCCTGAGCAGAATCTCGAATGCGCGAATCAGGACCGAACGTTGAACAATGCAAGCTCAACTTCAGCAGGACATCATCATCCTTGCCGCACGAGGTGTTACGCCGGATCACTGCTGTGCAACTTCAACCTCACCCACAAATCATTAGCGTGAGTGCATGATCGCATCCGGCTCCGAGGTAATAAACTGGAAGATACAAATTCAAAGTCGAAATTGGGTGTGCATACCATGTAGGTTTACAGTTTCAAAGTCTTAATTATCAAAATATTTAGCAACAGGTTGTGCGTAGCCACGACTGGATGCTACCTGCGAAGTTGTCAAATTATCTCAAACGCTTAAATCAACGAGGTGGGAAGACGCACGGAATCGATTATATGGGGCATGCATGCCATGGTCGGTGGTCTGTCCTCTATGAACCACTCGGAAATCTATAACGTCGGTGAAGATAGTACTGATCTAGGTATAGAGGGCAGTGTTAGGAATGCTGAACAGGGGCGTGGAAAGTGTAGACGGATCGCAAACAAGATGTACAATGACTTCTGGACCCATTAGAGTAATATGTATGTTTTTTTTTCCATTTTTACCACATGTCACAATTTAGCTTCACCTTCCAAAAATTTGCATGACGGTCACACCAAATAGGTTCGATTCAACAGAGGCTGTGACACGTGATGAACCTAGTGTCGAAACTATACAGTAACTCGGATACCTGAAGTGCAGCATCGAGGGGGCGTACGATCTCCAATCACTGCTTTGACGCTGATGAAGAAAAACAGTTAGTATCGCGGAATCTTGAGTCTTCGATGGAATCATATAAGGTGATTATACACCTGATAGCTCCTCCCTGTGACATGTAGTAGTTTATGTCCCTGATGATAGTTAGTGAGCCTGACCAGATGGATTTCAATGAGGCTCATATCTTTGCTTCACCGAATGCCCCGCCTCCAGTATTTGTAGCTTCTCCTCCAAGGTAGCAATTTTGCGTCTCTGTTGAGCACTCTCAGACGTGATCACTGCCGTGGACAATGCTGAAGACCATTGGGACGGCGATGATGGTTGAGAGTTCACCATCTGAGACATGGTGGTGTATGATAAGTAGGGATAAGAAAATATTTGTGAGGGTGCTTATGGTGTAGCCCCAGGGCATTTTATCAAATGGTCTGACTATGAACAAATGAAAAGAGACACAAAAGAGCAACCAGGTACGACACACCATCAAGAATATCAACTATGAGACAGTCTCCAGTCTCGGCGCCCTCCACAGCGATTGGACCGGACAACTGCATATGGGACGAGAATGCACGATAGGTTCATCTTCACTATCTGTGGGGACTGTGCTGACACATATACACGTACCACATATAAAAAATCGAATGTGATTCGAAAACAGATTAAGTTTGCGAAGGCAGCGAAGTTGAAGCGCCAGGCAAGACTGTAGAGGCACATGGATTGCTGAATGTTTGCTTTTCAAGACTGGGGTAAATATCAGCAAGCTTTCATAACATGACAACGGCAACTCACTGTGATCTCATTCTGACATACCTCATGGTATGGATTGACTGAGAAGCTGATACCCATCGCCAGATGGCAACATAAACATAAACAGAAACTTACATACCGAAATAGATAGTGCACTGCTAAGCCACGGCTTGGGCCGGCGGCTTAGGCTTCGCAAAATTGAAGCCTGGGCCAAAGCCCTGGTCAGGCTGTGTCCTAGGCCTGGCTGGGCCTGGCTCAATCTGGCCCGGCTTGGCCTGGCCCGGGGCTTGAAGCCGAGCCGGAACATCACTAATCAGCTAGTCAAGTGGCGATGATCGAACACCTCATTATTGGAATAACTTCACTATCATAATGAACTGCACTTTCATCCAAGTCATTCCCTCGTTCCACCATGATTCCACGGCAGGATGATGAGGAGACACCTCTTCTGCAACGACCAGAGCCATCAACAGCCTCTAGAACACCTCTACCATGGGATCAGTTTTCAATTGTACTGTTCTTGGAGATGTTAGATCCTCTCTCTTCTGGTACCCTTTCTCCGTTTATTCCCGAAGTGAGTATATTCCATTTACTGAGATTTATATCTGATCACAACCTGCAATTTTGTCAAGCTCATTAGACACATCGGGGTGACTCACGGAAATGAGTCCCAGGTTGGTCACTATGTCGGCATCCTTGTAAGGATATCTTCATCGTTACTGCCCCTTCATTCGTTTCTGATACCCCCCGAGCAATCATCATACTATGTGGCTCATGCACTGACTATCTTTCATTGGAGTCAACTGTCCGACCACATCGGGCGGAAACCCGTGATACTCATAGCTCTATTAGCAATTTCTCTTTCGATGTTCTCATTTGGGATCTCGAAAACCTTTCTTGATCTGGTGGTCAGGTCAGCGTGTTCAATCAAATATAAAATAGTAACTGTGATCATCGATTACTGATATTCTTGACCAGTCGTGTTATCTGTGGAGCATTCAATGCAAGCAATGGTATCCTCAAAACCATGGCGATGGACATCACTGACGCAACTAATATGCCTGAGGCATATGGCTATGTACCAATTCCGTGGATGATCGCAAACACAGTTGGGTAAGCATACATCACATTTTTTGTCACACTGAGGTTCACAGCATCTAGACCAATCATCGGAGGATCGCTCTCCCGACCGGCAGATAGATTTCCTGACATCTTTGGGCGATCAGAACTCCTGAAAACCTACCCATATCTCCTGCCACGCTCTATTTCGGCATTTGTTTCATCAATAGCTTGGCTAGTCACGTATTTTCGTCTTAAAGAGGTGAGCGTGATACTGAAAACCCATCTCTGGATCACACTAAGTGTGGTTACAAGAGCATTTCTATCAAGGCACCACTTTGGGAACTGATTAAAGGAGGATTGTCCCGACAGCCATCAAGCGATGTTATAGTCAATCCTGGAGAAATTCAACCAAAGCCTCTTCCACTGCGTGCCTTGCTGACCTCGAAAGTTTCGAGCGTAACAGTGAGCTATGGCACCACAGCCCTGCTTCACATGTCGTTCATGTCTGTCCTACCTGTTTTCTATGCGACACCGATTGAACTTGGCGGTCTGTCCCTCGAACCTCCTCGCATTGGCGTTTTACTTGCGGCACAAAGTGTCGCACATGGCGTATTTCAGCTACTTTTCTTTGCTCGTTTACATGATTACTTCGGTGCAAGAGCTATCCATATCACCGGCGTTAGCTCCGGCATCCCTATCGTCCTTCTATTTCCAGCGATCAATGCTCTAGCTCGAGCCTATGGGATAGGTATGGCGGTTTGGCTGTGTGTTGCCCTCCAGCTTATGCTGACGATCAGCCTGATCATGTGCTATCGTATGTCATTCCAACACTTCCGACGTCTTACTTTACTGAGAAGTCGTAGCTTGCATGTCATTGTTTGTCAGAGCTGCCACTCCCAGTCGCGCCTCGTTTGGAGCAACCAATGGAATCACCCAGTTGGCTGGCTCAGTAGCAAGGATCATTGGCCCGGCGTCTGCAGCTTCGGTCTTCTCTTATTCACTGCAGGAAGGGCGTGATGCGTGGTTGATATACTACTTCTTGATCATAATTGTATGTCTCGCAGTTGGTACTGCTCTATTACTTCCCCGTAATCCTGCTGTATGGGAAGATTACGAATGATATTATCGATGGCTATTAGTGATGCGGAGGTTCGGTTCTGAACCGCAGTTCGAACCGGACCTTTCGTGGACTGGACCACGGTCCAGTTCAACGTTCAGAGTATAGGCTGAACTGGACCGATGGTCCAGTCCAGCGTTCAGCATTCCTTGAACGTGTCCGAACCTTTTTGAACTGCTTCCATTTTAGGCTACTCACACATACAAGATGACATCACCCACAACGCAATACACTGAACATGACATGATTACTCGCAACTTTTTCGCTTGGAATCTGATTCACAAGGACCATGCCACACTGGCAAGGTCCGTGAAGGTTTGTTTGCCTACCACTAACCCAAACATCACAAAGGAAGAACCTGATAAGGTACATCAGTGAATCACTGGGTTCTGTACAGTGTGACAGGCCGACAGCTTGGTCCCTTCTATACAGCTCGCTACAGTACTACTTCACTTTGTAGATCTCTGTACAGACAACTCACAGACACCCAGAGAAGGGCTCTTGTACCAATAAAACGTAACTGTGCCGCTGCTGCTAGCTGCTTGACTGTCCACACGTGTACACACAAGCAAAAGTTTGACAAAATCAATGATAGCATTCAATCAGAGGTATACTGCACTAAACAATGCTCGAGATAGGATCAATGCGGGACAATAATGTAAAGAATCGAAAGACATCAATCAAGGATGATTTTCAAATGAGAATGCCTTGAAGCGTCGTTCACATTGCCGTCAACTTTGTAGGACTCCGCCCTGTGAGAACTTCATCAGCGTGCAATGCTTTGAAAACAAAAACTACTTGCCATCCAGCTGCAGCCCAGGAACGAAGTTGCCGCGCTAGTTTTGGTCTGTGGTAAGGGTCATCCATGATCGTTTCCAGCTTAACGAGCATAGCAGTATACAAAGAGGAATATTCCTTTGCGCTGAACTTTGGAAATGATTTTCCACTGCTGTTCTTAGAAAAGCCGTCGAGGACACAATTGACCTATCAAAAATGTGGTCAGTGTATTGTTAGTAGCACATAGAAACATGGAAAAATACCGAGGTGCAAACCAGTGCCAAGCACTCTAGCGGTAACGACTTCTGGAAGACCTCAGGTCTCCTGCGAGCAACACGGTAAGACCCTGTATAAAAGAAAGAAATAGCAGCCTCGCGGAGCACAGGATGAGAGGCGTTTTCAGTTTTCCCTTGGTCGTCTACACCATTGTGTAAGAAAATGCTGTCTTTGAGCAACTTCGTGGCAGCTTCCTCAACCCAGGCAGCATGTTGTTGGGGTGGGACATGAGATGGAGGTATGAGGTCATACATGGAGGGTACAATACTGGCGACGATCTTCTTGAGGTCCGAGTGCCACGTTGATAGATCCTCATACAGCTAAAAAAAATGGCACATTAGATATCGGATGCATGCCAACGAATGCACACACCAGTTTTGCCATATCGTGCTTGTGATCAGGCCAAACACCTGGTAGACACGTAAGTAACATGTCTCGAAAGCAAAAAAGACCTACCCTCTTCAACTTGTTGACCACCCTCGAGCCATTCAATGAGCGAAGCCATGAGAATCTTGTTGATGGAACCTGTCAAATCTTTCGCTAGTTTCGGGAATGGGTTCTCTATTGCATGTTGGGCACGGCACTTGCTCTTCGTAACCTCGAGGAAGTTTTTCCATCGTGGACCATACCAGCCTAGTTGAGTGGCTCTAGGCCCATCACCTGATTCCTTCACTTTTGCTGATGCAGTCTTGACGTTCATGTCCTTTGACTTGGAAGACTTTGTCTCAGTGTGACGTAGGAGATCAAGAACTTGCGGATCAGGAAGTTGAGGGCGTCCATTTTTCTGGTGGTGGCGCTGTAAGACATCATCTGGCTGCCAAACAGACAGAAAATTAGTAGGCTTTCAGGAAACTCAATAAACTATACCTTGATTGCAGTATCATCAGTACTAGAGATATCATCTGCCAAACATCTTTCTGCGTTAATATCACCTTCGTCGCGTGAATATTGAAAATTGAAGTCGATTGGAAGAGTGCGGGCGACACGGGGTTGAGAGGGTAAATCTTCTTTTGAGAAACCTGTTGCTCGTTTTGTATGTCACGATGATGATCATTGATTTGCTTACCAGGATGTTCAGTCACCTGCCCCTGCGCTGCTCCCCAGCCAACTTCATTGTCCGTGTGATCTTCGTCGTCATTGTTGTCGTCAGTATTTCCATTGCCACCCTCACTAGATGTCTCCGTGCTTTCAGCTCCTGAATCTTGTGGGCCATGCTGACCTAGACGTTCATTGTTGACTGGCCGAAGGGTAGGTTCCAAGTTCTGGAATAAGTCCGAGTTAGCATCAGGCTGACGTGCAGCCAACGTTGACCTTGAAGGTACTGGGGGTGCCAGATACTGGTTTGCAGCGGTAGTAGCGGCAGTAGGAAGATGTCCTGTGAGATCTAGACTGGCTGAAAGAGCCTCCTTCTCCCTGGCTGCAGCCACCTAAGGGTTGTTGAGTGCCTGCAGGTCAGGCTCTGTACCAGGGGGAACGATGAACTGAGAAAACCAAAGTGTGCACCCGCTCCACTGTTATGACTTGGATGGTATCTGTTGGCGACGCTCAAACAGAGCGTGTGTCGTCAACGGTCGAGGACATCCTTGGGCTAGCCCAAGGTTAGGGGTCTTACTTGGCGAGGCTTTGGCAAGTAAGATTTGACGCCTATGTCCAAATCGGGTAGCTTATGTCAAGCATGTGCGAGACAATAAGCTAAATTGGCCTGGGCTTACGACACCTGAAGGTTAATCGTAAGATCGTTGTTAATTAGAAGGACAGAAGTCCGACTAGTTAACAGGGGCTCTGCTCGTCGACGAAGTCGATGAGTAAAGATCGAGACTATAGGCTTATCCGTGAAGAGCAGATAAGAAGATAGAATATAGACTGCTGACGAGGCAGAAAGGATCACTCTGGTGAGAGTAGGAGGTCAAGAACCAAGTAGATTCAAGTTAGGGAATATGTTACATGGTAGCGAGTTTATATAGAGGACAGGAGACGTATTAGTGGGTGATAACTCATACTACTGGGAGAGGCAATCGGTAAAGGGTATAACCATAACAGGAAGGCACGTTCGGTCGAGGTAGAACGTGCTAGATAAGAAAGTGAGTCAAAGATTGAAATAAGAAGTGAAATGCGCAGGGGCACGATCGTGCAGCTGTGGATCTAAGTATAAGTCGCATGTGCGACTGCACACCGAGTCAGAGATCAAGAAAAGGAAAAAGGGCAAAGGGGATGCGTCGTGCATCAGATCATAGGTTACCGTCCGGACGGTAAGGGCAAAGGGACTGTCCACAGGATCAGTCAGGTGGTGGAACGGAGCATGGGTATGCTTCGTCAGCGAAAGGGTCCGGCCAGATGTACTGGCTCTGCTGGAGCGACAAGTAGAGAGCAAAAGGGAATGCGAGGATGACAAGGATGACGAGGGTGAGGTCGGGGTAAGGGTATGATGCGAGGGCTGATACGAGGAGGATGAGGAGAAAAATAGTAGGGGCCCAAGCATCTAGATGTTCTTGTAACATCCACGATGTATGAAACTGGGTTGGAGGTTTGGGGGCTTGACAGTCGAGGCAATGGGAGTAGTGTCCTTCGTCACTGTAGCTTTTTTTCCCCGTGGTCTTGAAGGTGCAGAATCCATGGACTTGACAGTCAAGGCAACAAGAGTAGTGTTCTTCGCCGCTGTAGCTTTTTTGCCCTGTGGTCTCGAAGGCGCAGAAACCATTGGCTCGCCAGAGGCACTATATGGTGGAGGGGGCTTCTGATGTATTCAGAGTGATTAGTCTGTTAATACAAGTAAAAAACAAAAAAAAACCTTCATCTGGCCTCTGTGACCCTTGCGAGGCGGTTCTGGAGCAAGTGGATTGGTAGGGATACTAGAGTCGAGGGAGGTGGAGCCTTTGGGCTGGCTGGTATGTGCTGGGGCACCCAAGAGTGCTCCAATGATCTTGAGTTGACTAATTCTACCTCCTGTTCCTACACCAGGACGTCCCGAACACCGAGTAGGCTGCTGCGATGCGATGGATGCTTCAGCCTCAGCCCGCGATTTCTTGGTTGACGTGACATCTTGCCCATCAGAGTCCGCGGCTTTGCACTTTGTCTTCCTCTTCTTAGGGCTAGTGCGAGCTTGGTCCTGATGCTGAGATGGCATCTGAGGCTGACACCAGGGAGAAACTGGCACGAAGGAAACAAAAAACTTACCTTGATGGCTTTTAATAAGGAATTTATTGTAAGTACTATGACTCGAGCTTGTGGGTGACAGCGTGGAATTTTAGTGAAGTCAGAATCAACATGTTCAGAGATATTAGTCGAGTGTTGGCCTGCAGGCATGATACAATTGATGTGGTTGAGTAATGATGTAGTGGTATGGTATCATGTTTTGTGGAGGTAGTGTGTGATTATATATGTTAGTGACTCGAACAAATTCAATTGAAATGACATAATGAATCACAATGCATTTACAAGTCCCTATCTCCTGCACCTCTTTGGCTTGGGTATAGCTTCCATTGTCCATCGATAATCTATGACTCGCTTGTTCTTGTTGCCCGGCAGAGTCTCAGCAACCAACTGCGACATCTTTTCCTCGCCACTTGTGCCCTCCTTCTCCTCTTTCTCATCCTTTTCCTTGAGCGCCTTGAGCAACCACCTTGAAACCAGGAGTTCGGGAGAGGGCTTGTTTATCGGAAGGTCTGCAAGATGATTATTCAACACCGCAAGCACATCATCGAAATGTACGTTCTTTGGGTTTTTCATGAGCTTGTACCAATCCAACACAACAGGAATGAGGCTTTTGAAGTATGGATGGATTTGTTCAGTAAGCTCCTTGATGTAGTGTTCATCGTGCCAAAAAAATGATGTTTTACTATCGCAGCACGTCTTGAACTTCAAGGCAGACCACTCTTGCAGTATCCAATTGTGGCTCTTGTTGAGAATACGCTTCATGCCAAGGGGACCCCTAAACTCAATGAGAATCCATATGAAGACGTAGAACATGGACTCGAGGTCGTCTTGGTAGCAGTGCTTGATTAGGGGGGGTGGGTATGATTTCGAACTCGAGGCCCCCTTGAGCTCAAGCGCATCAGTTGGAGTCTTGAGGTGGAGCTGCAGGAGAAGCGCTCGGGACATGAAGGGTAATGTACCCTAAATACAATGTTCAACACTGATTTCTCAATTAACTCAAAAAAATACTGACAGTGCCCCCTACAGTGTAACTCTGATTCTTCAAGATCCTCACAGAAAACTCCCAATCTATCAGCATTCTGTGGGTGCCGTTACCATCGTCCTCAATCATGGCATTGAACAGACTACAATCGTGGTGAAGAACATTGTGTTGTTCAACCACTTCCTTCTGAACTAAAGGTACATCATTAAATGCTTGTGCATCACAATGTATGATACTTACTTTGCACAATATCCCATACTGAAGCCAGCAACTTGTACTTTGTGTGGAATTTGTGTAAAGGTCATCCCCGGGGCTTCAAGACCATGTGAATGTGAGTACAGAATGTACCCTGCAGACTTCGCACGGACTTGTAGTGATATTCCACTGTTTGATCCACCTTGCCAGGGGCAACCTCAACGAGCCAATATTCAACCAGCTGGGGGACACCGCGGACACCTTCCATCTTCTCCATCATCCTGATTTCATTCAAGGCTTCTTTTTTCCCCCCAATGGCCCAGTAGTCTTTTATTATAAACTCCTCATCATCCTTCCTTGCATGATAGCAAACAGTACTGCGGCCCACAAGACCCTGTCTCGAAAAAATAATATCCAAAATGTCATAAAAATGGTCGATGACCCGTATCTTCCCAATCGGCTCCAGCAGAGGTTCGAGAAGAGGATCCTGAGGGATCTCTATTGGGAGCTCCACTGGGAAGCTATTGTCATCTTCAGCGGGGTTATACTCGGTAGGTTCTGTCTCCAAGTCAATCTGAGCAGTGGTACTGGCAAGCAAGGATGTGCTCTCGATCTGGGGGGGGGGATGTGCTCTTGATCTGGCCCGGGGAGTGAGTTGGTGCAACGTCCTGGGATGAGCCTTCGTTCTGCAGGAGGCAAGTAGAATGTGTTTTGAGAGTCTGTGGAAGTGTGTGTGCGAATATGCTGATCGTGGTGTCATATCCGATGCACTCAAGATTACCAAATACAATGCACGACAAGATATACAAGTATCTGTCTGGCTCTTGGTCGATGTTAGTGCAAGGGCTTACAACACCCCCAGAATGGTCGTACAGGTGGACACGAAGATCACGATACCCATTGCACAAGGATATCAGCAGCGCAAACCATCTCCAGGGTTGGTGCTTTAGAAGAAGGTATGCTTTGGTATCGAGAGTCTTTGCAAGGGTGCTCGAAGGTTTGTATGCACTGGAGGTCAACTCGCATACCACTTTGATTGTATCCCACCTAGCTTCAACATCGTCTAGTAGGGTAAGATCTGGTTTGCACGGGATTTCTTCACCAGGTACTGGGCGTGATGAATTTGCCGCACTCCAGGTGCGTGATAAGTTGTGTGTGAGAGCAAGATCAGGCTGTAATGCAAGGAGGGCCGTAGTAACAACATTGAAGAACGACGAGAAGATGTGTTCTGTCGTTAATGGACCCTCTGAGGCTACAGCTGAGGAAGTCTGGCAGTCCAAGTCACTACTATCCTCCCCATCGTCTGACTTCGATCCCCCATCCGTCAAAAGTTCTGCATCAGCGAATGGCAGCACACTCTCGGTAGCTTCACTTGTAGATGCCAGCGGTGCATCCAGCCCCCCAGAGGCTAGTAACTCGGTTTTGTTTGTTTCATCAATCAACACCCATTCTCCCAACTTCTCTTTTGTGCCACTCTCAGTTCCTCCTCGCTCACTTTTTTTTGTAGTTCGTCCCTGTCCATGCATTGTTGGAAGGGGCCAATTCCACTGACACTTTTGAGTGTTATATAGCTGCACCATGGGAGCTCCGCCTGGAGCCAGAGGAAAAGCATCTAGATCATCGAGCCAACTGTCGGGAGGTATTTTGGTTAACAGAACCACAAGATCCTTCGCTTTGGGGACTTCAACAGTGCATGACTGGAAAATTAGAGATAAGGTATGGCTGAGCTCGTCTCTGTTGGTAAATGAAGGCTCGTGGAGTATCAAGCGGTTGAGTTCAGAAGTTGTGAGTTCATCCATCACCTTTGTATTATGGATGGGGGGAGCTGTCAAGAAGGATGACAGCTTTTTCCCCAGGTCAATTGTTCTGGCGTGTCTCCCAGTTGGCATAACGAAGCATGGAACTCAAAAAAACCATGCTAGCATACATATGGAAAGTAAAGAAATGATAGCACACAAAATGGTCTTATCTCAAATCAAATACCATGCTGATAGGGCGAAGAATGTGTTTTTTTCCCAATACTCATTCAACCAAAACTCCGCGGCATGCTCCATGCTATTATAAACTGTGTGGCATTTATCTGCAGTGGCTCCAAAGCGAGGAACAAGATTTATAGGCACCCTTAGTTGAGAGAGCGGAATCACGTCCCCCATCCGAACACCATTTGAGTGTTTTGAGCGTTTGAGGAGATGAAGTTGTGTCGTTGGATCACGATCAGGTGAGATATCAAAGTGTTGCACGTAGCAGAGAAATTGGTCTTTCCATGACCATGATGTGTCGCTCTTACCAATAGGCCGCATGATCAGTCTGATCTGGGCGACAGTGTGACCTATACAGGGTAGTTGAGGCTGAGACAAGTATCGTGATACAAGACAGAATTCACACCTGAAAGTCCACTACTAGGCCATGAAAAGCCCGCACTAGTCTGAATGATAGCTGTGTCATAATGTCCTAAATTCCAGGGGTCGCAGGGTGGGGTGCAATTTAGCGTTTGGGCTGGTCTGATAGTGTGAGCATCGTAAAATTCTGTTTCTTGTAAGCGAACTTTGAACCAGACTTGAACCTGGTCAAAAGGAAGGGTAGCCGTATGCGCCCCTCTTCTCGGACCGCTTATTGCATGAATGTGTTGGTCTCCACAAGTCGCCTCATGCTGAATGAAATCAGCAATAGCTGGTCGCAGATCTGGAAGGGAGAATTTGACGGCGACTTCGTCAATAGAGATCTTTCTAATGGATGGATCATATGCGATATGAAATGCAGTGCGGCCAACGACAAATGAACATAATGGAAGAGGTATGGAACCCACAGGTCTGTACTGCAATGCCCTAGCAATGGCAAAATAGCTGATGACAGGACGACATGGGAGTTGCTGCACCGCAGAAAGTTCGATTGGAGTGTCGGCATTGGCATTGGCATCGTCAGCATCGATGTCGGTGTTCTCCAGCTGCTCAGTAGTCTGTTTTGCATCCAAAAGACTAGTGGCGAGCTCAAAGCGCCGACACTTTTCGGCTTGGTCCAGGTGTCGACATATCTGGGGATCGTAGTTGTGATTGTTGGTTGCCCTTGCAGGGTCTTTGATTTCAGTTACATGTGCATGTTCTGTGACATCTGCAGACCACTGTCTGATGACCCCAGAGTTGCGAATGCTCGGAACAATGTTCTGCATTAACTCCAACTTGGGTATATGCCAATTGGAAATAGGTCTATTACCCTTCCCTCGGCGAGCTCCCGCAGCAATAATTAAATCCTTGTTTGAATGAAACTTGTCCAATGCACCTGAGATGTGCCTGATATCGTCGTCATTGATGCATGGTGACTGCACACAATAACGGAACTGCATGAGTGCGTGTATGGCAGTGAGAACACCAGGAGCTGCGTTCGCACATACTGCAATGATGTATTGTTGAACATCACGATGACAACGACCAGTAACCTGTTTCAGTTTCGAAATGCCTCTGTAGAAGTGCTGATAACCAGTGATGGGCTGCAAAATGGAAAACCGGAAATCAATCTCGGACTCTCCGACTGCACAAATGAGCCATTGCGTGTCATGGTCCCAGAATTCTTTATGAATGTGGTGAAGGTCTTCCGGTGTAAAGAAACGAGATGGTTCCGCGAGTATCCAGTCTCAAAAGAACAGTTCAGCAACCCCATTCAGGCGGAATTTCTGTGCCTCGCAGAAGAAGGCCTCAATATCGAGGGGATCAGCGCATGAACGCACAACTGTAAGCTGCGCAAGAGTCGTGGATTTCATCCGAGGTTCATGCTGGAAGGCATCCCCAAACTGCTTATACATTGCCATGGTCACTGGCGATGTTTTGCCACCGACCGTTGCTAACATCATGGCTTCAGGGGTGTCAGCAATATAACTGGCAAGCAGGGTGAAGCAATAATGACTGTTGCCAATGGGATCTGATAGCATGATGCCATGTCGAGCTGCCTGTTTCAAAGGTTCAAGAACGATGTCCAAACATTGATGTATGAGGCGATCCTCCAATACACCCTTCATTTGTTTCTTCTTATGCACAAACTTCAGGACCGGTAGTAGAGCGGTGAGAACGAAAGCACCCGAAGACGATTTTAGCCGTATATTCATATGTATGTTTGCAAGGCTTATAAGAAGCGGGTGAGCAACGCGATCACCTGTTAAGGCAGTGATGTTTGTCTTGTCGGAGGATAGGATGGTACCTGAGGAGGGTCACACCACTAGGTATAGCCGCCTTCAAGGATAAATAAGTCAGAGACACCAAAAGTCAACATGGTACGCACCTGCATATCCCAAGCATCATTTCCCATCATCCACTCAGTATATACACGACACTGCTTTTCTGTGGTAGTGTACACCTTGCGAGGCCTGAAATCAATACAATTGTGAAATAAGGGGTTGTTGAAGACGCTGGCGATGCACTCTAGAGGGTCGCGCCAATATAGAACTACCGGCGACTTTGTTGCATGCAATGTGGGTATTACTTTGGACATCCAACACGGACCGCTTGGGAGCATTTCAGCTCGACCCTGTAGTTCTTTAGCTGAGGAGAATGACAAAGTTAAGTCTTTGACCTAGCAAGTCCAACAGTTATGGAATGGTAGCCAGTATGAATTTCGGACACTCACCATTTCAAGCGATAGGAAGGAATCAATATTGCTCATGCTCAGGCCCGAACGAAGCAGCCATGCCGCAACTTGCCAATCTCTTCGACCACTAAATGGATAGTAAAGGTTGTTTTTGTGATGCACACTATTTTCATCAGAGTCAAATAGGTTCAAAAAGGTGTAGCCATCCTGATAGGCAAGTGGAGGGTCAGGATAGTATTTGGTTACTTCACCGCCCTCATCCAGAATTCCACCTCCCATGATATTCTCTTCATCACCGAATTCACCGCAACATCACCGAAGTCAACTACCATTGCCTCGCCTCCGAGTTCTGGTTCATGAGGAATGTGGTGCTCGATATTCGCTGGGTCCAAGGGTGGGATGAGGGAATTAAGCTTGATGATATCTTCTAGCCACGTGTTGCAGCCAGACCGGGGCTGGCTCATATGGCGAGCAACAGATGTGTGGTCCTCCATAATTTTTCTGCACAATGGACATTGAGGCATAAGGATGAGGGTGAGACATATGAAAGTCGTATAACCTTCTGATCAATATTTTGGCATTTTCTGATACTGACTCGAACAATACTACCATGAACATGACCAAACTGCGATCTCTCTCAGCACGTGCATCAGGGATGGACGAGCAAATCTCCCATTTACATCATTGTGAAGGACCATCGGGTGCATGTGACCTATACAATGTTCTTCATTCTGTCAATTCCTTGGTGATGTTGATCTTGAAATTCGCTTTTTTGATGTACCTTACATTTTAACAGTCCATACAGGATCCAACCGACTCTGAGGCCAACCTGGTGTTGGACCTTGTAAGAGCTAAGCACCAAGTTTATCTAGTGCAAAAGACACTGGCAGACTGTAGAATACGTGAAAATGAAGTGTTAGCAAACTTACTCCGATATCGAGCTGAAGAAGCAGAAAAAAGACTGGAGGATGCAGATGTTGGATTAGGGTGTGTTACAAGAACATCTAGACGCTTGGGCCCCTACCATTTTTCTCCTAATCCTCCTCATATCAGCCCTCGCGTCATACCCTTACCCCGACCTTACCCTTGTCATCCTTGTCATCCTCACATTCCCTTTCGCTCTCTACCTGTCGCTTCAGCAGAGCCAGTACATCTGGCCGGATCCGTTCGCTGACGAAGCATACCCATGCTCCGTTCCACCACCTGACTGATCCTGTGGACAGTCCCCTTACCCTTACTGTCTGGACGGTAACCTATGATATGATGCACGACACATCCCCTTTGCCCTTTTCCCTTTCTTGATCTCTGACTCGGTGCGCAGTCGCACATGCAACTTATATTTAGCTCCGCAGTTGCACGATCGTGCCCCTGCGCGTTTCACTTCTTATTCTGATCTTTGACTCACTTTCTTATCCGCACGTTCAGGACTCACCCATGACTCACCTCGAACATGCCTTCCTTTTATGGTCATACCCTTTACCGTTGACTTCTCTTGGTAGTATGAGTTATCATCCACTAATACACTTCCTGTCCTCTATATAAACTCACTACCATGTAACATATTCCCTAACTTGAATCTACTTGGTTCTTGACCTCCTACTCTCACCAGAGTGATCCTTTCTGCCTCGCCAGCAGTCTATATTCTATCTTCTTATCTGCTCTTCAGCGGATAAGCCTATAGTCTTGACCTTTACTCATCGACTTCGTCGACGAGCAAAGCCCCTGTTAACTAGTCGGACTTCTGTCCTTCTAATTAACAACGATCTTATGATTAACCTTCGGGTGTCGTAAACCTTGGCCGATATAGCTTATCGTCTCACACCCGCTTGACATAAGCTACCCGATTTGGACATAGGCGTCAAATCTTACTTGCCGAAGCCTCGCCAAGTAAGACCCCTAACCTTGGGCCAGCCCAAGGACATCCTCGACCATTGACGACACACGCTCTGTTTGAGCATCGCCAACAGATACCATCCAAGTCGTAACAGGGTGCATGTGAATCACATTTAAGAAGAATGGATGGACTCATTTTCCTCATCTGACTCGGACACACGATGGCCGCCTACAAACAGGTAAGCTAATGATATGAAACTTGATGCAGGAGGTGGATTATCCCAGTAGAAGATACTGAATGTGGTCGTCACCTCACTATCCAGCTTGATTGATCCGAGCGCTCCCTCTTCACATTATTATGATACTCAACTTATGTATATGCTGTTGTCGCATGAATATTTCGCTATGCAGGTGTTATTTGTTGTATGTCCTCTCAGGCGTGAATGAACATATTCATCTCACTTGGATCTTAAACTATTTTCACTGCAGCTGTTTAAGTTCGATCATTCAAGTTGAAGCCAAGTCATATCGTATGAAACTGAGTCATATAGACTGAAAGCAAAGCAATACCATGCACTAGTAACTACTACCTAGTATATTAGTTGATAAATTCTTGAGTTGTACTGTAGAACTGTGAGTAACTGGAGACAATGTATACTTTGCAGCCACTGTTGACTGTGACTTTGGCAGAACTGTGGACTCTGTGGCTCACTGTCATGGGAATATGATTCTTGTACATTCTGTGGAGAAATTTGTGATTTACTGATGTATAGAGACTTTGGTTAATTTGGTTTAGTGCTAATGTATTTGTTAATGGGGGGTCGTTTTTTTTCTAGGGTAGCTACATGAATTGTTCGGCACTCATGAACTCAATGGAAGTTAAAATGAATCAAATTCAAGGTAAGCTCAACTCTCTTCAAGCTTTCCCCCTCACAACATGGCTGACCAGTGTGGTCTGGGTGCAGATGGAACTCTCCTCGACGCCAGTCAAATCCGATGGTACAACAATCCCGACGATGATACTCCACTGCCTGTGCTTCCTGCTCAGGCATGTCACTCGACTCATATCCCACGGCCTGCACCCAAGCTTGTTGACCCCAACAACACTGTCTTGTGCAAATGCAAGACTAGCAGGTCAGTGGTCACGAGTGAGGGCTCTGTCACGAGTACCTTTAACAAACCATTATTCTTTCTTGAATCTTCCTAAGCATCAATACACAGCACCTAAGATAAACCCTAACCCTACTTTGAAAGCATCTACCAACTCAGAGATTCCTTTAGCGCCCACAACACGTGTCTTCAATGTGACTGATGAAGAAGACAAGTTCTTTGATTGTGAATAGATTAGATAAGATAAGATAAGATTAGATTAGATAAGATAAGATATGGTCACATGATACTTCTTTAATATTCTATGATGTTCTATGGTACAATTCCCTTTTCTATTTTATGATTGGCTAGTAGTTGTAGCTCAATTTCAATCTCCGTTTCAATAGTTGTATATAGGTAGCACGTCTTGGTTGATAGTTCTTTAGTTCAAACCTCTTGTATCTACACTGTAGCAATCCAAGACGTCCTTGCTCATTATCCTCTCTGTTGTGATAACCTTAGTCCGAGTCCTAGTCTCTGCCCAGCATTAATTCGTTATTGGGTTGTGACAGGCTCTGAGGAGGAAAGTGACTGTGAAGGAGACCAGGATAATGGGGTAACTACAGATGCAGCTACTGACATGGATCATGAGACAGATATCGACAGCATCACCCCCTCCAAGTCTGCTTCACAGTAGTGTACCAGTACTCCTTACTACTAGCTATAGTACAATCGAGTATATTTACAATGTGTTCGATGTTCGAATGCTGAACCGGAAATGATGTCGACTAAGTTGAAGCAACTTGTAGGAGCACAGAAGTCCGTGCTGGTCGCCAGAGTTGCAGACAGCAACAGCGAGTTGCCAGTGGCAGTCACAATGTAATGAACCTAATTAGGGATGGTCACATGTCACACTGAGGTGTGAAGCTATGAAGCTAAGTGTGACATGGTCATGCGCAGATGGGCTTGAAGGTAGTGTCGAAACTATACAGTATATCCTTGTCGCAAACTAACAACTGGACCGCGCAGGCAGCTCATTTGGGATTCATAGTGCCATCACCGCAAAAGTTTTCAATGCCTTGACTAAGCACTGCACAGGATCATCGTCAACCTGCCATGACGTCCCGGCATCACTCTTTACCCCAGCAAATTGCAGGCCAGCCGCTAGGTGTATCACTTCGCAATAGTAACAGGCATAGGTCACCATACTGTGAGTGATATATCATTGCCCATGCTTTAACTCAATGGCAGGGATATATCACAGATTTGCTTCAATCACACTGATATAATATATCATATTGACAGGATCGACTGATGTCTGCGCCTCGCTCGTAATGTTATCATGGTAATTGGTTAATTGATATTCATGATGTACTATGCAGATTTTACTTAATTCAACATGTTCTTACCTCCCGTATGCCCATACCGTGACCCATACCATACCATCGAGCATATTGAATGCATTGTATGACATACTGTACAGTACAGGTCATACCCATAAGTCCACCGTAAGTTGTATGGCTGTAATCATATATGGTTACGGTGACCAGCCCTATGGGGGCCAAGTACTAATAGTAACTTTTGACTGCTTTTTGCTCGCCTGAACCGCCTTGAGGATCAAATCTCCTTGTCCTAAGGACGACAACTTACTTATTTCTCCTTATTTGAAGTAACAAACATTTTCCTTAATTCTCTTTATTTTACACAATAAGTCAAAAAAAGTCATGTCAAGGACGAAATAAGGAACTCGATGTTTTCCTGATGTGAATAACTTGTGCATTGGCAGAAAACTGTAAGCAAGGCAGATAACATGAATGTGTTTTATTGATTTATGAGAAAGTTTTTCTACTGTCATGTTATTCTAAACATCAGGAAAACCCTCCTGCCCTGAATTTGTTTAAATTATCTGTATTATCCAAATTTTCGACAATTGATCTAATTAGCATAATACCTTCTAATAGTCTAAAGATCCACCAGTCAATAAAAATTCCTGATAATACATAAGGCATTCAAGTTATCTTCTAAACAAACTTCAAGCAATGTACGAAAATAAAACCATTAGATTGTTATGTCTGGATCATTATATACAGCAGCTGATATGTATGTTCAACTATTCTACACACAGATGACACACGTGCGCACATACAAAACGAGCATCTGGAAAGACAGTCAGGCAAGAAGGGTAAGGTGATTGAAATGATGGTAACAGCTGAGTAATGATGCACTTGACAGTGTTAGGGTGCGGGCGATGCTTGAGGTGGCTAAAGAGCAAGCACGCAAAGTCGGTGTGCATACCCTCATCACGGCTAATGAGCTCATTGGAGAATGTAAGACCAGGCATAAGACCGCGTTTCTCAAGTCAGAAGATGGACTCGGACACAAAGGAACCCAAGAAGAAGATGCCTTCAATGGCATTTGGAAGCCATAGAAGCACCAGGCCTCAGCAGCCTGGACCTCATTGGAGAAACATTTAATGAGGTTTTCATTAACAATGCCGTCGGATGCAGCAAAGAAGGTGAGGATGTGTGAGATGAAGTGATGCTCATTGTCATTGAGACAGTTGGTCCAGTCATGGATGTCTATTGAGAGGTCCATCTATTGGGGGGGGGGAGTACTTGGGACAAGTAAATAGGTGCAGAATCGTTCTTGGGCCAAGCCATGATAGTGCGGAACCGTTCTTGACCTTCCACTAGTACTAGTATATTGCAATATCAGTCTGGTGTTTCACAGAAAGTTGTTATGAGAAACTTATGTGCTACTGGTACCAGGTAGTACCATCAGTCAAATTATTTGAACCTCGCAAAGGTATGTCTGTCAAAGTACGAGTTCAACCAGAAACTCTCGCAGTCATCTAGGACAGTATCACTCATCCACTCACGTGGCGCAACAGCGCCAAATCTTGGGACAAGGTGAGTGCTGCACAAAATATTGGTGATGGACACAATGGAAGCCAAACACTCTCCACCACGTGCTAGCGCCCGAGAGAGCTTGTAGAAACCATGGTTTTGGTCAGGTGCTGGGGGGAATGGCGTGAACCACTCGATGTATGCAAGATGACTGGGTACTTGGACAGTAGGTGAAAACAACATTGGTATTGATCTGGGTGGCAAAGCAAACAATGCACGAACTTGACCCACCCACAAACCTGCATACCAGTTATCAGCAACACATAGTATAGTAATTGATCAAAACACGTACTTTTCAAACCTGGAGCACCTGTCCTCTGATCCACTAATGCTGTATCAGATCGTCGAGCCACCAGACGAGAACCAGAGCGTTGATGTGGTTTAGCATGTATACTGTCAAGTGTGACAGATGCCTCGCCATGGCCACGGGTGTCCAACGACACCCACTTAACCTTGTGGAAAATGGTGTAGCGATGGTCGCGGCGTTGGGCTCAAAACCACATATTTCCATACTCACGTCAACACCCAAAACATATGCGCACATGTCCGACACACTTTCGCACATGTCCGAGCCACTCCGCATCAGACATTTGGACATCGCATCGGCCGATCGCACTTCGTGCGCACTTGTCCATCCCGTGTCCTGTCCATCCAAACTAGCCTCACTAGGTGCGTAGTTATTCCCGTGCACGTTTTCTGACATTTGGACCGCATTATTACATGTCCGCAGCACCTCGTGTCTTATTACATAGGACATCGGACCCGAAATATATTGCTACTATCTTCGCCTGTAGTTTTCTGAAATTCTATGTACTTACTTAAATACTCTGTAGTGACCCGTAGCAATCATCATCCAGTAGTTAGGAGCCATTTCCTGACTCTGCGGATCACCCAGAATATTCTTGTAGTTCTTAGTTGCATTGCAAAATATTACCATTCATTCACCGTCATACTCCGTCACTAGTTATACTCGCGCATACCGCTCGCAACCCGACACTCATTATAAAGTTTCCGACTCATTATTGTGAAGCCCGAAAGTCCAAAATCTCGGACATTGCACTTTGGCTTCGGACATTGGATAAGTACCTTCGGACATCGTTTCACACCATCAGACATTTTGTTATTTGCATTACTGACACATTTTTACTACTAATACCAATTAGCAATCCCTTTAGGATCGAATCCACTTGCGCTGCAAGTATAGCAGACTAGGTCGTGCTAAGATCTACCTAAATATTTGTTGTCTAGGTAGCACAATTTCTGCTGAGCCCAGCAGGAATCAGCTTTCTACAACAGGTAGCATGCAGAAAGGAAAATGGACATCAATGGCCAAGTCGTCAAGTTCCTGACCTCGTGGAATATGATGATGGGAATTGTTGAGTCAAGCAATGTAGCATGCCAATGCCTCACGGAAATGGGTCGCACCGTAATTGTCGACAAGTTTCTGCAGGCTAACAGCCTTTGCACTAGGGTGTTTTGTCATGACTTGCTCACGACAAAAGCTCATGTCAGGAGGATGTGAACGATAAGCAACAGACTCATGTCTACCAGAAATCCGCCAGCGAATATACTTGTCGTGGCGAAGTATCTTCTCCTTTCGTTCTAACCAGGCAGTCATTTGAATTAATTTGTTGTAAAGAGTAGATCTGGGCTGGGCTCTACTGAATGTGAGTCCCTAGTCCTGAGAGATGCGAGTATGCTTCGTCTCAAGAGACAACCTAAGAACTACCTTGATAATGCAAGGGAAGTCTTATACAGTTAGAGAGTAGACAAGATATTGGAAGAAAACCTCTTTTAATGTTCGTCCATAGTTCCGAGACTACTTCCGAAGTACTGAGAAACTTGTCCGATGTGACCGAAGGTTGTCCGAAGCTGCGAAAGTGTTGTCCGAAGTAGTGCGATACCTTCCGAGGCTTGCGAAGGCTGTCCAAAGGTCAATATATGTCAGTGTGTCGATGTGTCGGTATGTCGGTGTGTCGAATGACAGTATAAGACTTTGTGAATCATCCGAAGTCCAGAATGACGCTAATCTATCGGAACTCAAGAATAAACGAAGTGCAAAATTGGCAGCGGTCTAGCCAAACAATCATTCCAAATGAACAAGGATCAATTGCGCAGTTTACGATTATACCGAGGTGACTCTACTAATTACTATTTGAAGTACAGGAAGTGAAGTGTCCTATCAGTAGCCAGTATCCTACTTCCATGAGAGGCCGGAATCCATAGGCGAAACTAGTAGCGAGATAAGCAAGTCCGAACCTATGTAATAAGCTGCGAGGCGTGCAGGAATGCAAGTATACATGTAATAAGCCACAATGTGTACTGTTTATATGTATTCCGAGGCTCCTGACAGGATGCCGATGGAATTGTTATCCGTGTAGCACTAAGACATAGTCAACATATAGTTAGAATAAGGGAAAATGCACCAGCGAAGTCAAAAGGACGAGGATAGGACATGGTATGGTAACTTGCGAGGTTCGGACGGGTCTCGGAACACAAGAACTGCCTGCGGAAGGTTTGGACAAGTGCGCATGGCCTTCGGAAGGTCAAGGGAGGTTGGGGAATGGTATGAACGTAGGTGTTGGATTGCCTGGTTCCAAGCCCAGCACCGCGACCATCGTTACATCGTCCTTGTGGTTTGTCGCACGGTAAGTGTCCTTCGCGATGTCAATGTGGAGGTGTTTGGTGTATTCAGTATTGTAGTTATCTGTTGTACCGAACAGCATGATCATATGGGGGTAATGGCGAGCAGCGTGGAGCTTCGGTAAGTTGAAATTCTTCCATATACCAAGGTCGATGAAAATACCCTTGTTGTTGTGGAAAGTGTCTAGTGCCACCTGCAATAGTTCTAGAGTTTCGGAGCTGTGGCAGGGATATTGTGCGAGGTACAAAAATCCAGTAGTCCCTGCACTGCATGTAAGAGACGACTTGCGTTCAAATTGTTTGGTAAGCGAATGTCAATGATGATTCCCAGTAGAAATCAGCAAATCTGGGCATGTTCCTTGCCACTCAGACGCAACAAGGTGGTGATACCTTTTGTAAATAATTGTATGTTGTGGTTCGTAGGGAGACAGCAACATCGAGCGTCGATTTCAGCCGCTCCACACGCTTCTGAGAGCCACTGGACAAGATGTTTTACTAGGCCCTGGTACAGCTGATGTAGTACATCAGGGGTGATAGCACGAAAGATGTTTGCAAAGGGGAGATCCTCCCAGAATGAGTAAACAATGGGCTTGATGCCTACAGCAGCGCACACACAGACAAATGCAAGACTTCCATGATCAAGAGCAGCAAGTGCATCTAGCACTGAGCCCAGATTGTGCAGGTGAAAGGCTACTGTGTTGCTCCCGGTGTCACCAGCGTCAACATTGCACTTAGGGCACTCCATAAACTTCACGCCCGTAGCTAGGAGCTGCTCTGGATAATCCCCGACAAAGGAGGCAAACAAAGGGTGACAGCGGTGAAGAGCGCCATCACCACTGCACATCTTGACACCATCCAATCCCGCACTTTTGAGTGGGCCCAGTATGCAAGACATGCACGCGTGATACAAGTTGGAGATAGTATGATGGCGAGAGGCTTTATTGGATATGTGTTCGAGATAGGTGGTGGGCAGATACCCAAGGAGGATGTGTGTGCTGCGTGAAGGTTTACGACGGATCTCCTTCAGTATGTTTCCGATTGTCAGGTAAACTGGGTAGGCAGCCTTATTGCGAAACAGGGTCACTTGCATTTTATCAGACGAAATGATGATTGGTACGATCATGCCTCCAGGACAGCGTTAATCAAGCTTTTTCTAAGACAAATGTAAGTATTTAATCCAACAAATGCAGATGATCCCTTGTACCTGAGTGTCCCACCACCTATGCATGTCATGGAACAAGTGTGTGGTCTGATCTTCGTCGGCATAATGCCACTCTGGAGTGAATGCGAGATAATCCGCAAAATTGGGATCACCGTAGAGTGCCTTAATGCACTCGATAACATCACGGTAGTACACATCAAAAGCCTCGCCAGCAATGATAACCTGTTCATGCCTGAATTTCGGGCATCTGGTTGGCAACTCATAGTCAATGATTGCATTCAGCTCCTTCGCATTTTTGAAGGAGAGTCCCAAAGACTCCCTGACCTAGTAGAATTTACGGTCAGACATTTATAATATATGTGAATAGCAAAAAACTCACTCCGTCGATTGCTAGCAAGTCAGTAAATGACGTAGAACTGGGTCCACACAGTTTCGACCATCTTGCAATCTCCCAGTCAATCTGGGAGCAGAAAGGAAAATACGGGTTGTTTCCATCATCGAAACACACTCCAAATCTCACATTGGCAGCATCGTCATCAGCATGGTGCCTTATCACTTGGCCTGCCCGTGGATCTGGATATGGCAACTTAATAGATGTACCTCCTCACACCCACATTCCTTCATCCTCAGGTTAATATCTGTCCTGTCTTTCAAGGTCACTAGTACCATCATTCATTATCATTCATTAGTAAGAAAACACCAAAATGTCCGCACCTTGTAGCACCCGCAGTAAGTGAATATATTGTCATGCAAGAGGCTCTTATCATGTGTGTTGACAGCGCCTGTGCAATGCTAAGAAAAAAGCCTTGGAAAACTGCTGGTGAGATGAAAACAATTCTATTAATGTGTGACACTCACCAAAGTTTGGATCATAGTCTGGAATGTGGACAAAGCAAAAAGTAGATCAAAAAACCAGACCACTGGTCCTCAAGAAGTGCCAGTGGACCTTGCTATGCAGAAGAAGAAGCCTGCAGCACCAACCAGTCAGGTGAAAAAGAAGACCGCCACTTCAGCACCAGGCGCGAAACCATCCAGAAAAAGTAAGTGTGGATTTGATACTGTACCTAGATGTTAGCGGTTGGTTGTGATTAGAGCGGTCACATACCATAGTAAGAGACTCAGATGACGAGGATGCCGAGTCCATGGATGAAGACCTTAGAGCTCAAAAGAAAGGTTTGTTAGTAGTTCATTAGTAGAACAAAAAAACTTACAAGCTGGTTGAATTTGAATATTGTAGTCCGAAGCACCGTGCCAGCCAAAGCTCATCAAAACAAAGATGATGACAACGATGCTACTGTGAATTGTGAGGTTGACTCTGATAATCCGAATGGCTCGAATTTGGATGATTCGGACATTAATGAAGGAGAGAATGAGTCACCAAGATCAATCACAAGAAAGCTCTTTGATGAGGTCCCAGAGTCATTGGCGCTCCCTCCAAGTCAGTATCGTCGACAACAGTATCACCATCAAACAGCATCACGTGAAAATTCAAAGCCAACTGCGCATGATCACAAACATGCAACAGAGGTCAGAACTTACCTCAGCGTTTTTTGGAGCTACTATTACTAATATAATCAAATATTCAGATCCCTGCCTGGGCTGATGATGTGGCGGTCTCAGACTCTGAATCTAGTGGTGATCCAGACTCGGATGATGCAGGAAGCACTACAACAAGAAGTTCGAGGATGCCTGTACCTCCTGTGGCCAAAAGTAAAGCACACCTAGTGATAACTGAGTCAGGGAATGTGAAGCTCCTTGATCAGAACCTGGATACGAAGAGAGTCATTAAACGGGCGATTTTGGATGCAAAGAGTCACCTTGTGTTTGTTGACGGGTTCCCAGAACTGATTGACAAAAATCAGCTTTCACACAAGTCATTGCTAACCGTTGCTGGGGAATTGGGTCTGCATGAGATCAAAAAGTGTCTGCGCTTGGACGAGAACTATATCATGCTGCTGGCTGCCCTGGTGAGCCTTTTCTGTGAGAATCTGAGTCCATCAGTGCTAATGTAAATGGCCCAGCAGGAAAATAGGTAGATGCCCACATCCCAATCCTGCACCGTGAACTGAAAGACAATGCATTGGCAGGCATCTCCGGTTACTTTCGTCTGGGGCACATAGACACCGACAAGGCCAAAAGTCTTCTTGTGCAGCATGCCTATATCTATGTGATAAAGTTTGACGCAAGTTGATACTAATTCTATTTGCTGTCGTGTTTGCTCACATTTTTGTATTACTAGGCTCAAGGTGTTCCTAAACCTGTACCGAACAAGCCCTATCAGGGCAAATTCTTAATCGCCCTAATTCACGGCCACATTTTCAATGGCACAGTCTGTCGGTGTCCGTTTTGCAAAACACTTTATTGAGATCACACAAAACAAAGCCAACCGTCCAGAGGTTCCTATCCCCATAGTGGCTCTCGTTGCAACTGCAGTATTTCTTTTCTTTTCCATTTATTCCTGTCCTGACTCTCTTTCAAGGTGTATGCTGCACTGTTGTGGAAGTCAGTGGGTTTACCTGCGAAGTTCAGTTTCTCAGGTAATCAGTTCAGCGAGACTTACTTTTTTCATGTGAAGTTCTTGGAAAATATGAGGGATAAAGTACTGACAAAATTCCATCGCATGATGGCCTGACATTTACGAGGCTGTACAGTGAGATTTTCTGGTCTTTGGTCTGAGTTATTCGTTGCATATCGATTCGACATTACAGGCTTTTGAGGTGCACTCATACTGAGAAAACTGCAGAGCAAGATGCAGCTCTTGATCTCCTTGACATTGATGGAATGATGGATGATGACTCTGACTAGTCACTGACTCATTCTCAATAGCTATCTCATTGTTGATAGTTTCATATGATGCTACTATGATTGTGAACATATATTACCTATTAGATACCCTTCTTTAATCAAAAGCTTATTTTTCATGTAACATTCAGTGTGATTGTATGATCTGAGCCAGAAAACTCAAATCTATCTATCCAAATGTAAAGACAATAGTGCAAAAATTGTTCACCAATACCTTCTAATTATTAAGGATTATTGAGGATTTTCAATCGATTATCAAGAGGTAACATAATCCATCTAATCTTCTAAAACCGCTAATTATCGGAAATTCCACCAATTATCAAGAATTACCAGCAATTAGTTGGAATTAGATGTGAAGGTTTTTCCTGATGAAGTCTGTTCAAGGTAGCCCAGAATCTTAGTGATGTTCCGGCCCAGCTTAGGCTCGGCTTTGAGGGGCTTAGGCTCACAAGATTTTGAGCCTAGGCCATGAGCCCAAGCCAGGGCTTGGGGAAGCCAACAGACAGACAGGCAGATCAAGACTACTGTAGCATTAGTGGTAGGCTAGTAGCAACACAACAGAATAAATACAATGTACAGATGTCTGTCTCAACATCTGACATGTCCTCAGCATCATTGCCCAAAAGTAAGATGTCCCAACCTTCTTCGGCATCCATAGTACCATCAGTCTCTGCTCCCACTCCTCCTGCTTCTTCATCATCATCGTCCAGGTACCTCAACTCAATGAGAGACGATGGTTTGGGCTCCCGCAATAGAAGATTGTGACGTAGTGCACATTTAACACACTGGAGTGCTTCAACGATGTCAGCCTTGAGCCGGTTGCGCTGTTTAGTGATGGTGATGCCGCCTTGTGAGAATGCCCGCTCACTTGAGACCGATGATGACATGATGGCCAGATAGTGGGCGTGTTCAGCAGCATGCTTAGTGTTACGACTTGGATAGTATCTGTTGACAACACTCAAACAGAGTGTGTGTCATCAACGGTCAAGGACGTCCCTGGGCTAGCCCAAGGTTAGGGGTCTTACTTGGCAAAGTTTCGGCAAGTAAGATTTGATGCCTATGTCCATATCGGGTAGCTTATGTCAAGCAGGGCTCGACGATAAGCGTATCTGCCAAGGCTTATGACACCCGAAGGTTAATTGTAAGATCTGCATTAATAGAAGGACAGAAGTCCGACTAGTAACAGGGGCTTTGCTCGTTACGAAGTCAATGAGTAAAGATCAAAACTAGAGACTTATCCATGATGAGCAGATAAGAAAGTAGAATATAGACTGCTGACTAGGCAGAAGGAATCACTCTTGTTAGGAGTAGGAGGTCAAGAACCAAGTAGATTCAAGTTAAGGAACTAGATACATGGTAGCGAGTTTATATAGAGGAGAGGAAGCGTATTAGTGGATGATAACTCATACTACTGGAAGGGGAACTGGTCAAAGGGTGATACTAGAAAAGGAAGGCATGTTCGAGGTGAGTCATAGGCGAACCGGAATGTGCAGATAAGAAATGAGTCAAAGAACAGAAACAGGAAGTGAAACAAGCAGGGGCATGATCGTGCAACTGCAGAGCTAAGTATAAGTACAATGTGCGACTGTGCGCCGAGTCATAGATCAGGAAAGGAAACAGGGCAAAGGGGATGCAGCATGCATCGTATCATAGGTTACTGTCCGGATGGTAAGGGTAAAGGGGACTGTCCACAGGATCAGTCAACGGGTGGAATGGAGCATGGGTATGCTTCATCAGAGAAAGGGTCCGGCCAAATGTACTGGCTCTGCTGGAGTGACAGGTAGAGGGCGAAGGAGAATGCGAGGATGACGAGGATAACAAGAGCAAGGTCAGGGTAAGGGTGTGATGCAAGGGCGGAGACAAGGAGGATAAGGAGAAAAATGGTAGGGGCCCAAGCATCTAGATGTTCTTGTAACATTACCCCGGTTTCTAGGACTGAAATCAATGAGTTCAGTTATCCATATTGTCATACCAGGAGGAGCCCCTTCAGTGACAAATTCCGTATTATATGGGTCACCCGATCTACATAATATCCCATATAAGACGGGCCAGCGGACTATGGGCTGATGTTATGTATATCCCTGATGGGCCGGGAGGGATATTATTTCTGATGGAGACGGGTGGGCCCATCCATGCTGATATTATATATATCCTCGAAGATGTTGGGTGGGCTGATGTAATGGTTTATTGTATAGATGGGTGGGCTGACGTACAGAAATTATTTTGTACACAGGTGGGCCGAGGGAGTGGTGGAATATGTATTATATAGATGGGTGGGCCGATGTAAGGGTTTATTGTATAGACGGGTGGGCTGACATACTGGAATTATTTTGTAGATGGATGGGCTGAGGGAGTGGTGGAATATTCATTATATAGACAGGTGGGCCAATGGAGGGGGATGTTATATAGATGGGTGGGCCGATGTAAGGGTTTATTGTATAGACAGGTGGGCCGACATACTGGAATTATTTTGTAGATGGATGGGCCGAGGGAGTGGTGGAATATTCATTATATAGACGGGTGGGCCGATGGAGGGGGATGTTATAGTGGGCCGAGGTAGTGAGATATCTGACATTCACAGATTACCGAGTCCCAGGTGCCAAAAACCAAATCCCATTGTGCAACATTCATTCCGGACACCCGGAAACCCCAAGCTTGAGACTGGAAACTGGAAACTCGTGAAAATGTGTGAAATTTCTATTTCCTTACACCAAACACATGAACACCTGAACACCCAAAGCCTGAAGCTTGAAAGTCCATTTATCAAGTCACCGAGTGCCAAGTGCTGATAGACCCGAAGCCTGAGTCCCCAAATCCGAAGCCCGGAACCCAAAACATGTATGCAAAATGTCCATTTTTCATTCATTGCACAAATCACCAAGTACCAAGTGCCGAGGGCTGAACCCCAAAGTCCGAAACCTGAAAACATGTATATAACATATCCATTTTTCAGTCATTGCACAAATCACCGAGTGTCGAGTGCCAAAACCCAAAACTTGAAACCCGGTATGCAACATGCCCATTTTTCATTTACATTAAACAAATCATCAAATGCTGAGTGCCGAGGCCTGAACCCTGAAGCCCGAAACCCGAAAATATGTATACAACATATCCATATTTCCCTCACTGCACAAATCACCAGGTGTCAAGTACCAAAACCCGAAACTCGACACCTGGTACACAAATCACCAAGTGCCAAGTGCCGAGGCCTGTGCCCCGATGTTCGAAGCCCGAAACCTGAAGCATGAAACCCAAAAATATGTATATAACATATCCATATTTCCCTCACTGCACAAATCACAGAGTGTCAAGTAGTGAAACCAGAAACTCGACACCCAGTACATAAATCACCAAGTGCCAAGTGCCAAGTGCCAAGGCCCAAAGCCCGATGTCCGAAGCCCGATGTCTGAAGCCCAAAACCCGAAGCCTGAAACCCAAAAATATGTATTCAACATATCCATATTTCCCTCACTGCACCAATCACCAAGTGTCAAGTACCAAAACCTGAAACTCGACACCTGGTAGGCAAATCACCAAGTGCCATGTGCTGAGGCTCAAGCCCTGATGTCCAAAGCCTGAAACCTGAAGCCTGGAACCAGAAAATATGTATATAACATATCAATATTTCACTCATTGCACAAATCACTGAGTGTCGAGTACCAAAACCTAAATCCTGAAACCCGAAAATATGTATATAACATATCAATATTTCACTCATTGCACAAATCACTGAGTGTCGAGTGCCAAAACCCGAAACTTGAGACCCAGTACACAAATCACCAAGTGCTGAGTGCTGAGTGCTGAGGCCCGACATCCAAAGCCTGAAACCCAAAGATATGTATACAAGATATCCATATTTCCCTCGCTGCACAAATCACTGAGTGTTGAGTACCAAAACCCGAAACTCAACACCCGGTACATATGACTACAACTGGACATGAATTCTGTATTTGTATGTATTATCCATTGATGTAGGGTTCAAATAACTTGGGAATTGTATTGACTACCAAGTGTTGGGACTCGGGACTCGCTAGTCAATATAGGAAAATGATAATAAAAAAATGAAAATTATTATTATGCTTAACTTTCTTAATGAAGGTTGTAGTCCAAGTCTATATGAGTGTATTGGTGGTCCTACCAAGTATTGGTACTCAGTGTAGTGATGGTTGCGGTGCTGGGCTCAGAACCACTGATTTTTATACCCATGTCATTCTTGTCAATTGGGGATTATTTGAAGACTATATTAAATGTTAGTCAGTGTCGAGTATGATAATGAATGTATAGTCATACCTCAGTCTGAGAACAAATAGACTGAGGTAGGATGATGCAGGTATGAGGATTATATATTTGTCTGGCATGTTAGTAATGATGTAAAGATGAGGCGTGCATTTGTACATGTGTGCAGTAAGTGAGCATAAAGATAAAAGAATAAATATTAATAGTGAGACTTGCACATTATGTTGAGATATCCAAAATGACAAGCCTGTGATGAGATCAGAGACCTGGAATAACACCCATATATGTCCATTATAATAGCCCTAATAGTTTAGAAAGATCCATGAAGGATTGATGTAATGACAGGCATGTGTGAAATGTGACAATAGACATATTTTTACAAAGTCACATTTATAGATGATTCAGGCCAAAGATTTCATTAAAAATATGTAGGATAGATTGTAAACTACCTAAGGAACCCATACTGCCTACTGCCTTGAGGGTAGGGGGTGGGTGGAAGGGATATAGTGAAAACATGAGTTGACTCAGCATTAAAGTCCTATTATTGCTTCACTGACCATTTTCGATGCTTTGGGTCTTTGAAGTTTCCCACACTCCATTTCTTATCTATTTCACTTCCTCAGTACTCAATTCTTGGTGGATTTGTCTGTAAATTTATGTCTATGATACTTAATATATTTTAAATGTACTCCAGGTTTCTGATCATGAAGATTCAATGTTTTGAAGGTATGGGCCCCTTATCAGGAGAAATGGCAAGTATGCACACTAGCTCACAAACTCCAGCCTATTGTGAGCTGATCTTGGTCATAAGAGGCAATAATATAAGCTATGCTCATTATATATTAAAAGGTTGGATCATGAATGCAAGGGCAAGAGACTGAAAATTATGAAAAATGTCAAAAGTGCAATGGTCTATGCTTACATGTAATAACACTCTCTGTAATATTCAATAATGCGAAAACAAGTAAATACGCACCAGTGGGGATAGATACGACTAGACAGGACATAGGAAGGATGAGTCCGATGCAAAAATGTTGGGTCCAAAACTTTTGGGTTGGGGTCGGGCGTCGGGATCAGGATCGGAATGTCAGGGATGTATCGGACAAATACTGTTTAACATGAGTATCAAAAACACGGGTTTTGAGCCCAGCACCACAACTATCATTACACCAGGTACCAAGTATCAGAACCAAGTACTGAGTACTGAGTACCAAGTAATGAAATAACCAATTGACAAGAAAAGACTACCAATACACTCACCTTGACTTGGACTACAACTTTTATTAAGGGAAGTTAAGCATAAAAACAACCTTCATTTTTCATTCTTGCTGATGTTTTGGATTTCTTTAGCTTATATCTTGGTCAAATGATAATTGATGGACAAGAAAAGACTACCAAAACACTCACCTAGACTCAGACAACAACTTCCATTTTTTCATTATCTTTGCCTATATTGGCTAGCAAGTCCCAAGTCCAAAGTACTGACACTCGGTAGTCAATACAATCCCCAAGTTGTTTGAACCCTACATCAATGGATAATACATACAAATACAGAATTCATATCCATTTGTAGCACCGGGTATTGTGTTTCAGCACTTGACACTCAGTGATTTGTGCCATAAATGAAAAATGGACATGTTGCATACATGTTTTCGGGCCTCAGCACTCGGCACTCAATGATTTGTTTAATGTAAATGAAAAATGGGCATGTTGCATGCCAGGTTTCAGCATTTGACACTTGGTGTTTTATGCAATGAGTGAAAAATGGACATGTTGCACACCGGGTTTTGAGTTTGAGTTTTGGGTTTTAGGCACTCAACACTCGGTGATTTGTGCAATGAGTAAAAAATGGAAATATTGCATACATGTTTTTGGGTTTTGGGCTTCGGAATTTGGACTTCAGATGTTGGGTTTCGGGCCTTGGCACTTGGCACTCTGCATTTGGTGATTTGTGTACCGGGTCTCAAGTTTTGGGTTTTGGTACTCGACACTCAGTGAGTTGTGCAATGAGGGAAAAATGGATATGTTGCATACATATTATCAGGTTTTAGGCTTCGGGTTTTAGGCTTCGGATGTCAGGTTTTGTGCCTTGGACATTGCAGCTCAGGCCTCAGCACTCAGCACTTGGTGATTTGTGTACCGGGTGTCAAGTTTTGGGTTTCGGTACTCGACACTCCATGATTTGTGCAATGAGGGAAATATGTATATGTTGTATACATATTTTCAGGTTTCAGGCTTCGGGTTTCGGGCTTTGGACATCGGGTTTTGGGCCTTGGCACTTGGCACTTGGCACTTGGTGATTTTTGTACCGTGCTTCGAGTTTCGGGTTTTGGCACTCGACACTCGGTGATTTGTGCAATGAGTGAAATATTGATATGTTGCATACATATTTTCGGGTTTCAGGCTTCAAGTTTCGGGCTTCAGACATCGGGGCATGGGCCTCGGCACTCAGCACTTGGTGATTTGTGTACTGGGTGTTGAGTTTCGGGTTTTGGTACTCGACAATTGGTGATTTGTGCAGTGAGGGAAATATGGATATGTTGTATATATATTTTTGTGTTTTGGGCCTCAGACATCAGGGTTCGGGCCTCAGCACTCGGCATTTGATGATTTGTTTAATGTAAATGAAAAATGAGCATGTTGCATACCGGGTTTCAAGTTTCGGGTTTTGGCACTTGACACTCAGTGATTTGTGCAATGAATGAAAAATGCACATGTTGCATACATGTTTTTGGGTTCCAGGCTTCGAATTTTGGGTCTCAGGCTTCGGGTTTATCAGCACTAGGCACTCGGTGATTTGATAAATGGACTTTCAAGCTTCAGGCTTTGGGTGTTCAGGTGTTCATGTGTTTGGTGTAAGGAAATAGAAATTTCACACATTTTCGTGAGTTTCCAGTTTCCAGTCTCAAGCTTCAGGTGTTTGGGTGGGATGTTGCACAATGGGATTCGGTTTTTGGGCATCTGGGACTTGGTAATCCATGAATGTCAGACAGATATCTCACTACCTCGGCCCACCCGTCTATATAACATCCCCCTCCATCAGCCCACCTGTCTATATAATGAATATTCCACCACTCCCTCAGCCCATCCATCTACAAAATAATTCCAGTATGTCAGCCCACCCGTCTATACAATAAACCCTTACATCGGCCCACCCATCTATATAATACATATTCCACCACTCCCTCGGCCCACCTGTGTACAAAATAATTTCTGTACGTCGGCCCACCCATCTATACAATAAACCATTACATCAGCCCACCCAACATCTTCGAGGATATATATAATATCAGCATAGATGGGCCCACCCGTCTCCATTGGAAATAATATCCCTCCCGGCCCATCCATCAACATCAGGGATATACATAACATTGGCCCATAGTCCACTGGCCCGTCTTATATGGGATACTATGTAGGTTGGGTGACCCATATAATATGGAGATAGGTCACTGTAGTATGTGGTCTTTCGGCTTTTGCACTCACACGTCATCACACACATTCACCTTTCATACATCACATTGTTTCCGCCTCGCACTTTGTGCATTACTAAGCCTTAGTACTTTATTAGTTGTTTGGTGTCCCTCTTTTTACAAAGAGAGGTTTCCCTTTACTCAGTTAGCTGCCCTTGGGATGACAATTTCACTCACACCTGGGTCTATCTGTGTTTGCTTGGCTTAGCACCAACGTTCCCCACAGTTTAGATTCCTCATCTTCACCGGTTTGGCTCAACCCTGCCCCAAGGCTAAGTAGTGGAGCTCCACTTCCCCTTCCACCACATCCATGTATTTTGACCTTTTTGTGTTTTTGTTTTTGTTCACTCTCTCTCTAGATTAATGGGCATGCCGATGCCACCAAGCATCATTCCAAACACTTGTCTGAGTTTGGTTTTTCTATGCGGGCTATTTATGTAGGGTCAGAGCCAGATGTCATTCCCCCCATATCCCTCAGCATGACATCCAAGCAAGATGAAGTGGGCATGCACAAGGTACATGTTTCAGTTTGATGCCAAATGCTGACATTCATACAGTGAATAGGGCTTTGAATTTCCTCATTCTGGCAATTCAAATCGCAATGCATTAAAGTGCACGCTCGTAGGCCTGGAGGCAGGCGTAGGACATGCTATCATATTTGCATCAGGCAGTGCGATGACAGCAACCACCTTACAGTCTCTAGGTCCAAATGTGCACATCCTGAGCGTGAATGATGTCTATGGCGGTACCTTCCAGTACCTCACAAGGGTTGCAAGTCTCCCTTTCCAATATCACTCCTCTTCAAGCGAGGGATGTCGTCTCCAGAATGGGTTGTCCCGTGGGTACATGGTGGGTGCCAACACTGTGTTCAATACACACTTGAGTGACCAATTGTCCATCTCCTCTCTCTCATTTTCGTTCTCCTTGTCTTCCCTTCTCCTGCTCTCGTCCATTGTCTGCATTCATCTAAGCCACATCAGCAGCTGCTGACGTGTGCTGGGCATTTGCACATGGTGTTCATGGTGTTGGGAACAGCATGGTGGAGCTCGAACATTGATTCAACATGTGGGCCATGGCTTGCATGGGCTAGGATGTTTACTCATTCCTGTTAGATGATGTGCCACGTATCACACAAACTACTATGGAACCATGTTTATAAGAATGTGTCCAACAATGTGAAACTAGGACCGATGAGTACTGCATCCAGCTATAGTGGTATGATATGGAATGAAGAAGGTTTGCTGTGTTTAGGAAATTAGGATCGAGAATTAGCAAAAAAAAAGTAACAAGAGCCTGAGTGTAGTATGAGAAGCCTCAAAGAGTTAAATGGTGTATTAATGTTGTAGTCCTGGGATGTGTTGCTCGAGTCCTAGGGCCTTGCAAAATTGGTTGCAGTCATGAAGGGTTTGAAACAGCTGGATTTGGTCCGGGCCTTTGTCCCAATAACTTGAGTCTCGATTCTCGCTAGTAGTAGTCGTTAGATGTGAACTAGCACTGTGACAGAGACGTACATATGAGCTTGAGGATTGAACAATATGACACTATGGTCTGGAGCTATAATACCTGTGAAGTCCATCAGTATTGATATTACTTGCATGTTTAGAATTGAAAATACGAGACATACCTTGAATGTCCGATATCAAGATCTCAAATTCAGAGTCTATGAGAACATGGTGCGAGTAAGCATCCACCACACATCCAATCAAGTCCTCATTGTTTCCTGGTTGCTTGTTACCAGAAAACTTCACTTCACAATACAAAGCACCTGAAGGAAGTAGCAGTGTTGCCAGAAAGACATCATATATGAGACTTTGATTGTCATCTGTTCCATCAGTTGGTGCAGATGGCAACACATCTACGAGCTTTCCTATGAATGCTCCTGCAGCGTTCCATTTCATTGCTACAAAGTGTCACGAGTAAGTAATCAACAACAAAACAAAACAATCATGCTTACAAGGTAGGCCTTTAACATTGTGAGCAAGTGCACATTTGTAGAATGAATCCATGAAGTACTGGGCTTTGTGTAGAAGGCATAGTTTGTCTGATAGATCTTTCACATTGGTGTTACTTGATGAAATGACTGGCTTGCACTGTAGGATTGCATAATCAAGTCCTTTGTACTGTCCCTTCATTGTGAATTAATGAGTGTCATAGCAGCGGCACACAAAGTAAATTTACCCAAATGGCAAGCTTTGTCAGTCCTTGCCCAAGATACGTACCACCTGATTGTTTTGCACAACATTGTGTCTGCCAGTTTCATGCAATGGATATCTCCTCCAAATCTTCACAGTGAATAGGCTCAATTGTGCCATCTGCAGCAATCGTACAGGTGGTTTGGTGAAATTTGAATGTTTCAAAGCTCAATTGTGTAGAACCTTGGGCAGACGGATGGCACTGATATTCACTCTGATAGCACATTTTGCAGATGGGCCTGGTGTTGCAGATGCCGAGTCCTTGCCTTGAAAAAAAAAAAATCAAATTTAGACACTCAGTCGAGCTTGAAAGACTCACTGTCAGATTGCTTTCTCTTCCAACTTGGAGCACTTTTTTGGACTCTTGACTTGTCCTTCGAGTTTGGTCGAATCTCAGTGATATCAGATGTATCATCAGAGTTATTGAAGTCCTCTTCATTGTCCTGCAATGACATGCAAGTAATGTAAATTGCTGTGTGGAGAATGGCAAAGGTTATTGAACAGTTGCTTACCCATTCAGTTTCATAGATATAGATGCGCAAGGTTATTCTTGGCACCTTTGCGGAGCCATCTTTGTCAGACAGCACACACTTATGTTTGAGTCTTACGAAAAGGTCCTCAATTGAACCATCCATGATCTGGTCCTCAATAACAGCAGTGCCACCAGCCCCGGTCCCTTTGGCAGTACAGAATGTGGTAGCCTCACTGTCAATAAAATATCATAGTTGTTAAGACCATGCACAAAGGGTAGGACTGATTTTGAGGGGCTTGGCTTCAGCTCGTGCGCTGCGCCCCTTATCCGAGTATATGCCCTTAATTTCAGATTGATGTCTGGAGAAGATCCTAGGAAGTCCAAAGGACATCAGAAGGTGCGGGAAACTTTGGAAGGGCTTTCCGGATGAGTGCAAGTAACTTCCGGATGAGTGTGGGAAAGTTCTGGAGGAACTTCCAGAAATTACAATGAGGTTTTGTCCTGATATGGATAGGTGTGATGGCTACTCAGGACTTGTCCTGAGTAGAAGCAAACAGAGGTAAGGCTGCAAGGACAATGTCCAAAGCAGAATAGGTCCAGAGGACCACGGGAAAGATTCAGACAAACTTCTGGAAACTTGGAGGAATATAGGATCAGAGGGTCAGAGAATCAGAGAATCAGAGGATCAGAGGAGTGGAGGAGCGGAGCTCCGGCCTAGGGAATTCCTCCCTAGGCCTAAGGAAGATTTCACAAGGAAGGAACTAGTATAAGGACTTAGTGTGAAGACTAGTGCAAGGACTAATATGATATTCAGACTGAGGTACTACAAGACATATACACGAGTTTATATACTAAGAGAAATAACGGAAGGATCAATAAGCAGAGTCCAAGGCTATGTATGAAGCATATGCAAAGGTTAACAAATGCAAGTCAGGAAATGAACATAGGTTAATGGATCAGTAAGCATACCGGTAATAGATATAACCAAAACAACGGAAAGAAGGAAATACCGAATAGGCTGTGTTTAACAGTTATATGAACAGGAAATGAATTAGGAAGCTTATCTATATCAGATCAGAAGCAGATCTATGCATCGGACTGGATCAGACCGGATATGGTCCAGACGAGATGCATGGATATGTGGGATAGGACAAAGGATGAATGATGCAGGCTAGCTGCGAAGGTAAAGGGATCTGGATGCATAGAGTACTACAGACATGGATAGGACATCCGAAGGTCTGGATGAGGCATGGGAATATTATCGGATGTAGGTCCAGAATACAGGATATGACAGTGGTTAACAGTGGGGCTTAACATGGACAACATGGAGGCATACAATTTGAATATCAAATCGAGAATTTCTGAGGGGATTGAGTCTGTGTTCTGTAGTGGCATGGTACTATACATACCCTTGGACTTCAATAGCAATTGCCAGAATGCACCTCATGCTGATTCATTGGCTGGGAAGGTACAATGTGAAGGAGGTATCTTTGCCTAGTGTAATATCAATAAATCGTTGATCAGTGGTACTGAATGAAATAATGCTGCTTACTCTCTTTGGAGTGACTTGTTTATTCTGAGCTGGATAAACCCACAGCGAAAAATCTATGTCTACCTGTGAATTTTTTGCTCTTGCCTTTAGAGCAGAAACCTTTCGGTTGACTTCTGAAGCACTAGACAATGACAAATTCTGAGGACGAGGCTGATTCAGACAGTGTTCTGATGCAGTACCAGCAAAGCCTGAACTGCAGTCCATGATTGTGTTTGCAATTGAACGAGTTGCATTTTCAGCACCTGCCAGTGAAGCATGGGTGTGAATCATAGAAAACTCTGATGCTGTGGTACAATGCAACATAAGTGAAAGCTAATGCAGTATGATCTCACAGTGTGGTGACATACGTGGCTCAAATAATACAGCCCCAGGTTGGCGAGTCTTGCAGAGCTCATACAAAGTGGATTGAAGGAAGTCGTAGTATATCCTACAGTGTGCATACTGTGGTTTATCCTGTAGATGGTGTAAATTACAGATTCTCGTTAGATTTACAATACACATACATAGACAGCAGCACATTCAGCTTCTGTGGCTTCCTGGAGCTTGGAGTATTTTCCACATTCCTGGCCATCCATAGCAGGAAAGTTCCTCGAGCAACCTGAACATTGCACCATGGACAAGGTCAAGAAATGATGGTTGACTCAAGCAACCTGAGAGTGCAAACTTAAATACTTGGATGTCACAACCTTTGGTTGTTCGCTACTAGTACTTTATTTAATTTTACATCAAGTCTTAATTTGTATCATATATTTTGTGGGTTTTTGTTATATCCTTTGGCTCACAAAATGGTTCATTTGCTATGAAATGTATGTCCTCTACAACCTAAATTAAAGGTAGCATAGCAGAGAAGATGTTCCACACATTGTGGAAGGATAACTCCTTGAAACCAAGGTTTGCAAACACAGTCTCTGCACAATTCTCATACTCAACAGAAACAAAACGAATGAAAACCTTGCCACCTATATTCTCCATCAACTGCTTTACCACCTTGCATTCAACTACCTGTAGGCAGTTCTCAGCTTGATACTCAGTATGGAGGGCAAAGGCAACATTGGGAGAAACACCTGATGGAAGTTTCTTAGCGGAATCCTTATGAACACGGTGATTGTTGAAATTCTCCTGAAGCTGGTTTAGCTCTTGCTGAACAAGCTTTGGCCACAGCCATTGAACCATATCACTGCAAGTGAGACATTAGCATGAAAGCTCGAGTGCAAGATAAATTTGTAGCTAACTACTGTCTTGGATCCATTTCATTGTACATGCCATGGCCTGCTTCCCAAAACACCTTAACATTTTCTCCCCACTGAAGACGAAGATGAAGCCAGCCATGCTCAATAGTTGTGTTATGAATGATCTTCAAAAGCTTATGTGTGGGCAACTTGTCTAATGATAGATGTGGGAAGTGTTCCCTAGTATGATGCAATGAGTATCAACGCTCAGAAGATACATGCAAAATTAACTACCGAAGTGCATTAGCAAATCCATAAATTTCTGTCGTTTCACTACCACAATCAGTCGTTGTTTGTATTGGCATGCCTTTGAACACGAGAGTGAGCTATATAGATCTGAGAAAAATGATTTAATGAACCACCCAGCTGATAGCAAAGAGATAGGTATAAATAAGCAACTGCACTTTTAAGACAGTTGCTTGGAAAAACCCAGATACCAAGCCATTTGCCCGACCATACGTCGTGGTGTAGAGCCTCGCGTCTCCACAGGCACTTCCCTCGAATTCTCCCACATTCCCTACACACTCCAGCTCTAATCCCAAGGATACGTCTTGCGCAATAGCACTTCATATATTTTACTTTGCAGATTCCGTGCACAGCCACTCGCATTTTGCGTACACTGCGCATCCGTGTTAGCATTGTCTGCATGCCCATCCATCCGTCCTACCCATGTCCTTAGATGTCCATTGGTGCGTTTTCTCACTATATTCCCATTTTAACTAATTGTTTCCATTGCTAATTCTCAGGCCTAGCGCTACATGTGCAGCCGAGACCCTATGACCTATCTCATGTACTATATTTAGCTTGCTTGGCTCGCTACATCGGACCTGCACGCCTAGCGCCACTTAGCTACTTTACTTATACTATCTCTTTACTTTATTTTCTGGGTCGATTTTCCGCCCACTTTCTCTGTGTCTCTAGATACTAAGAATTTTACTCGTTGTTTGCAAGTGACTATCTAAAGTCGCGTGCTTCAGTTCTCAGACTCCTGCTTTAGCATCAGCCAACCTTAGTTGGGGTGTTAACACTTGTCTCGTCTCGTCTTTCTCTTCGCCTCTCTCGCTAGCTTGTCTCTCGCCTTCACTCGCACGCTACCTTCGTGTCGCACACCTCGACCTTCGCCTTTCGCACTCACACATCTGCCTTCTGCACATCACATCAGTTTCTGCTTCGTGCGTTATCTTAATAACCTGAGGGTCTTATATAAAGTTGTGTAAATGTAATGACACCACAATTACACTTTGGATAAGACTGCTTGCCAGTCCTCGATTAACACGGTCTACTGACTTTTCCTATTTCGTGGTAGATAATGTGTGAGTTCTTGGGAGGCTCGCTAAACTAATCTTTTTATAAAGATCAACCTAGCCAGAGCTTTACTTTTCTTTATTGAAACTCAAATCTCTTGTCTAGGAATAAGCTTCTAGACACGTAATTCGGTTTCTGGAATGTATTTGCCTAGGAAATCTCCTTCTAGGCTCTGGACTTGGATACTGGAACTAGTGAGACGTGGTCTCAAATATATGAAATATGACCAAGATCGCTTGGTCTATGGACACCTGACTGTGAGACAATGGTCTCAAATATACGATATATGTTCAAGATCGCTTGAACAAAGGGGACTATAACTTGACCAAGATTGCTTGGTCTATGGGACTACTAGTGAGACGTGGTCTCAACAATATGATAGATGACTAAGATCGCTTAGTCAAAGGGCACAGAGCAATGAGACAAAGGGGTCTCAAAGACAATATATATGACCAAGAACTCTTGGTCTATAGCACTAAATAAGTTTCTAAGGTAAGAAACTTATAATCTCAAGGGAATTCTTTTCCCTGCACTTGTCTCACTTCAAAGGGACTAACTTTGCAAGTGAAATATCTGATAGGCAGATTGCTACAAATGGGAGATCATATATTTTTTTGGGGGGAGAATGGGCTCTCCTTATATACATTTTGTGTGGGAAAGTAACCTAGGTTCACAAACAATAAAAAATAAGGAGGACCAATCAAAATATTGGGTCAAACCCAATAAAAGAATAAAATACAAGTGAAAGATGGAGCTATGACATCATTGTGGAGCAGAACATTCTGGAATGTGGAGTAATGACATCATAATGACATCAAGAGTGACATCATTGTGGAGCAAAAGATTCCAGAACCTTCCATGAGTGAGTCAGAGTGAGTCATTGTGGAGCAGAATATTCTAGAAGGAAATGACATCATGAATGATGTCATTGTAGAGTAGAATAATCTAGAGCTTGATGACATAATATCTTTCAACAGAATACCTGCAGGAGTATCTGTGGAGTCTTATGACATCATAATGACATCATACCCTATGGGTACAATTTTATGAAGTGTCAGGTGAGTCAAAGCATCCTAATGAAAAAGTAAAGTAAAGAAACACTAGAGAAAAGTAGGTAGCAAAAATAAGACAGTTGGCAGGAATTGAAACACAGTCAAAAAAATAATGCAGTTGGCAGGAATTGAAACACGGTCTTTTTGGATAGGTTTTTTATTGGCTTTGTACTTTTCTCTATGGTTTTCTCTAGCCAAAGTGAATAAGCCAAAGGCAAGGCTATACCTTAACCTTCATTTCCCTTCTCACATCAACTAGGTCTAAATGTGATTCCCATCTCACATTAGACTTTTTCCGTCAAAACGTATTCAGATCATGAAACTTGGGGAAAACTGGAAATATGGACCATGGTTTGAAACCAAGGTATGGGTTGACTAGTCTGAGGACTAAGCTAGCAGACTTTATCTTTTGAGGGTCACCTTGTATTCATGTCCATGCATGATTCCCACATCATGCAGGACAGTGTTACTAAGACTTAGTAGTTCATTAGTTGTTTGGTGTCCCTCTTTTTACAAAGAGAGGTTTCCTTTACTCAGTTAGCTGCCCTTGGGACGATGATTTCACTCGCGCCCGGGTCTATCTGTGTTTGCTTAGCTTAGCACCAACTTTCCCCACAGTTTAGATTCCTCATCTTCAGCAGATTCCCCAAATTGGAAAGCCCATTTGAGTGAGCTTATCATGGCCATTGCCGCTCCACTCATGATGCGGGCCAAGCACAACCAAGGGTTTTCGAGATAGTTTTTTGCTGGCAGGTTCATGAGCTGCAAAACCTTCTGGTTCTTGCAACATCATCTGGTCTCTGATGTATTTGCTGTGAAAAGGTCCCTCACAGCTCAGCAATGACAGCGAGAACACATAGAATGTACGAACTGTGGAAGCATGACTCCAGTTTTGCTTGCAATCAGCTCCTTGACAATGTGTGGCCCATGATGACCACTAGGATCATCTGCAAGCTGGTCTAGCACAAGTTGGCATTTCGTGACTTCAGGGAGTTGGGCTGCTGTTGAGTGGCTGCCAAACAGTCCCAGTTCTCTTCTACAATGAGTAACCATTGCTTCACTGAAGATTCATTCATCAACAAGCTAAATGTGTCAGTTGAGTGCACCAACTCGAAGCTCACCTCATTTTGATTCCATGTTCGGCTTGTAATAACTTGCTTATGAGTTTACGATCCGAAATGTTCAGCTTGTGATATTCACAAAGAAGGTTGGCAACTTTATGGTCACCTTTGGGGGCTAAGAAACAGATTGAAGTTTGTTCACATTCCAGTGTAGTAGGAAAGAGTCAGAAAGACTTATGACAGTCTTTGTGTTGATTTTGCCTGCTAGGATTTGTTGAATGGTGTGTATAATATCTGTCCAAGTCACTCTCATCTTCGCTCTCATTGGCCTGCATCCCTGGAACAACAGAGTGACAATATGCCAAGTCCTGACCGTAGCAATGAACTAGTAATGTTTTGGTTGCGGCAAGCAAAGTATCTCACAACTAAAATTCAAAATTCCAAAAACAACCTGATGCGTCCAGGCAACGGTATGCTATGCCTTTGTGACCCAGGGTCCATCTGATTGTGAGCTTCCTGTTGTTGTTGTTTGGTATGAGCTCCCTGAGATCATCGTGGAGTTTACCAACAAGGTAGTGCCCGGGCTGTGATTGGAAGGCGTTAGTGGCCCTGATTGCTGCCTGGTCGTCCACCCCTAAGGTCATTGTTCCTTCTCCGCCTGCCTCTCTCATCAACTCGATCCGCAGTATAGATAGTGATATCAGATTAGCATGAGCAGAATTACATTCTTCTATAGTTCCCACGGCTACAATATCAAGGACTCATCGGTTCTCTGATGCGTATACCTGAGTTGTAGCAGATCAGGATCGCATCCATCGCATAGAAGGAAAAAAATAGCTTTATTCACACATAGCCTACAGGAACAATCCCACTGCATATCCCTTCAGTGGCTGCTATTTGATTTTTGGGCCAACTACCAACGATCGCAGGCAACTCGTAGGTCAAGCTCAAGGACAAGTATCGGAGTACAACAATGATATCTGAAGTGCATACAAGTATTTTGAGTGAGGATTAATCTGCAGCCATGAATCTTAGCCTAGAAGGACAGCAAGCACGGAGCGTCAGAAAACGCGGTAAGCACTACATATTGGAGAGAACGAATGAAGTCAGCTATAGCGGCTCGTTCGGGAAATACAGTCACGCAAAAGATAAAAAGTTGCAAAAATACAAGGCACTGGCTGAATCACCAAAGGCAACATTTCTGATGGGTATAACTGCATGACGTACGAAAAAAAAAAATCATGGGATGACGCCGATAAAAATGATTAGGACTGTTATAGTGCATATCAGTCCGAGGACGGCGGAGCGAATGACAACTTCCCATTGGGCTCGGATTACTACAGGCGACCGCACACGCGTCATCGGTGCCTTGAAAGCGGGAACACCCGCAGTGAAAGAGGGAATCATGAACGAGAGAATGGGAGAGCGATTAGAGCTCGGCGTCGGAGATGGTGTGTACGAATTAGGCGATGGAACTGAAGAAATTTGTGAAACGAGTGATAACGGAGGTGCGTATGTGCGCTTGCATTTATACTGCTGGCGTGCGATGGCAGAACTGAGATTGTTTGAAGGAGCAGTATTTCCAGTTTCGAGAGATAACATTGGAATATGACCTGCGATGGTGACGTTGATAGGAGGTTGGGAAGCATTGCTCGGGAGGCGAATGTTGTCTGTTAGGATCACGTTTCCCTTGACAGAATTTGGAAGAAGATCGAAGTCAAAACACTCCTTCTCGTCTAGTCCTGTGTGGATACGCTCTTTTAGATCGTCTTCCACATCGAGGTCTACCTCATGACGAATGAACGCTGCGCTGGGACCAAAGGAACCAGAATCATCTAGAGTATGTGGCTTGGCAGCCGAACTGTTTCTGACATTCCCGTCGTGACATTCAAGGGGTGAGAAAAATGCAACAGGATTCGGGCGTTCCCGAGTATGTGCCACGGAAGGGAAAGCGATAGATGATGGTTGCGCAGGACGGTAATGAGAACGATACAAGCCTGTAGCTGTCGCTGGACCCTCGGGTGCAGGCACATCATCGAAGTAAGCAGGAGAAATTTGAATCTCCGGCGACTCGAATGAAGAAGATGAGTTCTCGTGTCCTGAAGATCTGGAGACTTCGGAGTCAGAATACGAGTCCGATGCTCGCGAAAATGAACGTCCTTCGGCAGAAAGAGAGTATGGTACGGATTGGAAGGACTTAGACGAGCCGCATTCTGGATCATACTGCCTGTCATGATGCTTAGATATTACGATGCTACGTTTCTTGCTAGGAGCTAGCGGATGAGGCAACGGCGCAGATACCGACGTGACCACAGGAGCAGGGGCAGGCATCGGCCTTGAAATAGCTGGCCTAGCAAGCTCAAATTTTCGAAGTTGTCTCAGGTCGCCAAAGACATATACCATGAGACAAACCTATCAAACAGGGAGTTACCTCATGCGCGATTACTTGGAGGGAGGGGATTCACTCACTCCGTTAAGACTAGAAAATAGCAACACCAGACCAAGCCACATGCCAGGGAATGCTGATAGCCTCCACCAGCGTCCGTGAGGGGCACCGACCCAGCCACCAGACGTCAGTGCAAGAGGTAAGATTCCAGCGAGAGATAAACATAGTATGCCAGCAGCAATGCCGCAAGCTGCTCTTCGTGAACCAATGTTGGTAGCAGCTGCACGAACAAAGCGCGAAAGGGATTCTTTAAGCATAGCGCGTGTCTCTAATGCCACCTCTGTGAACACTGCAGGATCTGGGTGGACGCTTGGTGCCAAGTTCGAAATGGCTGTGCCGCGGACTCTGGTGAAAAACATGTGGTTCTGAGGTGAACAATGGAATGGAGCGAGGATGTCTGAAGGGACATCAAGTTCATACTCTGCACCAGGGGTGAAGAAGGTTTGCTTTGCTTTTGCATAAAAAAGAGCAAGCGACGGATCTGATGACGGTGGAGAGGGAAAGGGATGTTGTTGTATTGGAGTACCTGGAGGAGTCAGGGAGCTTATAATCTTTGTACGCTGGGACCAGATGTGGTGACGGGTAGTATACTCCTTCAGCCATAGCAAAAAGTAGAGATTTTCTGGCGATTGCTCGACATAGAGAAGATATTCTTCGAAATCCTTGAGGCCGAGAGGCGGAAGGTGCTTGCGTTCGAGTACGTCGTCAAGATGAACATCGAGGAATGGTGTGACCCCACACGAGCGTACTTTTCCAATAGACGGGGGTGGGTTGCAAATCCGGTACTAAACAAGTTGTGAGGTAAGTTTCTAGTTGAATACGGGTTGAACGCACCGGAAATGTAAGGAGGCCTTTGAAGGAGAACTTGGACGCTGGCGGTCTTTCCTGCTGTTGCATGGATCATAGAGGCAGTGAGCGAGAAAAGCAAAGGGCGGGAGAAGAGTGACTTGGTGGACTTAAATGCGACCCACGTGATGATGAAATTGGATATTAGCCTGTCTGATCAGGCCGTTACTGACGGTGAGCTCTCTTAGAATTCACTGGATGGTGAATCACGTAAAGAGAACCATTTCGAACTCGGATCCTCGGAGTCGAGAACTAGATACTGGCATAGCTTATGCGGACATCATGGCCTTCCTTTCGTAGGTTCTTTGGAAGTAGCAGCTTGAAGGAGTGCTCTCGACTTGGGGCTAGATTTATGCAAAATCCCGGTTGAGCAAGTTTCTGCTGCAAGAACGTGGATATCAAATATAAAATACCCACGCGGAGTTATGACTTGATGAGTTCGAAACTTCCAGAGACTATGATTATGCCGCAATCAAGTTCAACCTCTATTGCCGCTTTTTTGCAGCACGGGGAACTGCTGCGGTCCACGTACGCGTCTCACCTAGAGCATCAAGTCCTACACTCTGACATGACCTTTTGTCTTTCATCTGCAAGTCGATTTGTTGTAGAAATATCGTCATATCCAGGTCGCACTGCGTCAGGTAAATATTGCGAACAAGTTACGTTGTGGGTGCATTGACGGTGAAGGTATCCTGGAGGTGGCCATTTGGATGTGATTACTTGATCCGCTCACGCTTGCTCTTTTGATAAAGGACTTTAGTATGCACGTGGCAATCTCTTCGCTGCAGGCTCAGATGAAGGTGAACAACTTGACAAGTGTACCTACATCACGCTGATTTGCATATGCAGGATCTCAGCAACAAACACCATTCCTATTAAAGCCAAGCTTCTGCTGCCGCATGGGCACCTCGCAAGTGCCAAAAGCGCTCACGGCATGACTTCAAACTTTGCTGCCAAGATCACACCCACAACGCTGATGGTCACCTGAATGATCCAGTCACCAAGTATTGGTCAAACCATTATTCGAGTGTGTGTGTCATAATTCGGATGGCCAATGTCCAAAAGTTCTGTCTCTGCAGCTTTTCTTAGCGTACACGCTGGCGATCATGTCGGATAAAACAATATCCCTGATAAGTTTGTTTATTAAGTTATTTCATTCTGCACCCTCCCTAAGTGTTCCAGCGGATGTCCGTGGCCATGGTGAGCTGCCAGCACCAGCCTGAGAGCCATCACATTACAAATGGCAAAGTGTTACTCGCCTCATACGCTCGGAATATATACAGTTGCTATCGGTTTTGATTCAACCGACAATACTCGTATGAATGTCCTCCTCAATACAAATCCCACCACAACAAGTCCGTGTTGACCTCACAGACACTTATGGAGCACTTTTCATTGGGTCTATCCTTGCAGCAATGTTAGTAAAAACTGATTGCTCACTATGCAAATAAAGCTTAGCACTTCCTGTCGTCGTACCATATTTCACTGAACAGGCTCTTTGGTCTAACCACCGTTCAAGCTTTCATCTACTTCCGAACACATGCTGGTAGATGGACCAAATTTTATAGGCTCGTCGTACGTCTGCGTGTCTTTTCTTCTCTTCAGCTCTGGTGTTGACGCTACACCAGGTCTTGTTTCTTTGGTAGGTACCCCTTCAAATTACATTGGCGGGCACGTCATGATGGTTTAGGACACTCGATGCTGTGCAAGTGGCAGCAACCGTCCATTGCGTCTATTATTATTTAGTGACCAACTTCTCGAATATCTTTGCACTCGCGACAGCTATATGGAGTTTTAAAGTGAGTTTTTACTTGAGGAGTTCTTACTATGATGTTGATTGGATTCGTACAGCTTCAGACAGTATTCAACGTAAATCACTATCATTTTGTAGGCTCTTCGATCCATCTCTGACATCCACCCGCAGATTCTTACCGTATATGTGATCCATATGTGAGTTTCATGTGCACTGTGTATACACTCTACTGAGTCGTTCTTGGTTCACAGGCTATATTCTCATCGCATTTGGATAGGTATTTATTCTTTACCAATACATTTGACACGACTGATGCAGCGAATTCAGTTGGGAGGGATCGGTCAAGAATTTTCCGTATAATACCGGTGCGTTTGCTATCGAAAGTCCCATTCCAGTATTTTATCTTATCTTGTTGATTAGGGCATAGTCATCCTTTCAAGTTCAGGTAAGCTCAGACCGTCAATGGGAATACTCTCCGCTCGATTTTTTTGAGAAATCCGTCAGGTATTGCCATCGGTGAGTATTCAGCGGTACTTATTATTGACGTTGGCTCATCATCTTAACCTAACCAGCCTTGATTTATGTGGTGTGAGTAGACATAACTCTTCTTAACGCGGTGAAATGCTGATAGTGAATAGGTATGGTCAAGTTTCGTCTGGAATGTTTTTGGACCGGTGGACCGTGTTCCTGGCTTTGAGCGTAGCTACTTTCCTCGATATACTCGTTACATCCTCGTTATGGTATCTCTTCGCTAGTTCCCGCACTGGGTTCTCCAGGTGAGGGGTAGTCCATAAGCTCTCAGGACCTGATATGCTACCAACTTATTTTAGCACGGATGGCTTTATCACAAGGCTCATCTGTTGCACAATCAATAGTGGTTGCCTGACAAGGTAACGATCTTTCCAGCTCATCCCGTACCTCGACTTATGCTTTCCCCCAGTATATGCGCATTGGCATCTATCCTTACGGTAAGGTTCCAATCGTTGTACCGTCCACCTCGGCTCTCAGATCACCTACAGTGCGCAGTGATGCCATACAACTTCATTTTCCTCAGCATTCAATTTGTACTGGCTAAACGTATGAGACAATGCGTTCTCCAAGGATCGCGCTGACCAATGGATTCATTTCAAGTCTACGTCAACTCGTACATTGCACTTTTGAACACGGGATGCTACACACAATCTACTAGTAACATGGGCGCCATCAATTCCTTCGAACTTCGCCGTGAGCACAAGAGAGATTCTTTTAATGCCAATGCTGCCAATACTATGCCACACGATATGTCGCAGGAGAAATTCCCATCATTTAGGAATAGCCTGCTCGCGCATCCCGATGTCGAAGTGATACCTCCTACTCGACCCTCAATGGTTGCCAAGGTCAGTTATGTTACCACAGTGCCAGATGAGGAACTCATGACGACGCTTCAGTCACAACGGTCGATTTTGGTAACGGTGCAGCAGGAGTCTTTCGTAGATCTTTAAAGTTTAAACTAATTATCCGTCCATCTGGTCATGAGGCAGAATCCTAAATGGTCTTCCAGTTTGCTGTGTACTTTACAAAATTATCAGTCCATTTAAATCGAGTCCTGATTATGATGGTCACGGTGACACGGTGCGCTTGAGTGGACCTCGTGGGTCGTGTACGTCATTCCAAATACTGCCTTGGCAACAAAGAGTTCTTCTGGATTGCGCATCGCACACACCCTCAAACTATCAAAAAAAAAATTGAATAGCGTCTATGCAAGTCTTGCCCCACCGGTCCGGGGCAAGATTGCATTTGCATTCCCAAGGGAAAAACAGTTTAAACATCGAAACGTTCTGAACAGAAACCTAGATCTGATGCGGGGCATCGACATTTGTGATCGCCGTCACTTTTCTGGACCGCGTAAGTATTCATCAGAATCGCGTGAGAGTGATTTTTCGATCTTCTATAGGCTACTCTGAGATGAGATGATCATCGAGTGCAGAGTACTTGATTGACGTTTCAATTTCATTGTGCCAGCAGTTCCTCGCTCTTCTGATATCGGGTCCGAGCCGGGTGCTTCCGAGTCGGGATCGTCCGAGGTCATACATGCATACATGCAGGAGGGAGATGCTGTTCTGTTCATATTTTACCCATCGTGGTCGTTCTTCTCGACGATCTTTTGGTTGAAGCAAATATTCATGATGATAGCCTGCGTGCAGAAGTTTTTTGTCGATGAATGGTTCGGGCCTCCAGGACTCCTGCGAGAATATGATCAGCGCGAGCGGAGATCACGGAATCTTGGGCTGGGTGGGACATGTCATCATTGTTATGGGCCTGAATTTGGAGCAAGATATCATCAGTACTAGCCCGGATTGTTTCAAATATTAAAGTTGAGCATTCGAACGCCGAGCAGGGTGTTTCAGCAGAATAGAAGAGAGTGGATCAGGCTTGTTCCAGTGAGGTTATCCTGCGTGCAGCGGCGTGTGTGCACTCTTTTGACGTATCTTACAGCATCAACCCAGCTATTTGAAACTCAGTGTTACAAGCTCAAACGTCAGAAGATGATTATTCTCACCTCACTAGTACTTTCAAACCTGCAATTACATAGCCTGAGTCCACTAGGTTCCACATCTTTAGCTGATCAAAAAATGTGACAGTATCGGATTCCGAATTGATCCTGTACATCATCGTCATCTTTTCCATCTGAAACGGACTCGGAGAAGCTGCAAGACTAGAGAGTGGAGAAGTTGGCGGTAGATTGTACTAGCCAGTGACCACCCACTTGACGCGAGGACATTAGTTGTCATTGATCATCGTTCAAGTTAGCAGGACATCACGTACGTTGTTTTCTAGTCAACATATCAACAACAATCGCAAATAACAATATTGACGTACCGTCCTCGGTCCGTGGCGGACATTCGGATGAATGAAAACTGAACTTCAATTCAATGCTTCAATTCGATATCTTTCAAATAATGGCCTAAACTTGGCCTAAACCCATGCGTGTGGTACTGGTACCAACCTTACATCTACTTCAGTAAGTCATATCTTCTGATGAACTTAAGAGCGTCATCATACTGTTTCATCCTCATCGTAGATGTACCCTCACCGTCAACACCAAAACATCATTCATCACAAAAAATGCTAACCTTATTGCTCCGTGCTGCGGGATATATCATATATAACACGGTGGAACAACCGTATTACTGGTGGACTTGACCTACATGCCACTGGCGATGGCTTCCCAAGACCTCATCCCACACCTTCAACTCGCGAACACGGTCGGGGTACTGTTTATCGGGGTAGTCCTTGCAGCAATGTAAGTGAACTTTTTATTAATTATTCGGTCAGTGTCGAATGTTTCCTCTCGCGAAACAGTTTTTTTGGTGGCACCTACGCCCAAGCTTTCATCTACTTTCAGACGCATAATGGTACAGCAATAACATTCTACAAGATAGTCGTACGTCTATGCTGCTTCGTCATTTTCTGTTATTAATTCTATTTTAGGTCATGTCGCTTTGGTAGGTATCTCTTTGAGTTGTAATTATCGGACACGTCGAGATAACACTGAACTTTTAGTATACTTGATGCTCTGCATCTAGCCCTGATCGTTCATTGCACCTATTTTTATTTAGTGGTTAACTTCGCGAACATTCCTGCGCTCACAGAAATCGTATGGAGTTGTAAAGTGAGTTTCTGCTTCCTCTGCGACTCACTATATATCGTATTGATATGCTTGTGCAGCTTCAGTTGGTAGTCGCCGTAAGTTACATGTCCTAAATTCTATGATTCGCCTTACACATGCACTCCACAGTTTCTCACCGTCTTTGTAGACCGTCTGTAAGTTCCTTGTACAGTGTTATACGCAGCATTTACTCAATTCCTTGTTAATACGTAGTCTATATGTTTATCGCATATGGACAAGTATTTCCCTCCTATCAGTATATTTATCATGACTTATGCGGTGAACCTAGTTAGCGACGGCCGTTCAAGGGTTCTGCCGATCATAATAGTAGGTTTTTTACGATAAGACCTTGTGTTTCATTCTGTTGATCTGCTATTAGAGTATCGCCGTCCTAACTTCAGGTGAGTCCCGTCATTTGATGATGCTCTTCACGCGATCCCTGAGGGTCCTTCCAGGTCCTGCCATTGGTGAGTTCTTGGGTACTATCATTGATTTATCACCTTAACACGATAAAGCCATTGTGTGGTGCACGTAAGTTAGCTACCGTATTCCCAAAATAAGTACTGATGGCGTGTAGATATCAGCAAGTCCACTTATTTGCCGATTTGATCAACATTGCGTGGGCATTATACACGTATTGTGGCGCTGTTGCCTTTGTCGATATCCTTATTGTATCATCGCTGTGTTATCTCCTCATCATTTCTCGTACTGGGTTCTCAAGGCGAGTTGCAGGTCATACACTGACAGGTCTGAAATACTGACATATTGTACTTAGGACGGACTTCTTCATATCAACGCTCGTGAATTATATCATTAATACAGGCTGTTTGACGAGGTATTCTTCATTCTAGCCTACTCCATACCTTGACTCATTTCTTGCAGTATGTGTTCAATGGTAGCTATCATTACAGTGAGCCCATACCTCTTGTTCTGACGATCTTCTATCTGACCGTCTACAGTGGGCAGTGATGCCGAAGAACCTGATATTTATAGCTGCCGAATTTTTAGCTCTTAAATGTATGGCTAAAAAATTCTTCGACAAGAAGGATCATGCTGATTCGTGGTCACGGTATCATCTTAGTACATGTCCACTTGGCCATCGCACTCCTAAACGTGGGATATTACGCGCAGCACAACACAGACACAATGCGTTCTTCAGAATACCATGTGCGCCATGACGTCTACCGTCCGAGGTTGCATGTTGGAGCTTCGCAGGATGAGGAAATGCAGGCGTCCCACAATAACATGTTTAAGCATCCTGGTGATGAAGCATTGCATGTTGCTCGACCTGACCAGGCTGTCACGGTCAGTGGTTGCGCTATTGTCGATAGAATAGGACTGATTTGCTCTAGTCACAGCGGCTGAATGAGGTAGCGATGGAAATTTCTCTCTCTTCAGCGTAATGGATCAATTGTGTGGATCGTTGCATTCATCTCGTCAGATGACTGGGACTGGCCAATGACCGTAAATTCTTGGTAAATTGTATTATCGTACTGGTGTGCTACACGGATGTGGGTTTCTCGATTCAACCAATTATTTATTGGTGTGCCCATAGTCAACGTTGGCGGGATTAACTTGACTAAGTAGGCTAGTATCAAACTTGTGTAACAAAGTCAACATATGACAACAAGACTCGGGTGGAATGAGAAGCCCGCGACGGCGGTTTAGGATTAGTCAGCACTTGTTGACCAGCTACAAGTGACAAGTCGAGTGGTCAGCCACGTAGTAAAGACTGGGCAGGGCGGTCGAATCCATAAAGTGGCATGTTCCTATCATATCCGAGTCAATATTCTTTCATGCCTTCCACTGCCACGTCGGGGCTATGCCTCCGCACCCCACCATCAGCACCGCAGCCAATGCATCACTTTTGGGCAGGGTGTCGCACGGGAGGGCCGTCAACACCGTGACCGTACCGTACTTCCACGGGTACACACCCAAGAAAGTGTATTGTGACGGCAGCCAGAAGTCGCTCTAGGACTTCAGATGACGGCACAAGTAGAACGTTCTCGCGCAATGACAAGGCAGATACCAGCCTAGTTTGGTTGGGAGAAATTCTAGAGAAACATTCGCAAACGAGCGAGACTGAACACTTAGTAGGTAAAATACCCGTGATAATCTAAATGAAAATTCTGAGACCAATAAACTTCCAAGATATGTTGGTCACACTTTCGGTTCTAGACTTTTGGCACTGACGTGAACGGTTCCTCGTTCCAGGCAACCGCAACATGTATTCACGCGATATTTACAAAACAGTCTATGGCAGGTAACAAACGTTGAAACATTTATCTACATAAAGGTACGGGAATGACATTCTATTAGCTGGTCGTATGTCTATCCTGTTCTCTGTCATCTTTTTCGATTTACTTATCCAGGTTTTCTGGTTTTGGAGGCCGCACTCCTGAACGCCCGATGCTATCTGCAGGCCAACGCAGACAATATTGATTCCTCCGACTGCCATAAACGCCACGCCGGAGCTGCGCCTCAGTACGTCACAAGACAATAAATTTCCTACTGTATTTCGACAACCCGACGACAAAGTGCTACATCTCACGCGACCCGTTCGGGCTGCGTAGTTTCGTTATTGTTGATGGAAATCGACACGCTTTACTACAGCAGCCGATTGCGATGATCATGGAAATGGATTCTTTCTAGTCAGTGTGATGAATTATGATTGCCTACCTGACGAGTCTGCTCACGGGATAGTATTCGTAAATCTTTTATGGATTCTTCAAAGTTACCACACATGAGAAATCAGTCTACTAGTATGTACTCCTTACATGTTCCAAATTAGCAGTGATGAGCAAGTTGTCGCGGGCTATATCTCGCACGTCAGTTCAAAGCACGGATTAGAAAGAACAACTAGAGCTAAGGGGCCAACCCCAAAGCCTGCAGACTGTTTGATGAAGCACCTATTTGTACATACTGCTACCTTAAGCTTCGTGCACACGTAGAGTACCCAAACTCAATTTCTCTTTGTTCACAAGCCTTGCTATTGTTCGCAAGGCCAGTTTAATAGTGGTCATGGTCCACAATTGAATAAGGGGCTTTCCAAAATGGGTAATCTCCAAAAGGTCGCAGCGCCACAGGCGTGGGCCTGAGGCAGTACGTATTAATATGAAGCGACGGCCAAGCTTCCAAGGCTGAACTTAACCAAATCACTCACTTAAGCACATACTGTCTGCATTTCCTTGGCTATCTACCCAGCACGCTACATTTCGATCTATATTTCTTCTCTAATAATGTCAGAGGCTGAGGGCCAGTCTCGTCGCTTACCCACGTTGGTCACCTATTGTCAGCGTGGTGAGTTGCCTATCAAATTCGATTGTGTGGCTGTATGCTGAAGTGATCGTCTTGTATAGTCCTCTCTACTTACACAGATTGTGCGTGCGAAGACTTCAAACAATATTGTCCGAGACTGATGCAGGTCATTCCTCCAGCTATAAGCAGTTTGGGAGACGATGCTATACGCTATGATGTGATTAAACCGGTGCTGGAATTTTGCTCTGCAGATACCCTTTTTCGTCTGGAACAATCATCACCCGTTCGTTCCATATTCTGCTGTCGTGCTTTCATGCCTGATCCACCTCCTGCAGTATCTTGAGAATGATACCTCTGGTGGGTTCAATAGATCCAATAATCTCTCCTCTGGTCCCTGACGGTAACAAAGAAATATGGCAACGCTTGTGTTGGAAAACATTTCCCCTCTTAGCTGAACAGTATTTTCAAGAAGGCTCTGAGGCCCCCGAATCGTGGCGCGAACAATTTTTCGTAAGCTTCTCCTTGAATTTTTCCATACTTTCTTGACAAACAGGCCGGGACAGTTATTAAGAGAGGCAGAGGCCGAACGGCTTGAACTAGCAGGCTCTAGGCTCCGCAGTCAACGCATGGAAGCGGAAGAACGAAAGAAGGAACGTGAGGTCAAGATCACCGATCGCCTACCTCCCCCAAAACGTGCTCGAGGGTGTATGTTATCTTTATCTGAATTACTTTCAGTGGTTAATTGCTTCTGTATCAAGGGGGAGCACCGAGTCAACCCAAGTCACTCTTTCAGAAGACCAAGAATGAGGCCACTAAGCTCCGTACTTCCATGTACTCTGCCCGTCTCCTTCCTCCTAAGCGACAGCGCACACTGCATAGTTCACTTAGTATAAAGCCAGCAGCATCTAGACCTTCCGAACAGACCAAGAGCATGGTCACCGTCAAGACAGTCTCCTACAAGCGACCGTCTATCCCTCCTGCATCGCTTCAGTCATCTGGCCGACCTCCTGTGCCGTCGGTCTCATCCCTTGCTACTCCTCCAAAGCCGGCTTCCTCTCCTGTTCGCAGTATCGAAACTTTCATCAACAGTGCAGTTACCATCCGCGGGAGAACAGCGGCCTGCTTAAGCCTCCAATAAACAAGAAGGACCCCATGGCTTCTCTTTTCATGCCGAAGCACCGCACTCTTTCCCAACTTCCAGGACAGACTAGTAATGCACGTATCATGCCGACCCGATGAACTTCAAATTGAACTATTCACTCCACTGCATACGTTCTACTCAACGATTTTATTTAGCACTTGCATTGTGTTTTTTAGGGTCATCATCTATTATACATTGATTGTACAACAACTGTCTCAGTAGTGTATGACTAGTGCGGTTACTATCTATCCACTCTATTCCTGTTGACGACAATACTATTGACATTACCATCCCTTCGATCCCGCTCCCTACGCTGCTCTCCTCGAGTTCTCTCTAGACCACAAAATTGAATATCAGGAAACTATTATAGTCTAATAGGGGAAGAAAAAGAGCCAAGTAACTGTCAACTTATATTCCAGGTGTTGTGCAATCCAACTGTGACGTCCGTGCCGTTAACCGGACCGCTAGATGCCAACACATTCACCCCGGTGTGCAATCCATTCACCCTACTGCCGTCTTCCCGTGAGACTACGGTCGTCTTGTTCTTGACGTTGTCCGCACGGAGCGACTCCAATCGGTGCAAATACTCCTCATTGACACCGCCAGTCACATACTCTCCGGTGAATACGGAACAATCGAACGTTGAAATAGACGGGTTGAATTGTCGCACGGATGCGATGAGGTCCGGAAGAGTCTGGAACACGACAAGATCTGCCCCAATAGCCTTGGCTATCTCTTCGGTGTTGCGTTCATATGCAACGAGCTCTGTCCTTGAAGGCATATCGATGCCATAGACATTCGAGTGCCTGAAGTTTCGTCAGCCATCTGGCAAAGTTTATTGGTAGGAATTACTGTACCGTATAGGAGGGGCGCAGCTTGCGACGATGACCTTTTTCGCGCCGACATCCTTCGCCATCTGTATAATCTCTTCTGATGTGGTACCGCGAACGATGGAATCTAGAACATGGTATTACGATATGTTAGGGTTCAATATTTTAAATCTTACCATCAACAAGGAGAACATTCTTCCCGGAGAACTCCAACGCCATGGCGTTTAATTTTCTCCTCACATTCTTTCGTCTGTGAAAAGTCTTGGCATCACCCATTCGTGTTCATGGTAACCCATGCGTATTACCTCATTTGTTGACCTGGCATAATGAATGTCCTGCCAACATAGCGATTCTTGATGAATCCCTCTCGATAAGGCAATTTGAGCTTCTGTGCAAGATTCAAAGCAGCAACACGAGACGTATCAGGAACCTGCTAAAAACACCTTAGACAATAGAATCGTAGAACGGCGGAAACCACTGACTGGGATGACGACATCCACTGTGATGCCACGCTCCTTCAAAACTTTATCAACTTCGACAGCAAGCGCGTCGCCCATAGCCATTCGACTGCGGTAAACACTGATGCCGTCGAGCACAGAATCAGGGCGAGCGAAGTAGACATATTCAAAGATATCTGGTGCAAAGGTCGCATGAGCTGCGACTCGTTTCCTGGAAACCCCCGACCGAGTGATGATCACTGCTTCGCCTTGTACCACCAATGCGACCCATCAATAGCTGCAGCTGACGATGGGGACAAGAACTGACCGGGCTTCACATCCTCCCACGCGGTAAAGCCCAAAGCATCAGCGACAATGCTCTCACTTGCAAAGAGGTAGTCTCTTCCGGCATTGGTCCTTCTTGAAGCCATTCCGACTGGTCTTATGCCATTTGGATCTCGGAATGCAATAATTCCGAAGCCAGCAAGCATTGCAACACACGCATATGCTCCTGTGCACTGCCTCATAAGACCGCCTATAGCGGTGAAAATGTCGTCTTCATTGATACGAAATTTGCCTGTCTTCTGGAGGTTGTCGGCGAAAAGGTTGAGTAAAAGTTCTGAATCAGATGGAGTGTTTATATGTCTATGTGATGTGGCATCCATATATTGCAAAAGCGATGGGCTGTCTATGAGGTTCCCGTTCTAAGCGTCGCCCTCAGTCGACTCTAAGGAAGAGATCTAGAGACTCACGTGGGCGAATACAATACCATAAGGTGAATTAACGTAGAAAGGTTGTGCTTCGGCGATATCCGAGCTACCAGCAGTTGGATAACGGACTACGGTGTGGTATGGTAATCGTTGGCAGGATCGCATTACTGCAAAGGCTTACCATGGCCAACACCCATGCCTCCGATCAATTTTGCGATGGCCTTCTCATCTAAGACATCCCGGACCATGCCATTGGCTTTGCATTGAAAGAATCGGCCTTTGGGTCCACATGTTACAATGCCACATGCATCCTGTCCTCTATGCTGCAGCAAAGAGAGACCTTCAGAAATCTCCAGTGCTGCATCAACTGATGCATCATGAAGCAGTAAGCCTAGAATACCACACACTAAATCGAAAAGGGTCTAACATCGAGATTCAGTACGGTCAAGAAACGAACTCACTTGCGGATGCGGCCCGGGTGGAGGAAGAGAGAGCAGAAAGCCTGGAGACTGCAGATTATATCAGTGATGTCGCAATGATGTCGTGATAAAGAACAGCGGGAAAAGAGTACTTGTTGGTAGTGTAGGGGGTGAAACTACTTGGGGTCAGTTTTGCCGAATGGCGAAACTCTAGGCTATATCGGTAGACTGTGTAATTCCCGGTAACTCCTCATCCCATCTATCATCGATGTATTGTCCTCGCTATTGTAATTAATACCTCAACCTCGCTTATAATAGCCTCTGGTATCCATGAGTCTTGCCGATGACCGGGCACGACCGGCTGGCAAAACGATACTAACTGTTCCTTCACTGCCCATACGATGTCTGCTGCCTTTCAAATCCAGCGTCGTGTTGATCACACCTAGTCCACAGCTTATTTCTTTCAAGGTCGACCAGCATCGACGTCCAAGGAAGGAAGGAAACTGTCTTGTTCCAGCTTCAACTTCTATAGTCACGGTCTACCCAATTGAGGGGATGCGATTACACGAAATATGCCTAATAGTCTACTTACACCACCTTTAACTCAGGCCAATCCCATCTTCTAGACTTCTGCTGGTGACTCGGTCCCGAACTCTGCCGTGGCGAACTTTGAACGTCAGTTGATCTTTGTGCGACACGTCTCACCAGTCTTTCCAGGGCGCAAAAGTCTACTTCGAGGTGAGTTATTACGTCTGTCCTATTTGTCTCACCTCCAAGAAGGAAAACAGTGGATCTTTCGTTTTCCTTTACTAGCAGGTACTTGAAGCGGCGTTAGACTCCATCCACACTCGTAAACATCAACTCAGGATCAGCGCGAGAATATCGATTCGCTGTCTTCTTTGATCAACAGATATCTGGGGTCATGATGCTACTTATCTTGATAGATAACCGGAGGGTTCAAGTGGCGTGTGAGACTCGGAGTTGGCTAGTATGATCATGGCGATGCGACTTGATGGTTAAGATAGGCATCTACTTCGTTGACGGATGTCAAATTGTCAATGCGGTGACAACTAGAGCTGCGTTCTGGAGAACGATATCATGATGTGGCAATGCTATGTCACGGTGTGAGGCAGTGTGAGGATGCCGTCGGTACGCTCAAGGTACGAGGCCTCTATGTCAAAAGGCACATGTACAGGGTTATGCGACGCACGAGGTTGCAACAGGTACGGATGCCTTCATGTCGTTGACTCGGACATCGTGTCCGCGCACAGGATGGTAGGGACATTTCTGTATTGTGTTGTTCCTGCTAACATGCATACTAGGATGGTGAGTATCACGGTGTGAGTAAGTGGTAGTAAGTGTTACAAAACAAGAATACAGTACATGATGAGAGCCAAGATTAGTTAAGCGTCAACAGGTCTACACCAATCAATATATCATATTACCACACAATTCGTGTTTGTCATACCAGGGAAGTGTATAACTGAAAATGAAAACGTTACGCCATGGTTGCTTCTGTCCAGCCGCCAAGCACAGGAAGTTCGGCAATGCCAAAAACAACATTTGGGACACCTTCCTCATCGCTGGCCCTCCCTGTGGTTACGCCCAGGTTCGGATCTATTAGTTGCGACTTGGTCGAATCTTCCGGTGGATCCTTTAAATGGATTGGGCATAAAGGATCAGGCATGGTGATTAGGACACAGACGGAGACGGAGTCGTCTGAGGAGGGAGAATGCTGAAGAATTGTGGCTGGATGTGAGTCAGGAGATGTGGTATGTCGCTTAAAGCGCGCGAGGAATGAGGGTCGCTGTTGTTGTGAACATTCGTGAGGTAATCGGGAATCCGCAGTAGGTTCGACCCTGTGTGTTAAAAGAGCAGTCACAGGCTGTTAGGGGAAAGTATCAGTCAGGCCCTGCGAATGACTACATGGCTTGAAACAGACCATGATAGCCTGCCACTGGGATTTTTCCTGTAGGGCATCCTGTTTAACCCAGGCTTCATGCACGCTGGGTTTCTCTCCAATATACCGTGAAGTGAGACCGAGCACTGAGGGTTGTAGGTCAATATAGACACCTTGTGCCAAAGCGTCTTCAACACGCCGACGAAAGCGACGGCGTATGAGGAAGGACCGAAATATGATAGAGGCAGATATGAGAAGGAGGACGAAAAGGGTAGCGAGGAACGTGAAGCTGGTTGCAGAATTCATGGATATGAGCGGCACGTAACGTACCAAGGAAATGTATGAAAACAAGGAAGGATATCAATGATATGAAGAAGGGAAGAGAAACGTTTTGCGAATGCGGATGAAACGTTCGGGAAGCAGTGCATGGGACGATGGAGCCTGTGTTAGCCTATGAGGCCTATGTGGGATCAGGCAACACATACAGATATAGCGTGGTTGATGTATCAGATGGCGGTTGGTCAGTGTCTCCCGCGGTGGAACTTTGACTCGTCGATGGCTGAATAAATGAACTAGTAAGGGTAGGCGTGGAGGACGACAGCGACGATGAAGAAGACATTAAGATTATTATGCGAGTTCGTCGGATGGAACGCCAAGGTTCGTTCTTACGGCCAATTTACAAATTACCGTGGGAGGACCCTGTGGGATGGGATCAAGATTGTGCTTACATAAGTAGCAGCTGATGGAACTGCCTCGTTATGCGAATAAAATCGCTGCTAGCCATGTAGATCTAGCGCTCATTGCCTTTCCTCCTTCCCATCTGCAATGTCGAACACGACAACCACAACCCCGAGTCTTCCTGCTTCATTGGATCTTCCACCTCATCTATCCGCACAAAAATATTTCTTCGTCTGCACACTCACTGTATTGGCCTGGGATGCTCTCGTTCTCACTCCCAGGTCCTACAGGCTGGGACGTCTACCAAAATGGCCAGCTCTGAAGTTCATGTATTACTTCATGCAATTCTGGGTCCTAGCAGACTTTGTTGTAACAGGTGCATTTTCCTCTCTAAGCCCGTCTTATCGTGAGACCTCGGGCGTTAACCTGAAACGCAGGTGTAATGTTCTTTAGTACGACAGTCGTACAGGACACAGATTGCGTCGCGTTCTGGCCTTACGAGCCAATTTGTACGGCAGTTCTCCTCGCTGTTGCATCCGCTGTCCATGTCATGCGCATATCGGCTATCTATGGCCACGTTCAACATGTTCGCGCGACTATGTGGGCATTGTACGCTGTGCAGATTGTTGTAACCGCAATTTGCTGCGGCTTCTACCGCTCTGTTCATCTAGAAGATGGCCAGGGATGCATTGCTGGTCCCTTGAATAACGCAAGCTGGGTGGGAATTTACTGGCTAGCTCCAACCTTGCTCTATGCTACCAGCTTCGTTTTCGCTGCCATACGCAGTATACAAACCCTCGAAACCAGGCGTGTATCTTACTGGCGTCTCGTGCTTCGTGATGGCTTGAACCTGTACGGTGCCATTCTCCTCGTAAACCTTATCAACGTCTTCTTCTACTTCATCATGACGCCCACGGGTCCAACCGACCCCATCAAGACAATTGTCACCAGCATGGCAGCTGTGCTTACAACAACAATGTCTATGCGCATTATCCTCTCTGTTAGAGGTGACCTTACCAACGGTGGCACATTCTCTATCTCTTCCCACGCCGCTTCTTCATCAGGAGCCAATACCCACTCGCTTTCTGGTTCAGGAACTAGACCAAGAGGGGTTAACCACACATTCACTCTCGGCGATATGCGTGATGCCACTGTCGCCGTGGCCGCTCGTAAAGAGGCTGGAGAGTGGGATGCTGACAAAAGCAGTGTCACTCCTCACGAGGAAACCAAGGCTGTACTTCCAATTATTGTGGATGACGTTGATAGTGGTATTCCTCGTGCGCGCACTGGGTTGGGCGTGCAAATCACGGTCGATCAGCAAGTCGAGTATGATGATGGATTTCCCACAAGGAAGTAGTTTCGGAATCTGAAAGTGCTGGCGCGCTTTGCTGTCAATACAATCTATTTGGCCCTACATGTCTAGGATGTTGACATGCTATCTCCCGCACTCGTATTTTTTTTTAGCGATCTGCTCGTATTTATACCGCTTGTTTACTCACAGTATTTCCTACGTACTTCAGCGTGCCTCACGCGATGCTGCTATTATTGAGAATTTCATGAGATACATTGTATACCAGTTGCTGTACTGCTTGAACATAAATAAAACATTGGCGCCCAGTTCTTTCTTCCGCTACCACGATCCATCTGGTTGCCTGTGCGCACTGGTTCATATGTAATAACCTACCCGGAGAGGTGCATTGATAAAAGAACGAGTCATGATCGATAAAATGAAAAGAAAAAAAAAAAAACGTAACATCATCGGGACCCCAAAATTTAGAACTATTCTGATAATTAAATATTATGTAATTAGACCGCTGTCCTTGTGTCTTCGCGGCATCTGCATCTTTTGCCAGAAATTTCGGATCAGAAGGGCTATATACGGGCGGTGCAGCCTTGTGCTGCAGTGCATCGACTCGAGATAAGACGTCGACACATCTTTCATAGATGTGTGCTTGAAATGCGGTCTGGCTATGTCTCTGATCATCGCATGCATTAAATATCTGCCAGCAGTTACTGATGCGGTCGTTCGTACCGAAGATTATGATCAGACAAATGTTTGAGATCCGGTTTCGTCGTTTTTTCAAATATGCAATTGTTTATTTAACAAGGTTGCAGCGCCCGTGGAGTGAAAATATCATTCCCGCGAACCTGATAGAGCTATAGTACTAGCCAAGCCTACTTAGTAAAGTTGATCCCATCAACGTCGACTATGGGCGCACTAAGAAATACTAGAATCGAAAAGTACCAAGTTACAACGGAAAGAATGGGATTGGACTGATGTCTCTCCACACCTATATGCGGACTCCGTAGCACCCTACGATAATTTACCAAGAAGTTGAGGTCATTGGCTGGTTCCACTCATCCCGCGAGATAAGGAGATAACGATCCACGCAGCTGATCCATCACGCTGAAGATAATTCATTCCTATCATCACCTTGATCGGCCGCTGTGGCTAGAGAAAATCATCAGTCTTATCCAGTGTACAGTAGCACAACTACTGACCAGGTCACCATGACAGCCTGCACAGGTTGAGTGATATGCAACACTTCATCGTCGGGATGGTTGAACATGCTCTTCTGGGATGCTTGCATTTCCTCGTCCCGCGATGCTCCGGTACGTGATCTCGGATGGTAGACGTCATGACGCACATGGTATTCGGAAGAATGCATTGTGTCTGCGTTGGGCTGCGCGGAGTATCCCACGTTCATGAGTGCGATGAACGAGTTAACATATACTAAAATGATATCATGAGCACGATTCAGCATGATCCTCGTCGAGGGATTCTTTGACCATACATTTGAGCATTGTAAATTCAACAGCTTCAGATATAAAGTTCCTCGGCATCACTGCCCACTGTAGACGGTCAGGGAGAAGATAATCAGAACAAGGTGTGAGCTCACTGTAATGATAATTACTATTGAACACATACTGCACGAAATATGAGTCAAGGTATGGGGGAGACTGGAATGAGCAATACCTCGTCAAACAGCCTGTATTGATGATATAAATCATGAGTTTTGATATGAATAAGTCCGTTCTAAGTAATATATGTTAGTTTTTCAGGCTCGACGGTTTATGAACTGCAACTCACTTCAAGAACCCGGTACGGGACGTAGCAAGAAGATAACACAGCGACAATGCAATGAGGATATCGACAAAGGTAACAGGGCCCAAATAAATGTATAATGCATATTTGATGTTGACCAAATCAGCGGTTGTGTGGACTCTTTGATATCTACTCGCTATCAGCACCTAAGCATGGTTGGATAGTCCGGTATCTCACTTACACGAACCAAATAACGACTTTATCGTGTTAAAATAATGAAACAATAACAGTACGAATGAACTCTTACCGATGGTGGGACCTGAAAGGATCCTCAGAGTCGAGAAGAGCATTACCACGTGATGGGACTCACCTAAAGTTAGGAGGACGAAGATACCCTAGTAGCGGATGAAATATAAGGTTTCATCATAGAGATTGGTAGCAAACCTACCATTGTAATCGGCAGAAGTTTTGATCGGCCCTTGCTCACTGGGTTGAGCGCATAAGTCATGATAAATTTATTGATAAGCGGATTACCTGTCCATATGCGATGAACATATAGACTACGGATCAATAGTGAATATTGCACATGACACTGTACATTGAACTTACATATGCGCCACAAAGATGCTGACAACCTATAGAGCGCATGTGTAAGGCGAATCATAGGACTTAGGTCATTTAACTTACGGTGACGACCGACTGAAGCTATACAAGCATATCAAGATGAGACATAGAGGCTCGCAGATGAAGTAGCAACTCACTTTGGCACTCCATACTATTTCTGTAAGTGCAGAAGTGTTCGCGTAGTTAATCACTAAATAAAAGTAGATGCAATGAACGATCAGGACTAGATGCAGAGCATCAAGCATCCTAAAAGTTAAGGTTGGTGTTATCTCGACGTGCCCGATAATTGCAACTCGAAGAAGTGCCTACCAAAGACATATGACCTAAGATAACATCAATAAAAAAACACCGACAAGGAAGCAACATAGACGTACGACCAGCTTGTGAAATTTTATCCCTGTACCACTATGCGTCTGAAAGTAGATAAAAGCTTGGACGTTGGTGACACCAAAGAGACTATTTCGTGAGAGGAAACACTCGGGATTAACTAAACGGTGAATGAGCAGTTTGCTTACATTGCTGCAAGTATAACCCCGATAAACAGTACCCCAAATGTGCTCACAAGTTTGAAATGTGGCCGCGGGATGAGGTCTTGGGAAGCCATTGCTAGTGGTATTTTTGACTAGGCCAAGTCTATCGGTGATACAGTTGTTCCACCATTATATATCCCGCAGCACGGAACAATGATGAATGACAGGTTTGGGCTGATGATGGAGGTACGATGAGGATGAAACAGTGTATCATGTCCATGATGGCTCTTAAGTTCAAATCAGAAGGGATTGCCTATACTTGAGTTGGTACCATACCAGTGATACCACAGATCAAGAGATTGGATTGAACGCATATAACAGCTTTGGATCAACAGCTCTTTATTGACAAGTTGATCCGGTTGATCATGCATTCAATTTCCGCACCAATATTTGCGATTGTTGATGCACGTTGACCGAGACGGTGGCGTTTCAACTTTCTAGGACCTCACCTCATGGTGAAGCGTCTTGAAAAGTGCTGTTTTCTCTCTCTCTCAAGACCTCGAAATGCAACGAGAAATTTGACGGCCTCTGATCCATTCGTACTATATCTTCACGTCCTCCTGTTGATTTTTACTGGGACTCATCCATACTAACGATGATGAGTTGTACTTCAGGTTTTCGGTACAGTCGCGGACAAGCAAACTCGACAAATCTGGTCTTTGATTTTTATGCACTCCACAGTTGCTCGAATCATACTTTTAATGCTATAGACATCATATTTAGGACATAATGAAGTAATTTGCACGAGCCAATCTCTCTCAGGCAAGGTCTGACTTTGCAACTAGTCAAAATTTGGCCAACCCCCCAAAAAATCGAGAAAAATCCCGAAAAATGTTGCTAATTATGATGAATCAGATATTGAGTCAGACCAAGAGGATATCACTCACTTGGACGAGCTGGATGGCAGCAACTGCTGTTCATGGCTAATTGATCTTGCAGCATCCATGGATGATGATCCACATGACAAGACATGGCTGCCTCTGAGGGAAGCCATGCGCAGAGCCCAACAAACAGGCCGTCTGAACCATTACAAGAAGGGCCCTGATGTTGGGAGCAAATCAGCTCGTACTCAATGACAGTATAAACAACTCCTTCAAAACCAAAAAGCCCTTACCAGCCTTGGATTCATGGTTCAGCCAAAATCATACCAGTCAGCTGTTACGACTTGGATGGTATCTGTTGGCGACACTCAAACAGAGCGTGTGTTGTCAATGATCGAGGATGTCCTTGGGCTAGCCCAAGGTTAGGGGTCTTACTTGGCGAGGCTTCGGCAAGTAAGATTTGACGCCTATGTCCAAATCAGGTAGCTTACGTCAAGCGGGTGCTAGACGATGAGCTGTATCTGCCAAGGCTTATGACACCCGAAGGTTAATCGTAAGATTGTCGTTAATTAGAAGGACGGAAGTCCGACTAGTTAACAGGGGCTTTGCTCATCGACGAAGTCGATGAGTAAAGATCGAGACTAAGGACTTATCCGCGAGGAGCAGATAAGAAGATAGAATATAGACTGCTGGCTAGGCAGAAAGGATCACTCTGGTGAGAGTAGGAGGTCAAGAACCAAGTAGATTCAAGTTAGGGAATATGTTACATGGTAGCGAGTTTATATAGAGGATAGGAAGCGTATTAGTGGATGATAACTCGTACTACCAAGAGAAGTAAACGGTAAAGGGCATAACCATAAAAGGAAGGCACGTTCAAGGTGAGACACGGGTGAATCCTGAACGTGCGGATAAGAAGTGAAACGTGCAGGGGCACGATCGTGCAGCTGCGGAGCTAAATATAAGTAGCATGTGCGACTGCGCACCGAGTCATAGATCAAGAAAGGGAAAAGGGTAAAGGGGATGCGTCGTGCATCATATCATAGGTTACCGTCCAGACGGTAAGGGCAAAGGGACTGTCCACAGGATCAGTCAGGTAGCGGAATGGAGCATGGATATGCTTCGTCAGCGAACGGATCTGGCCAGATGTACTGGCTCTGCTGAAGCGACAGATAGAGAGCGAAAGGGAAGGCGAGAATGACGAGGATGACAAGGGTAAGGTCGGGGTAAGGGTATGACGCGAGGGCTGATATGAGGAGGATTAGGAGAAAAATGGTAGGGGCCCAAGTGTCTAGATGTTCTTGTAACATCAGCACACATCACATCCACTACTAAAGAATCTTCACCTTGTCACGACTTGGAACCTATTTTGGAGTCTGAAGAAAATGGACTTGATGCTGATACCATATCTTCTGTGTCGGGGACACCAGCTCCAAGTGACTTAGCACTCAGCACTGGTCTTGCTCATAATGCAGAAGAGGCCTGGGAAGAGGAGCTGGAGGAGTGAGAACAGGCTGTGGTTGATATCAGAGGTTGGGATGAGCTGAGGGAGCAAATCAAAAAGGATCTTGCAAAGGGAGGGAAGACTTTACCACTGTCTCAAATGAACTAGCTATTGCTGATTCAAAACTTTGTGACACTTCGCCTCAAAGGAATGCAGCCAGCCTGGAGATTGCACATCAGTGGCATGAAGGAGAAGGTGCATACTTTGCATAAAAAGTACGAGCTCTTGCACATCATTACCAAGTATTTGAACAACTTCCAATCGAGAAGTGTGGTGGAAGAGATAACACACTAAGCCCCCTCAAAGACGAGAGGCTTCAATTGGCATGTCGTCAGTGGCTAACATCTCAGCCCATTGGCGAAATCACTCCACACAAATTCCAACATGCCCTTAACAACACAATTATTCCCTCATTGAACATCATTGGTCTCTGGCAACTCAGTGAATGAACAGCACGATGATGTCTAATCAAATTGGGATGACAGTGCACAGTGTTACGGAAGGGAGCGTACATGGATGGCCATGAGCATGAGGACGTGAAAAAGTATCATCAAGAGGTGTTTTTACCTGCCATGGCTGCTTTTGAGTCTCGTATGGCACATTATGAAGGCCCTGAGCTGCGTCAAGTGGAGCCAAACTTGGCACCTGGAGAAGTTGAGATGATTGCAGTTTGGCACGATGAGTCTTGCTTTCATGCAAACAATTACAAAACATATGCTTAGTGAGTTCATGCATTAGTTTATGATTCGACAACACTGAAAAAATAAGTCTATTACCTGGTCAACAGATTTTGCAGAAGAAGGGGAGAGGAAGGATTATCCATGTGTCCGGATTCATTGATGCAGTTGATGGTCGATTGGCACTGCGTGACGAAGAGGGTGAAATTGTTGAAGAAGCACGAAAAATCATCCATCCTGGTGCAAATGGTTCTGATGCCTGGTGGGACACTGCACAATTGCTCACACAGATGAAAGACGCAATTCGCATCTTCAAGGCTGCACATCCAGACCACCAAGCACTTTTCATCTTCGACCAGTCTTCAGCCCATGCTTCTCTGCCTGAAGATGCCCTAAGAGCATTTGATATGAATAAATCCAACAGCGGAAAGCAATGGCATCAACACAACACAGTTATTCCCCAGTCCAACCCATGCACTGAACACTGCGGCAAGATCCAGAAAATGACACTACCTGACGGCTGTCTTAAAGGCTTGAAGGCAAGTTCTGGAAGAGCACAGATTCAATGTTCACAACTTGTGAGCCAAGTGTGCACCTGTCTGCCCATGGGAGAGCACTAATTGTTGCATGGCTCATCTTCTCAGTCAGCAAGAGGACTTCGCAAATCAGCCGTCGATGCTTGAGACACTTATCAAAAAAGCTGGGCATGAGTGCATTTTCCTGCCAAAGTTTCATTGCGAACTTGTCACAACCCAATAACAAATTAATGCTGGGCGGAGACTAGGACTCAGACTAAGGTTATCACAACAGAAAGGAAGTGAGCAAGTACATCCTGGATTGCTACAATGATGTAGATACAGGAGGTTTGAACTAAGGAACTATCGACCAAGACATGCTACCTATATATAACTATTGAAACTGAGATTGAAACTGAGATTGAAACTGAGATACAACTACTAGCCAATCATAAAAAGGAAAAGGGAATTGTACCATAGAACATCATAGAATATTAAAGAAGTATCACGTGACCATATCTTATCTTATCATATCTAATCTATTCACAATCAAAGAACTTGTCTTCTTCATCAGTCACATCGAAGACACGTGTCGTAGGTGCTAAAGGGATTTCCGAACTGGTAGACACTTTTACTGTAGGGTTAGGGTTTGACTTAGGCGCTGTGTGTTGGCGCTTAGGAAGATTCAGGAAAGAATAATGATTTGTTAAAGGTACTCATGACAGAACTGAACCCAATTGAAATTGTGAGTGTTTGAATTCAATATTGATTTGTTACTGATATAACCTTGTACATAGTATTGGGGTTGGTGCAAATATCATTATCGTGAAATTCCAAAAAAGATGTTCGAGGATGCGAAGAAGTGTGTGAAGGAGCAGCTTGATGCTTGCCCAACTGAAGTGATCTGTTGTTTTATCAACCATTCGTGGCACTTCATGAGTGCATATTGATTGGGTCTCACAGGAAGAGCAGCAGAATGGGCAGTTCAGAAGCAAAAATGGCACCGCCAAGTCTTGCAGCATGCCATGATGTCAATAGAAGCAGTACTCCACAGAGCACAGCCTGCGCAGACATAAATATATGTTGTTGAAAATGGCCAAAAATTTGGCCAGCCTGAAAACACATGGGAAAATTCAAACGACACCGGTTTTAGAGGTAATTCAACACTCTGAATCTATTCCCATACTCAGTTTGATGCCAAAAAATTTCCCTGAGCCAAAAACAAAGTTGTCGAGTTCGCTTGTCTGTGACTGTAATTGGCAGGTGGTGTATCCTCCTGTCGCAATTTCTGTTTCGTCGGGGCCATCAGGTGAGTAAGTATATAACCACCTACACTATGCTTGTGCCAGGTCTTGATTTTCAAGATTATTTCGCCATTCTTGACATCCCACACTCTTGTCATTCCATTGTAGGATCTGCTCTAAACTCGATTACCGCCCACACTTCAGCACACTGACAGCATACGCTCAGTGTGTCTTATCCATTTGTCAATGACCTTTCCTGTTTCAATTTTCCTTTTCCACTGGCAACTACTTTGCTGTTTGGAGACAGCGCTGTTATGCATACCCCTGCTTCATTATCCCTATCATCTCATGTACCTGGTTTTGCATCGGCCTGTGGGTTATGGTCACTGGCATCTTGCAATGCATATCACTGGTATTGGAAGACATGTTGGTGCTGGAGGTGTCAAATATGCGGATCGTGCAATATGTACATGAGAGAAGTTCCGAACTGTCTAGTGCAATTCGAAAATGTGCAAGAGATCCTTGCAGACATTGAAAGTCCCTGGTGGACACATTGCAAAGACCCTAGAAAGTCACTCACAATAAGCCCAACACTTAAATTACCAGTAATCAGTGGGCGTTTGGATTGGAGTCGAGGAAATCAGCCTTTCTTAAGGTTCGTCCCATGCATTATCCTGGTTTTTTGTTTTGCTAAGTGCTGTGTAGAAAAAGTACTCAGGTTCGCAATTGGCTCCATGTGCATCATGCCAACCACAGACTATCTCAATGGTGGCAACTCTTTGAGGTTCACTCTAATGTCTCATTTACGCAGTGGAGAAGAAACAATGATTAAACTTGAATGCTAAGATGACTACGACATGGTGTGTGCAAGTTTAAGGGTGAAAGCTTGGAGAGAGATTACGGGCGAAGGCGTGCAGTGCCTCCCAGCTCTGAGAGGACTTTGTCCTGGGGACAAAAGGTGAGCTGCGAGGGCGGGTGGGCTGCCTCGCTGTCTTGTGGTTAGTTGTCCTTTCAGGGCCATGAGTTCTGGTGTTGCCAGCGAGGCGCTGGAATCGTGTGAGCGCATGATAAGAAGGGAGAGGAGGGTGGGAAAAAGAAAAGTTATGTTGACGAAGTGCACAGGGTGAACTGTTCGTCATGGTGAAGAAGCATGATGCGTAAAAGCTCCATTTGCCATTTGCTCGAAGACTTAGGTGCAGTCTGGACAACGAATAATTGCAAATTCAAAATTCTGAATCAAGTCACATGATGGTCTGGGAGATGCCAGATCACATCATTGCAGATTATGCAGTGCTGTCAGTGCACCTTGCTTACCTACCGCCATGTCATCCAGTGAATCAATCAACAGTGACAAATCTACTCATTCTCTTTGTTCTCATGGTACCATTGACCAAGTGGGATTGAAGAAGGGCAAAAGAAAGCCTGCTGCCTCCTGGACATCAGATGAAGAAGCTGTTTTTGTCGACTTTCTATTGTCTCAGTTTTCTGCGAGTGGCAATGGAAATTTCAAGACTCCAACACTTACTGCAGCTGCAAACTTACTGAAGGAGAGATTCCCAAATGCAAGTGGTGCTGAGAAGACAGTTAGTGTTTGTGAGACTAAGTGGCAATCGGTATGTTATCAGTCACATGATTATGTCGCATAGATTCAATACCTTGTAGCTCAAATCAGGGTATAATGCTGTTTTAGATATCAAAAACATATCAGGATTTATGTGGAGTGATGAGTACGGAGTGGGAATTGTTACAAAGGATGATGATGTCTGGAATCGGTACATCAAGGTACATATACTAATGACTGGCCATGAGTGCTACTAAACACTATTATTTTCAGCGGCGCCCTGCAGCAAAACCTTTTAAAAACAAAGGTTTCAAACACTTCAATGTAATTGAGCAGATGATGCCAAAGATCGCAAAAGGCTCACATGTTTTTTGAGAACCCCTGGCCCCATCTGTTGCTCCCATAGGATCATTGGTGTCTACTAGTGACAGAAATATGGCTCCCCCCACATGGGGTCTGGTTCCCAACACTCCTGGGCCATCGCACACTTTCGATGATCCCTCATCAACAATGCCATCTACTCCATCTAGTTATCTTGCTTCTTCTAATGCTGCTAGTGTCTCAGCTCCCTCATCTGTGTTGACAAGCATCAGCCGCAGTGCAAAGCGCAGAGCCAGCAACCCTTCAATAGTTGGATCTGAGTCGAGCTCTAGTGCCCAAAAACATACTCGGCTACTATCTGTGACTGCCCAGGTGCAGAAGGATGGGACTGAAACAATGAAGGTGCCCACTGGTTATTTTGATAACTTCTATGTAACTTATGCAATGAAGGTTCTCGCTGATTATATCAAAGAGTTTCTTGTAACTTCCCCCAGCAGGCCTCAGCCTGTTGTCACACCCAATGACCCCCTTGCTCATGCTATTGTCTTGCTGTCAGAGCACAAGACTCTTACAGAGGATGATCGGCTTGAGATTGCAGACTACTTTGCTAGGGAGAAGGCGCAGGCTGTGATTTTTTCTAACTTTCCAAAGACAACTCGAGCTGCCTGGTTGGAGAAAACTCTGTGCCAGCTCAAGTCTGACAGTAGTCCCAACAATGACCTAATAATGTCAATGGCGTAGGTTTGGAAGTGTACTATACTATGTAGTATGTAGGCTACATTGTACCTGGCAATGGAAGCCCTCATCGCCTATGCTCATCGAGATAGTCTTCCCACATTTCCCTTGCAAGTCTGTCTCATCTCTGATCTGCTCTTCTGCATTCTGTCACATCAGCCAGTCCATCACCAAGCTCATCCCATGCAACGTCAATATCGAACTCGAGAAGGTTTCCATCCGATTCAAGGTCAAGGTCAAAAGCATCAGGGTGATGCTTCTGAATGAAATTATGCAGTGTGCATAACACTGCAGGGACCTGGGCTTGGATGTCCATGTTGTATTCAGGGATGTGTTGTAAGATACCCCATTGACGTTTCAGAACACCGAAGATGTGTTCGATGACATTGCACAGCGCAGAATGATGGTGGTTGAATAGTTCTTGTGCGTTCCTCAGCCCGTGTAAAAGTTAGCCCAACATGAACTCGAAATAATAATGGTGACCTACTTGACATTGGCCTGTTGCCACTCTTTCAGATGATAGTGTACATCCCAGTATGGAACAAGGAGGGCATCAGAGGTGCTGAAACCAGCATCTGCAAGAAAATATCATCCTTCGGGGATTCGCAAGTTGTTCGTGTGGGCATCTGTCCACAGAGCCGCATCAGACATAGATCCATCCCACCCGCAGAGCAAATAAAGGAAATGAAAGTCGAAGTTACAAATGAACAAGCAATTTTGGGACAAAAAGCCCTTGCGATTATGCATGTGGAAGTGTTCCTCTGGGGGTACAAAGGCCTGAATATGTGTACCATCTACTGCACCAATACACTGATTGAAGAATCGAAATCAAGGATCGTTGAGGATTTTATCAGAGATGGGAGTCGCGTGTGTCAGAAACGTGATTTGGGAGGCATAGAACAGATTTGATGAGAAGAAGAAAAGCATGTGTTTGAAATATCTTTGAAATAGTAGATCTAATGAGTCACACAAATAATATTGAAACTACTGGCACTGTACCTTGTGATGGTGTCAGGGGAACACTGAAAGCGCTCTCCAACGAGGCGGGATGACAGCCCAGTGACACATGTATATAAAAAAATACCAAGTTGCTCTTCCACTGATACACCGTTGTGAGATGGGTTAAAACCATTATGATGGAGAACATGCAACAGTGCAGTGAAAATGTCACAGTCGACACTGAGATTGTGCTGGATCCTGTCAGGATGTCCATGAATGAGCTCATACACCCATGCCTCACCAGTGAGGATGGATGTATGATATGGGATGTATTCTGTTGAATTTAAGAATAGAAGCTGGTAGGTATGCATAATTTGGATTAACATGGCTAGAAGAATCCCGGTCCAATGATGTCGATAGTGGTCGATTTGGCGATGGGCCTCAAGGTCAACAGTATCAGTATCATCAAGATCATCCATGTAATATGTATACAGTATACTAGCTAGTACGCGAGCAAGGTGCGCTGTGATCCGGCATCTCCCAGACCATCATGTGACTTGATTCAGAATTTTGAATTCGCAATTATTCGTTGTCCAGACTGCGCCTTAGCTCTATTGCCTCCGGTCGTACCTTGCTACGTACATAGAGTGACAAAACATTTGACGGGGTTGTGCTCTCAACTCCGGAACCTATGTTGGATCATGTCGTCAATTTTTCAAAGTGTTTGCGGGTCATGCAACATACCGTCACCTGATGCTAGTGACCGTGTTTGGGAGCCTGCTAGCTATGATGCTCATATCCCTTGTTCTGTTGAAGAACCCTCCATCATCATCTTCGTTACCCGTGCCTTGTAATGCCAGGATGAACCAATCATGTCACGGCGACCATCTCAGACATATCTACTAAGGTCAACGCTTCGCGACTTGTGTTTTCAACCATCTTAGCACGAAGGAACTTCACTTCGCACGAAAAAAACGGACATTTTGCTATTATGTCTGTCTAGTCGTTCCCCGTTTTCTCCACCCTCCATCGACCAACTCCGCCAATCTACGTACTTGCCCACATTACCTTTCGAAGTCTGAGGACCACATGATGGTCCCGTCAGGAGAATGATCATCACTGAGTCCAGCAATCAGTCTACGCATGTTCATTCAGTAGATTGAGATCGCAATCAACATTTGTTTGATCTCTTTCGGATTAGAGAGGTCCGGGGCCAGGAATTCGGTCAACGATCGACCGTCAAGATACTATGAAGAGTGGTGATACATTGAAAGAATCGGATCAAGTCCTTCTACTTAAATTATCTTGAAAGTCGTAATTCTAAGCTGGTCGTAATATATTCAACTTGCAGATACTGATGTCGAAAGCTAGATCCCTCTTTTTTCCCGCCATTGATAAGAGCTCGTAATGCCCAGACCCCTATCTCGCCCAAAGACGGATAGACAATACCACATGCACGCTCCATCATCACACGGGTAAAAAGGTCATATCCGTTGCCACCGCAGTCGACTGCTGCGGCTAAAGCGAAAAAATTGTCATTAAATCGTCAATGACACAATAACTAACACCGACCATGACAAATCGAGAAGGATGCATAGCTTCATCATCGGGATGTCTAAACACATTCTTCCGGGACACTTGGAGCTCCTCGTCTTCTGAATTCCTGATGTGCAGCTCCGGGCGGTAGACCTCGGGGCGGTTATGGAGTGGGTAAGGATTGTGAGTAGAGTCTGTGTTGACTTGCGTGTAGTGTCGTGCATTCAGGAGTGCGAAGTACGCGTTGATATATACTTGAAACAGGACTACTGGTCAGCACGATTCCAGGAAAAGGGTTTGGTCGTACCTTTAGCCAATAAAAATTCAATAGCGATAAAGATGAAGTTGTGCGGCATGGCTGCGCACTGTAGAGCTTCAGAGAAGAGATGGGCAATACAATCTCTGGAAGCTTACTGTAATCATAGCTGCCATCGAACATATGCTGCATAAAATGAGTCAAGATATGAGATAGTCTGGAAGGAGGAATACCTCGTCATACTGCCAGTATTAACAATGTAAACCATGAGCTTCGTTATCAAGGAATTGGTGCTATGTATTTCGTGTTAGCGGTATCTCAGTCAGGTGATGAATGGATCGCTCCTCACCCAGAAAATCCAGTACGGGAGGTAGCCAGGAGATAGCATAGTGATGATGCGACAACGATGTCGGCAAAAGTAATCGTGCCCAAAGTCATGAATGTCGCCCACTCGATTTTAAGCAAGTCCGAGAACAGATGACACTGGTATCTACTCACTATCAGCACTTCATGTCGCTGGGAAGTACACATTTCCACTCACAATGCCCAGATAAGGGCTGACGTTGGGTTAAAATAATGAGTCAAGAACAAGAGCATCGTTTGAACGATTACCGATGGCAACACCTGAAGGGATCTTTGAGATTGGACAAAAAGCATTTCCAGTTAACAGACTTACCTGAGAGTAATATTTCGATTACGCCCTAGCAACGAATCACAGAATGAAATGCTGTAAAACCCATGTCAACTGTAAACCTACTACTGTGATAGGGAGGATTCTTGATCGGCCCTTGCTGACTAGGTACATTGCATCAGTCGTAGAAGTCCATCGATAGGGAGACACATACTTATCCATATGCGATAAACATATAATCTATGGTACAAGATGTATTAATGATAGGTTGCACATCACATTCTGCACATCAAACTTACATATGTACCCCACAAATAACGAAAAACTGTAGAGTGCATGACTGAGGTGTACCGCAGAGCTTTACAAATACAACTCACCTCGACTACTATCTGAAGCTGCACAAGCCCATCAATATCATAGTATTACGGGGCTGCATGAGGGACCAGAACAATAACTCACTTTAAAACTCCATACGATTTCCGAGAGTGCACTGACGTTTGCATAGTTGACCACTAAATAATAGTAGACGCAATGGACGATCAAGGCCAAGTGCAAAGCGTCGAGTATCCTATGGTTTTAGTGAATCTCGATGGGCTCGATAATAGCAAGTCGAAAATGCCTACCAGAGCCAGATAACCTGATATGGCGTTCAGAACAGGACAAATAAAAAAGGGCATAAACGTACAGTTATCTTATAGAATGTTCATCCCTGTGCCCCTATGCGTCTGAAAGTAGATGAAAGCTTGAACGTTGCTTAAACCAAAGAGCCTGTTCCGCAAAATCAGTCAGGACGGCAGGAAACCCACAGTTTTGACTGCATAACGAGCGGATCGTTTACTAACACTGCTGCAATGGTAACCCCAATAAAAAGTGCCCCGAATGTCTTCCCGATATCAAGTTGTAGTGCGAGGTCCTGCGCCGAGGAAGACATTGTTGGTTGGTTGTAGTAATCTGCAAGGTGTCTACTTCTACTAGTAGGTCACGGTATTAAGTAAAATGAAGCTAGTGCATTGCCACTTGGGGTCTTACGTTTGTGGCGAATCCTGCGCAGATGAGTCTGGCATATGTAGTCATTTCTCTGATGAACAGGTAGACTTTACCTAAAAACAGACTTGCGCAATTGTGATGCGCGTTGGCATAGTTCCTGTTAGCGCTGATGAAATGAGACACCTGTCACATGTTTGGTTGGCCGTATCGGCCATCGGGTTAGCATGATATCACGGCCTTGACCTGTGATTCCAAGTCCGAGAGACAAACTTGAAAGGAAACGAACATTGGATCAGACTGGAGCAGTCGCATCAAAGTATTATTTGCACCGTACCACTAGTCAGTTCTCTGCCAACCAAGTTGCAACAGCCACAAGATGTAGCGTGGTCACTGAGAGTCCTTCAATCACCATAGACGCAAGCGACCTAGATCCTGGTAGGTGACGAGAACCACGCGGGAAAAACACGCCAAGTCCGACTACATGCTATTTAACATCGCATCCTCGGAGAATAAGGCCCAGTGACTGATTCGCGCCCGAAAATGCTTGGCTGTGGAGTTTCCTGATGGGCTGATCTGCTAATATTTACAGTTACCTGTGCGCGTGACGCGAGTAGGGTATCTGATGTTATTAGGTAGTAAAATGGGGTTAGAATTGCTCGAAGGATGAACCGAGTACTATGGCCCAGGGTTGGATATCGGATGATCACAAAATCTTGGAGTATGAGGACCGCTGCAGCATGCAGGAGTGAGCCGAGTGTTTTCCAGTTGACGGTGGCCGCCGTCGGGAAACCCTCCGCTATTACAAATAGCAAAATTAAAAGTATGTCAAATTCAAAATGGAGAAAGTAATGACGAGTGGGGGCTGTGCGTGTGAAAAAAGCACGTGTATTTAGAACACCAATGAGCGATGTAGCAATTCAATCATAGCTTCGACTTCAGTTGTACCAAGTCACGCGCCTGATCTCGCAGCACTCGACGCAGCAGTTTCCCACTTGGATTTTTGGGAATTGCATCCAAAAACTCCACCCCGCCAGCAAGATGTTTATATGCGATCTTGTTGTCCGCCACATGCTTCAGCAACAGTCAGGTCTAGTTCAAGCGATAATGAAGTCGGCAAGTACGAGCTAACCTTCGTAATGGATGCTTTAACCCTCCCGACTTCAGCAGAATCCAAGGCGATCCTCTTGACTGCGTTAGGATGAAGTACCACAAACGCCATCGGAAGCTCCCCGCTGTAGCTATCGGGAATTGGCACTACACACGTGTCTGAAACATCAGGATGATCAAGAAGACAGCCCTCCAACTCTGCAGGAGCGACTTGAAATCCTTTGACTTTCATGATTTCCTGCAGAGAAAGTTGAATTTTCCAAAAGTCGATACAAGACGATAGCATACCTTTAGGCGATCAACGATGAACAGCTCATGATCCTCGCGTATAATAACTTCATCACCAGTGCGCAACCAACCATCAACGAAGGTCTCCTTCGTGCTATTGGGCAGCACCTTACGGTCAAGCAAGAATATATTATAGATGATCACTTACGCTTCATCATTATTCAAATATCCTAGCGCTACAGATGGGATTTTGACCTGAAGTTCACCTTGTTCGTTGAATCTTGCTAGGGTTCCATCGTCTTTCACAACCTTGGCAACGACACCAGGCATCAAACGCCCAGCACTGCCAGGAACGCCAAGTTTTTCGTCCACAGAAAACATCGTGATAGTAGCAGCGGACTCGGTCATGCCTTGAAAATGATGAAAAACAGGCAGTAAGATGGTCAGAAAACTGCCCTACCATAACCTTGCCCTATCTGCGCGTTCGGCATAACCTTCACTAGCTGGTTAACAAGAGGGGCGGCGAGAGGGGCAGCTCCACATAACAGGTGCTTGATACCGTTCAAGTTGTAATTTTTCACAGCAGGGTGCTGCCAGGAGCATCAGGTTGAGCAATCAGTTACCAAAAATGTCGGCGCTGACCTTGCAAAACAACACGATTTGAGGCGGTACAAGTCTGTGAATGTCAGGATTCCTACGAAAAGTCATGGTGGTCGAAACTCACAAAAGATGGTTTATACGATGTCTGGTAATGCTGTCTAGAAAATTTGTGAAGTTGAACTTGGGTATTGCCACAATTGAAATCTGCAAGGAGTTGAGAAAGAGGCATAGCAAAAAAATTAATGGAAGGAGCCTACGCCACAAAATGTCATGAAGTGAATCTAAGGCGATCGTGTTTAAGCAATATGATTAGGTCGTGGAAATTCAACTTACTAGCACCACCAGGCCATAAATATCTAGAAACGTTGCGTACTTCAGTTTGTTGGACGACATGCGATGGAAAGAGGTTACACACGGAAGAAAGGTAGAACTTTACAAGAGACGGTTAGCGACGTCACATTATGCTTATGAAAAAACGCACCTCCTGCAACTACATCCCCTGACCGATACCTCTGTTCTTCCAAAGGGGCATAGTTCTTATTAACCTTCTGGTGCTCGGCCATTTGAATCACATTCACAATAGGAGCAAAGTGTGATATCGCAACAGCCTATCGCGACCACAAGTATGAGGCCTCATTCATCAATCCAAGGCTCGACATACCTTCGGTTTTCCCGTTGTACCACTCGAAAAACTGAGGAATGCGACCTTCGTTTTTGCCTCTCCTTTCCGCAGCCTTCGTTCAACGAAATTTGGCTCACTCTGCAGCCCTTGCTGAACCAGAGCGTCTACCGACATCTGATTTGACTCGTCGAAAGTGATGACGCGCTCAGATGGTAAACCAGCAGCATGAGCGGCATCTAATGCAGTATGCAAAGAAGAGGGATGCGCGATGATCAAAGACGCGTTGACCATCTTAAGCTGATATAGCAATTCTTTGGTGTTACTAGCTGGATTTGCGCATCTGTGATAGAAGGTGATGATCAGATAAGTTCAAAAATATCAAGACCTGCATAACATACGACACGACAGCACCTAGCCGATGCGTTGCCCATATGGCCGTCGCATAGTCTATAATAAGCGATGAGCACGAGACCAGAAGCGAACTAGCCACTTAAATACCAATGTGATTCGGGCTGAAAATGACCACTAAGGCACATACAATGAGTCTCGACGTTTTATGACCCAGGGGCGCCTAACTACACGTTGCACACACCTAGATCGTTCTCCTCTAAAATGAATTCATCAAAAGAAGCGCTTTACGGATCATAGTACTTTGGACGAGACTCACTGACACGAAACCGCAGACTGAGGCCGTTCGCAAGTCCGTAAGTCCTTGCGCGGATCTTGGGAGTGTAGTGAATATCGCTGACGCCATCGCTTGTGTTCGACTCACCTCTTCATGTCCAATTCCTCTGCCGCCGGCATCCTCGATGAACCATGGCACATGACTTGGCCGGATGGGTCTCAATGGGTGGGAAGAGTCGAGGATGAACTGGGGTAAAGTAAGGTCATCTGGAACAAACGTCTCAAGACTCGGACCATGAATTTCAGACATTGGGGGGCTTGCAAAATGATAGGTATGCAGAAGAGCAGTAAGGAAGACGTGTGGCGGCGAATTCAATATGGCTTAAGTACTTTGTGTGTGATTTGTCCGGCAGGATCCAATCATGATGGTGTCAGTTTAGGTTACAAACGGTGTCGCTGAGTGAGTTGTGTCACAATTCGGTTCCGCCAGCTGGCCAGGGAACAAAGTGCATTGAATAGTTTGCAATGTTATTCAAATCTGATACCTGTTCTCGTGGAAAAAAGACACAACGAAGGAAGTACTACTTGTGAAAGTTTTATGCGAGCGAGAAACGAATTCCCCATGGTGATTCGTGCGTGTTGCACTCCTAGTTGGATTTTGTTAGAATTCTGCAAAGTTCAAACGATACATTTCTGTGTGGGAAAATGACTGCACAGGTTCGTTGTTCAAGCTCCTGGATCCGAGTACTAGCTTGCCTCACCTCATGATATGCGCATGGCATACAAAAGTATCCTTTCTATAGTTCGACAAGCCTTATATTTTCCTCTAAACCGTGTTTCAGTGTTTGCTTCAACCGTCCATTTTTACGCCCAGTAGTTGCAGGTTGCTTTGTTTTAGCACCCCAATCATGTCATCGCTAGGCAATGGCATGGATGACCTGTGAGTATCTATCAGCCTACCCGTACCCATACCCGCCACTTACCCATACTCATAGCCCAAAGGTATGATCGGGTCCGGGTTTTGTCAAGGGTATGCTCGGGTGTGAACGATAAAAACCCACGGCGGGTAACCCGTGACCCGCATGATCATATATGTATGTGCCAGCGAGTGTAACTACAGCCAAGGTGGATGGGCCGCCTAAGAAAGGGAGGAAGACCCCAAATGTCATGCATCAGTGGTGACTGGATATTGACGGCTAAGGTTAGTAGCGACTATAAACAAGGTCTTCTATATTAACGGGAACTTCTGTAGTTCATGAAGCTTAAGCAATGTTTAGAAATTGTGGAATATGTGAGACAGTTGGCGCACGCCGCCATTACAATGTCGGTTGAGGATTACAAGCTATATATAATAGCTTCCGACTCTTAGATTGACAGAAAATATATCACAGCTTGGCCTTGACCTCTCTTGACCTCAAGCTCCGAGCTCGATCACGAAGCACTCGCCGTAGTAGCTTTCCACTCGGATTTTTTGGTATGACATCTATAAATTCCACGCCTCCCGCTAGATGCTTATACGCGACCTTGTTGTCTGCGACGTGCTGGATAACGACGTCAACCCGACTATCATCACTTTGACATGGAATAGCCAAACCTTCATTATGGACGCCTTTACTTTGTCTGCTTCACGAGAGTCTTTTCCCACGCGATTCGCAGCGAACGCACGAAGCACGACGAACGCCAACGGAACTTCTCCGCTGTATTCGTCAGGTATGGGCACGACACACGTGTCTGCCACATCACGGTGATCTAGAATACAACCTTCTAGCTCGGCAGGAGCTACTTGGAATCCTCTGACTTTCATAATTTCCTGATGGATAGATTAGCCATCGCAACAGAGAATTGAAACCGAATACCTTTAATCGATCGACGATGAAAACTTCCTTGTCTTCACGTATAATAACTTCGTCTCCTGTGCAAAGCCATCCGTCAACAAATGTCTCCTTTGTTGCTTTTTCATCATTCCAGTATCCCAAAGCTAAGGAAGGCGTCTTCACTCTCAATTCGCCTGGCTCATTGAAGCCAGCAAGTGAACCGTCAGGCTTGACTAATCGGGCAACTACACCCGGGAGAAACTTTCCAGCGCCACCTGGAACACCTATTTTCTGAGCCACCGAGAACATTGTGAGCGACGTAGAAGATTCGGTCAGCCCTGGATTCCAGGTACAACGAATGTCAGCGTTAAGATAAGAAGAAATAGCGGCCCTACCGTAACCTTGGCCGATTTGGGCATTGGGGATTACTTTCATGAGCTGGTTCACCAACTCAGCTGAAAGAGGTGCAGCTCCGGAAATTAAGAATCGAATGGCACTGAGGTCATACTTGTTGACTGCTGGATGCTGGGTTCATGTTCCTCAGCATACAAGAATCGATCACCCATCCGATTTACGTTTACTGACCTTGCAAAGCAGCACAATCTGAGGCGGAACGAGTCTGGGCAGCCAATGCGTCAATAATCAACGCCTTTTCGATGACAGGAAGACTGATGCTCACGTCAGGTGGGTGATATGGTGCCTCTCTATGCTCTGTAAGAAATCTGTGAAGTTAAATTTTGTAATGACTACCAGCGACATCTAGTGAACAACCCAAGCATCAACACTGGAAATCAGATGACGAGATGGACTTACTCCAAAAAATGGGACCGCATAAATCTACTTCAGAAATCAACATCTGAATCTAAGAACATTGCAGGAAGTTTGCGCTTACAGAGAATACGAGGCCATATATATCTTTACAAGTCATGTGTTCAACGTCACATACAATACATGCAATAGACAGACGTACGAAAGAAGGGAAGCACTGAGTAATAATGAGTCAGATGGAACCTCCAAAAGAGAGTCTGATGAATGCACACCTCCAGCGGTTATATCACCTGGTCTAAACCGCTGCTCCTCCCAAGGAGCATAGTTTTCGTTGACCTTTGTATACTGCGCTATCTGAATGACGTTGACTATGGGAGCATAATGCGCAATTGCTACCGCCTATTTATTGTTTTATGCATCTACTCAAGTATCAATATTTTCAGGCAAAAGCGCACCTTGGGTTTACCTGTTGTACCACTGGAAAAGTTTAAAAAGGCAATCTTTGTCTTGCCCTCGCCCTTTTTCAATCGTCGTTCAACAAACGCAGGTTCTTTACTAAGTCCAAGCTGAATGATACTCTCCACAGTAGGCTGAGTTGATTTGCCAAAAGTAATAACTCGATCAGAAGGTACGCGGGCTGCGCGTGCGGCATCGAGAGCCGTATGGAGGGAGGACGAATGTGCAATTATCAGAGTTGCATTCACGGCCTGAATCTGGTGTAAGAGTTCTTCCGTTGTATACGTCGGATTCGCGCCGCTTTAATGTATTCGGTCGGATCAGAGGACAAGATGGTCATCATTTGCTGAGCTCACGAAACAATTCCACCCAGTCGGTGCGTAGCCCATATTGCAGGAGGATAGTCTACGGGATACGGTTAAGCGACGCTGATGAGGGACTGGAGAAAAAGCCTTACCAACATGGTTAGGACTAAAGATAAGGACTGGGGACCAATCGTAAGAAAGGAGGTAGTCGGACCGAGGGTGGACAACACCTACCAACGTCTTCTTCTTCTGCACGTATGCCATTAGAGCACACAATCATCGTTGAGGAGCGTTAAATAGCACGTACTAATACCATAGCGCAACGCAAGTCCATTTGCAAATCCAAAGGTTCGTGCACGGATCTTGAAGTTGCCAGGCAGCTAGTAAGAATTGCTAATTTATCATAACTGGGAGTTTCCACGGACCTCTTCAAATCCAATGCGCCTCCCAGTCTCGTCCTCAATGAGCCATGGTGAATCTGTTCGGACCGGCCTACGGGGGTGGTAGGAGTCGAGGAAGAACTGGGAGAGCGTCAAGTCGTCGGGGACGAACGAATCGAGTGGTTCACCGAATATTTCAGGCATTTTCTACTGGAGGGTGAGATCTGAAATGTGATAAGAGGGCTCATTGTTGAATTGCTGGTTATTATAATTGATGGAGTATTGATAGATACGGGTCAACGGACTTGACCAGAGTACGATCACACGGTCCAGCCGCGGGAGGCGCGGATACACGTGCTAAACACGTGCTCGTGTACAAACCATTAAAATAAAAGGTACACAAATTTGAAATCCTTGATGCCATCACGTCTCGTCCAGCCCTTTCATGCTAGTCATATCGTACGATCTGCTGGGAAGCTCAACGTTCAAGTTACACTCGGACGTCCCTGTCACACCCCCCACCGTGATCTGCACGTCGCCCTCCAGGTCCCATCATCGGAGCGAGCTACCATCAGAACATGTGATGATGCGCCGTTTGCCAGGTAGGTAGACAGCATCTCGTACCCGTCTGTCACAGACTGTCAGGCCTGACCGGTGATCGCTGGTTTGTTGCTCTCACTAATGGGGAAGACTATTCGACGCTGAGGCCCCAGGGTCTCAACCACAGCAGATGGTGTTAAACAAGTCACTCACGAGAAGCACTATTCAGACCGTGTTTAAACCACCAGCGAGAGACGCCGCTGTAAGGTGGACGCTTGGATGAAGAAAGTTCGGAACCCATCCATTTGAGCTAGTGTAGTACACACCCAATGCGTTGTCCTCTTGTTCGCTTCAAAGGCTAACTGCTCTCAGGCATATGATCACACGAGTACCTGAGGATCTAGCTCGCCCCAGTTTTTGCATACCGCGTTTTCAGGCACTCCAACCCACTACATACCTACCTGTAGTCTCCTGTAGGCAGACCCTGATGAAGCTAGACCGCCGTTTCTTCTGTATAAGGACCTGCTTCCATTTCCGCAGACGTTGTACTAACCAAACTCGTCGACTCACGCACATGGTGCCAACCAATTTTGTATTCGTCTAAAAGGCTTGTGGACAGTGCACCTGCACGAAGTCAAAGGTTCGCTCAGTTGAAAGGAGAGCCAGACCTGGAACGGAAAAAAATGACGGCGTGTTCGGTGGTCATGAAGTGGGCGAGCCGAGGCCACGCCAGCTTCCGTCTGCTAGAGCAGATACCCAGCCACGTCAGTCCAGTAACACATCGGAGTTTCATGTCCGCTGAAGGACATGGACGTCAGGAGATACTACGGACCCTATTCTGATCATCATCTCCTGCTCGCTAACATCGAATGAGTATTTAATAAGAACGGATATACAGCCTAATGAAATTTGTTGGCAGAATCCAAAGACCCGAGGATAGCCACTTCTTTTTTTTCTTTTTTGACCCAAGTTGCGAGCGACATATGTGACATGGTAAGAAATTGACCAAGGTACTAGGCTAAGTATGACCACTTCCTGCCGACTACATCACAATAACGTTCAGATTTCACACTGTTAATACGATAGTACTTCTCAACTTGATGTTGCCAATCGTCTGGGACAATCAAATCATCCTCCTCTGGCTCCGGTCGGCTGTCAGGTTCTTGGTAATAAAGTTCTTCCAACGGACCAGCGAGCGAAAGTCGCCCTAGAACGATGCGCCGCACGAAGTTTATTGGAATGTCAAAGACGATCAGGGTCCGAAGTCCCGGTAGAGGGACGTCCCCCAGTCCATGGGGCGTGGGGAGCAGTCCCAGTGCAAATGTATCATTCGCATAGAACGCCCCTGGTCCTAGTGTCAATACCTTGACGCTAGTCATCTGTTGGTACAGGCAATGGAGGAGCTGAGGATCTGGATAATGTGCGAAATTAACGAGATGGAGTTCGTCTAGCTCTAGAAGAGAGCCAGAGGAATTTTTCTTGGTAAGCCTGATCAACTCTTGAAGGATACCTTCAAGTTCAATTTCGTTCAATGTGTAATCGCAGGAAATGCCATCCAAGATCAATATCCGGAGATTGGGCATATGAACATAGTGGAGAAAGTCTTCAATCCAACAGTCCATCTTCTTCGATTTCATAGCCAGATAGTGCAAGCGAGGCAGCGCGATGGGAGACAGGATGTCTGTCACATCCATATCCAATTCAAGTGCGAGGGTCTGCAGATTGACCAGTGCACTAAGGAGTTGCAACAAAACCTTTGATGTAGTGGCCGTATTGATGTTACCGTCATCTGTGCAGTAGTGTATGCGCAAATTGACGAGATGTGATGAAAACATGGAGGATGACAGCCAGGACCAACTGGTCCCAAAAAGGATAAGATCATTGATGGGAGATGCTGAGCCAGGAAAAATTGACGGTTCACGATGGTTGGGGTCTACATTCAATTGGTTGTGTACGAGTTGAAGATACAGTTTTTCTAGCATATGAGCTGGATGAACGGAAGGACGCGATAAGAGTAGGAGTGCTTGTCGTATGTGTGTTTTTGAGGTCGTCCTCAGCGTAAACTCGCGCCAACGGTGCACATGAGCATATAACTCCATGATGATCAAGACGAGGTAAGCGCCAGCCACGCTTTCGTCGACCGGTGCGGGGAGCATAAGATTATGGTCATACAAAGGGGAGGCTTGCCTGGGGCCTCCATTGAACGGGTTGTGAGGGTCATTCCAAAGTAGAGTGATTTTGAGAGGATGTGTTCCACTGAGTCTCAGGAAAGTGCGCACTCGTTCAAGAGATGCGGCACCATTGCCAAAGGAAATTTGTAACACAGTCCACAATGTTGGAGTGTGTGACATGAGACAACGCCAACGTTTGCACACACACATTGCTGCAATGAGTGCCGATGGTGGAGAGCCTCTGGATTCTTTTTCACGGTGCCAATCATCATAATAGTAGCTTTGGTCCCAATCGTCCCAAAACCTGCCTTCCCGCACTTCATTTTGAATAGAATAATTATGGAAGGTGGCTTGGTCGTCTTCACAGACCAACTCGAAAATTATACGGAGCGCGTCATCTGGCAGCTTATCGATATGGCATTCATTCATCCCTATTGTTGACTTTGTTTTTTTTTAAAAAAAGGTGAGTGAGGGTAGTCAATACTAGGGAGACAGACATACTTCTCGATGGCAACAACTGCGTTCGGAGTGCCCAATTTACGAACAATAGTCAACTGTCGCTATCCACGGAAGATGCACGTAGTACGAAGCTGGAAATTCAAGAACTTTGAGTGAGCACTCTTTGCGAAACAACTAACTTGAACTTTGTCAACCATGATGCAAATCAGAAGTGGCCTTCGGCGGAGTCCGGATTTGCTTCGCACCCGCAAGCTAAAGAATCGTGTTGGGATAAGTAGTCTAGCTGATGGACCATCTGGGGTGTTGGAGTTGTGCTGAAGTGTCAGACTCATGTCACAGTCTTACGTGAACCAGCCTCCCTGGGTTCACATGAAAAAGTCATAGTGAAGAAACAGAACTTGCTTCTTCTAATACTTACCATGACTATGATTCGTTCAATACGATTGATGGCAGAACCCTGGGATGTCTCTGAGTCTGGCGCGATGAATTAATTATATTGGAACAAGGATACATGTGGGTGTACAGTGGATTCACAAAGAGGATCACCATGTCATAGCTTCGCTTTGGGCTTCGTCCGCATCTCCCGAGCCTTATCTCTTAACACCCTCCTCAACAATTTACCGCTCGGGTTCTTCGGGACAACATCAATAAACTCGACACCCCCAGCGAGCTTTTTGTAGCCAACTTTGTTATCAACAACATGCTGTAAAATTCAAATATGAACATAAGAGTTGGCATGCTCCTTGGAGGTTTTGAAGCGCCAACCTTCATAATCGATGCTTTGATTTCGTCCGCGGCCTGAGGGCTTTCTGCGACACGTTTGGCGGCTTCAGGGTGGAGAACAACGAACGCCAGTGGTAATTCTCCACTATATTCATCTTGTATTCCAACCACGCACGTATCAGTCACGTCTGAGTGGTCCAGAATACACCCTTCGAGCTCGGCAGGTGCAACCTGGAATCCACGGACCTTCAACATTTCCTGTAGGGCTGACCAATCAGGTGAGACCAAGGCGAAGGCCAATCATCCAACCTTTAAACGATCGAGAACTACAATTTCTCCCTTGCGGTTCATCTTCACCTCATCACCTGTACGGAGCCATCTGAAAGCGGAATATCAATCACCCGCCGATCGAACGCCTACCTACTCACCCATTTACGAAAGTTTCCTTCGTTCTGATCGCATTGCGATTAAATTTGTGAGTAATACAAGGAAGATGATCTCGTACGCTTCAAGGTTGTTTGCATAACCAAGCGCAAGCGCCTGCGTCTTTACGACGAGCTCACCAGGTTCGTCAAAGTCGGCAAGGGTACCATCCGGTCTCTCCACACGGCCGATAATACCAGGAAGGAGTTGGCCAGCACCACCACTCAAGTCACATCTCTTATCCATCGCCCAAGTGCTTATAACAGTACATGATTCGGTAAGGCCTGTGACCACTGTGATGAAACATAGACATGCACCCTCTAGAGATGGACTTACCGTAGCTCTGTCCTAAGTCGGCGTTTGGGAATATCTCAATAAGCTGTTCCATCACCTCACGAGACAGGGGCGCAGCACCCGAGGTGATGTATCGAACGTGGCTAAAATCGTAACTCTTGACGGCTGGATGCTAAGTGGTAAACGCAGGTAGGTGAGAGACACAGTCATTCAGGAACGACTCGCTGACCTTGCACAGTTGTACAATGTGTGGGGGGACTAACCTAAAGTCTTGTTCAGGTGAGGTCAAATAAGGCCGGATGACGACCGTACATAAGATGGGTGATATGGTGCCTGATTATGCTCTTCAAGAAATCTAGAAAGTTGTATCTCGCCGTCAAAACAACCGTCATCTGTATGCACTTCAGTCAGCGTGCACCTGCAGATTCAAGGTGTGTCGACGCACTCCGCAGAAAAAGGCATAATGTGCCTACAAGATATTCAGCAATGAGATAAATGAAGTCGAGCGAGGTCGTACATTGAAGACCAGTCCATAGATATCTGAAAACAATCAGTTTCACAACAACATAACAATGTTGCAAGAGTGGTAATGGCTCACGATATAAAGGAAGCACTGCGTAGGTAATCAAACCGAACCCTTTGGATAGATAGCAGTACACGCACCAGCGCAGCATACGTCACCAGGTTTAAATCTTTGTCCGGCATAATCTTCACCGACTTTGTGGTGCGTAGCAAGCTGAATGACATTTGCAATCGGCGCGTAGTGAGGTATTGCAACAGCCTGATATATCGCATGTGGAAGTTACATCCAGATACATGTTCTCACTAAATACGCGCTCACCTTGGGGCGACCAGTCGTCCCGCTGGAAAAATTCAAAAAGGCTACCTTGGTCTTCCCCTCAGCGGGAGCAAGTTTCCGTTCTGTAAAGTTCGGAGCACTAGCAAGACCTTGCGAAACCAAAACTTGCACAGTCGCTCTCTGCGCGGTATCAACACCCTCGATATCAAAAAGAATGACACGATCCGCGGATACACCAGTGGCATGCGCAGATGCCAAAGCCACATCGAGAGAGTCTGGGTGCGTGATAATGACGGCTGCTTTCACTGTATTTATTTGATACACGAGCTCGTCAACTGTGAATAGCGGGTTGGCACCGCTTGTGGGCAGCATTTCAAAATGTTTTAGGCAACTCAAAGAAAGTGGACATACGACACAGCGGCACCAAGTCTGTGAGCCGCCCAAGCAGCCACAAGATAATCTGCGGAGTTCATACTGTCAACCCAAACATACGCTACATATGTCGAAGCTAGCTTGCATACCAACATGATTTGGACTGTAGATCAACACTGTCAGGTGTTCAGAATGGTAGGATCAGTAATACTTCAAGTTGCAAGTCATTGAAATTATAGTATTACCAACATGATCCTCCTCTGCAGGGAGCCGGACGCAGTCAATATGTGGCACTCAGCACCATGAAAACGTAGAAAACGTACGGATGTTGTAGCGGATACTCAACGCGTTAGCAAGACCATATGTCCGAGCTCTGAGCTATGAAGTGCATGATCAGCTAGTATACCACGTCAGACGGGAATAAAGATTCATGTCAGCCAGAGTCGCACCAACTTTGCGCATTACCCTGCAGAGAGTTGCTCAATTTCACTGACAGGCGCACTCACCTCCTCAAGCCCAATCTTTCGACCACTCTGGTCATCAACAATCCAAGCATTATTCTTACGAACAGGCTTTCTAACATGCTCCGCATCCAATATGAACTGCGCAAGCGTAAGGTCGTCAGGTATGTGAGGGAGGATGCCTGCGGGTGACACGACTTTGGCCATCTCTATCTAGTAACCGTCAGTCCAGAAAAGCAAGAACGATGAGCAAAAGCAAGAAATGCTCTGTAATGCAAATTCTCATGGTTGTTTTTATAGTTAGTAAAACGTTGCAGCTGATTCCATAAAAACGATCACCTGTTCCGTAATGCCCAATCAATGGGCCCGAGTACCGGTAATGCACTTCACAAATCCGAGAACAAGTCTCAGCATATGTTTAACAAAAGGTGACCTTCGGTCGTTGCTCTTTATTGCTATCATCAGACTTTTGCACACTGTCATGACATCCGCACTATCTTTTTCCTCATTGACATTTGCTCCCGAAAATGAGCACAGCGTATCTTGACGGCTCTTGAAGCCGAGGATATCTAAAGCTGTGCGAGAGTGTGAGACCTTTGCAGGCATTGAAAGCAGGCAGTCGTGCAAGCCAGTGGCTGCCAGTCTCAGAAGGATCCATATGCATGAGCGGTGAAAATAAAAATATGTAAAACGTGATACGTGGAATACAGGTGGTTTTCGAGAGCAGCTGCCAGCTGGACAGAATCAACGATGGAGAGCCGTTATTCTGGATGCCCGTGTGATGCATTTTCGGCAGAGATGTTAGCCGTCGCATCTCATCCAGCAGTTCATATATAATATCATATCATGATGGATTTTGAACTCCTACCAATCCATGAAAAGTACAGCTGGTCATTGAAAATTGTCAAAAATGCTGCACAGCATGACGGAGTGGACATAATTGAAATATTGACACCCGGTGAGCAAGAGCGTGTACCCGAAATGAAGTGATTTTTAGACACAGGCACACTATCGCTGAGCCTAGTAAGGCCGACTACTTGGGCTGGTGGGTCACATGCGTCCAGAATAGCCCCATCCTGCAGTCAGGTGTAACATCTGGGGTCAGACGGAACAGACACAGGGAAACTTCCGGGGGCCTCTTATCCTCGTGCCTCGCTTCGGGACAGAATAACAAAGTAAATGAATACATAGCGGTTGCTATGGAATCTGGCCTATTGGAGATCGATTCTATGTGTCGTGATACGACGGTCCAAAGCATTTATCATTTGAGTAATCTGTACGCAAAATATCAGAACATATCACAGCCGTGGTGTCAATGTCACATCAGTGTCCGAACCATGTTCCCCCTGAATCTCCTCGCGACCAGGTTCAGTATGAGCCCACTTCATCCGCAGCTCTCCCCACCACCGAATCATATATTCCTTCTCTCTATCACCGACGCGCTCCTTGATATCCGCAAATAATGCGTCGATAAGTTCCTGCCTTTCCTTCTCGTCCTGAGCTGCATCCATAAATAAACGGATAGAATCCAGCAAGCGAGGGAGCAATGCCAATGGAACCGATGGCACACATGAGATAAGAGTTAGGTGAAGCCGATGCTTACGCTCGTCGTCATGCTCGGAAGCAGACGCGATAGCAGCCAGAAGGCAGTCGATGCAAAACCACGCAAGAGACAAATCAGCAGCAGACGCCGCACTCCTAACGAGAGCGGAAAATGCTAACCGAAGTTGCAACGTGCTGAGCCTGCCCTGCACTGAATTCTGTGAACGACCGGCATGATTAAATACACTCCAGAATTAAGACGTAGTTACTTACGTCTATTAAACAGTTGGCATAAAACGGCACAATTTTCCTTGTGAAGCCCCTCCCTTGTTGTGACGTCGATTCGCTCGCCTTCTGCGCATGCGAAGCGAAGATGGCAAGGACGACACTATGTGCGGATTCAAATATTTCGCGGTGAATAGCGTCAGACAGGTGCCTACCACGTGTTAAGGGTGGATCATTGTATATGTGGAGGATGAAACTTACGGAAGGCACATAGGAAAGACAAGCTCCTGGATAGTCAATTCGTCGAGCACAGGAATAAGTTGTTCGATTGCTGAAAGCGCAAAGGCTCTTTTCGCTTGATAGGAAGGGTGACCCGGAAGTAACTCCAGGCCCGATTCGATGACACAAAGGTGTCGAGCGTATTTGTTGCTCTCCATTACATCACTTCCGAGAATGTCTAGTGCGAGGTAAAACAACCTCTTGAGCTCATCGAAAGCACCGTGACCTGAACCACCAAACTGTGCTATAACAAATGACAGGTGAGAGAGCGCTTGCAGGGCAATTACCGCAAGCGTCGAAGTCGTTGGTAGAACAGCGGAAGTGGAGGGGATGTAGACCGACGCAGAAAGGCCTGCTTCTGTGATCATAATCACGCTGAAAAGGAGTGTCTTCAAAGTCGCCCATATGACGGTTGTAACTTCCCTGGCGTCTGGTGCTATGTATGGATGAGCGCTGTACGGTTATTAATTCAACGAGGCTCTCACACAACAGGTTCTGGCCTGTAGCTCCAGAGAGTGAGGTCGGAAACCAGTCAGTTTCAACGTGGGCAGTGATAGAGTTGAGTTTCTGATATGCTTCCGAGATTAGGGGTAGTGCGACGTTTGGCCTATGATCTACAAAGAGCGACACGGTTCTAGCGCACAACTTCGATATTGAACCAATGTAAGCCATCGAAATCGAACTTGATACGTTTTTAATGGATTTTGAAATTGTACTATCTTGCTGTAGGAATGTTAGTTTGAGGAGAGATATATATACATGTACCACTGACAGGTATATGAATTTTGAATTCTGCCTTGGAACATAACGAAGACTGGAGGGAAGATAGGAACCTTCCACCATCGAACGCATCCTCGATGGTGCGCATAATTAGTCCCAACAGATGCTGATAAGCACATTAGTATAAGCGAAACTATTCATGTAAGCGAACTCACAGAAAGGGGGAGCGCAGTGAATTTCTGGGAGGGCACCGATAGAAGAGATTGAGAAGCTATGATGAGCGACAGTGCAAGAGCATTGGCTATAAGAGCAGGGTTCACATTCATAGGAAAGTTACTGATGCTCTGAGCACACACCTGATTCAGCGGCAGAATGAAATTCTTTTCCCCATGTATCAGACGTTGAGAACTGGTCAATAACGTCTGCAAAAGTCATTACCAGTTCATCTTCGGCTATACCCTTCACATCTCGCTTGTTTGCTGGTAAATGTTGTAGGATATCCTCAAGGCCGAGAAGAAGTCCGCTACAGCAGGCCAATCGTATAATGGCGTGTCCACCTTCGAGACCTTGAAAGATAGCAAGGGACCAAACGTTGAGCTGAGTATCTAAGCTCGGAGAAAACAGTCCGCTCGAATCCGCTTTCAGCACCTGTAATTTCGAATGTACTGCATGTCGGAAAGATGTACTGAGAGCTTCTAGTTTTGAATGAGAAAACGGAAGGAAGATGGGGCTGCTGACAATAGTGGCAGCGAGAGGTGTTGGAGAAGGATGAATATTGGCGAGGTAGTGGACGATGAGGGCCTGGATAGTCGACAATGGAGTCTTGATGGAGTTTGACCTCCCCAAGCTGCTGAGCAGAAGGGTATGACCCCTGTCTGGTGCTGCCATGTCACACGAAATGATAAATCTGCAAAGCTAGCAACCAGCTAGTTCAAGTTGTTGAACGCATGCTCGCACTCTGGTGAATGAATACCTTCTCCTACGACACAGTGCTCGCCTCGGAGCACGTAAAGCTTTCGTTTTACGACAACAATTACGCACGTCGATCCCAGGGCTGCCTACCAGCTGATGGCCTATGGTCTTTTTGTTTCAGTCGAACGGTTCGGTTTGAACATCATAATATTATGTAATCATTGATCAAGTGACCAATGGTTATTCCTCCCTCGACCCACATTCATATCCAAGAGATCAGGGTAACCTAGCCAAGTATGTAATTTTCCCCACTTGTTCTCCCGTGCTTCTAGACTAAGGTCCCTTGTTATCGGTATTGACCAGCCATTCCTAACGTTGTTTCACTGATAATCATAGTACATTATCAATCGGCCCTATCCTCAATCAGAAGGTTGTTCTAGAGTCGATGTTTACCTCCGTGGATGCAAACGGAAAACAGGGACCAGGTTACTGTTATTCTCGACTTCTTTTGTGACATATTTTGCGGAGTTACGGTTGAGGACGAATTCTTCCGGTTTCCCGAACATCAAAACCAGTTTAGCCCACATCGATTTTCCGACCGGTGACAGCTTCGTTCGAGTTTTGGGTTGCGCAACCCTGGATTGTCGGCAATCCGAACATCTTTGAATCCAGCCTGATCATGAAAATCAGTATTTTGTAGTTTCTGTAAAACCCACAAGATGAGTGTTTCTCCAATGGTGTCGCCAGAATCAGATGGGCAGTGAGTGGTAACTCTGGTGAAGGTTGCAAATTAATCCATGCCAGCACTTACATCATGACGTCTATAAGCTGAGGAATTTCGTGCCGTGTCACGGTTATACTTTTAGCAGCCGATGATTGCGGCTGCATATACATGTCGCGTTGCAAACTACCTCTATCTGAGGCTGAGCTGAGCTGGTCCCCAGGTAACTGCGGGATACGCAGTCATTTCTTCCATGCGATAGTGATGATGACCGACGCCATGCTGACCTGCTATATATCAGAGCGCTTAACAAATACCCGTTGCCTACGGCGAGCTTTCAAATCTTCCGCATAAACGAAATGATCATCTTGATGAACCCCAAGTAGCAGATGCGGCAGTGTAAATGGGAGCTATGATACACCGAGGGAATCAGATTTTATGAATAAAGCGAGGCAGATTTCCCAAAACGCGCGGACAAGTAGAGCCGCGCGCGAACAAAGGGAAGGGGGTAATTATGTAAGCGGGAGTATTCAGGGTCTTTGAGAATTCACGACACTCACCTTTTGCAACCTAGTGCTCGCTCTGTTCACTCCCTGCTCGACGTCCCCTGCGTCATTCCCGTCCTTGCTGCCGTCGCCGAACATCGTCGTCGCTGCACTTGACGTTAAAAAGGACGTCAACTCCCCCTTCCTTGTTAATTGGCCTATTCCTCCCAAGATTCAAGGTCGTAAAGCAACCAATAACATATCCCACCTCCTCCCAGCCATACCAGTACTTACTTTCCGCCTCTTCTTGAAGAAACGGGCGAACCGTTGCCTTTCAGGCTTTCATTCAATATTAGCTACTATATCTTCTCTTGATAACAAATCCTTCCAATGTCTCCCAACCCATCCCAGAATTCCCCTTGGCCAGCTCAGACAGCTCCACCATCGTCATCATATTCGTCATCGAAACGAAGTAGACTTGACGCAGAATCTTTCTGGCCCTCATCAATAGAAAGGAGACAAGGGACTATCATCTCGAATGAGAGTGCGCTCGGTGCGTGTGCAATGTGATTATGCGAGGTCCGGACGCGAGCAGTCGCGTCTCCCTCATTACTCGTATCCTGTGCTAACGTCTTGTGTTCGCCACGCCAGCGGAAGCCGAGACTCAATGTGAAATATACGCTGATAATAGTCAGGTGACTTGTTATCCAGGCCCAGGTAATCTAGTGATCCAGCACCAGTGGGCACCCGTTGTCTGTGAGCATCTCCATGTTTCATTTTTGCTCTATTGAAATTGACGCGATAACAGGGAACAGTAGACGGCCGCAACTATCGCAGTACACTGACGTCGTCATATACTTGTTTGATGCTGATACGAACTCCCCCATTCTCAATTTCACGCAAACAAATCCGACTGATAGTGCTGGTGAAATGAATGCACCAGTGAATGATACTTGGTTCGGGAGCAAAGGGACTTCGTGGACGCCAGGGCAGAACTTCTCATACCCATTTTATTGGGTAGTGACCAATCAGAATGGTCTGGATGCTGGCTCTTACACCACAAATCCAACGTTCACGGCTATTCGTGCGTTTTGTGCCACGCAGTCTATAATATCCTGGCTAACATATTCGTGAAGAAACTACATATGCAGATGCTGTCGTTTCGTCCTATGCAATCCTCATCGTCTGCCGCTGCCGCATCGTCATCTGCTGCCGCTGCATCATCATCATCTGTTGCTGCCGCTCTGTCATCGGCATCTTTATCTAGCTTACACGCATCTGGGACATCGTCGGCCTCGCCGGGAAATGTTCAACCAAACAACTCAAGTGCACCTTTTCCTCATTGGGCAATAGCAGTCATCGTGGTACTCGGATTTCTTGCCATCGTGGCTGGTGGTGTCTTGATTTGGTTAATCGTGCGCCGTCTACGAAGACGTGAACAATTATCGAATCGAGGATCTATGGGTTCCTCGTCTCCGATGATGGCCAATGCCCAGAACTCCAACTCTCCTCAACTACCGTTGTTGGGGGCTGGGATGGTGGGTGCGGTGGCTGGCCGGACATCATCAGAACATCATCGGCCTGCATCGATCGTATCTCCGGATGGCGCATCCGACATCTCACGGGCCCATTCTGCAGGCGATACCGGTCCATTTTCAGGAGCCGATGCAGCCATCATGGCGGATGCATTTAGGAAAGCATTGCGCAAACCTGATTTTGCAGGGCCCCCTGTGGAGGAGGCCGAGGACCAAAGAGATGATGCGATTATGAGTCGTGAATTGGCAGAAGAAGGACGGGACATACGAAGTGTCAGTTCATCACGGGGAGTTAAAGTGGAAACTATGAGTGAGACGGGTGATACAGTGCAAGATCACTAGGATTTTTTGTGCGCTTTACTTTACTTTATTGCACTTTCGACTTCTCAACGTTGATTGTATATTTTTTCGGATACCTTTCACAGCCCTCACGTTGTTGTCCCACCTTCGTCGCCGTTTCATTCGCACCTTCTAACCCGCATAACACCACTTCTCTAGTCTTCGCTTTTCCGCCTACCCCGCACCTTTTGCCTTCATTTTAAGGCTGGCTTTTTACTATACATCTGTTGTTATCGTGGTTCCCGGTAATTTCTGGTAGTTGCACTAGACTTTTCGTTCGGACTCCTACCCCCTACCCTGCTCCTACTCCCAGCACTTGCCCTGGATTTCCCCACGGACACCGTCCTGCCACTCCTTGCATCCATATATTGCAACCCACAGCTGTGGTTGCATATACTTGTTGATTCACCCCTTCCCACCCCTGCCCGTATGCCGCCCACGAATCACATGCCATGTCATCTTCAGACTGCTTACACTCTTTCCAACAACCAATTTTCGGCATGCATGTGGACCATGCCAGCTGGGGCAGACGCTCTTCTCACACAAGGAGGCCGAACGCGCACTTGGATTTTTCGAACGCTTTTTCATACATCTTTACAGTCCTCATTTCCTTTTTTTTTTGCTCGTGCCAAAACCTTGTTGACCATATATGCCATCTGGGTTACCATATGACTAGGCAGATTCTCCTTTAATAATGATGATGAAACGATCACAAACATTGCGTACATAGTTAACCGACCTGGAAGGGACACCATGGACGTTTCGTTGATCTGGACTGGATCGGGCTATGGTTTTGATTTCTTTGGCATTGGTTGTACAAGTGGGAAATACCTGGTTAGAACAGTAAGGTCATCGCTCTCGTCTTCGTGTACACGCCAGGCGTCTGAAATAGAATTCTCGCTTAGTGGAAGGGGGCGTCACGTTATCAATTTATTTTATCGTGGAACTTGAACCTAATCCTGATCAAACACGCAAAGATTCTGTCCGTTGGCAAAGTATGTATGACATTCGCGAGAATGACATGATCATATCTCCAAGTTAGAGCAAGGCTATGTAGCCCTGATATTAATCATAGCACAGCAGGAGGAGGTAGACAGGCATGCGCCAATGATGATATTGATATTATACACGAGTCATAAATCTATACATGAAAAAAGTCTTTCTAAATGCAGTGTTGAATTCATCGTATCCAAAAGCGCTTTCCTGTTAGTTCAAGGCAGGTGAATGCCGATATACAATTGCGCGGTGGGTACAATTATATTTTATTGGTAAACCGTGAGGTGACGCATAAGCATTTCATATCTGGAAATTATGTCAACGGAGAGTGGAGTTGAGTCAACGGTCTTCAACGTACGTTAAAAGTGTCACGGCGCTGTTTGGCACCGTTCGGAACAGGGTGACTGAAAGACCTTTGTAGAGACCTGTCCAGCCCTCTCTCTGAATAATCTTGCGTGTTATGTAAATGATTCCGCGGCGCGCATGCGTTTTGACCATGCCGTCCGAAGATGCATCCTCAGCTATTGGTAATCGGAGCGTCTGCAGCCGCGTGCGTACAACCTCATGTGGATACGTCGCGATGGATGCAGCCATCTTCGCCATGCCGGAACATAGTAATATCGTGTCGCTCCGTAACGGCTCATCGGAGTCACCCTCTGCGTTTCTTTTTAAAGCTGTGATGCAGAACAGGCAGCTACTACTCACGGGCCCACATCTTGAGCTTTTCGTATAAGGGGAACTGGACGGCTACGTGAAATATCCCCAAGAGGCTGGGTAGGAGCCCGCGGTAGAACGCACGAATGCCCTCCGTGCGGTATATTGCCAAGGCTGCATCGAAGGTATGTCGATATCTAACTTCCCGTCTTGATTGTGTCTATCGCATGCATGAGCCAGGGTAGGCAAGTTCGTGAATTGGGTTGCAGTTAATCGATATTGAACCAAAACTCATACCATGAAACGGGTCTTGATGACCCATAGTGGGTTGGTACAGGTTGTACTCGCTGCACCAGCGATCATCGCAGAAAGGATGTGGAGGGTCCATGGATGGTCGCGCATGACGGGCTGGTAGCCCTTAGGTTGTGCAGCGGGGTATACTCGGTCATGTTTCGGCACTTGGCCCAGTGGAGGTTCTCCGAAGCGCGTCTTAATTCCGTCATACACCGCAAAGTAGATTGCCATCGTTGGAAGATACCCCAATATTGTGGGACCAAGACCACGATACATGCCACGTATTCCGTCATGTTTGAGGGTTGTTTTGAGGATGTCTGCAGGGTAGTGCCAAGGATGATAAGGGAGATGGGAACGGATATGAAGGGGCCGGAGCACATACCGAAAACTCCTTGATAACCCTGCTGCCCTTGGACTGTACGCTGAGCTTGTAGCTTGGTCTTGATGACGTCGAGCGGACAGGTCGCAATGCTGGCAACCAGACCACCTCCAGCACCAGCTGTAAGCGGAAAGCCGAGAATTATTCAGAAAACGGAATCACACATAGTAGCGGTAACAGCGCACCGATCATGCTGTTTGCGGTCCATTTTGCTTTTCGCGTCTGCATATCTCTTCCCCGCGAAGGGGGTCGCTCGATGCACTAGTTAGGCTTTATGCTGGTGTGATCCTAAATATATATACTGAAAGCGGGAGTATGACCAACCCAACCACCAGCCGACACCCTGCCAGTGCACACCCGGCTTTTGCCGATACATCTTCTAGCTGGCAGCCTTGTTCAAACCACACCGAATTCAGATTTTGATCTTGCTGCTAAGCACTGCTAGTTCGGATCTTGAGTACAAGGCTCGCATGTGAGTGCCTGCGCCATTGACACGGTGAGGCGATACCTAGGCCCAAGTCAACACTATCTAACACAACTGAATCACACAGCGGCCATAAACGTTAAACTTTAAATCATGGTCAAAGTAACTTACAGGGACGAAATACTTGCCGAGCACTCCAGCCCTGTCGTGGTGGAGGGCAATTATTATTTTCCCCCTGAGTCTGTCAATAAATCACTCCTCGCTCCCTCAGACACAAGGTAAGGCATCTTATGTTTGATATAATGTCAATGTGCATTGAACTTCGAGTGTTCCGAGTCAGTACTGAGTGTGCTTGGAAAGGGTGAGCGCCCAGGGTCCGTTGCTCAGCGATGAACCTATTTTGACGGAATCCCCCTGAAGGACAGCGTCGTACTATTCTGGACAGATTCATGGTGACAACGTGAAAGATATCGCATGGTAAGTCGAAGTGACAGTATCTGCCAGGCCAGACTAGTGTAATGAGTTCTTATCCAAGGTATTATGCAGATCCCAAAACCAAGGCATCGCATATCAAAGATCATGTCGCGTTCTACAAGGCAAGGTCATCTTCATGAGGTTCTTGCACTCTAATATCAAGACTTTGCTTCAGAATAAAGTAACTATCGAGTGAAATGGAAGGAGGCCATTTCAGCAGTGTATCCATGAAAAGTGCCTCATATTCGTATCCATGTAATTTTACAGACTCAAATAATCCAAAGACTCCCCCTTGAAGAGTAGCAAAGTCTTATGGGCAATCATTGAGATTCTATGACAAGCATCAATATCGCGATTCGTCCCAGCACAGGTTTGTGAAGGCCCCTAAAGGGCTCTTCATTACCATTCACTTGAATCATTGTTGTCGTTGTCATGTTTTCTTCATCAGAATCGACCTTTATTTTTTGCTCGCGCCGACGCTGTAGTCGCTTGTTCTTCTGGTGAACTTTTCAGTCTTTCGAAGACATTAGCTTGCCTTGATATTGTTCGCAGGATTCCTGGTCTATATTTTACCTAACTTCAGATCGGACTGCTCGATCAAAACCTTCGGGGCACACCATATGGGTCGACATGATACACAGCCGAACATGTACTGGATGAGTGTGTGCAGATTGATGAACGTGAACGTGACTAGAAGTTAAACGATGGATCTGGAAGAGAAAATTTGGAGCTTCCCATCTTTTCTGGGTTCTTGACTACTTGAGGGATGGGCTCGTCACTGATTCACGATCAACAAGAGTCGGAAGACTCACGAGGAAGTCATCACATTCGCGCGACCCTCTGTAGTCGTTGCCGTTCTTGCGGTTGCCGTTCCAGTAATTTTTTGAGGTGGAGCAGCCTGCAGAAGAGTGAGTGGTAAATCAGGCTGCTGGGCCTACTCGAGGGCCATAAATATTTAAGGGTCCTGACGGTCGAACATCATCGAGAGCAACTGCAAGTTGCACCGTTTGTTCTGCGTTTCACCCCGGTCACGTGACTCCCTAAGTCAATGAGTCTCTAGCCTTAGAGTTAGATTTCACTTGCGTCCATGAATGCCACTCAGGCAAAAGACAGGCTATATAGCCAACTTGCAACTAGTCTGAAGAATATGTCACGCGCTGTCGGACAGACAGCAGATCTCTTTGAGCAACTTCAGACAGACTTGGATGCCATGAGGGTTCTAGCTGGTACACATGCTGCACAGTAAGTCCTGTTTTTGAGCTGTACTTCTGATTCACGAGGTCTATCATGTCTACTTAGGTTCATGACCGTCGCTGCGGAACTCAGCCCCGGGGGTGATGGGGGAGAAAACGCAGAAGCAACTGCGGTGAGTAGCACATCATTGGAAAATTTTGTTATTGAGAACATCCTCCAGTGAGTCATCTTCCGACTTCAGTTCACTTGCGGGTCAGAGACATCCAAAGACATTTTAGTTCGGTTGCATGTAAATCAGTTACTCGAGCACGTCAACCTCATACTGTCGATGTCCAGCAAAGATTTCAAAGACAGCCTTGCGAGGGACGCATTTTCTAAAGCGCGATTGCATTGGCTGGGTAAGAACAAAAGTACTCGACTAAGCTTTCCTTTCCTTCGTGAGGTTGGGGAATCCCGGCCACTGGCAATCTCCTCTACGACATGCGTGTGTATCTATACGGATTCTGTGCAACGAGTCAGCCATCGAACTAAGCAGAAATAAGCAAAACTCACGCTGCAGAACATTGTTAAGCTTGTTGACACGCGATGAGACACTGAGGTCAATGCTCTTGTCACCAAAGTCCACCACAATGCCACCGAGAACTGAAGGGTTGACCTAAAACTCGTTAGAACCGACTTGAAAGCGTGATGAATAAGACTGAAGTACCTTGTTCGAAATTTTCAGCGTCTTTGCTTGCTGAGCTGTCTGAGACTGCTTGAGGATAGTCTCCAGCCGGGAGGACAAATCCCTAGGCAGAGGAGTAGCAGACGTGACAACCACTTCCAGTTCTCCCTTGTACTTTGCAACCAACTCGTTGAACCCCTCGATAACACCTTCCGTCTCTCCAAGTCTACCATTCTCCGACAAGACACCAAATAAGTTTTTGGTTATGTCGGAGACAGGCTCCTTCTTGGAGCCTTCTGCGCGAGAATATATGACAGCGAGGCCCGCAGAGCGATCCTTGGCAGATAGCGTTGGGTTATTGACGAATGCCTTGAGGTCGGGCACCTCCTTGATGACAGTAGAGATGGCGTTCAATTCCGACTGAACCTTGTTGAGAGTTTGCGGTGATTTCGAAAGAGCAGCCGAGTAAACAGCTTTGGAGTACTTTTGAGCAATGGTAGAAGCTGCTCGCCGTCCCAGACCCAGGGAGGCGGTTGCTGAGCGGAACGAGGAGCACAACATGTTAGGCGTTGGTGATGTGTTGTCTCCCGAGGTTGTAAGTATCGGGAAAGTGCGGGCTTTGAAATGAAAAGCTCAACCCGGCGTTTCCGCGATCAAACTCGGCTTGCTCATGCTACATAGACGAAATCAAGAACATTTTCAATGCATAGCCTGAATTATTCTTATTATAAAGATAGCTTATATTCGTAAATTCAAGAGGAATTGGTTGAGAGTGAGGGTGGGTCAATGGTATGGTGGGAACGCAAACCACAAGTGATCCTGGGCAATACACCCACAACTCCGATGCAAACTTACTACTATCCAGCACATACGAATTATGATACGAAATAACACCAAATACAGCCCAGCATGGATCACTACCAAAGGGGACACGTCATGAAGCAGCTGCCCCCGACGAACCAACCGCTTTCGCATTGGGCAACTTTTTATCACCAGTGGTCAACTGCTCCAGGTCAGCAGCTTTGAAGTAATGAGGAGCGACTGAAATATATCGTTAAAATTGCGGGGGAGACAACTCGAACGATAGTACTTGCCTTCCATTAGCCATGATGGCTTGATTTCCATGATTTGTCTAATGGAGAGCAAATCGGATCAGACGCATGTATGTAGCTTGTCGGAAAAAGGACTTGCCTCATGTATGATTTCGAAGTCATGACAAGCTCATAATATAGCAGGGTTTTAACAGGCGGTTGGTGCTGGAAAAGACTTGATGAGGGGTGGATATATACGGTGTGATGCGTCTTCAGCGTCCGGTAAGAGTCACCACTCTTCTGAAGTTGGGCCTGAAAATGTTACATGAGCATACCTGCACGCGCCGACTACGAATTATTCGACTTACAGTATTGTAGAAGTACCCCGACGTGATAGCTTTCTGCACAGGGCTGATGTCATTTGCGTTCGGATTACTCTGAATAACGACTTCGACACGCTCGCAAAGCCCAGCAAGTTGATCCCGAATATCCCGCGCCCGACTGAGACTCTTGAACTGCAAGAATTGCTCGTAGCAGAACTGTTGCGAATAATTCGTATCGGCCCATTGCTCCCAGACGTTGAGCAACGTGAAGTGATCTCCTCCTGTGCGAATGAAATTTTGACGTGCTTGGTCTGCATGCATCTTTTTGTCTTTGGGACGATAGAACAACGACGAAGACTCGGAGAGCATTGCTATAATGGTCAGTACCTCGTGACACGATATCATCAGCATCAACATGTTATTTCAAGATACGAAAGCCCATACCTCGTCAGTACACGAGTACTTCTCGCTCGAAATGATGGCTTTAGACAACATAGGATCAACAGGGAACTCTGCCATCCGTCGACCCAGTTTCGTCAGCTCCCCACGGTCATTCAATGCCCCCAGAGCATAGAGCAGCTCTAGTGCCCTGATAAGCGTCTCTCCCGGAGGTGGGTCCATAAACTCAAAATCCATGAAGTTGTTAATCCCGAGTGATTTTAGCAACAAGACAGTCGTCCCAAGGTTCGTCCGCTGGATTTCAGGTACGGTATTTTCCTCGAGCTCGTTTGAAAACGCCCATTTCGTGTATAGCCGGAAAGCTTTGCCAGGCCCCACACGACCTGCACGACCTGCTCTTTGGTTGGCTGATGCACGAGAACACTGGAACACACAGTAAAATGGATTGTAAGCGCAAAGATAATACAGCGCCATTACTTACAGGAACCACGATCAAGGAAGACATGCCAGTACGAGGGTTGTACGAGTTTTGCTTGACAAATCCGGGATCGATAACGAAAACCACACCATCGATAGTGATCGATGTCTCTGCGATGTTTGTAGCGAGCACGACCTTCCTTGCGCCATCTGGCGTCGGCTCAAAGATCTTGGCTTGCATATCGCTGGGCAAGTTGGCGTAGATTGGACAAACGATTAATTCGGCGATCTTGTTCCCCAGTGCCCGAGCTGTCTCCTGCAGATTTTCTTGGGCTGCTTCGATCTCGTCTTGGCCCTGCAGAAGAGTGAGTATATGGACGATGCAGTAATGAGGATCTGTTACATACCGTAAAGAACACAAGGATGTCGCCTTTGGGCTGTGTTGTATGTATCTGAAATATGGTAGTGATGGCTGCGTGCAGGTAATTGGCCTCTGGTTGTGGTGTATAATGAATGTCGACTGGGTATCGACGCCCAGGAACTGCGGAAAGCATTGGTATTACATTTATCATTTGCAAACTGTAGCTACTCACCATAAAACACCGGTGCATTGTCAAAGTACTCGCTGAACTTTTCAGCATCCATGGTCGCGCTTGAAATCAACAATCTCAGCTCAGGCCTGAATCTCGCGATATCCTAACAAATGAAGCCCTCAGAACCTGAAGCGAACTGTGAGAAGTAGCACCACACACCTTGACAAGAGCAAAAAGAATATCCGTACTCAGAGTCCGCTCGTGTGCCTCGTCAATAATCAGCGCTGCATATCCGGCTAAATCGGGTTCAGTCAGGAACTCTCGAAGGAGCATTCCGTCTGTCATGTACTTGAGCACTGTCTTGTCGCTCGTGCAGTCCTCGAATCGGATGGAATAGCCTACTTCGTACCCAACTTTGGTACCCATCTCCTCAGCAACGCGCGCCGCTACGGACATGGCAGCCACGCGGCGAGGTTGCGTGCAACCCACTTTTTGTCCATTGGCTGTGTACCCGGCTTCGTGCAGGTACTGCGGAAGCTGAGTTGTCTTGCCTGAACCGGTCTCAGCAACGACGATAAGCACCTGGTGCTCCTTAATGGCCTCCAGCAGTTGCTCTCGGTATGTGTATATTGGCAAAGATTTGCGGGTTTCATCAATGGTTTGCGCTGGATTTCAGCCGTCAGCCAACATTAAGCAGAGAGGGAATGCAGATACTGACCTCGTTGTTCAGCCTCTTGAATTTGTTGGTGCAAGAGTTTGTCCTTGGCACTCATCATTCCCTCCCCCTTGAGCGTCTGGTCCATGACGAACTTAATGGTCTGGCTTTCGTCAAACACGTACTCGTAATCGTCGGGGACCTCCCTTTTGTCCATAGCGCCCGTCCGGAATGTGCTGTGCAACGTTTGACTAGCCTCCCACTGGTCGACGTCTGTAACAAACTGATCATCCTTGGGTTTGGCCTCTTCGTACCGCTTGTAAAGTGCATTCTGCTTTTTCTCCTTGTCGATTTTTCCCTGCTCTGTGATGTAGTCTTCCGGTAGCATATAACCATCCCACTTGTCATTGATCTTGAGACGTTCCTCAACAAGCCGCAGAATCTCTTTCTTGCGCTCCAAGTCCTCTTGCTCCTGCTTCGTGAGCTTCATTCCATGGAAATAGGCCTCCTCGTCCGCGATCTCCTTCCTCAGGAGCTCAATCTGCTGCACCTCACGTTTGGTCAGATATTCCTGCCGAGAGTGCAACCGCAGTGAAGGGAGTGCATGTGTCCGTGCTTCAGCGTCATCTGCCAGTTGTCGACGTTGTGCAGCCTCGGCTGCTGCACCTGCATTACGAGAGGAGTGGTCCTCGACGACTTTTTTTGTCTTTTCCCGATCTTTTTCACGCACCCGCTCAGCAAACGCGTCTCGTTCCTTCATATCCTGTATCCGCTCTCGTTCTTTTCTTTCATCCTCATCCTCTGGAATATCCATTGCCTCTTCATCCGCATTGGTTTCAACATCATCTGGTTTCCGTCGCTTGCGATGTTTCTCTTCCTCATCGCTTTCCCACTCCCTGCTATCATGCTCTCTCTTCCTCAAATGTCGGTCACGCTTCTCCTTACCACTTCCTCTGTCCTCTTTGCGCTTCTCCTTGCTGCTACTTCCCTCCTTGCGCTTCCCCTTCAACTCCGAAACATCAGGGGTAGCCTCATCTTCAAGCAAAAACTCAAACCTGCGGGCATTCAATGCCTTTGCCTCCTTCTCCGCTTGCTTCCGTGTGTTGTCTGCGGAAGATTTGTGTTTGCTTTTCCTGGGAACGCGAGAGAAGAGCTCGTTGACGAATACATGTGCGTCGGGTGTATTTGGAAGGCCAGAAGTGGAGAGAGAGGAGAAGAGAGCGTCTGGTGTTTTTGATGTCGATGCTAGAAGACGATAATTGAGTGATGACAAGTGGAAGCATATAGAATGGTCATACCTGAAGCCTGTACGAAGTCGATGATACTCCGGTCTGCAAGACCAAAAAGCTGTAAACTGATATTAGGTGAAATGTATAAAGCAAGAGGAACAAACATTACCCTAACACAGTTATCGCTGATGAAACGTTGTAGGTCGCTCGACATTGAAGGCTCTAGAAGTGACAAGGTTTAGCTGTGACATATATGAAGTCACAACTCACAACAATGTCACAATGCTAAATATGGTAATTCGTGCTTCGCCAAGAATTCCAAATTTGGTATTTCGTTGCTCTATCATCACCTTTTGCCGTTGAAGACGATGGGAGAAGACCGGGAGCGACACTCAGCTTCCAAGCATAAACGCAGCAGAGACAAAGACGAGCACAAAATCAAGAAGAAACATAAGTCCGAGCACAAATCCCACAGACGCAAGTCTCACACAGAAGCGTTTAACGTCACAGACGATGATGCCAATGACGACGATATGTGGGTCGAGAAGAACATAGACAATGACGGAGAACGGGTGCGTATATATTTGTATTGCCTGCGTAGCGCTGACAAGTGGTGCTCATTAGCTTCTCGCAACGGATATTCCAACTGCAGAGAGCTTGAAGATCACGAGTCATGCAACTGCCGGAGAGGCAGACCCACCGCTGCCACCTAACCTGACAACCGAAACGAAATTACAACGCGACGAGTGGATGCTCATGCCATCCGGTGGTGTTGCAGAACTACTGGATTCGTCAACGCTATCAGCCCAAGGGTTACCCACAGGAGACGAAACTTTTACAGAGGACTATGGCGAATCCTCTTCGAGCAAACGCACACCTGCCGGAGGCGTCGACTTCTTTTCTTCTCTCGGCACCGAACGCAAGCGACCACCACGACCTGACAAACCTGATCCTGACAAGGTACAGCACCACTCCTCCTATCCTCATACATTAGCTGAAGGCATACTTCCAGATTAAAATCAGTTCCAAAGAACTCAACCAAGACATCCGTAGTGGACGTTCAATCGATAACGATGTACCTCCACCACCTCCAAAGGCCACAACCCCTGGTGGCCCAGGCTCTAATTGGCGCATGATGCGTCTCCGGCGAGTATACGAGACCGCAGAAGAGGAAAACAAACCCATTGAAGAAGTTGCGCTCGAACGTTTCGGTACGCTGAAAGCATTCGAAGAAGCCAAGGAAGAACGGCGCATTCTTGATGAACGTCAAGGCAAGCGTTCAGAACGGAAGGACGAGAGAGGTCGAGGGCGGGAGACTGGCGGAGAGAGACAGTTCATGTTTACTGATGTTGGGGCGAGCGGCGCTTCGTCGCGTAGCTCGTCCTTCAGACGCCCTGGTTCAGGTGCAAAAGGAAGTGCCCCATCTACGCCATCCCCCGCCAATCCGCCTGTGAACCGGCGTCTCGACTCTTTACGTTTGCCCTCGCAAGCTGCATCGCTACTCGTGCAATCACATACACCAATACCGAGCGTCATGACGCCATCTGTAGCGTCAACGAGCACAACCCGTGCTATGTCGCCTTCATCGCTAAACAAATTACAAGCTCAGGTCCTGCGTGCAAAATTGATGAATGCGCCGAACGCTGAGAAGCTTGAAGAAGAGTACGAAGCAGAGGTGAGACGGGCGAATGCCGAGCAGGGAGAAGTCAGGACGCGAGTGGAAGTGTTACCGACATTGGATGCCAGGGGACGAATGTATGATGTTGGTCATGGCAAGGATGACGCAGAAAAGGGGCCCGGTAATAGGCGCAAGAAAGAGAAGGTAGATTTGCATCCTTCAGCACGATCCCGCTGACATATGCTGGTTAGTTTGAAACGCGTGATGCGAAGACGGGAGAACTTCTCAGGTATAATGCTGATGATGATGAGATCACGCTGGGAGAGATGGTCAGGCAGGAGCGGTTTGGAGCGGGAATGGCAGACCAAAAGAATTTGGATGCACAATTCGCGAAGGCTATCATGGGAGATGGCAAGTTTCAGGTACAGAAGTTCTAACAACATCTCTGCTCCTCCTGCCACTCATAATACTATCTACAGGATGATCTTGACTACATGGATGATAATGCGGAACGACTTGGGCGCCAGAAGATGCGAACCGACGCAATGAAACGACAGTTTGCTGTTCACGGTAGGTTTGCATCCTCTATCTCGGTTCTTGAATTCTGAGGAATTCTCCTGATCAGACTACAAACGCACTCAAAAAGCCCTTGCCACATGCCAGTTCTGCTACGGTGAAGACGATTCCCCTCCAAAAGCACCTGTTGTGGCGATGGGCACACAAGTCTATCTCTCTTGCACCCTGAATGAGGAACTTCTAGATGGCCACTGTCTCATCGTGCCTATACAACATCACCTTACAATGCTGGAGGCTGATGATGACGTCTGGGACGAAGTGCGGGTGAGTAATTACCACTCTCTGCATACAAGCGTTTTGACACATCCCACAGAACTTCATGAAAAGCGTCATGCGCATGTTCGCCGAAGAAGACAAAGGAGTCATTTTCTACGAAACTGTCATCTCTCTCAAGCCGCAAAAGCACACCTGCATCGAGTGTATACCGCTTCCATGGGACAAGTATGACGACATCCCAGCGTACTTCAAGGAGAGCATTCTCGCATCTGAAGCAGAGTGGTCAACACATAAGAAGCTTATCGATTTCTCCGCGCGGCCTGGGGGGTTCAGACGCGCGATGGTGCCGAATCTTCCATATTTCATGGTGCAGTTTGACCATAAGGGGGAGAAGGGGTACGGGCATGTTATTGAGGGTACAGGAGAGTCTGCGATGACTGGTGAGGAGGATGGGGCGTTAGATGAAGGGGATAAAGGTGGTGGGGATTTTCCAAGGTGTGTCTTTGTTATTTTTGCATGTTTGATGATTGGATGTTGAAGGTACTTCTTGCAGATATTTTGCTGGAGAGATTATTGGGAATGTGCTGGATCTTGATCCACGTCGGTGGATGCGACCACGGAGGGTTGACCATCGGCATAACAAGGATAGGATACAGAGGTTTAAGAAGATGTACGAGAAGTTTGATTGGACAGGGTTGATTGGGAAGTCTTGAGGCATTCGTTGACCTTGTTCACTGTGCGCCACTGCTGAGACTGCTGCGGCAGCTGCCGTGACCCACTGCTGCGGTGTTCATATGTAAATAGTAACTCCTGGATAGTTCTTACGCAACCCACGATGGCTCCTCGACGTAAAATTTTGAAGACTCATAAGGACCTTGATGTCCTGATTCCACGTCCAAGCGGGTCCGCCAAACGCGACTTTACCTAACAGGACGAAATGCATCTCCACCTGATCCTGTGTCTAGACTGGTCACGAGTCTAAGTGTCAATTGCAAATACCCTACTGGCAAGTGAAGTACCCTTCCGGCAGGCCGTGACTCAGAACAACTCAGAACTCGACTTTCTCCACACTATAATCGCAGTCGGGACCACGAAAACCCGGCGTCAACGTTCAACGCTCGCAAGCATGTGTTTGTCATGGTCGCAGGCGCCCAAATGACTTGCTGTGTAAGGCTGTGTATCACTGCTCTGTCCACTCAACCTCAGACCCTTTCACTAGCTTTGCTTGGAATCCAGCATAGTAGCCTAGTGTATTATCACAAACCATGAACGGTGTCGAGGGTCAACACACTCACAACGAGTCGGCTGAGCCTTCTCCAAAGAACGGTGATGTAGGACCTACAGAAATGTAAGTTGTGTTATCTCGAAGTCTGCCTGCTATCCGACAACGAGACAGGGAGAAGAATTGTGAGCCTTCGGCGGAGCTGCCATCGGCGATGTAAGTGTTTCTGCCCTGATGCTGCTGTTTCGCTCCTCACCAGAACTGCAGCTCCAATGCCGGACCTTCACAGCCGTTGGGACTCCAGGTACGGGAAAACACTCCCAATGTTGCACCGGTTGGCGATTTACCTCGTAAGTTCTCATCAATAATCATATCAAAACGTGCCTCTCAATTGTCTCGGTGAGGCAGCGAAGGACGAGCCCACGCTAAGCGAATTGTGAGTGAAAAACGAGCAGAGCGATCACAACTGACCACATTCTACACGCAGAGCAGATGTCATGAAACAAGTATTGGATGTTCTCAAGGACTCGACGATTGCGTTGAAGAGTGGCAAGGACAATCGGTCTCGTTTCTGGGGGGTATACAAACGAGTCGCGGAGGAACACGACAGCGAGTTCCTCGAGCGATACACTACTGACATGGACATTGTCTTGATCTTCGTAAGTTTAGCCTGCTTATCTTTGACATGTTTTGATACTGATGTTTGGCCAGTCTGGTCTTTTCTCCGCTGTCAGCACGTCTTTCATTGTCACGATGGAGTCCAATCTGAGTCCCGACCCCAGCGATACCACGAATGCCCTTCTGAAGCAACTCGTTCAAATAGGTCTGGGCAATTTCGCTGCGGTGGGCTCCACGCCCGCAGAGCCAGCATTTACGTGGTCTCCGAGCGCGCCGACCCTATGGATCCAAACAATCGCATATGCAAGCTTGTCCATGAGCTTGCTCGCTGCGTTCGGGGCCGTACTAGGCAAGCAGTGGCTCGGGTACTACAAGTCGAACAGATACGGCCGGGGCTCTGAGGAGGAACGAGGCAAGCGCAGGCAAGAGAAGTTTGAGGGCCTCGTCACATGGTATTTCGATGCTGTCGTGCAATCCTTCCCGGTCTTACTTCAAATCTCACTTCTTCTCTTTGGAATCGCCCTCGGCACCCATATCTGGTACGAGCAGCCGAGCGTCGCCTGGGTCATCATTGCAACAACGATATTCGGATTTCTGTTTTATTCCCTGACTGTAATGGCATGTTTGATATCTCCCGCTTGTCCATTTCAGACGCCGATATCGACGATGTTGCGCATGTTTCACATCGACAGTAAGATAATTTTGCTAAATTCTGGTGATCGTTCTCCGTCTGAATCAACACTGCAGAGGTTCTGCACGTGGCATTCAAACGAGTCTCCAATTATTTCCAGCAGCTCACGATCTCACAGCACGGTCAGTTATGTCTTCTTCCGTGTGCACGGGTTTTGACTCGTTTCATGTCAGATGTGCTGGAGCAACTGTTTGGTATGGTCAGATCAGGATGGATCCGAGTATTTAGAGGTGATGGCTTTATCTACTATTATTATAAAGATATGCAGGACTCATTTCACTCTCTAGGCCCTGTACATGCGATCGGCACGTTCGCACGACGATCCCTTCGACGATCAATTGCCACACTTCATTTTGTTGTTCCACACTTTTCGACAAAAGTCGCGGACTCAGAAGCACAATCGACCGACCCGAATTTGCATTTTTTGTCAGAGGATGAATACGCCCCCGCCCTCCCTGACATACCCACCAGCAATCTCGAAGCACCTAGCATTAAGTGGCTGCTCGAGACCTCTACGGATCCTGAAGTGTTTCTCGCTGCTGCTAGCCTTGTTCCGCAGGTGGAATGGCCCCTGGATCTTGACGTCTCAGACATGCTGCATCAGCTGTATGATACTTTCACAAGCTGCGTCGGCTTCCATGGGAAAATTATGCCGTCCTTGAAGGAGAAGGCATCAGCTTGTATAATGGCTATGAGTCACCTATATCATGGCCGGGTTCTTCAGGCATATTCTGGCCGTAGTCAGTTTCTTGCTCGCGGGGGAAGAGACTGCGATTACGATGTGTTGTCCCGGATGAGACTGAGGGACGTGGGTAAAGCCAACTTCACGGTGCTAACCACGACTATGAATCTTTGTCGGCCAGAAAATGACGATGGTAGACATTTGTGTTATCTGTTGGATGAGTGTCCCGACTCTGTCACGGAGTGGCTGTCGCATTCTTTTACTTGCAACTTTGTCACTGGGCGAGTGAATCGGAGTATAGAAACACTCGCCATAAAGGTGATATCAAAACTACTATCCTCTCCATCCTCCCCGTCGAATCAAATCGTAGCCAATTGCACTCTTCTTGCTTGCGTTATGGTCGGGGTTCAGTTTGACAAGAAGGACATAGTTCGCATCGATAAAAGGTGCCATTGACACATTTGATACTTCTTCTGCTATGACTGACAGATATTGTGTAGTTCTGCCTTGCCTCGATTCCTGCATGCCCTTTTGGCGAAGTTCCAAATGGTTCTCTGGGAATGCGACGGAGGCGATCTCGACAAAGACAGCACAGGCGTCACACGCAGGGCATGGAAACTTCTCGACGTCATTTGTCTCATCCTGGAGCCTGCCAAAGATCACTATGATTGTGGTTCTTCATCCCACGCCATGCGGAACCTGGACGTGTGCAGGAAGATTTATTCACGACTCAGGTCATGCGGACGAGGTGATTCCCGGGAACTGTCGAGAGTTCTGCAAAATGCACTGCGCTTCACACTCACTGCTGCCAAAGTATCTCGGGATCCCGCTCACTTGTGGTATGGCCATTATTTAGAGACAGATGATTCCCGTTCGCCAGAAGACCTTGACTGGCTGATGGACTACCTCGAGTACATTTATTCCGGCGATGAGGAAACGGCACTTGACATCCTTTTGTTCCTGGATGTCATGAAAGTGCGCTGCAGCCCCGCTAAACAACATCAGTTCTTCAAAAGCCTCGTCTTCTGCATGGACGGTAACAGGCCTGTCCATTTACGCCATGTCGCTCTCCGCGCGGCTCATAATGCTCGAGAAGAAATTGCCTCGATTGATGCCATTCATGATGCGAAGTTGCGAGACATGATCTTGACCGAGCTCTCCCCCACTATCCTGACTGCGGTTTGTCCGCAATCAGGTACATCATTCTCCAATGATGATCCTGATCACCCCTTCCATCATGGCCGCGACTTGTGCTATCTCGAACTGCTCTTTGCCCTCGTGAGGAATTCCAAGTGGCACCCCCATTTGTTTGGGGGTCATCATATAGATCGATGCATTAGCATTATTGCAGAGTGCCGCTTCATGCGACATGCATTTTACCTGGCTGGCATCCTCCTCCGAATCACACCTGGACAATTGTCGGTTACATCGCTCGATTCTATCACAGAGCGACAGTGGTGGGACGTGATCAGCGGTGCATGGTCCAAAGCCTGCCTTATCATAATGATTGACAACGTACACTTTTTCGAGTTCCTTCCTGTCCTCGTGGAAGGCACGAAGAAGTATATGCATATTGCTCCGGAAACATATCAGTCATTCATTAGAAATGTGGATGATGTTCTCGAAGTATTGGAGAAGCGATATTCAGAGCAGGGAGAGGGTCTCGCTGTTGCTGTGAAAGAGTTGAGGACTGTAGCCAGCGAGATGCTTGAGAAATCGGTCAGCAGTAAAGGAGTTATTAGTCCCTGATCATGACGATACTTCAATGCATATTGTACCTGCGACCAGAGGAATGGATGGAGCAAATGATGTGACTGCGCGAGGAAATAAATATTTTACCACTAGAAGAAATATTGATATTCAATGCATACAGGAAACAAGCCAACTCTACTACATCCATGCTAGTATCATCTAAGCATAATGTATATCGACGAGCGTCGAGGAGAGCTTCTCAGTTTTGGCGAAGGAGAGAGACATGAACGACCAAGTCAATTCAAGTTTTGGTCATCCGACTGGCACAACTGTGGCAAAAGGCGTGATGAAGCTACACGCGTAATGCGCCTCGAAGCTTTGAAGCTGTGCCAGACCAGCAAGGCACGAGAGCCAACAAAAGTATTGGTGATGTTAAGTACGATTCACAGCGTGAGGCACAGCGGGATCCGGCGTTGTATATAAATGCTTGTAAATTTCTGTCACATGAGTCGGAACCGTGGAACCTTTGACATCAACTAGGCGGTTGTGATAGGCCTCAGAACGCGGCGACGAGGATGCTGTTCACGCAACTGGCATCACCTGCACGTAGAGCCGTATGCAGGAGCCTGCCAAAATATGGCTCCACTGTGTGCATACGCACACTGAGAACTGCTGGCAATGCCAAGACTGACCAGGCGCTTCGTCGGTCACATCTCTACGGTACACCATATACATGCACGTCTGACTTGGATTTCAAGCTGAATGACAACCAGTACCCTCGTCATCCGACCGGATGCTGGACAAGTCTTTGAGCACACCATCCGACGTCATCATATACGACCTCGAGGATAGCGTACCGCCTTCTCCTTACGACAAAGACAGTGCAAGACAACGGCTGAGTACGTTCCTGAGCGTACGTGAACACCTTCGTATTCTCTGCGCTTCGAGCCTGAAGCCTTGCTCGCTGGATAGCGCACACCAGAGCACAAGCTTCCGCACCCCGAGCGTATCGCTGTCCGCCTAAATGACATTACTACGCCTTTTTTTGAGAACGATATATCCGAAATTGTGGGTGTTCTCTATGCCCATAATCTATGTTCCACACCTGAGTTTTAGCTGTCTTCCAGCTCAAGTCGCCCCTCGTCCGAACACTCGTTCTACCCAAGATCCACTCTGCTCGCGACCTTCATCACGTCTCGCGAGCCATTCGAACTTCACGGGCCAGAACCTCCACGCTATTCCCTATACGAATCATTGCGAGTGTTGAAAGTGCCCGCAGTGTGTGGAATCTTGGGGAGATTGCTTCTTGGACTTCGGAGTATGGCGCTGATGCTGGTGGGAAGTTGGGCGCTCTACTCGTAAGTATCCTCTTTATTGACATTCCTAGTTAGTTGATGAAGTATATCTGTAGTTCGCAGCAGAAGACTGTATAGTGCTTTTCTACTCGGGCGCAAGTGGAAATCTTATTTGGGTACAGATTGTGCCGCTACTTCGGTGGTGCGGACGCCCTCGAGGCTTGAGCTTCTCTACGTACGCTCACAGATTACAATTGCCGCCAAGGCTTTCGGATTGGATGCCATAGATATGGTCCGTTGTTTTCACTGTTATGATCCCCTAAAGTTGAGCATCACAGGTCTGTGTCAACTACAAAGACCTCAACTATCTGAAAGACGAATGCGAAGATGGCCGGAGGCTCGGTTTCAACGGGAAGGTAAATATTATCTTGATTTGAATTGGTACACGTGAATGCGACTATCGTTTCTAGCAAGCCATCCACCCATCACAAGTTGATGTCATTCATTCGACATTTGTTCCTACGGAGAAGGGTGCGTCATTTCCATCCAAATTTTACTTTGACCGACGTCCTCGCGTAGAAATAATCCGTGCTGCAAAGATTCTCCACCAGATGGAAGTTGCGCATTCCTCTCAAAAGGGTGCCTTTGGCCTAGAGATGGAGGGGGGCGGCAAGGAGATGATCGATGCTCCGATGTTAAAGCAAGTGAGTCTATACGGTTTCTTGTTCAGTGAAGTGTCTTATACATTGGCCAGGCTGAGAATATTATTCGGGTCGCCAAGGCAGCTGGCTTGGAGATTCCTAGTGTAGGTTAATTGCAAAATAATGCATTATGTTCAGGTGCAGTGGATAGCATGTTCTCGACCATCTTGCTCAATCGGCTAGTAAGCACCCTGCAAAACATACATCCTGTAGTGGTCTTTGGAAAATGTCGTCGCATAAACTGGTAGGCTTTCGCACCTGGAATTATCATCCTTTTCTTCCTTGTCAGTCTATGCTATTGTTTGTATCTTTCAGGTAATCCGCTTACATTCAGATCAACCTCAACGATGGCACTAATGACTCACGGGCAATGGATAACATTGCAATTTGCATGCAGAGAATACTACCTTTTTCTCTTTCACTTATGAATCATAACACGAGAGCTGATATGTGGAACGCCGTCGCGTCGACGGAAGCACTAACAGGCGAACAGTAACGTGGAAGAGCGTATGATTGAGAAGGCGGTAAAAAAAGGTAAGCCCCAGATACGTCTAGAGCATGTATCAGTGTCTGATGCGGTGTCCAATCAGAAGTATTGAGCATTCTGCATCATAGCGTGCGTCATCGTGTGGTAAGCGTCATGCTTACAATATGCTCCCATACTGTGTCGACGCGATATGATCACGAGGTTGTCTTGGACTGGGCCAAGGTTTGCTGAGTTCAACTTTTTTCACTCAAGTCTAGTAAGTAGTTTGGCGAACGGTTGATTCCCAACGAACCTCTGTCATCCAAAGCTTATCTTTTTAGTCCCGACAACATTCTTCAAAATCAGACTCAAGTTACTCTAATCTTCTTTTCTTCAACTGCTTGCGTCAGGGAACGCAAACACTCGTTCCACAAACTGTTTTTCGTAGGTGGTAACCTAATCAACCATGCTTACAAGCTGCGACATGTGAGCGAAAAATCCATATGGAAGGAACGGTCTTCCGATGATTAGCAAAGGAGATCAAAGACGAGACCCTTTGGTGCATATCTAATTCCCACCTAGGTTGCACCTAGGGGCTCTTATCTTGACCAATTATAACTCAGGTCATGTGTCTTCAACGATTATAATGCAAATGCGACCTTCAAATACTGTCTTCACGGGACAACCTTGCTTCATTGCACCTTATAATCCTGAACCCCACCAGCATCATGTCAGACCTTCCCTCAGCCATCCACCCCGATATCCTTCCCCGTCTCGACCCCGAATACGTCGCGATACACAATCCCCATATAGCACACCGCGTGCCCCCGCACACGATCCCCTGGCATCCGGATATCAGGAAGGCGCCCTACATCCCCGGTGGCTCGCCTGTCAGGACTGTCGGGACTGTCAAAGATATCAGTCTGCAGAACTGCAAAATTCGGGCTTTTATACCCGAAGGAACTCCCCCTCCAGAAGGGTGGCCGGTGTTATTATATATTCATGGAGGTAACGGTCTGTCATCATTCGGCGAAAGTTAGCTGAAAATTCTAAGGTGGATGGACGCTTGGGAGTATCGATACCTTGAACTCGTTCATATCACGTCAATGTAAAGGTGAGGTTGGACAGCGAAGACCATTTCCGGACTGGAACTTACTAATTGTGTTTAAGAGAACAACTGCGTTTCGGTGGCCCTGGACTATCGCTTAGCTCCTGAGAACCCATATCCTGCAGCAGTCGAGGATACGGTTGATGCATTGAAGTTCATCTACTACAACGGGAAGGCAGAGTTCAGTGCGAATGTGAACAAAATCGCGGTTGGGGGGTCGTCCAGGTGTGCACCTTCTCATTTCGTATGATGAAGCCTATCAACTTTTGTCAGCGGCGGCAATTTAGCTGCAATCGCATGTCTCAAGGCGCAAGAACTCACGCCTCCCATTCCCATTATCTTTCAGCTATTGATTGTGCCTGGTAAGCAAGCATAAAGTACTACATATATCCGTCTCTCTCACCGGCTTGCAGTGATTGACAATACGGCATCCGTCACTGACGAGAGATACCCGTCTTGGAAAGAGTGCCAGAACACCGTCTGGCTGTGTGAAGGGCGGATGTTGTGGTTCCGCAACATGTACCTTCCTGATCCTGCGACCTGGACAGAGCCAGACAACTCACCTATCTTCGCATCGGATGCTTTGCTTGCCAAGGTCCCCCCTGCATTCATTAGCGTCTGTGAACTCGATATTCTGCGTGATGAAGGAATCGCGTATGGCGAGAAGTTGAAGTCGCTTGGAGTGAAGGTAGAGGCAAAGGTTTACCCAAGAGCACCGCATCAGATTCTTGGGATGGATGCTGCACTGAAAGTTGGGAAGCAGCAAGCTGACGACGCAATCAAGGCGGTGGGTGATGCATTTAAAGCGGCATAGATAATGATATGGATGTACAATATGAACGAGCAATCAGGGTGACAGTATCGGATGTATCTGAGTGGCGAAGAATTATGCATCGATGCCCATGTATCAATCTCTTGCAGTATAAATTGACATAAGTTGAAGCAGAATTATAACATTCTATGGTTCACTAGGCGCCGTTGCCGGCGATGACCTTGCTTAGATTGTCTGTGGGATTTTACTTTATTACTCGCATTTTTACATGGACCGTTGTGACAAGTTTGGTCTATGGGGACCCATCCTCAGGCTGTAATTGTAGTCCAGCTTGACGATTTTAAGAGCGGGTTGCGATGCTTGAGGCGAGTCTGAATTTCACATTCCTGCCTATAATCCTGACGATACACACTCGTGATTATTTCCATTAGGAAGGTATGTTTGCGCGTCTACCTTGCAATATCGAATTGACCTCTTTGACATATTTTATTTGTGCTATTGATCTACATGCAAAACTGATCGCTTTTCATTTGCGCTCACGATCAGCCTCAGGCGTGTCTTCGAGTTCCGGAGGGCGCATTATGCAAAGAAATTTGGATTCAAAAACTACAAACTGCCGATATACAATACTGGTCATCATACATTTGTCGTACGAAAATATGGAAACATTGCCAAGAGATAAAAGAAACAGGAGAAATCGTGTCTACATGTTACAAAAGAAATGAGCAGTCTAACGTCTGTCGAGTACATATCGATAAAAGGAAGATGCGTCCATAAGTCACAGGCGGTCCATGATCTGCCAAGTAGATACCGGTAAGAGAAATACAAAGACAAAAGAGATACATCGAGCCATTTACATGATGGTGAAGATAAGAGAAGAAACTTGAGATAGATGGATGGGAGCCGCGGGTGTGGCCTTCAACTCCAAATCGTGAGACAGGAAGGAGGCCGTCATCTAGTTGCGGTTGTGTCGGATTCGGTCGTAGGGGACATCCGACATCGAAGACTGCAGAGATATCCAGGCGGCGCGGAGAGATAGATCGTGCGCGGCCAGCGGTGGCCTTCAACCTCGCGGGCATTGAAGCTCCAGGTCGTAGGGGACAGCGAGGGAGGCCGTTGCAGGTCTTCGGTATTTGGTCGTAGGGGACCTGAGGAGTAGCGATGTGCATAGTAAAGATGTCAGTCTTGAATAATGTCGATCGAGATTCCTGGGTTGGGCGTATTCCGGTGCAGAGGCGGTGAGGCAGGCGACAGCGCAGAGGTGAGTCCAAGCTGGGACATGGCAGCTGCCCAGCCGTTGACAAGAGCAGTTTGGTCGGCGAGGAGATCGTTGTGCAGTTGTTCAAGGTGATCTACTTTAGGTCAACAAACAAAGTGGACGTTACCAAAAATCACTCACCTATGATAGCAGTGTGTTCCACTTGTTGCTTAGCGTAAGTGCGTTCGATGCTGCCACGGACAGCGACCACGCGTGTGGATCTAGACGCACGCTAACAAAACAATGAGTGCGGCACTTTGTTTCACAAAGAATGTCCATACCTTGTCTCTGCCCGGGCGGAAATTCCGATGCCGTTTCGTATCCGGGGGTTTCAGCTGAGGCGAGACAATCTGAGGCATAATGCTGCCGAGAGAGAGCGTTGTGGTCGTTTGAGTCGAAGCGTCCACAAGAAGCGAAATGTCGGTGGTCGTCAGGGGTCCGTCCGCTGGGATGATCGGCTGGAGCTGCGTCCGCTGACTCGGAGAGGGTCCAGTCAAGTCATCATCGTCCTACAAAAATTCAAACATTAAGCGACAAAGCTGAGGAGACTGTACGACTTCATACCTGGGGACAAGTGCTTTCCTGAATGTCTGCGTCAGAGAGATCCCTCACGAAATCATTATCGTGGTCAACAAGAGTGGTGTCGGAATCAATTGAGAGGCGCTTGGCATTCTGAACAGGTGAGGGCGGCAGTATTGGCGTGGATAGTGTTGAACATGTAGATGGCGAAGTACAGTAGTCGGAGTCATTTGCAATGGGGTTCGGTGAAGTTAACAGGCATGGCGTACTAGTGCTGCAAGATTCGGTTAAAATTGGATTTGATGAAATTAATTTTGATGCAGTAGAGATATCAGATACTTTCTTGCAGATGAGAGGCGCGTTGAGCTCGGCCAAATTGTGCTTCGGAGAGGATTGAGCTTCTTTACTGAGGATTATGTGGGCGGTCCTGTGGGAAGCTAGAACTAGAGCCGCGACAGAGATACATAGCTCGGATATAACAAGGCCAGCGGTTATGTTCTCCGCTTCTTTGACGGCCTTGGTCGTGCGATCCACCACAGTATGTTTGAAAAAGAAGGCTCCGAGGCACCCAGCGACGGTGACATGGGCGGCACTGTCGAAGATAGCGGAAATCATGTTGTAAGGCGAGTTGAAGTTGAAAATAAGTCGTGAAGAAAGTAATGCACGTAAATCGAGGACAGGAAATGGGAGGTATATCTCGCGGGCCTGCTGTTCTTATACTCTGCCTTACGATTAAATCAGCACTGCCATGAAATAAACAAGCTCGATCGCGACGCGTCTAGTCACGTGTATGCAAAATCAGTTTATGTCAGCATTGTGTCATCATGGCCCGAACATGCATGTTCAGAATGAGATGATGATTTAAAACTGCCATGTCTATCCAAAGATGAGCTTCAGTCATCGGTCTCCTCGCTGCAAGGTGTTGTAGTACATTTGGCGATGAAATTATATCAGACATACACTTTTTAATCCCATTTATTATCTACAAGTTATTGCACTAGGTGTCGTTGCCGGCGATGACCTTGCTTAGATTGTCCGTGGGATTTTATTTTATTACTGGCATTTTTACATGGACCGTTGGGACAAGTTTGGTCTATGGGGACCTATCCTCAGGCTGTAATCGTGCTTTGTAGTCCAGCTTGACGATTTTAAGAGCGGGCCAGAACAAGTGGTGACAAAAGATAATCATTCGGGATTTCCCGTCATTTGTGCATGTAGACGATCCGCAGAATTATCAAGTCGGTATATGACCTTGCAAGCAAGGTGACGACTACGTTATTAAGGACCCACTGCGCCAGGCGCCTGATGCGGCAGGAGCAGGAGGTGACATGGACGTCGAGGGGGCGGCAGGCTCAGTCTGTGATGATGACTCCCGGCTCTGGGCTTGACCTTGTTGCTGCATTGGTCGTGCGTATTCATTGGCGTGCTGAGGAGATGCGCAGCACAGAAGAAGTACGAGATGACCTAACAACCGGACAGGTAGTGAATGCGCATGACTTGCACGTAGTGGGGTGGGATTAGCACCTGGAGGAAGCTGTGTCGTGTACGAGCCCTGGGCGTCCGATTGGCTTTGCTGCTGTGGTTTTTTTGCTGGTGGTGGAGCAGTAAATATGACCTGCACAGAAATCAGACACCAGAAATCGATATACTGGAGCAAGACATACCTCTCTGTCTTTTACTGCAGCAACTTCAATGACACGAGGATGGTGACGAGAAAAGATAGGTCGCCCTGAGCGTTGCGAAAGTTCGATTTCTTCATTGGTGCGGTGTTGAAAACGGTGCAAAAGTGATGAAAGGCGAATGAAGAGCGCTCTCGCACTCCCAAAAGAGGGCACGACAGTGCGAGGACGGCGGGAAGAGGGACGGCGATGGTTGCCGTACGTTCCGGAGGGCTGAGATTGAGAAGTCGAAAAAGGAACTGATAGAAAATGCTGAAGCAACGCACATCAGCACGACCTGTGACGTCGTTGAAAAATCCTGACAGGAGTTCATCATCCACGACCTGCATAGCATCCGCCTAAATAGAATTTAGCCATTGGGAAGGTCGAGAAACAAATCACATACATTCATTAATGACTCTTGAGCTGCAACCTGCGAGCGGGAGATTAGCATATTTTTAATGAGAAACCATGAACTTTACATCAGATGAAGGTAGGAGGAGGTCTTCGAGGCCAGCTTCTTTGAGGATGGCGTGAATGTCCCATGTGTACACGTTTCTGTTGTCGCAACCAGTGACTAGCAGTTTTCCATCAGCGGAAAGGACTGCACAGTTCACATCATCTGCATGCTGGAGGGGTGGACCAACTTGAAGGTTCGTTTTGAGGTTCCATAGACTCGCTATTTTATCCCATGAAGCACTTGCAAGGATGTGTTCATTCTGAGACAAGGAGATGGCAGTGACACGGTGTGTGTGACCAGGCTCAAGGATAGCAATCTGCTCCCAAGTGGCTGTGTCAAATATCCTAATCGGGCCACGTGAACCGGAGATAAGTTTCTTTCCGTCCGACGTCCATGCCAAGCTCCAAACTTGAATATCGTGGTTGAGTGTGTTAAGCAGCCCGCCCGTCTTGGTATCCCAGATTTGTATTGCATTTTCATTGTCTCCACCTGTTGCAATTTTTGTTGCATCAGGCGAGTATATCACCGCGTTCACCCAGTTATGCCCAGTTTCGATTGTCAGTACAGTTTTGCCGCTCTCGACGTCCCAGACTCTTGCCGTCCCATCCCAGGATCCGCTCAGCAATTGATTACTATCTGCACTCCAGCACATTGCACTCACAACTTTGGTGTGTTCTGACCATTTGGCGATAATTTCTCTCGTCTTGACGTCCCATAAACTCACTTTCCTGTCGCATCCACTTGCAATTGTCTTGCCGTTTGGAGACAATGCCACACACCGCACTCCTGCCTCATCCTCTTCATCTCGCCACTCCCCTCCTATCTGCGTGCCGCTCTCTAGGTCCCATAGATGGAGTGAGTTGTCCCCTGAACATGTGATGACCTGTCGTCCGCCAGGCAGGTGCACAACACCGTTTACCCAGTCGTCATGACCTCTCAATGTCTGACGTGGCACGGCCACCTCGGTACTAATGATGGATTGCGTCTCAGTGGACATGGTTGGCGCACAGGGTTCTAGCACTTCGCTACAGCGGATTAGTCAGCGGGCCTGTTTCATTGTCGTCAATACGAGTACACGGGGAATTGCTCATGAGACAGCCTGTTGACAGGAATTCAATCCTCACCTACAAGACAGCTTCGGGTACAAAGTATGCACGTAATACACCAGTATTCGAGAACACAAAAGATCCTTGTGGGAATCTGAATGCCTTACGAGCAACACTGTTTAAATAAGCCCTCGATCACCAGCGATGAGAGGGTGTCTGGTTGGGAGTTGAGAAGTGGGGCACCCGTTTGTTCAAGCCGTCTTTTGAGGTCCGTCCTATGTATCATCCTCGTGTTCACGCCACAGCTGTGTATACGTCACTCAGTCTACTTGATACCCATTCGTACACCCGCTCACTCGTTTTCGTACTCTTTGTCTCGTCATTCGGACCCTACACTGTCAAAACATAACACCACTCCCTTCTGCCTCCGTATTTCGCATATCACTTTAAGTGGTCCACCGCTGTGAAAATAGCTAGTAGATGCCTTTACTGAGCATCATAGGGACATTTTGTCAATCATCATCTATGTTCTATGAGAATTCTGCGGGGTCGCAAAATAAATGTCAAGGTATGCACCAAGAACCACTCAGATACTCGAGATGGAAGCAACAAACAGACGATGCTGTCAACACAGTTTTCGTGATTTGATTGCGGCGGGAACGCATCAGAAAGAACAAATAAATGTGTGCAATTATATCAAAGATGCGACATCATGCGAGCAGTCACCTGAGATATTCTAAGACAATCTTGCAATGTCAGCTGATATCCGATCTTTGGGAAATCCCGTTCCCTGTCCAGAATAAGAGAGGGTGGTATATGTGCCTTTTGTCAAATATGACGGATTGACAACGACTGAACTGTCTACGACCTGCAGAAAATGTTGAAGAGATGACAGAGTGGTATTAAGGAGGCAGGTTCACCTTTGAAAAGTGTTTCAACCGACTGGGTAGTACCAGCACGTCAGGACCTGGATCGTCAGGACTCTCGGCGACTCTCAACTCTGCAGAATGCGATACGTCAAGGTTGACTTCGTGTGCAACGTCTAAGGGAACAGGGAATATCGGATAAAAGCTATGCAAATCATGGGGTGTAAGCTACTGGAAGCTGGATCATGGCAAAGTCTCACCTTCTCTGCTGCAAAATATATCTGCTAAGATTCGACATGGGGTCGCTAGCAGCCCCCGGTTCGCAAACAATGGAGTCTACTTCTTCTCCACGTCTAAAGTACTCCTCCTTCCGTAGGTGATACAATACATCCACGCTGCACACAGCGAAACAAATCCCGTTGAGTGAAAAGCGCGCAGGATTAGGAAGGAGTCGTATCCGCTGAAATCAATACTCGATTAGCTCGAGAGCAGGGGAATATTGCTAAAAAAAAACCTACTGGATCGCCACAAAACTCGTCATCAAGCTCGCATTGAGGAAAGACTGCGTGGTCGCTAACAATGTCATTCACGCTTGGTACGAGAAGGACTGTGCTTGTTGGTGATTGAGAAAGGAAATCGCGGAGGGGGACGATAAATTGGTGTTTGAAAATGTCTGATGGCGTCTCGTCAACTATACCGTCATGTATGTGTGCATGTGTAGCGTCCACGAATGGCCCAAGCTGATTAGATTTTGAGATTCAAATATTAAATTGAATAATGAGTGTGCGTACGAGCAGGACGACGGCAGGTTTTGATGCTTTGAGGTGGACGATGAGACTTCTCCATGGTTTGTAGTCGAGGTTAGCATCTGGAGTGAATGGTCCGCATGCTATGCACATGTCGAAACTTGCTGCCGCGTTACTCGGTGGGGTAGGAGACGCTGGCATCGGGGGTATCTACGCGAAGTACGTTTTCTATCTCAACAAGAAAACCAGAGACCCAAAATACTCACAGCCATGATCTCAGATGCAATAAAATAACCTCCACCACCATTGCGCCCTTTGAGTGCTACCACTGCACCAGGAAATAGGCCCACGCCACCCAAGCCTTTATACCCTCCCCGAATCTTGAGATCTTGCGCGAGTTGCAGAGGCACACGGAGTCCATCACCATGTGATCGCGATGATTCGAGAATCAGCGACTGATCGTTCAACTTGACACCTGGCCCGGAAGCATCGGCATCTATTACGATGCGACCCACGACAACACAAGATTCCTACACCGAAAATCAACTAACAAAACCAGTCGTCACAGCACCCATACCTCGGAAAAAACACCGGGATGACCCAACTGACCGACATCCTGATAATGTTTCAAAACAAGTTCGCCAAACCCATCGAGTTGTGCATCCAGAGCTACAAAAATTTTCAGCTACAGCAGCATCCATAAGGTTTGCCAGATAAACACGCACTGTCGCTTCGTTCACCCAATGTTTCATACATGTACCGATCTTGGGCTGGATGAACGGGGAAAACCAGGGTCATGATGATTAACACTCACATGCACGATTTTTTCTGGCCTCTTTCTGACCCACAAAAGTGACCCTACTTGAGCTGGCGATTGGGCCATCAAAGTCCTGCTCAAGCTTCACAGGCACGATCGCCATGCCTCCAAAAAGCGCTTTCGGTGGTTGAGCCGCGGCCTTGAGCGGACCAGTGAGTCCCTTAGCATTTACCCCCACAAATTTTGCAGAATTCGCTAGCCTCCCGCGCACAGGGCCGGTTGCTGTCGACTTCGACATATTGCTGGCATTCTTGGCTTGTATCTCCCGCTGGATCTGGGCCTTCATGTCTGCTGCAGATTCGCATGTAAAACGGAGTATTCTCTGCGCTTTACCGTACGAAAGAGCTTCCCATTTATATTGGAGGTCCTTTGCTGTCAGATTATACATCTGACATATGGTTACACCTGTAGAGTGCGTTCGATGACTGTTCTTCTGGGAATCCAAATGTGAAATCGTACATTCGTTTATTAGGCCTAAGTGCTCCTCTGAGTCTGCAGCTCCAAGCCATTCGCAAACATCGCTGCGTAAGGAAGACATCTTTAATCACAGCTGAACAGAATGAGAAACGCGTGAAACGGACGCGTCGAGTCACAAGCGCGACATGCGTCATAGTCACATACATCACAGAAACAGTCACAAGCCACATCACACCCATATTCCAGAATTATTATAGATAGTACCCGAGGAACAGATGAATGTACCATGAGGGGATCCATAGTATATGTAGTTACTGATACAGAACAGATTCAAACGACAGCAGACTACAGATCAGGGAGGGGTAGCCAAGCATTGAATCTGGAAGGCATGAGATGGGGTACCGATGATACATAGGGAATACATGAGCGAAATGTAGCGTCTTTAAGCTCTTTGAAGAATCAGAGTGTGGATGATCATGGAAAGGAAGAAGAGTAAACGTCTATGCTTCATCCTGGTCCCCTGCATCAGCGTCCTCCTTCTCTGGCTCTTCTTCCTCAGAATGAGAGAGCGAGCTCTCTTTTGCGGGAGATGAGCTGTTCGTGGGGGATACGCTTAATCCGCCGGAGTGTGATGTCGGCGGCGATGATGCATGTGGGATGCTGTGCGTTACTATGAGTGAGTCACTGTGCGTAGCAAGAAATAGAGAACGGAACTTGTCTGGATTGGGAATCGCAGTACCGACGGTGTTCTGTGGTGCGACTCCAGCTTTGGAGAGTGCATAGTCACCTGAATCGAAATATTTCCGGTCCTGGAGCACATACAGTAAGAACAAAGGCGAATAGTGAGACATGTAACTCACCCCTTGCATCTTGGTCAAAATGTTCTTGTGCGCTGGAAGTTTGCCGTACAGTCGAAAGAGCTTTTGCTCCTCCTCCGACAGTTTCTGTGTAAGTCATGATGAATGTATGGCCTTGGCACGAGGCATCGATAACTCACACTGATGTCGATCTTGTTGCGCTTGGCCGGCAGCATGGCGAATTGATTAGCAGAACGAGCTAGAGACAAAAGACGATGAAGGAGGAGGAGCTACAAAAGCCTTCGAGAGCGTCGAAGAGGAAGCCCAGCACCGATGAATTGAATGGAAACAAAAGTTTGTCGACAACTTGACGTTTCTAAGCGTTTCCAGTCTTTCCCGCAAAGATGTAATTACCTAAGCGGAGTGGCGGAGTCTTAATCAGACATTTCAATTATACCCGGCATCGGATGTCGGATCTCATATGTCACAAATTACAATCAGTTTCAGCAAACTTGTTTCCCAAGCCAGACTTTGTGACAGAACACGTTATAGATCCCAGACATCAGTAAAACAGTCATCTGCGCTACCCTGGACCACCTGACCTTCCATGCCAAAGTGTGTGTCAAAACCGTATGCTTGATCCGCGGTATCGCTCTCCTGTAAGATGTCTTGATGAGGACCTCCGTCCGGAACTTGTGAAACAGTGGTGGATCCAGTCTCATCTTCAACACAAAGACCACCTGAGTCATCGAATACGTCGGCCGGATCGAAAAACAACTCGTCCTCGCAGGTCCATTCTTCATCAACAAGCACGTCAAACTCCTCTATACCTCCAGGTTGTTCCTGGTGTCCAGACTTTGCGCGATAACTTGACTGAAACATAACACGTTCGAAACCGGCATCTTCCATCTTCGCATCCTCTTGCTCGTGATCAAGTTCTAGATCCAGCACGAAGCTATCGTCTTCACTTTCAGTTAAATAGGACCATGCCAAAGGGGGTGTAGTGCTACGTGGTTGAGATGAGGAGCCTAGGCCATCGATAAGAGAATCGTCCGAATGCGTGGTCCTTGCGCCAGGAAACGTGGACCAGGGTAATGCTTCTTCAGGCCAGTCCTCTAAAGGATCATCCATGTCGTTCGGCACGGTCTGCTGGATATCAATAACCGGAACGGCGTTATCCATGTGGATATCAGGGAGATTGGGCCAAACTAGAGGGAGATCTATTTCCGCACTGTTGAAAATGGTGTCATCCTCAATTAGTTGATTGACATCCCCAGCTGAGGAAGTCAATAGAGTCGAGCGTGCGGCGATGACCTGGCTCTGAATAACTCGTACGGTTGTCGTTCCTGATGAGAGAATTCATACCTTAAAGCGGGTCTGAGGTACCCCCGCTCTAAATATCTGCTCCAATGACTCGCACAATACGGCCTCTGGTGTGAGTTTCGAAACATGTATTTCCTCGCCATTATCCGAGTTGTCTGAGTCGCGGGAGGCAAGACACAAGGAAAGGGCTGCCGCGGAGGCCTGGAGCACAGACTGATGGCGATGGCGTGCAGTCTAGGAAGAAATTTATAGCGTGCACGGGCAGAAATAGAAAACGGACCTTAATTAGTCGCTTACAACGTGCTACAAAATGGGGATTGGGAGATCGCTGCATGATTTCAAGGATGGACTGTGCGACAGAATGAAAGTACTTGGACTCCATGTCGAGTCTCTGCATATTGTCAGAATTTTTGAGCAGGAAAGGTGATAACATACTCTGCACCACGTCCCAAAGATAAGAGGATAGCGTCTGAGCCCTATGAGATCGCATATGTTCAGATCTAACCACGGAAACGCACCCCACAAGCTGATTGAAAAGCTGCTCTGTGACGCGCTTGAGGAGAAGCTCAAAGGGTAGGTACAGATTTTCTGCGAATGGGCTGGCATCACTGAGAAGGTTTGTGGAGTCTCTGCGAACAACTGCGGTTTTCCAAATATAGCATAGATCCACTGCCACGAGAATAGCATGTGGGCGGGATGTGTGGGATAGGGACCGCGATGGCGTCAGGGTGACTGCAGGGGGAAATTGTGCGTTGACAGATGATGCACAGTCAAAGAGCTCACTTTTAGCATGGCCGTCGTCGTCGTCAATGTATGCGTCAGAAATGGTGTTTAAACCAAGCTGGAGTGCGTTCTGAAATAGATTGTCACATCAATGAAACGGAAAAAGGTGGCTTCGATACGTGCTTCGTTAAGATCATTGCGGAGGTAGCGCATCAAGGCAGAGTGCGCGATTGCATCCGCAGGGACAGTCTGGCCGTCTAGAGAACCTGAAATAGAAAAAATCAAATCTGAAAGTAGGAGAACGTCCAATTCTTTTGGTAGTCTGCCCTTGACTTTATGAAAAACGTTGGAGGGAGAGCCATGATAAAGCTTGTGCACAATTTTTACGTTCAATAGACATTGTTCAGAAGCAGCACGAATTGATGAGGAGGAGGAAAAGGATGGCATTGAGAATTATTAAATTATTATTTTAAGTTCAAGTCCATATGTAAGTCTGAGTCTCAGTTAATAAGTCTATATATGGGTGTTAGCCAAGTCTGTAGTGCCTCGTCGGGCGTTTATCAGTAATCTGGCCACAGCCCCATCTGCTGCTGTATAACGCCCTCTCTTACTACGACCTACAGACAGCACAGGTCTTCAACGGTTATGGTGCGTTCTCTCTTTCTGCTCTAAATTCACAGTCAAACAAGTCTCTATCATAGTCGACCGTCGAGCTAGACCAGAAAATACAAGATGTCCTCAAACGCATCGAGAAGGAACGCAAATTCATCGACGCTTCACGCTTAATCCGACAAGCAACCACAAATCCAGATGTACTGCGTCAAAATGATGTAAAAGTTCGCGAGGCAGAGCGTTCGCTTTCTTATTTCGAGGACACTCTCCGCGAGCTACAAGCTCGCAAGCTACAGCGCGAGGATCCCTCTAGATCGGGCACTGCCATATCTCCTCATCAACAATTATTCAAACAAGGTCGTTCCTCTGATAGAGATCGATCACTTCCCCGAATCCCTCCTTCTGATCAAGATTCTACTCGTGGTGCCTCTTCTAGCGCCACTCTCATTCCCGGCGATGATGATACAGACGGTGTTCCCAAGGCCAAGCAATATACAAACCTCGATCTTATTAAAGCAGATACCCCCCTTACAACTCCAAAGATATCTCGTATGCTTCATCAGCTCGAGTTCAAACTACAAGTCGAAATGCAGTACAAAAAGGGCATCGACAAGATGTCCAAGCTTTACCAGGCAGACGGCGACAAGAAGTCTCGTGCAGATGCAGAGAGCAAGCGCGTTGAGAGCGAGAAGAAGATCCAACTCCTTCAATCCGCTCTCAAATGCTACAAGAACCTCCATATTCTCGATGACGTCGAGGAAGAAGAGCAACCAGCAGGTCGGTTTTCCTTTTCCTCGTTAATTTATATCATTTCAAATCCATTGGGCTAGGTCCCGATGGCGAACGTAAAGATAATATACGCGCTAAGCCGTTATCTGGCAAGCTCTATGTGACTGTCAAAGGGGCACGCGAACTCGAACATACTCCAATCGTAACTGGTTTTAGATCCCGTACTTCCTCCAAACAGGTTCGTGAGACCTTCGTATCCCTTAAAATCGAAGGAACACAACGCGCTCGCTCCCACCCCTCGCGGACCGACCGCTGGAATGAAGACTTCGAAATCACCGTCGACAAAGCGAATGAAGTCGAGATCGCGGTCTATGACAAACAAGTGTCGGAAGTTCACCCGGCCCCTATTGGATTGCTCTGGATAAGAATCAGCGACCTTGTTGAAGCGCTCAGACGGCAAAAGGTCATGATGGACAGCCAGGGTGGCTGGGTTACTGCAGGTGCCATGGATGGTGACTCTCCTGTCAATCGTTCTCCTCACCAAATTGGTGGATTCGGCGATGTCAATACTCCTCTCAATATAGAACCTGATGGGGCAGGTAATCCACCAGGCGGAACAGCAGCGTTTACGAGCCAGAACGAAGGCATTGATGGGTGGTTCGCGGTAGAACCGGCAGGCGCCCTTGCATTGCATCTCAACTTCGGTAAGTGACCTTGAAGTCTGTGATTCAAATTCTTATACCGAGTTTCAGTCAAGGAGAACGTGCGCAAGCGCCCGCTAGATGCCCCCGGTGGACTCGGCCGTCAGGGCGCTGTCAGAAAACGAAAGGGTGAAGTTCACGAGATGAACGGCCATAAATTCGTACAACGGCAATTCTATCAACTCATGCTTTGTGCCTTTTGCAACGACTTCTTACTCAATGCCCTGGGTTATCAGTGCGAAGACTGCCGATATACTTGTCACAAGAAATGTTATGAGAAAGTCGTCACCAAGTGTATATCGAAGTCAAACACTGGAGTACGTACCTTCCCCACTTCTCTCATCGCTTCTCACACCTCCCTCTCCAGGAAGGCGATGAAGAGAAGATCAACCATCGCATTCCCCATCGCTTCGAGCCCCTTACAAACATCGGTGCGAACTGGTGCTGCCACTGTGGTTACATGCTTCCTCTTGGTCGCAAGAACGCACGCAAGTGCTCAGAATGCGATATCACCTGCCACGCCAACTGTGCGCACCTTGTGCCTGATTTCTGTGGTATGTCAATGGAGACGGCCAACCAGCTCCTCCGTGATTGGCGCGATATCAATCGCGCGCGCGGGGGTAAAGCAGCAGCAGTGGTATCACGACCCATGGCCCTCGCTCCTACGCCACAGACCCAAACGCAAGTGCTTCCACTTGCGGAAGTGCCACTTAGCGATAGTCTAGACAGGATGCAACTTACGGGAGGAGAGGTAGCTCCTGTACCAGGGATGATCGTGGATGCGTTTGGACGGCGCACCCCTACGCAGGATGGTGTTGATCCTCGTTATTATCAGCAGCAACCGTCGTCTAGTGTTCCTCCCCGTCCTCCCCCAGGTGCTCGGGTCCCGGTGCCCCCTGCTTACCCCAATGAACAGTTGTTGCCTCCCCCACCACCGCCTCCGCCACAGTTACCTATGGCGTATGAGCAGGAAGAGTACTCGATCCCTTCGCCCCAGGTACGTTTCTGTATTAGCCGTGTTAGCATGTGCGCTTACAAAGATCTAGAAACAGACCCCGTATCCGCAACCAGGTTTAGCGATGCAACCTCTTGGGCCCCAGTATGCACAGCGACCTCAGGAGCCTCACTTAGTCCCGCCAGCTCAGGCGATGCCTCCGACGCAGCGAGTCGCAACTCGTAAGCGTAAAGTTGGCCTCGATGATTTCAACTTCCTGGCTGTCCTGGGTAAGGGTAACTTCGGTAAAGTCATGCTCGCGGAGGAGAAAAAGACGAACGGGTTGTATGCCATCAAAGTGCTCAAGAAGGAGTTTATTATTGATAACGATGAGGTTGAGAGGTAGGTCTCATAAATTTGATGCGATCAAGAAACTTAATTAGAATTTGTAGTACCCGTTCAGAAAAACGTGTATTCTTGGCTGCTGCTCGTGAACGGCACCCGTTTCTGCTTGGCTTACACTCGTGTTTCCAGACTGAGACACGTGTGTACTTTGTCATGGAGTACGTTAGTGGAGGTGATCTCATGTTGCACATCCAACGGAAACAATTCTCGCTTCGCCAAGCCAAGTTTTACGCATCGGAGGTTCTTCTTGCTTTGGAGTATTTCCACGCGAACGGCATCATCTACCGTGATCTGAAGCTTGATAATATCCTGCTTACCCTTGACGGACACGTTAAAGTTGCTGATTATGGTCTGTGCAAGGAGGACATGTGGTATGGCTCTACCACGAGCACGTTCTGCGGTACTCCCGAGTTTATGGCTCCCGAAGTAAATGTTACATCTCTTTGTTGTGAGGGCCAAACTGACGTCGAGGCAGATTCTGCTGGAGCAACGATACGGCCGCGCCGTAGATTGGTGGGCGTTTGGTGTCTTGACGTATGAGATGTTGCTTGGACAATCGCCTTTCCGTGGTGATGACGAAGATGAAATATTTGATGCCATCTTGGAAGATGAGCCTTTGTATCCCATCACCATGCCGAGAGATGCTGTTTCCATCTTGCAAAAGGTTGGATGTTCCCATACTCTATTTTCTGTTCTTGCTGATGGTCATTTTGCAGCTGTTGACCCGCGATCCCACCCGACGTTTAGGATCTGGGAAAGCTGATGCCGAAGAGATCAAGAGACATCCCTTCTTCAAGGATGTGAGCTTTGATGATGTTTTGAACAAACGCATTCCACCGCCGTATTTCCCCACTATAGTAAGTCTGATGATTCAACTACAAAGGATTGTCGTTGATTTCATTCGCAGAACGGGAGTGCGGACACCAGTAACTTCGATGAAGAATTTACAAAGGAGCAACCGACGTTAACACCCGTTCACGGGCAGTTGTCTTCGAAGGACCAACAGGAATTCAGTGGATTCTCATGGGTGAGTGTAGTGCCTGTTTCTTCGTTACTCCCCACTAAACAACTTGCGAAGGTCGCCTCTTGGGCAGATGTATGATTCGGACTCTATGCAGCATTGTCATCATCATCTGTCTTTGTCTTGTCACAATAATACATACATTTTTTGTTCTTATCACCTGTACTTGGATAGTCTTCGCAGAGTTCATGAAAGCAATCATGTAGCGTACCTGTCGGACAATTTCACTTTCCCGCTTGAGCTACAGTCGGTGCTATCGTTTGGAGTTTGTAGACACGATGTGGGCGCCTGTGCCGGGCACGGTCGTTCTATCTTCGAGCACCTCGTCTCGTTGTCCACGCATCAACTCATGAAAACTTTGCCAGAGGGAAGCGATTGTTTCATATTCTCGAGTCATGCCTATTACTTCTTCGAGTTTGCGATTGAGTACGTTGCTGGATGAGAGAAGGTCCTCGAAACCCTGTGGATGGTTCATGAGTTTTAATGTGTTGGGTTGGGTAGTAGTACTTACTGCTGTGATTTCTAAGGATATTCTATCGCGCTCGCGTTCAAAGAAGGAGAGTTCTGATTGCGACATCGAGTAGTACCGACTATACTAAGCTAGCGGAGGATTTGGAGGATGTGTCGCGTTCTGAATCTTACGTCATCACGCTTAACCTTCAAAATCCATTTTTGACTGACTCGTCTCAGAAGGTGAGTGATCATCCATTAATGATAGTCTTGGAGGTGCACGAGCTTGACCATCTGATGAACCGAAGGTACCCTCAAATATTTATTGAAATTCATACATCATTGAAATATGCGGCTGGCCGAGTGCTAACTTGGTGCTTATCGACGCGCGGTATCGCCCTTGATGTCCTTCTGAGACCCGCTGCATGATCGATGGTAGTCGATGATTTAGAATGGCTATGATGTGCCAGGTTGTTGGGGAAATAGTTCAACCCTCCTACCGCCGCTCACCCCTGGGCATGTATACGTCCTCCCAATCAGCCATTTGCAGATAATTGATCGGTCAACCGGTTGGTCAACTGCCAGCTAACACGTGTTAAAACCCTTATCAACCCGCCGTGACCTTAAGAGCAAGTCCGTACAAGCCGTTTTGGCATTTAGCGAGCGCTCTTTCTCCCATTCATATCGGACCTTCCTGCTAGCCTTTCCAACTTTGTTCCACAGCCTACATCCGCGACTCGTGGTGCATTACATTCTGATCTAGGACAGGCGAGAGGTTATATCGCCATATCCATCTTGTCAGATCAAACACGAGATGTTCGTGTCACATATTGGTCAGTGGAACAATTGCTCTTTTCCGAAGTTGCAGGATCTGCGGATTCTGCGGTTCCAACTTATGATGCACCTGCATATTTTCAACGTGAAACTGTTTTCTTAGAAAACTACAGATCGAAAAGGTCAGTGGTGTGATGCTGTCTAACATTATCAACTTTTCCTCTATCTTCAGGATCCTTCGGCGCTCGAGGTACCCATGACCAACCTGCGGCTGTTTATATCAGAATTCCCCCCGCGTATTATTCATACGAATCTGCGTACCAGTAGCATTGAGTATTGACCGCTGTTACTGGTTCGCTGATGCGGTGTGTGTGAGGGGGGGGGGAGGCTCTGAAGCTTTGACCACTTTTTCCCGACAAGTGAAGAATCGCGCTGATATTACAATGCGTACTTTCTAGACAAAATGCTGATATCTCTCTTTTGACTACGCATCTGTTTTACGACTGTAATGTGCGTGCTTATAGTATGTTGATGTATCTCAGTGTATTCACAAGTGATGTATGTAGCGTTATTGCGCATTCATAGAATGGAAGGGGTCATGATTGCGCGGTTGCTGTACAGCGGTAGTCAGCAGGAGGTGTCATGTAGCCCGAGGCTGGAATGATCACATATTGTGGATGGATCATGGTCAGAACTGCGTAGGAGTCGGTGGTACAGAATGTCGGCGGAAAATTCAAGTGCTGGAATTTGGAGCAAACCTCCGTATACGTAGGAGTCCGAGTTCCCCGTAAACCGACGCGTTCTGGATCCTTGATGCGAGATAGAAGGTGCATGATGCGGACCTTGGATTATTAAAATCTGCGCTGGCCTGAAGCTTATTGACATGTGGCGTCGCACCTGATGTTCTTCTGGGCACGCTGCAATATAATCGATGGGAGTCGATGGTTTAGAATGGCCATGATGCGCCAGGATGTTGGCCATGTCATCGATCAGTCTGCCGGTTGGTGCTGCCAATACGTGTTAAAGCCCTTATCAACTTGCCTTAACCCTGAAAGCAAGATCAAGCATCTTCCTCACTATCTGTTGTTCCACAGTCTAGATGGTAGATGAACCCAACATCGTGACTCACGGCTATCGCCCAATACATGGCACTCTCTACCCGAGTATCAATGAAATGACTTCCACTGTGCAAACTAATAACAGTGAGCAGCGTACATCGTGGTTGGTTTACATAGCGTGAAGACTTGGAATTTGTATAACCCTTTCTTGCCTGATGAAGAGATGTGCAAGAACACGATGCATACTTTCATTACCGCAGTCCTGGTATCTGTGATAACAGTACCAGTAGGCTGAATGCGTAAACGTTCTCGTTCCGACCGCAGAGCAACACCCAATAGGTGCAGGGAAATCATTGAACCATGGTGATCGGAATGCACATACATTTTCGCAGCTACTCCGACGGGAGAAAAGATACTTGGCCTTGGGCGTTGCTAGAGTTCGGTTGCCTCGTCGGTTTCGGAATGAGAGTGACGAAAGGCGACTGAGGAGGGTAACTGTTAGTATTATTGCTTGCGTACTGGAATGGAAGTATCCGCATCTTTATCGATGGCTTACTCGTTTCCTTCTGCTTACTATTACTGACTCTACCTAAAATTCAGAGCGCTGTTTGACAAAGTCCGATTTTTAGATGGAGGATAGCAGTATAGTTGCGTAGTGGTTTTGACAGATTCGGAAACGGCGAACTGAGAATGGTGAGGGTCGGTATTCGATTTGAAGTGGCGTAAAGGATACACTTCCAATCTAAATTTAGGATGGCAGTCGCCGCCGCACCGGTGATCCGGAAATAGATTTCTACGGAAAATACCGACCATAGTCCTGTCGAGTCCATTGTGATCTTCAAAGTTACAGCATGAGCCATCTAGTGCTGCATCCTCATTCGATATCGTACAACTCGTTCAGTCGAATATGTTTACTACAGAAAACCTCATTTTTCGCGGATTCGCAGATGAAGATCTAGACGGAATCCTTGCTCTGCGTAGTGACCCCCTCGTCCAACGCACACAGTCATTCTCAGCCATCGCGCCTCCACCATTTTCAAAGTACAAACAATATATGAAGACATTTGCGGAGGGCTCATCGCTCTGGTTTTCATTGGTACACAAGGAGTCATATGATTATGTTGGTTATTGTTGCATCAACTTGTTGGAGGCGAAGAATCGGGATGCACGGTTGGGTGTCACTATTTCCTCCAGGTTCTGGGGGAAGGGATATGGAACGGAAGCCACGCGTTTCACTGTAAACCATGCATTCAAGTACTTTGGATTGCAGCGTATCTCTTTGGATGTTACAGAAAGCAATGTCAGAGCACGGACCGTTTATACCAAATTGTGAGTGGCTAATAAGCTTAGTATGAGCAGGTTTTGTGACTGTGTTTCCAGAGGTTTTAAGGAAGAAGGAAGGAAACGACGGGGGAATTGGATAGATGGTCATTGGGAAGATATTATCGCGATGGGAGTTCTGGACGATGAATGGGCCGAGTTACATCCCAGCATCGCCTAGCTAACAATTATATCGATGATGATCCGGGGTCGACGGGTTAAAGGTAATATTTGCAATTAATAATTTCTAGGCCTAGCCTAGAGTTATCTAGACACTCTTCCTTATCGGAGGCTTTATGACGTCGTTCCCGTATATAAACCGTCTCTCTTCATGCCATCGATTTCACTACCTCTTGTTCCTCACATCTAACTACCATCATGGATACCGAACCCACTCAACTCCAGGCTCAAGTCAATCGACTCCAGCACGAGCTTCAAACCTTGAAAGCTCAATATCACTGCGAAGATGATGAGCTTATCACCATCTCTGACTACATCTTGAAGAGATTGGAACAGCTCAACGTGACGGTATGTGTCCCCTTTAATCATCTTCATGGAACCCAGCCCACTCGTTGCTCACAGTCCATTTTCGGAGTACCGGGGGATTTCAACATGCGTATGGTCTCATCAATCATCGATCACTTGGTATACTGACAATATTGTGTAGCTTTCCTGGTGAATTATCGCGCATATGAACAGCGCAAGCACTGATATTGTCTATCTCGATCCTAAGGACTTCATTGAAGACCATCCCACAATTCAATGGATCGGTAACTGGTAATTAGTTCATCATGTCGCCCACATTATCTTCTTATGCTATTATAGCAACGAGTTGAACGCAGCTTACGCAGCCGATGGATACGCCCGCGTCAAAGAGCATAGCATTGGTGTAGTCGTCACAACGTAGGTTTCGTAGTTGACAAACACTATCTGCTACTCAACAATTGATAGGTTCGGCGTTGGCGAATTGAGTGCCATCAATGGAATTACAGGCGGTAGTTGTTATTCGTCGTTCTCGCTTGGGGTAACTCACAGATCAATCAGCGTTCTCTGAAATGGTCCCTGTTCTTCATATCGTCGGAGTGCCTAGCACTACGCAATTGAAGGATAAGCCTTTGCTCCACCACACACTTGGTGATGGACGGTATATATTTCTCTTCTTTGTTCATTCAGCGTCTCAAGCTTCCCAGATTCGACGCATATACGAAAGTTGCGGAACAAACTACCGTTGCTCAGGCCATGATTATGGATAAAGCACAAGCTGCGGCCGAAATCGATCGAGTTCTCATGCAGTCCATTATCCATGTAAGTCCTGATTGTCCGCCTTCCCCCATTCAAGCAGTAAATGTCCTTCAGGCTCGCCCCGTTTACCTCGCCCTTCCAATGGATCTTACCACCGAAAAGATCTCTGCGAAGCGCTTGAAGGTCGAACTTCCTCGAACCCCTCCTCTCAATGACCCGGACGTCGAGAGCTATGTTCTCGACGAGATTATGGAACTCGTAGAGGATGCTAAACTAGACGTCGTTGTCCTTGTCGATGCTTGCGCTATTCGTCATGACTTGCGCCAGGAAGTCAATGACCTTCTCGTGAAAACACAGTTCCCCGTATACGCGACACCAATGGGAAAGACAGCAGTGAGCGAGGAGCATGAACGATACGGTGGTGTGAGTTTTGTCCCCGTCTTTCGTTCAGGACCGTTCTGACGTTTCTATAGATCTACATCGGTTCGATTACGCATCCGTCCATCAAGGAGAGGGTTGAAAACGCAAACCTCATCCTCTCGATTGGCGGGTTGAAGTCAGATTTCAATACGGGAATGTTCACGTACCATATTCCTGCGAGACACACCATCGAGGTAATTTTCCGTGACATGCCGGTTTTTGACGCTCAGATAATGTCTGCAGTTACATTCTGACCATACACTAGTTCGCCATGCAAGATTCCCGGGCATAAGAATGAAGTGGCTTCTTCCCAAGCTCTCGGAGAGGCTGAGTAGACATCAGGAGGGTGCATCACGAATCCCCGTTCCGCACTATCGGCTAGATGTTCCGAAGGAAATTGACGACAATATTTCGCATGCTTACTTCTGGCCTCGCGTAGGCAAATTTTTCCGGAAGCAAGATGTAATTGTTGGTGAGACTGGTGAGTCGAAACATGTCTATTATCATTCAAAATGTAGGGTGAACGTTGTTGTCTAGGCACATCGAACTTTGGGCTTTTGGATATTCCAATGCCTGACAAGTGCATTTTCGTCAGCCAAATTTTGTATGGAAGCATTGGATGGGCGACCGGTAAATAATGTAAAGTTTCTCTCTATTGAACCTGCATCTGACGAATGGCTGTAGCTAGCACCCTCGGTGCAGCGCTCGCAGCTCGTGACAAATGTCTTGGGCGCACTATATTATTTACCGGTGATGGTAGCATGTGCGTCGTTCATCCGTCGTGCCTGGAAATGACTTAGACATTTCATGCGGCAGGACAACTGACCGTGCAAGAGATTTCAACCATGATCCATCACAAACTGGCGCCAATAATCTTCGTGCTGAATAACAAGGGCTACAATATCGAGAGGCATTTGCACGGCCTAAATAGGCGAGTTGTCGCTTAGAAAACATTTCACATGACAGCTCACAGATCATTGCAGGAAGTACAACGACATCGTAGACTGGTAGGATGCGTCTTGCTCTCTTGATTCGTGTTTTGCTAGACCATTCCCACAGGAAATGGGCTTCGCTCCTCAATACTCTTGGTGATATTGAGGGTAAACTGTCAACATCGTACACGGTTCACAGCAAGTCAGAGCTCAACAAGCTTCTCGATGATGAGGAATTTGCAAGTGCGCAGAAGATACAGTTGGTTGAAGTAATCATGGATAAGTACGATACACCCCGTGCGTTGCAAGCATCCGCGGCGTTGACTGCAAAGATTGCGGCGGGGCAACTCTGAATCACGACCAGATATTTTTTTATGCATTCAAACTGTATAAGCACTGTATTATTACAATGAAAATGACTCCGCTTGTAATACGAATGTATTGTGACTGAAATGCACATACAAATTCTACACTCGAACCGAGCCAAATTTTTACTAGACTGGATATAGACATTTCAACCTGACACGTGACTGACGCGTATCAGGCAATTGGCGCGTCAACCACCAGCAACGCATCTGTCTAATCCGAATCAATCCACCGTCCACAATATTGTACCACTTCACACATTAGACTCTGCGACAAAGTTGTCATCTTACCTTAATTTCGCTGTTTGTCACTCATCACTTCAACCCTACTACCAACAGTATCTCTGTGTCTTGGGACATTGACAGTGGTCAGGCGGCATAATGGCGCACAACTCAGATACTATTCCTCGCAGAATAGGCAACTACTGGTTACAAGATCGACTTGGATCAGGCTATTCAGGTTCGTACTGAGCCCACTCAGCACCATTCCTCACCCAGGCCGTCTCGTCCCAGGCTCTATCTTCAAGGCATATCATATTCATGATGGCACCTTCGTTGCGCTCAAAGTGCAAGATGTCAACCACGAGTGCCCGACAAATCGCTATGAGCAGGCCATCTATCCTCTACTGCAAGGAGGAGAGGGCATGCCTCGGTTGTGGGCAAGCGGTTTCGAGGGAAAATGGCATTATCTGGTTATAAGTCTCCTCGGACGGAGTCTGGAGAGTATCTATCGACAAAATTTGCAATCAGGGCATCAGAGGATGGACCTTCGGAGTGTATGCTCTATTGCAATCCAGGTGGTGAGTGTGCTGGCTGATTTCAGATCGATAACATAATATTGACATCGATCGAATATGCAGATCGCACGCTTGCAGACCATGCACAAGCGTGAAGTTCTGCATCGCGATATCCAGCTTGGGAACTGTGCCATAGGATTGTCATCTGAAAAAGAAACCATCTTTATGATCGACTTCGGGTTTTCTAAACGCTATATCGATTCGCACACGCGACGGCATATTCCAGACTCAAAAGAGAAGAGAGATTTTTTGGGCAACTACTGGTTTACGTCTGTCAACGTGCATTGCAAAGGCAAGGGTCAGTGTCCTAGGTCTATTTATGCGTAATGGATACCTATGAAAACTGTCGCAGTACCGTCTAGGCGAGATGATCTTGAGGCCGCTGCACTGATGTTTATACATCTCCTTACGCCTGGAGGACTCTCGTGGACACGGAACGGTGTACCGAAAACCGACTCGGCGCACCATCTCATCAAGCGAGCGAAAAAGAACGCTCGCCCTGAGGACCTGTGCAAGGGAATACCCTCTGAGTTCGAGGAGTTCCTGCGCTATTGTAGACAGCTGAAGTTCTTCGAATGTCCTGATTATGACCACTGGAAAGACGAGTTCCAGGCGCTCGCACAGGACAATGGCTTCACCGATATTGAGCGCTTTATCTGGCCACCACCGCCAGCTCCCAAGGTACGAGTGTCCGTCGGTATGCCTGAGTCTGTGTATTCAAATTTTTTCAGGTTCAACCTCAAGTGGTACGGCCTGCTAATAAACGGCCCACGATGGGTACAGATGAGATGGAGAACGTCCTGAATGACTTGGCCAAGCTCCAGCTCAACCCGCCTCGTCCAATACTTGGGGACCAAACTAATGTCCCTGCCCCTGCGCGAAAAGATGATGCCAAAAAGTCTAGCGAAATCATATCTGTAAGCGACAGCTCTGCGGACGGTAGATCGAGGCCAAATGGCCAACCCCTTCCACCCTGCACTCCCGTGCGAACCAAGAAAGCCAGTCAGCTGCAAAAACTCAAGCTTGCGGTACTTGATGCGACAGATAATGCTGCTCTCGCAGTCGCCGTGGAAGAGTTCAAGAAATTCTTACAACTAGGCTCAAGGACGCTCACCAAAGAGGGTTTTGCCTTTCTTGATGCACTGTACAAACAGCTCGCAGATCCTTCGATATTTGTACAGCCGCTCCGCACTTTACGAAGTACTAATCGAGAGGAGGGTCGGGCCCCCCAACCAGCGCACGTGAAACTGGGTGTGGTTGCGAGGCTTCGTCGAGAAGTGGGTACTGCATCGAGTAATAGGGTGCTTGCGAATCTCGTAGCTGACTTTGGTGCTGTTACCAACAAGAGCAGTGGGAGGACTATCACGAAGGATGGGATTGCATTTTTGGAGGGACTAGCTGCGAGGCTACAGGCGTTAAATTAGGAAGGAGTACTTGCTTTTGCCAGGCCCTTTCATTAGTGAGATTGAAGTATTTCTAGTGGTGCCTCGCGGTCTTGTTGCCTGAAATCTCACACTATATTGACAAGATATATATATACATAGTAACTTGCTCCTGCAGCCCATGTTGCGATATGTCAATATCATGAATGAGGCTCAAACGTTAAAGACTTACACGTACTCGGCGTGCGTGATTCATGTAATGAATAGTAGTGACAATGTGTTTTCCGACTCTCCTTCGAGTTGCAGTTATTAGTGAAACCCACGTGTGTTCTCGGTGATCACCGGAACAATTCTTTTACCCCAATAAATAGACTCGAAGACGGCTCGCTTCATTTGCTTTCCTTTGTCTCTTTCTCCCTTCCTTCTTCATAGAAGCTTAGATTAGACAGGAGTCACCTACAACGACCTCAATCATGTCAGACGGATCAGAGAAAGGCATCACGACCGTGAAACAGAATGTCTGCGTCATACCCGACCTCACAATCAAGGACCTGTTGAGCGCTATTCCGTACGTCTGCACGCGTCTTTAGATACATTTCGGGGACAGACGCTCATTACAGTCGGTTTTTCCAGTGCTCGCTGCTTCAAGCGTTCGGCGTTGCGGTCATCGCTATACATGTAGGTTGCTATCTTGCCCTAGATAGCTGGCTCTGACGCGTTCCACAATGATTAGTGTATACGACCTGGTGGTGATCTCGGGTATCTATAAGGCCGCAACTTATCTAGACACCCTCATCTCTCCCGAACACATTTCCCTTCCTCATCCTCTGCTCTATCCTGCTGCCCGCCTTTCTCTCTGGGCCGGGTACTCCTTCTGGACGGGTCTCTTTGCCACCGGCCTCTGGGTCATTGCTCACGAGTGCGGTCACCAAGCATTTTCAGAGTCCAAGTCTATCAACAACAGCGTTGGCTGGATCCTGCATTCCGCGTACGGGCTTAATTTTTTTTAATTCCGTCAGTCACGTGATTGACAGTATCTTAATTAAACTTTAGGCTCGGTGTACCATACCATTCGTGGAGGATCACACATGCGAAACATCATGCCTCAACTGGTCATATGACTCAGGATCAGGTTTTTGTCCCCAAGACACGTTCGCAGCTTGGCTTGCCCGCATTCGACCCGACAAAGGAGGATATTCTTGGTTCGAGTGTTTCGGATGAAGTGATGAAGGAGCTGCGGGAGGCGCTGGGCGACTCCCCTATTGGTGCAATGATTGGTGCCGCTACCTACTTGGTTAGACGAATTGGATGAGACCTGTGTGATCATGGCTAACTTTTCTATAGCTTGGCGGCTGGCCTGCATACCTTATCCGTAATGCATCTGGTCAGAAGCGTTACCCCAAAGGCACCAACCGTGAGTCTCTTTTCGTGTTGAAAAGAGAATAATTTAATGGTCTAGTTTTTTAGATTTCAATCCTGATGCTGTGATGTTCGCACCTCACCAGCGCGAGTCTATCATTCTGTCTGATATCGGCATCGTGCTATGGCTCGCTGGTGTCGGCGGCTCCATCTATACATATGGGTTCTGGACCGTGTTCCGTCTCTACCTAGTACCCTACCTCTGGGTCAACCACTGGCTTGTCCTCATTACGTTCCTCCAACATACAGACCCAATTCTCCCTCACTACCGCGCCTCTGAGTTTACTTTCCCCCGTGGCGCCCTGTCTACTTTGGACCGCAACCTCCTCGGTGGCTGTGGCTCAATTATGGGTTGGATAGGTGCTCATGCTACGCACGGTATCTCTGAGACCCATGTCCTTCATCACGTCTCCAGCAAGATTCCTCACTACAACGCTTGGGAAGCTTCCGATGCTCTCCGTAGGCGCCTTGAGCAAGCAGGTATCAAGCTTGAGGGTGCTCCAGGCGGGTGGGGGGAAGTCTACAGGGTTTTCAAGGAATGCAAAGTCAGTATAACTTACTTCGGTCTGGTATATATTCTGAGACATTGTTTAGTTCGTTGAGGATGAAGGCAACATTCTTTTCTACAAGAATGCCTCGGGTCTCGCTGCCACTCGCCCTGCGTTTACTGATGGTAGCGCTAGTGATTCTGGTATTGAGATTGACAAAATCTAAAAGCGTGATGGTGCGTTATAGAGACGCCTGTAGATCGCCCACTTGACTATCCCTTAAGTTGTGATCCATAACATAACATAACATAACATAGATGGCTTGACGTCTTTGGGCCAAGGGGGTCTGTTAGATATTAGAATCCTTGCATTATGATAATTCTAATGAACGACCACATGAATGATCTTTTCGTTCGTGATTGACTCTTATTCAGGGAGACCTCACTGCCACAGATCTTGAAGCTTGAGCTTGATGTCTTCACCGCTAGTCAGCGCGAGGAATCCAATCGGTATGTTGTACGAGCGTCTTTGAATTTTTAGTATTCCCTAAACCGCATTTGATTCGCACGGTCTTAGTCGTCGACTGTCTTGGATTTTTCGTTGCTCTTATTTGTGTCAACGGTACGAGTGATTTCACCGCACAGTTGCAATGTGCTGCATTGTGTTTCCAATCATGATGGGGTGGCTGTTTCTGGTCCGGCGCGCGTTCCTAACATCGACGGAGACGTTTCACCCCTTCTATCTACATGGGTGCTGTTATTACAAACGGAGTTGTAGCTACCCATGCGGTGATTTATCTTCATCTCCGTTATGTTCGTATCCACTGCAGCACAATGATCACGCTGTGGACAACTTCTTTGATGAATAAGAGAAATTACGAAGACTGCATTGGTGATTGCCCATGGACTTTCGGTGGCGAATATCTGTCCATTGAAGATCTTCGGGAGACTATTTCTCATGGCACTGCGTCACAAGCATTTGAAGAGTGCGATTCGCTGTGTCGACAACTAAACTTGCATTGTGATGACGAGGAGGGTGCGCTTTTTGGGGAAGAGTCGCGTAGCTATGTCAACTAAATACGAGACGACGCCCTTTAGAACGGCTACTGAAAGTAAATGGGGTGGATTTTGAACTTGGATCGAAAACGGCACAACTTCGCCGCACATGGAAAGTCATTGCAAAAAGCGAAGTCGAAATCATTTGAACAAGCTCAAACCCAAGCGCGCTTCCTTGCTTGGCGTCCTGCGTCGAAAGCGGTTTCTGTTCAAAATGTACAATAGCATCTCTGGATGTGATCTCGATTCGTCTCTTTTGCGTAGACCTGACCAAGAAGTAGATCAAAACATGTTGAATGATTGTTTCGATGCTCTTCCTGGTTCGCTTCCCTTTGTGACTTGATGCTAGATCCGTCCGAGTGAAGACAACTCAGCGATGGTGAATTTAAGGTGCTCATATGCAGTGTCTGTCACAAAAAGCTCAAGGGAGGAAACGACCAGCTCTCAGTCTTGCGAACCACACTTTTTTGGGAGACATGTATAGCACTCGCCTTAATCTCGCAACTCATCTAAGTTTAGCTGCAGGATACCTGTGTCTGAAAACACGAATCAATTTGCATTTATGAATCGAGAATTGTGATAGCAGGATCAAATTCGATAGGACAGCAGCGGGATTTACCGCGAGTGGCCCTTCGCGTTATCGGTGTGCTGCGTGCTGCAGTGGATGTATAGCGTGAGTCCATGATGCGAAGCTCGGGCCTGACAAAAGCTCTCCCTCCGTATGTGGATAGGACGAAATCCGCAACGATCTTTCAAAGCATAATCTATTAGTCGTCGTCGTCGTTCATGGACTGTTGAATCTCTTTCTTCCACAATTCCGAGAAGTCGTTGATGTCCCGACCGCTACTCAACGCAAGGGCTTCCATCGGCAACATGTTGTGTTGGTAAGTTGGGGCGTTACGCGATGCAACTGGATGTAAAGGCGAGTCGATGATACGGAGCTCGGGTGTGTTCAAACCCTGTGTGAAAACTGCCAAGAGCTCTTCGTATGTAAATAGGAGGGGATTCGTTCGGGGTGCGTATGGGTTGAAATCTAGGACATGGCCCCGAGACAGATCACGCGTCATCAACACATCAAAGACGTCTTCATAAGTGTGGTGAGTGCGCGAACTACGACGAGGACAATTGTAACACATACAATCTTGTTGTCCATGCCATTCGGTCTTGATCTTCTCATTCCAAAAACGCCCGAGCGTCTCTACGATCTTGTTTTGTATTTGGGGCTCGTTCATGAAGTCGTAAAAATTCGTATCGCGTTGTGATATCCCTGTACGAGCGTCATTTGTGGTTTGCCGGAGTGAGAATTCGAAAACAGGAACATACCTACGAGACGGCCTTCACGGACGAAACACCTGAACTCGCGGCTCTTATCTATCGGATACCATTTTCGCAAGACAAGCTCGAGTTGATACGATGGTGGATTCGATGGATCGCATTCGCATCCCTCGAAGACGGTGTCGATCCTGAGATCGTGCGATATGAAATCTGAGGATTTTAGCAAAATGTAGACGTCGGATGGAGATGTGCATTTGAGAGGCGAGGATGGTGGTAGTACCCATGATGCGTCCTGTGTTCGATGTGAACGGGAATTGATCTCCATGGAACGGACTGACCTTTGGTGAAGAAAAATTGAGCTTAGGGAAGGTAGCGCCGTATTCTTTGATTATTTGTCTTATCCGCTCGTCTAAATCGGGGAAGGAGAAAGATCGCCCGACTGCAGCATCGTCCTCATCCTCTTGGTCTGAAGGAGAACTTTCTGCCGGACTAAGGGTGGGAAGTGAGTACGACTGAGAAAGGGGGCGAACGTAGACGACCGACACATTTTCCGAGCCTTCTGGTACGAAAATGCCGTCTGAGTCGAGGTATTCCTTGAATGCTTGATCCAAGGGATGGATGATGGTACTTTTGATGCTGATGGAGGAAAATGTTGGATACCATGATGAAAATTGGAAGGAAAGTAGATAATCTGGTGTTTGTAGAGGAAAGATACGATGCGATGACATGCCAGTCGTATGTGTTCCCGCTACGGCGGCAGTAGTGGGTTTTATTCTGTCATCGTGATTTGACCAACTTTCCAATGGCAGAGAAATCCATTACATAACTCCGGACCGTTTGTAATGTTTGTTCTGGAGTTCCGGCTGTTTGCAGTACTTATGTCCATGTCTCCTTACAAAATACTCGGATCTTTCTCTGACATCCCTGGTGTTATTCGCGTCGATGATGCGACTGCGTCGTTGTCTTTTCTCCATGATTTCAATCTCCCTCGAACTGTCATCAATCATATGGGACAGCTGTAGAATCCACTCTTGGGCCGGTTCGCGTTCCTATTGTCGATGATTGGTAAAATTCACGGCAGACCTTTCGACCTGTCTGTCTTAGTGGATGCGACGTTGAGCTCGGCTGTGATTGGCTAGCGTTTGTGAATGCGAAGTTTGATGGTTCTCAATTCCAAAGACCTTCAGAAACGGACGTTGCTCGACTTTCTGGTGGCCATAGTTGGAATTTTCAGCCTGGTGGTACGTGTATATCTTTGAATTGTCTCATATGTCCGAATGTTTGTTTCTAGGTTATCAATATAGGAGAACGTTTGGGCCATTGGCGTTCTCGAGGAACGCTCTCTCGATCTGCAAGTCCTTTCGTTCGATCGTGTCTAGGCTTACAGTATTTGGATCGTATCCCTTACCTCTGGTGAGAATACGAGCGCGGGACGAGCGAAGGAGACTAGAAAACAGGTACAATCTCAGTGTGTGATAAACGACTCTTAGCCCTAAATCCCACCCTAGTGTCGAGCTATGCATCCTAGGCAAACTCCACCCACAAAAGAAACTCTCGACCATTCCGGCCCCTGAACCGACCCAGAACTGACTCTATATCTGCTAATGCTGTATCGGAACCAGCATGGTAACAAACACAACAGAACTCACCAACGATCCTCCAACAGAGGGAACAAAACCTCGCCTCCGAGTCGAATTAAAAGGAACCCAAATCAGCTGAAATAGTTGCATGAGTTCAATCGGTGCTTTGAATGCGAGCAGACCAGACACCTTGCGAAGGACAACTCCAGTTAGACAGACATTCGCTTTTCACAACCTCTTCAACCTTCATTATCCTTCTGGCAAGTGTTTGGCTGCAAATCCTAGTGCTGCCCGAGAGGCATGTCATGTACCAGTCGCACCATCAGCATTCTTTCCTTGAAATCTCTAGGCAGTGTATCGAATATAATTATTCTTTTCCAAAGATAAGGCCTAGGCCACTCCTGAGTTTCATTGTCTAATAAAACCCGTAAGCCGCTGAACAAGGTCCATGTCGGCAGCTCCGACCCCTAGTTTCATAGACCGCGAGAGATCTCGTTTATGGCTGGGTAAATAATTCTAATAGTAATACAGCATCCTAATTCAATCCTCCAAATCACGAAATAGAAACCACGAAATAGAAACCACAACGAAACTCCAGATGACCATTTGGATCGCTGTGCTAAACATCTCCGCCAGTCAACACATCGCCACCAGCTTGGAAATGAATCGATGTCATGTGTGTTCCCTCATCAGACCCAGCCACGAGCTTAGCATGATATTCGCGAATGCTGAGGATCAGCTGCGGGCCCAGCACAAACATCTGCAACACTTGGGCAACTTCGAGAATACCGGAATAAAGGGTACTTCCCATAGACGACGAGTACTGCAGAAGTGATGATGAGCGGACAGACACAGATGCTTAGTCGCAGATTGGCGCACCGTGATATTTGTAGACAGCGAGCCCAGGGTGAAGCAAGCTACAGTGGCAAATCTAACACATGTAGAACTTCAGTGAAACAAGATAATATCATCCAAGCCACCAAACTCACGCTACAAAGTAAAATGCGTGACTTTTAGTTAACACTGTAAAACAGCCCCTAATGGTCGATCCTGTTGGAGATTGTCGCAGCTCACGGAAGACAACCCAGCCTGCAAGGACGAAGGCGAGGATCTCCCATATAGCAGTGGATATCAGACTCTCGTAACTCAGATTCATCCAGTTTGCGCTATCACCTGTGGTACGGGTACCACAAAAATGATAGCCAAAAAGGATGTATTCCATACATCGCATGTATCCGAATCATCATTATGACTTGCATAATATTTCAGTCAAGTCACTACCAGTAAGGTACTGCAGGTGAGCTCACCGCCCAGCATAGCATTGACGACAACAGGTGTCCACACCCATGTGAAGTAAGCGATAGAACCTGAAATCAAATTTACTGATGTGAATTAATGGACTTCATGCTTCCATTGAACTTACAGCTGTTGGAGTGTTATGTTCAACATAGCAATGTGACTGAGAATATCACTCACTCCTGTGTAGAAGTATAGTCAGTAATTTAATGGGAATGACAGCCATCAGTGCAGAATACCCACTATGTCTGTCAGTGAGATTGGGAGAATACCTACATGTCACCGGTTAGGAAATGAACCGTGTATTTGGGGGGATACATACCTAGTATAATAACCCTATAATATATATGGCTTGTTAGTACACTGCAGTGACTTATTAGCCTTGAAAACTTACACAGAATATAGTATTCCAATATAGCGCACCTAGTAGCATATGTCGAAGCTGATTCAGTACATGTTGACATCACGGTGTTCATAACATAACTTGACGTACACACATATAAAGAATGGTCATGAAGGACCACCGTTGCATCTGCTTTGAGTCAACTGCACTACCCAGTTTACTTCTGATATGGGACCTTGCTTACCCAAGTCAGTTCGAACTGTTGAAGTATTTCAATGAGATGACTCCATCGATCACAGCAACTTACCTCTTGTCCGAATGTCAATGCTTGAATGACGTATAAATAAATATTAATGATACCCTTGAAATGTCATTTCACTCACCCCAATCGTAAACCACTGCAACAGAAGACACAACTGCAAAACCAGTCAGTGATTGTGAGACGTCAGCATCTTGCTCTCCAGTGGCACAGACCTGTCAAATAGCTGATAATACTAATACCACTGGTAAAGGACAAGTTAGAGGGATCATTTGAAACAAATGTCATGTCTGGACGGGGTGTATGGTGCTTGTCCAATATGCAGACACACCACCATCCAGCGCTTTTATAGTAGTCGATCTGGAAATCTGTTCCCTGAGGGGGAATCTTGATTGATTGCTTGTTGGTTGCAGCAACCAGAAGTATTATCGATCAAACAATTAGAACAGATAATCTGCATCAACTTGAAGTTTCCATCAGTAATCGTCTGATCATCGACCTAGATGCGCACACCCAATATTAATGCAGTGGGCGTCGACTGACTGGACGCTATTGTTAGGCATGCAGTCACTCATTCTGTCACAGCCAGATTTTACTGGGCATCAAAGATGGTGTTCCAAACTTCTGGTTGCTAACTCTCGACTAGTTTGATGTCGTATGGGTCGCACTGATATGCGGAGCCTCACCATACGACCACGCTGCCGTTGATGCGGATGCATGCAGGCCTACTTTTATGTCGGCTCTTTCTTCATACTCCGAGTCATGATAGTGACGTGACGTATATTGCTTGTGCCCGTTATAAGACGATGGTGGAAATGAAATACACTGCCGAGCAGCATAGCTAGATAAGAACGGGCAGTGTGCCCAATCAATCATTGATCAGCGCTCAGCGCCCAGCTAATATTGCTAACAAGGATATCTCCTTGTTCCAGACCTTCCCCATCGACTACGAAGGCTATGACCCAAACATCTCTTGAGATTCTTCAGTCCCAGTGAGAACCGGACCTCACCGTATCGACGGAAAACGGCCGAATCTCTTGAGATTCTTCAGTTCCCAACCTCTCTGTCCACCATTCACTCTTCGAAGCTAATCTCCCATCTACCAAACTCGAACGTCCTCTCACTCACCCTCATACATATGCAAGTGTGCTCTCGCAACTGATTAGTTGATTCCCCCGCCCCAAGATTAATCATTGCTCACTCAGTCAAACTCAGTGCAGCGTCAAGTCTACCGAAAAGGTATGGAATACGCCACGAGTTAGAGCTATATGATCTGAAGAGTGATTGTTCCACTGGCTGAAATGTGATACAAACATTTTGTCCTCCTTTGAAACAATGCAGGAGAGTATTGTATATTGCATGACGCAAGTCGCGATATCGCATAGATCATGCAGGCTGTGGAACAGGTCAGTGGGACGCTCTGACATGAATGGACGACAGAGGTTGGCGTGGAAATCACCGATGCCATTAGGGTGTGCTCGGTCCTGCTTTTAAGTTGATGGTGGAAAAAATGCCAGTCAACCAGTCGCTCGATAAAGCATCTGTCCAGGGCAGAGGTTTGGCATTACAAATAAGCATTTTGGGGGCCACCCTTGAACATTCTCGCGCACCTTCATCTTGTATCAGATCTCATACTATTTGTGCAATCGCCCTATCAGTTTGTCGTACCCTCTTGTACCCAGTCAAAAAGGATCTTGGCCGACTAGGTACTGGACATTGTTCCGAACATCCGGTGCATACTACAAAGACGTCTTCATAAGTGTGATGAGTGCGCGAACTACGACGAGGACAATTGTAACACATACAATCTTGTTGTCTTGTCCATGCCATTCGGTCTTGATCTTCTCATTCCAAAAACGCCCGAGCGTCTCTACGATCTTGTTTTGTATTTGGGGCTCGTTCATGAACTCGTAAAAATTCGTATCGCGTTGTGATATCCCTGTACGAGCGTCGTTTGTAGCTTGCCGGAGTGAGAATTCGAAAAACAGGAACATACCTATGAGACGGCCTTCACGGACGAAACACCTGAACTCGCGGCTCTTATCTATCGGATACCATTTTCGCAAGACAAGCTCGAGTTGATACGATGGTGGATTCGAGGGATCGCATTCGCATCCCTCGAAGACGGTGTCGATACTGAGATCGTGCGATGTGAAATCTGAGGATTTCAGCAAGATGTAGACGTCTGATGGAGATGTGCATTTGAGAGGCGAGGATGGTGGTAGTACCCATGATGCGTCCTGTGTTCGATGTGAACGGAAATTGATCTCGATGGAACGGGCTGACCTTTGGTGAAGAAAAATTGAGCTTGGGGAAGGTGGCGCCGTATTCCTTGATGATCTGTCTTATCCCCTCATCTAGATCGGGGAAGGAGAAAGTTCGTCCAACTGCAGCGTCGTCCTCATCCTCTTGGTGTGAAGGAGAACTTTCTGCCGGACTAAGGGTGGGAAGTGAGTGCGAGTGAAATAGATGGTGAACGTAGCCGACCGACACGTTTTCCGAGCCTTCTGGTACGAAAATGCCGTCTGAGTCGAGATATTCCTTGAATGTTTGATCCAAGGGACGGATGATGGTACTTTTGATGCTGATGGAGGAAAATGTGGGATACCATGATGAAAATTGGAAGGAAAGTAGATAATCTGGTGTTTGTAGAGGAAATAGGTGATGTGATGACATGCTGGTCGTATGTGTACTATAAGCAACGGTCAATGTCGAAGGTTCCGACTCATGTGACAGAAATTTACAAGCATTTATATATTATATACATCATCGAGGCAACGCAGCGGCCATGGAACAGTGAACAAGGTCAACGAATGCCTCACGAGTCACGGTCAACCCTGTCCAATTAAACTTCTCGTACATTCAACGTTCAACGTTCAACCTTACGATCATCGGCTTTATTGAACTTATTAGTATGGGAAGTTGTCAATGTTTGCTCGCTCAGAGGGGAATATTATGCATCATTTGTGCCTACCTAAATCCCCTGTTGCCCGCGCAGAGAACTTTACTAGACACGAGAATGTGTTTTGTGTAATTGCACGTTATTCACCCGCCAGTTGCGGAGTATCCCGACACCGAAGGTAGAGACAGGACGAAAAAGAGGTTATGGGGGAATAGAATAGAGGCAGGAGACGAGGTGGTGAATGAGGGGTGAGGGTAGAGCCTGAGGAACGGCTGAGAGCGGACTCAGAGGGAGGATGTGTCAGTTACCTAACAAGCACATGGAGCATCTTGACTGCAGTTACGCCAAAGTTCCTAGGTACCTTGTTGCGGCCCATCTGATTAGGAATGATCCACATAGCTTCTCAGAGGTGTCACTCATCATAATCCGTCCTCCAATTCACCCGGGAACGCTACTGGAAAGTTCTTAACTGTATCATGTTCTACTCGACCGTGACGCATACGAGCCGCAGCGCCACCTTGGTGGACCAGTCACAAAGCGGCTCAGTGCCCCAGTGAGTGATTCCTGTTGGGTATTCACGAACAAAGTGATACTACGTGATGCCTCACCCTTAGTTCGAGTTCGTCTATGACGGGCAGGACGTCCAGAAAACCTGACTCGGAGTCTGATCCGAACAATGATGAGAACATTAGAGGACAATTTTGGACGATATATGAGCGGGAGGCTGGGTATCACGTCGAGGAATTCCTCGAAAAACACAAGGGTGACATGGATATCGTTCTTATATTCGTGAGTATCTAGTCTCGACGTGGAGTTGCGATCCTGATCGCAATACAGTCAGGTCTCTTTTCCGCAGTCAGCACCACTTTCATAGTTTCTCTTCAATCCGCGCTCAGTCCGGACGAAGCTCAGATGACAAACGCCCTTTTAAAACTGCTCATACACACACTCGATAATAGTACGTTTGATGGTCAACAGCCCGACCTCCCACAATGGAATGGACCGGGGGAGACTGAGATTTGGATACAGTGTCTCATGTACGCCAGTCTCAGCACCAGTCTCATTGCTGCGCTGGGTGCCGTCCTGGGGAAGCAATGGCTGGGGCATTTCGTCCGCTGCGGACGTGGTCCGATCGACGCTCGCGGTCGTCTGAGGCAACAGAAGATGGATGGTCTCCAGATGTGGCATTTTAGTGCTGTCTTGGAGACGCTTCCGTTGTTGATCCAGATCTCCCTCCTTTTATTTGGAATTGCTCTAGGTGCTAGCATCTGGACGCAGCAGCCGACCATTGCAAGTCCAGTGGTGTTGACGATGGCATTTGGGGCCCTGTTTTATGGCGCCATTGTCGTATCCTGCGTCGTTTCTCCAACTTGTCCATTCCAGAACACTACGTCGACAATCCTCCGGTTCACCCTACGAAGTATCTGTCGTTCGATCCGGAGACTAAATATCATGCCGGGGGGCTGGGTCCAATCGTTCCTTTTTGGGATAGCCTCTACTTCTAGGGTGTGCAATGCCGCACGCGGGTATGATGATGACAGAGACCCTGGGCTGCTGCACAAAGTGGACGCTCCTCACGATGCGCCTGCTGTTCGCTGGATAATTGAGACAACTACAGATCCAAACGTCATTACTTCAGCTGCGCTCATGGTTCCTGAAGTTGAATGGCCCAAATTAATTGACGTCTCTGCTGCAATCATTCAACTAAGAGATACCTTTTTAGGTTGCTTCGAAAAGACCCAGGGCAGGCAGCCCAAGCTCGGACTTCATTCAAAGACGCGTGCACTCGCCTGTGGGAAAGCTTTGATCCACCTATACTTCAGGCGATTGGATGGTCAGGATATGCATCAGCTGTTCGTTGACCCATTAGAGTCGGCATCAACGACACCGGCCACGACTCAGCGTCCTGATATATCTTGGTTCACCTTCCTTGTACTGCAAGATATGGAGATCCAATTTATCTGCGATATGATACGGAGTGCCTTCCGATTAAGCTTAGGGCACCGTCCTTTCGTTCCCCGGATACCCGACTCATACCTGGCGTGGATGTCGTACTCCATCCCGCACTGCTTGTTACATTACAAGCAAGAGAGGCACCTTCGCATGTGGGCTATTGATGCCATCACTCGTTTACTCGTCTTTCCACTGCCTCCAAGGGCTGTGATCGTCAACTGCTTGACAGCTGCTGCGCTCATAATCGGCATCCCTCTTGAGGAGGATTGATTCGTCTCGATAGGGGGTGAGTCCTTGGCTTATCCTTTATTCGCCGTGTTGGCTAATGTGTTCTACAGGGATGAGCTCGAATCTATGCTCTTGCAAGTTCTGCAAGGCTTGCAGGATCGAGATCTACAGGCGACGCTGGAACAGGGTTTATCAGTGGCATCGCCAAACGATCAGGAGACTGGTCTCGAAGATGTTGATATCGCAATGCTCTTCCGCCCTCTCTCAGTTCTCATCGAAGTAATTGAGTATCGTCAGCTACTCCGCGACTATAATCTACCTATCTGGGCCCTGCAACTTTGCAGACGTATGGTGCAAAGAGCTAATATCAAACCTCCCTTGAACCCGATTGCTGCGGATCACCAATATCAATGTCTCAGCAACGCCAGAGCTGCACTTCGACTTAGTATCGTTGCCGACGCGGATCTCATGTACAGTGCTGGTGATTACCGCACATTGTGGAAATGCACCGGAGTGGGCATTAACCATGGAAGACGCCGCAGGGAAGACTTTACATGGTTGCTTGATTTCATTGTTCATCACCGAGATACCAAGGACCACCTTGCTTTAGGCGATGCCCTCCAAACCATGAGCAAGGTTGGCGAGGTAGATTGGCCTGAAGATTTGATGCAGGTCTACTACTCGAGCATTTGTGCAGCCATGAGTCTGGACATGCCTGTACAAACACGTTACCCTGGAATGGCAGCGCTTTGCGCAGTCAGGAGAAAGGTGGCGTCAGATTTAACGCCGAGCCTGATGGCCAATCTCTCACTTGCGCTGTTCTCTACCGCTGCTCTCTGCATCGATCCTCCTGTGGATGACCAGCCTTCCGGTACCTTGCCTCTTTCAGAGATTGCGCGATCATGGGGGCGTGACTTATGTTACATTCAAATCATCTTTGCGCTCCAGCAGGCGCGCAAATGGGATGAGTATTTAGCAAAGGACGGGCACCTCGAACGATGTGCTGGGATCGCTGCCACCCTGGTAAACGAGAATCGCAGCGGGCACATGCGAGTGTTGTCTCGGCTGAAAGCAGGACATCTCGCGCTTTACCTCGCAGCCATCCTCGCGGGGGAACAGCACGACACTGCCTTTAGCACAGATGCAGCTGGCATCTCCACACCGACAGATAAAACGAAGATGTACTGGAAACTCATCTGCCAAGCTTGGGCATATGCTTCATCGCAGCGGCTGGATGAGTGTGTCCAACGCGTCGTCCCCATCCTCGTCCAGCACACCCTGCGACATATGAAAGGAGGACAACACAATATGTCGCGCCTCATGAATCAGAAGGGAGCGGTGTTGAAAGTACTGGATGCACTGCGGTCAATATCAAGGGTTGGTGCGGATGATGATCAAATCAATGAATTGACGGAGTTGTTAGAATTGGGGGAGAGGGTGGAGAGAACGACCGAACTTCACGTCGGGAGCTGATGTATAGGGTGCATATCTTGACAAGCGCATGTGTCGCATTAAGTATTGTATCATTCGCTTGGAGATACTATTCTTATGGACCGAGTTGTGATAAAATTATTATTATTTGAATCATATAGGACAATTTCCACACCAGGCAGCCCGTTTGGGATGAGATGGAATTTTCCATATGGAAGGTTTCCGTCTTTGAGCCCGCGTTGCTTTCCACTTGGATGATTGAATTTACTAGGAGCGTGGTCTGAAGAAACGATGGTGAACGATCCGTTCTTGACCCCAGCCCAAATGGCATCTTGGTCGGACTTGTCCTCTCGAATTAGAGGCGAGCATATGCACTTCGCGCCTGTGTATCATAGTCCGTAAGGCAATGAACAAAAGTGCAGAGGTTTCATCACCTTCAAAGTCTCCCTTTCGCATCGAGTCAGCGAGAAGGAACATGTACTGGGGACATGTTTCACCGTAGATAGGAAGCAGCCTCATTTGTGCGTCTCGGATGTGTTTCGTGGCAAGCCCACCAGATATGTGTACGAGCAGAATTGGCGTATCCATGAGTTCAGCTAAACAAATGACGCGGTTCTATTACATGTCATTATCAGTTCAAACCAAGCATAGAAGAAGCTCACCGTAGCCTCAGCCTCCACGATCAGAGGTCGAGATGCACCATGGTGGTAAGGATGCGTCATGAGCTTCTGTTCCAGATGCTGTGTCATCCAGTCGATAACATCGGCATTCTCGGCGTGCACCATCGTAGTGATACCGAGTTTCCGGGCGGAATACATGACATCGAGAATTTGATAATCCTGAAGCCTCAATGGCTTATATGTATATACAGCTTCACACTCGTAATTCCGTACTCATTGACCATCCAGGGGAATTCATCTTCGATGATTTGGGGTGTCGGATTGGAAATGATGACGTGGAAAGCGTAGTCACAGTAGGACTGGTCCTTGGCGAGCTTGTGATAGTCTTCGATGACAGCAATGATGCTCTCATCCTTCGCACTGCGCGTGCCCGTATTGAACGTGTCACCGACAAAGTTTTCGGGATCAGGGACAACCCCATTCGTAACAATAGAGTGATCAATGCCCACACCTACGGTGCCTTCGTAAAACTACTGAGCATCGACTCCTCCAAAGTCCCTTCAGCGTCAATCTCTTGAGCGCTGGGTGCGGCTGGAAGACGAGGACCAACAGCGATGATGGTTCCATCCTGACATAGGTAGCGACGCATGAGTAAAATTTGAACACGATGGCAGGTGGAATTCGTACTTTAACTCCAATATCACAAGACTCCCAAATGTCCGAGGCAGTCACAATGGTGCCATTACGAACGACGAGATCGAAATCCATGACAGGTATCGATGAAAGCTCCAAGCATGTTTCACGAGAAACAACAGAGATAAATACTCTCCTGGAGATAACAAGAAGACCACATGAACGTCATTTTACCTTTATCTTCCAGAAGCAAGGTCTCGTGCTGAGAAGTACTCATCGGTGACTGTAGCTGATTTTAGCAGGGCCAGACACAGTCATGCAATTGATCAAAGTGTCGTGCTCCATCCTCCTCACCAGTCATTGCAGACTCTCCTGTACCCCCCAAAACATGCCCGTACCCCTTCTCCCCCTTATGGTCAAACTGCACCATGAAATACGGAAGATTCGGCACCATCGCGCGTCTGAACCCCCCAGGCCGCATGGAGAAATCGATAAGCTTCTTATGTATTGACCACTCTGCTTCAGATACGAGAACGCTCTCCTTGAAGTACGTTGGGATGTCATCATACTTGTCCCATGGAAGCGGTATACACTCGATGCAGGTATGCTACAGAATCAGTCACGGCTTAGTTGGAAGGAAAAAGGCTTCTTCATCTGTCGACAGCGTGATAGCGAACGCTCAGCTGGTCACTCGAGGTGAGTCTTGGTTTTCAATTACGCAAGAACAAATCAACAACTAACATACATGAATTCTGAAACTCGTGAGCCCTTGATTCTCAATGCTGGCATAATCAGTAGATGAACGGTTCCACTGCGAACAGGAATGAGAATGCAAAGGATCATGCACGCAGTCTGACAGTAGCACTCACAGTCACAATCATCATCTGGATTGAAGCGTTCCACTGGCATGTGAGGGTCTAAACGGCCAATGCCACGATCTTGTTTTATATTTGCACGGGCATGCGAATCAACCCATCCACCAAGGTTGGTGTCTTCGTCGACATAGCACCCAATGGGCGGATGAAATTCTCCTCTTTTGCCAATAGAGTGGTCGATGACGCGTTTCACCAACAAAAAGTCGTAATCTTCTTCAGCTTCATTCGGTTCAATATCTTTCAATGCTGTAAAGTCGCTCCCGATGATGATGCGGGCGGGCAATTGCGCCTTGCCGCTCTTATTCTCCGTAGGAGGGAAATAGTATACCGCTCGGCTACTTGCACTGTGCGGGAGAAAAAAAGGCTTTCGAGGTGTCCATACGGGCTGTAGGTCCTCCTCAGCCATATATTCTGTTGTACTAAACAATGGAATGCGGTAAACTTGCAGTGACTTTCTACTGCAACTGAAGTAGAGATCCTTTGATGTCCAAGTGAGCGTGAATGGCATCTTTGATACATGCAGTCGTGTGGTTTGGCCTAACGCTAGCTTCATGTGATGGATCTGCTGAGGGGGTGACCTGGCAGTCTTTCTCTGGGAGAGACGGTATGTGCACGCGATGAGAGCTAGTTTGATGGGAGGCAGGGGTTCTGAATCCTTCAATTCTGGAGCCTGCCCTTGTGCCTCAAGAGTGGCAATATGCAAAAATTTACCACATTCAGAAAAATGGATTTTCATGAAGACACGACCCGCTGATATTGGTCATCAGCATCCATCGATTGCTCCAACTTTTATCGGACTTACTGTGGGGAGTTGATGGCTGCAGCTGCCAGGTAAAGTACTTTTTGGCCAAGTAATTCACAAACAGGATGTCGCCATCGGCAAGTGGCCAGACAATCAGGGACTTTATGGGGTGGAAGACAGGCGGAGAAGCAAACAGTCTACACTTGATTGGCCGCCTCAGGCGGAAGAGACGAATGCACGATTGAGTGTCAAATACGGTGATGGTTGCTTGAGCCTTTCGCTTCTTTGCGCGTTTACTCGAGAGTCTCTCCCAGTTGTTTCGTTCCTTGTTGCAAAAGAAACTATGGCCGAACACTTCGGATGGGATGGGAACATCTTCATCTTCGTCAGAGCTACTTTCTAAATCCTCTTCGTATTCGGAAATGTCATTGCAGTCCTCCGAGTCGGTATCAATTGCAACACCGAAACCATTGATATCAAAGGAACGACAGCTCTCGTAGTCGGTGTCTGTGTCTTCGCTACCAACATGATTGGTCCATGAAGAGAGCGTATTGTCTTCAAATTCGAAATAAGTCGAGGAATCGGTGCAGCCTTCATTTGTGCTCTCGTTTCCTGAATCTTCCGACTCAGTTTCGCCTTCGAACTCATCTTCTGAATCTGATACGGCCTCTATGGAACTGTCTTCATCTTCTGAATCCTCATCCCTTTCTACCCGTAGATTTTCATTGGCACTTTTATCTCGGTCATCGTCTTCATCACGTGCACTGTCTGCTTTGTTCTGGCTCACTTTGAGATCTCTTTTGGAGATTTTCACCCGGGAAGTGAGAACGAGGAACTGACGACGACGTGCAAACTCCTCGATGTAGGTGGAACGCAGATTGCACCGAAAGTATTGCGCAGGAATGGCGACAAATGTGCCGTTATTGGCTCGCCTGTACAGCTGGGTGCCAATCCGGAGGGTTTGACAATCTGGTCCAAAAGCAGCTGGCGCAGCCTTCCCTGTCTGTAAGGCAGGGTCGGTTACAGACTTCGTGTACAAGTCCCAGTTGCAACTACGGGCGGTGATTTGTATAGTCTGCTTGTTCTGGAGTTTTGGAGGGTGCTCTTTAGATAGATACCAGCTCTCGCAAGAGCATTCGAGGATGGATGTTTTGTTGACACAAGCTTCTGGCCTCGATACCCTAGAGATTGACTTCAGCGATCATATGGTAGAAAAACATATTGACTGACTGTATCCGTAATACCATGATTTCGTCTCCTGCCTCACTGACCGCATCAAAAACATACTGGACTCCATCAGGATCGACATCCGTTTGGAAAGCAAAACTTGTGCATTTGGCGTCCAACCGAGACAGGAAATTGCTCGGACCAAGAGCTCCGAACCATATGCGATCCAATTGTCCGATGTATGGCAGTATTTCGCATGTCTTTTCCCCACCGCACTGCTCGCAGCTGAGGAAATATATCCACTCGCGTAAAAATCGGCAGTAGTCTGTCCAGAGCTTTTGACCAGGACCGGTTTCAGCTCGTGCAAACCAAAACGGGACTTGCCGAACATATGTGTTGAAGCCATCGCCCTTGTTGGGACGGGAGAGGAACGAAAATTGTGCCTCTACCCATAGGCTCTGGACCTGCATGCAGGTCCGAAAGTTGGGAGAAGTGATGAAGGAATCAACACTACCAATGTCCGCAATAGTGACGTCGTCAAGGTGCTTGTCCCAGTACTTTGCTGCGTACAAAAGCAAAGGGTGACGATCCACTGGGTCACCCACCGCGTCAAGCCACTTTCCCTTCCGTCTGACTAGTAGGCCAGAATATCGAGATTGACACAGGTAACGTAAACAAGCACGAGCCGGCCACTCAGCACTAATGAGAAAATCTGAGGAATTGTCGCACAGGATGTTCGGATGGTCCACAAGAAAGTCGCGCAGGGTGGAATGTAAGATATGACAGGTATACTGCTCCTCAGTGCAAGAATCATCTGTTCTATTCATGTTGATGAATTCGATGAAGGGTTGGACTATGGTACGTATGCTGTTGATATTGGGCTTGGCCTTGTGCTGGAATTCTTCGTAGGGCTCACTCTCCAAGCACCATACAGCCTCGGTAAGTTCTTCCAATCGCAAAGGACGTCGGGCAAAAATAACAAGTGAAAAAACTTTGCTGCGCAGTTGTATGTTCAGCATCACAGACAGTCGGTAGAGTAAATGACCAACATACCAAGCTAGTGGGCGCGAGAGCCTCTCTATACGCTCGAAGAATCTGCGATAATACTCTGTCAGAGTCTCTGGGAGCGCTTTGAGATGTTCTTCCACCCTGGCGGTCGACCAACACTCTCCGAGGGCATCTATCATGAGCTTTGCCCAAATAAAACTACACTCGGCACGACTTTTCAGCGTCTCTAGGATACAAGCTTGCTCAGAAGGACTCGACCATGGCCAAAGCTTGGAAACCTGTTCTGATAAGTACAAAGCGATATCGCTCCTCACGTAGCCATCAATATCGAGGCTATGGCACCCCTGGAGTTCCTTGGTAATGCAGTCCTGGCGCTGGCTACTACACCAGACACGAACTCTGGTAGGAGAATCGCCTGCGAGCTTGGCGAGAAAATGAAGCACTAATACAGCATCATCCCACGAACTCTTCGTCGTCATCTCTTCGTCCAGACCATCGAAAAAGAAGTAGATCCTCGAATATCCCTCGATTAACATCTTGATGACGTTTTGAACCCTTTCGAGGAGAGATTCGGGTGCGTGTATAATTTTCTGCAGGCGCTGGCGGTATTGGAGGAGGAGTTGTGTTGCGAGAATAGACAATGTCTGCTCTGGAGAAAGATGTTGCGCAAGGTCATAAAAGTGATAAATCACTACATTTGATCCTGAATTTTTGGCTAGGAATTCGATGGCGCTCGAACACAGGGTCGATTTCCCGGATCCAGGCAGGCCATAGATCCACAACATCGGTGATGATTTGGGATTGTTCTGCCATTGGAGAAATTTGTCATTGGAAAACAGCCATTGGCAGGTGATTTGGCTACGGCCAAGTAAGTTCTTCTCTTGCCGTACGAAACACTGATTGTCCAAAGATTTTGGTGACAGCCAATCCAAGACTGTGTCCAGGTGTGCTTCATCCAACTCCCGCTGAAACCGGCGGTGATCTTCTGCCCTGATCCAATCTTCTTCCGCCTCCCGCCGGGCTACTTCATTCACCTGACGGTCCTCCCCCAACTCTTGGTCATAAAGCAGGTTGGCGCATGCCTTGATCTTCACAACGTCCTCACATATATCACTTACGATGCCTCCCAACTTCTTTGTGCTAAAAGGTGTCCCGAACTTTGGTCCTAAGCCTACTGTCAGATCAAGCTTGGTTGGCATTACATTATAAACTTCGATCTGACCTGACCTGGTGCATTCTTTATCAACTCTATGCCAGAAGCGGATAACATTGATGTAAGCATTGCAGAGGATCGTCTGCGTTTCTTGTTTTTTTCGGTACAGATCGCCATAGCTAGCAATATTCTCTAGATGATCACTGAGATAGGCCAACTCGCAGCGGATGGTTTCAAAGAGTCTCGCGAATTGATCAAGGCTCTGAAAAAAAAAGTTGAGCGATGAGCCTCAGTAAAATTCATGTTCGACTAGGAATTGGCACTTGCATTGAGAGCAACCTTGAGACAGCCCCAGACGATCGATGTGATCGGATTCAGGGGGGCTGAAACAAGATGGTCAATATCCAGGAGGGCATTCACGACGGGCAGTGAATTGACTTAATGCATCCACGACACCGGTGAAGCCAGTCAGGGCATTCATGAATGGGAGCAGATACATATGAACCATCTTCCGGGATTGTTTCTGATCATTCTGACTCTCCACCTCTGCAATAGCTTCATTTATGGCTGTAACAGGATCACGCCATTCCGAGGCAAACTTGGAGCATTCCTCGATGAATTTGACCTTTTTGGTCTGAGATGAGTTGATGGTTGTGCAATACTCCTCCCAGGCCTGTTCGAAGGGAGTTTTCCTTGAGACAGAAGAGTTCGGTTGGAACATTGGTGTACGAAACCTGGACCATGGATAAGTCAGCTAAATAATGTATCCTGATACAATCCACTTTCAATGTATCATTCTAACAGTACTTATCGCCTCATGCGAATTCACAAAGGCTCGCGTCTAATAAGTGTTAGAAAATTACCGCACCAAATGATAGCTCCGAATCAGACATCCATGGCCATGCCATTGCCGCTTAGTACTGCCACTGCCACCTTTTCTGACTCTTGGCCAGGCAGTTACTCGGCACGCACGTGTCACTTTCACAGTCTTCTTAAACCTTCCAGGTCTCATTACTCTTCTGGAATACACAGAACATGCGAAGTAGGTCCAGACGGGCCTTCGACTGGAACCAGGCGCACTGGGAGGCGAATCTCAGATGACCTAAAAACCCATAGCAGATCAGAAATTGCTACCTGCGCCGCCATCCGAAACTCACATGCACACCTATCACTTACCTATCAAATGCTGCTCGATCCTACCTTCAGTGAGAGAATATCAAACTCGCGGTTCCTACATATACCTATAGCAAGAAAAAGGTTGTGGGCATCACATCGTAATAATAGCCCGACCCTGTCGGTAGTCAGGTTGTGTGATATCAAGTCTGGCTGCGCGGGCTCATGCTGATGAGTCGTTTTTTGGCATCAGCTGGCAGCTGCACACACTGTCTGCGTGTATTACAAATGTCATTCATCTAAGGGCATTTGGTGTTACGTCCATTCTTCTGATTTGGGGTGGACCCTGTTCCATCCTGCTACTGTGACGACTTTCGAAGTTTAGGGCTATGCAATTGGTATGAACTCACCTTTGGCACTGCACATTTCAAATGTGACGGCGGATGTAAGATGCTTCGCAGTGCACAGGTACCTGACATGTGGTCTTCCTCTCATCATGCATAAAGGCACACTGTTGTTCTCAATCCACAAGACGTTGCCATAATTTTCTATATCATGTCTAGTATGGAGCCTGGCGCAGGAACAACAACGCTGCCCCTGGAGGCACGAATTGCTCGTTATGACCAGTAGTGAGTTCTTCTGTATCATCCCAGTTCTTCGTGTCAATCTTCGTTACAGTTTCGATCCGTGAGCATGTCCAGAGCGGAATTTTCAGCATTTGAACTTGATGATTCTTTCAGACGATTCTCAACAACTGTCTACAAAAAGACGAACACAAACAAACACTCAAAGCACCTCAAGAGACTAGATCAAAAGCAACCAGTCCTCGTCATCCGACGAGTCATGGGCAGTAATGGCCGACACACAAAGACTGAAATTGACATCCGAGGTCAAGAACTTTGCGAGGTACTCATGAAGATACATCAAGGTGTGGAGGGTTTAGATCTCTTGCGAAGTCCCCCCGTCGTAAGTTACACATCGAGTCAAATATTCTAACCTCGCAATGCAATTCTCATTATGTATTTCAGTGTGACCTGAAGCTGCTTTTTTTCTCTTTCAACGAGCTCAAGGAACAACTAGAATTGGAGAAGTCGAAAAGCACGCCAAACACTCTGCTAATTTCTGAAATCGAAGTGGCCCTTCACTTTATCTGGGAAGAACACAAAACCACCTTCGCCGACTATCAGTCATTGACGAGACACGGGTCCATCACCTTTGATTTGCTTTGGACATTGTTTCGTCATGGCACCCTAGTCTTCAACCGCCACGAGTTCACTGAGCAGGATCACATTCTCCGAACTACGCGCTTTGAGATCATGAAAACAAATGAAGGAATCTTTGCTGCAATCCATTGTCATGTGATCACTGACAATGGCAAGCATTTTGGAATTGCTAACCAAAGGTTTCTGATCCCGTCGTTCGAAGGAGAGCGAAAGATACAAAGCCTGTCTATTTTTCCTCTCTCCATCCACTCAAATGAATGCGAGATTCGCAAATTTGCTGCCAAACGAGGTCGCAAATTTGCAAGCTTGCAATGCCAAACTTATGGTGAGATTTCCGGGATGGCTGCCTGTGTCAACGACCATTCCATGGACAACCATAGGGACCTTCGAAAGTGCAAGGTGAGCACTAACCAGTCCTGATTAATATTATGGCCTATAATAAATCAATGCAGGCGCACGGGCGCGTCATGATCGATCCTTGCGCATTTCGTACGGTTCGGCCTGACTCTAGTCTCAATGTCCCGGTTTCTACCCCGTTGAAGCGAGCAGAACTTGAGGAAGAGCAATACATGATCTGCACTCCTGTTGTTATAGGCTTTTGCTTCGCAACAAAGCAGTGGGGTACGATATTTTTTCAGCTTGGTTTCCGCACATTACTACAATAAACTTATGTCTTTCAGGTGGATTTGCTCTTGACTGCCTGCGGGACGTGTCCTGGTCATCTGACCCTTTCAGTTATCTGGTCCTGGACGACGAACACAAGAAATTGATTCGTGCATTAGTGGAGCAGCACGCGCGTGGGTCAACCTTTCATGACTTCGTGCGAGGAACAGGTCTTGTCGGATTGCTTGCAGGGCCACCTGGATGTGGCAAGACACTTACAGTGGAAGCAGCGGCAGAGGTATTTCTCGATGTTGCTCATGATTTCAGCCACCCTCACTATTTTCGGTCAGGTGGTAAAGCGTCCCTTGTATTGTATTTCAGCGGGCGAATTGGGATCCAGCCCTCAGGGTATAGACAACGCTCTGACTCAGATTTTGGAACTTGCTCAGCGCTGGAAAGCAGTCGTTCTTCTTGACGAGGCAGATGTTTTTCTGTCACAAAGGATGGAGACTGATGTGCCAGAGCGGAATGCCATAGTATCTATTTTTCTACGGCAGCTGGAATACTATCAGGGGATCATGTTTTTGACGACCAACCTTATCTCACGGTGTGATGCTGCATTCGAGAGTACGTGCTTTCGTTTCCTGTACTTTGCGTTCCTCAATAAATCGCAAAACAGGTCGAATCCACTTCACGGTGCACTACCCACCGCTGTCTGATGTCTCGCGGAGGCAGATCTGGAAAACGTTCATTGATAAGACACCGAATGCCTGCCAGTCCTTGGTCAGCGAGGCTGAAATCGATGCCTTGGCCAAGGAAACGCTCAACGGCCGTCAGGTATGTTGATCATTGCTTTCTTGCATTTCATACAGTTGCAAGTAATGATGCAACGGGATTACAGATCAAGAACACTGTGGGAACTGCTGTCTCCCTCTCGTTACATTCGAATACCCCGCTTTCTGTGAAGCACATTCGCACAGTACTTGATTCCATGCAGGATTGGAACAAGGCTCGTGAACACTGCAGCTCTTATTTGCAAGTTGGCGTTCCGGCTGGCACAATGCTCGAAAGATTAACTCATTGCAGTGAGTTTGCCTTCGTTGTATATCCTGGGGATGTTCGGTGTTGATCAGACTTCATCTTAGTTGGGTACAACCTACTTGTTTTTCTTGCATGTCTCTTCTGCTACCTAATGTTCTCAATCTACGAGGACTAGGGAATATCGTCAACGTTACTGTCTGAATATGCCCCAACCATGATTATCTCTGACAGATTAAATCTACGCAAATGATAAAGAAAACATTTTGTTTTCAGTTCACTTGGGTACGAACGCTTAGCGTGGATGGACTGCTCGTTCAATAATAGGATGCCGTAAGTTTAGGACTTGATGGTCAATCTCTATGTGAGGAATTCTCGTTATTGTGGTTTTGCAAGACAGGGAAATCACATAGATCGTCACGGTTGAGGTGGTCATGCGGTGGTATGCCAAATTTTTGCCTGAAATTTAGCAGATAAAACAAAAACGCTCTTCAATCTGCATTCCGTGAAATATATCGGAACCCTATCAGCATCCAATCACGTACAACTGCACAAACAATGGTGAAGCGACAGCACTCACTGGATGTAAGCGGCCATGGAATTAAAAAAACAACGTTAGATGGTGGAGAAAGCAGTGAAGTGCCATATTTTTTAAAGATATGCATGCATCATACCGTATCGTCATAATATCCATGGTGACCACGCGCAGAGCATGCGACAATGCAGGATTAGCAAGTAGAGGTGGATACGAGTTTACTCTTCGTCCTCCTCTTCGTCCTCCTCCTCGCCTTCCTCCTCCTCCTCCTCATCCTCCTTGGCAGCCTCAACGACAGCCGTTGCGATACGGTCCAAATCCCGTTGACCGTCTTGGCTTATCCGTCGTCCACCATTGTCTGTCTGCTCCAAGACACCGATCTTCTCCAGCGATTGACAGACTTTTCTTTGGACAGAAGCAGAGGAGTCGGCGTGGTGTGATGGGCGGTTGCCGCGTCTGTTGCGGCCACCGTGAAGTTTTGCCAATGCACCGATTCCGACGTCTTTGCGGAGGTAGATGTGTCGTGCAACAGCAGCTAATGATGATTACTCTTTAAAATTGATCTCTGATCAAGGTACCTAACACGACGCACCTGCACGGACGTAGTACCAGTCTGGGTCGTAAGGTGCGAGCTCTTTGAAAGAGCCGGTTTTAACGATGTCGACCCATGTAGGGACCTCGAGCTTTCCCGACCGCTTGAGATGGGAAGCATATGCGGTAATGAAGGCTTCGGCGCTGCAAGTAACATTCACAGCTAAATCATGGACCAATTCGACAAAAGTTGATGACATACCTGATATCTCTTACTCCTGGCATGTTGAATAGTGGGAAGTACGACCGTGAATAACCTTGAGGAAAGTAACGCGGAACGTTTCGCGCGACGGTTGGCGGCTTGTGTACGACTCTGAGAAATAGAGTTCAGTACTGAGTTCAAAATCAGCCACCGCTGTGCAGTTTTCAAATTAGTCAGCAAGGTATTTTCGCAACGTTTACGATGAGAAGCAGGTACTTGCTTGAATTCGAATCAATGCGAGCAAACAATTAACAGGCCCGCACACTCGATGCAACAGAAGATTAAGCAGCTCAATATCCTAGTCAACGACATCCCAGAAGATTATCGATCTAGGTGTTTTCGCTCGTCATTCCAATATCTCAGGACACGTTTGAGCGCACGTTGCGTTCGACTGCAGGCGAGAATGTTTGAGCTTCATTTGATCTGACTGGTTGGCTTTTACATGAGCCTCATCGACTATCACAACTTCAAGGAGATGATCAAGTTTTTTTTTGCTTACGTAAACGATATATGCATCTTGTTTCTCATCTAACGTTGTGCACCCACCCACGGTACCATGATCATATCCACTGTCAACAAGGATCTTCCCAGTTTCCCTCCTTTTGCATCGTTACCTCCAGAATTACTCATCGAGATCTTTTCAACTTGCAGCCTCACAGGTGACTGGCATATCCCCCTCACACTATCCAAAGTCTGCCGCTTATGGAGAGACTTGACCATATCGGCACCCTGCATATGGCAGATCATCGTCGTACTAGAATCGAGGCGCACCATGTCCTCCATCCGCACTCAGGCAGAACTATGGGTCGCTCGCTCTTCGCCTCTTCCATTCAATGTAGTCCTCAAGCTGACAGATTTTGAGCGACTGTTACCAATCATGTCTTGCTTCCTTCCCAATCTCGCCCGTTGGATGCGTTGCACTATCACTTATGATGGAAGAACTATCGAGACATCCTTATCCGACCTCACCCTGTCCTCGCCTCGTCGCATACTGCATCATCTCGATATTCATATCAAGACTCCCTTCGAGGACGTCGCAAGTGACGATGAAGATGATGTCATCTTTTTCTCCTGTGGAAGCTCAACATACCGTCACATATCCATGAGAGTAGCGACGACCAAACTGCCCCATGCAGAAATGATTAATCCCCTATTATTCACATCCCTCAACATCTCAGAGGTCGCATTCGAACACTCCATCCGATCACCGGACCTCCTTCAATTTCTTGCCCATTGCCTGAACTTGGAGCACTTATACATCCACGGTTTCTCCAGTGATGACGGCGTTCTTATCGCACCACCCCCTTCCATCGCCCTTCCGCGATTACACACGCTCCTCCTAGACAAGCTTTGCAATCAGCGCAGCATCCTCTCACATCTCCACCTCCCTGCATTGCGAGAGCTACATCTGCGTCACATCAATGTAGACTTCTCACTTGAGCCATACTACGTCTCCGAAGAAGGTGATAGCGACGACGAGTCCCATGACTTTTCCCAGTCCCCACACAGCGACCTTCACACCGGCATGGGTATCCGCAAACTCTTATCGCGCTCACGTCCCCCGCTCGAGATATTAGACATGGATTTATCAGATATGCGTACCAAAGACTTCCGCTGGGTCTTTGGTAAGCTGTCCGACTTGAAACAATTCTCCATCGTCGGGTCAGATATGTCGGATTCAGTGGCTGCGCTGTTCATGCCTTTTGTTGTTAAAGATGGAGATGGGGAACGAATGAGCGTACGCCTGCCGCAGCTTTCTGTTCTCAAGATGTACAGCTGTCAACAGCTCTCGGGGGATGCGCTGGTAAGGGCCCTAAGTGCACGCGTCCACTATACGGATCATGCAACACCAGATGCTACGCTGGCAACGGTGGTCATCTCAGGCTGCAATAATTTTACTGCGGGTAATGCTCAAGAGTTGTCCTGGGATTTGCATGATCGTCTTCATGTATCGTGATGCTGTCTTTGATTTGGAATGGGATTGTTAGGGATTTTTATGCTCTATCGCACATAGACATATTTATACTGTATTTGCTCTGTTCTGTATTACTATTAAGGCTTTGATACTAGACGATTATCGGAAGAAGTTTCGACTTCCCTTGGTCGAAGACTAGAAGTATGTAATATAGAGTTGATATCATCGTTCCACCAAAAAAAGGTATATGATCTAACCAGTCATTCCGTTATGGTCCAACAGACTAATCGAAGGAGGCACAAAGAGCACGCCGCCCAATCTATCTGGCTAGCGTCTCATTTCTATGTCGCTATTAGTGTGAACCCATGATTCAACAAAGCACCTCACCTAACAGGGAAAACAATTCGCTGTCTCTCCGCCGACTCCCTCAACAGACGTCGAATATCCACAACGTTCTCGTAGTTGGCCCTCCACACATTATCTCCATCGTGCTCACCCCAATGGAAAGTATGGAACGTACCCACCTCGTATCCCACCTCCCACTTTTGCCTCACAAAAGACGCATTGAATGGCGGCTGATATATCCACCACTTGCCATCCCACAATCAGTCAGGATACACGTAAAAACACGCCAAGGCTCACATGGTCCACAAAGAGAATGGGCTCATGGCGAGGCGCGACCAAGTGCAGTGTTGTGGGTGCAGCAATCTCGAGGAAGCAAGTCGTTTCAAGGAACAGGCTCAATACTTCCATGAATATCCTGCGGTGCCGCCCTGGGATGTACATCGTATCTGCAGAACCTCCAATGAGGCGCGTTTCACCATTTGTAAATGCAGCGAGGCGTTCTCTCAAGTGCACGGGCACTTTCCGGAAAGCTTTCATGCAGACCCCGACTCCCACATGTGGATCGCTATAGATGTGCGATGGCTATCAGATAAGCGCAGCGAAACACTTTGAGAATCAACCCACCCCCACCTGCCAAGAGATAATCAGAAACATCGATGAGAGTTTGTCAGAATATCACGTACCACCAGTCAGATCCCCATCCCCTCCAGGTCTCTGTGAGATTGATGGACGGATCCGGTGATACATTGACAGGGGGAGCATGCAGGCCGAGGCTGGGGCTATTATCCTGTGCAGGGTTAAAAACAGGCAGGCCCCATGGTGAATGGTACCAAAAGAGTTCCTGGTCAAACTTCTCCAATCGTGGAATATTCAGCAGAGTATCAAACGGCGCCCATAGGTACCCATCATAACAGTCTTGCTCCTGGAGAGCGGTATACAACATATGATGAGCCATCTGTGACTTATGAGCACCAGGTACGTCAATTAAAATGCTTGGAGTACACACGCGTCCTGCCATCTTATAATATGACGGATCAGTTAGATCCTCATCGGAATGGTACGAGTCTACAAAGACATCGTACGAGTGATCAAAGCCGGAATCTTCGCGGGAGGCGGGTCCGATGTAGAGAATCTAACATCAAGTATGTGAACCCGACCAAAAAGCTTGGTCGCACAGCGCTCACATTTGGAAAATAATCAGAATATACTTCTCGGTGGTAATCTAGGTTGGCACCATAACGAGCGTGGCTGAAGAAGACTATTAGCAGGATGTTATTGAAGTGGTCGTAATTTTCTAGTGTCTTCCTATGCGAATGAAACGTTAAAGGCCGGCGGTGACAATCGCCTGGCTTGGGCTCCAACCCTGAGGTGAAGCCCCACTGCAATTTCGGGGCGCGTGATGTCCATTCGTTCACATGCGACATTGCGAATGATACGCAGAATAGATATCCGACCAATACCACTGCAAATACAACCGGGTAGCGATGCTTGGTTTTTTGTATCAGTCCAAGAGTAGGTCGTATGTAGAGTAAACCTACCCGAGTCACACATTCAGATCCAACATCTTCTTCCGTGGTCTGTCTTATATTAAAGACATATACGCCCGCTGCTGTCAATGTGAGAAGAGATCCTATGATCACACCTGGCTCGTTGAGGAAACCTGCAGTCAGCAAGAAAAAGACAACGGTCGAGGCCAGCGCAGTCAGGATACTTTCTAGAATGACATCGTAATCTGCTAGCCTAAGCATGAGGCACGCAGGAAACACAAAGTACTCACAATATATAACATAGAGTGCCGATATGTCTCGACCGGCCTCTGATAAACATGACAGAGCCAATGCAATTAGATCCGCGTGCGATCCAAAACTACGACTTCTAGTGCCAAGGAAGGCCACGCTGAAAATATAGACCGATAAATGGGCAATACAGCCGACAGCGAAAATGATCAAGTTGACAGCATCGAAAAATGATGGATGGTGTGATTTGTAGACCTATGCTCACAGCGGGCTCAACTCTGAACTTGAGTCCAAGTGTGAAGCCTTATGACTTACAATATCAACCAAGGTATCAGATAACGAAATGCTGAGCGCAGAGGCCAACAATGAGAGGTATTGCAAATCAATCGACCGGTTAATGAGACCGCTCTAAGTAGAATTAGAAAGGGCTTGACTGCTGATAGTAGTTACCTTACCCGAACGATGAATGCCCCGCAAAACTAAGTCTTATCAATGTTCATTGCCATCTGACCAATTTCCTGAAATTACATACCTGTAAAAGAGCAGCGTACCACAGTTGTGGAGTATACGTTCTGCAAAAGAACGCGTACAGCACAAATAGCGAGCAGAGACTCGCCGCGGGGATTACGAGGTATGGCGCGAGTCGATCGATGTGTTCTCTACTTTTAGAAATCTATCAGAAACATGAACTAGTCGTAATTTCTCCAGGATGAACGAATGCGCCAGACATACCACATAGGCCCGAATCGCGTACAGTGTGGAAATGCCAAGAATGGACAAAGTCGAGCGCATGCCACAAAGACTCGGCCAGTCAGGCCTTAACCGAGGATAGAGTCTTTGTGTCAGCTCAGTGAGTCGGGCCATCCTGGGAGTAAAAGACTCGTGACTGCCCTCGAGTGGGATATTAATATTGCTCAAAGGCTGATCTTCGTTGTCATGTCCGCAAGAACCGTAGCAGAAGTAATTTTGTCTCGAGAAGTATAGAACGAATGCAACGAATAGTTTGACAACTTCGGTGAAAGCGAGACGGATGTGGATGTGGACAGGAGTTTCCGACTTGTTATGGGCAATCAAAATTTCGGATGAGACCCAGAAAACGAAAAACACAATCTAGTAACGATAAGCTGAGTGGTGTTGAGCATGATCTCAGATGGTAGTGACTGACTGGAAGAAGTGTTTTATTCTGCCAAAGATTGTAGTGAAGCGAAAACAACTGCATGGGCGGCAAGCGAGGAAGGACCAGCATGATCTGTGTTTTGCCACCCGGCGTGTGCTGTCGCAGTAATTAGAATTATGCGTGATGACGAGGATCTAGTGTGATGCTAATAGACCAGAAAGAACGACATGCGGTAGCACCAGCGAGTTCACAGTTCAAGATGTGGTTTGAGGTTTGCAAGAGTTATCAAGGTAGAAACGAATTGGTCGGTTCGCAATTGGCATGCAAATTCTGACCTGCAAGAGTGTGAACTTGGAGTCCGCAGTCTACGCTAACTTCTACATTGTGAGCTATAGAACTGTAATACACGATGATCAACGAAGGTGGCTAAAGATGGGCATGGGCGTTTATCAGAAGATGCTTCGGTCGCAAATGCCCGAGCAAGACCTACGTGTTACATAAATCGTACATTTTGACATCTATGGGATTGGGAATAAAGATGGTTCATAATACACAGTAAAATCGATACACAGCGTTAGTGACTGTTGACGCTATTGATGCCACCGGCATCATTAAGCTTCGATTACTTCGCGCCGTTAGCCAGAAGCTCCAAGCCTTTGGCATTTTGAGAAATCAACTCTCGGCGAGCGCGAACACCTTCACGCAAACGATCAAGAGCGGGAACAGTCATGTCCCAAGACAGACAAGCATCAGTTACTGACTGACCATATTTGAGGCCAGTAGGACCACTCGACGGTAAATCTTGCCGTCCCTCGACGAGGTTAGACTCGAGCATGACACCCATGATGAACGCTGACGTGTCCTGACTCGCCAGTTGTTGTGCCTAAATGAACAGTAAATAACAATAGATAAAAGTCGGGGAATGCTCACAATATCTTCTACAACTTCAATCTGCTTACGATGTTGTTTTTGGCTGTTTCCGTGACTGCAGTCAACCTGAATTTGGACCATATCAGCGATACTGAGATCCTGAGTATGACACCTTAAAATCACCATGATTTTGCAAGGAAGACCAGCTTTGGAAAGCTTCTCGCCACAGTCGCGGACGTATTCTGCGGCATAATTAGGGCCTTTAGAGCCACCACGCAAGATTACATGGGTGTCTGGGTTGCCCTACCAAAATTACTCGCTGCGGAAGCGTTAAAAAGGTAAAGTTGCCATACCTCGGTTTCAATGATACTGCTAAGGCCTTCTTTGCCCACACTGAGGAAGACATGGCCACTTCGAGAAGCACGACATGCATCTATCGCAATGCCAACGGATCCGTCGGTCGAATTTTTGAATCCGGTGGGCATCGATAGTGCAGAGGTCAGCTCTCGGTGCACTTGAGATTCCGTGGTGCGGGCGCCAATAGCTCCCCAGGATACCAAATCGGCGGTGTACTGAGGCGAAATTGTATCGAGGAACTCGCAACCAGCAGGCATACCGAGTTTAGCAATATCTAAAAGGAGGGTGCGTGCGATGCGCAGGCCTTTGTTGATTTGGAAACTACAATTCATATCGCTATTTCCTCATTATCAGCACTCGTTGATCGCAAACAATCAGAAAAAAACTTACGGATCATTAATCAAACCTTTCCATCCAATAGTCGTTCGAGGTTTTTCAAAATACACACGCATAACGATGTGCAAGTCATCCTTAGCCACGTCCGCATAGGCTTTGAGTAGCTTGGCATATTCAATCGCCGCACCCACGTCGTGGACCGAGCAGGGGCTGATGACCGCGAGTCAGTCAAGACTTAACTGCGCATAATAAATACATACCCAACCACTACCATCAGCCGATCATCGTCGCCCTTGAGTATATTTTCAGTTGTCCGACGTCCCTCGAGGACGGTGTTCGCAGCAAGAAAAGTCCTGAGCGTACGTTAGAATATCATCATCGAAAAGTAGAAGCACGCACAAAGGAAGGTCTTCCTGCAGAATTTGAGGCGGAATCAATGGACGCGTCGCTTTAACGCGATGATTCTCAAGCCGTTGAAGTGCTTCTTTGAAAGAAAGCGCCATTGAGAGATCTAATTGAAAATAAGGTGAATAGGTATCTGTTGAAGATGAGCAAGAATACAGAGCCTACCGTTTTCTGGCATTGGACGTTGTTTGCGGAATCAATACTACTTGTCAGGTTATCTTGTAAGAATTGCGATGAGCTTAAAGGGACAAGCTCCTTGGATGGTGAATGAGGAAGAGATCTCCAAGTGGTCGAGTCATGATAAATTTATCGGAAATGCCTAATTTGGATTTCAACGCAAAGAGCCAAGAGGTTGTGGTGAATGTCGGGATTCTGGCCGGTCTGGTGCAAGTCTATGCAGTTTGAAACTCCGTCACGGCACGTATCGGCAGGTGACTGACTTCACTTTTATCTATATCAATCAATTCTGATTCAATCATGGTCGTTCAAGTTGTATTAGAGGGAAGATATTGAGAATTTTGTGTTCAAGTAGTTAGAAATACGAGTTTTGTGAAACTGCCGACTTGTGGGGGCTGCCAGGAAAGGGTAGTAAGGTTTGAGTTTGATCCAGCACCAAAAAAGTAAATTCACACCGGCACGTCGCGTGTCGTCTATTTACACTTTCATATTTTACTTTCGTGCCTCCGTTCAGACAACGCGTTTGCATTATACGGTCCAACATTCTTGTGTCTTTCGTCTTTTCCACCGTCTTCAATCATGGATTTCTCACAGCTAAACTCTGCTGAACAGGCCCATATGACCAAAATTATAGAAAAAAAACAGGTATTGGTTCGTCATGTGCATTTCAGCAGAGTCTGAATCCTGTACTACCCCGTCAGATGCAAGACTTCCTACGTCTATACTCAGGTCTCGTGGAAAGATGCTTCAACTCGTGCTGTAATGACTTCACGAGCAAAGCATTGTCTTCGAAAGAAGTGATAGCCCTTCATACCTATCTTCGCATAGTTCGGTTTTGACTTTTGAGCAGGATCAATGCGTCATGAACTGCGCAGACAAATTTCTGAAGCACTCCGAGCGGGTGGGGCAGCGGTTTGCTGAGTTGAATGCAGGTACGCTTCATCATTGTTTAAGTTGAAATAGATTTATAATCGATCTTCAGACGCCATGGGTCCCAAGCCATGAGAATGAAACCATACAATTTAGTTCGTGTGCTATACAGATGCTATCAAGGTGCTATCATAATTCCATATCTTCATGTTCGATTAGTATGACGGCTTTGTCGCAATCATCGCAAAATCCAACGTGTTTGCTTCTTCATTATAAAACGGACCTGCTGACCTTCACCTATAACGCTTGTTCTCGCCGACGATAGCCCCAACCACTATCTATGTATCCGCGACCCGTTCGATGGTTTCCTCGGCATTCGGTTTATCGTTTCTTTACGTTCCTTTCCGTGACCGCGTCGACGCGTTGTGAGAATGTTGTTTCAGTCTCCCATGCACACCCCAGGCCCTTAGCATGGTTTCTGTTTTATAGAGCTACTCCGCCGTCATCTGGATATATTCTTCATGTCATTCTCAGGCGCTCTCGCGTGTCCGCCGAAAGAAGTATGACTCATGATGACGATTTCATGCCACAACTAAATTTTGGGCTTCCGAATGCAGCCCTGGTAACCAATTAGGCTGTGATTGTTTATCGGCGCGAAAGCAGTATGCTGACAGCGGCAACGTGTTCGACGTACCCTCTGATGAGCCTACTTACCTTGGGTGCGTCTGCCACTAGGGCATTTCACTATGACTCCGCTGCCACCAATATGCTCATTCTACCTGAAACATCGACGCGACGAGCGTGTAACGGACATGATGATCTGACTGACTTTCGCAAGACGACAACCAAACAATTGAGAAAAATGTTGTGGATGATTGGTCAGTTGGAGAACATGCAAATTTACTGTCTTAGCGTGGGATTGGGGCTGACAGGTCTATATCAGGGGCTGCCCAGACTTGGCACTCCCAACGTTCGTCACTACTTCAGAACATCCTTGACTCGTCAGTTGTCCTCTGATCAATCGTCATGGCTCCCCATCCTCTTATCAACGAGCCTGCTCCAGAGTTCTCTATTCCCGATGCAAACGGACACATGTTCAAGTTTCCCCCTGAAGAACAGGGGGTGCGAGTGAAGAAGCCCATTGCATTGTTCTTCTACCCTGAGGCAGGTAAGCACTCGCGCATTTACACGCCTCGGCCTCAAGTATCGTGTTCATCCGTTCGCTGCACAGGAACATACGGTTGCACTCGCGAGGCTTGTCAATTTCGTGATGCATTGGTTGGTATGATCATCCTGTTCTTGCATGTGTACCATGTATTGAGCATACATTTGTAGAGAAAGAGATTTTCAAGCGAACTGATGTCCAGGTGATCGGGATAAGTCCCGATCCTGTGCCAAAGCAGAAGCGATTTGTTGAGAGTCAGAACCTTACAGTGAGTTATCTTGAGATTTTCGTCACGGTACAGCTGATTGTTGCCTGTACAGTATCCTGTCTTGAGCGACGAGAAGCACGTTGCATACCAAGCTTTCCATGTCGGCAAGGGCCTTCTCGGATTCTCCGACGCCAGAACAACTTTTGTCATCGACAATAAAGGCATAATCAGGTAAAACCATGTACGCTCACCATGCAGGATTCAAATGTAACTGGAAATATATAGGGACTCGTTATCTGCAACTATCAATTACAACGCCCACGTCAAATTTGTTATTAAGGCCTTGGAAGCACTGGAGTCTCAATCTTCTGTCGAGCCTATCCATGACACGGACGTCGATGCAGCACGTTCCGATGACCCGCCATCATCACCAAGTCGTGAAGAATTGGGTCGGGCTGCATATGTGGTCGGTGCATGACAACTCCGTCTCGTACTCTTAATTTCATTGTATCTTGCTGTGATATCCATCATGTCGTTCGAACAACTTTTCTGGTATCCACATCATTGTATGCACAATCCCACACCACCAGATCTACAGCATCTGGATCAACCAAAGATAATCCTGAGCCTTCTCGAGATTACTGAATCCACGAAGGTTAATGTTGAGAACTCGGGATAAGATGCAGTGCTAAGGGCTTGTTTATTTTTTCTAGAATTTTGATCGGGATAGCAGGATTGGCACGAGCAGCCAACTGAAGGTGTTGTCGAGCGACAGTGCAATCACCTCACAAACTGAAGCAAGCTAAAGTCGCTGTGTGTGGCATCGATCCATCGCTACGTTTCAAGCGCGTGTTCGTGCTCGGATGATATCCAATCTGAGGAAGATTGTTGAAATATGGTTCTACTGCTCGTGGAGGTGTCCGCCGCCGGTTATGAGCCAACCGCTGTTTTACGAACGACAAGGCATTGGCTGTTCGGCTTGCAGAATCAGAGTATAGATCCCTACCATGTTATCTTTCGAGGCACAAACGCAGCATGTCAATCATAATGTCTTTTTGTTAATTGATAATGTATCAGAACCGACGATCAACGCGCAGGGAAACCAAACAGGCCAGTTTCAAATCAAAGTCGGTTTGGGGCTTGTAGGACGCGCATGTTTAGACGTGTTTCGTGGATGTTATACAATTCGATGAGCAGACTCACCCTTGATTGGTCTCCGTATTCTCCAATACCTTTAACATTTCTGGTAGATAAAACTGGAAGCAGCCTGAATGTTGAAAAGATCTAGATTGTTTCCATCCTAAATCCATAGGAAAGGGCAACGCTTTCATCTCTATCGAGATTGAAAGAGTCACAGTTGGCAAGCGATTCATCAGATGCAAGTATGATTCAGATATCCACTGGCACACTTATTCTGAGTTCTATGCTAATTGTGCCGTCGCCAAACCCGAGTTTGCTCTCCATCCTATGTCGTCGATTCATGACTGCACGAAATGGTTGGAGGGTAAAGAATGTATCCTGTACCAAGTGCCGTAGATAGCCCAAGGAATAGCCATGCATTTAGATTTCGATAATAAAATACCGACCAATCAAAAGGAAAACTACGGCATGGGAACTGAAGATGGGAAAACGAAATGAGTGGTGGGTGGGTCTTAGGTGCGAAAGGAGGTGCGAGGTGTGACGACGTGGTGGAGGTAAAACCGAACGAGGGAAGTAAACGACGCCGCACGCGTGGTGCCGGCACATTCCGGCACCTATACAAATCATACCAGTCTTTCGCCAATCATGTGAGTCGCCGTCATGCCACAGTCTGATGGGCCTCTAGATAGGCCAAAGGTACGCAAGGTCCGCAGACGCACCTCTCACGGGTGTCACAACTCTGCTCGATATTCAAGCTCTTCTACTTTGTCTAAGCGACATTTAACAGCCCTTTTAGTGTAGCACACGTCCCCCAAGTTCCTGCATTACATGCTTACCACTGAACGTCTGATTCTCCGCTCTTATGTCGAGAGTGACCTCGACGACATTCTTCGCCTCTGGAATGATCCACTCGTTCAACCCCTTATTTCCAATGATAATGTCACTCTTCTTGGTCCAAAGTTTAAGGAAACACTAAGAGCTCAGATGGAGCGGGCGACCTTTGGTGCCGTAATCTCGCTTAAGGAAACCGAGGAATTCATGGGTCAGGGATTGGTCACTGTCCTCGAACCAAAGAATCGCGATGGCACATTTGGGATCTGTTTACTTCCAAAATTTTGGAATAACGGATATGGGACCGAGGCGACAAAGTTCATAATCGATTATTCGTTCAAGTGGTTTGGTTTGAACAGAATATCCCTCGGGGTCTTTGCAAATAATGCATGAGCAATTGCTGTCTACGAGAAACTGTGAGTGACGTCGTTTCATTTTGTTAAACCTTGTAATCGCACCTGTGAATGATGGTCGATTGATGCCATTATCTCAAATCAGTGGGTTCGTCATGGAGGGCAGGAAGCGCCAGGCAGTGTGGATGGATAATCAGTGGGAAGATATTTTGACAATGGGCATCTTGCGAGACGAATGGGACAGGCAACACTGAGGGAGAAGGATGACAACGTTTGGAGTATGTTCATGTCTTGTGTTTAGCCACTCGTGTTCGTGAATACTCAGTAGGCAGCACTCACCACTCATTTACGTCCAATTTCAATCACAATGTGCCACCAATCTGGACCAAGCCAAGTCTTCCAGCTTGCAGCAGACGTCCGCTCTATAAATCCGTAACTTTGGAAGTCGAAGTTTGTGGGCAGTGCACACTAGATTCACATTTTTTGATCTAAGGATAACACCGACAATGTTTCCTTCATATCCAAATCAGATGACGGTAAGGTAACCGTCAAGGCTACCATGGAGCATAGGACCACCTCAAAATAGAAATCATACCACATCTGTAAAATAATCGGCCAAACTCTCTTGTACCTCCTTCACCTTCCCGGCTACAGCAGCCAAGACGTTGTCTTTACACCATGGCATTCCATCTAGCATTCCCTGTGTAGGTATCTCCCGCTCCACAAGGGCCTTCGTCACACTCTCTGCAAGCATCAATTTGCCCACAACATCCGCATATTGTATAAGCAGGACCTGACGGCCCATGTCCAGTGTTGAGCGCCATAGTGCACCCCAGGCTTGATTACATCGTGCTTGAGCACCCCCTGTACACCGCGGGCTATGTGAGATAGCAGGTGGCTCGCTTGGCAGACGTTCCCATAGCCGGCCGAGAGCGTAATGCCCAGAAAGAAGGCGAATGCGCTGTGCTCGCGTGAGTGAGGTATCGTTATCCCAGACCTCCCGTCCTTGAAGCATCATGGCATGATATGCGAAACCAAGCAGGGTGCGCAAATTAAGCCGTTCTGCAACTCCAACAGCGAGTGCGATGTCCTTCCCAGATGCAAGGAGCCGTTTCCATCGCAGTGTGGCAGCGTCAAGAAGATCCCGTTGCTCACAAAGAGATGCAAGCTCAGTAAGTTGCACAAGGTTAGGCCCCTCGGCGTCTTCAACTTGAAGGTTGGGAGAGTGCGTTGGGCGCGTGTATATAGTCGTAAGGGCACCAAGGGCCCATGCTTCGATCGAGCGGAATTCATACTTATGCGTAATACGAGCGAGATTAAACAACTGAGATGCATTCGCCTTAGGCGTTAGTGCGAGGGTGAGCTCGTGCGGCCTGCGTGATATTTACTGAATACAGCTGTGCCCGGGGGGAAAAAGTCGTGCAAACGTACGTACAAGGCGTATAAAGCCCACAGGAGAGCGCGGAACTCCTGTGCAGTATCTCCCTGGAGCCTGATCGGATTGTCGTCGCTTTCGCCTTCGGGTCCCGCAGTGACACTCGGCGTACTGGAGCTTGAACGTAGGTCCGAGTCCAGGGAGAACATACTGTCAAAGGTAGATTTGTCCTTTGTTAGTGTTGACCTATGGACCTAAGAGTGATGGTTCGGTATTAGTAGGATACAATTCAATGCACACAGAAACGAACCCTAAAAAGCGTGTTCTCCACGAGCAGAACGGTGTTTCCGTCGGGTATATAGTATGTTGGATCGTGATGAGGTATGGAAAGCTGGAGCTGGAGCTTTGGTGTTGTTGGACTGACATCTCCTGAATGCATGAAGCTGGTTGTGAGATAAACGTCGGAAGGTAAATGAGCCATCAAACTATCGGATGTATACAGAGGCTATTGATGATGAAGTAGGAATAGCGAGAATGTTGTTGGGCGGTAGTGGTCAAGGTGCAAGACAGATAAGATTACAAGTTTAAACTTGTTTAAGAAAGGCAGCCGAACTCCAGACACAGTCTGTACAAACAAAGTGAACCATGGTCTTAAATAGTATTGTATACCTACAACATGATGTAGAAATTACATATGGAAGCCGTACCACCCAGATGCTTGCCAATAACCCTCCCAGGACCAACTCGGGGGAGATGCAGAACGAACCAATATAGAGAAAATGATATGCAATTGCAGGTTCACAGCTAGGATAGCGAGCGTGTAAAATGCTAAAAGTTCGAGTGCGAAGGGGTAAAGGCAAGCGAAAGGTCTAGAGTGAGGAGTACATGGGAAGGCATAGCGTAGGCGTACATACAGGAGGACTGCTTTTGAAGGACGTTTTCATACAAAGACGTGGGGGTGTGTGATGAAAGATGACTAAGTTAACGAATACAGTATGCTATGTGTTGAAAGATTGGGAGTTGATGGAGAGGTCATGACATCATGACTCAAGGGCTTTAAGCTCTACAACCAAGCGCTGGCGAATACAGATTAATTTGGACCCAGGTCAGATAGTCGATGGAGACGTACCTCAGCTTCTTTGGCGAGATATTCCTGATCTATCTCGCCACTTTGAGCTTGCTGGCCCAGTTTAATACCGTACTCAAGCAGCTGCTTCATGTAGTAGGGATTGATGACGGTCTCGTCTTGTGCTAGCTGGGGCTTCGCTGGCGTGATCTCAGCTACAGGAAATTAGGTCAACACAAGTTTCGATGGAGTACTTGATTTCTCACGTTCTTTCATCGCCAACCATTTCTGCTCAAGCAACTCAGGAATCGTAGCCCGCTCTTTCGAATTTCGCATCAAGCAACTCTTGATGCCCTGAATAACATCCGCTCTGACGGGTTGTTGTAAATGCTCGAGCTTTTTACGTTCGCCTGCCTTGTTCACGACAGTGGGTATGCTGCAGTCCGGATACTCAATGACATGAGCTAAGTCCGGGATAGCCTTCATCTTTTGATATACAGAAAGATGTTGGAACGGCGGGTGACCATAAACCATCTGGTAGAGGATGCACCCGAGAGACCAGACGTCACTGGCTCGTCCAACTTTGAGCCGCCGCATGCCGTCAGGAAGTTCAATAGCTTCGGGGGACATGTAGTTGACAGTTCCGATCTAGAGAGAGGAGCGTGATTAATAATAAAGGATGTATACCTGAAGCAGAACTTGCCTGATGATCTCGCTGGATGTTAGTAGTGTCGTTTGCGATGGCATTCGCAATGCCAAAATCAATCAGCTTCAGCTGACCCCTCACGAGAACGAAGTTTGCGGGCTTCAAATCTGAATGAACGATCTTCTCCTCGTGGATGACGTGAACGGCTTGAAGCATCTGCTCGCTCACGTCAGCAACAGGGATGAACAATAAGGTGTTCTGACTGACCTGCTGCCAATAATACGATATCCAAACCATATTCATCGGTTCCTTCTGCTGCTCCTGCAGCAACTTTGCTAGATCAACCTCTCCGCATTCCATCACGAGCATCAAATGTCCTTTTGTCCCTCCAGGTCCTGCCTTCACCTCGCTATCAAACAGCTGGATAATCCGATTGTTTCCCTCAAGCCGTTTAAGCAGTCCGATCTCATTCATGTATCCGCTCATAGTCTCTGCGTCCGTCTTGTCCAGCGACACGCGTTTGATAGCATAGATCTCGTTGTTGGCGTTCATCACGCGATATACCCGAGACGAGCCGCCTTTTCCGATCAGATCGAGTCGAGCATATACTTTCTTGTTTACAACAATGTTGTGATTCCGGACGGGAGCAGGAGCAGGCGCTGGCGCAGGTGGAGGTGGCGCCTGCCGCACTCGTGACGCAGTTTTGGCCTCAGGCTCGCTATCCGCAGGCTCGTCCCCCCCAGCCCACGTCTTCCCATTCTTTGATTTGCCAGGACCAGGCGGCGCTAACGACCCACTCGTGGTTGGTGGCTCGGGCGCTGTGGGATTTCGCCGGTGATACGCTTGGCCATGTCCCTGCAACTGTGACGATGACACATTTCGCGCAGACGGAGACAGTCTGCCTGGGTTTCGATCGCCCACTGTGGGTGAGGATGCGGTGGGCGGATTATTGAGCGCGAGGGAGCGAACAGTGTCTGAGTCGTGTCGATGATGCGTATGGGTGCGTACGTGTGCCTGAGACATATGTGTCGGGGAGGGCGATTGGCGGGGCTGTGGCTGGGGGAAAGGTTCAGGTGCCTCTTCCGCTGCTCGGCGGGCATATTCTGCTGCATACTCTGTGACCGTACGGTCAATGGAGAGGCACAGGCAAGCATGAGGACATTAACGCACCATCTTGCTCGGACGTCACGCGTCTGACGCGCGCTGAGTTGAGGCCCAAGCTGGACCCTGGACGTGGGGCGTGCTGCTGTTGATTTTGGCTTGGGAGCAGGCGCGGAGATAACCGGTCTTCTATTGCCGAGGTTGTTAAATCCCAAAGGCACGTTTGTAAAGAGCATAAGAATTTAGAAACATACCTCCAGAGGCATCACTCAAACTGGCTGAACGGCGAGGTCGTGTGCTGCTCGATAGAGTAAGAGGGGCGGCATGACTGCGATGGCGAAGAATGCCATTCCCAGGTTGTGGTTCATCTACGTCTACATAAATGGTTTTGGCAATGAGACCAGAGAAGAGTGAGAGATACGCACTGGGATCAGTCTCATCACAGGCCTGGTCGGTAGCAAGCTCGTTCTCACTACCTTCATTCTCATTAATCTTATCGAACCCACCCGAACCCACACCATACTTGACAGCCATACCCATCAATACCCGTCCCGCGCGATTGGGCCCAGGCATGATCTGCCGGCCAGGCTGTAGCGGCTGGCGTGCGCCTGTGGATGATCCATATGCGCGTGTGGGGAGGCTAGAGATTGCCCGTCCGTCGATTTGACTCACAGACGCCGAACGAGTGGTTAATCGCGGGGAAGTCCGTTTGGGGGCGGGGCCATCTGACGACAGGCCGTCCCCGTCGGAAATAGTTATTAAATTTTCTTTCTCCTCCTGCACTCGTATATCCCACTCCTCTCGCACTCGCAGTTCCTCCCGTTCATCCAGCGTAAGTGGTTGCTCACGGTACTCATCTCGAGGCACACGTTGGGGACGCCCAATTTTTCGACCAGTACCAGCAAGACCACTCGATAATGGTGCACGTAATGCTGGTTGAGATGCAGCTGGTGTCGATGTAGCAGGTACGGATGCGACCCGTTGGAATGAACGAGCGGAATTGCCTGTAACTAGTGACTGGGCTCGGTGCTGAGCTGCAAGTGGCAGCGGTTCAGCCCCACTTCCGCTTTGAAGTGAATAGGCACTCTCTGACCGCGGGAGAGAGTTACGTCGTGATGGTACTGGAGAATTGAGCAATATAGGTGAAGGAGGTTTAGTGTACGCATATGAAACAGAGGTCCCCTGCGGCGGGGAAGACGACGAAGGCTTAATAGCACCATCAAGCAGAGCATCATTTGGTGTTGGGGGGCTCGAATGATTAGACCTTGATGAACCCTTTGATACGCGGACATAATTGCCCGCAGAATCGAGCTCGTAGTCGAATGAGAGCTCGATGATAGATGACTCATCAGATGGCGAAGTTGAGGCCCGACGACTAAGAATCTTTGGGTCATCAAATGCTATCATTGGTGGTGTTTGTGGTGGTGAGACACGGTGCTCGCGATGAGCGGGCAATAGAGTTGGTGGTGACGTTGAAGAGATCATCGATGTCGAGAAAAGCTAGCACGTCTAGGATAGAGAATGAGCACCGATAAGAAGGCAGTCGTCGTCGTCGGTAGCGGCGGCGACGATGTCGAACTTGAGGAAACGAAGGGAAAGTCACAAAACTCTTTGTGAAGACTCGAACCATGAGCGAACACGAGGCAGATACGCGATCACGTGCAAAGTGTTAATCTGGCTGTAGACCGTGTTAGTCCATCGTGGACTCCCCCTATGGCACGCAGGACCTCCGAGTCCATCGTCCACCCCTCCAACTTATTCACCGACTCAGCCCTTGAATCAATTATAATAGGTCACTGTGCTGAGTCCTGACAAGTCTTTTCTCAGTTTCGAATATTAATCTACCTCACAGATTAACTAATAGACTGGTACTCAAGTTAGAGCAACTGGCGACCATCTGTGCCACCCTCAGTTACTAGGGTCATTCAAATCATTCTGACTCAAATGAGTAAGTATTAAATCTGTGGAATTACGAGTACTACTCCTAATGATGACGAAGAGTAGACCAGAACCACAGTCCAATTGACACGCGTGTTTGTGACTCGGAGCGACTTCGTAGCCGCAACTCGATCAGAATCTTGATCAGATAGTCGGGGCTTATTGCAATCAAATGGAAAGGTGTAAGCATGAGATCAGCCTTCAGACATTTAGCAGTACTCTAATGTAAAATATCAGGTTTACACCCATGGAAAGCGGCTGACAGCGTCCAACTACACAACAGCTGACACGGCACTGGCATTGGCACATCAAGTCAACTCGTAGCGAAAGCAAAGCATCTTCAACACACTCTTCTCCACCTCTCAAATCTCCGACTTCCTTGTCGTTGACTCAGCCCAAAGAACTCAGTGAAAAGGTTCTCTTTCATATCATCACGAGCCCAACAGTGCAAGTCATGTCAAACTGCAGAAGAACTGAGCATCTCCTACATGTTTCTGATTGATTTGCTCCACAGTGATCAATAAGGATTCTACGAAATTTCTGCAAGTTGCTGCCAGGATGAGAAGTCATTGATGTCTTTTCACATGGTTTCCCCGCCTTTATCGCAGTTTCTAGTGCAACCTCTGGCAAGGCACTCAAAGGTTTCACGAAGTATAGAGGAACATTACGGAGTGCAGCAGGCTCTCAGAGTCAGACTTGGAGATCATTCGGAAATCATCGTCACCCAGCTAGTGGTGGGCTGCTAGAATGTGAATGGGACGGAACCTGGAACAAGACGAAGACCGAGTGTCATCTGGTTTATGATCAGTGAAAGTGTACGCTGAAATTTGTGATTTTAGCCCAAGGGGAGAACGCTCCGTACACAGTAGCCATGACCACATGTCTCATTTTTCTTTCACTCGTTGTTCCCGCTAGCAAACGGTAAGATGGACACTCTCGAGGTCCTTTCCTCGACATCATTGCTCGACGTGTTCATGTACATCGACTATGATTGACCTAATCCTGTGGATGTGATCGACAATTGGATAATGCTAATATTAAGCACGTTCGGGATCACCTAGAGGTAGGCGTACAATTATCAAGTGATTATGTGCCCAATTAGATGTGTAGCGGCACCTGCATGCGAACTCTGAAGCATGCGAAAGCCATGCAGATACTTGAGAAAGAGCCAATTCAGAACGAGATTTATCGAATCGAGTAGTGCATGATACGTGAACAGTACGTACAAGCATATATCTAGAATCAATCATCCACTTCCTCCCATTCCGATTCTGAACCCTCGTTGCCCTCTTCAATATCTACCAGTGACGCAAATTCATCGTCACTGGCCTCGAAGAAATCAACTACCTCTACATTATCCCTCAGCCATTGTAAATCATGATCCATGACTTCGTCATCCTCTTCCATATACACAGCCTTTAGAGGGACACCCGCTTCCTTTCGCTTCTGAACCAATTCGCATATTTGGTGTCCAGCGACGCCGGCAGTCGACAAGGTGATAAGTGAAGGGAGACAGACGTGACAAGCGTCTCGCTGGCCAGGAACAGGACAAGGGTGATAAAGTAACTGAAGGAACGCATGAGGGAGGTACCTCATCACTAGGTTGAGAGTCTTGAGGTTTCCAAGCTCTGCGTACATGAGCTCTATGCTGCGGTCCGAGCAGGAAAGCCCGGATATTTTGAGGGTGTCAAGTCCACTGAGTAAACTGCGTTTCTTCTCTCCATCCTTTGGTACCATCGGGACTGCGGTTATCACAGGACCAGCAAGTTGGAATGCGAAATCCGTAAAATCCCCATCGTCCAAATCAAGTGTGAGACTTTTGAGTGCGGGAAATGCTAAACGGCGGAGCAACCCGCTGACATAGACTGGTGAATGGAATGCCAGGACAAGATGTGTCAGCGAGTGCAACTCGATGACTCCGGTATAATCATTGCCATAGCTTCCCGAACTTCCTTCAGAACACCAATCATGGGGAGCACCAAGGGGACCAGAGCTGCATAAAGAGAGTGTTTCTAGTTTGGGTGCGCCGCAAAGGATGGCGGCAAATTGTGTCCATGACGGTCGCACGTCATCTGTATGATAAGCAAGCTCCAAGTCCAAGAGATTGAGCCCGCGTGATAACCATTCTTGGCACCAGTCAACATGCACACCCCACAACGCTACACTCTTAAGACGAGGAGCAACACCTCCGAACAACTTGAAATGTTGTACAAGGTCAGGTTGAGCGAAAGCTGTGAGGCTTTCTGCGTCTTCATGATGGTACAATTGGAGAGCCTCGAGCTGGGGAGCACCTGCTATGGAAGGATCTGAAACCGCAGAGAGGAAAATAAACATGTGCTTGTAACAAGCGACCGCCACTTCGATAGATCCCCAGCGTGATATGTGTGGAACAAGAAGGGACATAAGATTATCGAGATCGGAAAAGGTCATCGAACGTGGGGACTGACCAAGCTCTGAGTCTTCAGAGCCTGAGGAATCCTCTTCTTCATCGTCATCTGGAGGTTCGCAATCTATGCGTATGTCGATAGGAAGGCTCTTGCTGCGCTCAAGTAAAGTCTGAACTCGTTCAAATGGGGGTGAATCGAGAGGTGATACATCGATCTCTGTCCAGAGAGACGGCGTGTTGAGGGCCACCACACGCCAATGATGACAGACATGCGAGATGAGGACCTCAAATGATGGCATGGGTTCGAATGTCGTGTCGCTAAGCGTTGATAATTCGGATAAATTATCATCATCCACGCCATCGTTCCTTGTCACTCTGCTCCGTTTTAAGTTTGTTGTTTCGCTGTCTTCATCTACTCCGTCTTTCGCGCCTGCTTCCAAATTCCAGTACACCGCCATTGCCTCATCTTCCTCTTCCTGCTCGTCCTCTTCGTCTTCATCCTTAATGGATTGGGCGCCGACCTCGAAAATGAGGGAAAGGAGCTCCGGAGGGATGTCATTCACTGGACAACGTGTGCCCTTCGGTGGGACGAAAGGGTTGTCTTTTAGTGAAATGTTGGAGGAGCAGTCCATTCTTTACACAATGACCGATGATCAGCTTGTGCTACTTAATTTTGAAGAAAGAACGCACTTGACAAATTCCGGTTTGAAGTTGGAAGAAAACGAAATAAGATGATCAGAAGATCTGCTTTGATAACTCGATATGCCAAATACAGTAGTAAGCAGTGCCCTTGCACTGGATACAGTGATATATGTGTGCTTGTCTTACGCGTCCCATTTGCTCAGCGCTCAACATCAAACCGTCACTGCTATAATACCATCAATGGGTTCTCCAGTCCGGGTCTATGTTTATGACCTCAGCAAGGGTCTCGCCGGCCAGATCTCCTTGCAGCTCACCTGGTAAGCAGATAGATGGCGTCTGGTTAGTATCATCTGGCATCGACAACCAAAATTCGTGTGCTCACTGAACACTATATGTATAGGCATACCTCAGTTGTTGTCTTCGGGAAAGAAATCTTTTATGGACAAGGCATTTGTGAAGCTGAACCGGGTCGGTCCCATGTAAGCTGCCAGGGTCGCAAGTTGGTTCTATCACTTTAACATAGTGAGCCATAGCACGGGTCACCTCTGAGGATCATTGATATGGGAGAGACACATTTGGACGAGCAGACGTTTATGGAATGCCTCAGCCAGATAAAAGAGCATTACACTGCCGACAAAGTAGGTGTTTGCTCTGATGCGAGGGACTTGTCTTGCTCACCAAATTCAGTACCATCTATTAGGTGAGACTGCGGCATGAGATAGGATCATGGATCACTGATTGATGCTTGAAAAGACTTCAACTGCAATTCATTTACTAACAATTGCCTCGGCATTTTGAATAATGGCTCGCTTCCATCGTATATCAAAGGTATTGGCCTTTAATATATTTATTCGGTTGAATATAATCATGAAAACACTCTTGCAGACCTACCATCCGATTTTCTATCGACGCCGTTTGGTGCTGCCTTACGACCAACTATCGATGCCATGTTTAGGGGCAGGGCTTCTACCGGCATCCTAACCCCTCCCCAAGATATCTCAGCCACAACCGATTCACCTGATTCGGCATTGGCTTCGTCTGTGCTGCAGGCAGTAGCAGCTGGCGCAACATCCAACAGCTCTGATGTGCCGTCGTCATCCAGAGACTACCTTCCGACACCTGCACCAACATCGCCCCCTACGCCGGTTCAGAACCACAGCCTTACTACACCTGTGCACATTGCTACAAACCCCTCATCTTTCCATAATGTGCTTCGCACACATCGTGCTGTGGTTGCATTCTTCACGAGTGCAACATGTGGGCCTTGCAGGATGATCGAGCCTGTATTCGAAGAGCTTGCACAGAGCAAGAGCCGGGCCAACGATGTCGCGTTTGTTAAGATAGACTTGAGTGTCGGAATGAGCAATGCGGTGGGCGGCGAGTATGGTGTGAGAGTAACACCGACGTTTATTTTATTCTTGGACGGGAATAAAGTAGGAGGGGAACATACGATGTCCTAGCAATAACTGACACGCTTCCATAGACCCATGAAATGAAGGGGATCAATGCACCTGAATTACGCACTCAAGTCGACTTGCTCCTTTATCAGGCGTTTCCTCGTGAGCGTATATTTTCCCTTATTTTATAACACCGAACTGATGCGGCGACGGCGATCAGCTCATCCACATACTACGTTGTCACTTCCTGCGATCGAAGCTATACCCCTTAATGCTATCCTGTCTTCTCAAGTTCCAGATCTCGATAAAGTGCTTGCGAAATTGACGGGGTTCATAGATGTTGCTCCTTCATGGTCGGGCTTCGTTACGAAAGAAGCCACGAAGCAAATTCTCGCGGAGAATATCGTTCCGTACCTCAAAGCAAAAGAGTCTTCATCACCCCCTAGCATTTTTATAGAGCCTTGGAAAGACGCGACGATAAGCCTTGCGACGAATCTTTCCGCAGGAGAATTGTTCCCTGTGGTAGACATGTGGCGCGTTGCTCTGCTCAAACCAGCCGTGTGCGGTTGGAGTGCAACAAAAGTCGGTCCTGAAAGCCCGATCCTCGTCTTGTTATCCAAGGCCGAAGGCGCGCCAAGGAATTATACCCTCACGCTCTTGAAGATGATTTCAAACGCGTTTGCGAACACGGTCATAGCCCGAGAACTTCTTCTTTCATCTCGAAGTAGCATCAAAGACCTAGCGGTGGCTGCATTGTTTCATGACGATGTAAATGTACGGTTGGCAGCAGCCAACCTGGCATTCAATATGGCTGCGCACATTCAGAGACTGAGAGTAGATAAGGCGCGGGGGAATGTTGAAGGGGACGACGTGGGCGAGAATGAAGACTGGGATATTGAAATGACAAGTGCGCTTCTGGAAGTTATAGGACGGGAGAAGACGAACGAAGAAATTGGTACGCCCTCGATTTAATCCAGCCTCGTAGCAGTTACTTGATCATTGCATTTTCTGTGACAGTTCATCGTTTGACAGCGTCACTGGCACTACTTATCCGACTTTCTCCGTTCATTGAACAGCTCACTTCCTTGTTAGAGGTTTTGCAAGCTCAGAAAATACTCAAGGATAAGTTGAAGAGAGGCGGATGCGGGGACACGGGGGTTGTAAAGAATGAGGCCCGCAAACTCATCGAGGAGGTTGCTGAGAAACTTTGTGCTTGATTGTGGAGTGCTTTGTCCTTGCTGTACTTAGTGTATTGCTATCATATGTACACGTCTCATTTAAGAATAAATATAGGCGCCTTGCAGGATCTGGGATTATTTGATGTTGTACATTTCCAAGGCTGTCCGTTTTCAGCGGGATAATATCACGAGCACATGAATAACCGGAAAGCCGACGGAAGTTGCACAAAAAGTTGTCTGCGACAACACGGATGGACCCTCTGTTCTTCATCTGCTGGATCCTAGACGCAGTCTCAACTGATACCATCTAATCAATCATTAGGCGCTGGCGAACTATTAACCTCTCTATCTCCACTTCTTAAGCCCATCTGACAGACAGTGGATACCTGAAGGACAAGCATCCTTCCATCCGTTGTCGCTCACAGCATCTCCTGTTATTTCGAGTCCATGCTGAAGTTCTCAAGCAGATTAGCCTCTCGTTCGTCGCGTTCACCGGTACGTAATTTGCCGGTTAGTCACTCATAACGTTAACTGCTTCTCCAGCTTGTGTCTCAAATGGCCAACAAACGCAATTTCAAGTCCTCAACCCCCAAGAAGTCTGATATTCCAGAGGGATATGCCGTTGATCCTACCGCAGGGAACATGTTGCGGTTCCAGGCCTCACTTCCTCAGCTTCCCGTTCCGGCGCTGTCTTCAACCGTGCACAAGTACCTCGAGACCATTCGGCCTCTTCTGACAGATGCGGAGTATGCTAAGTCTCAGGCCACTGCACAAGAGTTTCTCAAATCGTCTCAGGCCGCTGAGCTTCAGAAACGCCTAGAAGCCCGTGCCGCAGACCCATCCATCAAGAATTGGCTGGCGGACTGGTGGAATGACGCAGCATACATGGGCTACCGCGATCCTGTTGTGGTCTATGTCAGCTACTTCTACGTGCATCTTGATGATCCACGCAGACGTGAACCGGCGAAGAGGGCTGCTAGTCTGATCAAGGCTATGCTGCCTTTCAGAGATATCACAGAGTCGTCAGTATCCCGCGTGTCTTTGGCCTTGTTTCATTACTCATGCCAAGCCGAGCAGGAAACAATTGGAACCTGAAAAGGTTCGTGGGATCCCATTGTGCATGGATTCGTACAAATGGCTGTAAGCGTTCATTCCGTAACTCATGGTAGCGAATTAAATCCTTGCAGCTTCCATGCATGCCGATACCCCACCAAGCCATCCGACACTGCCAGAAAGTTCGATCCAAAGGCACATAATCACGTCGTGTTTGTGAGGAAGAACAAGTATTATGAAGTCCTCCTTACAACCCCAGAAGGACATGAACTAAGTGAGGCTGAGCTGGAAGTGTGCGTGTTGCGCATCAATTGGTTTGAGTTCAATGAACTTAACGTATCTTTGGAACGTAGGCAAGTGGAACGAGTTATTAGGATGGCAGGGACGGAGGCGGGCACTCCGGTCGGCGTGCTGACATCGGAGAACAGAGATATTTGGACTGATGTAAGTACTTGGCAGTTCCGTTTAGCCGCCATTTCCATACCCTCATTCCTTTATCCGTTCAGGCACGTTCTGCACTAATTGCAAGTTCGCCATTGAATCAACAATCTCTCGAGCGCATAGAGTCCTCGGCGATCATCGTCTGCCTTGACGACACAACACCCGTCTTGCGCGAAGATATTTCTTGGTCTTGCTGGGTCGGAGATGGCCGGAACCGTTTCTACGACAAGCACCAATGTATGTGGTTATTAACTTTCACAATTCTCTCCAGATGTACTAATGCGCTTTACTCGTGTCAGTAATCGTCTTCGATAATGGGCGATCGGGCTTCCTTGGGGAGCATTCGTGCATGGATGGCACGCCCACGCTTCGCCTGAATGAATTCATTCTTGCTTCTCTTGCCCACAACAAAGTTGATCTTGGTGCGCCTAGGTCTAGTTCGACTGGGGCCAATCTTCCGCAGCCCGCAGAGTTGAAATTTGAGCTTGACGCCACATGCAAGAACTACATTAATGAGGCATGCCAACATTTTGATGAGCTCGTGGGTCAGCATGACATGCATGTGAGTGCAGGGTTCAGTGAGATCTGTCAGGGTTGCAGATGATTAATTGACACCGTTCCTAGGTGCTCCACTACGAAGGCTATGGGAAAGACCTTATGAAGAAGTTCAAGGCTTCCCCTGATGCATGGGCTCAGCTTGTGAAACAGCTTGCCTTTCATAAAATGTTCAATCGACCTGGTGTGACGTATGAAAGCTGTCAGACGCGCAAATACCAGCAAGGCCGCACAGAGGTCATCCGTAGTGCCAGCTCGGAAAGCAAGGAATGGGCCGAAGCCATGCTTAATCGAGAAGAATCTGTAGGTCTTCATGCGGAGATCGCGTAACATTTTCCCATTCCAGTTAGATGCTAAATGTCATGGGGAATTCGCATCTAGGATGAACGCCGCGCCGTGCTCTTCCGCCGCGCCGTCGCGCGCCACCTGCAGTATGCTGCCTGGGCCGCGGATGGGCAAGGGGTGGACCGACACCTATTTGGTCTAAAGAAGATGGTTTGTGATGGCGAGTCCGTCCCAGCTATCTATTCGGATCCAGCATTTTCCAAGACCAACCATTGGGAATTGTCGACATCTCAACTTTCTTCCAAGTATCTAGACGGGTGGGGATACGGAGAAGGTACACTTTGTTGTTGAAAGTGTTTTTTTGCGAATCGAAGCTGATGATTATCACACGCAGTTGTTACGGACGGGTATGGACTCTCGTATTCCATCGATGATCACTACATCCGCTGGACCATCACATCACTTAAACGGAATACTGCTGAACTAAAGCACTACCTTGCGGAGGCTGCAACAGAGACGAGGTTCATGATGGAGAGGGCTGCTGCTGCTGAACAGAAGGCAAAGTTGTGATTGTGTCACTATTGACACGGTGTTGATGCGTTATTTAATGGCATAATTTGTTTATGATAGTTTATGGTATCAGGGATAGATCTTTCGCTTGTAGGCTGCTGTGTGTCCGGGGGAGTGAGAAGAAGACGTATACCTTCCTTTTGTTTCCACATCTTGCGTGCGGTCGCAAGGGGATCTCCGAAACCCGATTTCTACGGAACGAAGGAGCTCCTTTTAATCATATTGTTCCCTATGATCTGATTCCTACGGCACAGCGTTGACAGTGAAGTTGAAAGGCACCTGAGCTTGAACGTTTGAACCCTGGCCCTTGCGGAAAGTCCGGCCCCGGCAGTATCGTCGGTGTCATATGCCCCATCGAGTTTGTCTTGGAGGGGGTCACTTCAGAAGTACAAAGTGATTTTTTTTTTCTATTAGCGTAGTAGTATGTCCCACGAGACAGATGCCCTTCCCATCGGCTGATTTTCCCATCTACCTAGCGCTGCTCCGCGAGCGGCTAAGGAAGGCGGCCGGTTGATTCCGCGAACAGCTCTGTTCGAACCGTAAATCACCTCGACCGTTTCGGCAGTTTGTGAACATAAGAACGGGTGCGGCACAAATATTTGCAAAATGAATGTTCTGGATTCAAACTTTGTACTTTGGTGCAAGCTAAGGTTTGTGCACGTTACATCATGCTCGATTTCAATCCCACTCACCTATGAAGACCACTTTCCTTGTGTTTCGGAGTAAATGCCTGCGGCAGATGGCAAAATTTTGATGCGAAACTTACGGACTGCGAAGTAACCGTGAGTCCAGGCAGCAAACAGGAAACCGGAGAAGTAGAATCGTGATAAGAGTACCTTTACCCCGAGTCGTCAGGATATGCCCAAATATCGGTATAACCAACGTGGTTTTTTGACCATTTTGGGTCGTTGGAAATTTTGCGGCCTTGTATCGCTGGCAGTTCCTCCGTAGTTTCCTGAGTCCTTATAAATTCAAGTACCCACAGCCTTCATTCTCGACATGGCTGACTGTGACATGCGGTTGGTGGCGTACTAGACGATTGCTGATGATCACCTATAAAAGCATATCACAGGCCGCTTCCTGTCTGTTCAAACCCGCCGGAGAACTCGAGTACTGAAACCAACAAATTCGAAGTGGAGTTGAACGGCGAGAACTCAGATGAAGATAGTAAGTCAGGAGACTCGTGGTTCATTGATGCCGTAACCTACAGTCACGGTGCTACATATATCTATCCATTGAAACAATGAGTCCGTTGAACTCGGGGTCTCTTTTAAGCCGCGCAAACTCGTACACAAACGTCGATACCCAGTCCTGATAACATGCTTGCAGACGGTAGTGAGCACAGACAGACACCCACGAGGGTCCTTGCTGATTTGAGCACTGACACCCGTGCGTCCAAGCGGGCTCGCAACACATTTGATTCGCCCTTGGCCGCGCCTGGGGCCCCTGAAGAATTTGCTTCAACACCCAGGAAAACACATAACAAGAAACAGCCTCTGTCGTGCGCAGAGTGCCGAAGGTGCGTTTCAACCCATCTGGCCTGAAAGTTTTGACCATAAACGCATCCTGAAGATTAAAACTGAAAGTGTGTCCATTTTCCCCTCTGACTTTGCATGATCTAAAGCTGAATGCCCTAGTGCGATCGCGTCTTTCCATGCCAATCATGCTCAAAACGAGGCTGCGCTGAAATATGTCCAGATGGTATTTAGCATCATCATACTTTCAAGCGTTCAATCTGACCTTGTTTTGTTTACAGGTGCTCTCACATCTGGAAAGGGTAGCAGGTTAGCAACAGTGTCTCTGGCGAATCCTCCCACTGATAATATATCAAGGTTCATTCTTGCCAATACCGAGCAACTTCATGCAAAAATTATTCAGATGAGCGATCGTATACGACAACTTGAAGACGCGTTGGAGACCGTCCAAGCCAAATGTTCATCTGACCCTCATCCCCTCTTGCACCAAGATTCCTTACGTATTAAAAATTCACTGGAGCTCTATAGCTCTCACGCGACCAGTGGAAGGCATATCCAGATTGATGGGACAATCAAAGAAAATCACGCAAGCAATACCCAACTCCCTGTCGCTTCATCTTCAACACGAGACGCAGACAAAATTCGGGATAGCCGATCGGAGGTAATCTGCTTAGCGCCCAGTTTGCAGGGTGGTTGCTGATTGACTTTCTAGGAAAGGTACTCGTCAGCAGAAGCTTTTACCTCCGACGTTCCTAGATTGTCTCCCGAAATCGAAAAACTCAGTCATACATTTCCTTACCCTTGGTTGCCCAATAATCCTATGAGACAGCGGATCTACGAGATGTTGCCGTCTCGGGAAGAGGCAGAATACCTCTGCACGCAAGCTCGATTGAACGCTCTATGGCAGTGAGTTTCCTTGTCATTGTCCGATTGCGATGTATTTATGACGTACGTGCAAGGTATAACCTCGACCCAAGCGAAACTTGGCTTCCGAATCTAGTTCATCACGTATACACCACGCCGATGTCAAGCCTTTCTTTCCGCCGCCTTTCTCTGCTGTTCATCATGATGGCTATCGGGCTGCTCGTTGATCTTAATCAACAGAATGAATCTCCGAAAGCCGAGGTGTTTCATCGCCTGGCACGAGCCTCTTTATGTGAGACAAATCTGATGGATGAACCTAGTTTAGATCTTCTACAGACTTTGGTGTGTTGGTCACATTATCCGACATGCGGTTGTGCTGACGAGAAGGTAGTTTTACATGATTTGGTACCTTCTAATTTTTTCAGACAAGAGTCAAGCTGTATCATATGCATGGAGCATCATGGGGCTTGCTGTTAAGCTTGCTCAAAGCGTGTGTCTTGCCAAAATAGTAACTCTTCACTCACCTAAATCATATGTTGTTCCAGTTAGGTCTCCGTACGTCGGGCATCCATTACCGCCCTGAGATTTCCTCAACATGGATTTTCATTCATTTTCATAGACCGCGATGGCAATAGATGGAAGGTAATTCCCGAAGAGGCTCAGCGGCGACGAATGCTGTTCTGGGAACTTCTGAATTTAGATGCACGCCTGGTTAGTTCCGATTTTCAACTGATTGCACATGTGACATGCGTACTGAACCTCGAGTTCCAGTCTTTATCTCTTGGTCGGCCACCATCCCTTTGTTTACAACATGTCGATTGTCGGCGACCATCCTATGCTTCAGAGGGGATGTACATCGTCCCGGAAGCTCACTCGTGTTGGCTGATTTATTCATTGACCTTCATACCAGAACTGATTATTCCACAGATCATGAGTGGAAGCACGGGTTCTTCCTCCACTGTCTCACACCAGTTTTAGTCACCGCAATTTCTGCACAACCACAACCATATTCCAGCATTCTAGATGTCGATAAGAAAATCCGGGACTTCCACATCCCTCCCACACTCAACATATTCAACTCAGAGGGCATCACGGATATTCAACAGCTGACTATGCAACAAGTGCTAGTAGCTAGCGGGCGAGAAATCGGTGGGTTTTCACCGGAAAGATTGTGTGTCTGCGCGCTGAAGCTGGACGCCCCAAAGTCCTACTGCAGCTTCATAGGAATTTTTTTACTGAGGCACTGAGTGACTTTGATGCTTTCACGTATCGACACAAATACGCGCCGTCAGTTCTTGCAACATTCCTTAGCGCTTCCCGTCTCGTTGCCACGTTCGAGACCATGCTGCATCGTGAGCCACAGCTGAGTAAGCGGTTCATGTGTTTCTGGTTTAATGCATTCTCTGGCGCGGTGAGTGACTCCTGAAGCTAGAAATCTGTTACATCTTGACTGGGTGTTTTGACCCAGGTTGCACTGTCATTGATTGTTTCCAGAACACCTTTCCTGAGTCTAGCGCCATTTGCGCTGAAGGAGTTGGACACTATTTACCGCATTTTCGCGAACGTGGCCGAGGAATGCTCAAAGGTCGCTCAGGCGCTGGTTAGTGATGAAGTTGACTTTTGAGAGATTGTTACTAAACTGGAACATAGCCTCTGCTCACTAAAATCGCAGAGAAGTCACGTCGGACGTACTCCCAGTGGCTCAAAACACTCAGAGATAAGTCAACCATGGATACCGACCTGCCGTCTCAAGAGTCATCGCCCAGATCAACTGTGTGCAGCACTACAGTGGCCTGGTCGGACTCTTTTGACGCCGCACACCCGTTCCTACAAAAAACGCTGCAGGATATTGAGACAACCGCTCCACCGACCATTCAGGACCTTCCCGATTATTCGCCTCGGCAGCCCAGGCCAGTAGTGGATCACTCAGAGCAACCTGAAGAGCTGTCCACAGACATGCTTTCACTTGGTTTGCATGAGGATCTGGTTGCTGCAACTTTGAGACACAGCACAGACCCCTCACCCCCTACGGGCAATACAGCTCAGAGAATAGGGAATCACACGTTTAACTTCGATTTCGGTGCACTGGCGTCAAACGTCGAGAACCAGAATAATACATATATGTCATGGTTTTGATGGTTTGTATTGAAAATTCAAGTCAATAAGTACTTAAACTGTACGTAGATGAAATAAAAACTCCCACGATTGACGTGCTTATGTAATATTATATTTGAACTTGCTTGTCTTTTGAAACCACGTACTGCTCAGTGGATCCCCTTGTTGTGTCCCTTCCTGAAACTGTGCACCGTATTGTTATTCAAAGAAAGTTCGGCTCTTGAGATATGTCCCGGATACGGGAGGTATGGGCGCCAAATCTTGAGGCAGAAATGCACAACATACGAGAGCTCATCGACCAATACCCTTACGTTGCAATTGTGCGGCGCGTAGTCTGATGTCTCTTGTAGATGGATGCTTACGATGAAGTAGGACACGGAATTTCCGGGCGTAGTTGCACGACCAATAGGCACTTTCAAAACATCTTCAGACTATCACTACCAGACAATGCGATGTAATGTCGACCTGCTCAAGCTAATACAAGCCGGTATCACACTCGCGGATGAAGAGGGTAATTTCCCCCAGGATGTCACAACTTGGCAATTCAATTTCAAGTTTAGCATAAGGTATGTTTTAGAAGCTAAAATTGTCGAGCATCGCATGTTAATAATGCAACCATAGTGAAGACATGTATGCGCCAGAATCAATCGATCTATTACAGAAATCAGGGCTCGATTTCCAGCGTCACGATGAGATGGGAATACTGCCGTATGACTTTGCTGAACTCTTGATCACATCGGGTCTGGTCCTTTCACCCGAGGCCAGGTGGATATCATTCCATAGGTGAGTATTACAACCTTCTCTGATAAGTAAGGGCGTCAAGCGTTCTTGAACCCTTGTATCTATTCTGTCATTCAGTTCCATTCCAAAACCCTCTTTTTCTACATTCATCTCACTTACATATTTCCTCCATATTCTAGTGGCTATGACTTCGGTTACCTCGTCAGACTTTTGACTGCGATGTCCTTGCCAACGTCGGAAGAACAATTCTTTGAATGGCTGCGCACTTGGTTCCCTTATTGCTATGACATCAAGTTCATGATGCGTGCCTCCAAGTCCCTGAAAGGAGGGCTACAGGAAGTCGCGGATGATCTTGGTGTGCGTGATTTCTCCTGTGGTTAGTCGGTCACCAGTTGATAACAATTCCTACAGGTGATGCGTATAGGAACATCACATCAGGCCGGGTCAGATTCCCTTCTTACTGCATCGACCTTCTTCAAAATGCGAGAACTCTACTTCAATGATCAAATAGACGACGCCGAATATAACTGTAAGCTGTACGGTCTAGGTCAGACCTTCGCAGTATCCAACGGCATCACTGATACCGGCCGAGGTGGAGCTACCATTGCCGAACGAGAAGATAGGGGGATACCAAGAGATTCACAAAACCAGACTCCTGCTTTGTCTGCCCCCCAGAATCAGGGTGTAATAATGGGTATAGGAGTTCCTTTACCTACTCCAGCACTAGGCGGTGCCCTGCCTGCGCCGCTACCATCTGGCACATCATATGGGCCTATGGGAGCAAATGGCCCGTTCATACGGACGGCGATCGGGGTAGGGGGGAGATAGCCTGCATTTCGTTTTCTCCTTTTTCGTAGGATTGTTTTATGTAATTATTTCTTTTCATTGATTTTTTCCTATTCAAATTTTGGATAAATTGCGCTCATTCGGCACGCTAGGGGTTCACATCGACAGGCATGTGTGAGTACTTTGTTTATCCGTCCCGACTTATGATTATCATCGGGTCTACAGTAAGAGCTGCTCGCAAGCTTAACAAGTCAATGATATCGATGATACTACTAAGGATAAATCATCCGCTGCATCACCGCTGTTCTGCCCGGCGAGCATGAATTGTATCTACACATTAGCGAGTGTTACCCGATGGGGTGCGGACTCCAATGTTTTCGACGTCGTATACTGTCTGCGCGGCGGTCTCCTAGTTGTAAGTGGTATGATTAACTTCGCTGGAGATTTCAGAGGCATAAGCAGAATTGCGACCTACTTGTCATTCTGCCAATGCTTTATCCATGATGAGATGAGTAGGGTTCGCTGAAGGGGTTGTACAACAATCCGCTTCCCATGGATCGACGTCGCAGTCATCCATCGCAAGAGTACACGACCAACCTCGTCATAACCAAACGAGGGTCAGCAGGTGCACTCGTTGCGCGGAGCCACGACGCCGATGCAGGTGAAAGAATAAGTCAAACAGCCTTCGAGCTCACAGTCTCTCGTAATTTAGGTCTGTAGAGGAGATGTCCAGTGATTGGGAGTGTTGTAGGTTGTCAGCGACAACGGGTGAGCTCTTATACAAATCTGAGTGGCACAGGTCTCCCGTGTATCCGCTAATTTTTGATCAACCTCGATCAGATAAGTCACTGCAGCTCCCATGTGTCCCAAGTAGAACCAAAGTCATGGAATTCATCTGAAATGTGAGAATTACATATTGCCACAGACGTACATTGCCCATGGACCTGCTCCATCTCACCGCGGAGCCAAATTGCATCCTGACTTAGGAACATCCAACTCCGTATGGGTGCCCTTGTTTATTCGTGAAACACATGATCCTTCATGTGTGAAATGTACGTCTTCCGTCTCCGAAATCCCATTTGTTTGATGTATGTATTCGTCCAGAGACAGTCCTCTGCAATCACCACTATTGAGATGATACTTATTTAGACTCTCTCTGAACTAATTTATCTGTGTTGAGGGAAGCGAAACATTGCCAAAGATGCAGAATTCACAGCTCTTTCGGAAGATGATAGGCCTTCAAAAGCAAGCATGAACGAGGTAGCGTACTTGCTCGGGCTGATTTCAACATAATATGTCCACTCGAATTCCTGCATCTACGTTAATGTCCGTTTAGAGATCGATAACTCGCTCCTGATGCCGGGGATTTGGTAACTATCCTTTGTTTATGCTTATTCCTCTGATGGAACGGTCGGCCGCAGGTCATAAATCTTTTTTAGATTCAATGCTTGTCTATTAACAGAAGAATAATTCTTCTGCACTAGGCTCAAGAGGGCTCAAAGTTTTTCCCCCTGAGAAGATCTAGAATTTTTTTATGATTGCACACTTCCAGCAGCGTTGCAGGCCTGGTCTGTACCGTAGCGAACTACTGTCAAATGACAAATTCGCTAAAACACCGTCTACCTATGGTAGCTTAGCAGCCGAGATCACGGTTCAACGTTGAAAATCGTGTAGACCACAGCTAAATTTGTATGTATGACTGTCACAACTTCATGTTTGCTGGTGCATTGTGACGTACGATAGGGTCCTTTGACGGCATTTCTAGACCTCGGCTATGGCCGACCCATCCAGGTCGTACAAGCATTCTACCATACGATGATGTGACTTGCCAGGCCTGCTCTATGTAAACCTGGAGCTGAATAGTTGCTCGTTCAAAAATAGCCTTCTGCACTGGACACTTCGAAACTCCTCGGTCGATCCAATGATGGTGCCTCCTGGAAAACTTAGGAACAAGAATGGACTCGGAGCGGGTTGCAATCAGGCGCGCGCGAACCCTCCACTAGAATGGAGAGATACAATAACACCACGGAATTAATGCCCTAAATGAAGGAGGTAGTGCAACCAGTTTTGATAGAAATTGGTGTTTATCAAATGGTATGTATGTATGTACCATAATTTTCCAATTTGGTTTCGACTACCAGGGTGTTCGAAAAATCTATTGTCAACTAACGGCAGCGATAGGACCGTTGCGAAATATTCAAGCTAAAATCACCTGACACATGTTCAGCAACTTTATGTTGTTTGCTAACAACCAGGCCCACGTACATAATTACTGGGAAATATCCCCTTCTTCCCGTCTCCGGAAAACCCTAAAATTGTAATCAGTCAGGCGGCATTGAAATGAAGGTCAGACCATCTGGATACCTTCCCACCAACCGTCTGCGTAATTTTGACCTCCGTTTGTTCCAGAGGACAGCTCAACCAAGTCCCCCTCACTTATCGTAAGCTCTCCTGGTTCTTGAGCTCGATAGTCGTAGAGAGCCCGTACTGTTTATGAGGTAAAGTGAGAAATACCTGATCGTACCAGCAAATAGGCGGTACTCGTACCATATGTGCCTGATGCTTGCTGAGAACGTTGTCGAGAGGGTTCAGATTTTTCCAATGGCCATTCGCCTGCGTCTTCCAAATAGGTCGCAGGGACCAACCCTTTCTCACCATCGGAGTTAGCCACCTTAACCCATCCGGAACCATCGTCTTCCTCTAGCACATGCACAACAGCACCCTCTTGAAACCATATCAGCACGTGCAACATGGGGATATGTCCCCACACAGACCTGTCACATTCAATTCGAAGGACGAGGACGCCGCGAAGTCGAAGATAGCACGAGCCAATCGATGCTTTTCTTCCGCGTGCAATGATGAATTGTGTGGCACAGAAGATGATGGCATTGGAGTTTTTCTGGAGCTAATGGATACCGATGCTGCGGGCATTCTGTGAGTCTTGTTATAGAACTTATCATTCACCTACATCTACTCTCCGATATAGACATGGCAGAAGAGGGAGACTGCAGGATTTCCGAGGCTTTGTACTTGCCGTGAACATTACTGCACTCTGCAGGTACCTAACAATGTCCATAAGCGGCGTCCTTGCACAGTTTATACAGGAGAATGAAATCACATTTAACTCGCATTTAGAGTGCACTGATAAGCCACAACTTTTACAGGTCTTTCCTTGCTTACTTAGACCCCAGATCGATACCTAGGCCGTTGTTTGTCAAACAACATAGACACGCATCCACCAGATTTTGATCATACCTTACAGTATCCGCATGTTGTAGGTATTGAAAAGGCCGAGCTCTTGAAAACGTGTGGGCTCGAACCTCCCTCGTCGCCTTACGCATCAACATTAACTGATGTATGCGCCATGGTCATCTAACATGTTACTTACCCCCCAGGACACTGGCGATTGTATTGATTTCCGAGTTCAGGACAGATGCTGAGGTCGAGAGGGCGGTGACCTCGTGGGCAGTATCAAGATAGCTCTGCGTAAAAGTTAGTAAGGGACCCACATTACGCGCATAATGACTACGTACGCTCATGGCGTCACCCGTGTCTCCAGGTGTGTCATCGATGGTGCAAGCCGTGACATGATATTTCTCGGCGTCGGCCCCTGTACCCAGGATGGTGAGTGCGACCAGCAATCCACGATGCGAGATTACGCTCACGTTTTTTTCCAAGCACAGGGTTCAGTTCTCTTAATTTAGCTCGCGAGCGCGCGAGCTTATTTTGTAAGAGTACCTTGGGACCTGAATCAATGCAAATATCTCCCTGCAATTTACACGCTCCTTAAGACAGTGCATGTAACTCAAGTCATTCAGGCCTACCGTATCGTAGTGGTTCGAACATGGTTCAAATACCCAATCGTTGGGTAGGCTGAACGGACGGATGTTGGATTCTACGAAAAGCGTTTGGTCCTTATCGGGTTGCACTTCAGTCAAGGCGGTGATAACGGCTGTAAGACGGTCCTTCAAGATATCTTGGTGTGACAATTGGATATTCTGGGCCTCTCTCATAACACCAACGAAATCCATCACTAGACGAGTCTGTAATTCCTCTGCAGACAGTCAGCTTAAGCATGTGCACAGTGGTAGCCGCTCACGGAAAGACTTGATATGTTATAAGGTTCGTCAGTAGGTGCCGGATAGGATAATATAATCTAACTTACATCTTCAAGATTTGGCAGGTCCTCGGTATAAAACTTCGTCTTCGCGCTGTTGGCGATTGCAGTTGAAATAATATAGACACTACTAGAAATTAAATAATATTCTATATTTTTGTTTTAGCACGTACTTCTTGCTATTAAGCATCTCAAGCCTCTGCAGTTCATATTGTCTGGCTGAGCGTTCCACGTGTCGATCGTGCGCAGACTTGACAAGTATTCATGACCGTGAGAAGATTCTTGACGAGCTTCCTTACCTTTTGACGATGAACTTCAACTTCGGCGCAATCGGCGTCGTACTTGATGAACACGACGATTAGAATATTTGCGTCATGGCATGCAGGATCTCACTTTTTGCTTGCTCTGTATCATAATGATTAAACGTGTGCAGTATGGGACCAGCTCAAGACCTTGCCTTGATGTGTTCAGCATAGATCTTATCGCGTCCAGCTAGAATCGAGTGATAGAACTGCATTTGCTACATATCTCATCAGTATGCATAGGTATGATTGTCCGCAACGATAAACCTTTTTCTTGTAATCATCATTGCGGCGCTTAACAGCCTTCAGAGATCCTGCAATTTGAGATGACAATGCCTCCGATAGGTTGATCTGGTCCTGAGCAGAATTTGACATCGATGACAAGATCTCAGAGTATGCACGATTCAGGGTGCTACCATCGGAAATATGAGTATCTGGTCAAAATCGAGAAGAATGTACATGCTTCTGTTGAATGATACTTTCCGTGCAAGCCTTGGCGGGATTGTCCCCGACGACTAGTGATAGTGCACTCTTGTTCTTTTTTTCGCCTGCTTTCTTCGCAAACTGCTGCAATTTTACTGCATACTCGCGTTCTAACGCTGCCCTATCGGTGTACAGTTCGCAGACCTGTATAAGTCAAGCATGTGAGTTCAGCTGCCCAGGATTCCGAAATTTCGAAGACGCACATCAGCTAATAGATCAAGGTGGGCATCAAAAAGACTGGAGATCCGATCTACTTGGTCCTGATGGATGAGACGTCAGCAATGGATGCCATAATGGACTGCGGATTCAGTAGGTTACAGGCAAAAGTTGACCGTAGCCGTCGGTTTGTCTCTGCATCTTCTTTCAAAACTGAGTTTGAGATCAGAATTTAGCACGCCTTGAGCTTGAGTATCACAGTGAGTGACCAGGTGAAGAGCAAACGTAGTGATGGCGGAACGGAACCAAGCAGCCGAGTCTCGTGTTGCCAGAAAAGGGTCTACGACTCGGACTGTAGTACTATCTTGGAAAAAAGATCTGAACTCGTTGCATTGAATATATGCTAATAAAGTCATGACAGGGTCAAGGTGGACATTGTAAGTCGGGAACTGCATTTAATCGAGACACGATGCAGACAAGCGACTCTCCGTCATGCACACCAAGTAAGCAGAAGTGAAACGTGGAGCGGTGATTAAGTTAGATGATAATCACACTACAAAAAACATAGTTAAGATCGATCATTAAAAACGACAAACTGCAAGGTTTGAGTTTGACTCAAACTTGAAGGGTTGCAATGTCTTACGCGTCCCAAGTCGCCAAATATACTGGAGCACGCCGGTAAGGGAATGTCGTCTTTACGTCGACGCCACTACGAGAGTCACGGATTTCTCATCAGAAATTGATGTGCCGAGGTCACCTGATTTTCACGATTAAGCCAAATTATGAATAGTTCATCTAGCCTAGCAGTATTTTGTCTAACTTACCATGGCACAATGTCCCTGATGCAAGTTAATGGTTCCGCTGACTGACAGTTTCTACCGCGTGAGTGCTTTAGGCGTTGGTCAGCCGTAACGCGTAAACATCCACACCTCAGTTGCAGGCTGTGCGCAGCATGTCAAGTAGTAATGGGGTGCACTCGTGTTTCATGAGCGTCGATAGAGAGGAATTCAAGAAGCGAGTAAATGTTGGTACTGGTATGGTATCTGATTATGAGCAGCTCCTGGAGCAGTCACGAGCCTGACATCCCAGTATGAAAATAAACGTGGAGAGGTCAGATGGACGGCGACGGTGCCGAGGAGATTCCAGTGTGCCCGCATCGCATATTGGAAAGTAATCCCCGCGGTGAGATTTCGGTATGTCGGAGACCGATAGCACGACAGAGTCGGACAGACATATTGCTAACGAAGTGGACAAGAAACAACACGAGGTTGCGGGGAAGTTGACGCGGGGACAAGATGGCCGGAGTGGAAACAAAAAATTGCTAGGTGCGTGGGACAAAAAAGGACTCCTTCGAGCAACATCCAAGTCAAAATCTTTCTTAAATTTTGGGTTATTCGGTACCAGGAGTTCCAAATCAGAGTAAGTAACAGCCCTCATGACTTTATCCAAGGGTGTACACCTTAGCCGGACGGCATCACTTCTGTCGTGTGTGATCTCGCAAGCGTACCTGTGCTCGAGCTTGCCGTGATTTTCGTTTTGCTCTCGACTCGGAAACAATAATCTACCCTCAAGACTTCCGATGTACGTTGTTTTTTAAGGTACGTATCCACGCACCCTCTTTTCTTCTCTAGACAACGCGACTCCAGTGCGGGACAATCTATAACTGGCACAGCAATTAAATTTCCTGAAGAGCATGTTTGATGTGAGGTAAAAGGCTGTCTCCAGGTATATAAGGGCCTATAGATTGTATGACATCGAAGTAAGTGCGAGTAGAGCTCTATCCCCCTAACGTCCTTTTCACGCATTTGACGTCTCGTCCCCCTCATCGATTGCCAACATGTATAGACTAACGACTGTCTTGATCACGCTATGCACGATTTTCCTCACCGTTCTGGCTGCGCCAATACGGCTCGATGGAACTGCGACGACATCACTTCAAAAGCGCACCACACACACAGGCGATGTGAGTTGATGAAAGACAGTTGTTTGCTGATTGCTAATTCTTTAACAAAGGGTACCTGGTTTGAAGTTGGCACAGGAGCCTGCGGATATACGGATACAGATAGTGATCCTATAGTCGCCATTTCTGCCGAGATATATGGCAGTGGAGGAAACTGCAATCAGGTAGGCCATCTCCCATTCCCCCAGTGCGGACATTGGATGCTTATAGCTCGTAGTGGATTCACATTACCAATACGGACAATGGACAGAGCGCGTACGGGAAGACGCGCGACGAATGCGAGTCTTGTGACTCGGGTAGCTTAGGTATGCTGTTATTGTTTAAAATGTGCACCCGATAAATTCTAATCCATTTTGCAGACATGTCTCCTGGCCTATTCGAAGAGCTAAGCACGCTCGACACCGGTGAAATTCCAATTTCATGGCACTTTATGAGCGAGGATTGGTCGCCTTAATTGCGCGCCGTCCTGTACTTGAAATTTACACGATTTCCTGACGGTTTCCATCACGATTTATTAGATTATGATTATAGATGACATATTTTCTTCATCAGGAAGGGGATCAAAATGTTTTGTAACATTTCATAGCGGTATTTCTGTTGCGTTCTATCACCTATACAGCCCTGGGAGCTGAGTATACCATATTTTCTTGACCATAGTATGAGCTCCGTGTTGTTTTTAGTAATCCGATTGGTTCTGATCTGTACATTCTTATTATTTGCACCTATATGGGTGGATTTCTTTCAGTCGAGACTAGTAGTTGCAAGTTGCAGGTTTGAAAACCACAAGAATTGGCATCTTCAAATAAATCGCTGGGTTCTTCGGCCGTAAGTGCGACTCGAAGAAGAGAAGATATGCCATCAGATCACGAATCCCTTTGTCTACAGTACAAATTAATTATAGAATTGTCTGAATGTCACCTGACTTACGTGATGATGTTCAAGTTCTACTTGATGCCCGATCGCCGTACCGTTCAGCTGCTATCTGCACGCGTTATACGCGTGTATATACACTGGCATGTCCTCATACTCATCCGACCTGAATCCGACGTTTTCCGTGAGTGTCGGAGACATCATATATGATGAAAATACGACATTGCCGTGACCACGTCCGAGTCCCTCCGTGACCGCGGAGTATGCGATTACTACATCAAAGATGTGTAACCTGATGCAGGTTCGCTAAGGCTTGTGTCTGCTGACCTTCACCGAGTTAAAAGCGCTTGACTCTCGAGTGCTGAGAACAAATATAAAATGGAAGCTGGTAAAAAAAAAAATTGCGCCCTTCCGGAATATCATGTGAACGTACGGAGGTCACGGAAATGAGGCCGAAGATATCAGACCTCTGTCCTACGCAGCCCTAACCTAGGCGTCCCTCGAATGATGCAATCCCGAACAGCGAGTATCCACATTTCCTTAAATGGTCTAGAGCCTTGCTAGCGAATAGGGTGTGATGCGCACCATCGTGAAATGAAGATCATATGCATCCTGCTACTCCCATCAATTTCTAAGAGCCTCATGGTCTCCTCCCCACCCTCCTTCGGCCCATCTGGCAAGTCTTTATACTAATGGCAGCACTGCATGTCGCATCGAATTGGATCGTTCAACGCTCCGATAGATACTGTGAGTCATTCAAGCACTGGCCCAATTAGGAACTCTAGTATTCAAAGATTGTCGCCCTGGGCCAGGCGTCAGCTAATTTGGAATGCATGTAGCTGGCACTCAACCAACAGGGGGAGTTCCCAAGATGTGGCACATGATATTCCGGTAGTGACTTCTAGACCGTCAATTTCCGAGTACGTAATGCCCTTGATCCACCAAGTCGTACCTAGTCGACGATAGGACCTGACCTCGGTTGGTGTTGGTATTATACATCTGCAGAGAGCACATGTTTTCTACCGTTACCAATATGGAGGTTCATCATACTTTAAAACTTCGTGCAGCGAAAAATAAGACTACCCTCTCAAGAAACAAATCATCCAGCGGTGCACCTCCACTGACCAAAAGTTGCTACATTCATGTAAATCATGCACATTGTGTTCCAATAATAGTGATATCGTGAATAGAGTGATTGAAATGCCAGCCAAGTATGTGTCGTAGATCCATCCACCTTCGTCGTCAAATCGTACAATGTAAGAACGAGTAAGCAAGAGTCCATGAAACCGAGTCACAATCATTATTAACATGTCATTGAAATGCGTTCGAAGCTCGTGGCGCCTACAGGATGTAGAGCAGCGATACCAAGGCGAGTATGATCGACCCGCCTGACGCATGGTTCCTCCATGCAGCACCTGTGAGCGCAGTTTGTGCCGCCGCCACAGTAGACGTGACAACTGAGGTTGTACCAGAACTTAAAGTGGACGTAGATGTCCCTATTGTAGGTGTCAAATTAACCGGAGTTGATGTTGGAGTTTCCGAAACAGATTCAGCTGTAGGAGATGCACTGCTCGTAGGAACAGACAATGGAACTGAAGAAGATGTGGATGGCGCAGGTGCAGACGAAGATGAGCTGTCGTTGATGATAGTGAACTCTGGACTGGCATTGCCAGAGTCCCCAAACACTTGATCAAAATTATTAAAGCTACTTCTTGCGCAGACACCCACTACTCACAAACAACGATATAATCTTCCCGTGTCTCCACATTGGGGACGGTGATCAGAGCTTGACCGACCGTATAATTGATGTTCGTTGCAAGTGGTGAATCTAAAAATGTGTTATTTAATAACGATAAAAGCATACTATTTTACAACATGGTCGACTCACTCAACATCAAGTTCTCGCTATCGTTGTACATGTATCCCAGGACCAGCATCCCAACCGGATTGGTAACATTAGAAGATAAACCGTCAATGCTCCTGCAATAAATGTGTTATTCAAAGGAGTCCGATCACGCCTGGGTGTACACACTTACCAAGTTACCAGCTGCTTTTCTCCGACATGCCAAACAGTGTCCGCTGTTGGACTAGTGATGGGGGGATCTACTACATCCCTCAAGTTCAGTGGCAGTGAGAGTGCCAACGTTGTCAGGGATGAGATAGCAAATAAGAGTGTCGTGAACGCAAACATCATGTTAAAATTTTAATCCACGGCAAGGATGGGCAACTGGAGCAGAACGTTCTGAACACTGGGGGCCTGAGCAGTCGCACCGCATTGTCAAATATGGTCGGACATGTTTAATAACATAGCAGTCGTGGGAAAAACAGTTAGGTAAGCGATGGCCTCATGTCTTAGACTTAATTTACGTTTGCCGGAGTGTCAAAGCAAAATCAAATTTCTCAGCAAGAGTATGATCATTGGTTGGTCTAGCCTTTCAAGCTATGGGGAACTGTAGCTCCTACACCATGTCCAATGACAATGACAAACTTTCACTCTTCCAAATGCTCTGAACTTTTTCAGTACTGTTCAGCTCTTTGAGTGGCAAATCTGATGGTCGTGTGAGATACTTCCATCATCTGCAGTGAGGCTTGGTCAAGAGCTGAGGTACTACTAACATGAAGGCTGTGTAAGTCTCAGATACATCCATTGAAGTATGGATGTGGTGTCTACATTAAGTTTTGGAGTGCATAGCTATGACGGGAGCAGGCAATTAGGAATATGCCCGGTGGAACACAAGCAAGCCTAATAATACGTAATCATCTTACAAATTGAGGGCAGCTGAATTGTCTTGGTAAAGTCCAACTGTCAACTGACATGTGCAAGTCCAAGACCATGAGAAAGCTGCGTCTGTGCTCTCACAATAAGATCATTTCTATGCCCACTGCTGTCCAAGTCATTGATAATGGCGAGTCCGAACTTTGGTACTGTGATACGTAATGTTCGACTGCCATGCGCAGACCATTCAGAAACTTCTGCATGGGACATAGCCTGTCTCAATGGCCGAGTACAGAGTATAACCTCTTCAGGGTCATGCATACCTCACAAAGAGGCCACAGTTATCGAAGCCGACGGCGGGGTGCTAGTCCCTTCGTATGTTTGTCTTATCCCCACAAATTAACTACCAGGTCTGAAGACATCCTATATCTAGGCTGTGCCACTCGCACATTCACCTCGACAAGTGTTTTATACTCGGTCAGTGTGACCCGTTGATTACTGGGTACGTTGCATCATGTTTGTCTTCAACAACACCATTGAAATATTGACGTTATTCCAAGGTCTTTACCTGAAGCTCTTGAAGTAACAAATAAAGCTAAAGCAGAATTTGCAAAGGATGTCGATAATATTTATGCTAGGGCGACTTATCTTATTCGAGAGAGCGTGGAGTCTGGTGTCACTGCAATGCGAGCCTTCGTTGAGGTGGATACGACAGTTGGATTGACGTGTCTAGATATGGGACTTCAGTTAGCAAAAGAATGGGCTGACGTTTGTCATATCCAAATAGTTGGTCTGTCGCCTTTACCTCCAATTGCTGCATTTTTGGCGGCGCTGATATCCGTTTTCAGCTTTCGCCCAAGAGGCACTGTACGAATCTGCGGATTCAACTGAACCCGGTCCAAATTACAATCTGCTTTGTGATGCAGTTTCTCGCCCAGATGTTTCTGTTGTCGGCTCTGCACCCTGGGTTGAACCTGACCGCACACATGCTCTCAAGAACATCGAACTCATATTGTCTCTTGCTGAAAAACACGACCTACATGCAGACTTTCACCTGGATTACAATCTCGATCCAGATGCCGTTCCAATGGTTTGGGATGTGTTGCAGAAGATGCATCAGCGATCCTGGCGCAGAGGTGATGGAAAGCGTGTTACTATTGGGCATGCAACTAGGTTGGGACTCTTTTCGGGTGAAGAGTGGGCCGAATTGAAGCGCGCCACAGACATCTTACCGTTGGAGATTGTTGCACTACCGCAAAGTGATATTTACATGATGGGACGTGCGGATCCTAGCGGGAGAGTTCCTGTCCCGCTCGCAGGGCGTACAATCAATGCGCCCCAGGTTTACCGCGATCACGGAGTCCGTGTTGCGCTTTCTGTGAATAACGTCGAGAATGCCTTCACGCCCCAGGGGTCACTCGATCCCCTCACGCTTGCTAGTCTTGGCGTTGCACTTTTTCAAGTGGGTACAGAACCAGACTGGAGAGTACTTTTGGTAAGCAAATTGGGTGGATTTAGCACTTGCCATAATCTGACGATTGTCACAGCGATCGGTGTCCACGACATCTAAAGAAGCCATTGGTATCATGCACGAGGGCAGTGTTGGTGGGAAACCCGCGGATGAAGGCGATGGTATTATCCCCCGTGTTGGTGATCCTGCTGATTTCGTTGTAATGCATGGGACGCATCGGTGGCAATCTGCAGTGCTGAGCCCGAGATTCGACCGCACAACATTTTACAAGGGCAACGTCGTAGCAAGACGAAGGGCCCAGAAGTGGAATGCAAATACAGGTGGAGAGATCACGAACTAGTTAGAATGGTCATATACACGTGCAATGAATTTTAGGCCACACAGACTTTATTTGGAATCATGATGCTCGGAAGGATGATCAATTTTATGGTGCACTACTATCTTTGCGTTGCAAAATTGCCCCGGATCCGAGTTAGTAAGTTACTTTTCTTTCACTCACTGAGGGAGCTTGTGAAAATACTTGCGGCAGCAAAATACTGTACTTTCCATCAGAGCCATTACATGGACAAAAAATATCAGGAATTTTACAACACTTAATTAAAATTTTCTGACATGAAAACTAAGATCTGATATAAAGTAGTCTTGACTAATTTCTTTATTTTTTTTTACATAACATTCAAGTATGTTACGCGCTCTTTGTTTCTCTACTTTCATGTTGTGTTGTTGTGTTGGTCGGAACCCACGTAACCAAGAAACTGGATATAGATCATCAATAAGTACCAAGTTGTCTTTCTACAACTATATGAACGTATAGAAGTCCCCATTTACAAAAATCCGCTCTCTTGCAACAATCGAGCCATCTTCTCGTCTTCTCTCTCGCGGGGTTCGCGTTCCAGACTGAGGTTCCAAAAGTAATCGCCTACATCAACCTGCTCGCTGAACTTAGCAAGTGATTCCTCAAGGTAAGTTTGCACGCTTGTGATAGGATTGAAATTATGCGGGAATGTTTGCCAGCGCTGAATATCTTGGATCACCTCCGAAGCTTTCTGTCGTTTTCGGAAGTTCACCAAGTTACCTGGAAGAGTGTCCTTGCTTCCATCTTGTATGAACGTTAGTGTAGTAAGGAAGACACCTTTACACGTGGATGAATACATTGGCAACAAAGAATCAAGGTAGAAAGCTCACCAATGAAAGGCACACAAGGGGGCGAGACTCTTGCAAGCGTCGAACGATAGTTATTGAAGTTCTTTCCTGAATCGATGGTCATCTCGCATGTGCCCAATTGAGCCATATGTCGCGCATTCACTTGCTCCCATGAGCGCTTGAGACGCCTTATAGGAGGAGAGTTCAATCCAGATACTATAGCAACCATGCTCGAGTAATTGTGCATCGAGCGACATCGCTGAGGGAAGTAAGCTTTATGTGAATGAATTCCGTAGTAGACCACACACATCAGCCACACTTATGAACTGCTTCAAGATAGCCGAACGCTTCCTGGAGTCCTCGTGGGTGAGAACCGAGTCGGCTACCCAGTTAGCAATCTGGTAAAGTGATGAGCATATGATGGCTATTACAAGGAACAGATCATACCCGATTGCTTGTCTGGATTACTCGAGCAATATTATCATTGTGGTCTGTCTTTTGCTCCCGCGATCGCTGCAGACATTCCACTGGCCGTATCTTCTGGTATAAGTGACTCTCCATAATCGTCAACTGCCGCGCCAATTCCAAGGGGTCTATGTCCAAAAGTTTCAACTTCTTATTGGGCTTGGGTAAGATCGAGGTAGGTGGACTGCCCAAAGTAGGAGTCAAGCCTTTCTTAACGTCTCCTCCACGCTGTGGCGCCTGAGTCAGACAACCTGAACTATATCAACGGCACTGAACTCACTGCACGTTCAACGAGTGAAAGTAGTTGCTTTGAACCTACAAACTTGCTAACATCTTCATTCTGCAAAAAATCTTTCATTCGATTCAAGATATACATATCCTCTTTCTCAAGGAAATCTTCGTCCGAAACCATGGCTTTGAGAGTATTCAGGACACTGGATATCACATTAGGTATAGCGCGGAAGAATCAACAATGACGCACCGCATCTGAATGACATGTTGCTTGAGCTTTCTCCATTCTTCCGACTCAGTGGGACTCAGGCCTTCCGGTGTCTGGATGCGGAAGCGGCGGACGAGATGGTCGAAAAATTCATCAAGGGTGGTGAATGACTTATACGTCATCAAGAATGTTTTGATAAACGTAGGGTCTATAACGTCCCGATACTGAATATAACACCGTAGACAGATAGGTTACGAAGCACCCGTACCTGAAGGATCATGTGACGTTAGACGTTCGACCAAAGCCGGAACAGTTCCTGCTCGAACGCTTCCATCTACATCGATAGTCATGTCATTCTTCGTGTAGTCAGGTCGCAGATACCAGGGTTTTGTGCTGATGATGTGCTCAGGAGCGTCATCGCCAAAGATTTTCTTGATTTTCGTTGCTGTTCTCGTGGTTGCGGCTGTACATATCATAAGCCGAGAAAGGAAGCGAATATACTAATGTCACTTACAGTCGTCAAGCATTGAAGCCGAGTCGCTCATCGACCGGACATCCTGTGGTTTATCAAATGTTGAAGGGACCAAGGTGTGTACAGACATAGTAGGGTCGTAGTTCGAAGTCGCCGACTTAAGTGACCGATCGGTAAGCGTAATGGTGGTGTCAGATAATTGCGATTGACTTCGGAATGTTGGCGCTCGGTCGCCGAGAACAATCGCAGACTTTTTCATTCCAGATGCACCAAAAGCCACTTCGATGTCAACAATGTCCTCGCTCTCTGGATCTGTTGGGTCGAGAACCGACATGGGACGGGCGTCAAAGTTGCAGTCAATGATGCTCAAACGTGACATGCGCCACTCTATTGCACCTGTGTATTCCCCTTGTGCCATGTCTGCTTGATCGTGGCCAAGGGAAAGCAGGGTATCCAGAGTTTGCATGAGAAATTGGAGGTTTGACTTCAGGGAGACGGAGATGGCGTCTAGGTACTCGCACTGAAAGTCACGATCTTGTCGCGAGACTTTGTAAGTAAGACGACGAACTCGCTGTATCGTGAGAAGCAGTGTAGCTGCGTCATCGTATAG